ACCCCTAACCCCTAACCCCTAACCCCTAACCCCTAACCCCTAACCCCTAACCCCTAACCCCTAACCCCTAAGCATAAGGCCCTGCTGCAAATGTCGTGTAATAACCCGTGACTTGAGAAAAGATGTGGAGACTATCCCGTTGAAATCTGTGATACCATTCTGGATAGTCGCGTTTACTATCGATATGATCCCATCAATGTTCAACTCTGAATCGAAGGTCGAAGGCCGATGCTTACAGATTTTCTTCTTTGATACCACAACATATAGTCCCCGATGGAGGGCGTTGAATACCTCCTTGAGCCAAAGTGTGCAGATGTCGACTCATTTGAACTTGATCGTTCGTGTCATTGGGACAAAGGTTGAAAAAGACCTCGGCCACAGCGACCGCCCATTGATAAGGCAGGGGGTGTCGCTTGTGTGTACTGCAGTGAGTCAATGCAGTAACCGCGAGCAACCGGTGGAGAAGTATTGCAAATTGCTCGAGATACCAAGGTGGCTCGATGTGACGGCCTAAAGCTCGATAAGTCATGTGGTTGAGTGTCGTCAAGAACGGTACGAGGAGATCCTGTTTTGAATCGGAATGATTTGTGAGTATGCTCGTCGTTGTTCGGCACCAAGACGTACTTACCACAAAACTGGGATTGATGTGATAGATAAGGGAGTTGGGTAGGTGTATATCCTGCCCAATATATCGTGACAAAGCTTGCCTGTAATGTTGGTCCATCGACATGATGTAAGATTGATCTTGTATGAAGACGTATAGGAAAGACCTCGACCAGTCCAGACGAGATGAAAGAATTGTTTATATAACTGTGGAGTGTCCAAGGACAATGGCGTGACCTTCGAACATGATCATGGCAAAAGGACTGTCAAAGCGACTCTGAGAATAGCAATCGTGATTGGTTTCATCAATCGAAGCTCCTTTCGGCAGCTGTAGAAAGGGACGAGTCAGCTTGAGCAGCCCTTAGATTATTAGGGATCTTCATAGTGTTCATCACCAGCGGCAAGGGAATCACGACGTGTTCCAGAAGATGCAACCGAATGATATTCAAAGTGAGGAACATGTCGAGTCGAAGAGTCCCAGGAACCGTCCTTTCAACAGTTCGATTGTCATCAAACGCCTTTACAAGAGGCGGCGTGAAGCTCTGTACACTTGGAATACAACCGGCGAGTAGCTGGTCAACTTGGTAATTGATGGCTAAGATGTAGACGACAGTGTCGCAGTTGTCGTGGAGATGATCTTTAAACATCTTTAAAGATCTAAAAAAGCTCGTCGTGCACTGCAGAGCGCTGTCGACAACTTCCCCGAAGTTAGTGAAACTATGCATGAAGTCACGAGCAGGTAACGAGGTACATGTCGTATTCTTGTTCTGCAAAATAAAGGATGGTAGCACAAAGGACCTTGATAATAAAGACAGACGTCAATGGATCGAGATGGAGGCGGGAGGCCCAACGTCGCACTTTGAAACTCGGCGATGGCCGACAACGTGCTGAGACGGTGCGACGCGCGCGGTAAGACTCCACGCCCTTCAACAAAGTAAACAACATCGACACAACGTTGGGCCGGCCTGGTGCGACGCGCGCGGTTAGACTCCACGACCTTGACATTGTAAACAAATGGCCCAACGTTGGACGCGACGCTCCAGCCAAAACATTCGGCACATTACATTTGGCACTTTGGGGCGCGACGCGAGGTGCCGAACGTCGAAACACTAGCAAAAAAACATTCGGCACAATATTATACTATTAGGACTTTGTCTGGGGTCAAGTATTTGAGATTTCGGTCCAGCCCCAGCCCCGGAACCCCCCTATAACCCCTAACCCTGGCTGGTTCTCAAAAGTGTGTTTCATACCCCGGGGTCGAAACCCCCTATAACCCTAGTCCAAATCCTGCGCATTTGTCCCGCATTAGGTTCTGCTTGTCGTCTTGCTGATCGTCATGCCGGTCTCTTTGGCCGTCGGAAAGGTGAGCTTAGTTGCGCATCAGGTTTCGGTAGTTCCAGTTTGAAGCCTCGCTTTCCGTCTTCATGAATCGTCATGCCCGTTCTCCATGTTGTGAAGCATAGCCCTAGCCTCATGGCCACGATGTATCCGTCGACTCAGTCTGCGATGTTGCCGTGCCTCCGTCTAGCTACGTGCCTTTCGCTCGAGGTTCGCTGGCATCGAGATGGATCTGACCGTCAAAATCCTTACGAAAGGTCGCTGCAATCCCTGGGCCTCAACCGTCCCCTCATCTCCCTCGCTCCGCATATGCTTGCATGCTATATCTCTCATTTCCCGAGGCTCGTCCTGCCCCCAACCACCGCTACCATACCCGCTCGACCTTCACCTAGCCACCAACCCATCAACCACCCCCGCCCCACCCGCCTCCCAATCCTTCCACGTGATCGAGCCCACCCAATTGCTCCTACTCATGCCCCCCCCGTCCCCTTGTCTTCCCTCTTCGTCCCCTCCCCTTGCCGTCCCGTGCATCCGGACGATACCCTCGGGTTGGAAACCTAATCGCCCGGCTGAGCGGATCGAGGCGGCGTTGGTGACGTGGGCCTGCCATTGTAACCTCCGGAGTCCTAGGGCTTTCGATGGGGTCCTTGTAGTCGTTGAAGGTGTAGACGAAGATGACGGGGGCTCGACAAATTTCTTGAGCGCCGGATCGTACGTCGATATGTAGGGGAAATCGAGAGCGTAGTGCATCAACAACCCCGCGGCGTGTGAGAGGACGTGTGTCCGTTGAGCTTTCGGGAGGATGATGATGTGGCCTATAATTCGTGACGGACACATTGGGCAGACGTTAGTCTCATAGTCAGCTCATCAATCGCTAGACATGTCGTCGACGATCGCTGCACGTCCCCGATCCGCATGCATCGAAAGCGAGAATTAAAACACACGCCCACGCCCAGGACTTAAGACTGACCTAACTCTCCCGTCAAATTCTTCCTATCACAAAAGATCGCTATGATCCCCGCCATACACTCCAAGGGTGGGTGATCTGGCGGCAGCGGCAAGGATGGCGAGGCTGTTCCGTCTTGATCTTCTCGCGAGTATTCCGGGTCGGTGCTATGGGAGGAGTTCTCGGAATTGTCTTTAGAGATCCGGGTCAGATCGAAGATGGCGAAGAGGAGGTTATCCTAGTGTAGTCCGTCGTTTGTTCGTTGTTCGTAGCACCATGGAATCACCAGTAACAGTACGTCATCGCCGTCGTCGTTATGAAGATGAACAACACCCAAAAGCCGTAAAGATCAATATCGATCATATCAGCCTCCCCACCGGTGTATCACGCTTTCCCAAACCTTCCCCCCCTTATCGTATCGCAGATTCAAACTCACCTCGACCCCCCTCATGCTGACTTCCACACCTTGCAACAACTCCTCCAACCCAGCCGCCATATCCCTCGGATAAGGCATCAACCTCATAACCCCCTTACAATCCCCCTCCTGCAACTCCTCATAAAACTTCCCCGCATAAAGACTCGGAATGAAGGGGAGTAGCGCGACCTTGTCCGTCCTCAACGCTTCAGGAGATGGGATTTGGCCACCGGCAAAGTTCAGGTCGTAAGAGGTGTAAGGGGTCGTGGGGTGGCAGTCGGCGGGGTCGGGAAAGGATGGTGGGGGTGGGGGAGTGTAGTTGTTTAGGTAAGGTGATGATGGGTTGGAGGTCATCGTGGTCGCGGTCGTGGTCGTGGTCGTAGAATGACAGAGTAGTGAAGGTCGAAATTGGGTGATGTGTTTGTACGTGAAGGATCAGGCTAGACGTTGGTGCAGAGAGAGCCGATCTACTCTAGATAGGTAGCTTTCCGTATCCACAATAATAATATTGAGCTGGGCCGATGTCGATGATGATCGAGGCAACTCGCAACTCGAGTGGCAAGTTGCGGTTCTCATGCTCGGCGAATTGGCTGGGAACGGGTGATCTCATCCTCGGGATGTCGTTGGATATGGCTGACTATGATGGTCTGGGTCGATACGAGTCGGAACCCATCGTCAGTCATCAATCAAGCATGCGAACGATAATAATATGTCTAGCTCAAGAGACTATAGCTATGGGGTAGGCTGTAGGCTGCATGCTGTCGACGATGTGTGTGGGTCGTCGATGTCAAGAGGTATGAAACGGCGTGCAAGGTAAGACATATCGACATGCGACCATCACCTCGCAACCTCCCAAGCTACCCTCGACCATCCGGGTGATGACGACCGATACCATACTACCGCTCGGGCTGGTCTTCGAGCACATCATCCATCCGGCTTGCACTTTCCTCGAGGAGTACTGTAGTTGTGATCCTCTTTACGGTGCGGCACCCTCTGCTGTTGTGGTCGACCACGCCAGCGTTCCCCCGCCGGATCGGAGAAACCTCGACCTCGTTCGCTGTTTGACGATATTGCGACGACAACGTGGGTCTTGTTGTCAACACCGACCATCATCCTTCTGCTGCCCTGCTGAGCTGCTGAGCTGCTGAGTGCGGCACCTCCTCGGACCAAAGACGTGCCACTTTGACAAATGGGAAGGTCGGCGAAACTCCATAGCTCGGAAACGGGCGAGCCAAGAGAAACAAGCAAGTCGGAGGGTATATATAATCGGACAAAGGTCTCATCAACGTCAACGTCAATCTCGATGCTCGAGTCGTGATGATCAAATATCGACAAGCGTTGCCACTAGTACTATCGCAAACATCCACCTGTACCAAACGAACGCATACCGTCTACGATCTCTAGATTAAACGGGAAAAGATGCCCCCCCTCTGCGAGAACCCCGACCTGAAAGGCGTCCTCCCACCCGATTTCGTACAGGGTTACGCTAGTGCGAGTTATCAGATCGAAGGTTAGCACGACTTTGTTCCCCTTGACATATTGAGATACCAGTAGTCATATGCTCATATCGTATCCCCTCCCCTCTCTTCGGCTCGACAGGCGGTCACGACACCGACGGCCGCCTCCCCTCCGTCTGGGACATTACCCTCCGTGCCCAAGGTCTAGAAACGGGGGACGAGGCTGTCGACTCTTACCACCTCTGGCGGGAAGACGTCAGGCTTTTGAAAGAGTATGGGTGTAATGCGTATAGGTTTTCGGTTTCTTGGTCGAGGGTGAGACCGCTCGGTGAGTTTTAGCCTGAGTTCGAGGGTCGTTGGGTTAGAAGAGAGAGAGAGAGAGAGAGAGTAGAAGGCTGATATCCATCCGGGGTGATCGTGCTTGTGTTTGATATGATTGATGTGGTTGATATGGGGGTACGCTAGGTGGGAAGGACGACCCAGTGAATGAGAAGGGGATTGGGTATTACAACAACCTCGTCAGTAATCATTGACCCCTTTTGTCTTGCTCTTTCGTTCTCTACCTCCTGCCTTCTGCTTTCGTGCTCATTCCCGCTGAACTCTGATTTCCCACCTCCTCACACTCCCGCCTCATCCCCTGCCTTTGACCGTAATCAGATCGACGCCCTCCTCGAAGCAAACATCACCCCCTACATAACCCTCTTTCACTGGGACCTCCCTCAACCATTGCAAGATCGCTACAAGGGGTTCCGAGCTGCAAACAAAGCTGCTATCATCGAAGATTTCGTCAGCTATGCGGAGTTGTTGTTCGAGAGGTTCGGGGATCGGGTCAAGAATTGGATCACGCTTAATGAGGTCAGTCTTTCAGTCCCGGGCGAGTGGTCTGTTGTATGCTAACGATGGGCAAGCTGATCGAATTGGGAATACGGTAGCCATTCGTCTACGTGATCCTGGACGCCGTGGTACTCAATTCAGAGTGTGATTTCGATAACGACCCGTTCACGTGAGTTCAGGATTGGACGGTCGCTCTGCTTTGAGGTGTGCCGGCTTCGGTCGTAAGAGCTGATTTGGATTCTCAACGTCTTCCTTGCTCGCCCCTTGTCAACCCCCCCCGCTCTCGCACTTCCACATCGTCATCGCCACCCCAATCGCTTATACAACCGCCCAATACTCGCTCACTCGCCAGCGTCGCCCACAACCAGATCCTCGTACACGCTCATACCGTCGACCTCTATCGACGCAAGTTCCAACCCACCCAGGGCGGGCGGATCGGGATCACGTTGAACATCGACTGGGTGGTCCCGATCGATGAGAGCCAGGAGGCGAAGGATGCTGCGGATCTCGCTGTCGCTATGGCTTTGGGATGGGTGGGTGGAGAGCGAGGATTTCTATCGCGGATGAGATAGATAGCAAAGCTGACGGGAAGAATGCGTTTCTCATCGTGATGCCATGACAGTTCGCCGACCCCATCTGTAAGTCGCAACTTTCTCCGTCCCGGTAGATTGACGAGATGCTGACGGCGCTCGATCGGATACGCTCTCACAGTCAAGGGTGAGCTCAGCAGTATCCTGAAGAAACGATACCCTCAGCTGCCCGACTTCACTCCGGACGAATGGAAGATCGTCAAGGGGTCTTCCGATTTGTGAGTCCATAATTGGCATTCGCGCCGCGATTGATCTCTCGAACTTCCCGCTGATGGTATGTTCGCATCCTGTATCACGCCGCAGCTTCGGGCTGAATCACTACGGCACCAAGTGGGCCACGGGCAAGATCGTCGAACGAGGCCAAGTGAGCGGGTTTCAATTCTTTGGCGCTGGGGTCGAGCAGGTCGCGGAGAAGGACGGCGTGCCTATCGGTCGGAGGGGTCATAACGGGCATCCCTATACAGGTGGGTTGCAGAAGCTTGTCGTCGCGTAGGGTTGTCGATCACTGACGATATTTGCGCTCGACGCCCCGACAGTTCCCTGGGGCTTCAGACAACTCCTCAATCACGTCCACAAACAGTACGCCGGTCCGAACGGCCTCGGGATCATCATCACCGAGAACGGATTCGCCATCCAAGACGAGGCCGATCGGACGTTGGAACAGATCGTCGACGACAAGGAACGTCAAGAGTATTACGACCTTTACATTACCGAGCTCTGTCAGGCACACAAGGAGGGGATTAAGATGGAAGGTTACCTCGGGTGGAGTCTTCTCGAGTGAGTCGCTTGAGCCGACTTTTTTGAGGGCGCAACCGAAACGAGCCATGGCTGATGTGACCGGTTCGACCCGTCCAGCAACCTCGAATGGAATCAAGGCTACGCGCCGAGGTTCGGTGTGACCCATGTCGACCGAGCCAACGGGTTCAAGAGGACGCCCAAGGATTCGACCAAGGTCTTGAAGGCGATCTGGCAGCATACGATCAAGTCCGACAAGTAGTGGCTCGGGGTGGCGGCGCGTGTACTTCGAGGTGCAGAACGTGAGCGGTAGCGGATCGTTGTAAACGGGCATGCATGATTTCTGTACAAGATACGATTACAAATCTGCGGTCGACCCCCTATCATTCCATTCGTGCCTCTGTTTCACGAGTCGGGTCTGCTCTCTCACGGCAAGACACATCCGAACAAGTCAATCATTTGGGCTCTTGACGACGAGCCAAATCGACTTCAGCTAGACGGGCAATCCAGACGCGAGGATACAGTATGGCTCATTAGCTAGTCAGATGATGACATTCAAGGCTGAAGCCGACACCACATGGAGTACTTGCTGGTTCGATGGGCAACATCAAAGGAGTCGATGCCGAGGAGACGAATCACACAGCCCCCGCCCCTATCTAGCTGTCCGATTCCCTCACTGCGGCTTGGAGCAGCAAGCGGTTTCGGCATCGCCTTCCTTTCACCAATTGAAACGCTAAGGAGAACATTGAGCTTCTCAGTGGGTATATAATAGTCTTACCTACGGACTGTGGCAAGTTCGTTGGACATTCAGCCGTACATACACATCATCAATCCCTCCAACAAAGTCGGTCTACCAGAGCACTCAACATGGCCCATCAGCATCCACACCCTGGGCCCGGGGACGATGATTACTTAGCTTCGAAGTTCCGGAAGGTCGGACAGCATCTCATAGTTGAGCTGTTCGAAAAAAAGGAGTTCAAAGCCTTCCATATTTTACCCTCCTGCAAGCGGCCAGTGAACCTGTGAGGAAGATCAACAGAAGTTTTGCACACAACGACCGAGATATGCCGCACTGGATCTACCGAGAATTGGATTCAACTAGGGCGCGTTACTGGAGGCAACAGAACCGGGCCCTGAGAGCGGTTGGATAGCTCCTTGATGTGAGTAATGCAGTGATTTTGCCCGTCAAGTTCGCACATCATTCAAAGCACGCAACTGAACTCTGCAAACCGGTGCGGGCATAGATCGCGCCCGAAAACTCTCAACGGTCGGGCAAATCCATACCCGGGACCGAGAATGGTGCCCGGTCTGAGGAGACGGATTCGAATCAGCCAGAGAGCTCTACAGCTGCTTCTTCGAATGCGACAAGCCAGACTGGAGCATTCTCGGCTGCAACAGACCAGCGCGTGCAGCGCTAGCACCCAACAGCACTCGCTGTCCTGACGTCTCCTCCCATTCTAACGTAGTCAGGGCGATGGCAAATGGGCGAGTGGGAGTTCTCCTTGCTGAAGTGGTCCCAGGTCGTTCGTCGATTGTATTGCATCTTGTCTTGTTGTACTATCAATATTATAGAGCATTCCACCGTATCATTACATTTGGTGGATTAACGTGGTTGACTTCGATACCGGGAGACCTATTCATACAGTCACATTCCTATTCAATGACTTCCGAAGGATATACGCATCGATTGTCAAGGTATTGCGCCTGCGGCAAGAGGGTGGCGAGAGCTCCCAATCAATACCTGCTTGCAAGAAGGCCAAGATTGACAGCATTGGGATCGCAATTGCAGCCATCACTGCGACTATAGGGTTGAGGAGGAAATCCAAGAGAGACAGAACAAGCTGGTGGTCGAATGCAAGAGGAAAGCTGGTGCATGCAAGAAGGAAGGTATTGCATGCAAAATGGCAGCTGTCGCGCTGGAATAACAAGGCAAGCTCGCTTGAGATTAGGCTTTGCAGCACCGACTCTATCTCACAGACGCACGGAGTGCTGAAAGGCAATTTCTGACTCTGCTGCTGCGTGACCAGACGTATACCATCATTTGTGCTCTTTGTCGAGGTGAAAGTCCATTTTCAAAGAGCAGATACGGGAGAACGATCTGGATACCTGCTTGATTCATATAACCTTTTGTGGACATTATCAGCAAGGTGATCGGTCCTGTAACACTTAGGGCTGGACTCATATGCGATGATGGACATTGACGGAGATCACATGGAACGCTGTGAGCCTATTATACTACCTATACCGATCAAACAACTTTGAGACCAGTTCCACTATCTCCGTTTCCCCGCAAACTCCACAGCATATTTCGACCATCGGCGGGCCATCGTCCCGCGCTCGACAGGCTCTCAGGCGCACTGCTGAAACGATCGCTATGACCGGACCTTACTCTGCTTACCAAGCAAGGATTACGAGGATAGTAAGTCTCCATGTGAGTCCTCTCTCATCTCATCGTGATCCGGCGTTATTCGGCAATTACACCTTTGTTACCCCGATTCGACGACCTGAAACGCGACTGATCACGCGAAACTCACGCGAGACACATTGCTTTCCTTTCATCAGACCAAACATCAAGGAGAATATCGAACTCGGGTTATGGACGTATATAAGTACACCTAGTAACAGGATGAACGATGTCTATATGCGAGAGGTGATATTCCACGAGAATACTAAACTGCAGAAATACCTCCGAGAAACTGAGATTCTTTTTCCAAAAAAATGGGTTCTCTAGACACAGGTGCATGGCCACCAAGACGTTTCGTCGATGGGTTGATTCATGGACGAACGGTATCGAAAGTTCAGAAAGTCCCCGTCTCTGCGTGGTTTGAGAACCGGAAGTTGCGCAAATATTTCCGCAGTAGGAAAATCAGGATGGAACATAATGGTCAAGGGTACGAATGGAAGCGCAAAGAGGACGACATCTTCTACCTGATATGCAACGATTACGACCCGAAGCAACGACAGTGGGAGATTCCCGAGACTTCACTACATCTAGTCAATCAGGCATTCGCCAGAGCGGACCGACACATGCCTCCATGGGTTTACGACACGCTTGCGCCTGAGGAAGCTGGGACGTGGCGAGATCAGAACCTCGTGTACCGGGCAGCGGCCGGGCATGCAGTGGTGAGCGACCGAAATACCAACACTGTTGAGAGAAAGACGATTGACCTGAAGCTGACCAAAGAGTGGATTCGCCGTGTATCCCCTTAGGATTCCCTTTCGCAGTTAGACCCGTCTCTCAGCGCATCGGAGTTCGAAATCCACAACAGGCTCAAAGAATCGCTTCGCGACTTGACCATCAAAAGCAAAGATACCAACTTGTCCGCCCTCATCGAGAAGAAAAAAGACTTTATCGCCTCTGTTGCAAGCGCGGCAGCAGAGTCGGTGATTCAAACGTTTTGGGAGAGCCAATGTGCCGCTGAAGATCCCACAATCGGGTCGTCAGAGGGAGCGTCACTTCAGCGATCAACGAAATCCACATCGTCGGCGGCCTCATCTTCACACTGGACGAGGGTCTTGGCGGAACGGTTGTGGCAAGGATAGCACGCTAGCACAACCTCAAATACGCTTGCTTGCGTACATGCATCTGGGCCAGGTATAAGAAGAGAAACACGACCGATCGCATGTAGCTAGCTGGCTCGCAATGGTGTCGATGTACAATAACTTTGTTGTAATCGGATGTACCCATATCGGCAACATCGTCCTCGTATGCTGATTCGTTTCCCTCCCATACGACGGTCCCCACGGGAAGATTATACACACGCAGTACTTTCTTGGCTCTAACCTCCAAAATATGCTGTTCCTCATACGCACTTGAGCGAGCAATCCCAATATCTCCTCTCCAACGGTGCGCAAGGTAATTATACGTGAGTATATGACGTTGAATAGTGAACGACGCCCGTAACCGCTACTGAACCGGGTTTCTGTATTCAGGTATTACATGCCCGTCAATCAGGAGGGGTGCGAGCTGATCAGTGACCATCACCCAACTCGATCAATAGTTCAAAGGGTGGAGAAAAATCAAGATGAACAAGTCCTGGACTTCCTGAATCGGACCTTTGCCGAGTTTTCCACCCGTCCAAGATGTTCATTAGGCAGGCCTTGTTGTCTGCAAGGATCAGCTTAAACGACCAATGAACCGTCTACAGTGGCCTGTTAAAGCTCTCGATCGTTCTATCCTGCACGTGCAAATCCGGTCTGAAAATCTGTTGCCGAATGCATCCATCAAGAGTTTCACGATCGTTGTTGATCAGGTTTCCAGGGCGCTCATTACCGACGCTTGCTGGCGTGCCCACGATCTTCATATGGTGCTGCTTTTACCTGCCTTGCGTCGCGATCAACGCGAGCTTTCCGGATCATCAGCTTTGCAACAAGTATATCTCGTTCTAATCTCCTGCTGCTGACCTGGGGGTTCGTGACTGAATCGTCTTGCCATTCCTTCTCATAAATGACGAGGTGGATGAACACGCTACGTCTACGCTTTTGCCGACGAGACGTAGAAAGGCCTGATCGGCAAGTCTGTATGTTCATGCTTCCACAACACAGCAAGCGGGTCCGGATTAGTGAATGTTGAGGAAAGTTTCGTGAGTTGATGATTGCGATGTAAAGTAGCCAACGCCGGTATGCGTTCAGTCTCAAGATTGGTCTGTCCCTTTCTGTCCCTTTTGATACCGTTATCGCTCATTGCAATTAGGTGGTTGGTCGACACAGCGCGTTTGTTGTTTGACTGGCATTGGATGGAATGGACAAAGACACAGGGTCGTTCTGAGCAATACCTTTTTGTTCTCGACGCATTGAATTGAGATCTCGCCGTAGATTAAAAGCATAGCAAAGCCGCTGGTTTCTGCTCGTACCACTTTCGCTTGTGCCTCAGCAAGCAGATCCCGAAACTCGTATAGTGCATCCCCGCACCCGAGCGATACATCACTACCACGCTCACCCGCCGGACCATCCGAACCCCCAATACGGCACATGTCATCATGAGTGAGTCTCGCCTTCCTTTCCTTGCTAGTTGCCTCGAACCTGCGAGGTTCGACGAGCACCCTTTTGCCACCCATATTCATCGACTTGAAACGAGCAAAAGTCGGTCGCGCCGAGACCCCAAAAGTCACGTGATCGAGCTAAAAGTTGGCACGGAGCGACCTCGAGAAGGTCAATGGATGGTAAGAAGTTGTACATATGTACACCAAGACTTTCTTCTCTCTATTCTGATCGTCGACAATCCTCACCCTCATAGATACATAGTATCTCCTCCAAGATGCCCGACATAACACCCCAAGAACCCACCACGAAAACGGCGATAACGACAGCCCTCCACAGGGTCAGGTTCGCAGACTACCACCCATCCCCCATCACCGCGCTCGCTTTCACGCCGATCCCGTTCCCCAACCCGGACCCTGCAGCACCGGTCGATGTGATAGAGGGTCAGATGGGGGCTTTGGTTTGTGCGAGGCAGAATGGGGAGATTCAGATTTGGGAGTGGGCCGAGGGGGATAGAAATGAGCGGGAGGGGGAGGAGGAGGTTCAGGTTGGGAGCGAGGGCAAGGGGAGTTGGGTGTTGCGTAGGGTGAGTCCCCACTTCGTACCTCGTATTCCTTTCAATTTCTTCATGCCTCGTCATGAAGACATTGAAACCTTGGACCTCGCGACGAGATCAACACTCTAACTCTGATGCTCATGTTCCTTTAACCCCTCATCCATCATCCTCGTCCCAACCTTATACTTATAGGTCCTCCCCAGCATCCTGGCATACCCGACGATCTCGTTGATGACGCTCGCCATCCGGGACCCCGAGTCTTTCTACCACCCTACCACCACCTCTTCCTCTTCTTCTTCTACCTCCTTCGGTTTGTCAGACGAACCATCCTCATCACACTCATCTTCATCAACAACAAAAGCTACGACTACAAATGTAGGACAGTCGGAGACGGAACACAAGGAGAAAGAGCACAAACCCCGACTCCCCCGACTTGACGAACTGAGGTTGTTCACGGGTGGGAGCGATTCGGGGGATCTCGTCGAGCGGTGTCTAGGGAGTGGGAGGGTTCTGGTGAGTTTCCCACTTGATGGCTATTTTTATCCTCATCCCGCTTGTCTAGTGCTGTCGAGCACACCTCGGGGTTACTACGCCTTGGAGGTTCAAGTGAAATTTCGTCTTGATGGCCGCATCACCTCATCAATCAGAGATCAGAGATGAGAGATCAGAGATCAGAGATCAGAGATCAGAGATCAGAGATCGGAGACGACATGATATGATAGCTGACCCAACAAATTCTCGCTTTCGCTTTAAAATTCATATTCTCCATCGCACTTCTTGTCATGTCAATCCGATAACGACACGTCCGACATCATGTTCGCATCGCTCGGTAGCAAACCACCCCCCTCCCCTCGGGTCCCATCTGGTCCCTCTCCCTCTCCCCAACCCACACCCACTTGGCGATCTCCACCTCGGCTCCTCACATCCACCTCTTACAACTCTCTCCCGACACGCTCGAACTGGAGGTAGCTAGCCTGAACACCGCTAATGGAGGAACGGGAGTGGGAGGGAGGATGGAAGCGCTCCCGGGGAAGGTCAGGACATTGGGGATCGCTTGGGGTCCGCCAGCAAGGCAGTCTGTCAAGGTCGCCCCGTCCCCCAACTCTAGATCGACATACAACGCGGGAGCGGAAGAAGAGAAAAGTCGAGAGACAGAGACGACGAGATGGATCTGGAGACCGTCTTACCTGATAACCGCCCACTCGGACTCCTCCCTCCGGAAATTCAACCTCGCCACGGGTAGGGTTGTTGGGCGGATGAGTGTAGGCAAGTTGAGCGCTCGAGGGACGGGGGGGAAGAGTAGGAAACGACATAGCGTGGTTTGGGCTGTGGGGTGTTTGATGTGAGTCGACCGTGTCTCGTCTCGTCGCTTGGATCTCGACCGGAGCTTCGAATTGAGAACAAGGGGTCATAAAGTCGAGGCTGATACTGATGTTTGCGTACTCGGTGATAATCGGCGGTGGTAGTGACGGGACGATCATCTCGGCGGATTCGTTGGGACAGGTCATCTTCTGGGACGGCAAGAGTCTGGCGCAGATCAAGTCGTTCAAGGCGCACGCGGCGGATGCGCAGTGTCTGGTCATCTCGCCCGTGAGTTTCGGCCTGAATTTGAAGGTCGTTTCGATGCGCGAGACAATCCAGGCTGATGATGATTGTTTGAATACGACAATCATAGAACGGACGAGCGGTGTACACCTCTGGACCTGATCAACGGGTGGCCCAGTTCACCTATGTCTCCTCGTCAGCCAGCGCCGATCGGGACGAGCTGGACGGCCCGACCTCCACCTCGAGCTCGTCGGGAGAATGGCAACAGACCTCGATCAAGCGGCTTCACAAGCACGACGTCCGTACGCTAGCCATGTTCCCCGGATACTCGCTCGCACCCCGGAACAGTTCGCCGATCATCAACCCGCACGTCGCCCCCGTCCTCGCCTCGGGTGGGATCGACATGAGCGTCGTCTTGACTTCGGCGGGACAGACGGGTGGATTGACGACCAAGCGAAAAGGTCCGCTGGCGATCAAGTCGGAGGTGAACCCGATCACGAACAAGGGCAAGGAGACGTTCAACGATGCCGTCAAGGTGGACCTCGGGTACGTGCCCAGGGGGAACGGGACGGACGTCATCGGTGTCGCTAGGGAGAAACGGCTGGTACTCGTCCGGAGACAACGAGGCGTGGCCTTGTTCCGGGTGAGGGAGATGAGGGGTCGAGGGGAAGAGGCCGAGGGTGAGAACGTGCCCGGTGGGTGGGACAAGGTGTTGGAGATGAACTTTCAGGTGGGTCCGTGCCAAGGTCTTCTGTGTCATGAGAGAAAGACTGACGATAGCTCTGGGTCTGTGACGCAGCTGCGAACGAGCTTGGTCTCGGCTGCCATTTCGCCAGATGGCAAGTGGTTGGCGGTTTCCGATCTGTACGAGACCAAGGTGTACAAGTTGAGGTATCATGTGAGTCGCAACGAGCTGGTTCAGCATCTCCCAGGAGAGGGGTCGATCTGATATTCTGTTCATCGCCGCAGGACGACGTCGAGGACGACTCGATGACGGTCCAACCCAAACGCGTCAAGGCTTTCACGTCGCTCTTGGAAGAGTCTCTGCCGCACCTCGCCAGCGGGTTCGCTCGTCGTGGTACCGGCGCTTCGAGCTTGCTGTTCATGCCCGACTCAAACGGCCTGATAATCGGATTCGCCATGCACTCGCACATGGTCGTTGTCGAGGTCGGAGCGAGCGACGCGGAAGAGGGCGTTAGCGTGCTGAAGAGCTTTGCCGTACCGGTCAAGGAAGGGCAGAGGGCGGTGCAGGGGTTGCCATCACGGTCGAAATTGGGCCAGAACGGGAACGTCAACGGGAACGGCCACGCAGATGAGGCGGACGAGGACGAGAGCACGAGCAGTGCCGCCGGCGGTGAACACCGAAGCGAAGCAGCAGATTCGGATTCGGACGATAGCGACAGTGAAGAGGAGGACGATGGCGACGCCGATGCTCATCGACCGCGGTTCGTGATGATGAGCATCAGCCCGGATCTGCAGTGGTTGGCCGGTCAGGACAGTTCGGGACGGATAGGCGTGTGGAGTCTGGATGTCTTCAAGGTGAGTTCCGGTCTCTAGGTCGGTTGGCGAAGTCATTCACTCACATCTTAACCGTACTCGCAGCTACACTGCCTTGTACCGACGTTCGCCGAACCGCCCACAGCCATGACCTTTAGCAACGCATCGACGCTGGTTCTCGCTTTCGCCGGTGCCAATACGGTGCAAACGTTCGACGTCGACGATCGGCGGCTACTATTGGGGCGGACCAAGGTCACCTACACGGACGACCGGGTGCTGGGCTTGGAGCCTGTCGCTTCCGGATCGGGTTCTTCGACGGCTGCGGGTCGGGGCAAGATTCTAGCCTGGGGTAGCAACTGGGTCTCGACGCTGGACGTGCCCGAGGGCGACTCGTCGAGCAAGGACAAGAAGACTAGGAAACGACGCAAGTCTGGTGTTCGAACGAATCAGCCCGGTGCCAACAAAAAGCCCATCATCGACACGACCGCCGAGGACCCGTTCCGCATCATCGGACGCTATCGCGAGGTCGGCGCCGTGGCCATGTTGGGCAACCACGAGCTGTTGGTGGTGGAAAGGCCGTTTACCGATCTGACGGGGTTGCCGACGGCGTTTGTCAAGCCGAGATATAATAGCTAGCGGGCGATAAGCACGGGCGGGACAAGATTTCGATATCGTATCAGCGTCGAGTTCGATCGCCAATACTTTTGTACAACAATGATGTAGACCGAAGACAGTGAGATTACATATATGATTACTCGGGCGAAATGGAAGTGCGAACAAGAGAAGAAGTCGAATGCTGGTTGCAAGTAGAGACGAAAGGAGAGCGGAAGGATTTGGCTACTCCTCGGAGACATCCGCAATGTAAGGCTTGTAAAACCTCCCCTTGCCCCCGAGCTCCTTGTGGGTCTCGGCTTTTGTAACAACCTGCTTGCGATAAAAGTAATCGGATTTGGCGGGCAGGTAGTTCGGATGGAAATCGATTTGGACATGGGCTGGAGGAGGCGTAGGAGGTCAGCGTCCTCGACGAAGCCGTTCTTCGCGTGCTACCGCGCCGTAATTGAACCCCCTCGAATCTGAAGCCGGAACTCACAATCGACAGTACTCGTCTCGATCACCTCCCGATGGTCACTCAGATAAACTTCTCCCTTCAAGACCTTGGGCCTCCCAATGGTTGGAATCCCTACCTCTCGAAGCTGTGCGGGAAGGTAAAACCACGTAACGAGACAGTAAACGAGAGCTTGGTTTGCCGCGGCGATGTAATCAATGCGGGCTAGCCATTCAGTCTTTGTTCCGGGGGGAGCGCGAAGAGCGACGCTATCAACTCGAACGAAGGTCGAGGCCCGGGATCCGAGTGAGGTTGAATAGAATTAACGACGAGCCGATCGGAGCGGGATCGCGAACGTGTGTAGCGGAGGACGTGTTGACGACGACGACAAAACCGAAAGTCAGGGGAGGGGCGGCCATGAGCGAGTTGAGATTGAGAAACGAGTCGATTTGTTTCAGAGTGATATGCAGGTAAACAAGAGGAGCGGGAGTCGGCGCGAAATAAAGCAACAAGAGAAAGAGAAGCGAAAGATCAGCCAACCTGCACCCGAACGAGAATCGTCAGACCCTGACAAATGCGACCGGTATGCTCTGGCAGATACCGATGAGATGCGGAATCGAAGGTCCCGGGACGGCAGGACGAAGCCCTTGTCTCCGCCCCAGGGAGCAAAGAGTAACAAAGAGGACCAAAGAGGTAACAAAGCGCGCACTCACGTCTTCCCCACAGCAAAAGTCAGATCATCCGCCGTATCATCCTCCGAATCCGCCGGCAACTTGAACTTGGAGTACGAATGGAACCTCCGTTTGTCCATCAGTTCTTCCGGGGTTCTGTGTTGGATGTCGTATATCGTATGGCGGATGATGTATTGGTGTATTGGTGTATTGGTGTATGGTGTGTGGCGTATTGGTGTATCGAGTATCGAATATGGCGTATCGAGTATCGAGTGTGGTGAGATGACGTATCGAATGTCGGGTGTCGAGTATCGTGATGCATCGTGATATAATGTATAGGATGATGGTACGAATGTCGGGTGTCGAGTATCGTGATGCATCGTGATGTGATGTATAGGATGATGGTCCGACCGAGTATAGTCAGTCGATACGGGAAAAAACATGACACAAAAAGAAAATTTCCGGTCATCGAAAACGATTTCAACGAGATATCAATCAAAGAAGGGGGGTGGGAAACCAACATTGGAGACTGAAACTTACGGCAACGGGTCCTCATCCTCAATCTCCTGTTCTTCTTCTCTTTCTTCATCCGCCTGTTGCTCTTCCTCCTCGTCGCTCCTAACCTCATCTTCCGACTCTACCTGCGCCTGCTTCTTCCCTACACCTTTAGCTCGAGCCTTCTGAGCACCCTTCACTCCAACAGCTGCAACAGCTCCCTTCCTGGGCCTTCCCCTCCCCTTCTTCGGCTCAGGTTGTAATTGGTCTTCAATGCCATCTTCGCTAGCGGGAGCCTTTCGCTTGGTAGATCCTAAAGGCCTTCCTCGACGTTTACTAGCTGCCGGAGCGGGTGCTTCCTCATCATCTTCCTCCTCGTACTCGTCTTCGTCCCGCTGATCTTCCTCCTCTACCAGAGCGACAGGGGCGTAATTGATATCCTCCCTCACACATTGTCGTTTACTCGCCCGGGCGGGGGCGGTAGCGGTAGAGTTGTTTTTGGTTCGATTGTTGTTTCGGGAGACGATGAGGTGTCCTGAACGACGAGAGGACATGATCACGACGTCGTACTGTATGGCGGCTGGAAATTGTCGGTGGGAGGTAGTATTCGAGTCGGAGAATTGTTTCAAGAAGCGTTTGGTGGTGATTTCAAGAGCGAAGATGTACCGAATCAAGCTATCAGCTATCAGTGACAAGAGAGATTGATTGTTGAGAAGTCGATGTTGATGTCGAGATGGTGTCTGTTGTTGATTGTCATATTCACGAGATTGTCGTCTCTCCCTTCCTTTGGCCGAAACTGAGACGCGCTTCTTTGTTCAGAAACTGTCGCGATCCCCGCTACCATGACCATATCCAAACACCCGAGTGACAACATCGACAACATCCTTTACGACCATGCAGGATACACGGTACGAGAGATTTATGATATGGTATTTTCTATCTTACGGAATGGTATACAAACGTAGTTTCTTGTCGAGAAGCGGAAAAGGGTATATTCAAAATATCGCGTTTCGTTTATGATGCGCTCAGATCCCCGGAAACGGTTCATGTTATTCCTCCTTCCATATAATTTCCTCTCGATGTGATGTGGCGGTGTACGACCTCCTGCCTCATCCCGGTCCGCCTGCTCTGCCACCTCAACCCTCCATATCAAATCCAGGTCCATGTCGCACTATCGAACTCGTTTTTCGACCCCGACCTCGACCTCCTGGCCTCCTCATTCAGATTCGACGCGAACTCAGACGTTGATCTGGTGCAACCAGACCTCCTGCTCAGCCCGTGCCGAGTACGTGCTGACGTTCAAGATGTCCTGCATCTGGGCGTTCCCGACGAACAGGATGTTTCGCGCGACGAAGAACCGGATGCCCTCCGTACAGGGGGGGCTGGTCAGGGATCCTGCCGAGAACGTCCATAGAAAAAAAAATCGTATCAGCTTTTGTATTCAAAACGTCACGGCGAAGCATTAAGATAACGAGCAAACTCGCGCTCACCTCGATAAGTCCAAAACTCGCTGAACCAATTGACCTCCCTCAAAACCTCCCCCGGGCTCATGCTCGTCGTCGTATTCTTCTCCACCTCCCTAAAACTGAAATACCTCGGCAGACCCGCAAAAAAGGGCGAGTCGGAGTTACCGGGATCGATCCGGAAAGCCAGCACAGCCCTCGGAGTACCCTCCGAGGTGGTATGTACGAAATGGAGTTCGGCTTTCGATCGGTCCCCACCGACGGAATGGTCAGCGGGAGCGTGGATGTGCCATCCGGTCAGGTAAACCGTCTCGTTGACGCCGTTATCGTCGAACGTGAAGCTAGGGAGAGTCGTATATACCCCTTGCTCGTGTGCGAGGGACATGGCCGGTCCGTAACCCCAATTGAAGAACGTCCCATTCGCCGTCCCATTATACCCCTCCCCGAACCTTGGGATATGGTTCAAACTCAACCCCTGCGTGAGGAGTAAGGGGATGGGAGCTTGTTGCGTCCCCGCTTGACACAACGAGAAGGACTCTGAGAGCTGGCCCCAGTTGTAAGAAGCTTCGTAGGCCCAGACGGTATCGGCGGGTTCGGCACGTTTTATATGTCGACGGGCGTGGAAGTCGTGTTCCGGGCAGGCCTGGGTGAGGGTCGACAAGGCGGCCAGGGCGGAGATGAGGAGTTTGGCGAGCATCGTCGGAAGAGTTAGGGGTTGGTGCTGGGTCGTTGGGGAGTTCTTAGTGAAGGCTATGCACGAGAGACAGCGGCGAGGATGTCAGCGCTTCATCTGTCGTCTGCTCGAGCCTTTACGCATTCACTCACGATGCGGTAGTATCAGGCAAGTCGAGATCCGTCGAGAAGAGAAACGGAGGGCGATGTCGCTACGGTAGAGGTGCTTCCTTCTATTCATCCCACCCGTTTCCCTCTCAGCGACCCCGACCGGTCCACCTATTTGTACGTTCCCACCACCACCATCAACACGCACCCGCCATCTTCACCTCCATCGTGCCGTTGTTGCGTTCAAGTTCCATGCTCCCGTCGATGGACCTGGACCTGGACGTGAACCCTTGAAAGCATCGCCCCCAATTCTCCTGGATCAAAAGCCAGGATGTTCTGTTTCGATCGGAGAAGGGGACGAATACCAAGAGTAATGAATAGCTGGATGAGCTTTTGAGCCCGTTCTCGACAGGTCCCGTCTTCCGAACCCCCCCATTGCCGCAGTGCCTGGAATGCTGAGCCCCGCTTGAGCGTCTCGTAATCGTAACCAAGGTACTCTTGGCGAAGAACGAACGAGTTGTGCGTTCATCTCCGACAGCTCGGAAGATGAATCAGACCCCAGGCCTTGTGGTCGATCTCGGGATGTTTCCATAACGTATACCGCACGGACAAGCGATCCCGAGATGTCGCCAAGATCGTCTTCGGGCGGGATCGCGCCAACCCTTCTCCGAGCCCTGCAGATTTCCCGTCAGAGAAACGGGGGTGGCAACGTGAAACTTACCATACCCTAACCCCTAAGGAATCCTTGATCACCTCGTCAGAGTACTCTCGGCAATAGCAGATCACGTTCAAGCAGACGGACAGAGCGATTGTGATGGGGTCTATCGACAGAACCGGAACCCGATCAGCCAAACGTTGCCCGTCGGAGAGCGCCGATCTTGGAAGCGCGCTTTCGAATACGGAGGCGCACAAAGCTCGGGAGTGGATTATGGTAGGCGATCATGCGGATCGGAGTCAGTCGTTTAAACAATCCCACCATCTGTCCAGTCAAGATCCTCATTCGAGCGTTACGGCTTGGTCGACTCGGGCAGCGCCCGGCCTTCTTTGTTGACTTCCCTTTCCCCTGCCGTTTTAGATAAGCGCTTGTTATATGATAGACTCTGTGACTCACTGTACCGCGATGATAGACTCGGTCGAGCTATATCATCAATTCACCTGCATGTATGGTAATCCCATCGTACCTTGTCAGAAGGAGTTCTTTCCCCTGCCGGTGGTCGACCCAGCTCGGGCCATAGTGGCGGGTCTGGCCGAACCGCTTGCGTCCCAAGAGACTCACTGCTTTCCTGTATTGGGAGAGGTTGACACATAGTGGTCAAGACAATCTACACGACTCGACGCGGAACTTCCGTCTGCCAGAACCTTTTCGTCCCGGTTTCAGAATCGGACACAGAAAAAGCCGCTCGCGCTACAGCAAGACGCGTCGCGACCCTTGATCGTCGAGAAGGATTGATCGCATCACTCTTGACCGGTGATCGCTCAAGATGGGATTGATGCGATCAATCTTGAAATGGATCAAGTGAGACCTGGAAATTTGAGCTTAGGTAATCGCTAGTCAGCTAGTCATGCCTCAAGGGGGTCTCGCGGGGAGCGAGTTTGTGTGGGATGAACCTGGATCAACCTTAACCTTGTCGAAGTACCATGTTGGATTTCACCTCATCTTATCGAGCTCAACAGACGTTCCATCTAACCACGACCTAGCTCAGGACTCGTCCTTGCGGTACGATGAAGGAAGATCGTCCGGAAACGCCTTCAAAGGAAGGGCCGAACGCGGTGAAAGACATGTCGATCGACCCCGTCGAAACTTCTTCTTCTTCTCCTTCTTCGAAGACCTCCTCGCCCTCGTCTTTTCAGACCCCTTACACTGTCATATGGAAACATCTGGACGACACCCGTGGATTTGCCAGCGACAAGCTGTCGGGACAGTTCAGACCGGCGGTCGGCTCAGAATCAAATTACAAGTATTGCACGCCGGAAGGTCGGGAATCTCGAAAGTTGAACTTTGGGAACAATTCCAACATCTGGCTGGTCTCTCACCGAAGCGGGTCCGAGTACGTCTACATAACAATTGATCTCTTCCCTCCTTTCCTGGTCGAGCAAGCTTTGACTGATCTGCGATTCCTCTGTATCACCTCTGAACGGGCGTACGGCCACCAAAAGATCTACCCCGACGTTCCGTGCCGTCAAAGTCTTACGTGCAGGCCATCAAGTTAGCGGTCATGGTGACGAGACCTCCGTCTACAACAAGATCCTCGAACACCTCACTGTCAAACGAGCTTCGACTTCAACCCCCTCCCAACTTCATCCGGGTCTGAAAAACCTCGTCAGGTTCTACGGCAAACTGCACGTCCAACTCCCTCTCGACAACGTCCACGACGGCTACGTCCTCGAACCCCTGACTGTCGACTTACACTGTCTACTGTCTCTCGTCTCTTCTAATCATGATGCTAAGCGATATCCGGCGCAGGATCTTAGGCTGGACTTGGAGGCGGAGAGGAGTGGGCTGCCGATCGAGGTGGTCAAGCGGTTTACGAAGGGGATCCTCAACGGGCTGGGGTTCTTACATGGGGAACTCGGTCTCATCTACGCAGGTCCGTCGCCTCTGCCCATGAACGATGGTTCGAACCAATCGACGTATGGCATCGAGGTCGAATGCTGATACGCAACTCGTTTTGTTCTTGTGACGGCTCCGAAGCAGGTCTGAAAGCGTGTAACATCGCCTTCCGGCTGACCGACATGGACAAATGGGTCAGAGAAGCCGGTGCTCATCAAGAAAAGGTGGACGGCATTCCTCACGGACCCGACGGGGATTAACGGCCCCCACAACCTATTCTCGGACCTCTGGGCCAGAGCGAGGAGTCTATGATGCGGTTCTGCGAGCAGGCGACGGTGGTGTTGACCGACTTTGGACGATGTGAGTTCCACTTCGCCAAATGGGAATGGCATGGTCTTATGATTGATTGATGGCGTTGTTCCGGTCTCCCCGTAGCCATGTTCGAAGGAAGCGATCAGATCGCCAGGTTCAACAACTCGTTCGTACCTCCCGAACACAGGCTCTTGCGAACGGGCAAGGTGACTACCGCTGCGGACATCTGGGGAGTGGGCACGATAGTGAGTTTCCGGTCACTGGTGATACCGCCGAGATCAGGCTGGTTATACGACTTCGCTTGTCTAGGCGATCGCTATGATCACGGGAAAGTCCACTTGGCTGGAAAAGGATACCAAGGATGAATGGTACTCTACGGTTCGCGAAGTCATCGGAGACGCCCCAACAAGATACCTGGTCGACTGTAATATGTTTTCCCAAGGTCGTAAGTCTTGACCCATCGCTTAGCTGCCAAGGCGATGCAAGCTGTTTACCCGCACGAGTTTTGATCTGAACAGACCGTAAGAACAAGATCGCACCCGGTCTCTCGACCTGGTTGAAGAACCACCTGCCCAAAAAATCGCAGAATCTCTCCTGGAAAAGCTTTTTGAGCTCGTGTTTCCAGTGGGAACCCGAACGAAGGCCGAAAGCACAGGAGCTACTCAAATATCAGCTGTTCATCGATGTTGCCGATACAGACTCTGCCGGGAACTCTGGCTACATACCTGCGATCGAAGGCTCCGACGCGATGATGGTCGATACACCAGCCCTTTCGGCCGAGCCACTGGTCCAGCTTCGTTCTTGTGTCAATACACCCGGCTACGCCTTGACTGGACCTGGAAGCGAAAGGTCCCAATGTTTCTGCAAATCTACAAAAGACTACTCCGATCCTGCTGTCGTTACGCAGAGTCTGCGTGATGCTGGATACACCGCGATCGTCGCCGCGGGAGATCGAGGCAACGAATCGCTCAGCTGGCTTTGCTCCACCAAGGAGAACCCCGACAGGTAAGTACGTCAGTTATAGTCTGGTGATCGACGCCATGGCTAATTCTTCTGCTTGACTAGGTTGGTCGCTGTGAAGATCTTGAACAGGGACCACGATCGGGACTTGAAGAATCAAGCACAACATATCGGGATCCTCAAACAGATCGCAGCACGTCGTCAAAATCCTGGCTATTTCGGACACAACAATATCGTCGAATTTCACAAAGAGATACCACTCGACATCGATCGTATGGGTTATGTCCACGAACCGCTGTCCATCAGCCTTGCTCAAGCTGTGTCGGAAGGTCTCTTGCCACTACCTATGCCTATGGGTCTCGTCGCCAGGACTGTCATGGGTGTCCTCAGCGGATTGAAGTTTCTGCACGACGAGATGAAGCTAGTCTATGCCGGTGAGCTGTTTCAGCTCCTGCTGTTCATCTCGTCAGAGCATAGACTCATCTCGGTGCTCGGCGTCTGCGCCATATCCACCAACAGGGTTGGAGATGCAAAGCATAGTCTTCCGTCTGGAAGATTGGCCCAAAGGGATGAACTCGAAACCAACGCAACGACTTCACAGTTTTCTGAGCGGAGAATCGCCCTCGATTGAGCTATTCGGCGAGAGCGCGACCGTGATCTTGGCCGACTTCGGACGATGTGAGGTTATTCCCCAGATACGTTGTCAGTCCTGTCATACTAAAAAGGAAATCCACGTCTACCTGGTCCCATAGGCGCTTGCATCGATGCCGGTGGGCGAGCCCCAGTTTCCATTCCTCCTGCCATCAGTCCTCCCGAAAAGGTTCTGGCCGGGCACACAATGTTCACACCCGGCGCAGACATCTGGGGTGTAGGGGTTCTGGTATGTCATGTTACAGGTATGGGCACAACGATATCCCGCTGACTTGATGTATTGCAGATGGCCAGCATGTTGATGACTGATAGCCGCCAATGGTTTCCTCTCCAAAATTCGACTGAAGAATGGAGCAAGGCAGTCGAAAGTCTGCTTGGACCCATCCCAACTGATCTAAATGGAGACACCGCTCGCGGTGAGGCTCGTGCGTATGCTAGATCCGAGCGTTCCAAGATGATCCGTGCTGTTTGACGATCTGGTTCGGCTAGCTGATGATATCGGGGGATTGCTTTTCGCAGAGAAAAAAGAGAGATTCCGTCATCTGATCAAGTGGTTGTCCAAACCTAAAAGGAATCTAGACCCTAAAACGACGCATCCGACTGCAGGCGTTCTGAATCTCTTTCTTGCCTGGCATCCCGGTGATCGACTCAGCGCCGCGATGCATCTAAATGCTACGACAGAGATGGATCATCTTGAAACGACCGCGGTGATCGATCCTGTCGAGATGGACGAACGCATCGAGCTGCGGTCCGCTGGGATCTGGACTGACATTCTGCAGCCAGAGCAAGAAGCCAAGTACGAGGAGATGTTGCCACAGCGCCTCTACAGGCGAGACCTCGACGATATCCACAATTTGGGATCATATCGACGCCGCGCCAGGGTAACGATTCGAGGTCCGCCGCCTGAAACCTCCCTCGAAAGCTCCCGTTTGTTAGCGCGCATAGACGACGACCTCTTCGAGCTTCACAACACGACCTATAGCGTGACATCCCGGAAAGCCATTCCGGATGTTACAGGAATGTCGGTACCGGATTCCGTCAAGATACCATCGTTCCTACCCGCCGAGCCTTCACCTTCCACACCGTTCGAGCCGTCTCGTTACTCAGACACATGGAAATACATCAACATGTTTACCTCTGAGCGAGATCGCCCTTCATCCAGGTCCTATCGTCCGCCTACAGATACCGTGTTTTGTACTCCCACCTGCGTTAGCGAGTATAAGCTCGTGCGCAAGTTGAATCACGGCAACAACTCTAATATCTGGCTGTTGTCTCAAGAATGCGTTACCAGGTGAGTTTGACTTGCTCTTGAGGGGAGTCGACGAGCAGGGTTAACGCTGGCCTGTCGATTTTTACGTGATGCAGGCAAACGATCCGTGCGATCAAAATCATCAGGGAGCGGAATGAGGGCAGGGGTCATGGGGACGAGTTTCCCATCTTCAAAAAGATCCTGGAGCATGTCCGAAAGGCTCGAAGTGGTTCCATTCTTCATTCGGGTACCGTCAACATCGTCCGATTCTACGGAAAGGTCAGGCTCGACGAGCGGTACGACTGCTACCTCTTGGAACCGCTGACTATCGACCTAGAAACCTTGCTCGAACTGACTCATCACAAATTCGTCTACTATGAGGACCCGTCCGAGAAGGATAGGGCGGCGGATCATCGACTGCCCAGTTGGTTCATCAAGCAATGCGCGTACGGAATCTTGAACGGAATCGATTTCCTACACCGAGAGCTGAGGCTGATTTATGCGGGCGAGTCCACGCTGCTGTTGAGGAAGTGCGGACTTGACTGACATTTGTCTCAATGCACAATCGCGGTTTCCTTAGGTCTGAAACCTTGCAACATCGCTTTCCGCCTGTCCAATATGAAACAACTTGCCCAGCTGGCGGTGAACCACGAACAGGGTGAACAAGATGAAGGACCCTGGAGCGACAGACCTGAGGCTGGCTCGCCCGACAAAGGCGGCGAAGAGAAACCGATTTATCGTCCTCGGAAACCGATTCTTGGACCTCTCGGTCTGTCAAAATCTTCTTTGAACACGTTTTGCGAGATGGCGACGATCGTATTGACCGACTTTGGGCGGTGTGAGTGCAAGGCCTCTGCTGGACCCGTGTTTCTTCCCTCAACGGTATTCTGACCCGGTCCGAGTTTTCGACAGCCCAATTTGTCGATGTCGAAAACGACAATGTCCCTCAATTTAACCCTGTCATTGCACCACCCGAGAACGTCCTAACAAAATCGAAAGCGTCCATTGCAGGAGACATTTGGGGTGTCGGAACGGTGGTAAGTACGAATGTGTCCAAAGGCTCCCTCGGCATGGCCGAACTCGAATTCTCTCCCGTCATCTTTCCAGATCGTCACGATGCTCTTGAATCGGCCGTTCTGGGTAAAAAATGCTATTCTCAAAGTTGATTGGTACTCGACCATTCGTCTGGTTATTGGTGATATTCCGAAAGATGTCCGGGGAACTTATGGGGACGCCACAATCAACATGATCGAACAGAAAAGTAAGTCAAAGCCTTGACCCGCCTCATAGGTATCGACCGCTGATGATCGCGTGACTTGTATAACAGTCAAATCCTCCTCCGGACCCCGACTCTCTTCCTGGTTAGCTAGTCGCCTTCCTGATGACCCCACGAAGGTCGCTAGCTGGGAAAGTTTCCTGAACTCGTGCATGGCATGGGATCCCGAGAGTCGCTCTTCCGCTGAGACGTTACTTTGTCATCAACTCTTCGCCGAGATCAACAAGGATTCTGCCGTACCAGCCGAGACGTGCAAAGCAGACGATCATCCGGTATCTGCCGAGCTCCTGGTACACATGTACACCTGTACTCAGTCCGAAGGAGCGCTTCCCTCGGAACGGATCGTCAGATGCGCTTGTCATCCAAGTAGATTCTTTGAGCCCAAGCCTAGAATCTCTTCATCGTACAAGCTACACGGCAGCGACTACACAGCAATCCGGAAGATTAAGGAGGATTTCCGTTCGAGCACTTGGTTATGCAAGAGCGAAAGCAAACCGAACGAGTAGGCCCAGACTGAACTTGGGGATCGTCACACCGCTGATCAACAGATTCGTTTCATTGTCACCAGTCACGTTGCCATCAAGATTCTCGTTAGAGATCGTGATCCCGCATCGAAAGAGCATCGACAGCAGGTACTTGTGCTCGACAGCATCGCGGCTCGGCTGAAGCAAGGACACAAAGCTGTTGACAATATCGTCAAGTTCTACAACACACTGCAGCTCGATGTTGACAGGACAGCCCTTGTCTTCGAGCCCTTGTCTTTGGACCTCGAAAGAATTGAGTACATCTCACGTCTTCAGATCTTGCCCGGCTGGTTCATCAAGAAATGTAATCGAGGTATACTTCGAGGGTTGGCGTTTCTACATGATGAGATGAAGGTCGTTCACGCCGGTGAGTTGTCTGATGACATGACTGGGACTGGGCACTGAAAGCGGTATAATCTTGCAGGATTGGAGGCACGCCATATTTCTTTTCGGCTGCCTGAACTGCAGTACCCCGCTGAACCCCCTATTGTGATCGACAAGGGAGAAGAGTCTGCGGGCCGCCTGGGGCGTTCGTTTCCACACATACCTTCTCCACGGCGCTTCTACGAAGAAGCGACCGTAGTTCTGTCTGACTTCGATCGATGTGAGCTCTCCATCCTGCTTAGTATCACATTGAAGATCTCAGGCTGATGACGTGACACTGGCATGGGATAGCCGCTTTCATCGGGTCACAAAGCGATACGGCGGTTGATGTCCATTGCTCAGCGACACCTCCCGAGATGGTTCTGGCCAGAGGGATCAGATACGGGACTAGTGGTGACATCTGGCAAGTGGGCGTGCTGGTACGGTCTGTGACTGGAGCATTTATAAGCAGGACACGGGCTGACTCGTCGCCACGCAGACTCTCAGCATGCTCGGTTATGGTGGTGCTATCAGCGATCTCGCTTCCATTTCTCAATGGTACAGATGCTTCACCGAGTATCTAGGAGAAGTTCCCGAAGATGTAGTGGAGCGCTATGGTGACATCGCTCGACGATTGCAGTCTGCCTGTAAGTACGATAGTTCTAATTTAGCCACGTCAACATTGTCTATCGCGTTCACCCGAGGCTTACAACGACCCCTGCACGTGTCACTTACAAAGTTGCGAACGGAAACGTTACGCATAAAGACTTGGCTGATCAATTGTATCGACGGGGATCGATCAAAGAAGAAGCAGTCGAATGGGACCGATTCCTACGACGCTGCTTAGCGTGGTTTCCGGAGGATCGCCCTTCGGCGGCGGAGCTTCAACTGGATCACATCTTCACCGGCGCATTCTACCGCTATCCTTCCTCCTCAAACGATGCTGAGCCGAGTGGCACAGATGAAGCGCTTCACGCTTCGAAGGAGGAAGAGATGAACTGGTACACCTTCGGTTGCGATCTCGATGATTTGCATCAACCGTTTGATGGCAGCATCCGCCTCAAACTCAATCCGCCCGCACGTCCCCTTGATGACTCTCGCCTATTGGCGCGCATCGACAACGACTTGTTCCAGCTGCACGAACAAACGAGCTCCTTCGTGGCCCTCGAGGTGGTCGAGAGTGACGCTACGATCCAGAAAACGACTACTTCCACCACCCCCTTGGTGGTCGAAATTGATTTCGAAACTTACGATCACGACAAAGATTACAACGACGATTCGGAGAAGATTGACGGCAAAGACGACAATAACAACAAGCATGACGAACAGAAGCAGCAAGCACAGAATGAAGACCAAGATCAAGATCAAGACCAAGACCAAGAAAATGAACATGATGAGACGGAATGTAATGTAACGGCAATGACCGTCGAGCTGTAAGCTACAAGAAGCAAGAAGTCATGGACCCATCCACGCGTGTCAGACGCCGGACGATATACGATGAGGGCCCGGTCGCGAGTTCTATCTAGATTATAATTATTTTCTCACGAGTATCTGCGCGCAGATAGCGCGCTAGCGAGGTCGGATAGTTTGCCGTGGGTGATCGCGAGTTCTATCTGTTTGCATTGTTTGCCTCCGCGCGGATACAAATAGCAGCCACGTCATCACGTGATATCTCAGACGATGTGTGTTTCATCTCCATAGCAAAGGTCTTGCCGAATTCTGCAGAATTCGGGGAACGGGTGAATCAGAACTCTTTGACAAAGACATCAGCCGAAGTTCACCGAATTCGGCGATCGTTCGTAGAATGGCATGGCATAAAAAAAAGAAACCAGCCTCGTATATACAATCCCTACCACATATCTACCGTATAATAACGGGCGAAGTCTTGATCTATAAAAACCCCTACCTGAACAGAGACTTCGCGAGAGAAATCAGGTAGTAAGGGACCCTATGCATTGAGCGGGGGTCTACCAAGAGGCAACTTAGTCGGAGTCGCTGGAGCTCTCGTCTTCCGAAGAAGACGAAGAGTCCGACGAGTCCGAGTCGGAGGTCTCTTCCTTGGGGGGCGCGGCCTTGATCGCCTTCTTCTTGCCCGATCCCGATCCCGAGGCGACCGGCTCGTCGATGTCCATGTCGTCATCGTAGTCCTCGACGGTCGCTCGCTGGTCGGGAGCAGCGATGGCCTTGCGCTTCTGAGGGGTGCTGGGCAAGTTGTCGAAGGCCGCGTCGAGGACGGCCTGGGTTTCGACGTCTTTGCGGCGGGGAGCCTTCATGCCCTGCTCGACTTCTCGGGCAACCTGCTCGCCTCGACTCTCATTCAACAGCCCGATCATCGATTTGCCGCTCTTGGAGGTTGCGTCGATCTTGGCTTGCTGAATCTCGAAGTAACGGTTCAGCGAGTCGTGGAGACCGGGGATACCGACGTCGGAGGCCTTGAGAATGTCGGTGACAGCCTGTACGAATTTTTCCGAATTCGGTCAGTCACGGATCGCGGAATCACTGGTTTGAATCAGAGAAAAACTCACCGCCATCATGTCGATAGCAATCGTCAACCCCTTCTTGCCCTTGACCTTCTTGCGAATCTTCTTGCCGATAGTTTGCAAGGTCTTCGCAGCACCGATGACGTGCTGGTTGACGAAGGCGCGCTGCATCTCCTTGAAGTCGCAAGCCTTGCCGCGATCAGCGCAGGCGGTGCAGGCGGTGAAGGGCCTTGTGGCGAAGCATCGCTGCTCCGGGTCATCCTTCTTCTTCCTGGCGCAGGGGGTGCACATGATGTGTTCGAACTCGACAACTGCTTTGCCCCCCTCCTTCGCGGTTCGAATGCTTCGTTCCTGAAGAGAGAAGCAATCGTACCGGTGTCAGTGATCAATGCAAAAGACGCAGGACTCTGCCGAATTCGGCTGAATTCGGTAAGCGCCAACTCACCTCTCCGGTATAGACGCCGACGTCGTAGCCCGTTTGAGCGTTGAAGGTCTTATCGAAGTCGATCCCTCGGGCGAGCCAGAAATTTCGTCGGGCCGCAGTCATGTCGGGGGACGAACGAGGTCCCATCAAGCCGATACTCTTGGCCATGGCGTTCTTCTCCTTTTCGTTCGACATCTGGGCAGCCTCTTCGAGTCTCGCAAGAGCTCCTACCCAGTCGTAACCTTTCGTAAAGATCTATCGTTTGCGAATGAAGTTAGTACCACGATGAGGATGTGTAAAAGAGAGAGCACAGACTTACACAAACCTTGACGGGGTTCTTCCCGTCAATGATCCAGGCATCCTCGAGGTTTTTAGACGGGAAGTCGGCGACGAGGGCCTTGACGTCGTCGTCGCTCTAAACGCATAGGGAAGGAAGGAATTAGTATCATGTTCAAGCTGAAATGGAGCGAAAGATGGATAACTCACAGGGACAAGCTCCTCCACCTCCTTCTTCACCTCCCGCGCCATCTTCTCGGCCTTCCTCCTCCTCTTCTTCTCGGCCTTGGCCTTCGCCTTGGCGTTGGCCTCCGGCTCCTCGGTCGAGGAAAGCTGACGAAGTTTGCAGAATTCGTAAGCGCAAACCGATCACTCTCTAACAGGAATAACTCACCTCGATGACCTCCGCCTGCTTCGCCTTGGCCTTGTCCTTGCGTTTGTTCTTTGGAGGGATCTGCCGAAGTTTGCAGAATTCGGTAAGCCTTCGATTCCGACTTTGAAGCTAGCAAACACCCCAACTTACAGGCTCATCAATCTTCTCGGTCTTGACGATCACGTCGTCGTCATCGGGGATGGGAGAGATACGAGCTCCTTGGTTGTCGTCGGGGATGGGGGAGATGCGAGCTCCTTGGTTGACGGCGTCCCGTTCGGCTTGCTCTTGGGCGAGGCGAGTTTCCGCTGCAAGTCGCTCCTTGGTAAGGATCTTTTCAAACTTAGCCGTCTTGAGAGACTTGCCGATGGCCTTCTGGACGTCCCGTTCTTCTTCCTCTTGGGTCTGAGCAAACTACCGAATTCGGCAAAATTCGGGAGAGTCAGTCGTTTACTCGGCAAAGAACGAAAGACAGGAGGGGAACAACCGACGGTGAAAGGAAGAAGGATCACGATCGTATCGTACTCACTCTCAGGTTCGGAAGAGTCGACTGACGACCCCCTTCCCCCCTCTGCATCCTATCCCACTCCTCCTGAGCGCCAGCGGGAGCTCCAGCTCCGGGACGAGACACGAATCGCCCAAGGGCGTTCCGAGAAGTACGATTGGCGGGGTTGGCGGGGTTGGTGCGTTTAGAGGAGGAGGATTTGGCGGGACGTTCAGGGGCCATGTTGTTATCAAGACGAGGATTAAGTAAAGTTGGGAAGAGAGATAGAGTCGGAGAGATAGAGTTGAGAGTGAAGAGAGGAAAAGAGAAAAGGACGATGAGGGGGGGGGAAGGGGGGATGTGAATTGATCGTGTGTATATACCTTCCTCACTGGCTGAGCAGACGCGACGTGTTTTTTTCTTTGTTTTGATGGAGTCATACGCGTCGACGTGGCTGTTGTTGTTGTTTGATGAACAGGAACAATCCAAAGGACCCTCTTCTCGAAGTCTCTGCGTTTTCTGCGTTGGAACTGAAGAGGTCCTTTGGTGATATTGATGGCAACAGCGTCGTCAAGCAGCGACGATCAAGGGATGAAACGGTCGCTCAAACGCGCGTCGGGTGCAAATACGGAGGCAAATAGGTCCTTGACGTCATCTCGATTTCCATCTGCGATTTGACGACAAGCATATCGTTGTTGTCGTCGATACATGCGTTGTTGTGCTCAGCCGAATTCTGTAGACTTCGGCACAAGGTCACCCTGCAACATGTCAGATAACTCGAGTAGAGATAGGGACTTTGTTGTCCAATTTATCAGCCTCGTGTTGCTGTGCAATCGACAGCAACGAAACCAGAAACAAAACCCTTCACGAACACGGCTGGCCTACTCCACATCCAGGTTCTCTGGACAAATGAGATTGATGGAGGCTCTTAATAACCGAGCACGATGCATGAATGCGTTTGGCATGAGTCCTTCTGCCATGCGACTGCTCGCGAGCAAACTTGGAGCAGCTGGGAGGTCGTTGGCGACACAACGCGTGGGCTCGCAAGAAACGTTGGCCATCGCTCTGCATGCATTGAGGCATGGCACAGGTCACCGGCAGACAGGCTTAGAGTTCAACAGAAGCTTGGCAGCGGTGTCCAGGTGAGTGAGTAAATTTGTACGAATTCGGTCGAGTTCGGCTGAATGTGCATCATGTGTTCTCAATCTTTCAGGTGAGCCGAGATGAGGGTCGTAACCGAATTCGGCCGAATTCGGCTGATCATTTCATTAATAGAGCTGTTGATGTCACGGTGACTGCCCTCGCCACCGACCCATTCTACAGCGAGATGGTGCGCTTTCCTCGTCCAAACCAATTGCCTCATCGTAAATTCGCCCGGAGCAGGAAGCTCGGGGCATTTCAACAGGCTTGCGGCGCTATCGATGGCACCCTCATCACTGCGCATCCTCCAAGCCATAGAGAGGGTAATTTCCGAGATCGCAAAGGTGGTCTCTCATGGAACGTCCTCGGTATATGCGATTTAGATCGTCGGCTTTGTTACGTGAACGCTGGCTGGGAAGGTCCTGAGCCGGATATCAGCATCTGGTACGATTGTCTTCGCCACGAAGACGTTCCAATTCCGCAAGGGTATTATCTACTCGGAGATGCAGGATTCACTCTTCGATGCCAGGTACTCACGCCCTACAATGGGACAGCATACCACCTTGCCGCATGGAAGCGATCCAGACGACAGCCAGCGACTAGGGAGGAGGTGTACAATCACCAACATTCCAGTCTCCGCATGCCCATTGAACAGGTTTGGGGTATCATGAAAGCGAGGTTCAAGGCATTGCGAGCCGGAACGTACTATGCCCCGGCTAAGCAAGTGCAAGTCATCTATGCACTTTGCGCACTGCAGAACTTCATGTCTGACAACAAAGACGACTGCGAGCCAGTACCAGACGATCAGGATCTTCTCTCTGGGGTAGGGTTGGATCCAGACGAACCCGTTGCCCGGAGGGAAAGGAACGATCCAGATGCTCGCAGTGATCCTATGGTTGCACTGCGAGAAAAGATTGCGGATGACAACTTCGCTCGATGGGAGGTCATTCCTGCCACCCAACCGGAATGAGTGCAAGAGGGCTGCCGAATTGGGCAGAATTCGTAGGTGAGCACATTCGCAAGTGTCTAGCTCCTAGCTCTCATTTGACAGACGTTTCATTGATACACCGAATTCGGCAGAATTCGGGAGCACGGTGGATAATTACAAACACAAAAACTCAGCCCTGTAGATCTTCCAAGACTGCTTGTAGCAACTCCCGGCGGTCTTCTTCGGATTGATGGGCATAAGACTCGGCCAGCGTACGGTCTTTGGCGAGACGGAGGCGAAGTTTCCGAGCGTCGACCACGCTGATTTCCATGGCTGCGATATCCTCCTTGAGCAAAGCGGAACCACGAGTCAAGATCTGCGAAGTTGCTTGCTGAGTGACTGATGCCAGCTGTTCAACAAACGTCTTGCCAAGGGAAGCAAAGTCGGGCTGATCCTCATCGCGTCGGCGATTGCTCATCGAAGCAATTGATCCAGCGGAAGACGATCCACCCCTGCCCCGGCTCCTGCTGCTGTGGGGACGTTGGGGAGTACCCTGCGGCTGACTGTTCGCTTCACCTTCGCTGGCCGAATCTTCGGCGTCTGCGGCAGCGGCAGGAGGGTCGGGTTGGGATGGGAGAGGAGCTCCACCGCGGAAGGCAAAATCACCCGTAGCTCCATGACCTTCACGGATGATCTTCCACTTGGGGTAGAGCCGCCATCCATTGTCTCGCAGACGTCTGATTTGAGACACGGTTGGGGTCCCGACCTGTGTGACGATGTTTGAATGGGATCAGCTTGTGTTGCCGAATTCTGCAGAATTCGGCTGCGATCTTCAGCTCACCCAGTGCTTGACGTAGTCTTCGAACGCCTCGTCATCAACAAGGGGACGATGCAGCTGGTGATCCCAACCCCAGCCCGACCTCTTCCTCATCCGCTCGAGAGGCTTGTAGAATTCTGCCGTCAAGATTCCTGTCTTGTTCTTAACCTTGATACCATCCAATCTCCCATTGGGCGTGGGGTCGGTTCGAGCGTCCATCGCTTCATTGATCAGGTTGGCAATCTTGGAGAATACGGGCATGCCCATGGTGACCTTGTTGCGTGTGACCTTCACCTCCGCAACAAGGAGGTCGGCAAGGAGATCCTCCATCCACTCATACCAGCGAACGTTCTGGTTGGCAGGAGGGTTGCCAGGAGCAGAGGTAGGAGTTGCAGCCTGGGCCGGAAGGATAGCAGGGGCGGCGGGCAGGCTAGGTAAAGCGTTGATCGAAGTCAAGACGGGAGAGTCCAATGGACTCATGTCCCGAGTTCCGCCGAATTCGGCAGTCTGCGGGTGTCCTTGGGTGCTTGGAGCCACCAAGGTGCCTGCAGGGCCTGCGAGGTAACCTCGAGGACCTTCGCCGATTGGCGAAGGGTACGGGTACTGGCCGTGGTGATGATTCGGATGAGGGAGAGGTTGCTGAAACGTCCTAAAATCAGACAGAGAGGCGTAGTACTCCCTCTCGTGCTGACTCCAATCCCGTTGCACATGATGTTGCTGTTGCTGTTGCTGTTGCTGTTGCGGCTGCTGCTGCTGCTGATGGGGATGGTGATGGTGATGGTATTCAGACATGGTTGATGATCCGCTCAACGATTCAAATTCGGCATAGCGATCATCTCAGTAGTACAACATAGTATCTGGAGTTGATCAGGTCGGTGCCGAATTCTGCAGAATTCGGCAGTCTGCAGTCGACCGTCGACCGCTCTCCGCCACGTGCGTCAAAAAAGCGGCTCGATAGGGGCTAGAATGTTTGCTAGCACAGATTGTTGCAGATAGTTTTACGGCATAGTAGCAGGATAGAACTCGAGATCACCCCAGATTGTCGGGGATTTCGGTGAATTCCGGCAGATTTTATGAGATGGCTGGTCCGATGGGCTATACCATTGCAAATTCGCTTCCGCAACCATCTATCTTTTAGCTAGCTAGAACTGACGATCGGGCCCTGAATTTACGCAAGTCGCATGACTGAAACATCATCCCATTGACCCCGTTTGCGCCAATACGCCTCGGGAATAGCACACACATGGGGCTGACCCCAGGCCCCATTACCCCTTGGGGAAAGTTGAAGGCCCCCCTCGGTGATCGGACTAATTGCGGATCATTTACCGGTCATCGTGCTCGGGGTTGTCCGAGCGCGCTAAGGTGGATGGAGGATGGTCGAGCATGACGATTCTTTGCGCCTGGGAATAATCAGGCATATATACGCTGTGAGCGCAACGTATGCAAGTCCATACCTACGCCGACCTTGACCATCTTCATCGTTGCGGTAATTTACGTATAATGTTCAACTTCAAAATCACCTCCACTCTAGCCGCCCTGGCCGCCCTTACCGGCACCCTAGCGCAGAACCCAACCTGGACCAACTCTTTGCACGGTCCCTTCACCCCGATCTCCCTGAACGCTACCGACGGCTCCATCTCCGCCGCCTTCGTCCCCCACGGAGCTGCCATCACCGAGCTCTGGGTGAAAGATCGGAACGGGACCAAGAGGGATATCACGCTGGGGTACGATAATAGGACTTTGTACGCTGATGATCCTAGTCATCCGAATTTCGGACCTATCGTGAGTCGGGATTCTCGAGATCTTGAAGCTAGGACTGCGCCTCGACTTTTACGGGTTTGGGTATTGAGCTTTCGAAATACTTTCATAGGTCGGAAGATATGCCAACAGGATTAAGAATAACACCTATACCGACCCGGAGACGAACACGACCTACTACAGCGAGGCCAACGAGAACAATGGGTTGGATACGTGAGTTCTTCCCCCGACCATCGTTCTGTATCAATTCGTTAACCTTGCGTGTATCGTGTTGTATTGCATTGCGGTGGGATGCTCCAGCTTGCACGGGGGACCTTACGGTAAGCCCGTTCTCGACCTCATTCCCGTGAATTTTACTGATCGTGTAAAGTATATTGTGTGAACTCGGAATGGAAGGCTGGAGCTGGCGCGTATGGACCGTATCGAACGTGACCAACTCGTCCGTCTCGTTCACCTTCTACGACCCTGGTTAGTCTTCCTCTCCCACCCTTCCCCACAATAACCCTCCACCATGGCGAACAAAGAGAAAACATAGAGAAGCTGATGGGATGATCCTTCGCCGTTCCATAGAACTGGTCGGCGGGTTCCCCGGTAGCGTCCTCGCCGAGCTGACCTACTCGCTCTTACCCGGTGGAGTATGGGATATCGTCCTCAACGCCAATGCCTCATCTAGGACCCGTAAGTCCCAACCTTTTAACCCTTGGCTATCTCCCGCTTGCCTCTTACTTCGCATCCTGGGTTTTCGACTCACTGTAGCGCTCTTGTTGAGTTCGCACGTCTACTGGAACCTAGACGGCTACGCCGGAGGGAACGCTACGGACGCGGTCAAGGAGTGGGAGCTGGTCATGCCTTATGCCGATCAGGTCGTTGCGACCGATACCATCCGTGAGTGGCGTTGCATCATTCGTCGGATCTAGGTGCGGAAGGTGAGGGGGTGGTAAGCTGATCCGTGACGCCGAGTAGTGATCCCGACTGGCGAGTTTATCAACGTTACCGATACTGCGTAAGTCTTCGAGCGTTGATCAACAAGATGTGAGCGGGACACTGAGATAGCTTTACCGTTCCGCAGATACAACTTTTTGGAGAGGCGACCGATCGGTTCGATGTGGAATGAGACGTTAGGATACCCTGGACTCGGAGTGAGTAATGGTCGTATCATTTGTTTTACTAGTTCCGTACTGATACATCCCTCGATTCTCATAGGGCTACGTAAGTGTTCTACGGATAAACCGTTTCGATCGACACGGCTCATGTGTTGCCTTGAAATGTAGGGCTACGATACTTGCTGGAGGAACAACGTATGTCCATATCATACTCGCAAGCTTTTAAGATCGTAATTGACCTGCTTCTCGTATAGGCTTCCATTTCCGATAATACAACTGTCGTAAGTTCCCGCTAGCGCTTGGAACCGACAAGAAAGCTGAAGCTAATCATGATGTACGACCGCAGCTCGAGGCTTCCTCTCCGAACTCTGGAATCAAAATGTCGGTAGCGACAAATCAAGAAGCTATCCAAGGTCAGTGCAGCTATCCCGATTGCCAACCGACACATTCGCTGATCAGGCGCGTATCTCAGTCTACACCTGCGGTGGCCAGAACGGTACCATCCCCGTCAAGAAGTCCCAAGGAAGCGGCTTCTACGAGAAAAACAGCTGTATGGTCGTCGAGATGGAAGGCGTCATCGATGGTGAGTCCCGCAACAAGTGATTCATGGCCATGCGTCATGCTGCTTCAAAGAGCTGAAGGTTCGTTTCGATCCCAGCCATCAACAACCCGGAATGGTAGGTCGCGCCAGGTTTTGCCATCGGTAACACCATAGCTTATCGTGTCTTCATGCAATTCACAGGGACATTGACCAGTGGTACTCCCCCGAGAGGCCTTACGAATGGCGGGCCACTTACACTTTCTCTAGCGAGTGACCGGCATCCCCTGGTAAAAAGCCCCCAAGCTAGCAGTGAGATCGCAAAGAGAAAGCGTCCCGAAACTTGTATGACAATACACCTAACCGAATTGCACCATGATACTGTGAGGTATAGTATCACGCTCAGCAAAGAGCCCTCCTTGTGTAAGAGCAAATAGGGCATCCTGACTATACTGCCCATGATCTTTGAGCCCAAATTTTTCCAACCCAGTGTTCCACCGTACGGGCCTTCGTGTTACCGGCGCAAAGTAGGTATACTCGAACGATTCGTATGCAGCTGATCAGTCTCGAAGACCCGAATGGCTCGCGATTTCGCTTTGCTGAGTGGTCGAAATTCTATAGAGTCACGAATTTTTTTCTTGGATCATCATATCTCGATGGGCTCGGACGATCACAATGTCACCTGATCATGTTTCGACGCCTCCTGGCAGTCAACATTATTACATGGTATCTGGATGGACACTGGTGACACAACGACAAACACCTTGAAGACTGCCGAATCCATCATTCCCTAAAGCTCTCGACCCCCAAAAATAATTGACCGAGACACTCCGAGACAGCCCTAGCTTTACACCTTCACAAGAATCGCTAGAAGTCTGAACACGCCTGAGATCCTCTTGGACCGTCCAAGGTTCCTGCTCCGGTCGAGGCTCCACTAGATTCTGAAGGATCGGCTCGATCATGCGTGTTGACTGAGGAGTCTGCTTTCAAAGACTCTTCTCTCAAAGAGGCAGCCGTCGTCTGCTCCCTCTCATAAGCAATAAAAACCGGTAGCATTGCCTATGTAACGCCCAAGCAACGCAGGTGAGAATTCCTGAAGTATCGCCTGCTGCACTATATCACTCACCTCGAAGAGGCGTTTCTGAAGATCGCCGTTCTGGATCCACCAGTACCTCCGTCGATCCGGTTTCAGGTCAGAGTATATCCACTGCGGCATGTCTCGTTCCTTTTTGGCAAATGCTGCGTTGACATCGGAGAGATGCATGGGATTCACCTGGAAATCTACCATCGGAAACTTCCATGAGATTACGCATGTGTATATTTCGGTATGGCTGTCTAAAACCCATTCGTGGTCCTGATGATATAGCTTCCCTTCCAGGTTCTGTTCGAGTCGGAATGACTTCTTTTCAAGCAACTCGATTTTTGTGAGTTCCCGAGATTCAGCGTGATAAGCGGCGTGCATTTTTTGCCCTTTTTGACTTTGGCTAATACGGTAAGTGATGGGAGATTTCGAACAAACGCCGGATTTCCACGGGTATTCCAGATCACCTATAAGTATGACTGAGTCATACCCCTGAGAAGCATATCTTGCCCCTTGCTATTCTGTTTGGTGAAAGGAAGCATCGCCGAAGGCGTTTACCAATCTCAAGTACGATAAAGGGGATTAGCTAGCTGAGCAGAGGGGGCAGGGGAATGCTCCGCTAGGTCAAGAACTCCATCGGTGTGAACTCCTTTGTAGTTACCCCGAAACCACTCTTCAAGTATCAGGCGACTGTTTTCGGTGAAACGCTCGATAACCGCAGCCATCCTCTCTTCTACAAGCTAGTCACATCTGATCAATATGTTCAGACTTGGCCTGCATCCGATCAAGCAGTACCGTAACGGCGATTCGACCTTGAAGCTGCACAATTGACAAAGACCTACATGGTTTAAGAGTTCAGCACGCCATGATCAGACGACAGTATTTCAGTATGTACGTCTTCATACGACATGACTTTGGCTACGAGCGCGATGTGAACCGCTCACATAAGCGCGACCGGTGCCGAATTGGCGAATTTACCACAACATCCATCGATGCTCTCACGCATGATAACCCATATCAGTAAGTAGTTCAGTTGACATGTTGGAGGTCGAAGCTGTGGTCAAGAAGTGGAAGACGGACCCAAAGATTTTGACGATGGTAAAAGTCAAAAATCTGTATTTGTCCAGCGTGAAGCAAGATAAATTTGCCTAATCATATTACCGTTTCGCAACAGACATTTCCCGTCCTCGTAGCAAGGCGAAGGAGCGATCTGATCAATATTGTCTCCTTCAAACTTGTGGGCTCATACGGTTTCACGGCTCGTCTCTCAGCAAGTCACATCATACCGAGTTTAAGCCTTACCTGTCGTCCATCTTACTCGGACGAGAGATTGGGCTTATCAGTCTCCGTTCTGTCTTTAGGAAACAAGTGAATAGCCTTCGTTCCTCGCGCTATCACGTGGTATTGATATCGAAACCTATAGCCAAGGTAATCGCGGCACAGTAGTCTCAGGAATAGCGCCAACTTTTTTGAAATACTGGTATACAACAAGACAATCTGATTGACAACAAACCATCCAAGTCCGCAAAGAGGGCTAAGCAACCGCTTAGGAGCGCAAAGATCTTCCAGGACTGGACCTGCGCTAGACCCCGCGAGACCTTTTCCATCGGCTCCTCAAGCCAGAAAAACAACCGTTGGACTGGCTTGATTTGCTGTTGGACGTTTCCGCAGAGGCCGTCATGTAGGTACCGTCTGGCTGATCCGTTCCGATTGACATCTGCTGTAAGGCTGCGAAAGCGGCGCTGTTTGACTGCGAACCGCACTCCCGTGTAAGGCGGTCGACCACGTCGCTTTCATTCGTAGAGAAGCCGGATGTGGCGAAGAGGAGGTCGAGCTTCTCAGGGAAGGCGATTGTTGCCACATCCAGAGCTGCCGTCCATTTGGGTAAAGGAGCCTAGGGGTATGTAAATCGGTGTTTCTTGAGCTTTCTATATCCTTCGGAGATACACCTCAGCCTCGAGGTTATAAGGACTCACATAACCGTGGGCCAGGCGGCAATCCTCGTTCTGTTTGCGGTAGAATCTGAGGTTCTCCGGTTCCCTCTCATCTACAGCCGAGTAGAACCACTGCGGCATGTCCTCGTTCATAGAAGCAAATACAAAGTTGACATTCTGGCGAGTCCGAACCTCCAGCGAGCCGCTGCCAGTGAATGTACCGGCAACCCGCGCTTTGAACACACTTGAACATATATTTGTACCCTCCAGAAACCATTCGTAATACTTCCTCTGCTTTCCGAGTTTGATACAGAATTTCTTCCTCTTGATCGATGCGATCATGTCCTTGTCATCAGTCGGCGATGCGTTGAGCTCAAGAATCGGCTGAAGCGAAATCTCGTAGCTGGGAGGAGGATCAGAGGGATAACCTTGCTGAGACGCCATGGTTCCCAAGAACTATCGTTTTGGGTTTGTCGACCGGAATGGGAGTCCACGAACGATTGCAGCCAGGTTCAAGGCTTACTTGGAGACCAGGTATTATATGCTTACTGGGAAGCACGATGAGCTCCTTGTCGTTTCAGACCATGTAAGGAGAGCAATATTGCTAACATCCTGCACCACGTAATGTCGACTTCGCTCGCCATCGCCTCCTATACTGTAGCCTGGGCAGCGTATGGCATGCAGCTGAGCAAGAGGGCTCTATCTGTCATGATTGAATGGCGCCGGCGACTCCTTTGTTGTTTCTCCTCGACCCTCCAGAGCTAGGCGACACTTGGCCTCGTGCCGATTATCTGGTAAGTCGTATTCCGTACCAGACAGAGTCAGCTGGTGAGCCGTTTGGACACCTGGCCTACACGTGTTCGGGCAACCGGTGGTCACCTGCACAGAAAGCTATAGACCGACGCGAATGAGAGGAGGATAGGTTCCCAGCACGTCAGCACTCGGAACTTCATATCTTACGGTGACCGTTGCTGCGCCTGGCGCACACGTCGTCAGCTGATGACCTGATGGTAATTGCAAGCGCGTAAGGATCCGTCTCTGATAACACGTGGCAACGTTTCAGGTTTCAAGGTGGCAAATGCAAGCTCGACGCTCACATCTTGGGACATGACGGCCCACGCTAGATTTTCAACTGTATGATGTGTTCTCAATCACGCCTTGAGTCAGTTCGGAGGACTCTTCAGGGATGTCATGTATATCATCCTAAATTTCAAAAAGAAAGCTAATGGTACAATGCCGTTGCCCTCGAAATGTCGAACGTAAACAAGAGACAACGAGAAGCAGAGCTATACTGTCCGTTACGCCTTTTCAAATGTCGCAAAACTGTACAAATACGCCGATTGATCATTCGGTCCTTCCATGCTATCTTCAATCCCCCGTCTTCATTTTAGCGGACTGCGTGGTCGACGTGAAAATCGTCAGAAACAGGTAATTGCTTGCTTCCAAGCTTAATGCGGCCGCGGCTGAAGTACGAGCGAATAGAACATAGTCCAGATGTGGCGATATCCGTATCATCAGCCCTTGCTGATATACGCGTTGCCGCCGGTGACGCGCAAGAAGCATCATGAGATACCCAATCGAACCTCTCGTGGGGAAGCGAGCCATTGCGCAACCAATCCTTCGCATCGCACGTAGAAATGTGATAGGGGTACTGATCGAATTTTTCCTGTTCACACCATTGTGCATGGGATTCAGCCACTCGAATGGTCCGTGTTTGACCCTCTTGAGTCCCTAAGCCATCACGACTTACGTATCTATTCCCGCAGCGGCGTCGTTCGTTGTGCAATCTCCAAAGGTTCTTTTCACGGTTAGACTTAATGCGTGTGTATACCCACCCTGGCATGTCGTCTTGCTGTTCCCTATCAGCGAAGGCACTGCTGATGGTTTCCACATGTACCACTTCTTTGTGGCTGTATCGATCATGAAGCATCGTCGTCAGACCGCTAGGAAACCCCTTGACAACGAACGGTCAAGCGGAATATTTGACCGCATGCTGATGCCGAATCCCATCTGCATACCTGAGTCTCCCCATTGTTGTCTCTTACGTAGTCGTTGACGATCTCGAAGTCTGAGGTTTTGAACAGGTCGGCAAAATAATATTGATTCGCAGGATCGACCAAGGGTTTGAAGCAGTAAGTCTGACGACCATCTTTCCCAAACAGAATCCGCCCAAGCAGTGACAATTTGAACGTCGAGACGGTCTCTTCGCCTGAGGAAGTCTGATCGTTAATCATCTCGTAAGACGTTTGGTATTGCTGAAGCGATATCGGTAAGGGGATACTCGTAAAGGCCACTTATATCCAAGGTTGAGGTGGTAAATTTATACACTTGGCAAGTCAAGGACAATGTGAAGAGATACCGATTTGATCAAAGGAACGCGATGCTGCGCCCATTCGATCACGGGGCCAAATGCACCTCGCTCGGCACCACAGCGTTAACGCAAGGAAGAACCATCAACGCCTTCTGCAATCGATTCCGTGAGATCTATTAAATGTCCTGTGTTCCAGTGTCGCGCCATAACGCATACAAGTAAGCAAAACACCTCTCACTACTTCAAATGCTAAGCTCTAAACATTATCTTCCAGCACCCAGGCTTGCAGGTGAATTGTCAGAGAACCTGATTACGCCAACGTTGGATGCAGCGGAACCACGGCAGCAGCGCGATTCCTGGCACCGCCGAGCGACGCTTCCGCGAGGATGGAGAACGATCGTAACTGCAAAGAACCGAGCTCTCAGAATGCCATGAATTGCCTCGCACGTCATTAATCTACCAATCATGTGTTCGGATGGATCGCCGTCAGATGACTGAGATCGTCGTCATACCCTTAAAAGGAGGTTAATATGTCGCTACATGACGACTTGAGAACCCTCAAAAGCGTCTGCTGACCGTCCGGTCAGCTGGGAGTTAACAATAGCATAGCATGATCATCCGCAACGAGGAAACGGTGACCATCCCGACGTCCTAGTACAAGCGCTTCTGTCCTGACAGTAGACAGAGCTGTCAATCGACAGGCGCTGAGTTCCAGTGGTGGCAAACTTTGCTCAAGCGCCATTCTCGCCGCGCGCCGTAGATGTGTTGTCATCTCACTTGAACGGCTTCCTTTGTGTCCCTTCCCCGTCGTGATGGCACTTGATGATGTGGTGTGACACATCATCATAGAGGTTCGTCAGGTGATGATATAGATTTATCACATAATCAGTCCCAATTACCTGATACTCTGCTTGCATCCTTTGTTTCATGTCGTAAGGTCGCGTTCACTATAGCTGGCAGGGAACCTTTCTGCGAGTATAAAGGGCATATTACTTGGGTATTACAATGTTGACCTGATGATGCCAAACGAGATGTTACCCCTCGACCACATAGTCGCCTCGTTTCTTTGCCACAGCAAACTTCCCTCGTCCACCAAACATGTCCACTGGAAACATCCTGATCAAACTCAACTACAAGGCGAAAGACAACGGGTTCTTGAGGAAAGCGCTCCAGCAACGAGAGCTACTAGTGTCGTTTGACAACGGGGAAACTCACGATCACTATCAATGGCATCAAGAACGACGCCGAGTCACACAAGAACGCTACAGTCCCGAGATCTCGGTCTTCAAGCTCTGTCCTTGGGCGTCATATGATACCCTCGATCAATCCCTGGTCAAGGTCGATGTGAATCGGATGGTGCGTCTGTCGATGGAGGCAATCCCTGAGTGGATCGATGAAAGACTCAACGACTTGGACAAGGAGATCATTGGGGCCACACCAGTGAGTCACCCAATGCCGATTTCAGTCGACATACGAGCTCATATACTAGGTTCCTCATCTGGACTGTCTAGAACAAGCTGCAGAGTGAAATCGCCTTGACAGATATTCTTACCAGGTACGCGGACGAGCAGGGATTAAGCATCGAAGAGGTAGATGCCAGCTTCGCTACAGGGATAGTGGCGCATCGCGAAGATTTGATGGATCTTGTCCGCAGGTTTGCTACAAGCGCAACCGAACCTTCTGCGACTGTTCCCAAGACTGAGCCGTCGACAGCTACAAGGTACTCACTTCGCAGTGGAGACCGGTCGCAGGGAAGTCAGCTTCAGCCAAGCGACGTGGTCATGTCAGACGTCGTACAGTCGTGAACTCTCCAGAGTCGAATCCCCGCTTGATCATCTGTACCTTCCCAGTCCTTGTCGCCCAAAGATCAAGTAGAGGAGATAAGAGGGTATCAATTGATTTTTCCCACCTCAACGAACAATTCCTCCGCGCATCAAGACTAGGGATGTTGCCATATAAGACCGCAGCGTCTCGATACGTGATTCTCTCTGAAACAATCCCGCGACTTACAGATAGCAGTCAGTGTGTAGACCAGCGTGTATGCTTGCATCGCTCTGTACAATAGCTCAGGATGAGTTCCGCGTCCCGGTCAAGATGCATGGTCTCATCTGGAAAAGGCAATACGATACGTATGATTAATAACTTATGAATATAGCCTTGCAAAGAATGCATCAAATCCACGATGATTTGTGTTTTCCCTCATGATCAAAAAAAATGAAACCGATCTCTCAATTCGATGTTGGTACAGGAGACCTTCTTTCTCGCAGCGAAGATTCAAGAGAAGGAGTATTGGAAAACGGACTGTTGGGAGTTGGCTGGTTCGGTCATCAGCAAGCTTTTGTTGATCAAGAACGATCGATTGGGCGCGGTGTTGCCGCGTTGACATGAAGCTACATGACAAGTAGGCGGATCGATTACCTTGAAAACCATATATGTAAAGGACCTTTCAGCGCAGAGAAGAGGCCTAAGCGTAGGCTGACAAAGTCGATTTCATCGACTCGAACTTGCCTTTTGGCTTGCTTTCTTTCGACGCGCACGACTCGGCGCGGATCTTGCGTCCGATGCTTACCTTCATATCTTCACGGGCAGCCCTTTGATGTTCAGCCTATAGAGAAAGATCGCAAGGCTCAGCAAGAATGTCAAGGCCTGCATGTTCTTTCGGATTCGAACCCCTCTGAGGCGATATGCGGTCGTTCGGCTTCGCCGGACATATCCCAAACTCTGCTCATTTTGCTACTGTTGTTTCGGATCCGAGATTTTGTGATTTGTCAGCAAAAAGAGGAGAACGATCGACCACTCTGGCCTTGTGCACGTACCGACCTAAGTCGAACCTATCAATCGGACCCATTATCCTCGACGACCATCTCATCCCCGTGCTAGACCGCCGACATAGACTCAGCTCCTATTCGACGCCATGGGTAACTCTCAATCCACAAACTCGACCGTAGCTCCCGTCGAACAGGTCATCAGGCCTCAAGAGCCGTCGACCTCGGTCCAGGTGAGCTCCGGCCTGCCGTTAACGAACATCTTCTGGTCGAGTACAATTACAACTACAACTGCAAACCCGCTGACTATACCTCTGTTGCTCTTTGATCGTACAGTTCGCTCCTTCTCTCCTTACCCAACTCACCTCTTCATCCTCCGAGTCCTCCTCTTCCTCTTCTAACCACCACGACCCCGTCATCCTCTCCCGTCTACAAGCCGAAGTCCAAAAACTCCGTTCAGAAGAAGCCCAGATCCTCTCATCCATCTCTTCCGCCTTGGAAAAAGAGAACCTGGACAAGTCCACTGGGAAAGATGGAGAGGCGAAGAGCTTGAATTCGGTGGTGTTGAGCCGGGACTTGGAGGTCGTCAGGGAAAAGGTCGAGAGGATGATGGGCAAGCGGGCGGGTGCGCTGGGACAAAAGGGGGAGAGCTCGGAGGTCGAGGAAGGGAGGAAAGGGTTGGTTCAGTGTTATTTGTGAGTCTGGTCGTCATTCTGCTATCACCTCCGGTCCATCATTTCTTTTCCTTCATCCTCAAGCTCTTCTCCTTCCTTCGTTCTTCTTCGTCCCACACACTCTCTTTCTTCCTTACCTATCTTCTCGCCCCCATGTCTTCTACCACGTCCGCCTCGACTATCACTGGTACTAATCCCGGCTTCTGGTCTCTCTCTTGCTCTTGCGTCTCACCCTGATCACTCGACAACACCAAACCGTCAAAACAGGAACAACCCCACCCAACCGCTCGACTGTTACAAACAAGTAGACAGTTTCAAGAACATCGTCGGCAAGTTGGAGAAGGTCAGTCCTGGTTCTGTTTTCCTCTTTCTCTCTTTCTCTTTCTCTTTCTCTTTTCAACACCTCGGTCTTTGTCGTTCACGAACCTCTTGGGCTGATCTCGACTGCCTTCGTTTGCGTCATAATTGCGGTCGACGGCATGTATAGGAATTCGTTGCCTCGCTCAGCTAGACATGACTTGAATCCGGAACCGGATCTACAGACGAGTCGGAGGTGATAAGGTGTAGCAACGTAAGATTTGTAGTGAAGGGGCAAGTCGTGGAACATATAAATGAGAATCTCGGGGATTGACATCTGGAACGGGGCCCAAGATCGCGTGAGGGTACCGGCTGACTGGGCGTTTTCCTCGCTGAGAAGTTAAGAAGAAAGTCGATTTGTATCGAAAGGGAAGATATGCGGAACTCGGTTCGACCTTAGTCTGTGCGTTTCAAGGGGGAGAGTGATAAGCCAGTGACAAACTGGATCGAGTCGAACGGAAAAGTTCTGAATCAACTATGAACGGACTGGGAGTGTTGTATAGCTGATGGTCTAGCAGGAAGCGCCACACATATCCAGAGGTACGGGGAAAAGGAGACTACAGTCAAGATGGCTGGGCGGGTTCGAACGAGGGGTGAAGATTGTATGACGGGGACGAGCCACATCTCATCACGCTGAATCTGCTCGGAGTAGCGCGAGTCCCTCGAGTGATACGTCGAAACGGCTGTAGAGCGATCGGTTCTGAGAATTGTCTCGTGTGACGGTGTGACTAGTGAGGACCGTCAAGAAAACATCCAATACGTCATGACCGAGGCGTTTCGATTCGACCATTGGTGCGACTGTTGCAGCCCGCCTAAAGCTTGACCATATATGAGCAGGCAAATGAAGCGTCGTCACGACGACAGCGATGTGTTCGAGCGATGTGTCACAGACATCAGCAGGCGAATCGGATGGCTCTCGAGAGTCGTCCAGCGAATGCCCGCACTGCTGATGCAAATCCAGCGTCCGAATCTGAGCATGTATCTTGACAGGAAAACTACAACACAGGAGATCTACTATTCGCGCTCCATCGCATGAGACGTAACAATAATAATCCGACTGTATGTAAATGGCAAGAGCGCGAGAGATAGCTTGTCGCTCTACAACGTTCACTGATCCGCTTGTCTGTGTACAAGCACGTACTCCGATATGGGCTCGTCCTCCTGCGATCCCTGCTGACTAGCGCTTGTGGTGGAACTTTTGCCTTCCCGAATGCACTCATCAAGCATGGTCATGATCTGGCTTCGGAAGCCCGACATTCCTGTTCCCAACCAAGAATTGACGGTTTCGATGTCCTCTTCGTTGGCCGCAGCCAAGTCGTCGATCATGTCCTTGATCGAATCTATACCCGAGCGAGTCTTCGTGTCGCACTGAACGATACAAACCCAAACGCTTAGTTTGTGAACGATCATGTTGATGTAAAGCTCTGCAGATGAACAATGAGGGTACTGACCTGAACCTCTTTCAGTTTGCGGCTCGTATTCCGCAAGACTGCTCTGTCCAAAGTGGTGAAACTTCGATCCATCCAATCCGGAATCTCTTGACCAAATTGACCAAAGAGTTCGGCCAATCGCTCCAGGGTGACAGGTTTGTAATTGAAACAACAATTCGGATCGTATCGCTCTTCTTCTTCAACTGAACTGTCAGTGGGTGGGTTTGAAGACTTGGCCACAAATGCCGTACGGCCATCAAACTTCGCAGGCCACCATCTCACCCATCCATGCGTTCGTTTCCCCTGCTTTTCCACATGTATGTGAAAGCTTGGCTGTGCGAGCGCTCGCCTGAGATGGTCGTCAGTCGGCTCGAAGGTATGGCCGAATTCGAAGGAATGGCCGAGTGCCGAGAGACGGTCATCCCCTGCCTTACAAGTAGGTTTAGCTGCCTCAAAAGTAAGTTCAGGTACATTGGTCATTTTGGTGGTCAAGTTGAGCTGTTGGTGAACGTGTGATCGAAATTGCTGGAGTGAAGGGATCGGGTGATGTAAAGTTATTGGAATATCAGAACACTAGAATAATCGAGTTGACCATCAACTACAACCTGCCTTATACCCTCTTCCTGGTAGCCAGCCTCCGCGTACAAACGCTGCTTCTCGCGATACCACAACAAAGGAGAGGTAACAAAGTATCAGGTGACCCCTGTGAATGACGAGGCAGCACGTCGTATCACGAGCGTATATGGCGCAATCTTGTCGCTTCTCGACACAGCCAGTCACACGATGAAGGGAACTGCAACAAGGTGTCATGTGACGACAAAGTACAGCTGTAGTAGCTCATCAACTGACGGACATGTTCAGCTAATCGTCAAGACGCTTCAGCCGATGAACCGCAAAAAGCTGGGCAGATCACCAGGAGACGCTATTGTATGCGATGCAACCAACAGAAAATACATAGAACAATAATTCATGGTAGCTACGCTCTGGCCGGTACGTCGCAAAACCGTGAGATGATGCAATGTGACAAAGGAAGCTCTTAACCTTGAAGCCGGTGGCGGTAAAGCGAAAAATGCACATTTGCATTCGCCACTAGAGCGTTCCCTAAGATTGTCCGTTTGGGTGCTTGGAGTGGTATCTTGCTGCAAGATGTTTCATCGATCACTGTTGTATAGTTTGCATGGAAAACAGCATAGAAGATGATCTTTACCAAGAGGGTACGTGATATGACAAGTACATCAAAATCGATGATGATCGCCGGCAAAGCTTGATTATGATTCTTCAGTCGTCATCTTGCGTGACGCAAATGTTCCTTTCTGATACGAATCGATTTCGATCGTCACCTGACGAAATACGCTAAACTAGTGAAAACAGCTCGTCAAGAGCGCTCCTGGTTGCACGCCGACGGACCATGGCTGTACTCGAAACATAGGCGCAGACTCACTCAGTCTCAGGAATCTTTCCATTTTAGGAGATCACGAGTGACGGCAAAGGAGCATACTGTGATCCCATCATATGGCGTGATACCACATCGCCTTCTCCGCTTGCTCTTCGATCGCAGCCTAGCAAACACCCAAAGTAAATACGAATAGCAGTCGGACAAACAGAATATATACGATACAATGACGAGTCGCCCACCTCGAAACCTAACCTCGAACATAGTGCTTTAACGGTGACCTAGTCATACATAAGAATGGGGAGAATAAGGTGAGAGGTAACCCGTCTACTGGAATCGGGATAATAAAGCAGAACGATCTGGTTTTGTAGCTACAGGCTACTCACCATTGTTGGAACCCGATTCTGACTGTAGCATGTGAGAGGCTCGATTCAATGGTCATGGTGAGATATCCGTAGTACAAAAGCCCATCCATACATTGGCCGTCGGCACCGGCATCTTTACTGATAATTTAATTTGGCCTTCTTTTTGGTCGATTTCGATCGAGCGGAAAATCTAGCAGGAGTCAGATCACCGAGCGACGACACAGAAAGCCCCAAAATCTTCTTCAAATCCCATGTACTCATAGGCTCAAGGCCGCCAGGGATTTGGTGTCGCGATTGCTCGTCCATGTTTTTTTGCCACCCCATCTACTGCTATGCGAGGAGGATGTTTAATGACGTTCTACTCGACGTGACGCGACTTGAGATGGTGACGCGACCGAAAGAGGAAACAGTTGAACAACCCTTTGATGATACTTTGATGATATCGACATCCTTTTCCCAACACTACTGATCTCCTCTCACCCAACCACAGACCACACAGGAGGCTGACGAGGATGCTCCGTTCCCTTCCATCCCGTAAACCGTCCTCCTCCGACAACATCGACATCGACATCGATACCAAACTCGCCCGGAACGATAAAGACAAACACCTCGATAACAAACAACCACATGTCCATGCTCGAAACAAAGGCTCGATGATCCCACCACCAGCACCTTCGACTTCAAAAGTACGACCTCCTCCTAAACCTCTTGCTTCACAACCACAATCACAACAACAGCCACGTCCCTCTACCCAGAGTCTATCGGGACCTAGCCGGACACAGAGAATCGACCAACCCGATCTCAAATCACAATCACATCCTTTGAACGATGTCTATCAGGTCATCCACACTCAGACCTCGCGACCTCTTAACGGCAGTACCACCGAACAATCAGGTCCGAAAGATGGTAGAGATAAATGGGCACTGCATACTTTTGTGGACGAGACGGGCAAATGGGTCAAGTTCCGTGTCTATGGGATGGTCGAGGTCGAGGTCGAGGTAGATCGGGATGCGGGGCGTTCGCAGCGGGAGGACGAGAAGGTCAAGATGAAGCAGAAGTCTGATTCTGGGAGAGGACAGCTGTTGAAAGTCAAGACGGATAAGGAGAGACCAGCTACTCGGAAGAAGGTGGAAGTCGAAGCAAGTACGGATGTACGTACCGTACAAACCGTACGTCGAACAACCAGAACAAGATCGGCTATCAAGCAGGAAGATGCTGTTACTTTACAACCAGTACAAGGTGGTAGGAGTAGAGGAGGTCTGAAGAGGAAACGATCAGGCGACCCAGCAGGGTCGGAAGTGGACATCGAATTACAATCCGCTCGGTACCAGCATGATGCCATCGGATTGGATGTGGAATTAGGACGTGGGAATGGGAATGGGAGTGGGAGTGAGACGGAGCTCGAAGAAGATAGCGATCATGACGATGAAGAAGGTGGAGAAGGAAATGAAGATGAGGACGAGGATGAGGATGAGGATGGGGATGAGGATATCACCATCGACGACGAGAACGACGGCCACGCTATCAGACAGAAGGCGGTCTTGAAAGTGAAAGAGACGAAGGTTGGGCTTTGGAAAGGATATCTCAGGTTGAGCAAGGTCAGTCTTTCTGTCTTGTGACCTCGTTCCTTCTCCTCTTTCCCCTTTTGTATGAGCGTCTCGCTTTCCCTTCTCCGGGATCGTCTTGCCTCAAGCTGATCCATGACAACTAATGATACTTCATCTCACACCTCACTTTATCTCGCCTTGCCTCGCCTCGCCTCGCTTCGCCTCATGATACGTTGTGGTACAATATGATACGAAATGGAATGGGATGGTGCAGGTTCAATCCCCGCATACGCCTCAGAGTATCAGGAAGGCCATCTTGGAAGCGTTCGTTAGGGTCGAGGTCGTCCCGAACGATCCTCTCGCGGGAGATGGACCGAGGTCGGGAACGGAGCGTGAACGCGAGTGTGATATCAAGGTAGGTCTCTCCCGATCTCGACCATCTTCGGTGCTCGTCATATATCGATCCCCTTCCTCCGGGAAACCACTTCGATCACTGAAAGTCGGCGGGATACGGTGAGCTGACCAGGTCCTTTCCCCGCGCTTTGTGATTTTCGCGCTCCTTTGACGTTTACAGGTGATCATCGACTATCCTTCCACCCAGGTTCAATCTGCAACCCAAACCCAGACTCAAACTCAGAGTCAAGCGCGAACTCGAACTCGAGAAGGACCGGGCAATGTCCCGCCCCAGATTGTCGGGTGTCAGTTCGCCCTCCCCATTCCAGCTTCGGATCTCGATCTTGGTGGCGGCGCACCAAAGTCGGGGGCAGTTGGGTCTGGGTGCACGTGGGGAGAAGAAGGGTTGAAGGGATGGTGGGATGTGGGATGTAAGGTCAGTCCTGCAGTCACGGGCCATGCATCCGTTCTGCGTTAACAGGAAGATTCACGCGTGTGCTGATCGAAATTATAGATGATCACCGAATACAACCGTACTTCTACCCAACTACTCGCCATCGAGGAAAAGAAGACCCGTCCCCTTCCCTCTTGCACTCCGCCCACCTCGGCAGGACACGTCCCGACCTTGTCATCATCTCAGACACAACTACAGATCCCCGCGGGGTCGAGCCAGGACGGACAGGTATCGGGGATGTTACGACGAGGTTCGGGCGTCAAGAACGATCCTACGTATGAGGACTATTTGATGATGGTGAAAGAGGTCCAGATGCTCAAGGTTCGTGTGGGACTCCTATTCCCTCTTCGCAAAAGATTCTTTGTCGAAAGTTTGAAGCTGACGCTCCCCATTGACGCAGATGGAGAACAGACAACTTGCCCAAGAGAATTCGGCTCTCAAGGGCGGGTATGCGGGCAAGTTGACATTGTCGCAGCAACAACAGGCGAGGGCGAGCAGTCAGTCGGGAGGGGTACCGACTAGGGGAAATATGGCGGCCGGGATGAGCAAGATTCAGCCGGGTATCCGAAAGTGAGTTCGCATGTCTACTAAGGGTCAAGAATAACTCGTTTGAAGCGATCTTGTGTACGTCGCAGGCCGCCCAAGATCGAAACGGGGTTCGCTTCTTCGAGCGACGAGGACTGATGAAATCGCAGGGGGGTAGAAATTTCTTGTCATGATATTCTTGGGATCTTGTCACGGACAATGAGTGCATTTTTCTGGTTGTATACAGTTGGGAGCGTGCTCCTCTATGATGTTCATAATGGAATATGCTTGAGCGTTCGTGATGCGTTGTAATCAGTTCTTTGTCAGACAGCTGTCATTCATTCATAAGTGACCAGGTTTTGTGACCAGGTGGTAACTTTCGGGTGTGCCATGACCTGCGGCGGGTATGAAGGATCTTTAGCGGCATAGAAACGATCAAATATAGGATCTGTGCTCACCTTGGCGGCATTGAATCCAGTCACTTGTAGCCCTTCGAGTGAGGTTGCACGGGACAAAGCGACATAGGCCTGACCCTTCTCGAACACCCTGCCGAGATCGACCTTGACGCGGTCCAGTGCTGTGAGACGATCGAGCCAGTCAGCGATGCGTCTTCACATCTCAGGCGTTGTCAACTTACTTTGACCCTGCGACTTGTGAATGCTCATCGCCCAAGCCAGGATCAACGGCAACTGCAATCGCGACGCCTGAATCTCTCCGTTCGGCAGTTCCGTCTTGAACGTGTCCTTTTCGACAATCACGTCGCGGGTTCCGCCTGGCGGTGTCGAGAGGTAAAGGCTATGAGCAGGGGGCAACGGGGCTGACAGACCTCGATGCGTCGACGACTGACCTCCAGGCATCCTGAATGAGACAACGGGGAGCTTCTCCCCGTTGGCCTTGACAGCCGCGCTCGTCTTTCGTTTCTTTCTGGGCGCGCCATCCTCGCCCACCGAATCTTCGTCTGTATCCTGGTCCATCGGCACTCCCACCCATCTCCCTGTAGTGTCTTCCCTATATAGATGTCGCTCGCAAAACCCTATAACCTTGCCCATAGACCCGTTGACGAGCGTCTCGTCGACGTTTTTGATGAGCATGACCTGAGCGTCTTTTTTCAGGATGATGCGGTCTGCTGCCATGAAGTTGGCGAGGATCTTGTCTCGCTGCTCTGTCGGTCCTCCAGGGCCCTGTCGCGCGTTCGTCAGCTCTTAAAGTGCTTGCGAAAGAGTCACGATTCCGACCTACATCGACTGCCTTGTACGTCCACGTCTCGCTCCTCAACTGGTGTAACCTCGTCTGATTCGCCCGCTCTACGTCGTCTCGTCGAGGGAATCTGGTAGCGATCGTAGGGTTTCAGTTCACAAACCTTGATGGACTTGAGACAAGGCGGCCCACCGACTCACAACTCGGTCGGCTCGATCCCGTCGTTATAGAAAACCTCTCTCTTCAACGCCGCAAACCTCTCAATCGAGGCCGTACTCATCCGCCCAAATCTCATCTCGTTGAGCATGTCGACAAACGTCTGATCACGTTGCCTGAAGACCTTGGTCAGGTTGACGCTGGCAGAGACGGTCTCGCCCCACGTGAGCGCTTCAAAGGCGAACGTTGGCGATTTGTTGTGCTTCGTCACGGGCGGGAGTTGGAAAAAGTCGCCCGTTACCACGATCTGACAAGCGCAATCACGTGTATGCTGGATCAGCAACGCTCTTACAGTCGCAAGCGGCGATTGCAGTCGAGCCTCACCTGAATGCCACCGAACGGTCGATCGGGTTTCCGCCGCAAGATCCCCCCAATCTTGGACAGCTTGTCGAACAAGTCACCATCCACCATCGATACTGCGCGAGCGAAACGAAAGCGAAAGCGACAGAATTCAGGATAACAACCTCCGCCGACGACCAAATTGCCAACTCACCTTCATCCATGATCAACACCTGCGTCCTCGTCCATCGGCTCAGAGCCTTCTTGTTCTTCCTGATATTCTGGCAGAGCTTTTCCGGAGTCTCCGCACCCAGTCCGATTCCTAATCAATCAAGGTTTGCTCAACCTTCGTCTTGATGACGCATCCACGAGTCGTCTGGACTCACCTCCGAAGCTGTGTATCGTGATCCCACCGATATTACAAGCCGCGATCCCCGTACTCGCCGTGACCGCCACAGCATCCCCCTTGCCCGCCCATTTCTTTTTCAAAGCCCTAATAATCTCTCTCAAAAGGACCGACTTCCCCGTCCCTGCCGATCCGGTGAAAAAGACCGATCGGCCCTGATCGACGACCATGTTGAGCACATTGCGCTGTTCGGAGGAGAGGATGACTTTTTGCCGGATGTTGAGGGTAGCGTCAGTGTTGGCACCTCGGGCGGTGGTGAGGGGTGGGAGGGAGATCTTAGATGCCGTGCTAGACATATCAATGAATGTCGAATCAGCTTTGCGATCACGACAAGACAGAATGGATCATGTGAAACTCACGTCAAGCTACTCGGCTCCCAAGGCATCAACCCCGATCCCGACGCAGACCCAGCAACGGAAGGCGTCCCACCTCTTTCCAAACTTCTCTTCCCTCCAATCCCACTCGTACTCGTGCTGGTGCTCGCGGTGGCAGTGGCACTAACACTACCGCCCGCATTATAGCTAGACCCCGTCCCAGCTCCAGCCGGATCATCCGGTACGCTCCATCCCGCCCCTACCGGCAAACTCGACATCGAGACCGAAGCCATACTCGAACTCGCACTACCACCCGCTGGTGCGGTGGAAGAAGACCCGTTCATAGCCGCCAACATCGCCGCCCGCCTCTTTTCTTTTGCTAGAGCCATCTCTTCGGGCGTTTGTGGTTTTCGGTTGTACGTCTGTGATTGCGGGTTGGTTGTAGGGGTCGTTGAGCGGGACGAGATGGAAGCAGTTCTCTGTGGGGGTATGGATGGGGCGTTGGTAGGTTTTGATATCGTTGTCGGTGCCGTCTCTGGTGTTGTTACCGGTATCGATGCCGAAACTCCCTTCGACTTCAAAGCCGCATTGTCTCTTTCTTCCATATCCACGTCGACCGACTCTACTGCTGACCAGGTCAACACCCCATTCCCATTCTCATTCCTATTTACCCCTATCTCCATCTCAGATCCCTTCGACCCTGACCCCAAGCCCGAATCCATTTCTCCCGTTTGTCGACCCATCTTCATCTCATGGGACAGCCCATCATCCGCCCTAGTAATCCCAATCTCAGACGATCCGCTATAAACCGCCTCTAAGGATCTGGCCGGTGGGAAAGGGTTCGACCGCTCCCTCTTCCTCTCTGCCTCCCTCTCCAACTCCATGTTTCTCTCCTGCTCGGTCGAATCGAGCCCACCTTGACTTTCCTGTCGATGCTGTTGTTGCCGAAGCCGACGCATGGCATCGAACTGCGACCGACTCTTGGGCGGAGGAGAAGGTTGAGAATAGATCTCTTCTTGTTCTGGTTGGGATGACGATGGGGGTATAGGAATGGGGGAAGACCCACGGTGAGAGAATTGCCGGTCATGATTTCGGGATTTCCGTGGAGATCGTTGTGATTGGGACTGAGATGAGGTAGGTTGAGAGAGTTGTGAGAGGGGCTGGAATTGCGGTTGAGATGACCGAGATTGTGAATGTCGAGCAGCTCCAGGATGTCCAGATCCAGATCCATGATGATGAGTATGAGTAGGTCTTAGACCTATCGTACGCGGTCTGCGATCCCATCACCATCACCATCACCATCACCATCATCGCATCGAGCATCACAGAGCATCCCATAAGACGAGCAAGATACAGAAGAGAACAGAAACCAGCATCGTTTTCAGCAGACTCTACGCATACACAACGAACGAACCACGCAAAGAAAGGGTCGAGGGAGAAAGAAAAAACTCACCGATCGGGCGAAGAACCCCACCCGGTGCTCTCTTGCGTCTTCCGACCTTGTCCTTGCGAGCTGTTACCCGGCCTCGAAGTCATGTTCGTGCTGGAGGTCGTGCTGGAGTTCGAGGTAGAGTTTGAGGGAACCGCTAACGGCCTGATCCCCGTCGCCCCCACCCCAGCTTTAGCTCCTAACTTCATCCCGGTCCCCGATCCTGATGCAGCTCGAGAGGACGTAAACGTAGACGAAGAGGCAGGGTTCGAGGTGGAGGTGGGGGTGGATGGAGTATCGTCCCCCCATTTATCAGACGAGTTGCTATTCAGCTTTTTCAACAACCTCGAACCTGAACCTGAATTCGAGTTTGAAGTGGTCATCGTAGGCATCTTGTTCGAGCTACTTGAAGATGTTGTCGAAGATGCTGATAGTGGTAGTGGTAGTGGTGGTGAAGGGAGGTTCGGGTGGGAGGAAGGTCCTAGTGGGTTGTGGCCGTGCATCGGGTCTGATGTGCCATGGCAAGACGTATAGATCGTATAGATTGATACCTGGTGGGTTCGCTGCTGGATGGACTCTAAGGGTGTCAGGTGTCGAGGTTGTCAGGTCAATCGCATAGGGGTTGAATAGATGTCGATTGTTGTGAATGTCAAAGCATCTCTTTTCCGCTAGAAATGGAAAAAGAACAAGGGGAAATCTCACGCAATTTGCCGTGTTTTTGGTAGCAGAGTTGACGGATTTTCGCTAGAAATGGCCAGGAAGGAGGTGTTGATAGCGAAAGTCCTTGCTTATGTAAGCAGATCACGAGGGACGCATCCTTGGCGTTCACACATTTCTAGCGGGAACGCGTGAAGCCCCCCGACAAGATCCGTCCAGAGAATAGCGATTCTGTGAAGCGGACAACTTAGCATCTGGATGTCCGCCGCCCTTCCTGGCGAATTTGGCCGATCAACCCTCTCCCTTCCTCTCTGACGCGAACGTTGAATTTCCCTCATATACCTCGACTCGCGACCACCGATGCCCCCCTTTGACGACCTGGAAAGGTAAAAGATATATATACCTCGAGGGTCTTTTTCATAAAGACACAGGTCAGGTCGAGGATGGGGATGGGGGTCCACGGTCGATTATGTATATATATATATATAGGCAACAACGACGATAGAATATAGCATTCTACTCGAACAACGCGTAATCATCCAGAGCGAGACGATGCTTGAACATCGTCATCATCTTCGAGATTGAAATTGAGAAAGGTTATCGACCTAGCCCTACAACAGCTGCAGTGGGAGTTTAGGATGTCGTCCAGGTACGTCCCGGTCATCGCTTGAGAGGGTTCTTAGGGGTTGGAACGAGGTCGTCGAGCAATTTCGGGTGTCGTTGAAATGACGAGCACGACGAGCACAAACCATCGTGAAGAGGGGAAGATCTACTTCACGATGCCGCTCGAGCTCTCGATCATCCCATACCTCTTAAACATGAAGGCTGACCACTGAATTATACACCTTCTATCCTATTCACTCGTCCTTCTATTCTTTCCACCTGCCTATCCGCTCGCCGCTCAACTCGTCTGATCGTCTGGACTTCTACCATGATCTCGACAACGCGACAACATACTCGTGCCGTTTGGGTTACCCTTCCACGTATCGACAACACACCCATATCATACTATACCGTCTTTTATGCATGGACGACAACGACGATCATGACGACGCCGGACCTCCTGCTCAACGCTGTAAACCTCACTACATCGTATCAACCTCACAATCTGACCCCCCAAACCATAACATACCCTCTCCCCATCCCACACACGACATATGTCCTGATACGATAACATAATCGACCCAACCCGACCTGGCAGGCTTGACCGCCTAGTCTCTCTCTTAGAATCCGGCTCCACCCCGACCGTCCGAGAAACAGCGGCCAGGCAGTTAGGGGAGCTCGCTAGGAGGGAGTTTGAGAGGGAGCTCGTTGACGTCGATGCTCGAGATGCTCATGATGCTTATGGGACTCAAGAGGATGCGAGTGGGGTGGGAGAGGTTCTGAGTAGGGATGGGAATGGGGATGGGAATGTAGCCGCAGTGAGCGGGGACCAGGTTGGAGAAGGTGAGGGTGGTGGGATTGGGGTCAAGAATGGGGAAGAGGACGTCGATGTGAGGATCAAGGCCGAAGAAGGAGTTGTCAAGCAGGAAGACTCCCCCGTTTCCGCCCCCAAGGACCCTGCAACAACAACTACATCAATACCCGTCTCCATACCGACGACATCCCCAGCAGGCCCTTACCTACCCACCCTAAGGCTCTTGGCCAAGATAACCCCTTACCTCTCTCACCGCTCCATGGAGGTCAGGATCGCTGGTGTTCGGGCGATGGAGAGCGTCTTGGAAGGGGTGGGGCGGTGGGAGGATGTTGTCAGGTTGAACTTGAAGGATGTGGATCACGATGGGGATGGGGATGTCGAGGCAGGGGGAACGAAGGCAGAGATGGATGTGGATATGATTATAGGAGATGGCACGGAGTCGGGGTTGGGACTGGGAAGCTGGGTGGACGTCGAGGCGTTGATGAGGGACCAACAATCACAGAAGAAGAAGAAATCGGGTCTCGCTGGATCGACCGTCACGGGGATAAAAAGATCCAGGTCGACAGCTACTCCTTCCAGGTTGCCTTTTAATACCGCTTCCACTTCTACCTCTACACCTGCGGCAGGGAGGAAAAGACCCAAGATCGATATCGGGATGGAAGACCGACATGCGGTATTAGACGGGTTATCTATCCCTAGAGACCTTGTCGATGAAGATATGGGCGAGGATGAGGATTTGGAGGACGATATGGATTTCGAGGTGGTCGAGCCGACTCCAGTACAGACACCGAGAAAACGAGCCAAGTTGGATTCTTCGGCTACTGTGGGGTCGTCTAGAGAGGGAACGCCTGTGGGGACGATAAAGAAGTTGGGTAGACCGCCTAAGGTGAAAAAGGAGAATAGCGGGTCTGTATCAACGTCGACGGCCACTCCCGCGCCCGCATCCGGATCTGCAGCATCGACCTCGACATCGGCGGGACCTTCGGCCGAAATGACGATCCCCTCCGGCCCAGAGCCGACGGAAGACCAGATCTTAGCGGGCCTGTCGAGCCGTCAAGCTATTCTCTTGAAACGCAAGATCAGGGGAGGGATGTCCAAGGGCGAGGCGATGATGGAGAGTATGAGGTTACAAGGCGGTGGAACCCCCGTAGAAGAGACTCCCGCACCGGTCTCTGTGACTGCGCCCGCACCTCCACCTGCTGGGATGGATGAGAAAGAGAAACCGATCAAGGTAGGCAGGAAATCTGGTGGCGGTAAGGGGAAGGAGAAGGAAAAAGTCAAGGATGAGGTCAAGATCGAGGACGGAGTCGCGAGCAAACAGGCGACACCGGTACCTGCGCCCGCAGCGGTCGTGGCGCCTCCTATCCCTGGAGGACCGGTCGAAGCAAGTCGCACGAACAACAATGAGCTGGACGAGATCTTGCCACGGACAGCCGACGAATGGGTCTGGACACGGTTGGTCGACAAGCTCGAGATGATGTTGGAGTCCGAGTCGTGGGAAGCTCGTCATGGTTCGGCCCTTGCATTGAGGGATCTGATACGGATACAAGGAGCGGCATGCGGGACCGGCCGTACAGCTTCCAAGACGGACAATCGACGGTCACACCACGTAGCACTCGAAAGACTGGCGAAAAAACTCGTCCTCGTCCTCGTACGCGACCGATTCGGAGACTTTGTCGGTGATACCGTCATGGCGCCCGTACGAGAGTCGGCTGCTCAAGCTTTGGCGAGCGTGATCAGCCGTATGCCGGTTACGATGGTCAGCAGAGCGGGCAGGACGTTGTTAGGGATGGTCACTCAAGGCTGGAAGGACGTCCCGTACGTGTGGGAGTTGCGGCACGCGGGGTTGCTCGGGTTGAGGTATATGCTCGCCGTTGTCCAGGGACAGGGGGTGCTGGGTGGTGAGACCCGGGGTCTAGGCATGCACGATGTCCTTGCCGCAACCATGATCGGGTAAGCAGGACTTGGGCTCCAAGTCTATTCATGCATACTGACCGTCTTTCCACATCCAGCCTCGCCGACTCGGACGACGATGTCCGATCAGTATCCGCCACGTGTCTCTTGCCGATCCTACCGTTACTGGCGGAATCGCTCGGCACAGACGACCTTGCGGGCCTACTTGACACGTTGTGGAAATGCTTTTCCGTCGACGGGGACGATCTCGGGAGCAGTACGAGCGCCGTCATGGATCTCTTATGTGAGACTGCAATGCTTCACTCTTCAGGGTCATCCGCGAGACTGATGGCTGACTTGCTTGACGATAGGTCGCATTCTTGGTTTCCCGAAGGTGGTCAAGATGTATTCGCGAGGGCAAGGTCAAAGGTAAGCCCAGCCTTGCACGACTTGGATTTCGACCAGCAGCTCACGATATCGATCTTCGCCAGCCGCTCGCTGTCCACGCTTGTGCCTCGTCTTTATCCTTACTTTCGACACACTATCGGGCCCGTGCGACTGGCCGTCGTCCGCACCATCCAAGCCTTTCTTGACGATGCCGATTTGCCTATTGATTGGATCAACGCCGACATCCTCCATCTCCTTTACAAGAACCTCGTGGTCGAAGATCGCATCGACTGCCGGACCGAATCGTTGGCGGCGTGGAACACTGCTCTTCGAGTAATTTCGGTGCGACCCGACTTCTTGTCCACCGATGTCTTGCCCAACGTTGCTGGCTGGTTCAACATCGCCTTGGTGCCGATCAACATGCCTTTGGAACCTCACCTCTTTTGTGACGTGGTTGCTCGAGGATCGTCCACCGCTCACAACGTCGACAAGGGCATACTTGGAGCCGACCTCGCCCTCGTCTCGGCTGAAACAATACTTCGCAACCGTATCGATGCCATCACCGCCTTGGCCGAGGTGACGAGATACGATGTGTCTGCAGTGAGTTTGTATCGTTTAGCGTTTACGTACGTTCATGCTAAGCCAGGGCTGCTATCTCAGGCCACACACCAAACGCTCCTGAGCGGATATCTGGCGTCGACTAGCGCGCATCAGCTATCGATGTGTAGTATCCTGATAGAAGAGTGGACTCGCGTGCGAGATGAAGACTATTCAGAGCACCTGGCTTCCCGACTCGAAGTGGTCCTCCCGTCGGTCGAACCTCTTGTGGGTATGTTGGAACGCCTCGTTGAGCTGGGACCTCCGGCTGGTCTTTACGAGGTGCAAACGTCGCTGCAAGCTATCAGACAGGAGGCCAAGATGTTGGCCAACCTGATCGATCGACACCGGCCCGAGAGCGCCTCGACCGAGGATGCATACGCTATGGCTACGCTTGAGCAAGTGCAAGACCTGCTCGACGGCGGTCTGGACGATTCGCTGGCAAGGATCCCTGCGGTCAAGCGCAAGCAAGCCAAGGCATCAGTCAAGGATCGTCGAGCGACATTGGCAACGGCTATATCGCGACATCGTATCCAGCAAGAACAGCTGGAAATTCAGATCCAGGCGACAGCCGCTGCGGCTCTCATCGGTATGCGTTTCGTCCCTTCCAAGATGAACCCGTTGATGAAGGGTATCATGAGCGGAGTCAAGGTGGGTTTGACCATTTAATTGGCCACTTGCGAATCTGCCGCTGACAACAAACCACCTTGCAGAGCGAAACGAACGAACTTCTGCAAACACGTGCTGCCAACTCGGTCGCCAAGCTGATCAGCAACTGTTTCAACTCGGCCCTTGGATTGCCATCAAGACCGGCACTCAAGCTGGTGGAGAATTTGCCCAAATTCATCTGCAGTGACGAGAGCTTTACGCCGCAATTCGAGAATCTCGCCTCGACAGAAGGAATCTTGACGCTAATACAGGCTCAACAGCCAAAGGTCGATGCGGACAACAGCGCTCGCGACCTGCAACAAGAAGCTCAGACGTTGACTCGACGAGGTGCACTCGCTGCTCTTGCAGCTGTGATCAAGCGTCTGGACGATGCAGTCTTCGAGCAGGCCCCGAACCTCTGGAACGCGATTGCATCCCCTATCATGGCCCAGACTGATCCTGGTAAGTGCTGATTCAAAGTTCGACTGTCATCTGCTTGCGGACGGGCTGACGTTCCGTGATCTCTACAGTCGCTGCCGCTGCGGAAGATAAACAGTCTCTCATCGATGCCCTCACCACACTCCAGATCATATTGCCGCTATTACCCCGCTCACTTCACCCACATATCGAGGTTCTTGTCCCCGGTGTGGTGGAGGCAATCAAGAGTCCGTACGCGGTCATCAGAAACGCTGCGGGCAAGGCTCTCGCGGTCGTATGTCGGAACATGACGGAACAAGGAATGAAAATCGTCCTGGACAAGCTTTTGCCGCTGTTAGGCGATACAAAGAACCTCTCGCATCGTCAGGGCACCATGGAGGCCATTTGGGGTGAGCCGTGATGGACAGAGTTCCACAAGCGCGTCGAAAATAACGATACTCCGCTTTGCTACAACAGCCGTCGTCGATAGCATGCAGTTCGACATCCTTCCCTACGTCCTTTTCATGATCGTACCGGTGCTCGGGCGAATGAGTGATCCGGACGAGTCGATGCGATTACTTGCGACTCAAACCTTTGCTACTTTAGTCAAACTAGTACCACTCGAGGTGAGTTGATCTCGGCACGATCTACGATATACGAGACTCAGCTGATTCCCCGTACCACATTAGGCCGGTATTCCGGAGCCTCCCGGCGTCAGTCGAGACATGCTTGCCAAACGGGAATTGGAGAGGGACTTTTTATCTCAGCTGCTGGACAACCGCAAGGTCCAGTCATATGTGGTACCGGTGCCCATCAAAGCCGACCTGCGGTCGTACCAGCAAGACGGTATCAACTGGATGGCGTTCCTCGCCAAGTATCAATTGCATGGTTGCTTATGCGACGGTGAGCCTCCTTGATGCCAAAAGACGTTGAACAACTGACCGACTCCTTGACCTCGACCTAACAGACATGGGACTTGGCAAAAGTTTGCAATCTATTTGTATCATCGCCGGCAAGCACGAAGAGCGCAGAGCGCGATTCGAAGCAACCGGATCGCCCGATGCCGCTCACCTTCCTTCCCTCATCATCTGTCCCACGACCCTCATCGGTCACTGGTTTCACGAAATCACGAAATTCACGAACAATTTACGACCTTTCAAGTATTACGGATCGACGAGCGAACGAACCGGTCTTCGCCGACAGTTTCAGCATCACGACGTTATCATCACGTCTTACGAAATCATTAGGAGCGACATGGACTTTATGCGACGTCAAAACTTTTTATACTGCATCCTCGATGAGGGCCACATGATCAAGAACGCCAAGAGCAAATTGACCCTGGCCGTCAAGTCGCTGCAGTCGGTACATCGGCTCATCCTCTCGGGCACGCCCATACAAAACAACGTACTCGAACTATGGAGCTTGTTTGACTTTTTAATGCCCGGGTTCTTGGGCACCGAAAAGGAGTTCAATGATCGCTTCTCCAAGCCGATCCTAGCGAACAAGGATGCCAAGGCGACCGCCAAACAGAAAGAGGCTGGTAAGTCTAGTTGGACAGCATAGCACTCTCTAATTAGCCTTTCCAGACCTGACGACCCAACCTGTTCCATAGCCATTCTCGCACTCGAAGCGCTACACAAACAGGTGTTGCCCTTTGTCCTGCGACGAATGAAAGAGGATGTGTTACACGACCTTCCTCCCAAGATCATACAAGACTATTACTGTGACCTCGGTCGGGTTCAGCAGAGCCTCTACGACGACTTCCAGGCTTCCAAGGCGAGCGACGAGGCGGTCAAGACCCTGGTCACAGAAAGTGTCAAGGAGGACGTCGATGTCGATATGGAGACTGGAGCTTCGGCTGCGCCTCAAGCTCAAAAGCACATTTTCCAGACACTACAGTATCTGCGCAAATTGTGTAATCATCCGATGTTGGCGATGGGAGCGGATACCGAGCGGTACAACGAGGTCGTACGACGGGTCGCCGCGGGAAACAAGGACGTCAGCAAAGACCCGATGGATATTTCGCATTCGCCGAAGTTGCTTGCATTGCAGTAAGTGATCGGTATACAACAAATCACAGGGAAATCGTGGCTGAAAATCCCAATGATCCCTCCGTAGGCAACTCTTGCGAGACTGCGGGATCGGGGACATCAAGTCCGACCCGGGCGAAGCGGAACTCCTAGGCTCGACATCACAACACCGCGTCTTGATCTTTTGCCAGACCCGCCAGATGTTGGACATCATCCAGAATCAACTCTTCATCCCCCACATGCCCAGCGTATCGTTCATGCGTCTGGACGGGGGCACGGAACCTATGAAACGACACGATATCGTCCAGACCTTCAATGCCGATCCTAGCATCGATGTGCTTTTGTTGACGACCAGCGTAGGGGGGTTGGGGTTGACGTTGACAGGGGCGGATACGGTGATCTTCGTCGATCACGATTGGAACCCTTCCAAAGATATGCAGGCGATGGATCGGGCGCATAGGTTGGGCCAGAAAAAGGTCGTCAACGTGTATCGTTTGATCACGAGGGGCACGTTGGAGGAGAAGATCATGAGGTCAGTCATTGACATTCTGATTACTTCATGTCTTAGCTAACAGTCTTCTTCCGACGTGCACTTTACGTGACAGCTTACAACGGTTCAAGCAGAATATGGCCAATACTGTAATCTCCCAGCAAAACCAAGGTCTGGATACGATGAATACGGACCAGGTGCTCGACCTATTCTCGGCCCCGGCAGCAGGGGGTTCGAGTAATAAACCTGTCAAAAAGGACGGTCCGATGAGCAGGAACGAGATTCTAGCCGGGTGAGTGGCGGTCCGATTAGCCTTACCGCCGACCTGGTGGATCAACAGCTAATGAATTGTTCGATTGTTGCGGGTATAGCCTGGGAGACTTGCCGGCAGAGCAGGAATACGAAGACTTGACGCTCGATGCGTTCATGTCCAAGTTCTGAGCGTTCATGGATCGCGTCAATCAATTCGTTCTTCGCTAGAGGCCATGCATGGGATCAGCGGTAGTTGTATAGCAGCATATAGCGGTGGGGATTTTGATCTGGATGTACAATCATTGGATGATAACCTATAGCCTATAGCATGGTAGTATCTTTATCCCTTAGCCAGGGCGATGTAGCGCTGCCGTAATTGTCGAGGTTGGTCGAGACGTCATCTCGAAGGACCGAAAGCAGGAAAGCTTTGTCGACTTTCTGCTTTCATCTCCCATGCCTCGACGAGGGGTTGATCACAATCATCAGAACGATCTCCTAGCAGCTATCAGACTAGCCTAACCACCCGACGAAAGATGTCCACAGCACATCGATCGTCAACCCTAAAGCTGAGCATCTTCCTGCTAGCTCTACTCCTGTTCACGCAGACGGTGGCCGCACAGTTCGAAGGCATGTTCAACAACATGTTCGGCCAACAACAACAGCGTGGACATCATCATCATCACGGACAGGAACAAGGTTCGGGGCACGGAGTGAGGGGGTGGGATTTGCAAGACGCAGGTGAGTTGCTGCTGTTTGCTCGACAGGCGGTCGAGGCTTGACAGATATCGGTCTCATACCTTGAACCCGAATCTGAATTTGAACTCGATAGCATCTTGCTGGAACGGACACGTCTGCTCGGGAACAGGCAACTGCGTAGTCTCGCCAAAAGACTGTCCCTGCCCTTATCCGTAAGCTCGAACTCTCTCGTCCTCGCACTTTCCGCTTGGCTCAATCAAGCTGACCTCAACCTCACATCCGCTTGCGAAACACACTCCCACTTCAACCGGGACCACGTCACATCACTTCACATATCAATATAACAGCGAGGACTATAAATGTTTCCTCCCCCAGCCATCCCGGTCCATCCTCGACAAGCTCCACCTCTCGAATACTGGAAGTGCGAGCAAGTCGAGCAATACCGAGAGTTTCGTTTGTATACGAGCGAATGCGGGAAGGTCGGGGTCGGTGGAAAAGGAATGTGAGCGGGTGAGGAGGCTAGGCGGAGCGATTTGAGGTGAATCATGGTCGGGTCTTTGTGAGTTGCGTTCCGTCAGTACTATTCCAGAGCAAGTATCGTGGTCGGTCTGCGATTTGCAAACTCGGCTGAGCGTTCTCTTCTCATGCTATTCGTATGATCAGATTTACATGAGAGTGTGAACGGCGCTCATTAGCCGGCTATGGTCATGATTAAGAAACAGCGAAAGTGACTCATGATGCGGTGTATCAACTATCGATATATCCTTCAATCATGCCATATCTAGGAATTCATCTCAGTGACAGCTTTCGAGGCCGATGATCAGCGGGCTGCTCCATAATGAGACCTTATTGTCGCACGTCTCCTTGACCTGCGTTTTCGGACCTCACTGTCGATACCAACAGCCGGACAATCCGACCAATTGCCGACATGCTAGAAAGACGGTCGGCTCGCCTTGAACAGAGCTGGGCATTCGAGGGAAATGGTCCGGTCGGTTCCAGGGCATACGACTTGGAGGTCATGTTACGGATCAGATCTCAGTATCGATGCTTCGAAACCGACAGTATCGGCCAGCGCCACCTGCACGACGTTTATCTCTTCCAAACCGATGCCGCATGCTTTGATACCATCGTCAGGTCCGGCGAGGAGCTCGCAAGATTTCAGGTTCTCGGTTGCGATACTGCGATATCGTTATGCTTCGTCGCCATGATGAAGCCGTGTTCGTCCTCGCTGGAGAGCGTTCCTCTTCCGATGATGCCTATCTGATAAACAGCCTGTTGATACCCATCTCAGTGAAGCTAAGATTCCCAATCCTGAGTTACATGCACACAATATTGCCACGACGATTCTCGAAGGTGGGCAGGCAGGGTGGCAAAACAGGTAAAAAGGAAAGAGAAGGACAAAGAAAGAGACAGAGGGAATGACCTTGACAACTCCGGTCGCAGACACGCAGCCGGGCTTGATATCGGGAGAACAACCACAAAATGCATATACCGGTACAAGTGTAGAATGCCGAAGTTGCGCAATAACCGGCTCATAAAGTCCCTGACTACCGTCCGAGTCTGGGAGTCTGGTCAACAGCAAGAGCGTTGAACCTCACGTAGGTCCGATTGCCACTGATCACGATGCGGTTAGGGGTAACGCGATGATCCGAAGTCGCAATCGCCACAAGGACCTAGAATAACAGCATAGAATTGTGCACTGGTTTCTTCTGGACCGAGAGGTGAGGATTCTCCGTATCGAAAGAAGTAAAACGAGCGTACTGTACAGCATCGGAGGTGATCGACCGGGATGTCGGCATGTCGAGCCATGGTGATCAATGGTATCCATCTCGATCGAGTATAGAATTGCAACATGCGGAGTTTGGAGAGACGCTTGTCAGCGAGATTGGTTGCACAGCACTATGACCTGAGGCAGGCTAGTATGACGCCATCATCTGGGTTCTCTTGTCTAGACGAAGAGGCATGCAGTACCGTATCGAGCGCGGCATCTACATAACGCTGCGGTAGTGGGTTCGTATTCGTCTTGCTGGACCGACTTGTCGCCTCTCCAGACCGGGCAGTGCCTTCGTTCACGGTCGCTCGTAGCCTTCTCTCAACGGGTGACTGAATCTGGCCTACGATTCATGAAATGTCTTGCCTCCTCGTTGCTTGGCCGTATCACGACTTACGGGTACAATAAGCTTTACTACCCTGCCGTTTCCGAGCATGTGATTCGCCATAAAAATCTTGTCGCCTCCCATGGAGAACCGCTTGACCTTGCAAATGGATATATAAATATATTGGAATCTCATCGTATAGGTCGCGATGCGGAGCATGTCGTCCAACTTCGCAGCGCCTGATTATCTCAAACTTCCCTACAACCGACATTTCAGTGCCCGACCATCTTGAGCGCTCCTTCGTTGTACCTGCGGACCCTCGCATAATTCCATCAACCCCTACATAAGATGCACCTCATCGTCAAGCCGGGTGTGCTCACCTTGCTCCCGCAGGCTTGGCATCTTCGATGATCACTCTAATCTCCCTGAGCTCATCTTCCGACAATTGGACGTCGGTAGCGCCAAAATTTTCCACGACCCTATCCGCGGACTTGGTTCCAGGAATCGGAATCGCACCTTGAGCGATCACCCAAGCCAACGCCAATTGCCCGGAAGTACAACCCTTCTTCCCAGCCAGCTTTTGGAATTCCCTGACCAGCCTGAGGTTTGCGTCCAAGTTCTCTTCGCTAAACCGAGGGATGGTCTTGCGGACATCTCCTTCGGCAAAGTCTGCTTGAGATTGATAGCTCCCCGTCAATACGCCCTTGCCCAGGGGCGAATAGGCGATGATGGCCACCCCGAGCTCTTTGGCGGTGTCGATCAAGCCGTTCTGTTCGTGATCGGTGAACCAGGGGGAGTATTCGATCTGAAGGGCATCGATGTGGGCGACTGGTAGGGAACAAGGCCGTAGTTAAGCAGAACAAGATCAAATCAGTTTGACTTCTCCCTTGTTCGTATATGGAAGGTGGGAATAGCTAGGGAACTCCGACCTACCCTGACAAGCCCTACGCAGAGTCTGAGCCGAGCATTCGCTCAGACCGATGTACTTGCATTTCCCATTTTCCTTGAGCCTTTGTAAAGCCGTAATCGACTCGTTCAGGTCCCTTCCCGGCTCGATCCGATGAAGATAATACAAGTCCGGGGTGAATCCGAGCCGTTCGATGGTCCCTTCGATGAAATCGTCGATATGGGCAGCAGAGTTGTTCGCCTTGCCCATCTGCTTGGTTTCGAAGTCGACCTGATGCAGCAAGGGCAGAAGCAAGGGAACACCAGCGGGACGCGTTTCGAATGAATGGGAATGAAATGCCTGAAGACCGACCTCGATGCCGCATTTCGAAGCGACAAAGACCTTGTCCCGACACCCTGCCTCTTTAATAAAGTCGCCGAGCAACTTTTCGTTGTGTCCAGCTCCGTACACCACGGCCGAGTCCCAGAAGACGCATCCGAGCTCGACGGCTTTGGCCAGAGTCTTTTTGCTATCTTCGTCCTTTGCCGGTCCATAACCCATGGAAAAGCCCATGGCGCTGTCGTTCGGAGAATCATCGTGTTGCGCGAGATGTTAAGACCTATGGTGCGCCGTTTGCGCCAATTCTTTGTTCCCGATCTTTATTGGTGGATCTTTATTCTTTAAACGCGACTTATAAAATAGAGGTATAATTTGGCCCAATTAGCGCCTATTTCGGCCAATTTGCCCCTAATCAGGTTCCGACATGACGGCATTGTCCTTACGGCATCGGCCTATTTTCCCGAAAACACCGATATTCCCCCCGAATTGGGTCGACTTTATGGTGCGCCGTTTGCGCCAATTCTTTGTTCCCGATCTTTATTGGTGGATCTTTATTCTTTAAACGCGACTTATAAAATAGAGGTATAATTTGGCCCAATTAGCGCCTATTTCGGCCAATTTGCCCCTAATCAGGTTCCGACATGACGGCATTGTCCTTACGGCATCGGCCTATTTTCCCGAAAACACCGATATTCCCCCCGAATTGGGTCGACTTACCCCTATCTTTCTATTGTTGTAGTTCAATATGTTTAGATTCTTGCGATCTTTTGACTGTCATTCCCGCTAACCGATATTCAACTGCATATCTAGTTACTGCTCCTTTGCTTTAGCAAATCTCCGTACAATCGCACACAACCACACAATCCAATTGCCTCGTTCCTAACACAATGGCCCCCCAGCTTTCCGACGCCGAATTTGACGCTGCTCTTCAACAGCGTCTTCGCCGTGATCCCTCCCGCTTCACCAACATCATGGAGCACTTGACAGGATCCTCCCCGACCTCGACTCAAGCAGACCTTGGTGCCTCTGCTACCCCTCAAATGGGAGCCGCTCGACCCGCCCTGGTCACTAATACTCCCCGTATCGCCGAGGGACACCCCCTGTCCGGTCTCCCTCGGCTTTACGGGAGCCATCCCGCTACAGGACTCCTCCCTCAAGGCCACTCGGTTCAAGGTCAACAAGGCCAGATGCAAGGGCAAGGACAAGGGCAAGGGCAAGGGCAAGGGCAAGGGCAAGGGCAAGGGCAAGGGCAAGGGCAAAGGCAAGTAGGCCATAATCACGCCACCCCAAACCAAGTCGGTCAGGGTCAAGGCCAAACTCACGGGCTTGGGCTCCCAGATCAGAGTCACGGCCAAGCCGTCCAGAACCAAGCTCACGGTCAGGTCTATCAAGGTGGTAACGCCTATGCTGCCCCTTCCCCCAACATGGGGTACCCGACCTACCCTCCTGGGTTGCCGATTCCAGGTATGCAATCATACCAAGCGGCCCATGGCGCGGATTCAGGGGTCGCCAGCGCCCTCCCGACGTATCGGCAAATGCCATTCGCCCCCCCTTCCACGGCTCTACAGGTCCAAGGGACCTTCCCGCACGCATCTCAGATGCTTAGTGGCCCCCGAACCTTCCCTGGCCTACCTTTGACCAAGGGTGGTGCCGCTCGAGCCAAGTCCAAGAAAGCGGAACCGGTCGAACCCAAATTTGGCAAAACGGGCAGCATGGTATGTGTATCTGAGGCAAGCTTTCGCTCGACATGATCCTGTTCGTCTTGCTGATCCATCACATCATTCCAGGTCACGTACATTGCCTGTGGGTCCCTTCTCCGGGAGCGACCGCGCCTCTGGAAAAACAAATCGGGCGGAGGTAATCTTTTCCATGAAGCTGTCGATAACTCGAATTACCGACTGCCAGTCCATTTCAGAGCGGACATGAGCCCCATCGAGATCGCCGAGGCGGTTTACGCTGCGTTTAGGGCAAAGTTGGGTCCCAACGCTCTGAAAGAGCCGTTCCTTTGGGCCAAATTGGGCCATGGAACTGCCAGTTTTCACCCCGTTCAAACCTGTCGCGCCTATCTCACCACAATCGCGGACCTCAAAAGCTTTTACCACGCTTCGTCGAACATGTATGTTATCTGCGAAGGTTGGGAAATTCCTGAAAAGGACAATCCCGATTGGCGCTTGATGATATCAGCCCTACACAATGTCGACTATGACCTTTTTGCGGAAGATCCAGACGAAGATGGCCTTCGCAACTGCCAAGGCTGCGGCAACCCCTATCCTCCCGCCCAAATGCCCCGTCACCAAGAGGTGTGTGCGGATTACATGGCTTGGGTCAACGAAACGCAGGCCAATGCATCCAACGATGCTATGGCCATCGCCCCATTCCGACCTGTATGGCAGCTTCCCAAGGCTAAAAACAAAGCATCGGGAAGCAAATCAGCCTCGATCAAGGACGTCAAGCCAAGAATTGAGGTCAAGCCTGAACCACGCTCTCCAATCCAGCGGCCAAGATCTCGCAAGACGGACTTGAAGGGCAAGGGCAGGGCAACCTTCCCGACGCCTCCACCTGAGACCAACCTAGACGATGAGTGGCTGTACGAGCCTATCGTGTTGATCGACGACAGTAGTGACGAAGATGACGACATCCAGGCGACAGAGGCGCCACTCCCTCCTCGGATCGACACTCCAGTCCAAGCAAGGCCCAAATCGGGGATCGATTTGCACGGCGACACTGTCGAGGCCTTGACGTTGGCTTCGGTTCACCCTAAGCTCGGCAGACGATGGCTGGCCATTCAACTCGCCTTGATCAAGACCCCTCCTGATGCAGTCCCACCTCCGCTATTGGAACCAGAACAGACTCCAACGCAATCCGTCGAATCCGACCAATTTGCAAGAGACGAATTTGCAAGGGAGATATTCAATCTGGGAAACGAGCAGTTCTTCGATGAACCAGAAGAGGAACCCAACATGGCGCCATCAGCCGCAAATTTGGGCAATCTCCCCGAGGAGAGGCAACCACTCACTGGTGACGATCACGACAACAACGCGCGTTCACCCACTGATGCAGTATCTTTTGACCTTGATGCTCTTCTGAATGGCCCTCAGGGTGAGTCTAGACTTGAGTTCACCTTGCCGTCATCCCTTAAATGGGCTCACACGAAACTATTCGACAAGACCATGATCCCCAACATCTCGTTGGGGTCGGAGCAGATCGTCAAGCCAGCACAGTGGATCCTGACGAAGCATTGGGGGTCGGCGGGGATCAGTCTAGGGACTCTCCTGGCCCAATTGCTTCGCCACAGCGTGCCATCGTCCCAGTTATTACACCTTCAACCCCAATTGGGAAAAGGCTGCGAAGGCGTGATCACCAACCCCACGCTTCTGACGTTGGCGCAAGTGGGCCATTGGGCAAGAGAGCTAGGGAAGAGTCGCATGGACAGGATACTACGTCTTTGGGAAAAAGGCCCCGACGTGCTCCGAAGCAATTCGCGGCTTTGAAATAAGACCAAGACCTGAGCCGACTTCAGTCGTATGTGTCTTCAAGGGTAAGTTGAGTCTATTTAAGCCAATTTCTCTCACATTGACCATCAACCGATAGTTCGTTCTAGGGGTTAGTTTGATCTGTCAGGACTGGACTTCGTTTCGTCTCGAGGCAAGATATGCAAGCGTATATCATATGTGAACCCATAAATCTAGACATTACTACAAGACAAAAAAGGGAATCGGCCTTACCAAGCCGAAGATACCACAACGAGGCAAAAGATCGAAGACGACAAGACTAGACGCGACCAAGAAGTATTCGACTCAAGAGTATTGAACTCAAGAGTGATTCGGCAGAACTTCACTTCCTCTTGGAAGCCCTGCTCTTCGAAGCGCTAGCCGGTCCGAACGGGTTGACGTCACCTTCGTCCTCGCCCTGGCCAGAGCCCGACTCGTCCGTCTCCCCCTCCTCGTCCTGTTCGGCTTCCTGCTCGAGCCTCTCGACGCAGGCAGTGATCTTTGCGGCAAACTCGACCGTTCCATCGACAAACATGTCGGCCAAATTGAGGTAGGCCTTGGCGGTAGGTAAGTCGAGCTTTTTGGACTCAGTCTTCGGGGTGCTCTCGTAGTAGGCTGTTCCGTTATTGGTCAAGGCCTCAGCATAGCTTTTGAGCGCCTCGATAACGTCCTCGCCCTCGCTGTCCTCGTCGTCGACCTCCTCCTCGACCTCGGGCTTCTTGGTGACCTTCTTGGCCCTGCCGGCCGCCTTGGACGATTCCGCGTCGGCTGGTCCAGAGGACCGAGTGGTCATCTTGCCGGCCCCAAACTTTGAGTTGGTCTGACCAAAGAGAAGACCAGCAGTCTTGCCGAGTCCGGCTTTCTTGGCCACACTACCCTGTTTTAAGGGCGAGGCGAGCTCTTGCTTGACTGACTTTTTCCCCTTGGCCTGGACTTTGGCTTCGACCGTGAGTCGAGCCTTGCGCTGTTTGGCCTTGAGGAGCATGGAGCACTGGTTGTTACCGGTCCAGTAGCATCGGGTGCATTGGACCTTGCCCTCCACCCAGCCGCAAACACCATAACGGTCGTTGCAGTCCCTCCAGATACCAGGCGCGTTGTTCGTGAAGGGTTTGGTCTGCGTGATGCACCACGAGCATCGCTCGTCGTCTTCGAAGATGATCAAGTCCTTTGCGAAGTAGTGGCTCTCGAGGCGCTATGAGATTAAGCCCGACTCAGCTCAATTTGCCTCTCAAGATTGGAACGGCACGGAATGGGAGACTCACAACCGCAACCTCCTGCTTGCTCTTGGTAAGCCGAAGAGGATTGGCCTGTGGGTCACATTACACATTTGCTGATGAGTCAATGCAATTGTGGGTTTCGCATAGAGACAAGTTATTTACCTTGCTCGGACTTGCTTGAACCCCTGCCGGGACAGGCGTGGCTTCGGGGGTCACATCGCGTTGCTTTTGAGCGAGAGCGACAAGGTCGCTCAACTTCTGGGGCCTTACACCGTCGTCTTCGTCGCCATCATCTTCCTCTTGCTCTTCGTCGCGAGGCTGGCGATCCTTGCGACGCTTTTCCTTTTGACGTTGGGCCTACAAGCAGTTGCGACAGGTCAGTTTGGGGTGACTTCGGTCAACTCGAGTGAAGAGTGATAACTTACGCGTCGTTTGAGTTCTTTGCTATCTTGGTCCTCTTGGTCCCGCCTCGATCGAGAAGCCTTCTTGTCGGCCTGGTTATCAATAACAGGTTACGAGTTCGGAACCAAGATCAGTGATCCTTCTCGCTGTGATCGATATGATAATAGGAGGGTAAACCGCAGAAAAGAACTGACCTTGTGCGCATGCTTAGACCTAGGCGATCGTTCGGCATGCTTGCTGGTGCTCTTGTGGCTCTGCACAGGACAAATACAGTCAGTCATACGATATTCAGGCCGACAAAGCTTATCTTGGGCCTTTTAAGGTTTCGATAACCAACTCACCTTGCGAACGTCGTCCTTGGAGACCTTGGAGTCGGAGTCGACCTCCATATCGTCGTCATCGTGATCGCTGTCGGATTCGGCGGATGAAGCGTCAGATGTCGAGCTTGCTCCTGAAGACGACCGGGTGGGAGACCTCCTCCTCCTGTGACGGGAAGAAGAGGACTTGCGATGTTTCTTGTGTCCTCGGTGGTGGGGTTTGTGTTGGTCCGACCCACGCTTCTGCCTGACTTGGCCCGAGTGCTGCTTGGGAGCTGTTCCAAGCTTGAAACTCGAGGGGTCGACAGCGACGTATCGACTAGCCATCCCAGGCGAGTTCAGCCCAGCCGTATGGGCCTCCGAGTTCGAGGCGTCTTCGTCGAGGGCAGATGGCCTTACGGGAACCAAATTAACGCCTTCGACACTCCCGTCTGCTCCCAAGGGATACCATTCGCTAACGCCTCCCACTCCATTGGGCTGCTAGTGATACGGGCGGGAGCAATGGAAGTCAGTGAATGAGATGAGGTATTCGCTTCCCTTACACGGTGACTTACGTTCACGTTTTGGACCCTGTAGTACATCCTCTGATCGTCCGGCTGCTGACAGAAGGCCAAGTCAGCGATATTCCACCCGACTAAGCCCAACGAAGCTCAACTTACGTCGTAAACAAAGTCACCTTCGGGCCTCATGTTCGTCTGGACCGACCTCACGTTCGACTGGTCGGACCTCGAGTTCGACTGGTCGGACCTCACGTTCGACTGGTCGGACCTCACGTTCGACTGGACAAAAGCCGGGCCGGGTTGCTGAGGACGATTCTTTTGCACGGTGGCTTGAATCCTCGTGGACTTGGCAAAGGTCTTCGCGGGCGACATTGAAGTCGGATTCGGTGAAGTTGGATTCGGTCCAATATCGGAAAACTGCGCAAGCAGCAAAGTGGAAACACGAATGAGTCAAGTACTGGATCGCGTACAAAAATGCTGTTACTGACAGAGTTGTAGTCGTTCCCGGGGGTCCCAACAGCGGCCTGTTCGATGACAGCGCTCTCATCGAACGGATTTCCTTGGGCGTGCTGTGCCATGGGCCAAGCCAATAAACCCCGCTAAGCGTTAGTAAGGTCAGGTTGAGCGAAATCGATAGGTGAGTACCCCAAACATACCTTCTGGAAGGGCTGAGGCTTGGTGGAACCTCGCGAGTCTTTGGGTGTGGCCTTGGAAGCAGTCTATTCGAAGAGCAATGACGCTCGGATCAGCCAAAGGAGGATCAAATCGAGAAGAACAGGCCGAGCGAGAAAGGACTAACGTTCGAGCCCGGGGTCTGGGACGAGAACTGCAACGGTTTTTGCTTCTTCGAGCTCGACCGGGCGGAACTAGCGAGAACCTCGTCGGCAGCGGTGGACTTCCTCTTTCTTTGCTGCTCGTCCCGAACGCTGGCGGGAGCACGGGGAGGGGATCGCTGGGGATCAAAGGTAGAGCCGTCGGGAAGCTTAGGCAAGTTGAGTGGGGCTTGTTCGTTCATGGCTATCAACGAAAGGGGTGAGTACAAGTACAAAAAGTGAGAACAAGGGAGCAGAGACTAGATAATACTGACTTTCTTCTTCCTCCGCTTGAGAATCACGTCGCGATGCGCTCGCTTGGTCGTCAGGCGGCTGAGTCGACGGCATAAGGGTGAATATGGGAGAATTTGAGCAAATAGGGGCAAGATTGTGTGTGCGGTGGAGAGATTGTGTTAAAGGATGAACGGATTGGTAGAGTAAGTCAAGTCGAGAGGATAGTTTGTTGTTATGAATCGTGTCGACGTGTCGGTTTGTTATGATTTGATGGCGACGACGGCCAAAAACCTGAAACACAAACGATTTGGCTCGACTTGGGCTTTCTCACGCGTCACAATCATAGAATCTTCCAGAAATACAACATGATGACGACATGAAGTCAGAACGCATTTATGACGTCGTGTACATACGCCCGAACAGCCAGATACTGGTGGATCGCTTCGTGCATGGTAGGCCAGTGCTTGTTGGGGAATCTCTGTTGGATCTGTTGGTCGAATTCGTCCGACAGAATGTATTCAGGGAGGTGATCACGAAAGCGGGAGACGTTGACATGGGGATCCCTGTTTCTTGGCTGTCTAGTCTGATCCATGATAGGTTCGGTAGCTTGCATTCGGGTAGCCTGTATCATGGAGTGCCGTAGGGCGACCTCACCCGCATTGTCGGCCTGAATGGGGAATAAGTCCAGATCAAAACCGTTGTTGTAGGCTTCCATCATGCCTAAGCAAGTCGATAGAGTCAATTCAACCCTGACGCTGGCAGCATGAGGCCTAATTGGGTCCACAACTTACCGCGATACCACATTTGAATAGGACTGAGACCACCAAGTCCTCGATTCGACATGCCATGATGATTCCAGCCGTCGATGTAGTGGGTCAAAATGTAATTGATGTATGGTAGAAAGACGTAGTGTAGGCAATAGAGGTCCACAGGCTCATCACGATACAGATCGTGGGCCTGCTCCATCTCGAGGAACAGATGGGAAAACATCTGTGTGACCGATTCGCCTACTTGACGCCATTGCCGTTCGATTCGAACGTTACGGGTAGATGGGCCGACCAGGTATGAGCCTCGATTTTCGCCTATGTTGGATGGACAAGAGTCAATAGCAAATAAAATAAGAGGGGACAATGTGTTTGCGACTCACCTCGCACAGCTATCATCAGATCTCGAACCCCAAAGTTTTCCCCCCCATGATCTGCTCGAACCCGTGACGGCCACCCCCATCGCTCTGTAGCATGAACGAAGCTGGGGGTAACAGTCTCGGCCCGATTGTTGTCTGAAGCATGCATAAACACGATGAGCCGGCTTTTGCCATCGACACAACCATGTATGACAATTTTCCAGTTGATAAGCTTGTGTTGACCGTCCATGTGCCAGACTGAGTTGATGAAGGGTACATCGTACTCCCTTCGATGGAGAACTTGGGCTCTTCGCATCATATGTCGGTAGGGATCCCTTGCTCGCATGATATCTCTGACTTGCTGTCTTGTTACGGTAACGTTTTGGGCTCGAAGGAAACCCATAACCAGCCTCTGACCAGTGCTTTCGGGATCGATTGTATTGATGACTTGAGCAATCAGCTAATATAAGTTTAATTAGGGCAGCGATGCGTGAGTTGGGGCTGCTTGAGTGATGTCGTGTGTGAGCTCACCTGCTCAAGGTCATGTTGGGGCACGGCGTGCTTCGTTAGACGCTTGGTCATTCCTAGTTCGGTCCGTCTACGAGTTATAGTTCGGCGAGATGTCCCCAAGGTCGTTGCAATCAGGCGGTCAGGGAATCCAAGACTCGAGTAGAAAGACAAGATTTCCGGAGAAATGTCGTTGATCGAGATGCGAGAATGAGGGGCATGGGAAGGCACGATCGGCTGTGATAGATCACCCGTCCAAGCTTGCTGCAACTTGACAAGTTGCTCAGACACGAGAAGTGTTGCGTGGACGTGATTCCGGTAGGTTTGATGTGGGAGTCGGCCCCGAACAACATGTTGCAGGAAGTGAAGGAGCTCGTCGGTGTCGTTGATGTAGGTCGGGGCAAGGTAAGGGTCACGATCGAGAGGGTCTTTTGCTAAGAAGATACGGATGGGGTCTAGTTCGCGGTTAACGATGGCGGCAACTGTAGTGGCGATACTCTGAGGGTCCATGTTAGCTTGGGGTGAAGGTCGACGATGTGATGGTGGAGAGAGTAAGGGATATGTGAGGCTATGAGATCATATTTGGGTCGAGTTAAGGGTACAGGCTAGAAGGCGGAGGGGATTAAGGGCAATGGCCGGGCTCATATTGGCCCGAATAGCCCGAAGGTGAGGGTTTGTAAGCTGAATTCGGGTTGAATAAAGATCAAGATTGTAAGTCGATTTGGGTGTAATAAAGGTTAATTGGCTCAATTTAAAGATTGAGATTCGGTCGATAAAGAATTCGGGGGAATTTATAAGTCGACGCGTCTGGCGCAAATGGCCCGCCATAAAGACCACAACCTTTCAAGTTCTTGCGCGCTAGTCTCGCGCATCTGAAACGACTCACCCGAATCCGGGAACGGGGACTTGGGTGTCGGCGAATGGAAGCGTTCTCACCATGATCGACAATTCGATACTTTGATGCGGAATGAGGTGCTGTATGAAGCGCGAAGATACTAGGGCGTAAATAATCCTATGTCTCATGTTCGAGCTGCTCTTATATACTACTGTACGTGTTGAGGGTGGAGGCTGAAGAGTGGAGGTTGGAAGCCCTAGGCGTGCGGACAAGAATCCGCTCTCGAAAGATACAACTCACACCTCTCATTGGAGGCCGGTCTGTGCCGCCAAAGAGTTCCGATCACGATGAATACTCTTGCACGCTCTCGCCCGATCTTATGTGCAGGGAAACGAGGTGGAGGAGCGCTCGCGTATTCAACAAGTGATGTCAAGGTGGTTTCCGAGGTGTACATGGGTTGCGATTGGTCGGCGAGGAAACCTCTCCACGGACCTTGTTATGCATGGGGTCTTTCCCGAAAGATGGAAGAGTGGAATACCACAGCGCAGGTCAATTTTCTTACCTCGATAGGTCACGTCACCTCCCAGTCACGTCCCGCAAGACCAGAACGACCGCACAGAGCAAAGGATCGATTTCCACAACGGACGCCAAAGTTCACCTCCCTTGCAGCAGTCACACTTGCTCCGGTACACCTACCAGTACAGTTGAAGACCGCTCTATCGCAGACCAAGACCAGCTGGATTATCCAAAAGGCAAATGGTCAGTGATACGCCCTTGCGACGTGCTGTTGTCGAGGCGGATGGCAATACCTGCATGGGCAATGAAGGGTTTCGAAGGGGAGATCAAGTTACTCAAAGAAGCGACTTTGAGATCCGAGCGTAGTCATAGCTGCTCATATACGGGATTGATACTAGAGGGAAAAGCAGAGCGATTTGCAGGACTGGAGGTACAGACGCAGGACAGTCGTACCACCCTCTCTCTAGACGGCCCTGGCTGAAAGACTCGGGACAAGATTTGATGCAGTTTACAGGTGTGCCAGATATCTATCGTCGTTATTCATACGATACAACATCATCCTTGTCTTGTTCTCTGACAACCCCCTCATCCGCACTGCGATACAACCGAACGTCTTATTCTCCCACACCCATCGCGTCAGACCCAGCGTCTTCAGTCATGCCAAGAACTCAAATCCCCCTCAACAGCCTGCTCCACAGCCTCTTCGATCGGCGTCGAGCCTTCCATGAGGTCCCAGACTTGTCCGTACGAGCCCTTGTCGAGCATCGTAGCTAGGATGATTTCTCCTACCGTCTCTCTTGGCTATGAATACCGATTCGATATCGATATCGGATCAAGGTGGACCGCGATTGCAAGATTTTTCAGGGATCACGAAAAGTTATGGGGGATAAACCATCAGCTCAATTAGACTTGCGGAAACCTGGAAACCTCATACGATCCGGACTGCGGTACTGACCACCTTGCCTAACTGAGGTCTCCCCAGCTCACACCTCCCATCCGTCTTATCATCCGTAAGCCCCCCTGGACGGATGATGGTGAACCTCAAAGACTTTCTCGCGTACAGGTCCAGATCGGCGAGTCGTTTGTATTTCATGTCTGCGACGTGACAAGGGATTTCGGTAGTTGCAGAGTGAGTGTGTTTGGCCGGGATTCAAAGATCGAGAGACGAGGGAGTGGATGGATACGTATCAGCTACTATAGCCATAAGAGGATCTCACAAAGGGCGGAAATTCGGAACGTACAGGCTGGGATGGCTTGATACATCCTATCACTCAATTTCCCTATGAAACACGAAGCCCAAAACATGCGAGGACGATTCAGCTTCAAGCTCGGGACGATCACCTCAGGGAACTTAGGTGAGATGTACGGGAAGCCTCGTTATAGTACTCCGGGTAACCTTTCGAGGTGTCTGCGATGCACAAGGGAAATCGGTTAAGCACAAAGTTTAAGAGATATAGTACTGTGTACTTCTGGGAATGTGCCGGATGCTTTGTAATATCATAAAGGTCGAAGTGGGCTTACCCCGGAGGTCCGTTGCGGATACCATGACGATCCGATGAACGTTGGCACTCTCCATAGCGTCAAACACCTTCAGAGCACCTTCACATTCGTAAGAATACGTAAACAAGCGAGAATAACGAATCATCGATTAGCTACTTCAATCAAGGAACAAAGAAAGATGGCGATACCTCGACATAGACTCACCTTCATAATCCACCGCCTTGGTCCTCTCTTCCCCTCCCTTCCCCCCAGACCCGGCACTGAAGACCACCCCATCCGGTTTCTCTGCATCTAAGAGTTGAACTATATCTTGTACGGAAGCTTCTTCCAGGGAGAGGAGGTGTGGTCGGGCGCCGACGGATTTGATCTCTTCGTCACTAAGTTATGCCCAGTGTTATATACGATCAGTGACAAGTGAATGGAAGATCACGACTGTAATGAGACAGCCTAGTTAAATAAAGATTGGCTCACTGAGAATCGTTCCTGACGACAGCAATAACGCTATGGCCCTTCTTAATGGCCGAAGAAGCGAACTTGAGGGCGACCTGTACATCGGAGGATCATCAGCGATCCGAACGCGATTCGAATAGCCGCGACCTGTGTGCGACTCGCCTTGCCGCCTCCGCCGAAGACTACGAATTTGGACATCCTTGCTTGAATTGCTTGATTATGGTATCTCTATACAGTATATGAAGTATATGAGCACGGCGATACAACCACTACGATGAATCCGAAGTCGATACTTGGTTGTTTCTCTGTTGAACGCCCTCAGAAGAGACACGTCATCATCGATCGAGGAACATGATCACGTGATCCACTGCCGGAGGGTGAACGCGTTTCATGCTGCGTTTCACCTGAAGTCGCTCCCCGTATCCCTTGTCAACATCTAACTGCGCAATTCTCTGTGGCCTATGGAGAACGGATGGGTGTTGCGGCTACAAAAGAGCTACATGAGATACAAGGCATTGCTAGGATTGACAGCAACGAAAAAGGCGTGTCGTAATCGAGGAGCAGAAGCTTAAGTGTTCGGAACCGCCTCAACAACGGTAGCTACAGACGCCGGTACCTCTGTAAACGAGACCACCTTGTCTTCATAAGGTAAAGGCGCCTGATGAGCCGAGATGCTGTATGTTGCTACAGGTCGGTATTGCTTGTCACCCTGAGTAATGGTCGCGAGGGCGATCTCTCTAGTATAGTCAGTCACATAGATGTACCAAGGTCCTCCACATTGTTCACCGCTGTTGTTGTCAGTGCAGGGGGTGCTGCACATGGTCTCATCCACTCTCTTGGCCTGGGAGGAAAAGGTATTCCACACTTCCATTGTGCCACACCAGCATTCATTACCTGCAACATCCCAGATGAGCGTGTGTCCACCAGTCAGTCACAGACGTACAGTAGACCTACCGTTCTCTACTCCAGCATAGCTGAAACCCTCTGACACACAAGCTGCATTGCATGCAGTATTCGACATCTCATCAGTAGCAATGAACGTCTTTGGTCGTTCTGGGAGAAGTCGGGCGTCCTCTCTATCCTCGTAGCATCCAAGGGGGATTTTAATCATGTCCTTTTGCAAGTCTCCGGTGTCTCTTTGCTGGAAAGGAGATGCTTTTGCCATCAAGGCGCAAAGGACTGGCAAGAGTGTGATGGCGGTTGTCCTAAAGTTCAGCATTTTTTAGTTTATTGGACGGTAATGTGATGATCTTGATTTGGTCTGTTTCTCCAGTCAGAAACAAAGTATGCCGACCACTTCTTACAATATATACCCCGCCGGTGCGATGGCACAAATGTGAAACACCCCTCAGAAACCCCCTTGACTCCTTTGAAAGACAAGGAGTTCTCAGTGGTGAAGCATTTTTAGGGCACGTGATCAGCTACCGGATCGAGGGCGTTTCATGCTGCGTTTCACCTTGAGCTTTGACTGCCGCTCGGTCAACCACCCGTAGAACGTGATGCTTGGAACAATCTCGTTCGAATATCGAGTCTGTGAGCAGTCTACAAGATTAAGTGCATACTAATAGGATCCTCTGCTTTTACCCAGCATTGCCACCAGCACACAGGATATGTATCGGGGCGACATGCGCCTATCAAGTCGCAAAGAGGGAGTCAACAAAACCTGGAACTTAAGCTTCTTACTCGCTAGGGATTTGTGCATCTCCCATTCATATCGTTCTCGTACATCAAAATCGGGATCATCGGATAGCCAGGGATGGTTTGACTCGACACGGACTTGGTCCGATAGATCAAACGAACTGTGATATGGAAGAGGTAGTATAACTATTGACCCGTGGCCACTAAGCTACGATATCATCTAGATCATCCGCCGTATCATTGACCTGATCGCAGCCGCATGTTTCATACAAGAAAAGGGATGAGTCCATCGGATACAAGAAGCATCATTCAGCACAAGGCATCCTCGCCGCTAGGTTCAGGAACGACGGAATATATGTACCTGATCAAGGAGTGGGTGTAAGGCCCGGGAGCGGCCCCCGATGGGGGTCCCCCTGGACAGGCTGACGGGACGCAGGAATGAGGCAAGGTATGGGTAGACATCTAGATGTAATAACGGATTCAGAGCTATTACAGAGGTACTAGTTCTACATCCAAACAACAACACCGAAAAGTACCCCCGACGGGAGTCGCATACGGGAGTCGCGTACGGCGTGTCCGACGCGTCACGTGACCACCATAACAGGATCCCCCTCCTAGATGCGAGCTCCGAACGCATCAAGCGTCGGCGTACTCCTGTCGACCGGGCTGCGGTAGGTGGGGGTAGCGCTTGGGAAACGCTGCGACAACCTTGTCGTCGTGATCGAACTCGGCGGGGCTAACCCACTCGTTCGATTCGTCTCCGTACCCTTCGAATCGCACTAGGTACTGGGTCTTCTTCCCGGACCTCCCGGATCGCAACGCTTTCGAGTGTACGATCTCGGACACGACATACCCCAAGTCACCGTTGTCGAGGACTTCGGGGGTAGGCGGTTCAACCACCTCTCTTCCTTCCAGCTCGTTGGCCCGATAGGGGATGAGCAACGACACGTGGAAGACGGGATGCACCCGGCGTAACTGCGCGGGGAGTTCCAGCCTCCTCGCCATCTTGCTCTGGCCGATGACTTCCGTGATTCGGAAGGGTCCCAGCGTCTTCATCGAGAGCTTCTGGCTGGGGCGCACCGACGTCAAGTTCTTGGTAGATAACATTACCAGGTCCCCTACGTTGTAACCCTCGTCAGGGACGGCGGTACGCTTCCGATTTGCGTACTTCGCCATGTCTTTCCGCGCCTGTTCCAGCGCCTCCTTCACCGACTTGTAGATCCCGTCGAGTCGATCTCGGTACTCTCCCGCCGATTCCACCGCCTCTTCCCTAGTGCCGGGCACTGGCAGGGAGAAGGTATGTTCCCTTCCCTCGGACGCCATGAATGGCGACATCCCGATGGCAGAGTGCTTCGCGTTGTTGTACGCGAACTCCGCCATGGAGAGTAACTCCGCCCAATCGTCCTGGAGGAAGTTGACGTACGACCGCAAGTACTGCTCCAAGGTGGAGTTACTTCGCTCGGTCTGTCCGTCCGTCTCCGGGTGGAACGCCGTGGAGTAACTATTCTCCACGTTCGCCATGCGGCACAGATCTTTCCAGAAGCGCGAGGTGAACAACGTACCTCGATCCGAAATGATCTGCTTCGGGAACCCATGCAAACACACCCATCGGTCAAGGAATAACCGCGCCAAGAATGTGGCGTCGTTATCCTTTCGACAAGCGACGAAGTGCGCTCGCTTGCTGAACCGATCGACGATCACCAGGATCGAATTGGACCCCATAGACTCGGGCAGGTCCGTGATGTGATCCCAAGTGATCGATTCGTATGGTCCCGCCGGTACCGGCAGCGGCGCTAGTTCGCCGACAGGCTTCATTCGGGGTCGCCGGTTGCGCTGACATATGCTGCAGCTAGCGACGTACTCCCCGATCCACTTCGCCATCCCAGGCCAGTAGAAGTCCCTACTGGTTAGCTCCACGGTCTTGTCCCGCCCCCAATGGCCGGCGGCCTTCCCGTCATGTAGGCGCTTCATCAGCTCTACCTTGATGTTCCCCGCGTTAGGAACATACACCAACCCGTTGTACAGGAGAACCCCAGTGGGGCTCAAGCTGTATCGCTCATTCGCCAAGGTCCCCGCCTTGAGCTGCGCTACGAGCTCTTTCGCCACCGGGTCGTCCTGCGCCGCCGGTATCAGCGCTTTCACCATCCAATCGCCCAGTGCGGGGATGGTGCCATTCAACCGCAAAGGCGGTCGTTCAACCGGACTACACCCTTCAGGGGGTGCGTCTTCGACAGGCCGGAGCAGAGTCTCCGCTCGCTTCGGTTCTGTCTCCTCCATCAACTCTTCCCGACGACTCAACGCGTCGGCCTTCCCGTTCTCCGTTCCCGGCTTGTACTCCAGGGTGTAGGAGATCTGGTTCAACAGCTGCGACCATCGCGCCTGCCGTTGGGACAATACCTTGTCCCTCTTGAAATACTCCAAGTTCTTGTGATCCGTGAGAATCCGAACGGGGTACTTGTTGTCGAGATAATGTCGCCATATCCGACTGCAATAGACGATGGCCAACAGTTCCCTGTCGTGCACATCGTAGTTCCTCTCGGCGGGCGTCAGACTCTTTGACATGAACGCTACCGGGTGGAGCTTCCCATCGTCCCCTACCTGGGACATCACCGCGCCGATCGCTCCAGAGGAAGCGTCGGTCTCGAGCACCACTTGGCGCTCCTCATTGTAGTGCGCCAATATAGGCGCCTGGGTGAAGGACTCCTTCAATTCCCGGAACGCAGCGTCAGCGGCTGCCGTCCAGGAGTACTTCACCCCTTTCTTCGTCAGGGCCGTCATTCCCTGAATCTTCTTGGAGTAGTTCTGGATGAACCTCCGATAATAGTTTGCAAATCCTAAGAAGGACTGCAGTCCCCGAATGTTCTTCGGGGGAGCCCAGTCCAAAACGGACTTGACCTTGGAGGGGTTCATACTGACCCCCGTCGGGGCGATATCGTACCCCAAGAATTCGGTAGCTACCGTATCGAACTCACACTTCTCCGCTTTCGCATACAGGCCATTTGCCTGCAGCCTCTTCATAACCTCCTTGACCTGACCATCGTGGGTCTCCTGATCGGAGGAGTAAATAAGTATGTCGTCGAGGTAAACGACGACGCACACATCCAAAAGGTCCTGAAAGACCTCGTTCATCCACCGCTGAAAGGTAGCGGGGGCATTGGTCAAGCCGAACGGCATGACCAAACATTCGAACAGACCGAAACGTGTAGTAAACGCGGTCTTCCAAATGTCTTCTTCTTTTACGCGTAGCAGGTTGTACGCGCCTCGGAGGTCCATCTTCGTGTAGACCTTCGCGCCCTTCAACCTGTCTAGCGTCTCTGAGATGAGGGGTAGGGGCGTCCTATCCTTCACCGTAATGTCGTTAAGGCGACGGTAATCGATGCACATACGCATCTCGCCGCCTTTCTTCGGTACGAACAGTACCGGGCTCGAACAGGGCGACTTCGACGGCCTGATGAACCCCTTCTCCAAATTTTCTTTCAACCACTTCTTTAGCTCCTCGCTTTCCCGCTGGGAGAGGTTGTAGAGCTTCTGGTACGTCGGCGACGTACCGGGCTTGAGTTCGATCGCATGGTCGATCGATCGCGTCGGGGGCAGTGTATCTGCCTTCGTCTTGGAGAACGCTCCAAGATGTTCATGATACTTCTCCGGTACCATGTCCCTCAGCTTCTCCATATACTCAGGAGGATCCAGATCGTCCTGGAACGAGTCCGTGGGTTTGACGTCCCAATCCCACAGGTCCGGGCGCCTCGCCCGCTCGTCGTCCTCCCGGGTCATCTGCATCTGCGCGACGACCAAATCCTCCGTGATCGACCCCTTCATCTTCTTGAACGGGTCGATCCCTCGTGTCTCCACTTCTACTTCGTCCGGAGCATACACCGTCTCGGGCCTCTTGAGGCATCCCGTGCTGATGCAGACATCCCCGAACGTCACCGCGTTGGAGTCCCATTGGATATGCGGGTTGTGTCTCCGCAACCAAGGGATACCTAGTACTACCGGGTACCCACTCAAGTCGGTGAGGTGGAACTCGGTCAGTTCCAGATGCACTCCCGTACGTACCAGCGTACGAGCCTTCTGGGTGATCCTTCCTCCCTGGATCTCCCGACCATCAATCACCGTCACTACCCGCGGCGTCTCGAGGTCTGTCACGTCGAATCCATGTAGCGACGCGAATGTCCGATCCATGAACATCCCGGTCGCTCCCGAATCCAACAACATGAGTGCTTGGACCGGCACTCCTTCCGGGTAGAACACTCCTACCAACGTCAGATGGCTATCTGGACCGTTGGGTACTCCGCTTGCACCCAACTGCAAGGGGATCCGGCTACCTCCTCGTGCCCCCCCATTCGGGGTCCTTTGATGATCCGTTATTCTGTAAGGCCCGGGAGCGACCCCCGACGGGGGCCCCCTTGGACAGGCTGACGGGACGCAGGAATGAGGCAAGGTATGGGTAGACATCTAGATGTAATAACGGATGTAGAGCTATTACAGAGGTACTAGTTCTACATCCAAACAACAACACCGAAAAGTACCCCCGACGGGAGTCGCATACGGGAGTCGCGTACGGCGTGTCCGACGCGTCACGTGACCGCTATAACAGTGGGAGCCAGGGTGGGCTTCATAGCCTCTACAACAACAGCAACAGATGCTGATGCCTGACCCCACTGGACCCGATTCTCCCATACACCTACAGGTTCCTGATGAGCGGCTACGCTGTACGTCGCTACTGGCTGATACTGTTGACGTTCTGCAGCAGTAGCTGAACCGGAGATAATAGCTGTAGTGTCCACATTTCTGGCGTAGTCGGTGACGTCGATATACCATGGCCCCCCACATTTCTCGTCATTATTACCAGTGCAGGGAGTATTGCATTTCTCATCGTCCACCTTGGTAGCCGTGCTTGTCCATGTTCCGAATGTCCCACACCAGCATTGTTCCCCTACCGAAAAACAAACGAGAGGGGTCAGCAAAGGCTCAGTGAAGTCTAGAGGAAAACTCTTCAACTGACCATTCTCTACCCCAGCAAAATTGTAGCCTTCTTGGACACAAGCAGCGTTACAAGCTTCCTTCGTCAGCTTGTCATGAGCGATGAATGTCTTGGGACGATCAGGAAGAAGGCGGTTGTCCTCTTTGTCTAAGTAACAGCCACGCGATAACTTGACCACGTCACGCTTGGCCATAGGGCTATCTCCTTGTAATGGGGAGGCTTGGGCCATCAAGGCACAAAGGAGGGGTAAGAGACTGATGGTGGCCGTCTTCAACTTGATCATCTTTGATTATGTGGAATGATAGTGTGATGATCTACCTATCCTGTACAACATACTCTGCGAATCTCTTCTTACATACCCCCCGGCGCGATGGCGGAAACGTGAAACACCCCTAGACAACCCCCTTGGCCCCTTCAAACCACAAGCATCTCTCAGGGCCGAGGCAGGTGGAAACAAAGGATGTTTTCGAGCATCGCAAGGCTCGGCTCTGGTAGTCTCCGCGGGTGGCAACGGAGCGTTACCGCCCAAAGATGGTTCTTTGCCCGAAGCGGTGTGAGCAGAGGATGACATATTGGAATTGTCGTTGTGGGACGATTCTCCGGTGGCATCACTCAAGGGAGAATGCGTCTCGCCGTCACTGAACCGGTTAGTATGAGTGGTTTGGGGCTGTTCATCTGCGGTGAGGAGACTGGAGTCGTTCATAGACGCAGGTGGCGAAGGCATCTGACAGTTGTCCCATGAGTACGGGCTATGTCAGTACGAACGTTTGTATCGGAATAGAATTGTCGAACGATCAGAGAGTATGGGAAATGGGAAGAGTACGTACAACTTGGTATCAAATGCAAGTCCAATTGTAGCGCTTGAATGGATGATGCTGTAAAATTAGGCAAAAAGATAGACTTCATTCCACTCTTTCCTCTCGAGAAACCGTCGCCCTTTATACCTATAACCAGGAAGCATAGCCAAAGCTCTTCAGCCACACACTGGGTGATCGGTCTCGTGATCACTACCGAAGGAGTAATCCTTAGACGCAAGATACAGATCGCGTGACGAGAGCCAACGGCACGCGACAGAGCTGACATGACGATGCAATTCCATAAATCAAGCACATCATATCACGAATTCACGAAATAAAGACACTGCCACCTGGACCATACAGCTCGCACCATCAACGCAATTACTCTATCTGACTCCTGAAACACCTCGAAAGCGCCTTTCCGTGGCTGAACAGGATCAGCCTAGAACCCACTTCTTTATCTTCGAGATTCTTCCTGCCTTCACGTGATGTAACGAGTCTGACGGACGGTCAGCAACCCCTCTGGAGCTCGAACGATCCTTTTCGAGTGCGGCTAACAAAGCTGTATGGCGGCGGTCCTGGAGCACGTGTAGCCACAGCTCCAACTGTGCCAGGAAAGCGCCTTCAGACAAATTGTCCTCGTTAAGCGTGGGAATCGTCTGTTTGACGGTGTCCTCGAGGTCTATTGCCTGGAAGAGCCAACGGAGGGAAGATGACTTTTCGGATTGGGCTAATAACTCCTTGTGCTTGGTCTTGAGCAATTCGAAATGCTCTTTGTCGATTGGTGGATATCCGATCTCGTCCTCAAGGTCAGCGTTCTCCTTCATGGACGCATCTGCCCTGGAGTGCTCGTGGCTCTGTCGTGGATCATGTGACCTCTCAGACATAGGCGAACTTCTGGAAGTCAGATCCGGTATTCCGGCCTCGGAGGTTCTATCGAGACTGTAGACATCGTCTCTAGGGATCGATTCGGCATGAGACGCAGCCTTCGAATGCCCAGTGGTGATATGCGTACTTCCGGGCGATTGAGTGTAGACACTGTCCCGGTCGTCTTTGGGTTGGTTTGCCAAGAGACCCTCGGCGACTGACTGAGTTTCAGTGGACTGAGTGGAAGGTTCAGGCATGGTGTCTAAGCAAGTACAGAAGCAATATCGGATTTATTAGTAGATAGCTCTCGATTTTCGAAGAGGATTACAAGTCTTACGATTTCGAGAGAGTTTTGTGTTGGGAAAGAGCGAAACGACGAGATCGATTGATATCAGTGGCATGACAAGAAGCATACTCTCTTTCCATTTCCCTCTTCAACAATAGCCATATATACCCATTTTTGCAGGACGGATTAATGAGGAGATGCTTGGATATGTCGAGGCAATTAATCCTTACTGAACAAAGGAGCAATCACCCACTTGCTTCCGACGACTCGCTGTCCTATATGAGTAATAGCACCGCGGATGATCATCAAAGTATTTAGGAATATTGAATCTGCTGAGAGTCCCCCATCAATCCTCTTGACATCATGCGAGGCTAGCTTGGAGTTTATCTCGAGAGGCTGTTCTTCTGTCTCCAGGGCCATTCTTCCGCCTGTTGCTACCGTTCACAACGCCACCGCTGCCCGAACAGCGCGTTTCACTTCGCGCGTCCACGATCATGCGCCACCTTATATAACAAGAACCTGCCAATGGTAGAACGATATTGAACTTCACTTGCTTTAAACCCCTCGCACTACCGCAGAATCGGGTCGGATCACCCTTCAACTGCTCTGGTCATGAGTTCATGGGAATTGCGTCGCCTGGTTTGATCACCAAAATACAGAGAGAGAGGATTGCATGTGCCGTATCTTACCTACCTATTCCTTGCACCCTTGCGCATTGTACTCGAGTACAATGATGCAGCCTATCCTAGCGTTCATTCTTTGCCTTTCCTGAAACACCTTGATTCGCGTGGAGTTGCGTGGTTTGGGCTTAGCCTCGTTTGATACCAGAATGAGAGGATGCCAACAATTTGTTGAAGGCCTGGGTAGTAACAAGGATGTCAGCACGCAGTGTATGAAGCTTGTACCACTTTGCTCTAGGGACTCACCTCGTCTCGGTTGGCGACAAAGGGGAAAGTAAACTTCTGTTCAGACCAATCACCGCATCAGCACAGATCACTTGTACCAATCACCGGGCTTGCAGGCAGTAGACCGATCAGGAGTAGAAGACTTACCCCAGCTGACAAAGTCTCGATCTCTAACCCGGACGATATCGTAACCCCAAGCGTCGACTTCTGTATCTTGCCCAACCCCGAGACCTCGTCCATCGGGATCCTGACCTCTTTGCCGTCGACGATGACCCCATCCTGGTCCGGCTCGATGGCTACAGTAGCCTCCGGGGCAGGCACGATTGCGGTATTGGGGTCGGAATCGATCTGAATAGGTACTTGATCGGCGGGAATCTCCTTGGTCTTGTCCTTTTTCTTGCCAGAGATGAATGGAGCGAATCGAATACCGGTAGAGGATATGAACAGGGTTCCCGGGTTACCGTTATGATGAGACAAGTACGCTGGGATTCGCAGGTCATCATGAGCGGGCCCTTTTACCAGCTATAAAGTATCTTTGCGCTTACTCATGCTATCGGTCGTATAGGCGGTATCACGGCTCTTGGTGCGGAGGACGATTCCGCCGCCGATACCACCCAGAGACATACGTTTAGCTGCAACGACGTCAGTTGGAACCTGCGCAAGCCCAATCTGCATCAGCGACAGGACATTGTCGACGTGACGCGACCCCGCTTACTGCATCCCAGTCCTTCTCGTTCCGCAAGAACGACAAGTCCAGCGACCGTTCCCCTTGCATATACTGCCTACCCGTCTCTAGCCACTTGTGACCCTTGCTGACGGTACCCAGGTCTTGCTCGTTGACATCCGTCCAGCGACCAGCAGATTCCGCTTTGACCTCGGAAATTATCGAGCTCGTCTCGTCTGTCACAGCGGTATCAGGGTTGGTAGTGATATTCGTACTGGTACTGTCCCCCCGCGTGTGTGTCTGCGCAGGGATGTTCTTAGGCGCCTTTTGCTTTTCGGCTTCCTTCCATACTTTACCCTCGAGGCCGTACTTGCGAATTAGGTCGAGGGCGTCTAGTGAAAACGGGTGGTTGATTAGCGTGGACGGCTCTGTTTGACTTCGGATCAAATACCTACGCTCGGCGTCAGTAGGAGCATCTCCCATCATCCACCTAACAAGGCCGGAAACCCGACTGATCAGCCAGATCATCCTGTGATCGTCCGGTTCGACGGAAGACTCACGCCATGGGATCATAAACCGGTAATCGGGCGACGATCGGGATGACAAAGAACATGACCGCGAAGATGGCCAGCTCGATGACCTTGACAAAGATCCACGTCGGCGTAAAGTAAGTCGCGAACATGCCGACGACCATGCCCTGCCAGAATGCGGACGCAAAACACATATCAGCAATCAGATAAGGCAAAGGAATGTGATTTCGGGGATCGACTCACGACAGCAGCCTTGACGGACGCTTCCGGTCGTTTCCAAGCGAACAAGCTACAAGACCCCCCTCGATTAGCTTGCACGTAACCTTTCATTCCCGACCTGAACCTGCAACTCACTTCATGATCTTCTCGTGCATATCCGCCAGATCGTTCAGGACCAACTGGATCTGCGCTCCATGTTCCCTCTGAAACGTCTCCCAAGCGCTGAACAACTTGACTTTACTCCCCGTCGACGTCTTTCCCGCATGGTCTTTGAGCTTAGCTTTGCCCTTCTTCTTCAACCGAGAAGCAGCCTGAGAGGTAGCCTGGTTGATCTTTTCCGAGACGTCCCGGGTCTTGTCCAACAAGTCGACATTGTCATCATCCGAGTCGGAACTAGTATCAGAATCCGAATCGGACGATTCTTTCGTAAAGGTCGTCTTGAAGAACCCCTTCCCCGCTGGCTTGCCCTTCTTGTCCGCGTTCTTGTTCTTCTTCTTATCAGCCTTTTCCTGCTTCGCCCGCTCGATCTCTTCTTGCTTCTTGACACCCGCCAAGAGCCGTTCTTGCAATTGTTGAGCGGACTCGGGCGAGAACCTCGGTTTGAGGAGGGTATATAGAAGAACGCCGATGATGAACGGGAGAAAGGTGGATGTGAGCATCAAGATCAGATAGATCTGGAAACCCCATCCCAAAACAATCAGAGGGAGAAAAATCAGCGTCAGTCTCGATATAATGACACCTGATCACGTCACAGACTATGACCATAACGTCGACTCGTACTCACACCCATCCACTTCAAAGTCCACCCGATATCATCCCACATAACAACCCCTCCCAACCCGACCCCCAACCTCTCCCAAGGCCCAGCCCGGGCGGTCGAATATAACCGCGTCGAAGCGGATTTGAACCTGGCGATCGTAAACTCCGGCGTATTCGACGAAGTCAGGGTCGGGGTCGGGTGGATGGGGATGGGATGGGGGACGTTGAGGTGGTAAGTGAGTTTCTGAGTATGAGTATGATCACATTATCGGGGATGAATGCGACGATCAGTATGTTCCTAGGTGTTTCGGGGGGATTTGAGAGGATTAGGCGGGGACTCACGGCGAGGTAATAAGCGAACCAATCGATCTCCCCCGCATCAACCGGCTTGATCCCCCCTTCCTTCCCCTCTTCCTTCCCATCCCCATCGTCACCTTCCCCTTGCACTCTCACCTCCAAGCCCAACTCTCCCCCAACCTCAGCCGCCGCCTCTTCCCTCCTCGCGATCCCCTCCCTCTCCTCAGCATCCTTCTTCTCCGCCTCTTTCACATCCCCATGGGTTTCCAGCAACTGGGAGGAGATGGGTTTCTTCCTTGCGAACTCTGAAGGGATCGGGGCTCTTCGTGCTGGGGCGGATGTTGAAGGTTTCTTCTTCTTCGGAGTCGGGTTTAAGCGGAGAAAGTCGACGTGCTGCGTAGCGTAGCGTAGTGTGCAAGATAAGATGACCCAAGGAGACGAACCGAGTAAGCAGTCGGCGAAGGAAATAATGAGAAAAAGCTCATAAGAGATAAGAGACACCAAGTCCATCTAATCTTCCCATACGACTACATACCTTGGTGAAATTGTTCATATACCGCTTAATCTCCTCCTGCTCGACCTGTTCCCTCAAGACCTTGACGTCCTCGGTCTCCTCCTTTGATAGGTTGGCGACGGTGTTGATCCATGTTTGCGGGGAGAGCCAGTTGTTTCCCACTTCATCTTTCCTCGGGACCGAGTTGGAATTCGGTAACGATTTCGAGATTGAAGATGAAGATGAAGTGGGCTTTGGGGCTGGTTTCGAGGTTGCGGTGGACGGGTCGGTAGATTCTGTGGAGACGGTCGACCTGGTCTCTCCCGGTGTAGCCACGACGGCTGGTTCGGCGGGTACGATATCTACGACCGGAGTAGATTCGCGAGCAGTATCACCAACTACGACTTCGGCATCTATAACAATTGCAGCCTGCGAGACTTGTCGAGGAGGAAGACGAGGAGGTGCAACGGCTGCGGTAGCGGCATTGAGGGCTCCCCGCGGTGCTGTGCTCGTCCGGGGCGGTAACGGTGGCGGTCTGCCGGTGTTGTTCGACATGTCCTCTGCAAGTACTCTGTGTGGCAAGTAGTATGAGGTGAGTAGACAGGCGTGCAGACGGTAAGTCAATAATCATCTTTATACGAGCTGCAACTTATAAATTCGGTCAAAGCTGTGTCCCATTTGCTGCTCATCTGCTCACTACGTCATGGGTTAGTCGCCTCCGGAAGCTAATTTGTCTCAGAGACAACCCTCCCGGAAGCATATCTTACTAAATTAAACTCACATCGTCGTCATCGCTCATCTTCCTGCCCTGACTTGGTTTCACATCACTCGCAAGTGAAACGACCCTGTCTCGAGAACTCTACTGTAGCAGAAGGTTCACGTAGGAGTCAAGACCTCATGGCTCGGAGTTGCGGGCACCCCGGATGTGCGCTTGTCTCCGATCTTGACCCGCGGCTTGGGTACCGATCTTCCCCTTGAGGACGTCGGAGTCGATAGAGGTAACAGAAACAAAATAGCACCAGGTCAATCAGATAGCTGCGGAGGGGCAAAGGTTAGTATACCTGAGTCTCCCACTATCCATCTGAACGAACATCGACTTCACGAGCAGGGGCGCTAAAGGCCCACTTCGGCATCTCTTGACAAGCCCTACTAATGATATTCCGAATCCAGGTCACTTCTTAGAGTCACCGACGAGCTGTCCGGTCGTGATCAATCTTCAATACGTATCACCTCCATATCAACATGGTCGATTGAGATAGCCCATCCACCTCTACCGTCACGCAAAGCAGAAGTTGGGCAATTCATCGATGACGCCTGCAGGATCGCTTCACGGTATCTTGCCTCTCCTCGAGAGCTTGAAACAGCTTACCGAATCAAACGATTCGAGAACCTTGCATTACCTCATCCTTTTTGAAACAGCGTCGACACGTATTGCCTTATGATGGCGGTGGGAGGCGGTAGTTTGGAGGAATGAGTAACGCAAGGAGGGTTCCTTTATTGATAAAGGGTTAATTACAGCGAGAACCCAGTAATCAGATTCCGACCTGCCTGCGATCCTAGGCGTAAGATTCAGGTATATATGAACGTCCTTCTAGAGTTGAGAGCAGGTGAGGTAGATCCCCTATGTGTTATGCTCTTTCAACTTTTAGTACTTTACGAACCGGCGCGAACCTTTCTGCATTTGCTCCGAACATCTGTCAACAACTCCCTTCATCTGCTCATCTCCCTTCGCACGCAGACAAACTGTAAGACTTACTGATCCATCGCCGAGATCATCTTGCTGATATATGGTATACTGGTGAAGGAACAGACAGTATTTATGCGTACGCGTTCCAGTTCCAGCAAACTTCCCGATAACAGCGCCATGGAAGGGCTCGAAATGAATCCGGCCTCGAATACCGGTGGTAGTGCTCTGACCGGAGCACCTTCTGGGACATTCGAGACTGGGCAAGAATCAATGGTTACAGCTGGTTTACAAGATTTGCGTCTCTCGAATGATCCCGAGCAATCTGACGCGAGAAACTCTTCGAGAAAAGCGACGACCGGAAGCACTGCTGATTCTCAGGGGCACGGGGTCTCGGAAGATGAGACTTGCCTGAGCGAGACCTCTGAGCCCGAGGACGAAGGCTCTGAGGAGCTGGTGACTTTGACTGAACTTGGGAAACTCACGGACTGGCACAAGGAACTCGTCGGCAAAGGAGATAGTTCGAACATCGCCGAAGCCCGGAAAATCGAGGCTCACGTAGAACGCACGTGGACGACTCTTGGAAAAGGCAAGGCGAAATCCAAGCGACATAACATGTGGGAATGGGGTATTGGAATGGGATTACTTGCGATGAAGACGAATACACGCAGAGCTGAGGAAGCCGCTCGGGAGCGAGTCCAGAAGAGCGAGGAACGGTTGAACAAAGGTTCAAGGAGGTCAGATCGGCTCAAACTACAGGGGGACAGAGTATCAAGCGGCAGAGTCATGAAGAAACAGAATCAGTAGACTGCTGCCTAGTCCTTTCAAGTAGCCGGGCAACGGACTATCGAAGTCAGCTCTATGATAGATCGCATGGGTTGTTGTTCGGAACCACGTTTGTATGACTCCTGCATTAATGTTGTTGTGACGCTGCTGCTACCTAAATCTTTTATCCCATATCATGTGGAAGAAGCAATCGACAGGAAGAGTGAGGATATGAAAGGTCTGCGCTGCCCCTAAGGTTTGGGCAGGGCGTCGGCATTTACAGCCTCGGAGGAATGAAATTGGGCGGGACAGCCTCAGAGGGATTGCTCTCGGCCGGGGCGTCTTTGGCAGCTTGAACAGCCGACTTTTCCCCCACAAACTGGATGCCATCGTATTGGATCCGGATTCAACGACAACCTTGTTGGACTTTTCCCTAGCTTGCCAGCCGTCCAAGACCAGCATCGATTTGATTTGAACAGCGTGTATCCTATTATTTTCCCTTTGTCCACGTCCCGCGACAGGGAGGACATGATTCCATGCGTGAAGGGGAAGGTGATGTCCGAGTATTATGCGAACCCCAAACCATGGTGGTAAGCCGGAAGTATCGAGCAAGATCGGCAAAAGACGATAGGGAAAAATGCGCGATGCCTAGGTTATGACCTGAAACGCGGAATCAAACGAGTGATCGGAGGTCAATGAGTCGGGAGGACTTCTCTCGGAACACCTTAAAACGAATCGATTCATCTAGAGATACAGTAGTGGTCCGCTTTTACTGCGGGAATGCGCCCGGCATTACACCTTGACCTTGACCTTCCTCGACTTCCTCGTCATCCTGATCTGCCCATTCACCTTCCTCCTCGCTCATATCCTCTCCCAATTCGATCATGACTTGAAGGATCGTCTACAGGGGTGACAGCACATGTAATCAGCGTGGCCTACCATAAGTTGCACGATGAAGACGTCATACTGACCTCTTGTAGTAGCGTTTGGCGGAGATCGCTCTCGGCCCCTGCCATTTGGAACGCTTCCGAGTGAATGAGATCCGTCAACCGTTCTCGGAGTACCCGGCGAGTATGTCGGATATCGGCTCCGGGCAAGCGCGCTTGGAACAAGTCCATCAGCCTGTCGAGATAATTGTCCAGATTCGGGTCGGCAGCCGAGGTTCGCGGCGACGCTCGCACGCCCGCATAGTACGCGTTGTCATACTGCGTGATGCTCGTTGTCGGCGGAAGAGGGTCAAAGGCGTGACCCAGCTTGGCGGCGATAGGTGGAGGGATCCATCCCATATAGCTCTCGCTGAGGAAAGCGTGCCGGACGAGCCATAAAGGCATGCCTCCGGTCTCCCTAGCCCATGATGCAGGGATCCGTGATTTCGAGAGGGTGTGTTTGCCCGACTCGATGTCCTTGACGACGAAGTCGAGCTGTTGTGAGAACCAGTTGCCGATCGACGAGTCTTTCCAGAGCGGGTTGTTCCTAGCGGCGTAGATGTGAGCCAGCAAATGCATGGGTGTCTCCCAGTCCCCGCTACAGATGGGTCGATGACATCAGCAAGGGCCCCTCGATTGCGATCAATTTATCGTACCCACTCACCTATACCCGACACGCATTTGGAAGTGAGGATGGCTTCTTGCCGAACCCGAAATGTTGAATCCTGCCTTGTCCGCCAAGATGGCAACAACCTGCGGAAACGAGACGATCGCCTCTCGCAACAACGCATCTGAGGCCTTGTGATCGTCCCCCTTTTCTTGCATTCTCAGTGCGAGCGCTCGGTTCAGGTTGATCCCAGGCAGATGCTCGACGTCGAACGCCGACCCGATCTCTTGTATCCAATCCAGGTTGCCAGACTTGATGGCCAGAAAGTCGAGCCACAAGAAAGCTCCGTGGGGATCGTTCTGCCGCGAAACCCATTAAAGCAGATTAGCAAAGCTGTCCTCGCTTGAGCGGTGCAGATGCCTCACTTCTGGGTCCAGGGACAGCAATGCCTTGGCGTACGAGAACGCCGTCTGCCACAGTCCCCGCCTCGCCAGATGCCTATGAGTCAGTTCCACAGAACTATAATCAGCCTCTTCGTTTGCCTGTTTTCATGCGCATCGGGACTCACGAGACGAGCCGATGAAGCGCGAGAAACATCGGTCTGTTCTCGACTCTATCAAAGTCCAGCCGACACGTCCCGTTCATAGCGAACCCAGGGGCGAGACATCGATCGTAGGCAAAGAGGGCCCTCTCGCAGTGATCGGCGGCAGCTCCGATATCTGCAAGACAAGACAACGCACGGTACCTCGGACGGATCAGCGGGGTGTGGTATGATTTCGCTTGACGCGTGGACTCGCCTCCTTGTTGGTTGTAGATCGCCGACATCTGGAGCAGCGTGTCGATTTGCCAATTGTAGACCGACAACAACGCCTGCAGCTGGTTCGGGTCTGCACACAACACCAGAACAAGACCTTCAGCATGACAGCCACAATATATCCAGCACCGAAAAGAAACGACTCACCATGACTCCTGACCGCTCCCAAGAACTGCGTATGGACCTGTCTCCACCCCGCATCATGTTCAAACGTAAACCACCGTTCACCCTCCAACTTTCCCAAAGCCGTCCCAGACCCCGAGCCCTTCGCAGACCCATCCAGTTCCCTGCGTTTCAACAACTCGAGAACCTCTTCCAGATCCAGCTGTCTCATGCTCAAACCTCCAAACCCGGACTGGACAGGCCAGGTAGATTTTGGATGAGGAACGAGGACAGTCCGGATCTTGGATATGTAGTTCTGGAAGAGTTTTTGTTGGCGGGATTGTTTGGTCGATTGACCTTGTTGAGCCGAGGCGACCTAAAAAACACCGCCAGAGCGTTCGCCGATGATCGTATTGTGAGCCTATGTTGCCCTTGCATGACAGGTCCATTCCAGCTTATGAACTGGAACCAGAGTGTGGCTTACCACCTTTGCCCCGAAGAACCGTTTCAGCTCGGCCTCCGAATCCAAGCTCTTCGTATCTACGGCCAACAAGTTCCTACCCGAAAACCGATCAACATTCCGATGGCCAGGCTCCTGAGAGAATATATACTGAGGTGGTTCTACTCACTTGCGCTTGACACTCTCCTCATTGACAGGTCGTTTCCTCGCACTCGTCTCGCCTTGAGTGGTAGCTTTATCTTTCGGACTACAAGTCCCCATATCATCAAACAACCCAAGAACACAATAATGTTATCAGCCATCATCTCTCCCCTTGAATCTCGCAGACATATCGAGGTCGATTGAATTCGGACTTACTCGAGCCCCAACGATTTTAACGCCAGATCAATCTCGTCCAACCCGCCCTCAACAGACCCAGCCTTCTTCTTGTTCTTCTTCTTGCTCTTCCCTGACCCTGATGTCGACCCGGGGGTCCCTGTAGCTGTTGCTGTGGTTGTTGACTGGGTGTGATGGGGAGGCGGGGTTTCTGTGTTCCCGACTTCTTCCCCCAGATCATCGTTATCGGGTGCCGGGGCGGATTTGGATTTCTTCTTTTTCTTCTTTTTCGATGACTGTAGTGTAGCGTTGAGGGATCGGTGAGAGGGCATGTTGAACGGGATAAACGGTAAATAGTACGTTAGAATCTCAGCCAAGCTTCGTTCAAGCCTCAAAAGCGCTCTTTCGAGCGGTATGAGACTGACCTTCGTCACGGTGGGCTGCTCGACCTGTTCTTCCTTTTCAGCCTCGTTGGGCTCATCTTCATCGAGCTCTTCTTCTTCATCCTCCTCATCCTCCCCAGCGTTCAGCTAAGAAGTTGAAACGTATCATCGATCAGCCTTTGAACTATACATAACCGTATCTTCAGACTCTCAGAAACCTGACTCACAGCAGCGAAAGGGTTCAAGACCTTCCCCCCGCTCTTCCGCGTCGGTTGTTCTTCTTCTACCTCGCTTTCAGCCTCATCGTCTTCTTCTTTCTGTTCGTCCAGTCTAGGTTCGGCGGGTTGCTCGTCATGCTCCTCCTCGTCCAGGTCAGGGCGGACCGAAGCCTGAGCTCGTTGCAGCTCAGCGAGCTCTTCCGCTTCGCGCTGTTGACGCTTGTTCAGGCGTTTAGACATGGCTTTTATGTTGAACTATCTTTCCTGCCTTTCAACTTGGTGATGGTTGCTGCCGAAGTCAATGAAGGGCTGTAGAGGTTTGACTGCAGCTGCACCGACGTTTGACTGTGACATGCTTGATGACGATCGATCGAAATCGATACTAATCCGACTTCAGAACGCATAAAACGGTATATCAGTAGTATACGTCATCGCTACTAGCTACCAGTTGTTAGCGAGCGCGGTGGTGGCAAAGGAACGCCATATCGAGGCTATGACTTTCGAGGATCATGGAGCTGGATGTCAGAGACCACGTGGTCTGTCAGATCCGACTGGCATAAGTATTGTTTCAAGGGCGTCTCAAGAATGATCCTATCAGAATTCTCGCATACAGTGTCTTGATCGCATTCCGCCGCCGCTGATGCTATTAGCTAGTCTCGTTCCCAGGTCTTACTCTCGCTCACGAGGCGTAGTGAAACGCCCCAAATTCATCTGTGATCCCACTTTCTCAGAGCTCAGTATCGGACGGAAGTGCCAGATCCACTGTATGTCCGTGAATATTACCAGTCATAAAGTCTTGCCGCCCACATTTCGTCGTAGCCGGAGCGGTAATCGCATACAGATCACGAAGGACCAATAATCAGAAGGAGAATCAACTGCACAGAGTGGTCCAAGCCTGCGGTACTGTAGGAAGCTGACTTTGAAGCTTGCTTTGGAGACCTTTCGTGACATACCGTATCTATTCGAACGCTTGCCAAGAGGCATGCCGCACAAGAACAAATTATCGTAAGGAAAGAAGCAAAGCCGACATACTGTACAGCGGTAATTGAGATCAAAGCTTTTCATAAGTGAGAAAGGCGACAAACGTCAGCAGCAACAGCGACAGCGACAGCAGATGGGCCGAGACGCCATGATCATACACTACATTCCGATTATCTCAACGGCACTCGTTTCGAATGACACCGTCGCTGATGACAGCCCGACTTCGTCGGGACCTGCTGAGCCGAGACGTCGTCTCCACGGGCCGCTGCTGAAACGGTTCGACACCGCCAATCCATAGGCTCCATATGAGGATGAGGCCACGTCTTGGACTACAAGAGTATGTGATTGGATCTGAAGCTGTCCATCCGAAGTACACGGACGAAAATGGATTATAAAGCATATTTGACAGATGTGTGCGTGGTTTTTCTATTCATATACTGACACTCGTAAGCCCCCGCGTTATATTATTATTGGTCAACATCTCCACGCTTTCGCGCAAGAGGCCGCCCAGACTGCGCCAGAGAATGGCCTCACTCGGCCAAGACTTGAACGGTATCATCGACAAACCGGAACCTAGCTCAAAGAGGAGCTTGGAGCTGGACGACCTCGAACGCCGCAGCCCCTTCTCGACGAGCAACGCCGACGACTTCGAACGTTCCACCCGCTTCTCGAAAACGAATGCGGACCGCTTCTCGAAGAGGAACGCTGACGACCTGGAACGCTTTAGCGGCTTCTTGAAGAGGAACACCGACGACCTGGAACGTTCCAGACGCTTCTCAAAGAGGAACGCGGACGATACACAGGTCGATATGGAGGTCGACGGACAAAATTGCACAATCCGACAAGGTGTCGAGGTGGTCAAACTTGATCTCGAGAACCTTCCTGCTCAGCCAGATTTGCCGGTGCACACAGACAGGATCCCCTTCGACTGCATTACAGTGGACGATCAGAAGACCATCCCCATGAATGGTTTCAGCGCGCTTCCGTTTAAGGGCCTGATCGTTTGCAACTCGCTATTGATATTGAAATAATTGATATTGGAACGCCAATAGTACAGACCACTATTTTCGCCTAATTTCAATATCATTTCAATAGGTCGCGATCGGTTAGCCACCTGGTGACGCGATCGGTTGGGTATCTATTGGAATGGAAGTATTTCACCATCCGCGTCGCCTGCCGTAATATTTCGGGCTGGTTTCAGCCTCTAACGAACAACCTTGAAGTTAACTATCGTTCTGTTTCAGAAGAATTCCGATATCTTACGATTTCTGCCCAATCCCCTCCTTTCTGCGCTGTCCTCCGATTTCGGAAGATATCGGTCAACTTCTGGGGCCTGACCAAATCATTCTATGACCACCCAGCCGAACGATAAGGCTCGCTTAGCGGGCGTCTCCCCCGTTTCACGACCAAATTAGCCATCACGGCCTTGTCGCATAGAAGCCTGAGCACGATACAGTTTCGACGACCGGTTAGACATCGATAGAATTGTTCTTTTGACCTCGGGCATCACTGATTTAGAATCAAAGGAACCCCGACCATCATCAAACGCGTCCAATCTCATCAAACAACAACAAACGCGCTATGTTTCATCAATTCTCATCAGACAACAACACATCGCGTCGTCATTGTGCAAGGACCTCTGACCTCTAACCGAACCATCAAAACAAATCTGTAGCGATAACAGACACGTCGCGTCGTGTGTAGGATAATACATAACCCTCTGGTCCCCCCCCCTGCGTACTTCGAATTCCCCTTTTCCCAAAGTCTGCTATTCAAATCAACCTTTCGCGAAACCTCTTCTTCCTTCACAACTTCTTGATCCCCCTTCACTTTTCGACCTTCACCTCACCTCTTTTCCCTTCCCGACACTTCAGTTCTCTTCCCCTACGTCATGCCCAAGGCACCCAAGGAACCCAAGAGCCGACAGTCGTCGAAACCCCCAGGCTCCGCTCCTAGAGTAAGTACAACTCGTTCTTGCTCTTGATCTCGCAAGTTTCTTAGCTCATCCGAAATCTACCGTTTTCGTAGAACACACGAGTAAGGACCTCTTCTTGTGCTCCACTTCCTTCGACATGCCAGCTAATCCTATTTCTTCCGATTTCGGAAAAAATCTGTAGGCCTCGACTCGCGCTGAGAGGATCGGGACTGGCGAGGATCGACAGGCTGCGAGTAGTGTGAGTACTATCAAGTTCCGCACGACGAGAATACCACTGAAAAGGACTTGCTTTTTATTTATTTTCTTTCGTAGTCCGCAAGTGTTCCTGCCCTCCCCGGACTCCAATCTTCTTCCTCTCAACCCCAACCACGGCAATCGTTTTTGTCCGGTCTCTTTCAAGGATCGTTATCTCCTCCCCCGGCTCTATCAACCTCCAACACCGCTCCAATCAACTCGCAAGCTCAACCAGCTTCGTCCTCCCTCCCCGCATCGACATCAGCGACTCTTCCAGCTCGACCGGCTCCTCGTCCGCGCCCCGACGCCGACAGACCTGATGTTCGCGCTCCTCCCCAAGACGATCTCCTCGCGAATCCGTTTCTCGATCGTGATCTCAATCCGCGTCAAGTCGAAGCCGACTGGGACGCAAGGATCGCTGCATACGGTATCGGCGATGATGCAGAACAAGGAGGTCTCGGGGATGTTTTGGGCGGGGGTTTGTTGGGAAGTGACGAACGGATGGAGGGGATGGAGTTCCTTTTGACAAGCCAAGAACGAGAGGAACGCGAACGTCAAGCCCGGGGCAGTGAAAAAGACGAGAGCGAAGTGGAGGACGAGGAAGACGATCCGATGGATGGTACGGTGTCGGCTCAAAGGTCTCAACAGGCCAAACTTCCTACCCCTCAACCTCCGGCCGGCTTGCAGATGCCTGCAGGATCTATCCCGGTCGCTACCTCCGCCGCCAGGACCATGGTTCCACCTCCAGCCTCATCTTCGGCTGGGCCCGCTACTGTCAGTCTGCTCGATCGTCATTTGCATTCGCACTCGATTCGACTCGATCACTAATTTCCTTTTTCTTCCGATTTCTGTCTTTATCGTAGCCCGCCTCAAAATCCTCTCGACAACGAGCAACACAAGGTGTCACACCTGCGGTTCGTTTAGTGCTGGACTGGCCTATCGTACGTGTCGCTTGAAACAATATGCGCTCCTGATCAACGTTGACTCATCATCGTTGGTATAACATAGTTGCAATATCAAGATTACGAGTACAACCTGAACGAGGAGCCTCATCTCCTTGCCGGCATTTTGAACGAGTTGCCCGATAATTCTGAGGCCACTGTAAGTCTATTTTCGTTAGCAATTCAGTTGCAAACTTCATCCGTACTTTTCCGATTTCGGAAGAAATCTGTTCGCTCATAACTTGTGTATCACATTGAACAGGATTCAAACCAACGTCAAGTAGCTTGGGACGAATGGGAGGTAAGTTCATTCGGAGCATAGCTTTTTCTGTATCGCGTACTGCCTGCTGATTATTCAACACGATCAGATCGGACAAACCATCGCCAACCTCGACCGGACAATGCCCGACCAGATCAGGGAGGGTTTACGAATTCTCGGCGAACGCAGACAGCGTGATCGGCAGGAAAGACACAGGAATGCGCAAGCACGAGAAAACGAGCGACTCGCTCAACTCATCCGAACTGTTGCTCCGGCCGCGCCTGCCACCACCACGTCTCGACCGGCTACGGAGTCAGGCGCTCGCAGCGATGCCCTCGACCCCGCCGGATTACCACTCGATCGACCCAGCCGGGCAGATCGAGGACGAGAGGCGACGATCGAGGTGAAGACCGAGGGCGTCAAAAGAGAACGGATGGCTATGCCACCAACTCCTCCGCTGCGACGTCGAAACCTCCAACAGCAGCGGGATGATGCTGAGTTTGTTCCTCGACCGGTTCGCCCAGTAAGTCCCTGTCCTGGCCTATGGCCTATCCTGCCTTTTTCTTTCTCGTCTAACCTTTCATTTTTCATTATTATCATTATTTTCAGGAGCAAGAGAACGAGGAAGCTACGCGTGGCCGTCGTCACGAGATCTTCATGGAAGCGGCGGACCTGGGCAGCGACGAGGAGGTGAGACTTAGCTTGTAGAACGAACACCCTGTCGAGGAAATCGGCTGATAGATATCTGCGCCTTACTTTAGATACGCATCGTCGAGCCTCCCGCACCGGCACCGGCGCCGGCCGCGCTCGAGCGAAGGATCGTGGTCGCCCCCAACCTCGCCGTTAGACGTTTGCCGTCGCGATCCCAATATCCCGAGCTCTTCGTTCAAGTGGGCGAGAACACCACCTGGACCTACGTGAGTTGCATTTTCATGTCGGCAGAAATCTTCCGAAATCGGAGATTAATCTTTGTCAATTTCTCTTTCGTCCAACAGATCCTCGACGTCGACGATCACCCTCAGGATATCATCGACCGCCTCAAGCTGGCCACAAGGACATCGGACCCCAAGGAGCAGAAGAGAATTCTCGAGGGAATGTTCCTCGGCAAGCACTCCGCCCCTGCCAATGTCATCAAAGCTCGCCAGAATTGGCTTGAGTCACACGGCATCGATATCCACGGTCCCGGCTGGAACAACACTATGCGCAAGAAGTTCGGTCTGGTGACGTCCACCGTGAGTCTTTACTGTGTTCGAATCGAGTGAATCCGAGCAACAGCGTTACTGACAAAATCTCACGATATCTTCCGAAATCGGAAAATACAGGGCCATGCCATCGCCTCCGCCATCGCCAAGAACAAGAAGGGTACGAACAAGGACCCCTTGAACGATCCTCCCTGCGTCCAATGCCAGCGACGGTTCAACGAAGGCGAACTGGATAAAAGGAGTGCGCCTTGTCGGTCTCGATCTTGGAAACACGGCTGCACAAACTGTGTCACGTTCGGGCAGCACAACGCCTGCTCGTTGAAAGACTCCAATCAAGCAACCGTCTACGAGCAATACGCTCTTTTGGTCACGAAGCAGGCCGAGTCGTTGTTGAATTTCAACATCGCTCGTACCGCCGAGACTCTCCGAGCAGCCCACGCTGGGTTCGCCGGAGCTTTCACCGCCTCCCAACAGATGCAGTTGGCAATGGTGCAGCTCCTCGAGGTCCTTGCGCCCGGTCTGGTGCAGCGCGGAGTTGACGTCCTCAACAATCAGGACGTTCCTCGAGACGACACGACCCCGGCCGGCCGACACATGATGGCGACGTACAGGCGAGCCATGGTGTACGACGAAACGACTCGGGAGTTCGATCGCGACGCCGGCAACCCGCCGCCTCAGCACCCGACCCTGGAGACGTTGGTCCAGCATAGCTTCCACGAGTCGCCAATGGCTCAGCGACGCCAGCACCAGGCCAACGTCCGGGCTCGGATCACTGGGGCCGACGACGATTCGGACAGGTCGCCATCTCCGTCTGATCCGTCTGACGCCATGGCCGAGGCTCGTCGTGCCGCTCGAGAAGCTCGACGACGACAAGAGGAGCGTCAAAGGCGGTCCGGCGACCAAGCTGGCAAGAACAAGGGCAAGAGGCGGGACGACCAACGATGAAAGCTTCCAAAATCGGAAGATTTCTGCTCGCGACGGTTCTGGTGGGGCTTCGACTCTTTTTTTTTTTCATTTTCATTTCATTTTTTAATAACGAACAGATACACGGATACGAGGAATACGGACTGCAATTTTAATGGTTAGTACGATCGAGGCGTGGTGTTTTCGGAGGGTTTCACCACGCATATACATATGCTGTGAAATAGAAAAAATCCTCTATATACAAGTCGTGTCGTTGTAAGCCTTTTTTTTTTCTATATCATGTGATGCAGGCATCCGACTACCTTGATCTTCGCGATTGTCCAAGTTTGACCTATGATCCTAAGAGCTGATAAACTGTGTATGAGCACACGGCAACAAGATTAACATCACCGATTGAGTTACCGAAATCTTCCGATTTCGTAAGATTTTGGATGAAACAGGAATCAGGTGGAATTGATTCTCGGGTGACGACGTTTACCGATGGCGAGGAGTCTCACCTTCACCCTGACTGAAGAAGTGGTCTGGATGTGCTTCGTTTTCAACAGTCGAGTCATTCACCCGACAAGGGGCCTCACACTCATCCTCATTTTCCACACGTCAACCGATCATGAGGTCACTCGTAAGTGATCGCGACCTAGATGACAAGATCGAGATCATCATGTTTTTGGAGCTGTATCAGGCTCTGGAACGCGGAGACAGAAGACGAGATCGACAGCCTCGACAGCCTTACTCGATCTCCTCATTAAGTGGGGCTCAATACGTCCAGGATCACCTTGTCCATCCTCGCCGATGCCAAGACGCCTGCGGTATGACTCGCCATGGGTTCAAGAAACTCTTAGCCACTCTGACCGACAAGGGACTTTTGGAGCCATCGAAACATGTCTCAGCTCAGGAGATACTTGGAATCGGTCTGCATGTGTTCAGGCATGCAGCCGGACACAGACAGGCTGGTATCACCTTCAATCGGAGTCAAGAGACGATCAGCAAGTGAGTTGGAGAGTTAACAAGAGACGAAACATGTCCGGTTGAAATTCTCCAATTATTTCCGATTTCTTCCGATTTCGGGTTATGCTGCAGGGCTGTGCACAAAGTCTTGAATGCGCTCTGCGACAAAGATTTCTACTTTGAGATGGTCAAATGGCCTCCTGCCCACGCTCCCAAACACCGTAAACTTAGATACAAGCAGAATCGACCGTTTTCTGATGCGATTGGAGCGATCGACGGAACGCATATCCCCTGCCACCCGCCTGAGGAACGCGCAGGTCATTTCAGAAATCGGAAAGGAACCCTCTCCTTCAATGTTTTGGCTATATGCGATTTCGACCTTCGCTTTACGTATGTGCTATCAGGAGCCGAGGGATGTGAGCCAGACAGCTCTGTGTTCCAACTTGCCCGATCGCAATACGATCTCAAGATCCCTGACGGCAAATACGTTCTGGGCGATGCTGGATACGCTTTGCGAGACGGCGTCTTGACTCCTCATATCGGTTCGAAGTACCATCTTCAACAGTGGCGTCGGCTCAACAGGGAGCCCGGCACTGAGAAGGACCTGTACAATTTCCGGCATTCAAGTTTGAGGATGTGTATCGAGCGTATCTTTGGGGTCATGAAGAGTCGGTACAAGGCGAGTAAAGCTACTGGATGATCTCTCAGTCATGTGAAGTTTGCCGAATGATTCAGTTTTCAATGTGTTTCGCAGATCCTTGTTGCTGGATCTCATTACTCCATAGACGATCAAGCGCATTTGATCTATGCTTTGTGCGCTCTGCACAACTTCACGATGGCAAACAAGGCGTCAGAGGAGGAAATTCCGAGGGACCTCGTAGCCTCGAACTGTGACAACGACGATGGAGGGAACGATGGAGGACAATCCGTAGTTGCACCTAGTACCGTTCGTGGGAGAGTCGATCAGCACATGGTCAACCTACGAGAGAAAATCACAGCGGAATTGTTTGCAAACAGGGACGACGATTGAAAAAGGAGGACAGGTACGCCAGCCGATTTCTTCCGATTTCGGAAGAACCATGTTGTCAACCGAATTCTTCCGATTTCGTACAGAAAAAGAGACCGGAAGCCATCTGCTTGTACAACTACCAGTTTTACCAGTTTCCATATTGACCCAAGCCGTCCAAGTCCTCCCGCTCATCATCTTCATCCTCTATCGAACCGGCGGCGTCATCGTCATCATCATGCCGATTGGACGGCTCATCGACGGGTGGAGGTACCCTGTCAATTTTAAGGTACCCAAACGCCCACCGCTGTCGTTCGGCTGGCGACATGCCAAGGTAGAACTCGCATTTCGATGGACTCTCCATCATGGCATTGGTGATTTCGAAGTCTTCCCTGGCGGTCAGCCCCCATCGAACTTTGTCCATGGACAGAAGTTTGGCCGCCTTCTCACCAACAGAGGGGGGACGACTGTTTTGAAACAGTTGTACCATCGCTTCAAGCGAGGACTTCTGTTCTTGAGATTGTTGTTCACGCAAGGATTCTTGGCGCCTGCGTTTTCTTCGGCTAGCTTGGCTCTGCGGGGTACTAGAGGCTAGGGATCTCTTGCGACTACCAGTGGATCTTTCCGGCGTTTGAGACGGATTCTCATTCTCCCCGCCTGAACTCTCCCCCTCGTCGCTTTGCTGTGCGTTCCGAGCTACCGCTGAAGGGCGGCTACCTGGCTTCTTGACAGTCTCGCGAGTTGCACCTCTCCCTCCTCGATACTTGTCCCATAGCTCGTAAATGGGCCAAGGTTCTTTACACTTCTCATAAAGTGGTCGGTCATCGCCCTGAAACCAAGAACATCGGATCAATACTCCGAAATCGGACGAAATCGGAAGGAGGCGTTGACTCACTAGCGTAGCCAACCATGCTTCCCAAATTGGAGGCTCTGCATGCGCCTGGCCCGTCTTCCGATCGAAGTGCCAACCACTCTTCCCACTCTTGCCAGCAATGACTCGGCGAGGTATATACTGCTCCTTATTGACTTCCGCAACTTTGTTCCGCACTTTACTGACAGTCAAACCGAGGTTGTGAACCCCCTTCGAAATAGCCAGGTCGTTGAGAGCGGACACAATCTCTTCCCACTGCGCTCGAGCGAGGTTGCCGTCGTTGTTCTTAGCATTCGTGGCCACTCGCTGACCCGCTAGCTCTGCCGCTAGGCGTTCCATCAGCCAGGGCATATTGTTCCACCGGATGTTGCTCGCAGGTAGTGGGGCGGGTGTCTTGTCCAGCAAGGGGGTGGCAGGTTCTGAAACGTCCGGGGATCCAATCCTTGAACGTTGACTACCAACTGCAATCGTGGGAGGTTGGGTGTAGAAACCTTGTGAATTGTCGACGTCCCTCCCTCCAATTGAGGGGAACGGCTGAGAGTTTCGGCTCGATTGGCTCTCTGCCACCCAATTGGAAGAGGCTTGTCGAGAGAATCGACGAGTCCCGTTGGGTGGCTCGCCTAGCTGTGTCTCATGATACGAAATCGGATCGGGGTCATATGATCCGATTTCGGAAGAATTCTGCAGATATGGGCCGGCTGATGACAAGGCATTCCGCCAGTTTTCTACAGGTGCGAATTGATGTCCCACCGCGGTGTTTTGCGATGGTATGTTGTGTATCGGATTGGAGCTAGGATGGCGGGACTGAGGCCGGGAAGGAGAAGGAAAGCCCATAGCAGGCTGGCTACTGTAGCCGCGTGTATCATTGTACTGGTGGGGATCCATGCTACGCGGGGGAGAGGTCTGTGTATACGAACGACTACAAGGCGATCAGCGACGGGTTTGCAATTGCGCTGATCCTTTCATGATATGGTCACCGAGGCCGATGACCATGAATATGTCTTCCGATTTCGTAAGATTTCGGAAGATGACGGCAAAGCCTTGTTTCCGCATCAAAATCGGTGCTGAACGGTGCCTGAAAATTGCTAGGCGGGATCAATACCGAATTGGACGTGTTGAAATCTTTCAATACCAATTTCAACAGCCAACCGATTAGGCCTTTTTGGAAAATCAAGAAGGGGGATCATCACGCCGTGATGATAAAACCCGTTTCTGGTGATATATCATTTCATTACCAATAACAATTTTGACAAACGGCGCAAACGATCAGGCCCTAAGCCGCAAGCGCTACCATGATTTATAGCGTATATGCGTTTTCAGGTCGATACACAGACGCGATAAAGACAAAGAGCAGCCCAGGCTGGAGGTCGAATCACCTCATCTAAGATCTCTGATCTCTGATCATCAATTCATCAACGACCTGGACATCGACCATATGGTTGGGTATCGTCTTCAAGGATGGGACCAAGATACGCCCATGCCTGTCGCTCCCTATCCGACCCGGCCGACTCCGACTGATCCACTGTGAAGCTCGAAGAAGAGGTAGGACCCGACGCGATTTGTATACTCGCCACCGGGGCTCGACCTCTGATCAAAACTACCTTTCGCTTCACTTCACTTCACTTAGCCGTCAACCTGAAATCAACTTCAACTTGATCTACCTCGTCGAAGAGATGAAGTCAAGAAGAACCACCTAAACCAGGGAGCCGGGACCAACCGAAGAAGCAGAGGAAATCAAGAAGGTGGGTCCGTCAGCATCTTTTCTTCCCTGCTCTTCCCCCCGGGTTCTCGGTTCTCGGTCCTGCAAGTCCCCCCTCTCGGCTTGCCACGTCTCCTTTGCTGCTGCTGTATATCGGTTCTGGTCCGGTCTGGGGTTCAGTCACATGGCTGGGGTTACGTGGCTGCGTCTGGCGAGCTACGAGCGATCTGAGGAGAGAACCTTGAGGAACCCATCAGAGCTGGAGGTGATCTCGCAAGGACTTTTCCGGGAGAATCAGCTTGCACGGCGTCTTCTTGCTACTAAGGATAAGGCAAAGACACAGACGTGGCAGATCTACGGGCTTAGGAGAATAAGGGATCCGTGGAACGACGGATAGTATTGGAGGAGGCCAGCAAACGCAAACGCGAATCACTTCCAACCCAGATAAAACAAAACTAAGGGCTTGACAATAAGGACAACCAATACACCAGACCGACTACCTAACGTAAAATAAGGTCAGAAAAACCAAGGTCGAGAAGAATTCGCCCAGACCTCAGTCACGCCAATCCATCCTGGCCGCGATCTTGAATGCTTCTTTCCGGTTCCGGAAACCGATAGCAAGATGCGGGCTGTGGTGTGCTTGGAAAGACCGGCTTTCAATCGACCAGTTCTACTCCTTCTTCTTGGATCTTACCGACCGATTCAAAACGACTGGGATCCACTTCTACATACACTTCACCTCACAGCGGGTCATGTTCGATTCGACCTGATATCAGGCTTCAAAATGCTACTTCTCGGTTCGGCACTACGACTCGCCAATCTCTGCATTCACATCCCGACCAAATGAACCGTATCCTTCGCTTCCGCTTTCACGACGGTCACGCCTCGCTACCAGTCAATTGGTCATTCATCTCAGGCTGCCAAACTGGTCACTATGAACCCGACTCCAATCTGCTTCGACGTCAATCTCGACCGCCACAAAATCTCCTTCTCGATCGCCGCCCTTCTTGACGACTACGCTCCGATCTCGCTTTCCGGCTTCCGCCTGACGAACAGCATGACAGCATGCAACCGACCACCGAGAACTCATTGTCTTCAGCTGATGGACTGGCCTGGGTGGATACTTGAGCGTCGCCAGACAGAACCAGGGCTTCATTGGAGCGGTCCCGACTTCGTTCCGCCATCGGACCATGCTGCACTGGCCTTTGAGAATGACTTGAGAACTCTTTCGGCTCGCCTTGTCTTCCTGAGGTCATGGTCGCTGGTGGAGGAGAACGCTCCGTTTGGAACTTTGAAGTCTGCGATTAGCGCTAGATCGATCAGGTTGCGATTGCCCAAGCTCAAGATCCCGCTCGCGTCTCCGAATTCGTGCTTCGACCTCGTGTCTGTTTGCGTGATCAAGATCGACTGGCGTGGACTTGCCTTGGCTTGGCTTGGCTTCGATGTTCCCGAGCTGCCGCTTCGGCCGACCAAACTTCGATTTCGATTCCGACTCGTTGTATAATCGTGGGACCGGGTCTCTTGGCTGTTCATTTCGTCCGGGGGGACTTGCAGGGGCGCGCTTTTCCGGTCTTGGGGGGGATCGAGACCGGGTTGTTCTGGGGGAGAGCAAAAGAAAGATGCTGACGGACCCTCGTTCTCGCCCTTAGATTCTTCTCAACGACCCGACACCAGAACCGCCATAGGACGGACTTTTCGTGGTGAATCAGCTACATTATCGTGAGTCCATCAGCTTTCTTTGCTTCTCGTGATACCTTTCTGGACGTGCGAAAGGATTGGGTCGGTCGCCGCAGGTCGTCAGACTGCGGGGCTGAAGCGGGCTAGGACGAGCTACGCTTAGCGTCTACCTTTCTTATTGCTACGTGACCAAAGGGAGGACAGGTTAGCCCGTCACTTCTCATTGCCTTGGCAACTAAAGGAGGGACAGGTTCGGCCGTCCTCTTTTATCGCTGATGCACTCGTAGGGGGGAAAGATCATCACAAGTCTACTCGGAGGAGCGGCAGCGTGAGAGTGGGACCTTGGGTCTCTCTCTGTAACGTGGGAAATAAACTCGAAAACAAAACATATGCTGTAGAGAGGCAGAATCGACGTCGGGAGACGTCGTCTTCATCGCGAAGCGACTCGCACGTTCCCGGTGTCGAGGAAAAGCAATACTCGCTTGCTTGGGGAGGCAAGGTGGTGTTTCCGTCCGACGCCAATGCGAAAAACCTGACGGTCACGGCAGGGCGAGTACCTTTGCGACTGGACGGAACATCAGCAAATAATACCTCGCGGCCCCGCTCGGGCTGCGACGCGGTGACCCTGTCCAAAAACCTCGTTCGCGCGAGGTTGCCGGTAGATGGGCTATCGTAAGATCCACTCCTTGGTGGAGTTACGAGCCGAAAGTCTATGGTTGGCACTTTCGGGTGTTTTGACAAGGTAGTCTTTCGGGTGTCACGGTTAGACAGCATGGCGAACGACCAGTGGAGCTGGTTCTCGCCTGGCGAGACGGTCTGCAGTTGCTGCAATGGCGTTTCGTCTAAAAGATCATAGACGTTAGAGTGAAGGCTCAACGTAATCAACCCTAGTCTGCATCGCGACCTGGAAAACAGGGCAGTCAGGGCAAAAACAAACTGAGCGACGGTCTGATAAAGGCTGATATTGCAAGCAGACCGGGGAAAGACCAGTCTCCTTTCAGAGTGCGGGTGCGAGCTTGATTCAACCCACCTATGTGTACCGCGCAAGCGGTTTTGTGATCACACGGCTGTCAGTAGGACTTGTAGCCACTTGCCGTTGCAAATCCCGAACGCAGCAAGTGTGGTTCCACGATGAAAGGAGCGGTTCCAGTTATCGAATGGTATCGTGTTAGCGGAAACGAATTATGCGCGGGCGAGATATACCATTTTGTCGCAGTTGCAAGGATAGCTGATGGACTCTTTCGACAGTTTTGTAGGTTGCATGCGGGGCAGCCAGTACATGTCCCTGTCTAGGCTCGATAAATCTGGATATCTCAAGATGTATAAGCGGATCGTTCTCACCTGAAAAGTCCCACGGTCGGACCGGACCAGACTGACAAGCTCTTCGATGCCGGTCGGTGGTGCAGTTCACCTCGTGAGTCCATCAGCTTTCCTTGTCCTATCACTCCTTTTCGGTCGTGCGAAGGAGGGTGGGCGGCCCTGCAACAACGGCGCCTAGGCGGGCTTTGGGACAGCTTTTCGCCCGACGAGACACAAGCCCAATATAGTCGACATCTTGCTTGGAGAGGCAAAAAAACGACTCGTTCAAAGCTTTCCGCGCATGAGCGTGGCTGGCGCACGGCCTCCGAGTCGAGTCAAACAATACTCTGGTCTGGAGAGGCGAGAACCAAACTCGGATACCCCGCTCGGGTGTCGCGCGATTCTCTCAGGTCGCTAGTCTCTCTTCACAGAGATGCTGGCTGGCGGCACAACTGGAGATAGTAAGATCCACGTCCCTCGGTGGATACGAGGGCCAGAAAGGCTGGTCGATCGTCTTCGATTACGGAGACGATCATCATCTTTGATCACGAAGATGATCTCATGCGGTTCGTCTCGTGATTTTGTTGCGAGACAATCGTCTTTGTCTCGTCTTGACGATGGCATACTTGGTGTGTATTTCGGTCCGCAAGGGCGATTTACTTAAGCCCCCAGAGAGGACGCTTGGGACGTTCCTCTACAAACGGTCTTGACAGCTAGTCGACCTGAATGTTAATGTTCAGCGCTGTCAAGGGACGCTGGTTTTACGTGTCGGTCTTTGCAGGTGCTTAGCCATCTCGGACTTGACGGGGCAGGAATCATCCACCTTTTCGCCAGCAAGTGCAGTGAGGTTTGTGGGAGGACGGACGGGACTCATCGTCGGTTCCATCTGCCAAGCGCGAATCTACCTGTTAGGTCTCGTATCTACGAGTCACCAGACGCTGGCGGGACGTAACTCCAGCAGGAAGCGATTTTTCGTCCAGAATGCGCTTCAAAATGATAGCTCACGGAAAGCTGATGGACTGTGCAGTCTGTTCACCCTTGTCTAGGACAGAAAGCAGTGTGTAGCCATCTTCCAGTTCTTTCACTTGCGGCATGGGCTATGTTCGCACTTGAAAGACCGGTCTTAGAATGCTAAAATCCATTTACGGACATGTCGGATCTGTATGACATGCATCACATGAAATTCATACTGGAATTATGCACAATGATCTCTGTCGAAACACGTCGTTACTCGTCGTAGCAGGGGGTCTATGCTGATAGTGTGTATGTGTGTGCGCGCCTATGCGGCTTTCGTCGATTGTGGTACAGACGGCAGTCGATCGAGCTTGGCAACGACGTCGCTGCAAGATCGTGAACAGCGTAAGCATTCTGCCGCCGTCAAAGGTGACATGCAGGCGATCTAGCTTACCGAGCATAAGTAAGCTTTCTCCACGCGCTCTCCATTCGTCGCCTTTCCCTGGTCCCTTCCTCGCTGCTCGTCTCGAACGAGATGAGGCTAGCGAGATGCCAAGTCCAGATGTTGTACAGGTCGTCAATGTAGGTGATCGTCAGGCCGTCGTCCGACAAGATGAGTTTGGAATGGTCATGGTAGTTGAACTGCACGGAAGACAACCTTTTCTCAGCTCTGCATTCACGTCACCACGTCGCCCAGAGCAACCCACCTGCAGGACTCCGCTACTCATTCGGAAAGCGATCAACTTGTTGAGACGCCAGTATTGAGCGAGGTACGACATGCCCGTGTTGAGGGAAGCGTCCGTCTCGCAATACTTTTCGCCGGCGTGCAGCTTGCCCTCCATGTACGCTTCAAAGTGGTTGAGCAGGAATATGCGGTCCTTGATGGTCTTGTCGGTCACCTCGGAATCCGCGCGGATCGATTCTCGAGGGGGGGAGACTAGATCCTTGTGATGAGGTCGGATCAGGTCGATATACCTGCGACAAGCCATGCATCTTCTGTTAGCTCTGAATCATCACGCCCAGCGAAAGGGTGTCTGGTGGACCGACTTTTTGTTCGGCGCAAGGACCATGGTAGTATCATCGTTGAACTGCACTCCGACAGACCCATCCGTGAGGGCATATCCCATTCCATACTTGTGAGCGTAATCCAGCCAGCATGCGATAAAGTCCGTCGGTCTGATCGGCTCATGATCTGTCGAAGCGCGACTTGCATCAGTATCGAGACAGTGGAGTATCGTCGGAGACGGCGACTAACCTGGCACTTTCACCTTTTCCCCCTTCTCTCGATATGCGATTGCCGAATCCAGATACGAAACGACCTTGTCGTACGGTGTACGTCGACTAGACGCTATCTTGCCCGTATCCTTGACCTGCTCATCATGACGTTGCACCGGTTTCACTCCGGCTCCGTTCGCCCGTCCATTCGTGGAAGGCAAAAGCACGTTCCGCTTGTCATCCCGTCGCGGCTCATACTCGTCTTCGTCTTCCTCCTTGATACCGCCTGCGATCTTCGTCGATTGAGATGCGATCGCTCGACCCGCTTCGTTCCGTAGCGGACTGCCTCGCGGGACCTGCTTCTGGAGCGCTTGGAACTTGGGCAAAAGGTTCGACTCGCCACGACCGCTCCTGGGCATATGGACAGGAGCGACGACAGGAGGCTTTCGTGCGGATCTGTAGGGCGAGGCAAAGAGCATTGAGAATCAGTGTGCCGCACGTTGGGAAAACAACACTTCGTGACGCCGTCACTCACCTGAGCAAAGCCGAGATCGGGCTGCCGGGCTGAATGGCAGTCTGGTATTCTGCCTCTTGCTGCTTGACAGCCCTCTCCACCTCTTTCCCGACTTCCTGCGGAGTCTCCACCGTCTCCGCCTTGGGTACCCTGAGCGGCAAGTTCTGTCCGACGCCAGCTTTACGCTTGACCCTGTAAAAGTTGTGCTTGATCTCTTCTCGCGTCATCTCGTGGTATTCCGGTGCCGTCAGCAGTGCCGACGAGGAAACGTGGCTGGGTATCGGGCCCGATGTGAACCACGGGTGATGAAGCATCTCGTTCAGGGTCGGTCGGAGTTCTGCAAGTCAAGCGTTGAATCACAACCGATTCGATAAACTACCTGGCAACCTCGCGCTTACTAGGATCGGCCGACAAGATGGACTTGACGAGTTCCCGCGCTTCGAGAGACACTTTGCAATCCGCCGGCCAGATATACTTGACGACCTTGATATTCCTACACAGCGCAAGCGAAATCTCTCAGCGTTGAACATAAAAAGTGGATGTCCGGCCGAGCGAGACCCACGCATAAATCCCATCGACCGACTTGTCCTGAAAAGGCGTCTTCCCTATCAACATCGTATACCTACGACGCAGGGGCCGAAGACCTATCAGCCCTTGCAACAATTCGTCCTGCACACACGGGACTCACAGCATGACCCCCAAACTCCAAATATCGACCTCGTACGAGTGTCCGCCTTTTTGCACCAGAATCTCGGGCGCGATATAGTTGGGCGTCCCACACATGGTCCTAAACGAGGCACCAAGTAAAAACCGGATCAGCACCCTACCCCCATACCCCACACGCCGCCCAAGTCGACCCGACCCGACTCACTTTCTCCGATCACTATCCTTATCCAACAAAGCTGCCAACCCGAAATCCCCTACCTTGCAGCACAACCCCTTCGAGCCTTTATCCATCACGAAAACGTTCCCCAACTTCAGATCCCTGTGCATGACTCGGGCTTCGTGCATGTACATGACGGCCGAGATGAGTTGTGTCATGTACACCCTGGCTTCGGGTTCGGTAAAGTGGGTTCGTTTTCTGAGGAGGGTCATCATGTTCTGCGGAAAAAGAGTGTTTCATTCCGTTTTGTCAGGTTTTATATCATATCGTACGTCATGTTTGGGTTGTCATCTCGACACCCTGACCTTGACTCACCCCACCAGCGCATTCCTCCAAACACAAGTAAATATTCTGATCATCCTGGAACGTATTATGCAAGGTGACGATATGAGGATGATCCATCATCGACTGAATCTTGATCTCGCAATACAGCTATAGTCAAGTAGTAGCCCACCAGTTCCCCATTCAAATTCAGCAGACTGTCAACGATATACCAGCATAATCAAACGACTAGGGTACTGACCTTCGTCCTCTTCTTACTACTCCCCAACATCTCATGCGGCACAACCTTGACCGCCTGAGCAGTGTTCGATCGAAGTACGTGGTTCTTGGTCGTCTCATCCAATGATTCCAATTCCACTTCTGTGTGTTCCGTCTTTACTTTGGATTTGGAGGAAGAGGCCGAAGCCGAGTTGATTTTGAAGGGGAGTTGGGTGTATGAGTATACTTTGGCGAATCCTCCCTGTGATTTTGAATGAGGATTCGTAGGTTATATTGTATTGTTATTTTCGTATGGTTGTAGCGTGAGAGAGACGAGACGAGACGGGAAGAAGAAGAAGAAGGTGGGATTGATGATCAGCTTCTCTTGAAAAAATCGATCTCGACAGCACAGCACACAGTACGAAAAAAGAAAACATCTCTTCTTCATCTCCACTCGTGACATCTACTCTCATCTCCGTCAACCTTCCATCCCAACAGACCCCTCTTCCCCAAACAGCCAGCCCAACCCCTCCCCACTCCCAAACTTCCACAAAAACGTCGACCACGCCAACTCACCTCCCCCAAAAACGCCCTCCGCTCATCATCCTCCCTAACATACTGCACCCCCACATCCCGATCCGTGATCAATACGGGCGGGGGTGGGTGTTTCTTGTTGTCCTTTTTCGAGTTTGTCAACTTCGGATGATTGGGGTGTTCGGATTTGGTCGGCATGTTGAATGAATGTGGATAGTGATGGTGATTTCGAAGGCGATTTCGAGGGCTATTCCTAGTGGTGATGGTGGGATGTATTAGGATTAGGTGAGGTGTATGTGTGTGTCGATTGATAGTAGGTTGAGGTTCTGTGCAGTCGCTGGTCGTGCTTGTTGTATTTGTTGTTGTCGCCGTCGATTCCTGGTCCGGGAGTCGAAGTCACACGAATACGATTTGCGGGGACTTGCAGACAAAGCTAATTTCGTCGAGTAGGCCTATTATCTACCATACCCTGCTCCTCTGGCGTTGTCGCTTGATCGCTGGCGTTGTGTTGTCCCATCGAAGATGAGTTGTATCTGAACTCGACCCCGGGTCGTCGGTCGATGTTGAATGATGAATCCACTCTCCCTCGTTGTTGTTTGCGAGTAGCGTGTAGTATATACGCGTCGCCCTTGATCTCTTTTCGCTAGATTTCGACGAGGTTTCTAGCGTTATCACGGCATAAGTTACGTTACGTAGCTCGCAGCTCGTCTGCATATCTGCATCTGCATATATAGGGTATGTACGGTGATGCAAATATTCATTATCGAGACGCGATCTACGAGACACATGCATGGCCGCTACTGACATCACAACGCGGGATTGTAAGGCTCCCAGTCGTCCTTGTTATCCCGATTCTCCCTCCACTCCCTCCACTCCCTCAGCTCCCTCAGCTCGCTGGCTGACGGGACTTGCCTGGCCGGCTTGGGGATGCCGTAAAACATAGCTGTTGCTGTAGTGATGAGCGGCGTGATCAGACATCGCAATATAAAATAATCATACCCTCGACGCAACTCACCCCTTGCTCACCCCGGCTTGAACAGCAATGTCTTGGCTACCGCTGCTGCTGCTACTGTTCTCGTTGATGCTGTCGTTGATGTTGATGTTGCTGCTTGTAGAAACGCTAGAAATTCGCTCGACCTGACCTTGGACTTCGGGTCGACCTGTTGACGTAGCATCCAGGGTCGATCAGCTTGATCATATCTCGACCTCGAGCTCCTTTTCCTTCTCCGGACCACCTTCCTCACTTCCCCAGACCCCCAGACCCCATAGATACGCAAACAACGAACACAACGAAGATGACGGCCATAGTCTCCCCCCCGACCTTGCACCGCCACCCCTCCCTCACCTCATCCCAAGATCAAGCTCGACAACGTTACCTCTCCACCCCGGATGCTGAAAAGTACGCGGCGATCGACCGCGTGTTGGATCGGAGGGGAGGGAGGACTCATGAGGCTTTCGTTGGGGGTCAGGAGGTGGGTCTGTCAAATTCTTCCTCATCTTTTTTTGGGAGGGTCGGGGTGGAGTTGGGTTCGGTCGAGTCACTATTGGTCGGGGGGATGGAGATACGGGAAGTGGGGGGAGGATGACGAATCACACCTTCATCCCAAACCTCCATCGACGTCCTTACGTTCTTTACGCTTGAACGACGATCGCAACCACCGTCCACCCTCACCATCACAACTACCAACCACACCCATAACCATTGACTAAATCTTATCTCCTCCATCCACATGCTGACCTGTCTCTCCTTCCTTCCGTCTCCGCTCCGCTTCACTCGCTTCAATTCGCATGTGCGGGGCGGGCCGGGTAGACCAAAGAATTCCTCCGCAAAACCTGCAAGATCCTCGTCATAGGCGCCGGAGGGTTGGGCTGTGAGATCTTACAGAACTTGGCGCTCAGTGAGTCCTTGTTTCTTTTCTTGGCGTGTTTTTCAATTATTTTTGGGGGGGTTGGGGGGTTGGGTTTATGGTGTGAAGTTCGAGTTTTTTGGGGTGAAGGTTCGAGGGTTTGGTGTTTAGTGTTTCCGGTGGAGGTATGGGGTTTGGGGTTTTCCCGTGTGCGGCGTGTAAGAGGAAGAGGAGATCAGAGCCGGAGCCGGATAGGAGGAGGAAAGTAAATAGGATCGAGCATAAGAGGGGACGATAAGGAAGACCAAGAGAAGATGAGGAGGAGCAGTAGACCGAGAGCAAGAGACCGAGAAGAGGAGGAGGAGGAGTAGCAGGCGAGGTCGATACGACTCGTACGCAGGAATAGTACGAGCATGAATGAGAAATCTCGGATGAGAAGAGCCGAGATCAAGTCGACAGGGAGTTGAAGAAGACAAGAACAAAGTTGAAGAAGACGAAAACAGAGCGACGACGAAGAGACGAAGAAGCAGACGAAAACAGAGCGACGCAGGAGAGATGAAGAAGATATGAACAAAGAGACGAACGAAGATATGAACGAAAGATACAGGGAAGACGTAGAAAGGAAAAGCCGGGCGAGGCCTCCTGGGGACGGGTAGATATCAAATCGGGAGAAGATATAGGTCGGACATGGTCCGGATGGAAAGGCGTTGAATCAGTAAAGGCTGGGACAAGAGAGGAAATCAAGTGAACGATCGTTGAGGACCGAGAGACCAGATACAGGAGCGCTACGCGCGCTCCGGGGAGAACGAACGGTGGAGGTCAGACTGTGAAGATGGCTTGAGCAGACGAGCAGAGGTCTTAAGGGAGGACGGTAGAAAGGGATGATCAGACGGGTCCATTCTGGGTAAGAGCTCGAAGCTCGAGAGGGTGAAAGAAAAAAACAGAGCAGGCGTAGATAAGGTAGGAGGTGGTCAGCCTCGATTGTTCATCTGCTCGTCCTCACCTGCTCAGATCTTGGCGCCGATCACCATCCACCGCATCTGGGCTACATCACGAACTGCAACAACGTCATTTGACATTCTATCATCTTACTGACCTACTCTCTCAAACTCTTCACGTTTCATCTCGCACGCATAAACTAACCGCACGAAAACGCAGTGGGATTCCGGGACATCCACGTGATCGACATGGACACGATCGATATTTCCAACTTGAACCGACAGTTCTTATTCCGGTGAGCCTGCGTTTTCATTTGCCAATTCAGTTCGGAATTTTCGACCCGAGGCTGATCTGGTCGGACTTCCTTTCGGACACTTGGGATTTGTTGGATCGATCACGTCGCGTTGCCTGCTACGTCTATGCAACTTTCACTTGCACGCCGACTCATATACGGCTCATAATGATCCGTGGCTCGAACCATGTCGCGATGTAGAGAGGCGGACGTGGGCAAGGCGAAATCGATCGTGGCTGCCGAGTTTGTCATGAAGCGGGTCCCTGGGGTCAAGGTCACTCCGTGAGTAGGCGCGCATGTGACTGAAAGACAGATCGCTTTTTTTCCCTCGAGACAGCTGACGTGATGCTGACGTTTTCTTCTTCTTCTTTCGGCTATGGATTTGCTTGTGCCTACGCAGTTACTATGGCAAGATTCAGGACCACGACGAGGCATACTACAAGTCGTTCAACATGATCATCACCGGTCTAGACTCGGTCGAGGCTCGAAGATGGATCAACGCGACGTTGGTGGGGATGGTGGACGAGGACGATCCGGAGAGCTTGAAGCCGCTGATTGACGGAGGTACCGAGGGTGCGTTTCGGGGCCTTCGAGGTGGTCCGTCTATGGTGGGAGTGGCTGATCGGTTTGCGGCATTTATATTCGATCAGGGTTCAAGGGGCAAGCGAGGGTCATCCTTCCGACCATGTCGGCGTGTTATGAATGTTCGGTTAGTTTGTCGGTCTGACCACGATGTCGTAGGCGAAGGCTCATGACGATGTTGCGATATCTTAGATGGACATGCTGACGCCGCCGACGGTGTTCCCGATTTGCACCATCGCCAATACTCCGCGACTGCCCGAACACTGCATCGAATGGGCGAGCGTGCTCGAATGGCCAAAGGCGTTCAAAGGTGGGCAATTTCCATTCACCGCATCCGGTTAGCATCTTGCTGATTGATTCGATCTTGCGCTTACCAGACAAGAAGCTCGACAACGACGACCCGGACCACATCGAGTGGTTGTACCAAAAGGCAGCCGACCGTGCCAAGCAGTACGGGATCGAAGGTGTCACCTGGAGCTTGACGCAGGGGGTCGTCAAAAACATCATTCCCGCCATCGCTAGTACCAACGCGATCATTGCTGGTGAGTCGCCGCAGATTAGATTTGGGTCGGAAGTGGTATCTGACGGTACTTGCGCGGACGTCATCAGCGGCTTGTTGTAACGAAGCTTTCAAGTTGGCCACGACGTCGGCGCCATCGCTGGACAACTATACCATGGTAATTCCCCCCGCTCGCGTTTCAGCCTCGCAAATCACGCGCTAATCGTAATTGCGTGCTATCAGTACGTCGGCAACGATTCGATCTACGCGTTCACGTTCAAGCACGAAAAGAACCCGGAATGTCCCGTCTGTGGAGGAGAGACTGTCGACCTCAAGGTCAAGAAGGGGACCAAGGTCGAGAGCTTTATCGAAATGCTCACCGAAAACCAGCGATTGTGGGTCCCCCTTCTCGAGTTCCGCGCGCGTCTTCGTAGCTCAACTCGCGCGCCTGCTCGACAGCCAAATCAAAAAACCATCGATATCGTTCGGTAGCGGACAGCCTCTATTCTGGCAGGCACCTCCTCAATTTTACGAACAGACCAAGCACAACTTGGAAAAGGATCTGGACGAGCTGATCGCTAGCGGCGACGAGATCACCGTCACCGACAAGGCTTTACCATTCAGCTTGGATCTCCGGATCGAGTTCGAATAAGTCGCCCAGTTTCCGATACCGAATGGGAGGAACGGGCATTCGATGCTCGACGTTTAACGACACTTGACGAATATATAGGCTCTGATTGTACTGAAGATCATGTTATGTCTGAAATGCAACAAAATACGTTATGCAAGACGATTACAGTCGAACTCTAGGTTAATCGAAGCGGGACGGGGTTCCCGACCGGGTTTCGAATGAGCCGAGTGGATCTTGGACGATCCCGACCCTGTTTCGGATTTGCCGAGCCTGTTTCGAGGATCCCGGTCTGGTCTCGGATGTTCCGTTCGGCTCAAGGCCGATTCGTCTACAGGGAGGTCAAGCAGATCAGCGCAAAGGGAACGCTCCGAACCTGAAGGACAAAGAGAACGCTCCAGATTCGAATGACCCCGTTTGAAGGAAAAGGAAATCGTTGTCCGTTCACCCTCGCCCAGTCCCGCATTCTCACTCAGTTGCCCGTGGTCAAAAACCTTCTTCATCGACTGCCGCGCCCTCTGCCAAAGTCGCTGTTACTCAATCCGCCGCTGCCACCACCGCCGATCCCCCAAAGATTGCCGATCCCCCGAAGACCACCGCTGAGCGAGCTAGGTTGGCTCCATGGTCTGATCCACGGGGGCCATCCGGTAGATGTCATCCAGACGACATCCATGGGCCTTGCTACCTGCATTGGTATGGCCAAAAAAAATTCCGATGTCCAGGATTCGATCACACCTTAGTTATGAGGATTTTGGCCAAAGAATCCCACCTTTGGACTGAACGCGGCGGGCGGCAATTCCTCAAAAGAATTGCCGACGCGATCGGCAAAGACGACCTAGAGGACGTAGCGTTCATGTCACCGGCACATAACATCGTGTCAATGCCGCTGAAGGAGAAACGGCAGCTCGATTGAAAGAGGACTGTCTTCCGTCGCAGTGATATTCTGTCACGAGGAAGGCGCACAACTTGTTTTCGCTATGGAGCTGAAACACGTGCCGGAAATCGGCACCGGCGGATGGTTCAACAACGCATTTCGGAGATCCATCAGTTATGGCATCCGCTGCAAGTCGTCCAACATTGCCATCGGGTCGCCAGTCGGATCCATGAGGGATATCTATGTGCAGGTCTCACGCTTTGGGAGGTCTCTGCTCTCCGTAGACTCGGCGGACAAAGCGCTGGGCACGGACAAGACGTCGAGTATGCTTGTAGATTTCGGACGGCCGAGTGTCAAGCGCGAGCGCTCTCTTCGATCAGGGCGACCGAAATTGAGAAGTTGGGACTACAGAAAGGCGACGACCGTGCGTCCACGGTAGCCCCAAGCCTCTCGTTGATCGTTCCTGGCGGCGGCGCTCCTTTTCCTCACTATCGACCGTGGTCGAACTTCGACTGGATCATGTCGTGACCTGATTGCGTACCGCTGGGCTAGGGACAGAATCCTTGACCATTTCGGACCTGACTGCGTACCGCTGGGCTAGGGACAGAATCCTTGACCATTTCATAGATTCATCGAACACGACTGAGCCCTTCAATGCTACCGCTTTCGGCCGAAAGGTTCTCAATGATGATTTCATTGCCCCTCCAAAAGCGGAAGAACATGCCAAAGAATTTCCCTAAACATACATGGGAAGGGGAATACAACGACGGACAACTCAGATCTTGAGGTTGATGAACTTTTGCCAATCCGTCTTACGGCTTTACTCACGACTAGTCACAGGGTTCGTTGTCCGTCAGCATTGCGGTCGCGCAATTGACCTAACATTGCACCTCTCGAGCGACGGCCACAGACAAAGCCGTCCATTTTCTGGAGAAACGACGAACTCTTCCGACTCTCTCCTAATGTCCAGGAAAGCCGTCGAGATAAATTGAAAAAACGACGGATCCCGCTGATAACCTGAGGTCCGTCTGCAGCATCGTGGAGACCTTTACGTACGAAGGCGTCGTGACTCGCTTACGCTGCTGCGATTCCCGCCAGTCTTCTAAAATCTTGTACCTATTGGTCTTATAAGGTTTGATGGCTTTCTCGGAAGCAAAACGGAAGCAAGCGGATACAAAACTCATGAGTTCCCCCTCCCTCGAATACCTATAAAAGGCGAACGAGCTGAACGATTTCTTCTCCTTCAGCCTTAGAATATCGCAATGTCCTCGGAATTTTACCAACATACAGATATACAAGCGTCTACGATCTACGATCACACAAAGTGACACTCGTCCATTCATGTCTTCGGTCAGGGATACGCAACCTGTACTTCATACCCCTGGCTACATCTACACCTCGGCCTCGCCGGACATCGCATTCTCGCCCTTGGCTTACGAACATGCTCTCGACTTCAAACCCTTGACCACCGGGAGCCTTCTCGACGAGACCTTCGGCCGAAGGATCCTCAATAATTTCGAAAGGATCATAGGCGACTCTACAGGTCAAATCGGCCTCGTGGTGATCAGCGAATCGACCGGCCGACTTATTCTGAAGAGACTCGCCGACGCTGAATTCTTGATTGCGACGAACAGTTACCAGTAGTGAGTCGACGACATGGAGTCGGATCGATTTGTATCCATAGCTGACAGGAACGTCCCCACAGCCGTCAAAACGTGATGAACGGAGTATGGGTGCACGGCGCAGAAGCTTATCCGCAGAGACTGTGTGGAATCTCCTTCAACACCTCCCTTCCGAGCCACCTATCTACATGGGAGAAGACCCGAGCGGTCTTCGACTATATGTCTCGATACGGAGTAGTCGGACATATTCGTTCGTTCAAACCAGCGACCGACGAGCGTACTCAAGAAGAGAAGAATGATGACGATGAGGAATCTGCCAGAACTGGAATTCCTCTGGACTCGGTCAATTTCACGGTTTGGTATCGTTCGTAGTGAGTACAAAGTGAGTTTGTGAAGTTACATCCCGTACTGATAGCCAGTCCCTACCAGCTGGAGCCATCAACAAGTCAAGAAGATCGCCAAATCCCAGAAACCTCACAAGGTTCCGTTCATGCTATCTCGTCGGTTCGAAGAAGTGGTAAAGGTAAATATATGCTCAGATGAAACGCGTGTCCCAGTCAAACGACTGACAATCGTTTTTGTACCGTCACTGTCAGGTCGTCAACTGGGCCAAAACCGCCATCGAAAAGCCGGAGCCAGCTGCACCGACTCCGTTGCCTGGACTGACTTTGGGCTCAATCGCCTCGGGATCTGGAACGTCGGGGCTTATTGAAGCCGCTCCGAGATCTACCCGACGAAACAGGAAGCGCTACCGGGGGAAGCGAGTCAAGCGACTTGCCGAAAGTGTCATCGCACAGCCCAGCATGATCATCGAGGACGAGACAACCAACAATCGACCGAAGTTCTCGGAAGAGGCGTACAATGTCAGTGAACGATATCGGAAAGTCTGCACGATCGGGACTGACTCGATCCTGACTACGACTTCCGCAATAGCCCCTTCCATGGATTGACGACTGGCTCGCAACCCTTGGTGACGATAGGGAGCACTGGATGGAGGTAGTTAAGCAAGAGAGAAGGGAAGCAAATCTCAGGCGATGGAGGGAAGAGTGTGGGATCGGAACGGGGGCGAGATGATCTCGTGGTTCGGATGACCCAGTCGTATCGTTTATTTATATATCCTTGGCTTCGTGTGTTCATCTTGTCCATTATGTACACCGTTCACGTCGTGTTGACTATGCATCTCTTGTCTCGACACTATCTCTCCATGCTTCGAATCCTCGGATCATCTGTCGAGTGATACGTCTCTTCTGTCCTTTCGCTGCACCCAACAAGAAACGGCTGTCGATACAATCCGGCCCATCATCATCGTTGTCTTCGCTTCTTTCCGAGTCGGCGTAATAAGCGTTCATGGCGGCGAGCGCCGCGTCTTGACAGATCGAAACGATCTCTGCTCCAGAACAACCTTCCGTCTGTCGAACAGGTAGCCGAGTCAGCGTCTCGGAACCGCGGCAGCGGTCGATAGCCCAGCAAGGGAATGATGACTCACGATTGTGGCAAGCTCGTCCAAGTCGACCGAGTCATCCGTTCTCATGTCCCGTAGCCTGATCTTGAAGATCTGCTTACGAGCCTCAAAGTCTGGCGGACCGACGTAAAGTATTCGGTCTAGACGTCCAGGTCGAAGAAGGGCCGGATCCTGCAAACCGATATGCCGCGTCAATTCAACGTCAAGCAGTGATTGGTCGAAGTGTGCTTACCAGACTGTCCGGTCTATTGGTAGCTGCCACGACGACGACACCACTCAAGGACTCGACTCCATCCATCTCGTTGAGCAGACTTGTGAGAACGCCATCACCTACGCCCGAGCTACCCGAATCGCTGCCAGAGCGGGACAGTCCGAGCGAGTCAATCTCGTCCTTCAGTGATGATGGGATGGTATCAGTATCTAGACCGGGAGAGTCGGGGAAATCCCTTGTGACCAGGACTCACGAAAAAGATGATTGAAGGAGATGCAGCTCGAGCTTTCCGGAAGATCTCTCGGACCGCCTTCTCTGATTCTCCCACGAATTTGTTAAGGAGCTATCAAACACGGTCGAGTCGGCACTAGTTCCCAGTCAGTGGAAGAATAGCCGATTGACTCACTTCGGGTCCCTTAACGGCCATGAAATTGACTCCACTCTCGGTAGCCAGCGCTTTCGCCATCAACGTCTTCGAACACCCTGGCGGGCCGTAAAGCAAAACCCCTCGAGGAGCTTCCACCCCGAGCCTCTTAAAGACGGCCTTTTTCGTGATCGGCCATTCGACGCACTCCTTGAGCTTTTGCTTGATATGTTCCTGTCCACCGATCGACGACCAAGGCGTCTTGGGCGGCTCGAGGAAGATTTCGCGCATAGCCGATGGTCGGATGGTCGGTAAAGCTAGCGTGAGATCAGAGTATTCCATGCAAGGCTGTCCGACCCTGTTGCTGAAATCCATGAATTGCGATTCTCCGGCAGCCATCCAACGGTGTATAGCAGTCGATCCGGCCTCCCGTACCAGAGCCGACAGGTCTGCACCGACGTACCCGTGCGTCCGATCAGCTATCGCCCGAAGATCGGCTTGAGCGACCGAATGAGGGATTTTGGAAATCAAGATCTGGAGAATATCGAAACGAGCATCTGCATCTGGGATCCCGATCTCGATCTCCCGGTCGAATCTCCCTGGTCGTCTTAGAGCCGGGTCGAGAGCGTTCGGTCGGTTGGTAGCAGCGATCACTACCACCCGTGGTAGTCCGTTCGATCCACTTTCCTGTTCGTCTTCTTGAACCTCCTCTTGGTCCCGTACAACCCCTTCCGACATCCCGTCCATCAGCGTCAACAGCGTCGCGACGACCCTCCTCTCGACCTCGCCACCTTCTCCTCCTTCTCGCCGAGGACAGATCGCATCCACCTCATCTAAGACGATGATACAAGGTTCTCTCCGCCTAGCCTCTTCAAAGACAGCTCGGACGCGTTCCTCCGTCTCTCCATGATAAGCCCCCGACAGCTCGGGTCCGTTGACGACGATACAAGAACAACCAGGTGTCGAGCTGGCGATAGCCCGAGCGAGGTGGGTTTTCCCCGTACCGGGAGGACCGTAGAGGAGGATTCCACGAGGCGGTTTCAGCCCGAACTTGTGATAGATCGAGGGTTGTGAGAGGGGCAAATCGAGCAAGCCTCGGACTTGCGAGATCTGCTTTGATAGTCCTCCTAGCGTCGCGTAAGCGGAGAACGAGGCGGACCTGGATTGAAGAGGTCCAGGAGGGAAGATATTGATATACGAGGGTAAAGCCGAGTTGTTGGCAAGAGCTTTCGTCCTAGTCGAAGAGCTCGCCAGCACCTTCTTATCCGCATCCGATCCTTGATCCTTCCCAGCGGTCTTGACGGAGAGCACGATCTCGGTCTTCCAGTTCATAAGCTGGATATCGATCGGTTCGATAACGCTGAGATCTTTCATCTTGTCCGCCAAGCTCGTTGTACCGTTGACGGCTCCGCCTCCTCCCGCGGAAACCTTGGTGGAAGCGGTCATCACTCTGATCCGGTAGGCAGGAATTGGGATCTTCGCCGAAGGAATCTCGACGACGAGGCCGGAGGTGAGGTACTTCTGTTCCACTACGATGTGCGGCGCGTTTATCAGCACGGATAAGTACGTATAGATTGAGTCGACCGGACAGGATGAAAGAGCTAGTCCACCCACTGAGACGTTCCCTAATCACAGCCTCCGTCCACTTCTCTTCCCTCTCGGCATCATCACCCGTTGAAGCTAACTTCTTCGTCGTGCTCGGCTCCATCTCTAACCGGATCGATTTGGCTACCTTGACGATATCCTGGTTGACATCTATCGGAGTGACGATAACCTTGTTCGCATCGACGAACGACTTGAGGTGGGAGGAAGAGAGCTGTATAGCTATCATGAACCGGAGATCAGCGAGCATTGACATTTTCGAAAGATCTCTCGAGCTTACCTTCGGGGTCGACGTTGACTGATGGCCATAGCTGAGCAGTAAGACTTTCCGCCTACAAAGCCGAAGAAGAGAGAACTGTCCTTAGTCAGTGTGCATTCCCGACACGCCAAATATCATTGCTTAACTCACCGCACCCGATTGAGAGCTCTGTGCGTCAGATTTTGATGCAGATGTCAAGACTGCCCATGATCCAGCGGCCAGCTTTCTCTCCCGGAGCGTCTCTACAGCCAGGTATGCTCGACATATTGAGCTGCTAGAGGTCTCGCTTGTGCTTGCCGAGGTGACGACCGTTAGCTGCAAAGGCGACATTGCTTCGCTATTTCTTCTGCAGTCGCCAGCGCTGATATCTTCTGCGTGGTCCAGTTGTATTGACTACTTAGCTATTGAATTGGTTTATCCGTTTGTCAAGCAATTTTGAAGCCGGGACTTTGAAGATTTGAAGAGGATAACGCATTCGAACGCTCTCAAACTAAAGTGCCTGTGCAATTTAGTTGCTTCCGGAGTTAGTCCCGGGGAATTTCCCGCTTTTCGCGAGGTTTTGGTAACATTCTAGCGAAAGCCGAGGACAAGTCCAAGAATTCATCTGGTGGCGGCAACTTTTACTACCCTGGCGGCAATCGACTTTACATTTCAAATACCTACCACCTCTGCCTATGGCTTGACGCCAAGGAACAGCCACACGCACCAGTCCCTTGAAATACTCCATGGCACCTCTCCATTGCATCCGTTTCGGTGAAAACATTCTCGGGGAATAAACCTCTTTGTTACCCCTATTGGAACGTCTCGACGATCAGCGTTGATCGTCAAGAACCTTACAATCTTTCCTTACAACTTTCCACTGGGTCTCTTCGTTGTACGATCGCCTTGTAGCTTTACCTATCGAACTACACATTGATTTATCACTCAGAAACTTGCTATAAGGCCTGGCAGCCGACCTGCCGGGTCTTGGGGTAATAAGGTCGCGGGACTGGGGAAAGGTAACGGTAGGCATAGCGATGTAATAACGGATGTCTAACTACTACAAGGTACTAGTTAGACGTCTACGAGGACATCTCCTAAAAGGTCTCCGAGAGGGTCTCCGAGAGGGTCTCCGAACGAGACCCCGAGGCGACGCGCACCGTAGGTCGCGCGTCACGTGACGCCTATAATAGGATCCCCCTCCTAGATGCGAGCTCCGAACGCATCAAGCATCGCCGTACTCTTGGCGGCCCGGTACCGGCAACTCAGGGTGTCGCTTATGGAATTCCAGCACCAGCGTGTCGTTGTGGTGGAAATCCGAGGGGCTAACCCACTCGTTGTGCTCGTCCCCGTACCCCTCGAAGCGCACGTAGTACTGGGTCCTACGCCCGGCGCGCGTTGAACGCAACTCCTTGGAGTGTACGATTTCCGATACCACCCACCCCAAATCCCCGGTGTCCAGCACCTCTGGCTCAGGGGGTGGGTCCACTGCTCTCCCAGGGAGCTCGTTCGGCTTGTACGGGATGAGCAGCGAGACATGAAACACCGGGTGGATTCTACGCATCCCCGGTGTCAATTCCAAACGTCGCGCCATGCGACCTTCTCCTACGACCTCCGTGATCTTGAACGGGCCGTAGGTCTTCCACTCCAACTTGTTGTTCGGCCTCACGGTATTGACGTGAGCCGACGACAACATCACCATGTCGCCAACATTGTACCCCTCATCCGGTACCGCCGTACGCTTCCGATTCGCGTACTTCGCCATATCCTCCCTGGCCTGTCTCAGCGCGACATTAACAGACTCCCAGATGTTGTTCATCCGCTCTCTGTACTCCTGTATCGACTCCACAGCCGAATCCTTGGCGATAGGCATGGGGAGTTCGACGGCGTGCTCCCGCCCTTCCGATGCCATGAACGGCGACATACCGATCGCCGAGTGTTTCGAGTTGTTGTAGGCGAACTCCGCCATGGGCAACAAATCGGTCCAGTCGTCCTGCTGGTAATTGACGTACGTCCGCAAGTACTGTTCGAGCGTCGAGTTACTGCGCTCCGTCTGACCATCCGTCTGGGGATGGAAGGCGGTCGAATAACTAGGCTCGACACCGGACAACTCACAGAACTCCCTCCAAAATCTCGACGTGAACAGCGTTCCCCTGTCCGAGATGATCTGCCGGGGAAACCCGTGCAATCGTGCCCACTCCTGCAGGAACATCTGTGCCAACACCTTGGCGTCGTTGTCCTTCCGACAAGGCACGAAATGTGCCCGCTTGCTGAAGCGGTCGACGATCACCAGGATCGCGTTCGAACCCCTCGACTCAGGTAGGTCCGTGATATGGTCCCACGTGATCGACTGGTAGGGCTCCGTCTCCGCTTTCAGGGGAGCCAGCTCGCCGACTGGTTTGGCCCTCGGCCTCCGATTCCTCTGGCACTTGTCGCAACTAGCCACGTACTGGCTAATCCATGCCTTCATACCCGGCCAGTAGAAATCTCTACTCACCAGGTCCTCCGTCTTGTCCCGCCCGTAGTGTCCGGCGGTCTTCCCATCATGGAGCCTCTTCAAGAGCTCCGTCTTCAAGCTTCCCGCATCGGGAACGTACACCAACCCGTCGTACATGAGCGCGCCTCCCGGGCTCAGACTGTACCGACTATTCGTCAAGGTTCCCTCCTTGACGCCCTTGATCAGGTCTCTCGCGACCGGATCTTCTTGTCCCGCAGGGATCAACGCTTTCAAGAACCAATCCCCTATGACGGGGATCGTTCCGCACAACCGCAATGGGGGTTGTACCGTCGCTGCGCTGACCACCAGCGCGTCTGCATTAACGGGGCGCAACAGGGTCTCTGCCTGCTTGGGCTCCGTCTCCTCCATCAACTCCTCTCTCCTGCTGAGCGCGTCAGCCTTCCCGTTCTCCGTCCCCGGCTTGTACTCCAACGTGTACGAGATTTGGTTCAGCAACTGAGACCATCTCGCTTGTCGGTGGGACAACATCTTGTCCTTCTTGAAGTACTCCAGGTTCTTATGATCCGTAATGATCCTCACCGGGAACTTCCCGTCCAGGTAATGCCGCCATATCTGGCAGCAGTACACGATGGCGAGCAGCTCGCGATCGTGTACGTCGTAGTTTCGTTGAGCCGGCGTAAGGCTCTTCGACATGAACGCCACGGGGTGTAGTTTCCCGTCGTCCCCTACCTGCGACATCACCGCTCCCATCGCACCTGACGATGCGTCCGTCTCCAGTACCACCTGGCGCTCCTCGTCGTAGTGAGCGAGGATGGGCGCCTCGGTGAACGCCTTCTTCAACTCCTTGAAGGCAGCATCCGCTGACTCCGGCCAGTGGTACTTCACCCCTTTCTTTGTCAAGGCCGTCATGCCTTGAATCTTCTTGGAGTAGTTCTGTATGAACCGGCGATAGTAATTCGCGAACCCCAAGAACGACTGCAGGCCTCGAATATTTCGAGGCACCGCCCACTCCAACACCGACTTCACCTTCGACGGGTTCATGCTGACCCCCGTAGGGGCAATATCATACCCCAAGAACTCCGTCGCCGTCGTGTCGAACTCACACTTCTCTGCCTTTGCGTACAGGCCATTCGCCTGCAGCCTCCTCAGCACTTCCCGTACGTGCTCGTCGTGTGTCTCCTGATCGGCGGAGTAAATCAATATGTCGTCTAAGTAGACGACCACACACACGTCTAACATGTCCTGGAAGACCTGATTCATCCAGCGCTGGAACGTCGCCGGCGCGTTTGTCAAACCAAATGGCATGACGAGACATTCGAACAGACCATAGCGTGTCGTGAACGCGGTCTTCCAAACATCCTCTTCTTTGACCCTCAGGAGGTTGTACGCTCCCCTCAGGTCCATCTTCGTATATACCTTCGATCCCCGTAGGCGATCTAAGGTCTCCGAGATAAGCGGCAGGGGGGTCCTGTCCTTCTCGGTAATTTCGTTGAGGCGGCGGTAATCAATACACAGCCTCAATTCGCCCCCTTTCTTCGGTACGAACAGTACCGGACTCGAACACGAGGACTTCGAGGGTCGAATAAACCCTTTCGCCTGGTTCTCCGCCAACCACGCCTTGAGAGCGTCCGTCTCCTTCTGCGAATGGTTGTACAACTTCCCATACGTGGGAGTTGTTCCAGGCTTCAGCTCGATCGCATGATCGATCGAGCGCTTCGGAGGCAGCGAATCTGCCTTCGTCTTGGAGAACGCTCCGAGGTACTCATGGTACTTCTTCGGCACAACGTCTCGCAACTTCTCCATGTACTCGGGAGGATCGAGTTCGTTTTGAATCGAGTCGGTGGGCTTGACGTCCCAGTCCCACAGGTCCGGCCTGCGGGCCCGCTCCTCATCCTCCCTCGTCATCTGCATTTGGGCCACCACGAGATTCTCCGTGATCGGCTCCTTCATTCTCGACAGCGGATCGATATTCCGCGTCTCTATCTCCACCTCGTCGGGGGAGCATACTACCTCTACCTTCTTGACGCATCCTTTCTTCAAACAGTCGTCCGCGAAGGTGACTGTATTTGTATCCCACTGGATGTGTGGGCTATGGTGTCGTAACCATGTAATCCCGAGGACCGCCGCGTACCCACACAAATCCGTCAAGAAGAACTCCGCCTTTTCTTGGTGCAATCCTGTCCGCACAATAGCATGTGCCTTCTGGGTGATCTGACCACCCACTATCTCTCTTCCGTCGATGACCGTGACGGTCCTAGGGTTCTCTAGGTCTATCACATCAAAGTTATGGATCCTCGCGAACGTCCGATCCATGAACATACCCGTGGCCCCCGAATCTACCATCATCACTGCCTGCACAGGAATCCCCTGCGGGTAGAACACTCCTACCAGAGTGAGATGGCTCTCCGGACCACTAGGGTTACCGCTAGCACCAATGTGCAGCGGGATCCCATCACTACCCCTTTTCACGTTCCCAGCCGGGGTCCTTTGGTGATCCGTTATTCTATAAGGCCTGGCAGCCGACCTGCCGGGTCTTGGGGTAATAAGGTCGCGGGACTGGGGAAAGGTAACGGTAGGCATAGCGATGTAATAACGGATGTCTAACTACTACAAGGTACTAGTTAGACGTCTACGAGGACATCTCCTAAAAGGTCTCCGAGAGGGTCTCCGAGAGGGTCTCCGAACGAGACCCCGAGGCGACGCGCACCGTAGGTCGCGCGTCACGTGACGCCTATAATACTTGCCCTCGCAATCGCACTAGTATTCAATATCAATACGTTATCACAATGAACTCTTCCCAGGCAATCGACATTGATCAACTCCCCGACATTCTTAACCAATACACTGGGATGGAGGAGGACCTAGTCGACCTTTTTATAAGGGATGAAGCAGAGAAAGACACCGAAGAAGAAGTCCAATTAGCTCCTCCCCCGCCCTCCCCCCTTGTTATCGCTCAACAATCGATTCCAGGGGATTCATTCTCTGTTGAACTCCCTGAGTTCGAACCCACGCCCGACATGGATGCAATCGTTGCAGAGATCAATCTCCATGGTCAAGCCCATGGGTACGCTATAAGGAAGTCAAACGTCAGCAAATACCAAGGAGTCGTTCGCAGTTTTAACTTGAAATGCACTCGCGAGGGGGAATACACTCCTTCTCACGACTACATTAAAAAAACGGGACTTGCCCGAAACAAAAAGACAACTACACAGCGATGTGGCTGTGGATTCAAAATCTATGTGAGCTGCGATAAAGCTGGCCAATGGTCTGTCTCACCGCGGTGTTTAATCCACAATCATGTACCGGCCGAAACCCCTGGAGTATTTCGCCAAAATCGAAAGATGACTCCAGCCGAAGCAGCGATTGTAGAAGCAGGTTGCAAGGCAAATCATTTACCTTCTGCGACCCTAGCAGAACTACGACACAAAGCAGCACAGGAGGGAAGAGAAACATTGGTCTCAATTAAAGAGATCTACAACGCTCGTCAAAAGTTCTTTTCCAATGCAGCGACTGGAAAAACACGTACCGATGCATTGATCAAACAACTCGACTCCGCTGGAATACCCTTCGAACCTTGTTTCGGTGCAGCCAATGTGTTAACACACTTGTTTGTAACTGAACCAATGGCCATGACCCTTGCTCGACATTACGGGCAACTGTTATTTATCGATTGCACCTATAAAACAAACAAATACAACATGCCGATGCTTCACATCGTTGCAGCGACCGCGAGCAATACTACATTTACTGTGGCCTTTGCATTCATGTCTCGGGAAAGGGAGAAGGATTACATCTGGGCAATGAAGTGCTTCAAACGATTCCTAGGGAACACTCCAGTGGAAACGGTTATGACCGACGCCGAAATGGCCTTGCGCAATGTGATCGAGCAAGAATTTCCTCGTTGGAAACACATCCTATGCCTTTGGCATATACAACAGAACATCGTGAAGAATTGCAAGAAAGGCATCCCAAACGACACGTTCATTGAAGTGCTTCGAGCCTGGTGAGGTGTTGTAAGACAACCAACGGAAGCGAAGTTCAAAAACGCAAAAGTCGATCTGATCCATCGATTTGGTCAAAATGGATCGAACACCCAACAAATGGTGGGGTACTTGATCATTGGATTCGAAGAGGCGGAACGCTTTGCCTTCTACGCTACTGGGCAAGCGTTCCATCTGAACTATCTAGCTACCTCGACCGGTGAATCGTTCCATCGCGCTGTCAAAAGGCAAATCAAAGGCAGTGGCGATCTCTTTGCAGCGACCAACGCGGTATTGAATCACATGGAGAGTACGCAGTTGAAAATCTTTGATATTCATGCCAATGGACCTGTTCGAAGGAACATTAGCTTGCCCGAATGCTTTGTCCAAGTGAGTTGAGGTGTGACCATGTGGTGTTCCGTTAGAGTCGATCTATTGACATGTTTCAAACAATAGCTCCATGGAAAGGTTTCAACGTACGCGATCGACCTCATGCATCAACGGGGATACCTCTTTGCGAAAGCTGTAAAGGCTAGCAACGGTCAATTAGACCCTTGCACAGGTGCATGGCAAAAATCCACTGGTCTCCCATGCAAACATGACTTTGCGGCGTTCTTGAATGGCACTCGACGACATCCTTTACAACTCCACGAAATTCATGTTCATTGGCATATCGTTCATCGCGCACAACTCAAAGAAACAGCGGTACAAATGGGTATAGAGGTCCCTCGAGCTCTTCTCAGGGGTCTTGACAATGCAAACATCCCTGTACCTATTCCATTGGGAGGCATTCAGAACACCTACATCGAACGTCGACTCCCAGGGGATTTACTACTGAACGACCTATCGGCGACGATCCTGCCACCTGTTTGGCGGGTACGCGTAGGGCGGAAGCAAACAGCGCCCTCGCGCGCGGAGGCTGCCACCCTTATCAATGACGTGGCAATGGATTGGCCTGTCGCGCGCGCGGAAACAGGTCCAACTCGTACATACGCGGCGCCCTCGCACGCGTCTATTCCATCGCAAACGACCAGTGAATTTTTGTCTGGCTACATTCCACCGGGCGACATCATCGTACCAGTTGCTTCTAGCGGTCACACCCAATCGGGCGGGGAGACTGTTCTCAAGAAACGCAAAGTCGTACCAGCTGCAGAGCAGCAATGCCACGGATGTTGGCAATTTGGTCACCGTAGTAACAGCAGCAAGTGCGACAAGAACAAGGAGAAGGCGATTGAAACAGCGCTGTGGAGGGCGACATCGACAACTACGGAGAACAATACAATTTCGAACTCGTTTTTAGGATCGACGCAGGGTGTTTAAACATACGTCTTGTTCGATGCTTTCAGACAATGAAATACCTATTTTGAAACGCTGCAATGGATTGCAACAAGGACCTATCTCGACCAAAACGATCCTCGGAGTGAAACTAATGACGTTTTCCTCTTGTTTGGACAAAAGTAATCGATCGACATATCAACTGCAATGGAAGATCACCTCGAAACAACTATTGTTCACGTTTACAACGCTCGAGAACAATAAAAATACGATTTGGAGACATACATCTCGATGAGTACTTATACCTTTCGCAAGAGAACACCTTACTGATCGATAACATCGTCTCTCTACTCTTCTCTTTACTCTACAACGAATAGATTTCCTTCCCGCAATAGCCCTATGCCCGTCTCACCCTCTATCGCAAGCACCATCGATATCGTACAATCGCCTAACCCAATGGACGGAATGGACGGAACGTGAGTACATGTTTCTTTCCTTTGAATCGTTCCAGATATTCTTTCCATCGAGATCGACCAACTAATTGATTCATTGTATGCGTTTAGTCCTCTTTATTCCGCGTTCGACATCCCCAATATCCTTACCCTCGACCCTACATTGCCCATCCCCAATCTCAATCTCTGGCCCGGTATTTTTCAGAATCATCAACATTGGACCGACGCCTGGAACGGTTGCGTCGACGAAACTCGCCCCGACGATGGCCCGGGAGCTCCTCAACGAAGGACTCCATCGACTCCGAAGAAGAAGAAGACCAACAAGGGGAAGGCCAAAGCGGTCGATCCCCCTAAGCTTCGCGTGGCGGATAAAGCTTATCGCTGCACCACTGGAGCATATATTTCGAGGTTGGACAAAGGAGGTATTGAAAAGGACGACAAAAGGAGTAAGTTCACATCGATATCTTTCATTGTTCGACTACATTGCTTTAGATTGCTGATCGACTTCATTGCATATGTTCTTTGTTTAGTTCACGCGGATCTCGTCGATGAATTGTCCCTCCCCGTTCTCCCCGTCGCTCCCCCCGCCCATCTCATTGCCATGAACGCTCCCATGGCTTCCGGAAGAAAGGATACTCCCGGTATTGACGCTGCCTTGGTGAGTTGCGTTGATCGAGTTTATTGGGCGATTTCAATGAACTGACGCGTCGTATGATATCATTTTCTTAGGCCAAATACCAAGGAGGATGGAGACTCGCCTGCGACAGCTGCCTCGGGCTTTATATCCCCGTCCCCTACACCGGCCCCGGCCAAGTCTTCACTCAGCAAGCGATGATTGCTGCGAACCTGAACGTCAACTACGCTACAAGGATCCGACTCATCGAATACGGTCCTTTTATTCTTTGCCGTGGTTGCATCGGGGTCGCGAAGGGCAAGGGGATGTTGCCGAGTTGTGGGCCCTGTCGGGTGACCGGGGAAATGTGCAAGGAGGTCGATGCCAGTACGGCAATCCGATTGAACGACGCCGGGGTCCATCCCATCAAGAGAGCTATCCGGGCCTTCACCATCATTCGGGACCACGGGCAAATGCAGAAGCCCGATCGCATTAGGATCGCCCAATACGGTCTCGACGCGCTCAAGAACGAGGTCTGCCACGGATGGGATGGTGACGAGTTGGAAGACGGCGAGATAGCTCATGAACGGGTTGTTTGCGATGGGGTTATGAGTGCTTTCGATTAATTGGTTTGTTTCATTGAAGTCTTCTTATTTATAATACGCAATGTTCTTGTTTTGTAAATCTACTTATATGCGATCGTCTTATGCAATTGATACCGGAACAACTTTGAGCAAACTAATTCACCGAACGACTCCAACGGAACACAGTGATGCGATAATCCCTTGAACAGTACCTTGGCGTAAAGCCATTGTCACATACTCCCGAGCTATTTGAAATGTAAACTTGATTGCCGCCATAGTAGTAAAAGTTACCGCCACCAGATGAATTCTTGACAAGTCCCCTATTTTACGGCATTTCCGCTAGATTTCACGTTGTGATCTCTCGCTACTAGCTATTAGAGCTGCTCTCACTGACGATGATTCTCTCTGATCGTTGATCACCCTCGTCTTGCCCTTTCTAGCAGTATCGTCCTACTATTCACAACTTGATTACCTCCCGTATTATACCTACGATGTTCTCCCGCTCAACTTCTCTCCTCCGATCCTCATTACGGACTGTCAACACGCCTTTGACCAGCCGGTCCTTCGCCTCGACCACCCTCCTCAGGAACTCTACGGCTAACGCAAGTCAATCTACACACGATGCTCAACAGGCCCGGGACGATGGAGAGCAGAAGATCTATGACAAGCTCAAGACCAAGTTCAGTCCGAAGACCCTCGATGTGATGGATGTTAGCGGTACGTCTTCTCGATCGGGATTCGACGTTCGGCTTGGTTTGCTGACAAACTGCGTTCTCGCTATCGGCTCATCTCTATCCCTCTATACCTCTTTCTGGGGATCCTCGCCATGAACTCCGCACAACCATTTCCGTGAGATCAGGTGGATGCGGTTCTTTCTACGCCATCCACATCTCATCCGCCCTCTTCAAAGGGTTGACGACGATCAAGCAACATCGGTTGGTGAACGAGTGTCTGAAGGAGGAGGTCAAGGATATTCACGGTCTTCAGGTAAGTGGGCCGATGCATACCTTACTCCTTCTGACATCGATTTAGGACTGTTGGGCTGTCATTTGAGTTATCTTCGCGAGTATGGGTGTGAGGCTGATGGAAAGTGTTTCTTTCTCTTGGAGCAGCTCAAGACCGTACCGGAAGAGTAAAGATAGAACAGGACGCACGAAAGGAACAACTTCAGATCTTACTCCGGAGAAGCAAGCATCAACTTGGATGGAGCTCCGGGATGTCATTCGTTGGCGGAGAGGTTCATCGGGCTCGATCTCAAAAATATAAAGAATCCGAGGTCGATCTTGAAGTACTGTATCATATCAAATCAGACAATACCGATATAAGCAAGATTATTCTTATCAGCCCACAAAAAAGGACATCCGGCAGTGGCGGTCGATCCGAGGCACCGTTCTCCTTTCGCTTGGTCATTAGTCAGTAAGCAAGGCAACCATACCGATCGACCTGGGGGGACGAGTCCCAGCGACTGGCTGTCAAAGCCTTCCGTCGTGTTTCTCCAAAAAAGAAGCTATCGAACCCGAACAAAGGTGTCTAGATCAAGCTTTAGTGTCTCAAGTCTAGTCAAGGCGACAAGGCTTCTTTTGAGGTTTCTTCTTGCACTGAGCTGATACGGCTGATTCTGATAATGGGCACGACAGGACAATCGACACAACGTTCCGTATCCTTCCGGGATAGCATGCCTGATAACCGCACGCGTAAGAAAGGTGAAACGCGCCGATCGCCTTCCCAAACGGTTCGAACGACATCCTTTGAGGACTGCCTTGAAAACTGATGGATTCTGAGACGAGAGAGGACGGGAGTGTTTCAGCTCTCACAGGCAAGTTTCGGTACCAGGCCGGATGGACATATGAACGTGGATGAGGTAAGTGCGAGTGTAAGGTTCGGTATGACAGGTTGCTGAAGTCGATCAAGAATTCACCCTTTTCGACCACTTATTAACAGAATCGCTAGTCTTCCCTCTCCCTACCTAGAGAACGCTACATTCCACCAGAACCAGACAAGAAATAGCGCAAAGAATCCCTCGCCATGGCCTCGCAAACGATCAACGCGCGGAGCGAGATCGATACCTCCAAAATGCGTATCGATCCGCACTCGGCCATGTCGGACACCCATGTGCCGACTTATTGCCTGCCCGAGTTTGGGAAAGACGGGGTTGTCAAGGGAGAATTGAAAGATGGGTATTTCGTACCTGCGGGAGCGATGTTGCCTCGTAAGTTACAGCATGGGTTTCACGTTATTTTTCTTCTGTCATTCGTGCGTGGCCTGGTTACTGAAGCTTCTTAGTCGTTTCATTCTCGTCGAACGTAGTGGGCGCAGGTATACAAGCGGGGACGATCTTGAAATATGGAGGGTACTTTCCGGCTGGGACTGCTTTTCCCAAGGGCGTCATCGTACCTCTTCATGCGAGGATGGGTGAGTTAGAGTCTTGGAGTCCGCTCCTCGACAAGTTCCTCGTCCGACTCACTGGATCCCTCATCTTGCCTGACCTCGTGGGTATTTTTATAGTCAATGTCTTACCTGCGGAGACGATAGACCCACCGGCGATCCAGCGGGAAGAGATTTGCGTGATTATGTGAAGGAGGAGTGATGCCTTGGTCGGAGGGGTTTATACCCAGGATCGGATAGACGGTGGGCCGGATTGGTTCTGAGGCGTCCCATGTTTCTTGAAATGATACTATGGGATAAAATTGTGATCATCGCTAGAAACCGTTGGGGAGCGTCGTTGCTTCGTGTCTTGGTCCCTGAAGGGGCTTTGAGCACCGATCATGGTCTCTCCTCCTCTTCCAAGCCATGCCAGTCTTCAGCTCTCAGGAAGAATCTACCGCGATGCACACGAATGTGGAAGGCTGTGCGTCCTGAAACGGCATGGCGACGATGGCGCCACATCACGATTTGAAGAACCATCGTCTCCTCCTCACATGACCGTGTAGTCCGCAAAAGTCGGTATGTCTTCCTTTGAGCATACTCTGCCTTTCAAATCCGGTCTGATGTCCTGCTCAAGCGATACTGAACAGGCGTTGTAGACGGGGTATATATAAAGCTTTCCGCCAAACCTTATTCTTACTCGTATTGGTCGCACCGGATGGATCTGGCAGTAATTCTCCCCTTCGACCAAGATTCTTTAATCCGCTTTTCCCCTGTCTCCCGTCTTCCTTCCTCCGCCACCTCTTCAAGATGCGTTATACACGCCAAGCCAGGATCATTACCATGTTGACGCTTCTCAGTTGCGTATTCGTCGCGGTGGGTTGGGTGTTGCTGGGGGTCTATAGAACTGCATCTAATAGACTTGAACTTTCATCTTAGGAAATCGCTTTGGGTACTACCTTGCAGTCTCTGGTCATTCTTACCGACTCGGTTCATCTCCTCAGGCACGTCGCACGATCGCTTTTACGTTTAGCTGGAGAAGACGCATGCTGATAACCGAGATTCTCTCCCAACAGCGACATCCTAGCCCTTATTGTTGCTCTCTACGCCATTCGGATCTCTAAACATCCGGAAACTGATATGCTGACCTACGGCTGGAAACGGGCCGAGATTCTGGCAGCCTTTTTCAACGGAATCTTTCTGGTGGCGTTGTCGGTCTCGATTATCATCCATTCGATCCAGCGATTCATTCACTTGGAAGGTCAGTAGAATAGAAAGTAATGTCGCTGGAAGATTGATGCTGACTGGTTCTATCGCGGCACATAGAGGTCTCGGAACCTTTGCTAGTTGTCATTATCGGTTGCGTGGGCTTGGGCACTAATGTCGCTGGTATTTTCATATTCCATGGTAAGCCCACAAACCGGCGAAGCAAAGTCAATATGTTGACCTCTCATCATATTATTGCAGAACATCCGCATCTCGACGGGGATCATTCTGCTTGCGCTCATCTGCACCACCATGATGATGACCACGCACACGGTCACGGCCACCATCATCATGACCACGAACATCACCACCGTGGAGATGCCGAGCTGGGACATGCCAAAAAGCAGATACATATTAAAGGTCATCGTCAAGAAGCATCAAAGAGCCACGATCATCATCATCGACATCACCAAAATTGTGGAGATCACTCACATGGCCATCATGAACATGCACAACACGGACACAACCACGGACATGACCAAACACATGAACAAGAACGCCATGGGCATAAGTATTCGCATGGCAACGGTCACCGGCATGGGTATGATACACAAACTCAGTCCCGTGGGCATCATGCTTGCGCGTACTCCCACAACGACGACCATCATCATCAGTCTCCTTCAAAGCTGGTCTCTAAGCACGACCCCTCGAAACCGGACTCTCACGCGCACTCTGCTCATGGATACCACTCGAAGAACTCGAAACTACAACCTATCGACAAGTATTCCAGGCACCGACATGAGCGGGTAGAAGAGATGCAGCTTGAGCGTATCCACCCTGCTGGTTGTTTCGGACACACTATGCGTCATACCGAATCTCACCTCTCTAGCGACCATCATGCTCATCACCCACATCAATCGGCTTGTTGCTCTCCAACTATCCGACCCGAGTCTAGCGCCAGTTCGGGCGAGAGCTGCTGCAAAGAGAGTATCGTAGAAGCACCGGCCCCTCACAAGCACAAAGTGGCCAGGTCGATGAACATGACCGGGATCTTCATACACATTATCGGAGACGCGTCAGTTCAAACAGACGATATTTCAGGCGCATTGTGCTGATAGCAATCTACCTCGTCTTTAGGCTTGGAAACCTCGGGGTGATTGTGACGGGGTTGATCATCTTACTGTGAGATCTGTCGCAAAGTATACATAGAGTATCGTGCTGATCCCAATTTGCAGATGCAAGGGTCAATGGCGATACTACATGGACCCCACAATGAGTGTGCTGATCTCCTTGATGATATTTGCCATTGGCACGCCACTCAGTAAGTAAAGTATTTTTCACGTCGGCGCGTTCGAGCGATTTTGCTTATGACCTGAATGGCAGTCAAAAAGGCGTCTCATATCCTTCTTCAAGGGGTACCTTCCAACGTCTCGCTTTCAGAGCTCCGTAAGGAGCTTGAGCTTAGGCGTGAAATCAAGAATGTGGAGAAGGTGGGTCTAGAGGTAGTCGTCCTGCTTGGCCATGATGCTCATCTCCAATCACGCTTCCTTTAGCTTCATGTATGGCAGCTCTCTGAGCAAGTTACCATCGCTTCAGTACACGTACTGGTAGACGCTCGGACGGAAGACTCGATCGTCGTTCCGATCGTCAGAGAGATCCTGGCTACCCAAGGGATCCAGTTTTCCACCATCGAAGTGGCAAAAGAAGACAAGCGCGGGAAGCAGTTCCGCATCAGCAGCCTACATTTCTCGAACCACGGTGGCGACTGGGTACGTGCCAAGGATTGGCGCTCGAAGGGGTCGACTTTGCCGGATACGATGGAGGAGAGAGATACGATGGAAATCTTGATGTGATGTTAGTAGGCTGTATTTACTTTGTACCGATGGATTGTAACGATACCGAGTCTGCGTACTCCCTGGATATAGATTTCCTTCCCGACATCAGATCTCCCAAAGAGCCCTTTCCGCTCACTTCACCAGCGCAGTAGATAACAGGGGTTTTATTCCCAAGGAGAATTGACTGCACTGAGCTAGAACTGACCTTCCCGATTCTTCGCTTACCGCTTTCCCAATCCAGGAGTAAACATTATCGTCCACGCGTCTCAAGACGAGGCAGCTCAGCGAAATTATATGCGAATCATGCAAGCATCTAGGTGTGGTGTCCTCGCGGTAATGATAATACAAGTGGTAGAGTAGCAGACTATCCTCTTCTCCAAGCGTGCCTGCTCTGTTCAGGCCAAAGCCGAGTAACGGATATCGAATTGGAAGGTATGTGACGGGCCAGGCCCGATGACGGGGACGCGGCCTAGAACAAGATCGACAAGAATTTGTTCCAAGGTCCGGTCTTGGTCGCTGCCCGCTCCTGCTCGAAAGCGTCGATCTCGTCCAGTTCTCGTCGACCGGTCATGAAGTCCATCTACAGAAGGTAAGCATCGCGATCAGTTTCAAATCCTCCACAGATATTAGCGGTTGGATGCGAGAACCTACCTCGTTAAGTCGAATCCATCGTGTCCGCTTGGTGATCTTCCATCCAAAGTAGACGATGGGGAAGATGATGACCGAGAGACTGCACGCAATCAAGGCGGACCAGCCTCACTATCAGCCACCAGGTTCTGCATTGGAATATTAAAGAGGAATACTGACTAGTATGAGAAAAAGTCCGAAGTGCTCCAGTTGCCCTCGAGGAAGACGGTGTACCCGCTGAAGAAGATGACGATGAGGAAAAAGATGAAACCGTACCAAGACAAGTAGGGCTGCATGGGTGCGACGAAGGGGAAGTCTCGTCGGTCGATGCCCTGCTTCTTGAGTCCGTAGTAGAATCGGAGGTACGACCCGAGGATGACCTGATCAAGTCGGTAGCAAATTTCTTGGTTAACTATGACGAGTTTCGGGATAAGGGATATTTTCAAAGAAGAAAAGACTCACGACCCAGGCGATCAAACCGGTCGAAGCGCTCAAGTTGTACAACCAGTTGAAGACCGTCCCTGCGGTTCCCGTACTGGTGCCCATGAACGCCAACAGACCGAGACTGGCGGTCAAGGCGGTCGCGTAGATAGGGAGACCCCCAGGGGTACATTTGCGGAAGATCTTGGGGGCCTTGCCTTCGAGCGAGAGGGCCAGGAGGGTACGGGAGGCGGCGTACTACAGTCACACATATTAGGGTGAGCAAAACGCTATCAATCTCAAGGAAATCGGGGATGTTTGGCGACTCACGACATCCGAGTTGGCAGCGGACCAAGCGGCGACCAAAACGATAGCGTTCACGATCGAGGGCAACACCTTGATCCCAGCATTGGAAACGGCGATAGTAAACGGACTACTAGCCGCGTTCCCGGTATCGCTCAACAACCTAGGATCGTTGTAAGGTACGATGAGGGAGATGACAAAGATCCCGAGGATGTAGAAGGTGACGATCCGGAAAAAGACTCGACGGATCGCCCGGGGCACGGCTCGACGAGGGTTTCGAGCTTCTCCGACGGTGACGGCGACGATCTCGGTACCGATGAAGGAAAAGGCCGAGGTAATGAAGGTGGAGAAGAAGGCAAGGAAGCTATGACGATTGAAGGTGAGTACGTCAGTCTTTTCGGCCGGGCCAGGGAGGATGAATACTGAGAAATGACTGACTGTCCGAGAGATCCACCGATGACCTGCTCACCCTGGTGAGTGGTGGCACTGTTGAATGGACCGGGACTGTTCATAACGAGGCGCAAAGAACTTTTAGACTTGCAAAACAGGAAACCTCCACCGTGTCCTGAGCACTCACTCGATCCAGTATCGGAACCCGATCCTATCCCCGTTCGGCCCCCCACCGAGGTCGATGACGATACCCAAGATGATCAACCCGATAATAGCCAACACCTTGATCGTCGATCCGATAAACTCGCTCTCTCCATACCACTTGACCCCGAGGAAGTTGATCGCGCAGACGAGCACGAAAAAGATGGCGATCCATACGGCAGGGTGGATCTTCTGATCCGGGTCCCAATAAGAAATAACGATCGCTATAGCGGACAGTTCTACCGGGGTGGTGATAGCCCAGGAATACCAGTAGTTGTAACCTAAAGCGAAACCCATGGCGGGGTCGACGAAACGGGTGGCCATGTGCGTGATAGCTCCGGGGACGGGGAAGAGGGTGCATAGTTCTCCGAGGGCGACCATGACGGCGTAGACGCCTGTGCCCATGATGATGTAAGAGAGCCAGACGCCGACGGGTCCTCCTTGAGCGAGCGCTGTACCGGATCCGACGAAAAGACCTGTTCCGATGGTTCCGCCGATAGCAATCTGTACGAGTACAGGGTGTCGGTATGGGATGTTAGCCGTCACACGATACGGTGTGCTTGGATTGTCAAGAGAAGCGCAGACTGACCATCGCCAAATGCCTCTCCTTCAGATTACGTTGTACCGCACCATGTTCGCTGTTAGGGTCTACGAATCCAATCCGTAAACCCACTCCTTGTCAGCCCCGGTTCTGATACCTTGTCAAGACGACCTGCTGCTGCTCACCGAGACCCAACTGCGCCAACTTGGCCTCATACTCCGGGTCTCCTCGAGGTGGTATACCCACAGGAGTGACCGTACCCTGTGTGACCTCGGGGAGGTCGTCCAGCTCGTAATCATCCTTCGAAGGGGGTTTCTTGGCGTCGTATACGCTTCCTGGAGCCGACATGGTTGACGTCGTAGATGTCACGCGATGTCAACGTAGAGGATGAAAGTTGAGTTGGTAGTTGACAGTCCTGAGCTAGGTCCCCAATTTTCTATATGGTTGTGATTATTTGCGCAGGGATATACTGTATCTCGGAATATGTATATGGGGTTGCTCCGCAAAAGATCGACGTCGATCAGAAGGAGACGAGTATATGCGAGTATAATGAATGAACCACCTCCCCTGGTTCGCTCCACGGCAAAAGATAAGAGCTCCGTCGTGGGGCCAAAAACGAGTCAACTGCTCGAAAAAAACACTTCGGGGACATTTGGAGGGGCGTGGTCGGACGATCGGGATTGGCGGTCGACGATCCACAAAGATGCCGCGCCTCTATTTTCGGTTACAGGTCGGCTCTGGCACGACGTGTAGCGTGGGGCGAGGGGGAACAGCTGATGGCAGATCACGTGCCTGAATGTCGCGTGACAGGTTCTGGTGATACTTCCGATCAAGGGGATGGACGCGCGGTGAAACGCCGAGAGCGCCTTGGACATCATGTGTCTCAGAACGAGTCGATGCAGCATGCTCGAAGCTCGTCACTCAACATCATGATATACCTGGTCCGACCCAGCGTTCCAAGAGCTGTTACCCGGCCATCAAATAGTCGGAGGAGGCGAGCGCCAGATCATCGAAAAGCGAAATGAAATATCGCCCAGCCGGGACTAACGAGTACATGAACGTCTCAAGTGCCTCTGAGAATGATCATGAGCTCTTAATATCCTCGTCATGGAGACAACTGGTATCGCGAGACCAACGCACGTCGTGTCATCCGCCGAATAAACGTACTTTTCGGGACTTTCGGTAATAATCCAATAATAGATTCAGCCCAATCCGCTGATTGTCTGTTTTAAGGAACATTGATCTGGCCTTCAAGACGAGACAGCCTGCAAAAGACTAGAAAAGTAGGCATGATACGTGAGCTTTATCATGGCTCTAGCCTCATTCCTTGGGCGCATAAATCGTACCAGAGAGAGGCTTTGGCAGGTCGTATGATGTCGCTCAAACACATGTAAAAACCGGTGGTGCATGTCTTTAGTGGCTGGACCAAGCTGACCGGATTTCAGTAACTTGATCATCGTGGAGAACAAGCGGAGAGAAACCGACAGAAGAACAATCTCACGGCGCTCGGTTCTTCCCCTTGCTAGGAGGGGTACGTACCTCTGAGAACAGCCTTCTCCGACGGGGTATCGCTATCGCTGGTACTGAGGATATGGCGCGTCCGGGCGATTTTCCAGGTTAGTTGTCATCTCTTTTGTACAGACGAGACACAGAGCGCGACTCTTGTGGTACTCCTATCTGTAGCGTTCCGCTTATCCAATTGCATACGTTGCTTGAATCATCGTAAAGGTTCTCGGGAATGTTCATGTGCGCTGCGATCTACTTCATATTAATCTAGCCCGGTCGGCAGGAGGGACGCCTGTGTTTCTCAACTAGGTTACGGAATGCGACGAAGAAAGTCACACGTATTGTGTATCCATCCACAATGCATATCGTCCATTCATTACCCACATCCCAAACCAAACCCACCTTTACCCTTCCTCGCACTCAAGGTCGATCTTTACCCCCCGCTCCACGCCGCGCCAAACTGACTCAGCTACTGTAAAATACAAACCCGATCCTCATCATCCCCCCCGAGCCGGATCTTCCGGCCGTACGTACCCGTGATGGGGTCAAAGTCGTCTGCACCTGCGCCAGAATAGGGATCGGAGGAAGAGTTCAAGGAGGTGCAGAAGGTAGAGGAGGTATGGCTTTGAGCTACGCAGACGGTGAAGACTTTGTCAGGTATGGTCTTTGCGTGAAAGAGTTACGGTGATCGGGTGGGGACGACTTGCCTGTGAAGAGACGTTCGCCCGGAGAAGGGGGTCGCGTTTCGTTCTTACCGCCCACACCCCTATCGGTACTTGAATTTGTACTTCCGCTTGATTGAGGATCACAGGGCGATACCGGATGCGCTTCGACATCTGCCTTCTGATCAGAAGTTCCGCCCGGTCGGTTGGCGTTCGCTTGCCGGTCATCATCAGCTGCTTCGTAATCGAGATGGAATCGTCCGTTCGTATTGTCGGTGGTCATGATCGGATCAGGTCCCGTTGGAATCCGGATTGTGGGTGATAAGGCAGAGGGTGAAGATCGAACGTGAACGAGTTTTGTTCCCGTTGATATCGTTCGGGCATCGTCATGATCGTCGTTGTCGTGTCCGATCGAGAGTTCAGTATCTTTCAAAGACCATACTGTGCTACTGGTAAGTGAAACACCTGCCTGCCTTCTTCAAGCAGTCAGGGTTTCAGCATTTGAGACAAAGGAAAGCATGCGAGGCCCCGGTATGAGCGGAGCAGAATGGGCGTAGAGCTTGTGTCAACGGTAGAAGCGCGTGTTTGAGTCTCCGGTTACTCACCGTTAAGCGCTAGTAACCGGGGAAGGGACACCCAGCTGAACAATCCCTTGAATCCTTATAACGAGAACATGTTGAAGCTCGTCCGTCCTCGATAACAACCTGTAACGTAGCGACCAAAGACCAATCCAAGCCAGATAACAGCATCGAGTCAAACATGTCATCAAAGACCAACACCCGCATCGTTCTCCAGTCCCGACCCAAAGGCCCCATCGAGCCCGACACGTTCAAGACCGACAGGTCCGAGCGTGTACCGACCGAGAAGGATCTGAAGGATGGAGAGGTCGTTGTCAGGGTCATGTGGATCAGTTTGGTCAGTATTTCAGGTCCATGGCTTGTCGATTTTCTGCTTTCGCTGTGAGCTGATACAAGTGGACTGCGATTGTAGGACGCATCGATGACAACCTGGCTGAAAGAATTCCGGAGTAAGCCCTTCCTCCAGTCTTCTCTCCTTTTCTGTCCTCTCGTACAATGCAGACACTACAAACATCTGAAAGAAGAGCTAACCTTCTCCATTGCTTGCCATTGATCGCGAAACCCGTTCCAGACTACCTCCCCCCGGTCAAACTTGGTGCGGTCATGCGAGCTAGCGCGGTAGGAAAGATCGTAGCTTCCAAGTGTCCGAATAGGAAGGTCGGACAGAGCGTGAGTCTCGAAGCAATACATCTGCATTCAATTATTGTGGTTCCGAGCTGACGGTATGTGCATGGAATTCCTCCTGATTTGCGGAACAGGTCGAGGGTACTTTCGGCTGGCAAGAGTAAGCTCCCGCTCTTTACAAAACACCATACTCGACAACTAATCTCAATCCTTGTGTCTTGATCGTTTTCACCTCACCTCGCATCGCGTCGCAGGTACTGGACAGGCCCCTCCAAACATACCGAGGCTCTGAAGGCTTTCGAGGGGTCGACCGAGCGGGACTATGTTGGGCCTTTGGGAACTTCCGGTGAGCACGCCAGATATCAGCTATAAGAATACCCGTCTCTATGACAGAACATGACTGTATTTGACTAACGTGACGGATTTGATCTTGGTTGATCCCTTGTTGGTTTGATTAGGTCTTACTGCATACTTTGTGAGTGAATACCAATATCGAAGTGTGATCCAGCAGACACTGAGTCTCGTTTGAGATGGTACGGCGTTATAGGGCCTGAAGGATATCGGAAAGATCAAGAATGGGGATACGGTCGTCATCTCCGGTGCAGCGGGAAGTGTCGGTATAGTAAGCCCGTCCATACTCTTCTCCATACCCCCGGCTGAAAAGCTCCCTCGAGATACTTACCGAGATAACCTTTTCTTATCGCTCCCCAGATCGTCACCCAACTAGCTCTCCTGCTCAACCCGAAAGGACGGGTCATCACCACCGCGGGATCCCCTGCCAAGTGTAAACAACTGAAAGAGATGGGTTGTCATGCGGCGATCAACTACAAGGATAAGGATTGGAGGAAACAGTTGGGTGCGGCCATGAAGGATGAGGATAAGAGTGGGAAGAAGGGGAATGGGTGGGCGGATGTCTATTTCGACAATGGTGAGTTGTAATTGATGGAGGGGTTTGTGTGTGAATGATTGGGTAGCTGATATGGTTTCGGTTTCGGGTTTGGGATAGTTGGAGGAGAGATGCTCGACTTTATGCTTGGACGGCTGAATGAATTCGCCAGGATCGTCATGTGCGGAGCGATTTCAGACTACAGTAAGCCGCTCATCCCGGCTGTTCGATCAGCGAGACGAACGACACAACTTGAGACTAATCGCCCTCCCCACGCATTCTCCATCTGGCAGACTCGGCTCAACCCTACCCTATCCGAAACTACCAAGCCTTGATCTCCACGAAATCTACCATGCAAGGCTTCATCGTCTTCCAATTCGCCGAGAGGTACGACGAGGGCCGGGAATACCTCTCGAAGCTCTTGAAGGATGGCAAGCTCAAATACGAGTGGACCGTCGTGGGAGACGGGAAAGACAAGTTGAAGGGTGTAGAGGCCTGTGTGGATGGGTTGCAGGGATTGTATGAGGGACGAAATGTCGGGAAGACGTGAGTGACTATAAAGGCGGGATTAGCAGGAGTGTCGATGCTAATATACTTTTCGTCCGTCAATAGCGTTGTCAAGGTCTGGGATGGAAATATGTCCGAGTATCAGAACGACTCGAAGAAGCGGGAAAGCAAGCTCTAAAGTAGCGCAGGATATCGTGGCCGATAGTATAGGTTATACAGCAGGAACACAAAAGAACATTACGATACTTTGAGGAACCTCTAGGAAATACACGAAGAATATCTTGTTACGATCTTGCTTGTGGGCGTCTCCCGTTTTCCAGACTGTAAGCTTTGATTAGCGTTTCGTTGCGGGGCACGAGTGAAAGCAGCGGCAATAACCTGGGGCTCGGTATCATGCTCATTCGTTTGAGAAGGCGGAAGAGTCGTCGTTCAGCGAACGTGGTGGTACCGTGAACCCAATATTATGAGTGGGGGCACTCTTCTTCTTGATCGCAATGTAAGATGGGCCCTGGCGGTCGCCGCGACTCGCCCCGGAATTTCCATGGTCAGCATCTTGCAACGGGCAGAACCGCGGTCCACCGAGCAGTATGAGGATGAGCTGCTTCTAGGGCTATGATCATCCGGGACAGAAGATATTGATGCATTGTTATCTGAACATCGGGTACGAGGGCAAGCAGTGGGCGAATCTGGCCTTGCAGATGTGGATAAACCTATTACGTTGGGACTATGACGACTCTACCATCTCGAAATTGCTCAAATGGGTGTTTGACAATATGGGCCGGAACCTTCGGACGACTTCGTCTATATGCACGTTTCACACAGTTACGGATGTACTCATATTTAGGAATATATACGCGAAGGTCTTTTCGCCTTTGCAAAGTGAAGGATATGCGATAAGATGCTACTTCCTAGCCGTCGATTTGCCTTCCACCTATGCTGGATACAATCTCGCCCGTTAATTCTCGTCTGACTATGACTGCAACGATACCGGAATCCTCACCTCAAGCGAAATGTATCCCAATGACTCTAGCCTCTGTGAACACTGGATCATCATTGATCTCTGCAAGTACAAGAAGCTTCTCACACCTGAAACAAATTCTGCCAAAACACTCGAAGCCGTTGCAAAATGTGTGGTGCCCATCATACTTCTGGAATTCAAGTCCAGTCAACCTGGTGAGTATCAGATTGCAAACTTGATTGCGACCTACTGACCTCCAAACCCGATCGCCTCGTATGGCTCTCGTTCTAGTCGCTTACAGACGGTTCAGTCCAGATGTCAGCCATTCGATATGAATCGGAAAGCACCTGTTGTAAATATGGTTCGAGTGATGGATTTACATATTGTTGACAGACAGATAGCGTCTTCGATCGATCAGAATCACTGATAGCAACCTTGTGTGTAGGGAAATACTAGATCTAGGCGGTGAGGGTGTCTGTAGTGTTCTTGCCTCGTCCTTTTGACTCAAAGTTAGCATCCATGAGTGATGGCGTTGGGTATGACTTTGCTACGAGGGTGCAGGGTATGTCAGCTCAAGCCTATCTATCTATTCGGTTCTCCAGGAAGACAAGTGGGTGCACTGCTAAATTGCACTTGTATCGGCTGACAACCGCTCTGGACTCTGTTGGGGCAATTATATCTCAGAACTTGGATCAGCTAACGGTCAAGAACAACCGGCACATGCGCGACAATCAATCTAGTTGTGCTCGGTAAGCATAAAGCGTAGGGCATTCTTCGAACACAATCTCAACCCTGCAGAGCTGAAGCTTACTTGCATCACCGCACTGCATAGCAGCTTGAATCTTTCCATTGCGATGACGTTAGGCCCGCCGATACAGATCAAGTGATGCAGCCTTCCCTGTAACTTGATAGATGCGGGGACATCGAACTACTTGTGCAATCGGTTTTATAGTATGAAACGCAGTCATCGCATCGTGGGCGAAACCGTTCGGAGTGCATAGTCCTGATCCGACGTCCTCGAATATCAAACTCTTAGCTGATCGATCAATGCTAATTATCATAGCCGGACCGTCTGTGGTGACGATTGACCATCTTACTTAATTTTTTGGTGTTTTTACTACGCGGAGGTGGCGCTTCATCATGAAGAAGGTTGCGCCAAACTTGCTTTGACACATACCTGTCGAGAATTGCAAGAAAGAACCTCACCGACCACTAACCACATCACATACGACAATACCAAACCGCATGCAAAAAGCAAAAAGAAGAATGGGGTGTCCGATCGCATTCCTAAGCAAGTCATTATTTCGTCAGGCCGCCACCAGACCGCCGCTGCAGTTCGACGCTGGTTAAACGCCGTTCGCGCTGCCCATCCGAGGAGGGTAATAATCTTTTCTCTTCCTGTGGTTTGAACCCATGACCGCCAGTGCGTCGACTCACTGGGAGTCATGGGCTGTGGACGATTGTGGCTCTCGCCTTTCACCAAGTCGACCACCAAACCGGACGAGAGACGGGTTTTCTCAATCGATTTATACCAGGTCTGGGATGTCACGCTAGGGATCAGAGAACCTAGACATGCGCGACGCCTCAGACTTGTCCACGTAGAACTTGATAGTACCGTGGACAACCTCAGGATCTGCAGGCACATCGTCTTCATGTCTTCGGCTTGCCCCTATCACATGCCATATGTCATCGAGACTGTATCGGGGATCTGAAAGCCACTTTCTCTACGTCGTCTCCATTCTTATCACTATAGTACGACATCTCGAGCATATGAGGCCCGAACGTTCGTCCACGCCCCGCTTGCGATTCTCCTCGTGCTTTCATCATAGCACGATTGCGCGTACCGCGATTCCGGAATGGCAAACCCACCGCTCGATCTCGGACGACCAGGTCACCAGATCACCAGGTCACCAACTCGAACGCATCAAATCCACCATATATCTGTCGTTCCTATTTCTCAAGATATTTCTCGGCCCAGAACGAGTATTGGGATCCCTCGATCACGTCCGTCGCTTGCCACCTTTATCCTATTCCTTTGGCGTCCTTCGCTGCCGTCATCCTTCTTCTCAGCGCGACCAACTTTGTCAACAACGACGGAGACGATCGACCTCGACGACGTCAGGCAAGAGGGATCGACCTTGATCTCTTCCGTTGTGGCTACACGAACGACAGAACGACACAACGGATCTCGTTGGGATAGTTCCGAACATATCGATCTACATCTACCATCAGTATTGTGCCATGCCGGCGAAAACGGGATCCTCGAACTCCTCCTAAACCGCTTCCAAGACAGACCTCGAGACCGAGGCCACATCATGTCTGCTCAGGTTACCTCCAAAGCGGAAGAGAACAGCTACGATGTCATCCTTGATTGGGCGACAAGAAGGGAAGCTGTTGTTAAGTGTCGAGTGTCGGACATCTATCGCCTGAGGGCGTCAAGGAGTTCGAGGGGGACCAGTAAGCGTTCTGGGAGAAGGACCCTCTGGGCAGCCGGGGCTGACTTGCTGGGTTGTGATTTGCACCTCCTCCACCTACTTTGCTCAGACGATGGGATATTCTTCCTGTGTCATCAACCATGTAGGATGGTTCAGGTCGTAGGTTGGGTCTCAGCCATCTCGTTCGAATCGGTACACAGGGACGCTCTGGATTCGGACGTCAAAGTCTCGGTGACTAGTGAGTCTTTCGGCTGATCCGTCTACTGAGCTTTTGGTTGGGGGATATGCGATACTAGTTAGCTGATTCACATCGTCTTGCCGGCTCATAGTCGATGATCCTGATGGACAGTATAATATTACCGCTCACCAGATTCTCTCAAACCACCCCCGTGCGGAGCCTGCAAGACCTCTCCCAACAGCATATTCGAGCAAGACCAAACCCATTTACCGATACGTGCCCAAGAACACCCACGCCAATACCACTCCTTCGAATACCCGAGGAAACCTAGGAGGGTCTAGTGTCCGCGAAGATATATCAGGTTACGCTGTCAAAGAAGCTAAAAGGCCTGTCTTCCCAAACTACCGAGTTGGGGATACGCTGAGCATCAAGGGGAGGGTCAATGAGTGGAAGAGACGGGATGGGAGGGTGATCAGAGAGTTGAACGCCAACTTGTCGATGGGAGGAGAGATCGGTACGTTTCCTCGTGTTGTGATAGTTACCGAGATGCTGCTCGCCTGTTTGCTGATGTATCAGCTGTTCTTGCCATGTTCAGTCATTATCGATCCCGCTGAAGAGATTGCCCACGTCCGGCTCGTCGATCACCTCCGGACGACCGTCTACAATCGACCGTTCGTTGTACCCGCTCCGGAGCCTCTCAACCTCAGACAGCCGGCTACGAGTTGTCATTCTACGCCGACCAAGTTCAAGCCAGGATGTGCGAGTGGGGTAGAGGGTGGGTCGCCCTTGAAGAAAAGGAGATTGGGTGCCGAGCCGAGTAGCGAGGTGGAGATGAATGGGACTATGGGGATGAGCTCGACAGCGACCGGGTATGGAGATCGCGTAAGTAGATTGGGTCTCGAGATGAGGTCTGTGCTGGAAACCCGGATTTCCGCTAACATGGTCCGTCACGGTATCGGACAGCTACGACATCCGCTTAAACTGCATAGGAAACACTTGACCTTGACGACGTTCACGAGGTACCTATCCTCCTACCTCGAGCGAATGACGGAGACGACCTGGGCGACCGCGGCAAATTCGAGCTCAAACAGAGCAAAGGGGATCAATATCAATATCAATACTGTCGACTTGGAATCCACCGAGACTCTACAATTCGCTGCAAAATACCTGCCCGAGCTGCAATGGCCGACCAAGGAGATGCAGGCGATCTTCCGTAAACGCAAAGAGGCAAAGGAACGGGAACGAGCCACCGCAGCAGGTGTGAATCCAAGTCTGAGTTCGAATGGACCGCTTGATAGACATCGAGATCGAGGTGGGAACGACGATACCCCCCGAGCACATAGGATCCTTCGGACGAACTTGACGCCGAGGAGACAAACTTCCTCCAGCTCCATCTCGACGGTCATGCCCATTTCAGGATCTGTCGCGGTCTCTGACGAGAACTCCAACTCCTCCGGCGGATCTACCGTGGAGGTCATCTCGGGGGCTTGTAGTTTGGATCATCTCATGCACGTCGACTACCTTCGCGACCTGGCCGATCGGGTGTTGAGGCAAGAATACCGTCGACGGGGTGATCGTCGCAAAGCGCAAGCTATGACAAACCCTTCTAGTCTCACGGACGGGCGGGAAGAAGAAAGAGCCAAACGGAAAGCGGACAAGGAAGAATATCGACGGGAGAGGAAACGGAAATTAAGGAGATTGTTCCGGGAAGGGATACGGTTGAAGATGATGGAAGAAGGGAGCATCGTCGAGGTCGCCTTGACCGAAGAGGATTTGAAGGAACAGAGGGTCGAGAAGGAAGCGAGACGATCGAGAAAGAAGATGTTGGAAGCAGAAGGTGGAGCGGATTCGTTTGAGAGGGGTTGGGATGCGAGTTTCGCTTCGACCTTTTCGATCTCGAATGCCAGCGTGTTGGGGGACAAGACGGACTGGACGAACGTCTCTACACGATCCACGATTGGGAATCGGTCACAATGGCCGGGGTCGGCGAGTCAAAGCCAAAAGATCTTGCTGGCCAATCGGATGTTTCCCCGTCCACCTGGGATTGTGGTCAACGAGGATGAGTCGGACGACTCTGAAGGAGACAGACGTGATCGAATCTCCAAGAACGACAAGGACGTTGACCTGGAAAAGCCTGATCCGATCGGGTACGTCTCGCTCACATCTCGCGTGATCGGGATAGCGATCCTTCACATCCTCCATCTCGACGCATGGGACCGGACCCGAAAATACATCCCTCGAGGTGATCTCAGGAATGGGAACGGACTGACTGTGGAAGAAATACACAAGCGGATAGCAAGGCTGCATGAGAGGTGGGAAAAGGTCGGGCTGGACGTCGTAGATGCGGGGGTGGAGGATCTGTTGGCAGGCGGGTCGATTGCGCGGTTTGGGAAGGGATGGAAGGCGGTCAAGATCCGGACGGAGGAGGGGTTATGATGAGAGATTAGAGAATAGTGTATCTTGTTCTAAATTGCGTGCCCAGTGCCGCTGATATAATACAGTGTACGAGTACAGTATGTCGTGGTAGTGGTAACGTGACCGCTTACGTGATCAGCAGTATTTACTTCCGCCTTCGACCCGAAAGCATCCGGCGACTTAAAGGTGGTTTGAGAAGGTCGAATGTAATTTGTAAAGTATAGACCAGATCTGACCATCTCGCTCAGTTACTACTGAGGCAGACGTGAGACCCCGTTCAAGGAGCCTCTGTTACCTTGGAAGCTGTATAAGAAACGGCTAATCATCCAGGTTCGTTTTCGGTTATGATCACGAGAAAGAGCGAAGCTTATAGAGTTCATGCCGGTTTTATCAACAGCTTAATCACTTGCAACCCTACTCGGGATCAGACAAGAATATTCGCAACGACCAGCACCTACCTCTGATCTAGCATAAATTACGCTGAAACTCAAGCTCGAGCTTGAATCTCAACGATGAGCTCCGTTCTCTCGCCGCCCCCTCCTATCGGAGGAACCAGACGACGTGGGAACAAGTCTTCACGCCATCGACGACTCCCTTCCACCACCGCCGCTGCTATCCTCCCGAACATTCCTGAAGCAGAAGCTAGCTCTAGCAACTCGAACTCTCTGGGATCTCGAAGGGAAGAGGTACCGGATCACCAGCTTGGAAGGGCTAACAATATCGCTACTCGCAAAGCTTCTGGTCGATCCTCTGCGGCTCAACCTGCGACCAGGTCTTCCCCTGCGAGTATGCCTTTACCTGGTCGGACCGGATCTTATCCTTCGGAACCTACTGAGGATACAGACCTCGATATCGATAAAATCTTTCAGTCGGGTACCGGTCGAGCCAAATCCAAACCTAAACCATCAACTACCGCCTCCAATTCGAAATACTTCAACGTCAACGACAACCCCACTTCCACTTCCTTTACGAATGTCCGTGGTAGCCACGAAATTCAGGTTGATACGAGTACCGATTGGAAGGATAACCAGCAGGAAGATCAGAGTAGCGAGAAGCAGAGGGGAAAGAAGAGGCAGAGAGTCAGCAGTGATGAGGATATCAAGCCTTCTATCTCCGTCGCTGAGGTCAGGGAGAGCGGGAAAGGGAAGGGAAAGGCGAAAGCCTCGAACTCTACTTCGGCGGGACGGGCGACTAGATCTGGTCAAGGTCAGACCAATGCCTTCGCTGATGACAAGCTTGACGTCAAGGCGGCAAATGGGGATGTCGAGCAGGATCAAGAAGGACCGGCGGACGAGAAGGATGTGAAGCGGGAGCTGAAGAAGCCTCAGAAAAAGAAGTCTAAATCCATCTCGCCCACCGGGACTATTACCTCTCCTCTACCCATCAACAAGCATTCCACTCAACAAGAGGCTGTTCCACTCAGCGTCGTCGGCAATGAAACTACCGCTACTGCCACTAGCTCCACTTCGACTACTACCACCAATTCTAACTCTTCTTCGGTGCAGACCGCACGACAATTGGCCGAACGAGCTCGAGTGATGAAAGATCGGGAAGAATTGTCACAGATTCGTAAAGAAAAGGAAGAGATGGGGAAGAAATTGGAGAAGGCCGAGAAGGAACGGGATGATGTGAAGAAGGAGGTGGTTGGGTCGAAGAAGGAGGTTGGGTTCAAAGACGAGGTGAGTTGGAGATTGGGTCCTTGATCGCGCTGGTAGGTGTAATTTGCGACGGAATCTGATACGAAATTGGAAGGGAACAGGTTATCAAGTCGCAAGATAAGGTTCTTGACGATATCAAGGAGACGTTGACGTGTAACGTTTGTCTGGAATTTTTCAGCGATCCTCATACGTACGTCTCAATCGCCTCGGGTTTCGCGCCGAATTGTGAAGGCCTAGCGCTCACATCGCCTGTTTCTGTTTGAGCAGGATTGCGCCGTGTGGACATACTTCCTGTGCTTCATGGTAAATTCCAGCCTCTCATCACCGCAAAATTGATGTCGCTGAAATCTATATGATCTTGTCCCTCAGCCTCTTGAACTGGTTCGAATCGCCCAACTCGCTCGTCTACCCTGTCGAACGCGACCACGGCGAGGCCAGAGACGCGCTTCTCGGAAGGACCCGAGCATGCCCGACTTGCCGAACTCCGGTCGTCGGGAAGCCCATGTCTGCCTATGTTCTGAACAACCTGATCACTGCGGTCAAGCCTCGACTTCTGGAAGCGTCCGGGTCGTCAGGGTCTATCGCCGCAAGACCTGCGCCAGCGGGTCAAGCTGTTGTAGACAGGACCGCCATGTGGGACCATATCTTCGAAAACGACGGGGCTACCAACCGGAGGTGGCACATTGACGAGGCAGATGGAGGGATCCCTCGGTGCAATGATTGTGGGAACGAGGTGGAAGATCAGGAGTGCACCGGTTGCGGACGGTTCTTTAGTGATCTAGACCCAGACGAGGATAGAGACGAGGAGAGGTCAGAGGATTCTGGTTATGGCGGAGGCGACTGGCGACTAGGGAATATACGTATTCCCGACAGGCCTTTCTACTTACCGGGCCATGATGCCATGTCGGTCGATAGCTTAGGATCAGGTGAGGAGCTTGTCTCGAGCCGTCCATCCTTGACTGCTCGACTGATGTTTTGTCAATCAGCCGATTTGAACGATTTCGACGCCAACTTGGATGATTACGATCACGATTTTGAGAACTTCATCTCTGAGGACGAAGACTTGGACAGCTTCATCGTGGATGACGAAGAGATGGACTCACCCGTAGTACCTAGGAGGAGAATGAATCGGTTCATCGACATCAACCGAAGGTGAGTCAAAGGACCTGTGACCGCATGGTCAATGTTTTGTGGCTAGCTGCACTTGCTAAATATCCGATCTTTTTCTGGTCTCGTCACCCGTCCAATAGCGATGAAGAATCGGATACCGATGATCAAGAAAATGACGAGGAGGTGTCCTCTTTCCGTAGCGCTCCTCGTCAACGTAGCGCTGCTCGTCAATCCACTGCAAGGAGTCAGCCTCGCAGATCCCAAATCATTATCAGCGATGATGAGCAAGATTCGGAGTGAGTTTGCGTACTTTAGGGATCTTGTAACCATGAGGTTGACAATGTCTCGCACTCAGGCAAGAACAACCTACTCGTCATCCTAGTCCGCGTCCCCGCGGCGGCCCGAGCCGTCATCGGGTCGTGGAGAGCGATGATGACGACGAAGTTCAGTACGTCGGTGCCTCGCATGCCCCAGCTCGACAGGCGCACCCTGAGATGCCTGGCCACCTTCGAATCCCTGGCGGGTGGGGCGAAGCCGATGTTCCGGATGAAGAAGACGACCTTAGCAACAATGGGAGCGATGGGTACGGACACTACCGCAACGGGTACTATGAGGATTCGGATGGGGAGATCTGGAGCGGCGATAACTACGGCGGTGATGGGTATCAATCTGAAGATCACTACGGGGACGGATACGATACTGGAGACGAATAATACTAAAGTGGCCGGTCGTCGAAGAAAGACCAGTATCATATACACCTCTCGGCTATACGGAACGACATTTTCGCCGATTGCGATGGCGGTAGGAGTGCTTTTCAGAACACCTATCTACGAGATAACGAATGTTGTAATAATGTCCTCGGGTCAATTTGACTTTCAAAGCTCCTTAACGAATGTATCTATGTACACGATGTCATATTGCTATCAGCTCTCCATCGTATAGAGTAGATGAGGCCTTGACCAATAATACCATGAACGGAGAAGCAGTGCAGGAGGGTGGAATGATTGACGCGCAGTTGGCCAACGGATGGCTCATCATGACAGACTTTCGACGACATGCGATACCGTTTCCTGTCTTTCGAGGGAAACGAGAGAAGAGGGATGAAATGAAAAGAGCTTTCCAAAACGGGTCACCGTGAGAGTCGAGAGCCATCTTGCAATCGTGATACAAGGCGAGGTATCGAATATTCGAACGTGGGTGCGAAGCCGTAAAGTCAGGTGATCGATCATCCGAATGAAGGAACGTGTACGACGCCCACTTGCAATAAAATGACTTCGCCAAGATTAGACCTCCTCTGTCCGCTACTTGACCTGATAGCGATGCCTTCTAGATGTGGCGCTATCGTTCAGGGGATCAAGAGTGGGCGGCCAGGACTGGGGCCCAAGCGGTTCACAAGGCTTTCACCGACTGGGCTGATGCTCGACTGCAAAGAGACACGCAGTTCTGGAACGAAGGCAGAATATCGATTCAATCGGATACAGAGTATGAGAGGTCCCAGAGAATGGTGCCCGCTCTGCGGGAGGTCATCGTCTCGCTGCAGCGACAGAACAGAATATTCTACATCGAGGGAGACATCAGGTCAAAGCATGGCCCCACTGAGGACAATCCATATTTCACACATGAGGTGCACCTGCAGATCTGCTATCCATGGGCGTGCACGCCCTAATCAACCCAAGTCCGAACCACTTTACCCATGGGGCTATTATTTGTGGTCGACGGAATCAATGGCCGAGCAGGGTAGTACTTGCACCCAGCCAGGCATTGAAGCATGTGACACCCGATCGAGCCGTCCCGAAGGGTTAGATGCAATACCAGAAGCGCAATGAAATTGTTGGAGGCCTGAGGGTCTTGTCGTTACAAAACGACGACGTCTCATTGCAACCGTGAGAGCCGCCCAGATGCACATCTATGTCCTTCGCTATGACCATGTTCGTTCGTACGCAAGCCTTGCCCAATCACAAGTTCGTTCCCTGGTCGACATATGATTGGATGGTCTTCCACATATAAGAAGTACAAATAAGATATGATACGACGTCCGATACTGCAGCGCCCTACCCCACCATTTCAACCCCGGTCCTGGGACATGTCACGTCTTCCCGGCGATGCGGCCGAGGTGATCCATCAATCATAGACAAGCTTTCCTCGTGTCGAACCGCCTCTTCATGACGCCGCCGAGTAATCCCACGCTCCTGCTCTGTGGACTCTCTTCATCACATCCATAGATCCTTGCCCCTGTGCCGCCCGGTACCCGAACCATCAGAGTCCATCTCACCGACCCTTCACGATACCCCACGCTCCAGCTACATCCTTCCCAAAGGCTATGCGCTCCCATCGTCCTTCAACTTCAAACTCCTAGCCCATCCATCCACCCGCTCGACCAATTTGTCTAACGAGATCGCTTCGGCCTCTTTCCGAGCTCTTCTCGGGTAGACTTTTCCCGTGCCCGTTGTCGTCGTTGAGGAAGTTTCGACCTCGGCCTCGATAGGGATCCTCTCTACCTTCCCGTCCACATACCCCACGGTGACTTCCGCCCGTTTCGCGCTCTTAGGGAGGATGGAGACGGTCACGTTGACATTGTCTGATGGAGAACCTTTGATAGTCGGGCTGGGCTGGGAGGTGGTGTTCTTGGGTGTGGAGAGGAGGGAGAGGAGGAGGAGAGGAGAGCGGGAGGTTGAGGGGTGGAAAGGGTTTAGGGCTGCGTGGATAGCTGTGGAAACGGAACGAATGCGAATTGAACAAGAATAAGGATAAGCTATCTACTCGTTTCGATGGAGTTGCCGGGAAAGTCAATGCTTACTGCTGATATGCGATCGGGTCAATCGGATTCCTGGTGCCATCTTTTCGAGTTCAGAGACAGTCGTTTTTTTTTGTGCGAAAAAGTTGGTTTGTACGACGCTAGGTACTGAGGATCTATATCTATGAGTTCTTGAGATCTTGTGTTGGATTAGGAGGTCTTTCCGGCTGCAGTTGGATAGATGTAAGTTATCGAAGATGAGCTACATAGCGGCAGGGATTTAGGTGATGATGATTTGCTTCCTTTCCCTCTCGCTGCCTGCTCTTTTCTGCTTACATAAGCAAAACTTGAAACAGCTCTATATCCCCTCCCGAAGACACCAGAGAGTCCCTAACCTCCCATAACCTCTAACCCATAACCCCTAACCCATTACCACTAATCCCTAACCCCTAACCCATAACCATCCTTGCAGGCACTTCGTCAGAGGAAGTGGATCTGATTTAGGTGATTTAGGTGATTTAGGTGAATTTGCTTCCGCTCCTAAATCAGCATTAAATACGTGCAACATGTATGTCTTTCAAGAATAATTGTTGCGGGAGCTTTCTCGGAGCCGAGACAATGACCTCCCGGGCAAGTGCGAGGGGACATGACCTATAGATCTCTCGACAACGCACCCATTACCTTGCAGAGTCATTGGGGTCATAGACGCAGGCCATGCAACACTGAGGAGAACATATAGGAATGGCAGTCGAAATCGGAGCAATGGAGACGAAAAAGCCGTGATCAACTAGGAGTGATCGCCGAGGGAACATGACGACAACTTGAAAGCTCGACAACGGAAACTTGTAATAGGATGAATCGTCTGACATCAGCTCTGTCCGAGTGAGCAGGTCATGGATACACTACCTCGACAGTTCATATTCTAGTGCTCATGGCTTCTCTTTTATGCTAATCGCAGGGCGACCATCGGCTCGAACCCATCCCCGACTGAGGGCAACTCGTCCCACCGGAGCCTCTACCGAGCCTCGTCCCTCGCTCCGACCGAGGTCGACCTCTCCACGGCCACCTCCAACTTGAACACACCGTTCTTAGGGGACGGTTCACCTACTCCTCGAGCGGAACCTTCTCGACATCGAAGGAGAAACAGTCAGGAAGCGGGACCGCTGGATTATCTTTATGATGATCCGAGGACGCCTTATTTCGACAGTCGGACGAGGGGTCAGGTGAATGAGGGAAGGCATGGGTGGTTACACCCATTGCCTGGGAGCAGTACTTCCACATCGGTGTTGTATCAACATCAGAGGGAAAACCGGGCGAACTCGAATCGAACGACAGGGTTAGGCTTCGGGGAATCTGGTAGTTTGGGCGACTTACCTACCCATTCGTCAAGAGAAGGAGATAGAGACAGTCCGGCTCAGGTTCAGCTTCACCATCAAAATCATCGAGCTTCGACGTACAGCCTGAACGACCCGGTATCATACCAGCCGTCTTCTAACTCTACGAGGTTTTCTTCCTCTTCTTCCCCCCACTTCCCTACATCCACCTCGACTTCGATCTCACCGGTAACGGGGCCCTCACAACATCCTCATATACAACCCCAACTCCAGTCTCAGGCGATGAGACGTTCCGAACCAGATCGATTCGTCAAAGCGCTCATAACCGCCCGACCGCAACCTCACCTGACTTCTTCGTTCTCAACCGCGAACGCGTCCCCGGGGTCTCCGTTGCAACAATCGCAGTCTCAATCCCAATTGCAATTGCAGTTGGGAAGTGGGCAGGGGAAGAGGCTCGGTCGGACGGCAGGCTCTGCGGGTTCGTTAGCTCTGGGAGGGAATGGGGTCGGTAGTGGTGGTGCCGGGAACGGCAGCGGGGGAAGTGGGGCAGGGGGAGCAGGAGGAAAGGGGATCGGATTGAAGACTATGGCTAGGGGACCTGACGGGCAGGTTGTGGTCGCCGGGAACGAATGTCAGTAGCATAACATTTTGCAAACCGATGCAAGATCGTCAAAGCTATCAGGAAATGTGGCTGATTCATGAAATTGCGTTACAATACAACAATATACAGCGCTGAGGATCCTCTCAGTTACTCCTCCGAATGTTGAACCTAGAGGAAGTAATGTCGCCTTCTCCGCTTCGTCCTCGTCAAACCTCAAATCTGCGAAATCGCAATCTTCGTCATCCGCCCCGATCCGCCTAGGTTCAGGTCCGGGCGGGTACAAGATCGACCAGATCCTAGACCTTTGGAAAGGAGTCACTCTGGGCGGGGTTGGGAGAGGAGGCAGGAGTGGGGGCAGTGGTGGAGGAGCGGGGAGGACGATTAATGGGGTCGATTGGGGTGTAGGAGGTGAGTCTTCTTCATTTTGCCTTTCAAGCGCATTGTTAGATGTACCAAGCTCGGGTGAAGATGTTCGTCAGCGATTAAACGGTTGATCTGATTTTGTATCGATAGATGCGAGCAGGAAGATCTTGACGGCTTGTTCGAACGGGAATTTTATGATCTTTGATGTCGAGCAAGGTAGACTCGGTGAGTGACAGCCATGGTCTGATTATGTTGCTATAATGCCAACGTTGATTGAGCTTACATACGATGCAGAAAGGGAAGTTCAGGCTTATACAAGGAGCATGTTGGCCTTGACCATCAACAAGGTGCCGGGGCATGGGCATCTGGTATTGACCGCCGGAGTCGAAGGTCTCGCTAAACTTTGGGTGAGCCAAGCGCACGGCTCCGGCGAAAAGGAACAAAATGGCTGACTGCACTCTCCCACCTCAGGACCTACGTCAATCCTCGAACAAGGTCCCGATCGTCTCGATCCGTCATCCTTCATCTATCTTTTCCGTCACTTTCGCCCCGCCTGGTCTCGACTCGACCTCAACAGCCAATGCATATTTTCTAGGCTTAGAAAACGGGTCGATCTACCGGTACGATCGGCGAATGGGCACTCGGAGTCTATATCGTATGACCGCTGCGCATAAGAACAAGTCGGTCATGGCCCTGGACTGGAAGGAGGGTGTAGAAGGCGACGGCAATACCGGGAGCGGCGGATGGCTGGCAAGTGCCGGCTTGGACAAGACGGTCAAGGTGAGCTTGTCAAAACGACACTAAGGTATACGGCTAGTGACGGAGCATGTCTTGACAGATCTGGGATCTGAGCCCTCCTGACGGTCCCAGTGCGCCCGTTCATACGCTTCACACGCCTTATCCTGTACGAAGGATTGGGTGGCGACCGGGACACGAGACAGAGATCGCGGTGCTCTCTTCGCCGGATACCCCTGTAACCAAGCGACCACAATCGATGACCGACATGGTCGCCGCCGCAGCCAGCGACATGGAAGAGGTAGAAGATACGACAGTGCTCGAAGAGTCACGGCTGGAAATCTGGGACGTCCGTAGAGGACACCTTTCCAAATACCTACTTGGCAAAGCGCCCCGACATACTGAAGCTGGAGGTGGTGCAGTCACGGAGATCTCGTGGGCTGACGGCGGCGCCATACAGTCGACCTATTCGAATGGCGCTTTCGTACAACACGATATCCGGCAGCACTTCAGGCCACTGGATCATCTGCCGAAGCAAGTTGTTGCGTGGAGTTCGCGAGGAGAGTCGACTGTAGCTTTGGATCGCTTCTCAAAGGGAGAAATTCCGTTCGATGATGTGTGAGTGGAAGTTGGCCAACGTATATCTGTCCGAGTAGCTGTTGACTCATAACTCGGGCTTTCTCAGCAAGGAGGAATACCACCAACATGCTCATAACGTCGGCGCACATCGCAAAACCCTTGCAGACAGACCTTTCCAGACGCGACAGGCCTGCAGTACAACAATCCTGCCGTTTCATGACCCTGAGGCATTCAGGTACCTCGCTGCGCAATACAGGCATGCCGGTATCGGGCTAAGGGAGCAATCGGCGACGTGCGCTTGGAACACAGCTGTAAGTACGCCGGACTCAGGTTGTCGATAGCCAGGGCCTCATCCTCTACGCGATAGGTGGCGGAAGAGGTGGAACATCGACAAGCAGTCCACTTGTGGAATTTGTTGGCGATCCTGCTCGAGACGGAAGCGGAATGTGCCAAACAACGCACAGATCTGGCTCTGAATTCGGATGCGATGAAAGAAGTACAGGAGCTGTCTCAACAGATGCTCGGGAAACAGCAAATTCGACTTCCAAGCTCGGCCAAATCGATGCCGGATCGTATAGACGTGGTTGATCCGCTGCGTACACCTGGGTTGACGGCTCTGAAAGCCTTTATACCCTTGGAGATACCCCCGACTCCAGTAGCCGCTGAACTGCCACTACCGTCATCAGCAAACACGGGAACCGGCGGGGGGTCTTCCGGAACAGCTACCCCTCCAGCGAACCTATCCCTATCGGTACAACGCGGTGGAAGCTTGCACCCAACCCAGATCGAGGAGATCAGAAACAAGCTGTTGCAAGGTGCACAATCTTTACCGCCCGAACCTGTCCGCTTGCTTCCTCAGCGCGAGGATGGCGATTCGGACTCAGACGAGCAGGAAGAACGTCTCTCGAGCAGTATTTTGGCCTCGACCTTGACCAGGAAATCACGGCCGCAGTTTATGAGCCCACCGGTTAACGGCGAAGGGAATTCCCTTCGACGGGTATCACCAGCGCATATGCTACGGCTAGACCGGCGCCGGTCTAGCGGTTTGAGCATTCCAGATCAAATGAAACGGAGGCTGGCTGGAAGAGCGGAGCACAACACGCAAAGTTTGGACGAACCTGCTCGATCACGGTCGCTTGCGGTGGAGAAAGGACTCCAAACACTGCGCTGGATGCTGAGCCAAGCGCTGCAAACCGCTTTAGTCGAGGTCAGTAGCGGTGTCTTGAAGGTGGCGCTGTTATTGATTGTCGGATTCTCTGCAGGGCGATGTACAACTCGCTGCGACTTTGCTGTTCGTAGCACCTTCCTCATTCGACGTCGACCGGGATCAGCAAACGCGTATTATCGAGGCTTACATCGAGCTCTTGGACCGACATCGACTTGCCGTGGTCTCTGCAGATATCCGATCACGGCTTGAGGAACTCAAACACTTGACGCTGGTGAGCAGTGCCCGTAATATCGAGCTGAGGAATCGGCAACTGACGGATTCTCGCTGTTCCTTAAGGTGGAGACACTGATCTATATTCGATGCGGACGTTGTCGCAAGGCGAAAGAACCAGATCCCTCTTTAAGAGCAGCAACAACCGCATGGTATTGCGCTTCCTGCAAACAAGCTCTGACGTACTGCGTTATATGGTACGCAAGATCCGTCTTTTATAATCAGCATCGTCCTAGACTGACCTTGGATGCCTATCTCATACAGTCGCTTGCCCGTCAAGGGAGCTTGGCGGTCTTGTCCCGATTGCGGGCATTCAGGGCATCTTGTGAGAGCTGCTGCATGAGCATCGTTAATCGGCCGTATTGACGTGATCGATGTTCTGTGTCCAGGCATGCCTGAGAGATTACGTGAAAAGTCGGAGTACGTGTCGCCCATCTCTAGCTTACGTCAATGGGATCCGACTGACGATGAGTTTTCGTGTCTCGTAGAGAACATGGTATGCGTAACTACGTTACCGCCTAGGGCAAAGACGAGGCGATCAGATTCGCCAGCAGACTCGCAACCATGGACGACCGCAACAAGACGACGTGGTTCGCCGTCACCAGCACCAGATTCCGATCGTCGTATCGGTCTACAACCTCGGACGCAAAGTGCTCTGAACATGTCGGAAGGTTACGATGTTGTACAAGGAGAAGGTGATGCGGTGTTATGCCCTTCAGGATGCGGGTGTAGATGTAGTATAGGTTGACAATGTCGTCATTCGAAGGTTATACAACTCGACAGTCTGAGTAATGACTCGACGGATCACTTCTGCCTTGTACTCCGATTCGCGTTCATCGGCCGGCGTCGCTTGAATAGGCTATTCTGCTCGACTTTCGGCTTTGCGTCTTCGTCTTCTACCGCAGGCTTGCTGTCCTGTTGATCCGATGAAGCATAGTCCGGTGCTGCTGGCGCATCGACAGACTGATCAGGCGAAGCCTCCTCTCTTTTGAGGTCCGACTGCGTCTCTTCGGCTTTCGTGATCGGCTTGCCATCAAGACCCAGGACGATCCCCTTCCACTTTTCCCGATTCAGACCCTTCTCTTCCTTCTCCCGAGCCTCTCGCTCCTCTTGCTGTCGTTTCGTCTCCTGCTTGTACCGGGCCTTCTTCAACAATTCGTCCGGATCGAACCCTTCGTCATCGTATACATCCCGTTTCCGTCGTTTGGTCGACGGGCCAGCTTCTGCGGAAGGGGTGTCGAATGCAAAGTTGCGGACGTCTTCTTCCTCCCCACCTCCACCGAGAATGTTGGGTAAGCCGGAAGTGGATTGAGTTATCTCTGCGTCCTCGTCGACCGGGGGTTCGTAGACCGCTACCGTCTCCCATTGTCCAGCCTGTCCGACCTTCTTACGTTCGGCCTCGGCGGCTTCCTTGGCAGCATCGATATCGGCCTGAGTATCGACGTAGCCGAGAGAAGCAGCGGTAGAGTAGTTGGAGAATTTGTCAGTCTTCTTCGGAGGTGGTGGAGGGCGAGAGGAGGATGGCTCGGATTCGGAATCGTCTTTCGGTTGAGCAGCGGTATGGGAAGCTAGTGCTTGCTATAGGTTGTCAAGAACGTTGGATGAGAATCGACCGAGTCAGTGCCGGTGAAGAGCCTCTGAACAACAGTACGGGCTGGGACTCACCTGCTCGATCTTCTTCATGATCCTCGCCTCATCCTCCTTCTCCCTGACAGACTTCTCGCCGGTCTTGTAGATGTTCCGCAAGAACCGATCCTTGTTACCCTGATGCCGAAGACCATTCTCGTGATGTGACCGGGACTACCATGGGCAGAATGAACGGGGCCTCAGTCTGACTCATTCTCATGTAGATGCTGCGACGAACAACATTGGCTTACAGGTGCATCGTCTCGGATGAAGATGTTGCAGTATTTGCACCAGTATTGCTTCTTGGAGACCCAGTATCTATCGAATCAGGCAGAGGATAAGCGAACGCAGTCCAGATCGACATCATCGCAGGTCGTACTCTGTCATGATGGGGTGAGGTATTCCCGAGTACACAGCGTTTGCAGGGTATAGAGGCTATCGTCGCTTCACAGGGCCAGTATGTGGTCAACCTGGCCGAGAACGCTCGAACTCTGGCGAAGTCGATCTCGACCATTGCTGCGTGACGTGAGCCTTCTCGCGATTCGCATGACATGGGTATAATTGGTCGATACTATGCGATACAACCACAAGAGAAACAAGAAGAGACAAACGGAACTGCAAGATTAACGACAATATTTATGATTGTTTTGTCGTGCCGCATCTAGTACGAGATTATCGATATCGGTGGTTTTCATTGTCGTACCGCACCTGGTCAAGAGTGTTCATCGCCAAGTAACGGTCGTATTCCAGTACCGCCGGGTTGCTAAGAGATGTGACCCGCTCGACGTCGAGGATTCGGCTTCTCGCATAACGATAGGCCGTGACGTTGACATCCCCGTGCTCCCGGAGTGTTCGAGCCCTGTGCCATGCTTCCGCAACGTTCGTAACCATCCAATCGTAAATCGACCACGGCCGGTACGGCGGGTCTGGGAGAGGAGTAACGACCACGTGGTCGCCGTTCAAGGTGACTGCAGCAGCGACGGTGCTGTTGCTGTCCTCGCCAGGATTACCCACTCCGGTAACGTCGGGCTGATCGCCGGTCAGATTGATTTCTTTGTTGTAGAGGTTGAAAGCCCGGAGATTTGACATCCCGTCCCGTGGATTCTCGAAGGCGTGAATCCTGCTCGCAGCGGTCCGGTACCTAACGATATATCGGGTTTCCCCCCGTCGGGTCTGTCCCGTTCGTTCGAAGTTTACGCGGATATCGGTGATCTCGCCGGACAGAGCGGCTACCTCGTAGGCTTCCCGAAGCGCCAAGCGGCTGTCGAACTGAACCGTGAAACCCCGGTACCGACGAGACATAGCCGGGTTGTTCCATCGACGAGACCCAATCTTCGGGATGTTGGCCGTAGCAAGCACATATTGTGCGTCCGCAGCGTTCCTGAACATCACTGCGATCGTCGACGGATAGGCGTGGCCGGTCATCCACGCGACGTCATCAAACGTACAGCCGATGTGAGCGACGATCCTCGACAAAAACGTTCGGCCGACGTCATGTCGGTAAAATTGATCGTGCTGCACAAGATCCATCGACAGGGTGTGCTCGAAACGAGGATATGGGCCGGATCCGAACCAGTAGAGGTAACAGGGCCCATGCCACGTGTCGTCCCTGTCGGAGTACCTCCCGAGCTGGACGAACGGGTCGTTCAGCATATCCGACAAGGTCAAGTCCCGCGGATCCGAAGGAACGGTCGAAGAAGGGGCGGTGGGGACGGTCGAAGAAGACCCCGGGGGAACGGTCGACGACGATGGACCGGAAGGTTTCCGACCGGAAGGTTTCCGAGCAGTCGACGCCGACGGAGCGGGAGATTTTCGAACGGTCGACGACGACGGGTCGGGAGATTTCCGAACGGTCGACGACGACGGAGCGGGAGGTTTCCGGACGGACGACTGGACGGAAGGTTCTCTCTTCCTCTTCGATGAGCCGGACGGCCCGCGCAGGGGGGCTTTCAACGAAGCAACATAAGCGACTACAGTACGAACAAATTCTCCGAGTAAGACTTACAGGCAGACTCCTTCGGGTCCGAAGCTCTCTCTTTGCCCTTTCGCTCTTTGTTCTCTTTGCCGCTCGTGTTCGGAGCGTTCCCTTTGCGCTGATCCCGATCTTCTGTTTGTTTTGACAAAGCCCAAATTAGTCATTGGTGAATCAACCGAAATGTGAATATAACTCACGAGGTGCGGACTCCTTTGGCTCTCCGTTGTCGTTCTCCTTGTTGCCAGCGATATCGGAGGACGTGACGTTTTTCTCTCCGGCGATTTCGGGCGTCGTAGGCTTCGGACCCTTCTTTCTGATTTGATGTGGGACAAACATCGTGTATGCGTGTAACTTACACAAGCGTCGAAATCCGGTTCCTTGCCCTTGGTCACTGATCTTCGATCGCCAACCGTCGTCCATTTATATGATTTGAGCTTGGCGTGACGAGGTAAATCTGTATCCGCATTTACTTCCGATTTGCTTCCGAAAAAGCCATCAAACCTTATAAGACCAATAGGTACAAAATTTTCTAAAACTGGCGGGAAATGCAGCAGCGTAAGCGAAGCCACAAAGCCATCTCGTAACTCACTAGTCCTCTCCTCGTTCCGCCGTCTTCTCCTCTTCCCGCCATATCCTCTTCGTTCCGCCCTCCCCTCCTCGCTCTGCCGTCCTCTCCACGTTCCGCCGTCATGTCCCTCTTCCGCTATCGTTCTCGTTCCGGCCTCCCTCCTCTGCCGGGAACGTGCGTGTGGCGAGTCGGAAAGGGAGAGGGACGGGACGAAGAGGAGGAAACCTGTCGGGTGCACGTGCCACCGACTCCCCTGCGCAGTCGCTCCTAGCTCCTCGCGTCGTCCGGTCGTTGGAAAGGCGAGAAAATTCTTGGCTCCCTCATACTCGGAAAAGGGATATAAGCTGAGCCCCCCGCCTCCTTTCCCTTTCGCCATTTCATCTTCTTCGACTTGTCATCTTCATCTCATCATCATCATCCATCTTCATGACCTTCAACTTCGTCTTCAACTACACTCTTCCGGCTTCGATCCACGTTGGTGAGTAAGTCCTTCGCAGGATGGCATCGTCCCATCCTTGCTCTCATTCCCATCAACCCCGTTCTATCATCTCGGCTGGTCTCGTTCCCCTCGTCCTCTTCGTCCCGTACATCACTGCTCGAGTTTGAAAGTCCACTTCAACATTTCGTCTTCTTCATCTTTGTACACGTTCGCCCCGAATCGTTTCGCACCCTTCGCCAGACTTCGCTGACGCCATCGGTTTGCTATTGTCCGCAGCGGTCGTCCTCGATACCGGTCAACGGTTTTTTTTTTTCACTCAAGGTATGTCGTCATTCCTCTCGGAAGTATTCTTGCTTCCGACACGCGTGCTCACGTCATCTTGGTGTTGTCAACCCGCAGGCGTATCGTTCCTCTTTCATCCTTCATTTCCCCTCGACTTCACCGGTGCTTGGCTAACCTACAGTGGACTTGTCCGGCGGAAGCTAGGCCCCTACTTACGGCCGTTAGGGCTTGATACCGAAGCGTCACGCGAGGGGGCGAATAAAAAGTCCGAATTTCCATCCCCGTGACAGGTCGAAACAGATTGCTCGTCGCGTTCTTGCCCGTTCCCCGACACGGCTGATCTCCACCATCAGGACGAGTGACACGGCGGCAGCAGCGAAGTACCCGAGTGTTTGTCGCAACTCAGACAAGTCACCATACGCATGGACTTCGCACAGCCCAGGTATGTTCCGATAGATCTCGAATGTTCACGACTTTCGCTGACCCATAACCGTGTGCTTTTAGACCCGTTCGTCGACCCAGGAGGGTAGCGGGCCGGACCGTCCACCGAGGCACCGAAGTGGCAGCACCACTCGCTCACGATCCACTCGCATCAAGGTACGTTCCGCCCATCTTCGACACCTCGTGATATCCTTTAGTCGCTGACGGCACATCGGTTGTTCATAGACGGATGTCGTGGCCCGGGCCATGGAAGACTGCTCCGAGTAGAGCGTCGACCGTACTCGGAAGGGAGAGTGAAGCCCGTTTAGCTTTGTGTGCTCCTCAACGGCTATGGTCCTCGGCTTGCTGGGCACTTTGACGGTGTGTGGATTAGCTACTGGCGGCGGGTGGTCATCTTCGCAAGCCAGAGTCTCTAGGATGATGGGTGAGTCCGGTCATGATTCCTTTGTTCATCATCGATTGACATCGGCTTCCAACAGACGGGTGTAGGCGCAGCTTGGTGGGACTAGGGGTTCCGGGTGCGTTTCGTCCTTCTGCGCTCTAAGCACCTCGACCACATAACCCGACTGACTCGCCTTGAATTCGCAGGTTATATACTATCTTTATAGATGTGGACCCGCGCGTTGTGAGTGCAATTTCCCGGCCTTCGCTTCCTCTCCTCACAGCCGGTACTGATCCGTGTCCGGCTTGAAGGTTGTAAATGTAGAGCTGCGCGGTCTTGGCTTCTGTAAGTTGTTTTTCATCGTTTGCCTCCGATTCACTCGATTCAGATGCTGACTCGCTTTCGATGTCAAGGTTGTATTGTAACAGGTTGTACTGTGGTCTCCTGATGTCTGGCTTGTGAGTTCTCACTTCGACTCCGCTCGCGATCCTTTCGAGGCGAATGCTAACTCGCGTTTGATCTAGAGGTTGTAGTTGTAGTGTTGGAAACTTGTCCCTGTGAGTCGCTTCGTCTTTTTGTTCGTCGTTCGCTCGACCTATAAGCTGACTTGAATTCTTCGAAGGTTGTACCATAGTTGTAGATACGAACCGCCGGAAACCCTGCATGATGAGAGCCCTTGGCGACACAACCGATAGTCCTCCTATGCTCGACTGATCCGATGATGTCGACGGTAGTCCGATCCTTCGGGAAAGGGCTACGAGGCTCTGCGAACCCTCGTCCCCGGTGGCAGGTTCGCAGCGGTCTTCTCTGAATGGGTTTCCGGAACTCGATCGTCATTGTATTAGGTTCGGATCCGATGTTATTATAATAAGCTTTCATTTCGTACGCCATAGATCATTTCTGTTCACTCTACGAGCGTTGAGTCGTGAGGCCAGGCTGATCTTGCACTTATCTTGTTTCGCTCCGAGATTTCGGAATGATCTTGAGCGTATTCTAATCGTCTCCCGAGCGCTTGGTGCTTTTCGAGACCTCTACTGTCCAAGGTCTACGTTTGCGTAGAACGGGTCGCGTGGCGAGAAGGCAAACGTTTGCTGACCCTCGAGAAGCACGCGAATTGCAAGGCAGCGCTCAACGATCGTCGGCGTACAATAACTGCGAGTGGGAGTATACTGGGCTCCGAGACAGCGCAAGACTTGTATTTTGAGGATTGCAAGAATGAACAAGTCTGGCGGCGGACGAGCGAGATGTCGGGAAGAATCCCACTGACCCGCGTGTGACGCGTATGCCTAGATCTAATTCTCCGTGTCGACTAAGTCTATATCTCCTTGTCGACGTGGTTTGCTTGGTGTATGTATCGATGCTCCGATTTGTGATAGACACTGTGTCCTCGAAAGGCTAGGATCCGTGGGTGATCTCATTCTTTATGCACGGGATTTCGCCTTGTTGTCGTGAATATTCGCGCGTTGCAGCGTTTCAGTCTCACCAAGTCGCGCGCTCGCCTCTCAAGTGCTTGTACGTATGTCGGCGAGACGAACCGACATGTTCTCGATCGTCTTGACTGTCCTTCCGTCTCTGTGAATGTCGTTTGACCTTTGTGGTGACATCGTGATAGAAGAGCTATACCAACGATGCAGCATTCGGCTTGTACGACATCTTGAGACAAGGCTTCTGTCGACGGGCTTCTCGCTGGATTAGACGTTTCTCCGCGAGCCAGACTTATAATAGAGAGCTGGGGCGCTTTCGCTGTCGCCAAAATATTGATTGCCGTAGTGCTTCCTAGTTTTATATTTATCTATTTTTAAAAGCCCTCATCCCGATCCATCGGGATCGTGTAGCGTTCTTTTTGCCTTTTTTTCGCCATTTTCATTGTTTTTCCTCAAGCGACATAAAATATTTATGTCGCTTGAAGGATTCTCCAGCGCGATTGCGACCTGATTCGTCGACCGTTCGACCGACGATGTTGTTCCTAATGTCTATAAGATAAGCTAGGTCTAGTCTGAGTCGAACATGACCTTCCCGGGCCTATCGAGTCGAATTCAACGTGATGAATCGATTCGATAAGGCGCTGACGTTCGTTGCATAGGTCCTCCAGCGTTCTTCTCCCAGAGGCTTCTCCGTCGGCCCAACCCGATATCTATGTCGATTTGTAGAGCTATTACTGTGAGAACGTCCTATCGGCTGAACCTTATGATGCGACAGTCCTGTCAGTCGCCAATCGGCATCGCGAACAGTGGTCATTTGTTTTCAATGAAATCCCCCTTGTTTAAAAAAGCGACTTCAACGACACGTACCCGAACTCTCTAGCGAATAGGATACGTCGCTCGCTGTGAGCTGCATGAGCTGTGCGCTTCAGCTGATGCGCTTCCTTGAGCATGTCGAACTGGATATGCACCAAAGAGGCAACTGACCCGTACCTTTAGCCACGCGCCACGTCATTTTAGGTTCTCGCTTCGAGCGACGATGTCGAACGCGTGAGAACGCTTCAAGAAATGATCGGCAGCTGCTATATCTTCATGTTTGGTCGACGCGCCGACGATGCCTATCCTCGTAAGGAAGAATGAACAGCGGGGTAGTGCTGAAGGCTGACCTGAGAGCCAGAGATACAGACACGTCATTCGATGATCGCACAACCGGGCGCACGAATATGGCCGGGCTCCATTGGTTTCGTTTAAACTCAGTCTTCGTAAACTATCCCAAATGCTACTTGAACCGATCGTGCTTTAGACGTGATACACGATGCTACCTTCTTGTCTTATGTGAAGCACGCAATGTCATAGTATCTATCCCATTGCTCGAACGCTTTTGTGACCCGATCGCCACACGGATGCGAGCGATTGCAGACTTTTCTCACGCGTCTGTCCGCTCCAGATCGTTCCCGATGATCGTTTCGGTCGAAAGATTCTCACCGCAGTAAATTACCTTCTTGGGATACTCAAGTAGGGAGTCAGCATGCGGGAAAGGTCCTCTTAAAACACCAAGGAGATGCCGCCTTCTGAAGTAACAAGCGTCCTCGACGGGCGTTGCGAATAGTCGCTTTCACTCTGACGGGATACGAATACGATCACGATCAATTCTTGCTGCCTCGATGTACATTATAACGACCGTTCACGATCCTCTCTTGCCGTCTCTTGTATATTATAACAGCCTGTCCGGCTCTTGTCTTGTAGCTCGTATATCATACGTCAGACGTCGTACGCCGACTCGATCCCCCACCATCGCCTTCTCCGTCCCTCACACCTTCTTCTTCTTCCTCCTCTTCCCCCTTATGTCGACCATTCTGCAATAACAACTCCCCCGAGATCAGGAGCGGCAAGGTGTAGACGACCAGGAACAACCAGTAGATGACCGAGAAGATGCATATGATGGTGGAGACGACGCGAAAGGCGGTGGAATCAAAACCCTCGGCGAACTGGGTGCATGCGACTCCAAAAGCGCCAATCGGATACGCTGTCGAGGTACAGGATCATACTTAAGCGTCAGCGTTCGAGTTCTGTTGGGCTTGGTCGAGTGAAAGGAAACGAGAACGAGACGTACCGGCCGACCAGGTGTAGAGCGAAAACTTTGACTTTTTCGCGTCCGAGAAGAATGTCAGGAATCCGATGATCATCCAGTACCTGTGATCCGACGGCACCGGGAACGTTTGGTGTGAGCATTATTGTGTCGGGACCGCATGAATTCGAGGGCCATCAGGAATCGACTCACACGGAGAATCCCCAACACATCAAGCTCCAAACGATCCCCATCGCGTACATACCGTCGCCTACGAATCCGCCGAGAATGCCACAAAATCAGCCCTCGATCCCTAGGAAACCTATCACCACGCAAAATTGTAGGGACTCACCGACCCCGCTGACCGCGGTCGGTCCCTTTCCGAACGTCTGCAACAATCTCTTCTTGGGCCCAGCGACGTATCCCAGTTCGTCGAATGCATAGGCGGCATTGGCAAGCGCCGCGACGGGAATGAACTGGGCGGCGATCTTTTTCGGGTCCGGGGTTTGATTGGTGAGGAGACGAGTAAAGTAGGCTGTCAGGGTCAAGACGGCTAGGAAGAAACCTGGGTAAAACAATGAGGGACATAACAAGGGCGGAATGTGAGGGAAGCGGGAAGGCCGGGGTCGAGTTGATGAAAATCGTTGATGATTAGCGACGGTGTGAGGTGACTCCAGGACTGAACGCGGTCCACTCGAACTCACCCATTCCGAGCAGGAGATAAGAAACGACCGCAACGCCGACTCCTAATCCCGGTCCGATGTCCTCATTATAGCTGACGACGACCGCCCCCGATGCGCTGGTCGCCAGTATCCCTGTGACGGGATATAGCAACGTCGGACTCAAGTTCCCCAAGTGGACTTCTTCATCCCTGATCAGGATCCAGTAGACCACGCTTCCGGCGAAGAGAGAGAGAACTACCACAGCCCACCAGAGAGCATAGGCTGCATAACCCCAATTGTGCCAATGTGTTCCGGGTATGAGGGTGACGAGCTCTACGAGGGTCGCTGCAGCGATCGTCCCGCAGGAGAGGTAGGTGGTCTGATCGACGTCCGAATCAAACATCTTGCGGGTCGGCGCGGGAAACATTATCCACCGGGTGAAGAATGTCAGGGTAATCGTTGTGAAGAGGACGAGGTCCAAGACGAAAACCACGGTGGAGATGGTTTCTGTTGAGGTGAGATTTAGTATTGTGTACAGAGAAATAAGAAAAAAGTCGTAGTTGTGGTGGTAGCGATGGCGATAGGCGAGATAGATGTAGTATAACGCAAGGAAGGACGACGATCAGCACTCAAACTTAAGAGGATTTCATCGAATTGAGACGTGATTGATCCGGCGGCTCACCGAGACCTCGAAACTGATAAGGATTCCTGTTCAGAAGAACCGCCAACACTCCTGTCAAGCCCCGAGATGAGTTATCGATGAGCACATTTCCTGTACGACTCAAGGCTCGACAACGATGAGACGCCGCGCTGCCGACTCACCGGTACCCATACATGTGACATACATCTGCGGGGTGAACAGCTCGACCGCTCTCATCGCCGCATGTCGAGTTCCTCTCCAATGGTTCTTGGTAGGACGGGGAAAGGTGAAGGTCCCCATGGCGCAGATTACGTTTGTCTCGCTTTGGTGATTCCGACGTAGGTATAGGATGTGAGTTTGTGATGGTACAAGAAGGTACACAGAGATATTATGTGTTCGATGGGAGGATTTTCAGCTGGAAAGTGAAATTGTCGATCTGAGGTCGTTCTATAAGATCCTGTGTCTGCAAAACTAGCAATCGACTAACGGCGGCACTCACATCGGATTCAACGGATTCGTACACCTCGAGGTGTCGTTCCGTATCCAGCTTCAAAGGCTTGGCCTCCTTTCAGTAGTTCTTTTCCTTTCCAAAGGCAATCTCAGCCCGGTTTGGAGGTCTTATCGACGGGTGGATGATTGCGATTGATGACGTATTCCAGAGATGACTACGGGTACTTGAATTTCCGGCGATCCAGGTCAATCTGCGGCCGTATCAGCTGGACACTAGTCCGAGATTTCGAACGGCGTGTTTCATCTTGAGATCGCCAGGATAACGCTGTTGATGATAATGTTATCGGATGATGGAGTCGTTAGGCCGTCTCCACCGCTACACCGTCATTGTGCACGGGACTTGCTAATGATCTAATGAATGGGAGGACGCACTCAGTGTCGAGGAGTGCCAGTGCTAAATCCGGTTCGATTACGTCACTTCAGGCTTCTGCGCCGAAACGCATACCCAATATGTTCGATCAAGTTCGAAACGTGACGATTTTCTGGGTTGAACCCATAAAACGTCGAAATCGCATGTCTTGACAATCTTGGACTCTGTTCATGACGTTCGAGCTCTGACATTAAGAGCTGTCTGACCGTATACATCTATATTCTCTGAAGACGAGACGCTTCCTAATCGGATTTCCCTTACGGTATTATGTAAACACTGACCCGAGCAAGAATTCTTGCAACACCGCTCTACCCATACATCGATCGCATCCCGCTCGACTCAATACTGTTGCTGTTCCAACGAGCTGGCAAACGGATTCCCGTAATACCTCCCTTGACCCTGCACTTGAACTTGAGGCTGACCCTGCTCGGCAGGAGCAGGCGGAACATAACCCGGCGGAGCTCCACCGGTATAGACCGGCAAGCTCTCCCCAGCCAACTCCATGATCCCCTTCCTGACCCCCTTGAGCCTCTCCCTCGCCGAGTTCAACTCGCCCTCGACAGACCGGGACTGTTCTTCCAGCCCGTGCAGGTGGGAGAGGGATTGCGAGAGGACTTCTCGGAGCTCGAGGTGAGAGATCTGGAGTCGTTTGGCGGATTGTTGGATCTTGTCGTGCATGGCCATGTCGGTAAAGATGTTGTCGAAAAAGATGTCTCCCATCGAGCTGGGCGCATCGCAAAAGTTCCATCTTTCATCAGCTCGGTCCGATTTGCTTCCTTCGTGTTTGATCACGGCCGAAACGGTAGACTCACGCTCGAGGAACCTGGAAATCGCTCAAGTCCCTGATCAAGGGTTGCAACCCTTTCGCCTGGACCACAAACATCCTCGCTTGATCCGCACACCTCTGAGCTTCCGAGAGTGCGTTGCGCTCCATCATGTCCGCTCCCATCCCGCCGCCAAACATGTCGAACTGGGAGGCTGAGAGAGCCTACGGTAATCCGGACATTCATAGGATAGGTGGTCAGCTCGAGCGAAAGGACAGGATGATGAGATAGGAAAGGGCGATGGCAGAGAAACTCACGCTCGTCATGTTCTTATACGACATGGCCATGGCCCTATCCGCCTGCTTCAATAAGTCATAAGCCCTAGACTCGTTGGTCACCCTGCCTTGCAACTGTATCCTCCGCGCACAATGATATCAGATCAGCTTCGGGGCAAGAAAGCAGACAGGAGAAAAGCAGGAAAAGGCACCGGAATTCCTGTGTAAAGTGGAAAGATGGACTGACCTCGTTGTAATGCGTCAGAGCGGCCTGATAAGCTTGTTCAGCTTGATCCTCCTCTGGGTGGGCTGATTCGGTTAGTTTCATTCATACGAGTCGATCGAGATGAGTCCGGGCGGCAGGATAAGGCGAGTTAGGAGAGTAGGCAAATGAGCCGGAGTGTTAAGGCGTGCGCAGTAGTGTGAGCGATGATAAGTAGGAGGAGGAAGCGATATCAGCAAGATGATTGACCTCAAGGTCAGCTCTCGATCTTGAACTCATCGATAGACAGATCGGAGAAGGAAGAGGGACGACGTTCAAGTTCTCATGCTGGACTTACAAGGAGTAGGTCCACCAAAGACCCTTTCGTACAGCTGTTCCAAAGACTTTCTCAGCCGTTCATGCTGCGTCGCCAGGGGTTTCAGGTTCTTGATCTGTCCTCCCACAATGGTATCCCGATGACATTCGATGATCAGCTTATGTCCATCGTCAACGGACGACCCCCGGAACTGCCCCGACCTGGCCCCCCTGATATCGACTGACGCGATGACTCACCTCGTTCTCATAACTAGCCACCTCCCCCTCCATAGCCTCGATCTCGGCTTTCAACCTCCTCTCCTATTCGAACGCCTCCAAATACTCCCGTTCTTCCTTGGACTCTTTGTCGCTGAGTTTCTCTTGATAAGACCGGGGATGCTTGACCCGTTCCCAGAATCGTTTCGAGGTTCGATCTCGGATCTCGGCCCATTCTTGGTATTCCTTCTTGCTAAATAGACCGGGTAGTTTGTGAAGATACGGTGACAAGGGAGTTTTCAGAACATCGTATAAGAGGACTTCAGTCCACACGCTGATCGGAACAGCTCCACGACCGACACTCACGTAGCCTTCTCCAACTTCCCCAACGCGTTCCTACTCCCCGTCAACTGCTTGTTGACCTCGTTCAACTGGCTCTCGACCTGCTTCAGAGTAGGCGGAGCGTAATCGATCTCTTCAATCTCATTGGTGAGTCTGGTGTGCTGTCAAGGTTACGAAAGAGGACAGAGATCAGCTTCAGGATGCGGCTTATTCGGCAAGGGGAAGTAGGGAGATGAAGGACGGACTTCGGCGACGTGATCCTGGATCGCGGCGGACATCGTAGAAGGTGTTTATAGGTCGAACCGTAGGAGTGGTTAATAGAATCTATTCTAGGTGTTTGGTAACGAGGAGGTATAGCTACAATCACGAACGAAATATGTCGATTCAACCCTCTCCACGTCTTCGAGACAGAGCTACTTGCTGTGCCAACGTCCCGACCCACCCAAGGCCTTCTCGGCGTTGACCGGTTACGTCATCGGTCATGGGGTCACGTGCGTGACAGATAGGTCTTGGCATCCGGGCGCTGAGACGGCATGTCCGTTTCATAGGGCGCCGATACAGAATCGTAGCTATCGGGCGAGGACCTGCTATCTCCCCATAAATTATATGGTTAGGAGGAAGCACAAGGTCCCGAATTATACCAAGTTCAAATTCACCCCGTCAACCCGTACCCGTGCGATTTTGATGATGTAGCCGAAGACCGCAGGTGGCAGAATCGCGTGGACGGAGATTTCATCGATTTGGAACTGGTCTACTTCTTTGGAAGCGATGCGAATATGCAAGTCGCTTCCCGGGGATCTTGCAAATGGGCCGATCGACATAGTCACCGGCTATGTGATCGGGCGGATATGTATTCACCCGAATGGCGACACCTGCTGGAACAAGCTCATCTCGGCTACGCTTTTATCGATTCTTGTTGCCTAGAACGGCCTGAAATAAGTCAGCCTCGGCCTTTTTCGATCTCAAAACTCTTCGGAGCATCGCTGATCGCAATCAACTGGTTTCATCTCAGTCCACAAGGCTTTCACCGACTGGGCTGATGCTCGACTGCAAAGAGACACGAAGTTCTGGAACGAAGGCAGAATATCGATTCAATCGGATACAGAGTATGAGAGGTCCCAGAGAATGGTGCCCGCTCTGCGGGAGGTCATCGTCTCGCTGCAGCGACAGAACAGAATATTCTACGTTGAGGGAGACATCGTTACAAAGCATGACCCCACTGAGGACGATCCGCGTCTCCTGCATGAAGCGCACCTGCAAATCTTCTGCCCGTGAGTGTACTCTCCACGTTGTTCAATATTCGAGGCTTGTGTCTGACGATTCTTCATCTCTCACCTGCCATCATGCGTCAATGAACGAATGAACGAAAACATATAGGTCCAGTGAAGAGATTTTGGGTCATCCCGCGGTAAGCACCGAGAAACAGCACAGTATCTATCCAACCTATCAACTAATAACAGCAGCACAGCCGGAGTGGATTCAGACCAGGTGGCTGTCGTTGGATCAGATCCGAGAGTACGACCTGTACAACCCGAAGAGATTTAGGGTCGAATTTTTGCAGCCGCTGTAAGTATCACTCGTTTCCCTCAAATCCATCCGACCACCGTTTTTCAACCTACCCTCGCTCAGGACCCCTGAACAAGAGGCAGAGGAAGCTATGAGACGGATGAACCTTGGTCAGGAACAGAACACCGAGTCCCAGTCGGATTACGACGCTATCGAATCAAGAGGCACTCGAGGTGAGTAGCAGTACTAGGGGGTTTCAAAGTTACGAAATCTTCGCACGCGTCATCACATGAAAGGTTGCAAAACGTGGGGCCCCGCATCAGATCACATCGCGGACCACATCGCAGGTCGAACGGGTCTAGACCCCTTCGACCTGCATACCTATGTCAGCTGCGATCCTCATATATGCACAACCAGCACTTGTAATCGTCACAAATTGATGTATATGAGATCCTCAGCGAGAAAGCAAGCCCTTCGAAGAAATTAGAATGTCTGAAGTGCGTTTTTCGAGAAGTTACGAGCTCATCAAAAGTGGACGTCGGAATACCAGCCATTTCGACCTCTTGCCTGATCCGGACTAGCCTAAGACCGTATCGTTTCGAGCCTCTTTGGGCTGACAACCATCCAACTCTCTTCATCTTATATCATGAGCAGGAAGCACCAGATCAAACTCTCTCTCTACCCATCGAACAGGAAGCATCATCGGCTCCGACTCAACGACGATCGAGCAGGGTAATCGGCCGCACCAACTCCCAGATTCAACAGATGCTACCTCCTTCCCCTACCACCACCACCACTCGCCGTCAACCTATCTCCAACATGCCATCATCTAGCACCACCGCTCAGAAGCGTTCGGCTTCGACCTTTGTCCCTCCTGTCGCTGGTCCCCACAACAAGAAACCTAGACCGGCACCTCAACAGCGCAACCGTAGCGTGACACCCATCATTCCCATCGATCCTACCCTTTCCAGCAGTCAGAGCTCAACTACGACCACCAAATCTACAGCCTCTAGCAAAGCTTCAGCCACCAGTGCCAATCAAAAGACTCAGTGGAAGTCTCTCACGAACGCGGACGGGACGCAGAACGCCGAGGATGTCATCGTAGCCTGGCTGACGGAAGCAGAGAATTACGACTGGTACAAGCATCTGCAGAAGGCTGGAAGGCAGGCCTGTTGCGAGCAGATCCTGACGAGTATCAAGGAAGCCGGTATCAAGTGTGACAAGACGCCATCGCATGTAGAGTCGAAGGTGAGCCGTCCTCTGGTAGATGATCGCGCCGCCCGCTCACCATCACCTATTTCGTTGATGGGGTCCTTTAGATACGGGGAATTACGGATGCGTGGAGAGATGCCGATAGCGAGTGGTTCTCGACTGGAAACGGAGTTACCCTGGCGGATATTGAGGAAGACGAGAGCAACATGAGCCAGGCAGAGAGGGAAGAGAACCAGAGAAAGAAGAGGACTCGGGCGGTCTTTACAGGTGAGGGCAGCCAGCCGGGAGTAGCGATCCTCAGCCTTCCTAACTCGTTGCGTTGATCTTAGCGAATTTTGAGAAGAAGTATCCGTATTACCAAGTACTCGCACCTGTCATGGGTTCACGCACCGCCAATCGGCCCTCTACCTTGCTTGAAACCGGCCGAGAAGACTCAGTCTCGCTCGAAGTCCAGCTCGGTCTAGGCCATACTCAGGATGACGAGATCCCTGAAGACTCCGGTCCTAGTCGGAACTCTCGTGGCTACGTTGGAGGTGACGATTCCTTTGGAGGCGGCGACCCCAATCACGATTTTGAGAAGGATGCGGATTACATTCGCCTGTTCTCGAAGGAGGCGGAAAGGGATGTGGACGATTATGGCGAGCCTGAGACGGATGACGAGACGAACACGTCTAGGCTCCTGTCTCTCCGAAAGAGCAATCAGCTTTCCCCTACCGGCTCGAACTCATCTCGATCTACCAACCGTTCCTCTACTAAAGCTGCACCTCGAGACCCGGCGTTGGTCAAGGATGCGAGCAAGAGGAGCAGGAAGGAGCAGCCTGCGGACGACTTCCTCTCCCCGATCACCAAGATGATGGAAGTCAATGCGGCGATGGACGCACAATTACTTGCTGCGGACAAGGCCCACAAAGAGAGGACGTCTGGCCTGGAGGAGAGGAGGGTCGCGATTGCTGAAAGGGAATACGAGGATAAGGCCGCCGAGCGCGCTGCCAAACGTCGTCAGGAGGAAGTAGAGCACGAACAGAAGTTGAGGATGGCCGAGGCGGAACATACCGCCAAGTTGAAAGCGGAGCAGGTCAAGGAGGAGAGGGAATTGCTCTCGGCTAAGCTGGCCATGTTTGAGAAGTATATCGGCCACGGCTTGTCAGCGGCTGATGCGAAACAGGCCGCCGGTCTATAGGGTATGTTCATCAATCTATTCGTCATCGCTGTCGTCATCTACATACGCCCGCTGATAGTTCCTCTCTTCTGCCCATTGCTTCACAAAGCGTCGTCGTCTATCATCCTGTCCCCGAGGCGCCGCCACCTCATCGTCACCGTCTCCTTCTTCGCCTCCGACATATTCATTCCACTGCTGCCGGATTGCCGCCGCTTCGGCCTCGAACGTCTCCATCAAGCGATCCATATCCTGCCCGTCCCAGAAGTCGTCGTCGGGATTGTCTGTCACGAAGTTATGTAGAATCAGGGCTGTCCTGACCCAATTCAACGCCCTATTGAGATCTATTTGGGTGTCGATCTGGCTTCTTAACCCTCGAAGGCTTTGCCAGCGCATTTTCAACATGCCGAACGAGTGCTCGATCGCGACTCGGATGGACGAAAGGCGCTGATTGAAGCGATGCTTGTCCTGCGGCAGTCGAGCCTGTCCCCGTACCCGCTTATAAGGGGTAACGACGTTATCGGTAAGTTGGAAGGCAGAGTCTCCGATAATCCACTGCCCAGGCGAGAAGAACCGATGCGGAGTCAACACGAGCTGGAGAGAACAGATAGGTAAGCGAACGGGCTGGAGATGATCCGTCGGGTGCGTACTTGAGTATATCCGAAAACACGGGCATCGTGTGCTGACCCCGGAAACCCCAAGAGAGCATACCGAAACCGCTTGTTTTGGTCGCAACAGGCCATAAGGCTGAGAGCATAGAAGCCCTTGTAATGCCAGAAATCCACCGCGTCCTTCAAGCCGGGCTTATAAGCCAGTGGTATCACCGAACCATCCACAAAACCGACGCAGTCCGGGAAAGGTGAGCGGCGACCTATCTGCGCAGCTATCTTCCTGCGTTCTCGTTTGTCCGGCCAACTCAATAGATGAGAGAGCTGTCTTGTGATCGCCGTAATACATCGCAGGGTCCAGAGCTCGACGGTTCCCTCTAAAGAAGATCGACAAGCCGCTACGGGTGAGTGGATGCAGCTCGATCCAGTTCGCACGGACGGCACATGAACTCACCGGCTATTGAGAAGTCTCTAGCCATTTGACCCACTGACACACCGTTCCCCTCCATTCCGATACGCTTCAAGGTCATCAGCAGTTGGTATTCTACTGGAGCCTGAGGATTTCGTGAGTTGTTGGAGAATACCGGGTCGTTTTCGATCGTTTGAACCAATTGGAAGTAACAGACCTTGCTCATCCGAGCCTAAAGGACCGATTGGCGAGTAAGTGCACAGCTTTTCGTAGAGTAATTTGATGAACTGACCATCTGTTTAAACCACACGTCGTCCATGTGCATGTACCGCTCGAAATTCGGATTCCTTAACTTCTTCAGTCCTCGCGTTGGTCCCCGGTATAGGTAACGGCTCTTCAGCACAGTATCGAGGCGTGAAACGACGCAGAGGAGAGCCATTTGGAGCACTCGTGAGGCTCGCTTATCTCTGCTGGTGCGTATGTCGAGCAGCTGACGGGCATCGTCTTCATCTTGTGCGATAAAGTGACCACGACGGATGATTCGTCGCCTCATCAACTCGTGTACGAGCAGGATATACGCGATGCCCTTGGCTTGTCGGGTCAGTAGGTTGATGGCATTCTTTCTCCGAGAGGTCCTGGGCATGATGATGTCTAGAAATCGGTATGTGGGCTAGCAGACGAAAGAGATAGAGCGATTCTTAGCCATATAGCTGTCAATCAGGTCGACTTCAACAACAAGGGTCGGAGAGTACGGCATGAACGAGAGCGGAGCTTCTTTTTGTAACGATGTCCGCGAATCGGATTCAAAAGTACATCCGGTGCCTGATTCAAGCCACCGCCACCGGTGGCTTATGCATTTTGACCCAATTTTCAAGAAATCGCCGTAGATCGCCGAAGATCGCACGAAAAGTCACGTGGGGGTTTCACAGTTTGCGACTATTTAGGGGACCGCGATCGACTTCACACCGCGGATCGCGCGACAAACTTTGAAGCCCCCTACTGTATGATTCAGCTAAACAACGTAAGGTCAACTGATATAGGGGAACCACCACGCGGTACTCGGATTGAGCAGAGACGGATGGACCCGGCGGAGATGTGCAACTGGCCGGTCCAAATCCACCCTATCATGTTTGACTTCCTAGAGCAATCGTATGTACAGTCAAAGCGCAACATTTGAAGGCCTGACTTGTTTAGGTCTTCTCCGGCACAGTCACGCGGATCGACGTGAGGATATCGCCAACGCCATCGCGATATTGGCCCAAGTGCAAAGCTCAGACCAAAGAAAGGCATGGCGACTTGCCCTCTCAGCTCGTCAACCTAGATTGAACCTGAAAAGAAGACGAATTGTTCCGCAAAGCAAAGTAAATCGGATGTGTCGTTCGATGGCGATATGAGCAAGCAAGCAAAGCATGTTGTACAGTAGGATCAGCTGATACGCTCCAGAAGCTACGGTATTATTTTCGGGGGACGCTAGTGAGGCTTTTGTATGAAATTGGATTTCGGCGCCGTAGCGTCCGAGCAGAAGAAGCGATGCCTAGGATCATCGCTTCCCGATGTAGTCTGTTTTAATATATCTTCGCCCTCGCATTTCCATTCCACAAGGTGACAACTCGGATCATGCTATCGGCCGACGACCCGCTACCTTGTGCAGAGAATCCACTACGATGAGATAGATCCAGTCAACTTCTCGTCGATTCTGGTCGACACTTGATTGATCCCCGAATCGTGAAGCCGGATCGCAAATCGCTTCGTACGGTGTCGCTTCTGATCAATCGAATAGTGAGGAAAAACCCTGTTGCTTCAGACATGTACATAGAATGGCAAATCTCCTATTATAAGGCGGGTATTATACGATAACTTGTCGCTTGACGCCCTCAAGATCAGTGGTCAGTGGATACGATAACTGTTTCATCTGCATCCCATCGTCACTGTCGCTGTTTCGGGTTGACACGCGCTAACGTGTCGTCATCATCGCCCCCCTTCGGTGTCAATCGCATCAATCTTTCTGGATCATCAGCTCATCAGACTTTGTTATTTTTTTCTCCTGCGACGGCCCCATCACACATGCGATCACACAGGACACGTTGCCTGCACAGCCTGGTGTGATTGCGTCCTTTGCCCGTTTGCACGTTGCCGTCCTCCTCGGCATTTCAGGTCTTTCCTCCTGCCTCGTCTACAAACATCGCCTCTCCTGACTCGAGCTCGTCCCAGGGTTGACGTCTACCTAGCTACCTATCAACGTAACGACACCATCCCTGTGGAGTCCAGGTCAGTAGCGGCTGTATCCGTTCTTTCTTCTCATGGAAGGAGGGCAAGTTGTTAAAGCGGTCCAACGTTCGTCAGCAGATCAGCAGAGAGAAGAGCGATTTCGTCGCACCATTTTCGTCCTAATCATTACATGACCGAAGCAGAGATCACAATCTACTAGCGTGAGTCTGACCTCGACGTTGAAGATCTCATGTACTGAGAAGAGTCTGTTATAGCAAATACACCAGAACGCAAAGGACCCCCGAGGCCTCACGTTCTTCTCCTTCACGTGATGTCGGACATGGAATGCGATTCGAGCGATTCGTGCGGCTGGAGCACTTCGGACGATGAGAGTCAGGACAGTGTGAGTCAGTGGAATCGTACTCTCGTCATACAGATCGCCGGCCGATGACCCTTTCGTGCAACATAACACGTTGTCGGTTCGTGTGGGATCCTGGTAACAAAGTTCGACCAGAATGGACAGGACGTCCGACGATATCGATGCTTGACTCATGAAGTGGATCCGTTCCATGATTTCAGCGACCACGACTACCTCCATAGGCCATTTCCTCGTCTCGACGATAGATTCATTGAAGTGGATTTCCACTTTGACTCTCAGCAAGCGTCCGAACCTCAAGTTGTCGCCTCCGAACCTTGCCGCTGGATGTCGAGTGATGCTTTTCGGCTGTGTGATTGGGCGGATTACCATCGAGGCGAGTGGCGAGAACAACTGGAACAAAGTCGTCACAGCGGCGATCTCGCTGGAGGAAGAGATCCAGGCTACGCATTCATCGAAACTTGCTGTCATCAAAGCCCAGAAACCGGTCGGTCCTACTACTTGCCGTCTTGGTCTATTGGAAGCCATGGCTGATCCTCTTCTACACTTCTGAACTCCAGTCCAAAGAGCTTTCGCCGACTGGGTGAACAGAGAAAAGCAAAGACCAACTCGACTCTGGGTCAATAAATGGAGACCACCCACTCGTTCGGAAATAATGGTAGAGAAACAGAAACGTATCAAGTTGGCATCTGATTTGCAGGAGGTTGTCATGTCTTTGCATCGTGAGAATAGGATCGCCTATATTCAGAAAGGTATCGCAATGGGCGACGATCAGAATCACGTGCATGGAGTGAAAATTCAGATTTGCTGCTCGTGAGTAGGCTTCCGTCATCGGTGATCAAAGGCGCATCTCTGATAGTATCTCTATCATCCCTTCCAATAACCCATCCCGCAATACGATCACCCAGGGAGAGTGAAGCGATTATGGGATCTCGTGCGGTAAGTAGTCGATACGTGTAAGTCTCATCAACAAGTGAGCTCACTTAATGGACAAGTAGCCGAGGCGGATCCGCCCGGGAAAGCTTTCGATGCAAGACATATACAAGCTGGAGAGGGCAAGGCCGAGGAGGAGACTGGTCGAACTCTTGCAGCCGCTGTGAGCATTTTCCGACGTGGAAAATCTGGTTATGCTGTTGAATTGTCCGAATACTTGTCCAGGAGCCCTGAGGGAGAGGTGGCTGAAGCCATGAGACGGGTGACGATCGCTCAGGCACAGAACAACACCTGCATGAAAGAACGATACGACAACGCTACACCCGCTGCTGCGCCTGACGGCACATCGGACTTGCACGGCTTGTCACAGCAGGAATATGAATGGATTATGGTACGTATGCTTCGCTTGCGATCCCGAGAGCATCAAAGGCATGGGCGTAGTAGTGTCTCCATCCTTGCTTGATAGCAATCTAACATGTTCGAATTGTTTGCCTTCGCTCGGCAGGCGCGAGGATTTAGAGTTGAGGTTTTCGATCGCCGACCGATATACAGCAGCGTAGTCGCTCATTGGACGTCAATCGGACCAGATTCGAATGCCGCATTGGATGCACGATCGAAAACCCCGTCTTACTCTCGGAGAGATACATCGGCTGAGGATGTATCAAGTCTGGAATGGATCACTGATCCTGTAGACTGGGAGGGCTTTCCGGACAACAAGTCATGCGATTATGCGGATTCTATCGGGGTTCCTTGGAGACATCTTTATGAGTACAAGGATACGGACCATGGATTCGTCAGATGTCAAGGCAGTGCGATTGGTAAGTCTGCAGCCACCGTCTGCACACAAAAGGAGGGGAGACTCACCATCTTGCTTTCACATATAGAAGCGAAATATCTGTTGTCCTCCTGGTTGAAACAGGAGGAACAATATGACGACGATCTGTTGCTCTCTTGGTCGAAACTTGAGAAACACCGGGACGACCAATCGGATTCGGGTAGCGACTACGAACCTGCGGATTTCGGTATCGGCTTACATCACCGAAAAGCCATCGTACTGAACACATTCAAGCATATCGTCGATACCCTGCATCACCGGGGCAGGCTCGTCTTCCTGGAGCAGAAAGACGCTGACGCCGGGTATATGCACATACAGGTTTGCTATCGGTGAGCATCTCCGCGCAAACAAATCCTGACTGTACGGAATTCTTATGATTCGCCGGCCTCGACATGCCATCTGGGATCATGCAGATCGATAGGTTGCCACCCCGACGGACCTGAGGTAAGGGACAGCGATGGGGGTTCCGGTAGAGTTATAAGTTGTTGACCTACACCGGCACGTCGCATCAGGAGCCAGAACGAACTCAGACACGAACATTGACTTTGGCGGAGATGTTTGCCTGGCGGTTCGAGAAGAACTTCCCGGTCCACTTTGCGTTCTTGGAGGATGCGTATGTCACAGTATCAGCTCGGCCAGGGGAAGGATTGCTCATTATAGTGCGTTCTTGTCTAGTAGCCCAAATCGACGGGAAGAGGTCGTTACAGCCGTGCGACTGTTGGCCAAACATCGAGGGGAAAGAAGCTGCCAGTTGAGATGGTAGAAAGCGTCTGAGTGCTGAATCGAATTAGATGGGACGATCCATCAGATGGATCGGGACCCTTGTTTTCCAGAGATATGAGTTGGCCTGAGAAGCATATTTATATAGTAGAGTCAAGCTGTACGTTCCGGGTATAGAATGGCCAGAAAGAGAATTTACAGACCGTTCCCAATGCTTTGTGAAGTATGCTTCCTCATCGAAAAGGGAAGTCACATGTTGTCATAAGAACTCGATTGTCTGTTCCATCTTTTGAGAGCAAAGAAAGCAGAGCAACTGAAGTGAACATGGATCATTATTCCACAGAGCTAAAATGCCCTACCTGTCCGAGATCGCATACAGGCGAAGAAGTAAAAGAATATGATACAACGAACAAACCCGTCTCCGTACCAGGATCTGTTTCCAACTGCGCATCCGATCCGCCTCAAGAAGCCAACCCCATCTCCCTCGCCCTCTGTTCGGCAAAAGCCTTCCCGATCGGATCCTTGCTGCTAACGCAGACTCCACCAGGCCCGTGCGGCCGGTCATACCCATTCCTCTTCTCGTGTTCCCTGACAACATCCTCCCCTTTTACGTAGAGCGACTCCACGGACGAAGCAGGCAGGCCCTTTGACGCTGCGAACTGGATCATGCGGTCGAGTTCTTCTTGAATACGAGCTCGTTTGAAGGTGAACGTCCGCGGGAAGTAGGTCTGGCGAGGGCGAGTGGGGGTGTATTCGGGGATACTGGAGCGGTTCAGAGCTCGAAGGATGACTTGCTCGCACAGCGTCTGAGCAAATCCAAAAGACCACTCTTTGAAATCAGCATCAAGACTGGGAGCTGGCGGACGGGAAAGACCTACGTAGTCTCCATCCGCTCGATTGAGATTGTATGGCTCCTTGAGGTTGACATGCGGGTTCGTGATCACCCGAGCATAGTGCATATGGTTCCGGCTTGCCGCATGAGGCTATCCATCAGTACGAGATGGAAGACGTAAGCTGTCGCCTGCGAGTACGAGTTTGATGTCAAGCTTACGAGCAGCGCGTGAGTGATGATTACATCCCCGGCTTTGGCCTCGACCTATAATATTTCGAAAGACATCGAATCAGGTCTTCCCGGATAGACAATCGATGCTCTCTCCTGGTACTCACGGTAACATACTTCTCCAACCCCTTACAATGCGCACACAGATAATCAAAGGGCGGATCGAGTCCCTCCGGATGGTCATACAAAACCTTGACTATCCTCTCAATCCCATCCTCGGCAACTACCGTCCCGCCACCGCGAGGCAGGATGTCGGTGAAACAGTTGATGATCGTCAAGGCGTTCGAGGAGGAATCCAAGAAATGCCGGAAGTAGTCGTTGTCGATGTGCCAACCGGTGTTCTCTTGGGGCTTGCGTTCGCCGCCCTGTCGGTTGAGAGGTGGGAAGGAAGGAGGAATAGGCAACCACGAGTCAGTCAAAGAGTGCGCATCTCTGCCGATGTCGATGCCGACCTCGATCTCGATCTCCGGAGCGATCGGGAGTAGGATTCATGTTAGGACAGGTGTGTACCTACAGTCTTCCACTCTTCCTTCCCGAAATTCACGATAAAGTTGTCTCCAGCCAAGTATTCCCGTTCGGTATCGATCTTTTCTTCTCCGCCGACGATCTCGCCTACAGACCGAGAGAAAGCCCAGTTCAGGATGAGTTAGCTATACTACACGATGGAGATGGCGTGTATTGAGGATAGGATGAGGTGAAAAGGACTTACACATCGCTTTCCATGCGTCAGGAGAGAATTCCGAAATAGGTACTTCGTTATGCTTCGGCCTGGTGGAATCATATTCAACCTTCCATCAATCACCGACGAGATACGAGAAGCTGAAGACGGTCAGGGCTCGACTTACATCTTCAAGTAATCGTCCTTCCAGGTAGACTTGTCGTGCTCATCGAAACCTAGCCGGACCCAGAGGTTCGACATCCACCGGTCTAGGTATTCCTTGTTGATCGCTACACAGACGTCGGCAACGTGGGTTAGTCAGGAAATTGTAAAGTAGAGCAGGATCGAGGCGTGATATGCGTGAGACGGCCGGTGGTAGTATGGTCGTGTTATTCACCATTGGGAATCCTCAACCACCCATGCTCAACGAAGAAATCCCGTTGTTCCTGCGTCAAGAAGTTGTATTCTGGCATTGTCCGCGAGGTTGAATCTTTGTGATTTCCTTCTTCGGATATGCTCGTTCAAGAGAAGCCGCGAGATCGTCGAATCATCTCATCGAATCCAAGCGTCTCAATGAAGGACCTGATCCTCTTTATATGTGCAAAGGCATGCATCCCTCCACCTCCGGCCCGAGATCCGAAACGTGCAACGCCGATAAAACTCCTTTGGATCAGGTGACGCAGGTTACGAGATTGGTGTCCGCTGTGTCCAAAGATAGATATGTGATGAATACGATCATAGTGCTTGATGGCAGGTCGGCCGTGTGGATAATCTTGTTCGAATGGAAAGGAAGGCGATAAAAGCATGCCAATGGCGAGATTACCGTGGTTGTTCAACAGAGAAACGAGGTGCGGACAAGTCCGGAATCGGTCACGTGATCACAGTCGAGCGATGATTCTTGGTCGTTTCAGATGGCCGATACGGAGCATGCCGGTCCAGGTCCTCTTCTAATCAAGGTCCTCTTCTGATCACTGAATGGTCTGATCATGAGAGCGGCTCTAGCTGCTACTGGTACAGTAGAAGCGGACTCGATCTTTGCTTTCTCGAGCGAAACGGCTGTAACATACCCTACCGAAACTTTGCCACTTCCTCGAAAACGCCTATGACCTGACCAAGATGCGCCGTCGAGACCACCTTGGTCCATGTGTAATGATCGTCGAGTCGAGACATGCTGTCATATCGGAATGGGCGAGTACGGACGTATTGCTATACAAGAGGTCGTGAGATCGTCACAATATACAAGAAAAGATAAGAACAGTCATCATGGTTCGTGATCGTTAAAGTCGGGCCCCGGCGCGAACGCTTGCTACTCCCGCTCCCGCTCCCGATTTGCTCGACTTCCTGCTCTTCCTGGTTCCCTCGGTCACCTTTTCCGCCTTCTGCCCCTTCTCATCCACCGTCTTCCTCCTCCTCTTCACACCAACTTGATCCACCCCCTCATCGCTTTCTACCTCGACGTCGACGGACAAAATTTTGTGTTCGGGCTTCAGGAGGTCCTTCGCCCATGCGACGATCGCCGGCGTGCCGTTCACAAACAGGTAGTCCAACGTCGACCACATGGCGGGGGCGGGGGGAGGACGAGCGACGATCTGAGGCCCGCCGATCAGGGACGCGGACACAATGGTCGAAGGTGCGGCAGCGATCTGCCGGTAGTCCAGAGGATCGACGATGGCAGTGATTGGCGGCCACGACGTACCCCGGCAGTCGTGTGGCATCCTGTCGAGCGCCAGTCTTTGAGCCTCCGCGCTGTGGAACCAGACCTTGCACAACGCTTGGTGGATCATAGGTGGATCCGTGCAAGTCGACTCGATTCGGGACACCATGCCGGAACAAAAGCAAGATCTCCTTTGAATTGAAGGTGATCGCCACGTTGTCTCGGCTGCTCAGGAACTTGCCGAGCTGTTCGAAGAGTTCTTTGCCGTTCCTCTCCACGTAGATCATGTAATACAACAGATCGTCACTCAACAACGCATGTCTGAGTGGGAATCCAATGTAAGGGTTGCCGTAATAGTAGAGGTGATAGGACGCATGTTTCTTCCTCCTCGTGTAGATCTCACCCAAATACCTGAAGGTGACGGGCGTCGGATCCGAAGACGCCGGGCCGGAGGGGCCCGCTTTCGAAGACGTTCGGGTCGAGGACGTCGGATTCGAGGGCACGTTCGCTTTCGAGGTCGAGGTAGAGGTCGATCCGGGGGGAAGGATGCAGTCACCGTCGACCCCGTCGCGGCTGCAGCTTTTGCGGTCGAGGTGGAGGGTGATTTTTTCGGTTGGAGGACTTGCCTCAGGACGAGACGGGGATGATCGAGAGGGGGCGGATCAAGATGGGGCGAATCAAGATGGGGCGAATCGAGATGAGGCTCCGACTCGCGAGTCGAGATGGGGCGAGTCGAGACGGGGCGAGTCGAGACGGGGCGAGTTGCTCATCTTGTATAGCCAGTCCGGTCGAGACAACGCACGACTTCCGATGGATGGCATACAGGACAAGATAGAAACTGTCGTCATGGTGTCGAGCTGATGTTACTGCTTGCGATCATGTTGATTCTTTCGGCCGGAATGATGATTTCGGGTGTACATTTCGAAGCCGGGTGATCGGGCATACGTCGCATGGCGTTTGGACCAGAGTTTCTTGCCATTCCTCATCTTGCAGGTTACTTGACACTCAAATTCTTGCTTCAACACCCCATGTTCAGATAAAAATCCAATGCCAGGGCTGCCATAATAGTACAGGTGATATGGTCGATGCTTTTTGCTAGCATGTGGCATCACAATCAAAAACTTGAAACTGACTGGTAGTGAAAGCGTGTAGGCGTGTAGACGGATGATCAAGTCAGGCATTAACATGGGTCGGAAGACCTAGTTTCTCTGGAGACCATGGAGTCGGAAGCCTACAACGACGAAAACTCAGATATATTTTGGAGGATCGCGTCTCGAGCTTGTCTGATTCGGTGGCAGGCGGAATACAGATAGCGGTTACGCTGTTATCAACGATTGCGTCCCCTCGTAGCTGGTTCAGACGTCATACAAGTCGATTTCGTCTCACAGATGCGCTTATCTTACACATGATACCAAGCGGTTAGTAGTTGGTGGAAGCAATCGATTGAGTCGCTCATGAAAGCTAAAAGAGGTCGGCACTTACCATCGATCCGAAAGCTAACTCGCCCGCCTCCGAACGGTCCCACTACTGCGATCTTCGGCCGAACAGTTCCTCAACATATCCGACGCAAGAACAGTAAGACCGTAGAACGGCGCATGATAATGAGCAGCCGGAGAGATTGTAGTCAGAGTACGAAAGAGCCCCGTCGAAGCATCCGAGCGCGACTTTTGTATGTTCATTGTTGTGGTCATCGAATCGCTTCGGCGCGCGAGTCCGAAAGACTCAGTTCGGATCTCTGTTTGTCGGACCTATCAAGATCTGAGGTCGTAGATATCCTACACCGTATGATAAAGTATCTCACGATCTTTACATGCCGATGAAAGCGTTCGTCGAGATCAAAGAACGGTCGTCTTCGAAATCCATCGCTGGTGTGAATTCCGACCGATGAGTTTGCTCGTGACGAACAAGCGACCTTCTATTGATCCTCCAGTCTCTCATCCCGAAACCCTAGCCGACCATCCTGCTCCTGACTCATCACCCTTCCCTGATAAACACACCCGATCGTCAACAAGTTCAACTCCGAGTACCTATCCTTCCCTCTCCACCTCCTCACCCAATTACTCGTCTGTAACCTACACTATAACGTAGCGCAAGCGCCAAGGCGGTCGAGGCTGAGGCGACGCGCACCCACACTCAACCTTCCATTCCTTCCTCGGTAAAAAGCCTCAGCCTCGGTCAAGGGGGGATTCGTACGCAGGGGCAGGATCCGGAAGCCGGGAAAGGGGTCACGAGATCCGATTAATCTCTGATCTCTGACGTGCTAGAGTCGTTACAATTTGCTCAGCTGTAAGACGGAGATCGTCACTACCACTATAATCTTTAACTTGACAGAGGTCGATATTGGACCTAGTCTTGGTCTTCGATCGTCTTGTCCGAGATAGAACATTCCCACCAATAAAATAGAGGAACTTCAGCCGGACTCGACCCGGACGCCGAGAGGGTTCTCTGGTTGGATTCCTAATTCCTGAATACCTGGAATATACAGTATACCCTTATACCCTACCTTGGATCTTCATCTCGATCCGTATATACCCCTTCGACCTATACCCTCCTCGAATACCTCAGGCTCGAAGTTCACCTCGACCTCCAATCAAGTTTCGACACTTGCTACCGCAACCTTACGGACTCTTACCCGCTACCTGCATCCTGGGCGCAGAGCAGAGAAATATCGGACCTGGGACATCGGGTGGATTTCCTCTAACAGCAACGTCTCGTCATCCTCGACATCTTGAGACGACTGCGACCGGGAGGTTTCCTTCAACACCTTTTCGACGACGACGACACCGAGTTAAAAGGTACGATCAAGACCAAGATCAACCTCCAGGTGGATCGTCGGTTCTACGCGAGAAGAAGGATCGAAAAAGAAGTTGTAGGGTGTCGAGAGTCCTTTGGATCAAAAGGCGAGGACCCCAAATTCTCCAGACATACGGAGACAGGGGGTTGGAGACGAAACGGGGTACTTGGGAGGGTTTCGTCATCAACAGCAAGAACATCGCTAAGAGTGACAGGTGTAGATCAGGGGATTAGGACTAGGGGTCCTTTATCGGTGGATCTAATTGAAGAACAAGGTCGAACCAGGTTTTCTAGCGTCGATCTGGTGTGGACCGGCGGCACAAGAGCAAGAGGAGGAGAACCCCACGGTCAGGGGCGTTTCGTTTCGTGATCATCGTATCGCATCGAATATCCACGGCGACAATCAAATCAGATCCGAGAAGGTGGATCGATCAAAGGAGGGTGTGCATTGAGCAACAGCATCAGCAGCAGGGGGAAGGAGAGGGACGACTCTTATTTTCGGGTCCGAGGAACGAGCATCAAGGATCCATCAAAGAGAGAAGTGTGAAAAGATTTGATCCCATCATATCCATCATCGACCTCGGGACGACGACAGCACATCGTCAACTTGAACAACAACACAACTTATAAAGAGCAGTAGCATCGACAACAACAATAACAGCCGACATCAACATCACCGCATATACCCACATCTCCAGCAATCTCAGTAGAACAACCAATCATCGATATCAAAATCGAATCGGTACATCCACGCATCCTTTACCCATCTACACCACTATACCCCTTCGCCTTTCCTCCTTCTCGACTCTCTCGGATCTTTGACGACACCAGGCCTTCTCGGTCTCTAGAGACGAACAACGACCAACGAGCACAACCACAATCACAACCGCATCTACTCCCACTCTTCTTGAACCACCATCTCTGCGTCATCACGACCACCTCTTGAAATTCAACACCAAAAGTCAAACCGAGCTTCTACCGAGAACGCAACGAAGGCAGGAAGAGACAGAACAGACATTTCTGAGATGGAGACCACGCACACGCTCTTCTGGGCTTACCCGCCTAGAGGGACTACCACCGTCGATTCTCCAACCACCTCGAACTTTACCTCGAATGCCAATTCCAACAACTCGGCTTCGAACTCTAGTGCGAGCCAGAGTAGGGGTACGACGCTCTCCACGGAAGCCGGGTTGGGCTTTGGACTCGGACGAGGAGGTGGTGCTGTTGGTGGTGCTGGTGGGGGTGGGGGACCGGTTAGACAAGCTTCTTTACCCGTTCAGAGAGGTTCGAGTTCTACCCAGTTTGGGGGGCAACAAGGGTCGGGTCCTGGGCATTCTTTGCAGATGCAATCGCCATCACAATCCCACTTCGGCGGCGTCAGGTCAGCAGAACGAGATGCCGGGGGTACGAACACGGCTACGAGAGGACTCCCAGGGCGATCGGTCACCATGGCTCCTTTCCCTACCTCTTCCCCTGGCCCGAACACATCGACCTCGACCCCTCCTAATCCGGATACGAACCCCACCTCACAAACACCTACGAGCCAAGAAGATCCCGGCCTTACCGACCCTTACTCCCCGTTCCCTACCGAGCTCGAAGGCGGGTCGGCCGAGTATTCGCCTTACCCTGGGTACAGGGAACGGGATGCGCAGGGTCAAGGGATGACCGTTGGGAGGCAAAAGACGTTTGGCGGGATCGGGAACCTGGGAGGGAGCGTTTCCGGGTTGAAATCAGGTGCGGATGGCAATAGCGTACGGCAAGAATCAGACCAAGGTGGAGAACGACAAGATGAAAGTGGCGATGGTTCAAAGTCGGGTACGGGTACGGGGATGAAAGATTCGGGTTCGGGTTCGGCTTCATCGGCGACGTTCCCCTCGCGGGCCAGGGCGGGGAGACGGACGAAGACGGTCCAAGAACTTTGGTTTGGAGGGGTCGTCAAGGATGAAACCCTGATCGAACCGGTTGATGAGGGCGAGGACGAAGCCGAGCAAGACAAGCCCGATCAGAAGAAAGAGGACGCAGATGATGAGAATGACAACGCCGACCAAGTGGACCCGGACGAGGTCATCGTTCAAGACGGTGACCGGCCCTTGACCCTCTCCTGGGCTCGATCGCTCGCCACGCTCGTCTCCACCTCTTCCGGAGTGAGCATCGACGTCCAGCTCGTCAGGCCCCACACCCCCATCCCTAAAGAAGAGATAAGGGAGGTACCTCTCGTACCGGGTCTTACGGCCGGGGCGGAGCAACAACAACAGCAACAGGAGAGGAGACGCGGTTTGGAGCAGTTTGGAGGGGAGGGAAAGGGGGAATGGAGGTTCTTGTTCAGGTTTAGGGGGAGTTATGCCAAGGTGTTGTTCGCCAAGAGCGCGTTGAGGAGGGAGATCACGCCGGAGGTGAGTTTTCGTTGTTGGTGTACCGCACTCGCACGGTCATGCGGTTCGTGATTGCTGATTTCGACATGATTGTTGGTTGTTACGGCAGGCCAAGGCCGAAGTCAGTTTCCCCCTCACCCAAGTCTACACCTTGTCCGCCCTCTTTCCCTCGAGGACAAGCATCGGTAGTGGTCTTTCGCCCAACACCATCATTCCGGAAGTCAGGGCCAAATTGAACGATATCGCCATGAAGACCGGAGTGTTGTTGACCATCGACGACCCGGTCGTCAGGAGACACGGAGGCGTCGGCGGCGGAACTGGCTCGGCGAGGCGGAGACGCGGTTCAGGATCTACGGTTGCAAGCCAGACGAGGAGACCTGGTGGCACGCTATGGAGCAGTAATAACACGAAGCCGGAAGAGGCTCTACCTCCAGCGGACGCGGGCATCGTCATGGATTCACCCGAGAGTATGCACATGGAGCTGCCCGGCATGGGGGGACAAGACGGTGCTGGCGTCATCGGACAGAAACCCAGCAGTCGACAAGGTAGTCTAGACTTGCCGCCTCGCTCGGCGACCTCGAGTCGTTTCTTCCCTACCGGGGTGACCGAATCGACACCCTCGCCCGCCTCTCATCGGTTCTCGGGAATCATGGATCGGGAACAGCTGCAAGAGGAACTCCTCAACCAGACGTTCGAAAACATGGGCTTCATCAAGGAAGGAACCTGCGTCATTGTCGTCCAGGGTCTCAGACAAGCGGTAGCATCCGCCAAGACCTTGTTGCTCGTACTCTCGGACGAGCTCAACGGCTTGCACGTCGAGACGATTGAAATTCCGGAGAGGTTGCATAGGATCGTGGCAGGAAGGAAGAACGGCGCCATCAACCACGTTATGAGTGCGACCGAGACCAACATCTATATCCCGGAGGGCCGTCTCGTACAAGTCGAAGAGCAGGCGAGCTATGGTAGCTTGAGCCCCGTCATGAGTCCGCCTTTACGATTCTCACCGTTCTTGGGAGGAGGTCAATTACCGCTCGTTGGAGCCGTCTCGCCGGGACTTGGAGCTGGGTTCGGTCCTGCACCCCCGACCGGACCCGTCACGGGCATTCCAGGCTTGACCGACCCGACCGTCCCAGACCTTGCTGCGGGACTGAGCGCGCTCAGCATGCATCAACAGCCTTATGCTAGCGTTACGAACAATTTGACGCTCAGTCCTGGTCAGCTTCCTTTGACCTTGTCACCCACGCCTACGCATTCGGGTTGGGCCTCGCCAGGGACCATCTCGCCTGGCTTGAACGCCGCTCCCGGGATCAACAGGGACATCGTCTACATCACTGGGGCTTCAGCTGTGCGCGTCTTGAACGCCAAGGAGTGGTTGCTAAGGTCGGCATTCGAGAAGGTAAGTTTCTTTTCTACCATCGATATCACGATCTGATGCTGATGCAACCACCTCATCGCTACAGAATGCAGCTGTCGGTACTTTCCAGTCGCCGCTAAGTCCTCGAAAGCTGGACTGGTTGATTCACGAACGGTGAGGCAACTTCCTGCTCTAGAATCGACGTGGTCGCCTAGGCTGACTACCTATCTCATCATTCCACCAGCTCGGAACAAGTCCGTAAAATCATGTTTGATAATGGCTGCACGATCAGGCTCGTACCTGGAAGTCGCGTTGGCATGGTCACGGTCTTGGGCGACCACGAAGTCAGTATTAGACGCACACTCAAACACGTGATCCGATTGGTCACGGACACTTGTCTGGCTGCGGCTTGGACGATTGAGACGCCCAATGTGACTAAGCGGTACGACACTGAGGAGCAAGCAAGGAAGCTCGCAGTCGAGACGGATGTCGAGATGGCTGCCGGTGCTGGCTGTATCGAAGCGTTCTCAGGCGAGTCCGGGATCTCGGGAGCGAGGAGGGTCTTCGATATGCTCGAGAATCCGACCAGCCTTGTGAGTGCTGCGCATGAGCCATGTCATGGACAAGACTCTGGTCTCACCTGTTCTGTTTCGAATCGCAGGGCTACGCTACGCATGTGCAGTTTCAAGTGCAACCTCTGATTGAGCACCAGGACTTTTTGGGCGGCAAGGGAATGGGCAAGATTGTCTCCATGTCTCGCAAGTCCAACGCCAAGATCCAGCTCGTTCCTGCTAGTAAGTGGATTCACCATCATCTGCGCCAAGTTCGGAACTGATTTTAAGCTCTGATAATCCTAGGTGATCGACTCTTCACCCTCGATATCCGCAGTGAGAGTATCGCTAGTGTCGCCATCGCGCTCGGAGTGCTACAAGAGGAGTTGCCCGCCGAGACCTCGTTCTACCTGCCCGAAGCCTTCCACCGCAAGATCATCGGGAGGAACGGAAAGAATATTCAAGAGATCATGTACCGTCACAACGTGGCCGTGCGATTCTCTTCTGCAGAACAGTGGGCCGAGTTTGGAGGTCACCAAGGTACGTCCTGAGGCGATTCATGTTGACGAACCGCACGCTAACGCTAAGGTACATGCAGACAACGAGGACAATGTGCTCATCATCACGCCCGCCAAGAACGCAGCAGTCATTGAAAGGGTCAAAGACATCGTCATGGAGCATGTTCCGGAAGAGGTAAGAGCAGCTCAATTTGACGAGCACTGTTCCTCAAATGGCTCGCTGAACCTGCCGTTTCTTTACAGACCCGCTACTATGCGCCCCGTTATGTGATGCCTATACCTCGCGCATACCACGCCTCGATCCAGGCCAATCCGGCCTTGCATCAGTGGCAAGACAAGTTCGGGGCTGCCATCCGGTGTCTACCGAGAGAGAGGGGAATCGATGGGATCGAGGTGTACTCGTCCATTGCCGTTTTGCCCGCGATCGAACCGATCCTGAAGGTGAGTGGAGCGATCAGCATCGCTCGACCAGATCTGATTGGTTGATCTCTTCTTGTTTCTCAGTCGCTCGTTCCTCTCGAACGTCTGGCCGTGATTCGCACCAACGTTCATCCACTCGATCTTCCGGACTGGCATACCTGTGCGCAGAACGTTCTCGACTCGACTGCGGTCTCGGTGCGCTTGAGTAGCATGTTCCGAGACGATCGCATGATCGGGGTTACATTCGTCAGCGGGATTAGGGACACTGCTAGGTTCGAGGTCGCCAAGAACATCTTGGAGAGGTTCTTTGCCGAGCGACAACGACCGGAAGTGTCCGCCTCGTCCTTCTCGCCTTGGGGCAATGAGGGTGGGTTCATGCCTTGACATGTCTGCAGAAAGGCGGCGTGACTTCGAACTGACATCTAGGCTTGTCCCTCATTCAGCTGCCGGTGCCAACTCGATCGTTTTCTCACGGGCTGGATCGGAACCGCCTGTTCAATATGAAAACCGAAACTTCCGGCAGACTGTGAAGAATGGCAAGACCGGATCGTTGGACCCTTCAATGACGATGGATTGGATGGAACGAACTGGCAACGTGAGTTAGGATATTTTCGACCGCGTCACAAGTCGGGTCATGTGTTGAATGCGAGCGAACCTTTTGGACGTCAATAGTCCTCTCCTTTCGAAAGCATCCCAGAGGAGATCGCTCAACCCAAAGGACTCGCTCAGCGATTGCGAATCGCGACGGCCCGAACTCAATCTTTGGACTTGAAGACGTTGAGCGGGACAGCTGGGGCATACTTGCAGCAGCACCCGCAGTCCCCATCGCAAGATCAATACCAATACATTCACGATCCTCAACAGAGCTATAGCCCCAGCCACACCCAAAGTCCGAACCTGCAGAGGCAACAGCAGCAGCAGCAATTCCAGGGCGGTAGATATGGGGGGACCTATTCGCCGACCGTCAACCTTGGAAACGGCGGAGCGGCTCCTCTGAGTGCGACTTCGGCTGGGTTCTACAACATGCCTTATTGATCAAATTGGATCTTCATACCGGCTGTTGCGAAAAGGCAACATATGAAGGCTGAAATACGATAATCATGGAAAATACGAGAATACGAATTGGAAACGGGGTGCTTCACTTATGATACCAGACAGAAAACGAGTTGGAGATAGGTTCTTGCCGATGCCTCATAACCCCGTATACCACCACCGTCGCGAAGCCCAGAAAACGACATTATACACACGCGATGGAGAGATATCGACCGGCTACATTGGGCGGAAAGGCGAACGACGGAATTACGATATACTCAGGTTTACCGTACAAGCAGCCGAAAACGTGCTCGAACCCTTCTTCGCCATTATGCATGTAAATTGACGAATGCAATATGAATTCCTATAAGGCGCTGTACATGTTGTCGTGGGTCTGTTCCAGAACATCATCATCTTGACCTCACCGGAGCAATGCAGGCTACAGCTGGTTGGATCAATATTGTCTGGATGCCTAAACCTATCAAAGTACGATGAAACTGAGCGCGGATCATTATACGTTGATTCTGCCATGTCTCGTTTCATTTTCGTAAGATACAGTTGACATTCTATTGAGAAACTCTTCGTGATGACCCCTGCGAGCCGTCTCTAATCGACGTCCATCTCGCTCCCACTGCTCGCCTCCTTGTAACCCTTCCCAGTCTTCTTCACTGCCGCCTTTCTGCCCGTCCGTCTGACCGGTGCCGCCTTGGCCCCATTCGTCTTGGCCTTCTTGGGCGCCGGCTCGTCGCTATCCGATCCCAAGTCCAGGGAACTCGCATCATCCTCGTCCTCTTCGACCGGGGTCAGCTCGTCCTCCTCATCCTCCTCGACTTGGACCTTAGCCTTGGCCGCAGGTTTCCTCTTTGCAGGTGCCTTTTTGGGTTTGGCCGTCGTGCTAGCCTCAGTCGCGTCCGTCCCAGCATCCGTACCCACATCCGTTCCTTCATCCGTCGTCGTCCCCGCACCCGTAGCAGCAGCAGCGGCCTTTTTCGCCTTTGCCGCCTGACGCTGTTTCAAGTTCATTGGCGTGGGATTTGCCAACGCCTGTGCGTCCGTCTGGCCCGTAACCGGATCCACATCATCCGCCCCACCCGTCTTTTTCTTGACCTCGCGCTTCTTCGGCCTCAACCACTCTTCCATACCCGGCGGCCAGTAGACCCGGTTGAACTTGCCACCCATCCCGACCTCTTCCTCTGGGATGACCTCTTTTTTCGGCACGTCCGCCTCGGGCTCCTCCTCTATCAACGACGGGTCCTCCGCCTCGGCCTGCAACTGCTTCTTGGTCTTCTTCTTAGCCTTTTTCGCCGGCTTTCTCGGTTCGGGCTTGTTATCGTCGTCCCTCTGATAAGGCACGATATTGTTGAACGTGTCCCACCCGGGGAGCCTGAACGTCCTCATCAACTCGAAGACGGCCTGTTCCTTGTCCTTGGCTTCGATCATCAGGTCCATATCGTCCGCACAGGGAGGCAAGGTGAACGGTCGAGGGTTATGTTTCCTCCTCTCCCTCCCCGTGATCGCCTCCGGGCAAGGCTCGGAATAGTGCATCTTTTGCGTGATACCCTTTTTCGTCCAGGTCGCCCGGATCCTCGGGTAGAGGTCCATGATATCCTTGGTCCCCTCCCTCAACTGGGTCGAGTCGAAGATGATGTTGTGATGATGGAAATCCAGGACCATGGGGATGTTCAACTCTTCGCAGACCGGCAAGAGGTCGTGAACGCTCCACGAGACGTCGTCGTTCTCGAGTACCAGCCGCTTCTTGACCTCGTCGGACAGTTTGAGGTAATTCTCCTTGAACCTCTGGAGCGTGGCTTCCTTATCCCCAAAGACCCCGCCGAGGTGCAGGATCATTACTGCGTCCCTATCGAGCTGTTCCGGCATGTTCAACAGGGACAGCAATTCGGCGTGGTACTCCAAATCCCGGATGGCATTATCGATGACCTGTTGTCGCGGCGATCCGAGTTGCGTAAACTACCCACCGGCGTCCCCCAATAAGATTTCCAATCAGCTCGTACCGATCTACCACAGCACGACCTGTGACCCGCGAACCCACCTGACCCGGATGGGTAGTCAACCGACACCCAACCTCCGCTGCGACCTTGCCAACCTCCCCCAAGACCTCCTTCGCAAACCCCTCCAACGTATACCCATACTCTTCATGAGACGCGAACGGGAACATCTCGCTGGACAACCTCATGAACCTGATCCCATACTTGTCGTTCCACCTGATCATCTTTACACAGTCTCTGGCGTTGGCCAAGCCGATAGATTGGACGTATTCCATCCCCCTTTCCACCGAGGGGGTCTTGGTCTTGTCCGGCCGGTTCTTGGTCGCATGTTCCGGTTCGTCAGGGTTCGTCAACGGGTACCTGTGATCGAGAATACTCTGGATCCTACACGTGCGACTTGCAAAGACCGGGGGGTTGCTAAACCTCAAATACGTATTCAGACACGCATATCCCAACCTCCCTTTCCAGGGAAGAGGCAAGTAATCGGAATTCACCGGGGGAGGGCGTTTAGCTTCCCTCTCCCTGGCATCCATATCGTCCGTCACCCCATCCGGCCCATCCCCCCCATTATCCCCATCCCCAGCGTTCGCCCCCGAGGCATCTTCATCGGTGGTAGTTGTGGGCTCTTTCTTGACTTTAGCCTGGGCGGCGACGAAAGCCTTGATCTCGTCCGCGCCCTTTTTGGCAGCTACGGACGCTTTCGTCGGTTTCCTACCACCCTTTTTCGCTGGGGTCGTCTCGGTCTCGTTGTCGGTGGTGTTGGTGTGCTGGACGGTAGCCAGCGGGGTGGTCTCCCGCTTGACCTGAACGTCAATCGTGTCCTTTTCCCCCGAAGTAGAATTGGTAGGATAAGCCTGATCGACGACCTTGACCTCCGGCCCTTTCTTCGCATTCCCGCCTTTCGCTGCCCTGCCTCTCTTCCCCCCAACCTTCTCCTTCAACTCCCCCACAACCTCTTTCTTCTCCACAGCAGGCTCCACAGCATCCTCCTTCACCCCCGCTCCGACCTCTCCCTCCCCAACGACCCTCCCCAATTCAAACTCTTCGGTATTCTTCTCCCCAGGTCTGATGTCAGAGACTTCGTCAGCGTCGGGACTGGCTCGGAGGGCGGAGCGTGCGTCGAGGATTTCAGGGTTTGCGTCCGGGTTCGGATCGAGGTTACCGCTGATTTGTTCTTCTGTGTTCGTAGATATAGTTTTAGAGGCTGAAGTCGAAGTGGGGGGTTGAGGGTGAGGATGGTCGACGTGGTAATGATGAGCTTGTTCCATTACGAAATTCGGCGGGGGCGTCGAATCCTTCGGAAGAGCTGAGAGTTCTACCTCTTCTTTATTCTCCTTGTCTACACCTGCCCCTACTGGTGCTGATGTTGATGCTGATGGTCTTTTACGTTTGCTACTCCCCTTAGGCGGCATCTTGTTATTATATTTCTCAAATCTCCTCAGATCACTCTCGAAATCAGGCTCGTCCTCGAACCGATCCCAGAACTCTGGTTTGATCAATAGATGCCTCTCAAACCACCCGTATCCACGTGGAAGTCTATACTTCTCCTTGTCGGAAGAAAAGACGGGTGGGCGGGTCTGGATGTACCGATTGCTAAAGTTGAGCGAGGATAAAGGCGATAAAGATGAGGGTAAGGTCGTTCGGCGGATGACGGCGAGGTACCTCGGGGGGATCATATGATTCGGTATAGTTTGGAGAAGTATCGTCGATGATGATCCGACCTTGTTGTATAGTCGAGTATGACGTCGAGGTGATGTGAAGAAGAGTTTTTCTCACTTTTCCACCCTTCGACGACTCCTTGAACCGCTCGATCTCTCGATCGATGAGCGATGACGTAGGTTCGGTTCGACGCGTCATCTTTTGCTTCCGGCAGAGATCTCTCGGAACCGAATGCGCGTCATCTCGGTTGCGCGTCGCTTGTGTGCTGAAACACGATCATGAAACAAGAATGCGCGGGAGAGACGTTCGGCGAGACGATTTCACCCCAGCGTCAAGCGATGTTCCGCTGACCGGTAAGGCAGCATTACAAAAGGCTTTCGTATCGCTTCAGTCCTCCCGTCAGCTGCAACAGTTCAATCAGCGCTACATCTCTGTGCATTATCTCGCAAGCGCACTGACAATATCCTCGCCTCTGCTCTCCCTATCAATCAGATAAAGGCACTCCAGTGATAGTGGATGGTCCAAACCCCATCGGACGGCTACGGTCCACTCTTTGCGCTCAATGACGAACGTGTCCTTTTTGCAGACAAAGGATGTTGCATAACCTGTTTCTCTGGCCGAAAGTCGCTTTCCTCGTGGGTATATAAGACTCGGCGCGACATTTCCTCTGTCCCTTGGTTTCTCAGTGAGCGTTCCGCATACCTTTTTAGCGCAATATACCTTCACATTCCGAACAACCCGGTACCGGAACACAGGATGGAATCTCAGATGCAGAACCAAGCACGCGAAGGAATGAGAATGTTGATTGAAAGTGAGGCTGAGAGATTGGCTGACCTTCCTTACGGCTCCGACATGAGCAACGAGCTACTGCAATTCCTGGGAAGCTTTGCGACGAAGAGCTCTTTTCTGGGAGAGTCACTCAGCCGAAATCTACAGGTTGACTCTGCTGCAAAGGCGTTCCATCTGTCTACCGTAGTTAAATCGCTATCGGATCGCCTCACTGCCGAACCACTGCTCTCACCAAGCATGAACGAGATCTTGCTCTGGATTCTTGTGAAAAGAGCGGCGAAGTATGGGACGTACCTGGCATCCGACATCAAAAACACGATCGGAAGCGAAAAATTCCATGAGAATCTGGTAAACAGTTTAAAGAACTCGCGCCTACCCCCGCTGTCGTCATTGGATCTCCCTTCATCGCAGACTGCTCACCTCTTTCGACCAGCTAGCCATCCCGCGTTCAGTAGGACAGACTACTCCAGCCTCTTACCACCTGCGGAGTTGCAGCAGATGGCAGTTTCCTCGTCGACCGGTTTTAGTAGTGTTATCACTGCGCCGGGTAGTGAATACAGCACGGGTTCTGTCGACCCGACCTTGGTTCGTGTGGAGTCTGTAACGGTCGACTTTCACTCTGCCGTGCAAGCACGACTACAGCGTTTGCAAGATATTTGTCAAGACTCGAGGAGCGCGTACAACTCGTTTTTTGAGAGGATCAGGACGGAGATCTACTTGCTGCAGATCGGTACAGCCGATGTACGAGTACTAACGGAAGTATCTCGTCTGTGGTCCCAACAACGGTTTTGGGTAGATCCCATCAGCCCCCGTCACCAAGCCATAGGGTATTTGCTGCCTCAAACTCGTCGTATGGACTCAAACGAAATCCTACTACAGCTTGCGGCTGCTATGCTGAACGATAGGTGTATGCGAACAGTCGAACACCAATCAACCGCGAAGATGATGATAGGATCCCTTCAGATGTGGGGCGAAAAAGAGAATCAAGAGAGAATTGCAGGCACCGATTTATCGTCCACATCGCAGCAAAACATATCGTCTTCTGGCTCATCCTTTCCTGAAACAGTTTCCGATGGACTGTTTACTGCCGATCTCAAGGAAAGTGTCGAGGGGACCATCTTTCATGCACGTCTGGTCTAGTTGGGCTTTGAGAAGCTTTCTCGAGAATACCGATGTTTTTTCATCCGCTGCAGTCCGTTGATGTCTTTGTATATGGAAACCCCAGAATCCATGTTGTAATGCCGCGTTATGTGGGCAGTTTGTCTCTAGTAGTAGTTGGTGTGACAGTATCCTGTTGGGGTCCTGGGGTTCAAGCTCTAGGCAAAGGCCTGATCCGCGATCCGACGAAGCAGATTGTAACTCATGCGCGTATCGGCGAAAGTTTCGGCAAGACTCGACCACAAACCAGCGCTCAAGCGCTGAAGTTTGCCAGGATCAGAAACCAATTCTCAAAATATCTTGATCATAAGGAGATTTACGATGCATGGTGACGCGTTATCTGCTTCGGGTAACGTTGGTTGGGCGCTGAAACACGATAATGAAACGGCAATCCCCCGCGATAGATACCGCGCGTGCCGTAGGTAAAAAGAGATTTGCTGTTTATCTAATGCAATCCACAAATCAGTGCTACATCTGTGCCCTATCTGTAACAGATACGAGATAGAATGAGTACAAGCCTGGCATAAACTAACTTCTCCCTTGCAAACAATGCCTGGTCAGCTCGTCAAGCTGTGCGCGACAAATGTCGTTTGAGATCGACCCATCCGATCGCCGTCGCCACAGCAATTTTCCTGTCCGAGGAATCCGTTCTGCATGGTCTTTGAGACCTCACAGGTTCTCTAAACTCTTTTTGACCCGATCGCGGCGAGCCTATCACCTCATCTCATGTAACAAGCTAAAGCTTACCAAGCGTCGCTTTGATAACGTCGTCAGGCGTGATCGATACGCGTCATCAGGATAAAGGAAGGCTTCAAAGTTCAGGGTCAGCGATACTGCTTAGCCCTCATCGGCTAGTAAGATCGTTGCCTATATGAAGATGCACTACCAGGACAGCCTCGGCGTAAGTGAATCGAGGCATATGAACTCGCAAGAGTCTCACAACCACATCTGAAGCGTATCCTTTACGGACAGCTATCACAGGCGAATCGGGATATGATCTCCAATATCAGTTCGAGTGTCGCTGAAAGTGATCCCTTGACCGCAGAGCAGATAGTGCAGAAGGTACTCGATGGGCTGAATACGTTGACCAGCCCCAAGGGAGCCAAACGCAGTGAGGAACATCTTCTTCGGGTACGAGAGGCGATCTACATCTTTCAAGATGTACACTTTCCCCCTCAAAGACTGTTCGAATGGCTGGATTCGCGGCGTATTTCTCGACCACGACACCCGGGTCTGACCGAATGGGATGAAGTCGGCGAAACCCTCTTGAAACACAGTGGGATACCCGCCGATTGTGATTGGATTCGTGTCACAGGACTTCTGATCTATGACACCCGTCCAGACGGGTCTCCATGTCGAACAAGGATGTTGAATTTCATCATAGGTCGCGCCAAACTGTTTACAACCCGGTCCCGACGGTGGTCCAACTTGGACGACATCGGAAAGAAAGTGAATGAAGAACATCTCGGCGCTTCCGACACTTCTTCGGTCTCGCTGTTGCAGATTCAACCCTCCGGTTCTGACCTCGATTTGGAAATGCAGTCTGAGGTTTTCACCCAACAGACTAACCAAACCCAAGACCAAACCTCCGTAGATGACGGGTTTAGTATGGACATCGACCAGAGTCCAGTAGGCACAGGCCCTGAGGTTGAAGATACGGTAGACGTCGAAATGTAAGCCTCTTGTGTTGCGATCATTGGCGTATACTTATAAGCAGACTGTATACCAGGACCGATACCCAAAGTGAACAATCATATGGTGATACGGGCCCAATGTCTAGACTAGAAGGGCAGGAAGATCCCACAGATCTTGCTGAACTTGGACTCGCTAAAGATTTCTGCGAAGGCCTCAGGTCCAAGTTGGGCGATACTTGGAACGGGAGCCATGGTCACTATTGGGAAATCTCTACTGAATTATCCAAAGAAAAGAGGAATCGGCTATTTGCTCTGGAGACCAGGGCATTACGAGACAGCCAGGTTGTGCAAGAAGGTATCGAGGAGATCGCTCGAAGGCCTGGGATGGGGTATTTCGTGCCAGGTATTCCTCACCTGCGCTCTGAACGAACCGAGGATGTCGAAGAATGCGTCGAGCTCACCAAATGGCTCGCCGCAGCAGACATATATCCCAGGAGAAAGGAACCGAGCCTAGAAAAGCATATCTACAAATATTTGTGGGGCTACTCTCATGGCGAAGACTTCTCCCATGTCGGAAGCAGCGCTGTAGGATCACTCGCATCCGCAAGCAGTCGAGGCCTTTCTGATATCTCTCAGCCTGATCTCTCCTCGAATGAATCCCGATGATTCCATAGGCACAGCTCGATATAGGTTTTGCTCTTCATTTATCATGTTTATGCGGATGTAATAGTTAGTGTTTGTATTGTTCAGCAAAGTCTTGTCATTTGTCTATCTCAGTCTCCGCGGTATGCCATCTCGTATCGATGTAAAGCCCAGCATTCGCCTCTTGTTTCGATCGGTAAGCCAGGGAGCAGCTCACCTCTCGCGGTTTGCAGAAGATCTAGTTTTCTCAGCTTTTCAAGGTCCACTTCCATTTTCTCTCGTGCTTTTTCGGTTTCAGGTCATGTACCAACAAGCTGAATCCATAGTGATCTAGGCTCGATCGACGGTATAGCTTCATTCGGCTGTATCACCAAGCACAACGTAAGATTTCTAGTCTGGCTGACATACCGAAGTTGATACTCGCAAATGATTCTGCTCGAGACGGACTGCGATGATCAAAGTCAAGCTATCCTTCCTCCGATCGATACAAACATGCGAGAGTCCCGGCCCGGTCAGGGGCACGAAATCTTCCGGCTGAGGCTAACCAGAGAGTCTAGCCCGAGGCCGTGGATTGACCATGATGTTGTACGTAACCAAACGGAGTCTCCCATATATCTACCTTTGTTGATGGATCATTCGAGACTGTAACGTTCCTACTCTTTATGTCTCTGTTCCATTATGCGTCGTCTTGCTTGCTTTTGGCATTTGTTGCTTGTTGCTTCTCAATTTGCGGATCGCCCAATCTTGCTTGCCTTTGCCCCATGACTTCGGCAGCACCCATTGTATTGAATAAGACATCTACATTAGCCCTTTCCTGTCCCCCTTTTGATAGATGATCTGGTAATCAGAAATCGAAGCAAATTATGCAGAGGCAATAGAGTAGACTTGATTTTCAGCGGTCTTCTGTCCAAGGCAATCCGGATCGGATAGCCAGTGCTGGTCGGGATCTTTCCGGGTAACGGCTTCAAGAAGACTGCAACTCCGCTTGCCCAGAGGGATTCAGGGGTAAAGGCCGAACTGCAAGATAACCTGGCCTCATACCAGAATTACCAGAATTACGAAAACGCCGTGGCCGTTCTGCTGTAGCTTTCCTATATTGCTCATCGCTGACTTCGATCACGACAATAATCACAGCCAAGACATCATCATCCAGAACAAAGGAGGGTCCTGCATTTCAGCATCCGGCCACGCTGTCCCTCATAGGCCAATCAGTCCTAGTGAAGGTATAAGGGAAAAGTCCTGGCATTCTCTGGGCTCCTCGACTAATCACCAATCCTTCTTGGAATCCAGCTACATCGTGTTTAGCCTTTGAGCAAGGCTACTCATCGCAAGCATTCGCCGATATGAATCTGGATCCCGATACGATCACTGCTGAACCAGCGACTTCACCTCCGGACTACAGAGGCATCATATCTCGGGTGGTCGGGGAGGTGAAGGGCATTCGCGAGGGAAACAGAATCGATCACGCATTCTGCATTCGAGTCAGGGACGCGGTCCTGATCCTCAACGACACGCAGCTCAGCCCGGAAGAATTGATCTCTTGGTTAAGAACGCTTGGGTTCCGGAGCAGCCCTCGAAACCCTTCTGAATGGAAAGTTATCGGTCAGACGTTCCTGCAGCGTTGCGAACTAGATCTACCCGCATCGTGGGCCTTGTTTACTGGCCTTTTGATACAAACCACCCGACCGAATTCCGATATGTCCGTGGGCAAACTCAAGGCGCTGCTGGAAAATAGAAAAAAAGCTGTACCCCTTACTCTCGAAGTGTACCCCCAACAATGGACTAAGTTGGACAGGAGTCAGAGCGAGGTAAACGTGCGAGCCGGCTTAGCAATCTCGATCTCGTCCTGACCTATCTTTTACCATCATTTTGTAGTCCCTCGCATCTGACAGCCAAGATCCCAAATCTATCGTGATAGCGCACTATGATGGACCTTCCCATACATTCGCGTCGGAAGATACCATGTTGACTCGCTGTAGTGGACGTTCCCATACGTTTGTATTGGAAGAACAGTATCAATCAGAACAAAGCTCAGCGTGGGTCTATCCGTCTTATGTATGAGATGTACTGAAAGACTGATACCTTGACATCGACGTGCCCTAGAACTCCGATTGGCATGCGCTTCACTTCAAATTTGACCGGGAGGATAGCGTCGGGCATACCTCTTATCATGGAAAAGCTCAAGAAGTGCGAGGGTAGGGATAGCTATGTAAGGGCATCTGGCGAATTTTTGAAGGCACTCTCACTTTGCGGAATAGAGCCAGAGGAGATATTGACCACCTTCAAGACAAACGAAACTCTAAAAAATCTGGATGATTGGGCGCGACAAGGCACGTCACTGATGGAGCACTATTCCAGCAAGCAAAGTCCACTTTGGCAAAAGGTCGCTACCAGGATTCTGGCAGCCAAGGGTCGAAAATTCAGCCTTCAAAAGATTCGGGCAGTCCTCAATCCCAAGTTTGACAAAAATCCCAGAAAGGCACTCCAACCGCTCGAGCTCGAGGGTATATTATCCGAGATCTGTTCGATCACCGATGAGGTGCACCAGACTGTTATGTGCCAAACCACGAGAGAACAAAGCACAAGTCTACTCGATCCGAGGTCTAACTCGATCGATCTTGACAGCGGAATGACTATTGATCCCAGTTCGCAGGAAGACCCAAACCAAGACGAGCCTTCCAATACCGTTGATCGCGAAATGAAACAGACAGAATGCGCTCGCGAGTAAGCCGGGACCAATTAGTCTGGTTCAAGACCGACAAGCATTGATCTGATGCAATACATATGTTGAATCGAGCAGGAGTATCGATCGAGAATCATATAGATCGGAGCCTGCAGGCACTCCGGCCCATCTTTCTGCACGCTCGACACAATCGCCAACAGCTAATACAGAGGTTTTCCGGGGTCTATCCCAATCATTCAGTGACGAGACCTATACGGACAGTGAGTTGTGCCACGATCGTGAATTGTAGGGAATCGCTTATGCTACTATGTCGCCAAAGACGCGACTCCACTTCCGGCTGACACCATAGATCCAGGGTTTGTAGGCGCCATTTCCTACGACGATCAAGTTCAATCATTATTGTCTCGACAAGAATCCAGTCGGACAACCCCTGCAGAGGCGCAGTCTCACATAGTCTCCTCTGAACAATCCTGTGGAACGTTCGAGCCTCACGCGGACATTCATGAAGAATCTGGGGAAGCTGCGCGTGGGATGATGACGGTCGAATCGATGGATGCAAACTCGTGAGTCTAGCTTCTCATTTTAGATCGACTGAGATTGAATTGTCTTCGTGTCTTGCGATCTTGTAGTCACGACGGTGACTTTAACGAACTTGTTCAAATGGGAACCAATTTCTGCAACGATATTAGGGATAAGCTGTGGTCAAAATTGGCACAACAAGGACAGGAAGGGCTAGAGCACGAAAGGTCTGACCTGCTGCTGTCACATTATCGAAACCCCCCTGGTTCGCCGAATACAAAAACTGCCCAATCTATAATGCAATGGCCTGAGTTGAGGTGGTTTCTCATACATCCGGATCCAAGGCGCAGAAGTCCAGACCAACAAGGACAAGAATGCATGAATTCCTGCAAAGAGTGCATGATGGATATAGTTGTCTTGCACATATCCGAGCAGACCCGAAACGAACAATGCAGTATTCTTGGTTATCTTCGATCCGAGTGGTGCCAGCCAACAGCTCCATCCGTCACTGATCATTTCAGCAGGGATGCAACTACCGGAGCTTCGACTGGTTCATATATCAGCGGACAACGGACTATGTCCCGTTCGACGATGAGCTGATCCTCGATGGCATGATTTCCTCAGGTGAGCCCCTTCTGTCCGCTTGATATGGCTTCAGCGTCCGTTTGTCTGACGAGCCTCGCGGCATTGACCGTTACACAGACGCAAACCAGATCCTCGACGCTATCCCAATCTGACCATGATTCGATGGACACTGACATAATCGGATGCCAGCCCTGACGCCGAGGGATGTGCGGCAAGAGGGTGTTGATACGCTTTGCGGGTTGAAATATTTATCGTAGGATCCTGGGGGGCGTTCCCCTTGTGTACATAGTTTCGTCAACTGTTCCGCTCCTACAGCTTGTAGCACCTCTACTTGTATGATGATCATCGTATGTAAAATATCCATGCTACGACCATTCGCTGACTCAATAATCCAAACGTTCGGCTCTTCGTCGTATACTTGCCATGCAGTTGCATACAGAGCACCCGGATTGACGTCGTGCAGGGCGCTGAACCGGTAGGCCGTATTTCTGCCAACGTTCTGCCCAAGGCAGATGCATGGTATATCCTTTGTTGACTAATAAGCCAACGGTATCACTCAATCGATCGACGACGACCGCTGTCAAGCCTCAGGATAGAGTAACAAGGATTGAGAAACAGAATCATTGGAAGTGGATATTTCGTGATTAACGGTCTCAGAGCCATGAGGACGTGATTTTCCGTTTCTCATTCACCAAACGAATCAGTTGCACTGTCACAATACTGTACCGCTTCGAGTAAGAGGACAAAGGACCGGAATTCATGTGCATGTGATCACAAGACCGGAGTGCTCTACTATCGATAATAAAGGCTTGTCCCTGCATAGTAACCTGTTGGGACAGTCAAGGTTAGAAGAAGGAGGGCTGCTGGCTAGTGTGGGCAGGACAAGGCGAAAGATAGCATTAGGATGGTAAAGGCCTTCGGCGGAGATTGTTGCCAAATTAACCAGTCACGCCGTTCGGCCGCTGACAGCACCTGTTGGGGCGGACGTAAAAGCGGCTGAGGCGGCGATTGGTACAACAAAGGAAAGCTGTGAGAACCCTGACAGTGCGTGATAGGAATATTATACATATATACGGTGCGATACTGCTAAGCGAGAATACGGATGAGGGTTAAGTGGAAGACGTTGGACCCTCAGACTTCTGCTCATCTGTCTGCAAACGCAAAATAGTCCTACTTCTAATTCCCCAGGTTACAATGCAGCCGCTGAATATCGCCAACTTGTGCGAAGCGAAGAAGCAATGTAGCGGTACCGAACCTGACCGGCACTCTAGGATCACTACGGCCCTGAGCCGCCTACCCCGACCTAGTGACGATCTTGACGTTTTCGTTCGAGAAGTCATGGACTTGTTACATGATTTTTCCTCTTCGACTGAAGATCTACAGGGACTACTGATCCATCTGAGGGCAGGTTTGACCGAGCAACATGAGCGTTCGCTTCAAACAAGAATGAGGGGGGGCCGAGCACAGACTGTAATCGGTCTGAAAGACTCGTTGGGACCTGTCCCAGACGAGAGAGACCTGGACTTCGTCCGGCAGTTGCGCGAAGCCCATGCCTCCATTCTGGTCTTACAAGTCCACCTTGGTAGGTATTACAACGTTGAAATGTTGACTAGGGCTTTCCTGAGGAGAAGAGGCGACAATTTGAGACTGTTCTTTATACGACAGTCGCATCACGAAGGGCAGGGGGAAACCTACAGTGGAACCAACACCGATCAGATTTCACTGATCAGTCCGAGTACTCCTATCTCCAGTCGTCAGAAGTCGGCTGTTCCACCCTCTCTCATTTCGTCGACAGGAACGACGCGCGAAAGCACTGTTTCACGGTCGATTGACACTCAGCTTACACCGCATGTCGCAAGATTTGGAGAGGCATGCATTGACAACCCTGATTTCATCCCAGGGTTACAGGCGATCAGGACCGAGATTGAGAATCTGAGGCAAGAGAGCAACAGGGATCTCGAAACATACGCGGGGCTCATCAAAAGATTCCTACACGAAAACGCAAGCGATGCGCTGCAATGGGATTGGGTGTACAAGTCTTTCTCGCTGCAACATCGAAAGGATACAGCTCAAATGAGAGGGGAGACCGATATGCGCTATGTGATGAAGGGAGCCGCATTCAAAACCCTGGTAACGCCAGGTTAATCTTCCACCCGGTACGTACTGGACCCCCGCGATAGCCAGAGCAAGCACTTGGAGAAAATTGGCTACGTTATATTCTGGCTGCTGTGGGACTGGGCAGAACTCTGCAATATCGCAGTTATCGAGCTTGTCTACGATCTCTCTCGACTGGGTTTCTCGTTCGGCCCGTTCGGGGTCCCATCATCGGCACAGGAGCAACTTGAACCCAGCTCTGTTGGGATGGCGTGCGCTGATACCTGCGAAAGTTCTCAACTTCCCCCTCAATCTATCCAACCGACCATGCTTCTAAAATGCCCGACAGATGCTGAGAGCTCACCTCAAGCAGTAGCCTCAACGGTATCGATGGGAACGGAATCTATGCATAAGCCGGGACCTAAAGCGTCGTCTGTGACTCAGGAGGTGACCACCTTCATGAAGGGGTATCAGAAGTTCATCCCTGCAGACACAGCCATGCAGGTACCGTCGAACGAAGATGGACTAGTAAGCGTGATAGCTCAGCTTTACCGGGCACTGCTGAACAATCCACGTTATGACGACTACTGGGTTGCGGCTAGAGAACCGAGAGAACGGCTGGAGGGAAGTCTTGGCTTCGCGTTCAGGGCCGAACCCCGAGTCCGTAGCGTAGTCCAGCACTTCGCTCCTTCCAGTGACCAGGCGTACATAGCAACATGCGTGTCCATAGACAAGAGCCCTCGGGCTACACCCGACGCCAAGGCTATGGCAAAGATCGAGCACCTTCTACGGGTCCTGCATGGACTTGTGCATGAGACAGGGCAATTGGACGCGCTAGTTCATGATAGCGATCAAATTGCTAGCTCAATTGATCAGCAGACCGTTTTCGGTACATCCGTCGGTGAGACATCCTTTGTGACAGGGACGACCAACTCTGCTCCGTTTGAGACTGATTGACAAGAGAAATAAATCGAGTTGTGACTGTACTGTAGTTAAGTGTTCTATACGGAGAGAAATCAAATCGCAGGCTGTAGCATCTTCTTGTACAAATTCGGCAGTATATCGTGTCACTGCATCTAGTTCCCCCTTTGATGTTTCGTCCGCTCAAGAACACCCACCCGAGGCGTATAGACAGCCGGCTGGATATTCCACGTAAAATGAGAATTGTAAACCCCCTTGATGAACGATGCTCTTGTTGTTGTTCGATCATTTCGTGCGAGCAAATATGGTTTTTTGAAGCAATAGCTGGATTACCGAAAAGATACTATGCTCGGACTCGAAATGAGGGAGAAGCAGGTATATTGTCAATTATCAACGAAGTACCTGTAATACGCAATCCCTCGGAAAAGCTGTTATGCTGACGCGTTTGCCTCGACGCGATCGTCTTTTCACCCTTGACGCTGGAATAGTGCCAGGCGATCAATCGGCTCTCTGGCTCGACTCCTCACAGGGGCATGACCAGAGGGATCGAAGGAGACATCATGTTTGTATCATTTCGGGCCCGAAACACACGCCAACTATTATTATTATTGCTGCCGGCCCGACAAAGGAAGAACCCGCGCATGAGCTGAAACGCGATCGCTTCAGGCGGATCGCGATCGATTGGTCGTGCTAGCGGCACACAGCGATCGGTTTCGATCGTCCGATATTCTAACAACTCCGTCCGATAGATTGAGCTTCTTGAACGGCAGATGTGTAGCTTGGTGTAAAGGCGGGGGTTATCGTCGGAGTCGCACATTAGCGATTCGACCGGCGAATGGATTATGGACTGCGAACATCGTCGATCGTCTGCCTATATATCATCACATATCCCTTCAATATGAGACATAGATCGCCTCTCTGATACCTTGTCATTGTCCCAACAAGCGGAATTATTGCCAGGAAGTGTTCGAGATATCTGACATCGACATGCCATCTCAGACTAACCATGACGACTTTGATCTCAAAGCAAAGATTCGTGCCAAAGTCGAGGTCATCGGGAGGGAACCGTGCTGGGAGTATTTCATCTACCAGCTAGGCGTATTCCTTCGCGAATCCATGAGGGACCATGCCGAACTCGATGAGTACTTGCTGAAAAATCAGGTTGAACGATTCGAAAGGGAAAAGGTTGGAAAAGGTCATTTAGACCCGAACTTGGTCGATGCGCTGTCCCGGTCATCGGCCATGCGAAAACTCTTACCTGAAAGAGCTCGGTTGGATTGGAACGTGAACTGTATTGTCTCGAGAGATCCCGGCCATATCCATCTGGCTTGTGCAAAGATGATACTTTTATGGACGTTCCTCCTGCACTATGACTTGGCAACACTAGAAAATGAGATCCTAAGGGTTAATAATGATAAATGGGATTACAGAGGGCTGCAGGCGGAGACTGTCAGGTATGTTGTACTTCGTTAAAATACGCCTCAAATTGTTCCGATCGCTAATATGGCCGGTCTTTTGGGCAATCATCAGTCACGTTGAACCATCTTACTCTTCGGGTAGCGATCTAGTGTCTGTGAATACTAGATCTAACCTTCGTCCGCCGACTACATCCCGAAGAGCGGCTTCCAGAAACCGAATCAGAGCACCGCGCTCTCTTTATCGTCAGGTCTCGGAGCGGAACATCAGCAAAATGTACGGAAGGTCACAATCAGCCGGCAGGTCGTCGGTCACAACGCTAAGGACTACTGAAGAGCTCTGTGACTCCAACCACCCGATAGAATCCTCGCTTGCTTCCACCCTCCCGTACAGAGATTCGAGCAGAAGATGACCCAGGAAACACCTGAAGAGCCGAGACGTTGGATGGGCCTGTCGATGCGATATGGAATCTTCGAGTTGTAAGACGATAGACTTGTAATATGCGAGAAATGAGTACACGGCATTCGACTTAACACATTCAGAACAGGATCATACACAGCGTCATTCTGCTTGCTCCTCATCCAACGTGATTGTAGACGAGAGCCATTGAATGGGAATCGAACGCCTACAATTTTCGACAAGATCCAAAATTTATACGTTGGCTAACAGGAAGGTAAAGGGAGCAGGGAGAACCAGAGGAAGGATACGGCAACACCGAAAAGAAGGGGCTGAAACGAGCCGTTCCACTCATCGAGTCATCCCCACGCCGCAAATACAGTATGAGAGCACGTGATGAGCAGTCACCACATACGGAGAGGCCGAGGCCTCCTTTGATCGTATCTAACAGCAACTGAGGCCTGTCTTGTATTTATACCTCCGAGGCAGGCATAGTGGGTGGTCGTTTGTCGATGACGACCCATTGCGCTAGCTCATCTTGCCGCTCTTACCACCTTTCAAATCCCTTCTTCCGTTTGACCGATCAACATGCAATGCCCATCGCAAATCGTGCCCATTAGGCCTCGATGCCCTGATGTACTTTGGAATGATCTAGCGCAGAAGATCCGGGATGACCTGAACAGCCTGTACTGGCAGCCTGGCAGGACCATAGACTTCGCAAGGGATCTCCACCGATTTCTGACCGACTATACGACCGAAGCCAGGTGTCTAGCACATGTTCTTGATCTCCTACGTGGTTATCAAAAATTTCGGCTCAGATGGAACGCTCTAGGTGGCTCTAGTCTCAATATGATATGGCTTAGCCAATTGCATAGAATCGTACCTGATCCAGTATCTCCCACGGACGTCGACGTTGGGGACATCCGTGAGGCGTTGTTCTGGATTCTATGGGATCAAGCCGCCCGCGCATCGCCCATGAGCGATTTCGTCAAGATCGATCCGATCATCCGTGGCTTGATCGAGTTAGGATTCAACTGGAATCCCTGGGATCATATCCCTTGGGTTATTAGGGACCGCATTAGTAGCTACCAGAGCAGCCAGATACCAAGTGGGACCTATGATAGCGAGGCTTGCCAAAGAGCTCAGCAACCCATGCTCGCTTCGTCCGTCTACTTCCCTTCGACCATATATTCTATTGGCTCAGGTGAAGTTTCAGGTACTCAGGGGACAAGCATATCTAGGCAGAGCCAATACGTGGATTGGAACTCATCATTTCGCCACGTTGGTGACTTGGAATTCGAAGATATTGGATCTGGCGCCCGTTACACTGGACCGCCAACAATTCTGGAACCACCAGTGTTATTGTAATGCTCGCTCTTACCGCTCACAAGTCCTGTACATCTATGGTAATGCAATTGATTATTCGTGATGGAGGTACATCGAGATTGAAGATGACAGAAATCTACCGGTCAGCAGCGCTGAGGTGTATTTCAGTCAACCGTCGATATCTATCAGAGCCCAGCTTGGTGCGATTTGACACTACCGTCTAGCGCCTAGTAGCCCTCACGATTTGCCTCTGAATTCCCAAAGAGGATTTTCGGTAAGATGAGTCATCTTATGTCCTTCAATCTTGCTCCTCTCATGCCGATGCGGTTCAGAGAGATTCCTAGAGCTGGCTCCTTTCAAGCCGATTCATCATGATCGGTAACGTCACAGCTCGAAGTTCTCGTCTTGAGCGAATGAGGAGCGATTGGACAAGCACTCCTTTCATGCATGCCCTTATGAGCTGATCGTAGGCCATACATATCGCTTCTAGCTTTTTAAGAAGCTATAACAATCGCTTCTTTGTCGGGAGACATTCATACATTCACCCAACATAGGTCGTCAAAGAACAACTACCGCAAACGATTCGCATCATGCCGAATATCCGCCGCAACTCTCAGCAACAGCTTGTTCGGGATGAATTTGAGGACTTTTGGCATCAGGTCATGCAGCAATTGAATAAGGCTCGGGACTCGACCCTGTTCTGCAAGTGGCTTCGGACCCTCATGAGACTGACTTGGATGATGCAAGATGTAAGATTAGTCAAAACGTTGCTCACCGTACAAGAAGGTGGGGTCGCCATCGACGATAAGGCCGCAGCCGAACTAGCGTTCAGCGGGAAGATGGCAGAATTCCTGAATTCGGTGACACGTGATTTGCGAAACCCCATACTTATTCGACATCTGAAAGTTCTGTGTGGAGGTTTACTGGTCAGGGAGGCGGCTCATCATGGTAAGACCGCTATGATCCTTCTCGAGGAAGCTTCTCGATCGGAGAACACTTTGAGATCTGATATTCGTCAGCGAAGACGAGCTTCCCAACGAGATGACATCGCAAGCGAATCTGATGCTTCGACGATACTACAGCCGACCCCGTCCTCGCTACGCTTGACTTACGCGAGACCAGCAACTTCAATCCAGACCTCCGTGAACCTTTTCTCTGCTGTTGGATTGGATACCGTGTCCAGGACAACGACAACCCAACTGCAAAGATCTGTACCGACCGCTGAGGTCCAGCAAACCGCTTCTGAGCCATCCCTGACCACCCTCTCGACACTTTCATCCTCCGAAGCCAGTCAGAAGGCCCCTCGAGACGATAGTACGATACTACCGTTCCGCCAAGAAAATCTCACCGAGCATTAGCTCTCTCTAGCCTAGAGACTTTGGGCGATTTTGGAGAAAGAAATGTAATCCGAGAATTGACCACTTCTAGAGTAGTTTCTGACCCGAAATTCGGCCGATAAGCCACTTGTACCCACAAGCACCATAAGTCTTACAAGCCTTCCTCGACTGATGATTCCTAGACGTGCCGTCACTGCTCGAGTCACTCTGGAATAGATAGCTCTAGACTGTCGATTTACCCTGACTGAGAAGCACGTCATTCGTCTCCTTTCATCGGCTCATAGAATAAGCTCGGTGGCACTATAAGTAACGCCTAACACACGACAACAAACGGGCAGCAGCCGATGACATCAGGTGACATGTAATACGTCAGTGACAGTCTGCTGCATTATCTTTGACCTGGTCTTCGGGTCTAGCAAGCACGCTATTTTCGAGACGTATTTGGCCCCTCTGTCCTCCAAGAGGCCTCGTGTTTCAGCAAAAGCCACCATTTGACTGTGGCGCGCGCTTGAGAGATTTTATTTTGCTTCCGCGGTGCGCCAGCCATGCCATGGCCTGGGAGAGGTTCGGAACTCCTTTGTCGAGCTCGCGTTTACGTCAGCGCGATGATGATGATGCTATGGTTCTTGGTCCCACTACTAGCACAGATCTTGAACAGTATGTTTGCTGAGAGCATGAGGCTATGATAGAATTCTCGGCTTGCAGCCAGGCTTTTCTGCACTCTTGTCGTGTTCGGTGATGATCGGCAACACTCTCTTCTGCACTGTCGTGAAAAACCGAAACCTGCGATACCACTGGCTACGACCTATCAGATGGCTCTACCTCAAGGATATACGGTCATGTCGGATCTTCATGAATAGCAATGAAAGGAAGAACGCAAAGAAGGTAGTCTTGCTCGGAAGCATTGTTGATTCCACGTCATGACGGCTTCTTCATATTGCCGTCTTTCATAACGGCGAGAAGCGAGTCATGCAACGTTTGGCTTCCCAGTGTGCTGCAAGATTAGCAGTACCTCTCACTGGCACAACACACTATAAGAGACGTCTGAAGCCTTTTGCGCTCCTCCCGTCCTACGTGACCGTTTCGATAACGTCATCCAGCGCAGGATCCAACTTGGATCATGGATTATTCTGACGAGCTGGATGCTGTACGCAAATATTACTTAGACAACATCTTGCAACGTGCCTCCACCGATGTAGAGAGGCCTGAAGACACCTTTCTGAGTGATATCTTGGAGTGGATTCGAAAGTTTTACGAAGAAGTGGTCTCCAAGGACTTTCGAAGGTTCTACAACCTGCTTCGACCTCCCAGTAGAATGGACCTTCAGTTTCGGCATCTGAGGGACGCAATCGCGCCATTTGCTGGTCTCCTGGCCCTACGAGCATTCGGCTGGGAGCTCGAGGAGGTGTCATCAGAGACATTCGCTCATATCCATGACATCGCCGCGCATGTGCTTGCGCTTCGGCTTCCTTTCGTCAAGTTCGACAGGAGACTCTTGATAGAATACGCCAACGACTACGCCGATCGGGAATGTCACCGCTCAGGACATCGCCTCTTTCCTCGAACGCAGATCCACCAACAGCGCTCCGAAGTGCTCCCTGGGCTGGAAGAGTCCTTCTTGACATTTCATAACCGATTTTCAGCGAGAACAACTTCAACCCCCGCTCAATGTTCAATCGCGCCCTCAGAAAGGTCATCCGCGTTGACCTCAAATCCTCTTGTCAATACTCTACCTCGGCCTAACTCTGCGCGCCAGTCTTCTACAAGGTCTGCTCCTCAAGCGCCAAGACTCCAGCCGAGCGATCGTTCATGGTCGGATCAGTTTGAATCTGTGAGCCAGTCTACTATGGACTTCACGCGGTCGTCACAGCTGCCGTTGGCGATCGTCACCAATACACTTCCGGAACCCTCTATGGCTGGTAGCTCCAACCGAGACGAGAGTACGTGTACCCCAGAAGGAGTGTCGAATCATTCGTGAGGTGATGGAGGTGGTCGGGGATTATACATCCAGGTCGTGCGAAAATTCCTCGAGTATTCGGACATTTCGCTTAGGCGTCCTAGAGAATCTGTGTGCATGTTGTGTTCAAGTTGCTGTTGCTAAGCGCTATTTCTGTCGTATCTCAAGATCCGTCCGTTTTCCTTCTGAGCTGTATTAGGCCTTGATCTCTATGACATCAGATGATGATCACATCTTGCGCACTCTATATATCGCGCCCGATGGCGTCACATTGATACCTCCACGATACGCACCAGGCCGGTCATGTCGCAAGAAGACTCACCACATCGGTGGATTCCTTTGAGCCCTGCCCCGACATCGTGAAACCTACTATTGCCCTCATTCTTAACAAGGGTCAATATGACTGCTAGATGCATCTCTATGTTATCATCAGCCTTAAGAAGGATTCGTAGAGTAGTCGTACATTTGAACATCAACATGTGACCAAGACTGGTAAACGGCCGTATTGGCAGACCAGTCACTATACAGTCAGCCTCGAGAGAGGCTACGAAGGGATTGCGGAAGATCTCGTGCTGAGACCACTGCGCCGACACGAGGTAATAAATCGGTTGTATGTCGTCACCGGATCATCGATCTACTAGGCCCCCTCTTCTCGGGGGGACAGGCTGATGCAGGTGTGCTTCCTTTGTCACCTTCCTCGATTCAGTCTATCCTCCCCTGTAGTGCCGAGCCACACCCTATATACTGGGCGAGACAGCCGCCGACTCATTAGTTAGCTCCTCAGAGTAGGATCGACTTCTGACTGCACCAATCACCAGCCTTAAACAATGAACGAGCCTTCTTGGGGCAACCCTACACTGGACTCGAAACTGACGGACGGACATCAACCCGGTCTTCATGATGGCTTCAGGCTTCCACCACTGAACTTCCCTCTAAGTTCTGTGGACATTAAAGTTCGGAACATACCAAGTCCTATCGAGCCCAACTGGACGAATCCATACGCTCAAAACCCCTCCGGAAGTTACCTACCTTCCCGCTCAACGTTGGGACAAGCCCGGAGACTAGAAATACCATCAGACAGTCACTACGAAACAAGGTAAGTTTGCCGGAAATCGACTTCTATTTCACAGTCCAATCAATAGGTTTTACATCGCTCAGATCCTTCTCAACCCAAAGATGGCAAGAGGGATCTTCCCAAAAAGAGACTGATGCAGAGACCAAAAAACACCGCCAGGGGCTTAGACGCAAGAGACGTAAGATGAATAAGGACACGATAGATACAAAAATGTCTAGCGACTACCCAGATTTGAAGGGAATACTGAACTGTCATGCCAACTTGGAGTTTTTGACTAAACTCCGAGATTACGTGCATCAAAGGACCGTGCCAGACGATTTGACGCAGTTGAGAAAGGACGCTAACTTGTATAGTCGACCAGAAGAGCTTTCCAACTTGGCAAAACAATTACTGCCTGAAGGCAAGCGGTCAGAATCCTTCATCAAATTCGTTACCCTAGTTTTACAGCTTAGGATCAAGCTCAAACTGAACTTTCGCGAAAAAGCGGTCATTGACCTTGAGGAATCCATCTCGGCTTTTGCAATTCAAGATCAGCAAAGCGCAGTGTCTTATGCGTCTGTTCGTTCATCCTTCCACAGCGAAGCTAAGGCTCCAGTCCATGCGATGCCTTTGGACAGTGGTACTACTCTTGCGACCACGCTGTACCAGCCATCTGATCCCGAGGGGGCTCCAACGACAGGTGTAGTTCACTTAACCCCTCGCTCAGCGTGGATCAACAAGTACTCCAGAAAAGCAAATCCTGATCAAGATCTGCTAAAGCTAGTGTCCATGACACTGTTGAGAGAGGACAGCTTTTTGGTAGAGCTTGACCAGTATCTGGCAGCGAGGCAGGTAGCAGGAACTCTAAACATTTTACTTCCGGAGGTCATTATGTGCGACGAACGATGTAGAGTCTTTCGTCCTAATGAAGGGAAAGACTTTCCTGCCCTTGTGACTCTGGCTTCTGAGATGTTACCGGATGATCAGAATTATGAGGTTGCTCTTGCGATAGCATGGATCTTTCAACGTAGGAATCGGTTGACCGGGAACAAGCGAGCCATCGAGCCCTGGAAGACCCACTCCAGAGCATCATCATGGGATAGACGTTTCTTTAGGATCCCGGACATATCACAGGAGACCCTGTTCTCCTCGAAGACATCTCAGACTCAGGCTACTAGTCTGGAATCCACCTTCATTTACTATACACCCAGGACCATGCTTTCGGGGTCTACCTTTGAAACACAATCTTGCGCGCCGCCATCCCAAACTTGAACATCCGAATCGTCTTTTCGGATAGTCTGTACTTTGTATCATATTGTCGGTGGAGCTATGGTTCTTGTACATGTAGTAATTATACAATCACATTTTGGAATATTTCCCTTGTTTCCGAGGCTAGCTCAGCCACGAGAAGCCTGCGGGACCTCAAAATCTATACGGGTGAACGAATCGCCTTCCTGAAAAAAGAGCTGTGACAGCCGGATAGGCGGGATCTATGGAAGCGTAATACCCTCTTACTCTGAGCTGGATGACAAGCTGGATGACAAGCGTATTTGACAATGCCTCGAAAGTCTGATGAGATACAATTTGGTAACATTTCGTGACACAGACTATCTGCCATTCGGAATGCTCTAGGCAGTTTTACGATCGATCAGACACGAATGGAATGAAGCTTACTGGATGGGATTCATCATCGACAAGCGCGCTTGTGCTTTCATCCAAGATCGATTTGAATCTCGTCTAGATAGATTTTTAAACTGTAAAGCTGCTCAACTGTTATCCTCTATCCGGGCAGTGGGATAGAATATGGAGGATCCCTGATGAGCTATCGCTGAACGACGGCGCCAGAGACAACCATTAACAACGAGAAGGGGTGACTTGAGCTGGTCTGGCTCTCGTTATTCTTCGTCCTTCGATGAAAACCTTTCTGAGAAGTCTCTCCTCCGTCTACTGCACGGTTTTTCGCTTACAGAAAGCCCTAGTAGATAGGCATTGCGTCGGCTTGAGCAAAATTGAGCGCAACATACATAAATAACGTTCCGCGACTTACAGCAAGTTGGTCGCCGCTGTCTGATACACAGGCGATAGCTAAGCACCACTCAGCCTGACTGACCTGCATCCTGAACGACATATCGAGTTATCGAGTCGTTATCCTGAGTTGTTGACCGCAGGTGACAAATTAAACACGGCTCTTCTGATCGTGTGATGTGCGTTTCGCGAAGCGATTCATGTCTGTGAAGCAGATGCCACAAGTGTGGTAGCGCGCGCCTATGGGGCGCCATAAGCGTCAAATGCAAAATTGTATGCTACCACGTTTACGCGTATCAAGACTCGATTGCGCGTATCTAGACTCGATTTCGCCTTTACAACACTCAACTACGCCTTTCACTTCTCGCCTTTACGAGCCCAGTCTAGGTGGCCCTACAATCGACTCGATCAGTCTCGGCTGTACTATAAAGGGACCATGTAGTCACGTATACGCGACCATGTCCTTTCACATCCCAATCATGAGTTGCAATTCACTCGAATCAGCTTACAATGGAGTCCACTGGTCATATTGTTCTAGTTTCTGCCCACGTCGCCCAAATATTCGTGCCGATACGGCTTTACCTCGATCAGGAGCTCAATCAACGGGATCCCCTGCTCCTACCAACCCTGCTTAACGCTCTAGACGACCTCGCACACTTTCTACGAATCGTTGTCAAGCACCGTATCCCTCATCAAGCTTACCGCGAGCACATTCTTGCCGTCATTGGATTCCAAGATCGTCTCTGTGCTTATCAAAGATCTTTGACTGATGCTCCAGCCATCGTCGCTCCCAACTTGACAAGGTCACTAGAGGGCGGCCGCCCTACCGTCTCAATCCCCGCAGAACAACTCGTACTGTATACCAACCTTGGCTTCCACGACAAAGACATCGCTCGACTACTTGGCACCTCGAGAAGCACGATCACTAGGCGAAGGAAGGAATTGGGCTTGCAGAAGCGTCGGGAGAAACACTTGGTACCCCAAGATCGTCTTGAAGCTGTAAGTGCAAGAGCGTTCGAGACCGAACAAGACTTTTCAAGACACGACAAGACTTGAATAGACTTGAAAAGACATTTAAAGACTGTTAAAAGCATGTCTTAGGCTAAAGAGCTTTCGTTATCGTTGACATAAGCTGATTTGACTTGGATTTGTTCTACAAAGCTTGTCGGCAATATCCTAACAACTGTCGACTCCAACAATACCGGAGAACGTCTTGTTATGGGTCTCCTCACGGCACAAGGAGTCAAAGTTACCCGACGACAGTTGAGAGATGTCATGCAGACGTATGACCCACAAGGGAACATGCTGAGGCGAGCGCAGGTCCTGCACAGACGCGACTACGATGTCCCCTTCATCAATTCTCTATGGCACATGGACGGCCAGCATAAACTCATCAACTGGAAGTTCGTCATTCATGGCTGCGTAGACGGCAAATCCCGACTTATCGTCTATATGCAAGCTTCCGACAACAATCGTTCTGATACGGTTGATGCAAGCTTTCTGCGTGCTACTCATGAGTGGGGATGGCCGTCAAGAGTTAGAGCAGACTATGGGGGGGAAAATCTCGGGGTTCGGGATCTGATGAACCAAGTAAGAGGTCAGTCTGGCTCATCGAGTCTCGTTTACACTTTTTTACACTCAACGAGACGTATATTCACTCATTGTGACTTCGATCCGTCCAATCGCACTTGTTAACAGGATCGAATCGTGGTTCGTTTATGCAAGGCCCTTCGACCCGCAACGTGCGGATTGAGAGGCAGTGGAGACAAGTTGGAGAGTCTGTCACCCAGAAGTTCACAAGGGCGTTCATGGAGTTGGAGTCGCAAGACGATCTGGATCGGAACAACGCGGTAGACATTTACTGTCTTCACTATGTGTTCATGCCGTACCTGAACTTCGTGCTAGGACACTATGTTGACGCATGGAACCATCACGGTATGTCGAATCCTGGGTTAAGAGGGCTTAGTCCAGTGCAGATGTGGTATCGAGGTGAGTAATCATTTGATTAGTCTTGATAAGTCGAAACGTGACTGAACTGGTCCATATTGGACTTTATAAGGCTTGCTTGACGCGACTAGCAACGGATACGACTTGGACTTGTTTCCCGAGACTCGACACAACATCGATGGCACACAGTTTGACAACAACGCCCCAGGCGAACACGCAAGGGATAATCAAGGATGGGTCAACGCTTTACGTATGGAGGCAACGGCTCCAGTGCAGGACCAGCTGCGTCAACCTCGTCATCGCGATCCATTTGTTATCGTCCCTCGCTACATGGACCACGTCCCGGACGTCTTGGTCACAGAGGAATTCAAACAGGAACTCGTCAATCACTATCCTGTCCAAGCGTTCGATAATCTCTGCCAAGCTGTGGCTCATTATCTGGCTGTACGCGAGTACGTTTACAACACCTTGCAAGATCTTGACTTGCGTGGAACTCTTGAGCCGTAGAGATGCTATGTCAAGCACGCGTGAGAAACCACAAGCCTCCTCTGCATCCGCTGAGCCTCGCTTACGCCTTGTTGCTCTTGTTTCAAGTGGTCAACCATCCTTTCGACTGGCTTAAACCCTCCTTTGGCCTATTGTTGTCGACAAACAACAACAAACAACAATAAAATTCCTCGTACGACTGCTTGGCTGGTAGGCAGGGCGAGATTTGCTATATCTCTCGCCCTATTTTGATCGTTTGTAACTTCTTCGAGTTCTTCTATCAAATTCATTCCTTTCAAACATATTGTCATCGCTCAACTCCCGTAAACCTACTACTCTAAACTCATCGTTACTACCCCCTCCAATCAACATGTCTGAATCTTCCGACCGAATCTCCAAGAGCCCCGAGTTCCCGGGACACGACACCTCGATGGAGGTGCTTGCGAAGTGGAAGGAGGACCTCGACGCTCATGGTGAGTCTCTTTGAGTCTTGTTTAGTCTTTTTCCAGCTCTTCCTCGCTCTACAACGCCTGGAAAAGAGTCTTTTAGTCTGATTCGATACTGTTTCTGTATTGTAGACCGCCGTGAAGAACGTCGAGGAGCTCTCCGGCCCCGGGGAGACAAGAACGAGTTGGGCCTGCCCAAACCTCCTCCCGCCGGCTCGAGCTCGAGTTCCGGCACCAAGAAGACCGGACCCGGGCCGAGCAAGGGTTCGAAGCAGCCGGGGAAGAGAACGGTTGCGAAGAAGCAGCTGGCGAGGGGTCCGGGAGGGAAGTTTTTGCCCAAGGCCGTGGGGGATAAGGGGAAGGGGAAAGAGTTGGGGCAGGAGGTGAAGGGGCCGGACGACATGGACGTCGATGTCCCGGAGGATGACGAGGAGGTGGTGGAGGAGGAGGAGGAGGTCCAGGCCGAGCCCGTAAGTCTATTTGAGTCAAGTAAAGTCCTTTCTAGTCGAACGTAGACTCTTTTAGTCGACAGTAAACTCACCCAACGTCCTTTGGGGTTTCACAGACAACGACGTTGACGATGAGTGAGCTCCGAGAGCTCATCCGAGCGGGGGCTGAGAAGGTGTTGGAGGGCGAGAGGAAGCAGAGGGAGAAGGAGGAGAAGGCGGAGAAGGAGAAGGAGGAGAAGGAGAAGTTGGAGTCGGACGAGGCGATCGCGAAGGCGAGGGAGGAGATGGTATGTTCTTACATGTTTCCTTTATACTGTTTACTTGTCAATCTGATTGCGAGTGCGTTGTTGATCTTCTCGACTATAGGAGGAGGCCGCGAAGGCCACGAAGACGACCGTGGTAAGTATTCAGGCCTAGTCACGCTCAAATACACCAACTACGCCCACTTACACTCGACTCTGCTTGACTCTTACTTACCTCTGATTGTTTGCGTTCACAGGACAAGAAAGCGGTTTCCCCCGAGGTGACGGCCTCGACTTCGGGGGACAAGGAGAAGGCCAAGGATGGCGTGGTGCAGATTGCTGGATGTGTAAGTAGCCCTTCGCCTACAACTACCAATCTGTATTACTGACTCATAGCTTCTTTGTTCGTCGCTTCTTTAGACGGTCTCTAAAGATGGCAAAACCATCATCGACGGCGAAGGCAAAGGCCTTACGACGTACAAGTGGGACAAAGTCCAAGTAAGTTGGGCTTGTTTAGACTTGATAACGCTCGAATAGACGAACAAAGACTAATTGAGCTCTTTCAACTATCAGGTGTGCCGACACATGCTGAAGAAGCATGCCACGTCTCTCGTCGAGTGCCTTGGGGAGAACCGATGCGTGTCATGCCGCAAAGGGGGTCGGGACCTCAAGAGCAACAAGGAGACCCAGCACTTCGACGATCAGTTCTCGAGGTGCATCTTCGGCGACGATAAGGGCTGCTTGTGCTGCAAGTGGAAAGGGAGGAACGCCGATTGCCGCGGCGCCAACAAAGCCGGTGCTCTTGCACCTCTCGCTGAGCACGAGAAGAACACCGCCGCCGCCGCCGCCCTTGCTGCCAGGGCCTCTACCCCGCCTCGCTTTCCCGTCTTTGGTGGCATCGGATCACCGACTCGCCCTCTCGCTCCTCCCGCCGCCGCCACCCTAGCGTTCGAGCAGACTACGCACGATGTGGCCAAAAAAGTCCAAGCGGCCGGTGCGTGGTTGGAGAAGGTTCAGCAGGAGTGGGCGGACCTCGGGAAGTCTGACGAAGGCCAGGAGGACTGGAACGGTCTCGCCGAGAAGTTCCCAAAGGCTTCGGCGCTCCTTGCTGAGGCCAACGAGATCATCACCCATCTCGACGGTGCCGCTTTGACCGGACTGGGGCGCGAGCTCGAGCAGGGCGTTACCAAGGTCAAGGCTGAACGGGAGACAGCTTTGCCGGCCACTCCCACCAGGACTCGAGCGGGATGGGCTTCGAGGCCTTTCGGTACGGGATTTGGGGCTCCTTCGTCGTGATTCTTGCTTCTTTCGATATGTAAATGTAAATGTATCTAGGACAGTCTCGTATCGCGCTGTTTGTATCTTTTTATGCGAAGAATACCTCGAATAAGCCTTGCACCAAGCGATCAAACTCTTCTCCGTGTTACAAAGACTTATCGCGCCCAATTCAGCAACAAAAAGACTAAATTTGTGTTAACAAGTCGCGTCAAGTGTAACAGAGTCTAACACGCAGGTGACAGAAAGACTTACATCAGTATGAGCACCTATTGAAGCTTGGCCGGCAGCCTTTTCCTTCGTTGCCCTTTGCCCACTGCTTGTTGTTGCTCCAAAGCCTTTGCAGCACGTGTCCTTGCGGCTGCTGAGCTCTCGGGAAGATCTGCAGAGCTCATTGCCTCGTGCTTCCTCTTGCGTCCGCCTCCGGACCTTTGCTGCAAGGTAGAAGTGGCAGCAGCAGCAGTCGAGGTGGAAGGGTCAAGTTCCTTTGACGCTGTAGAAGATACAGTCTCTTCAGCAGGACAGGCGGTGTTGTCCACGTTTGCTACGGAAGATCATATTGAAGCAAGATCAGTAACCCCGATCTCAACCGAACAAATACTGTTTGGAGTCTTGTCTAGTCCTAATAACCCCGCACAAAGCTTACCTGGACCAATCTCATGCGAAACATTTCCTGGAGTCGAGATATAGCGGTGATAAGCGTTATTAAGCATTGTTGAGCCTTATCGAGCACAACTTCCACTCACCTGGTTCCATTGAAGTCCTCTGATTGCCATCCTGGGTTGCTTCGACTGCGCCCTGTGCGTCCATGTCGAGGTACTGGAACGGGAAGTTGGGGTCCAGCTCATCAAGGAAATGGTCGCTAGTCTGACTATGCTCGTCGACCTGCGGGAGTCCCATGCTCTCCAGCAATTGCTGATCTCCAGCCGAGCGTTCAAACGAGAACGATTCGGTGCCGTCGAAGGGGCCTGCGCCCGAACCTGACTCAGTCTGGTCGTAAGAAGACTCGGCTCGTCCAGTTGAGGTTGGGTTACTGCTATCGACCCCACCTAACGAGTTGGCCAAGTCAAGGTGAGACCTAAGCCGTTGTTTCTGATTCGACAGCCATCGTGCGCCGAACGCTGGATGTTGGGCGACTTTCGAGAGGAGTTTTCCCAAAGCAGGAGCAGACTGCTCATCATCTGAATCGATCACGCTCACGATAGAGATTCCTGAGGAGGATACAGAGGTAGCCCTTTGCTTCCCCTTACCCTTCCACTTCTGTTTTGGCCGGGGACGGGGACGAGTGTAAGATGGGCTAGTCGGCTCAAGCTTGAGACCAGGTTCGGCTTTGACCTTTCCGTTGAGAGCCAAGTTGGACTTTTTTCGACTTGTTTTGGCCTTGTTGTCCTCTTCCCCCTCTTCCTGCTCACGAAAGGGCACACAATTGCGCTGATGGACAGGTAGCTGTATCGAAGGGTATTTACGCCTACACCCTGAGCAAGGCCTCAACGCATTGCGATGATCGGAGTCGTCGCTGTCTAAATCCTCTTCCCACATGTCGCCTTCCTGCTTATGAGCGGCTGTGATCTGGTATCTCCAACCGGGAGAGTCGTTTGCAGGGAACTCCCACCCTTCCTCGATGATGTACATTGACGAAGAGTTGTGATACATCTTCTGTAAATCCTTAAGCGTGAATTCATAGGCCCGTCCAAGCGTCTCGGGGTGGAAACGAGTCGTGCCCTGACCCAGTTTGGCCCATAAAAAGGGTTTGATAAGGAAGCGAGACCCATGTTTGGCCCTAAACTTGTCCAACACAGTCTTCGCAATGTCGGTAGGGTTCATGTCGGGTGTCAGGTCGATTAACTGACTGTACCCAGTCGTCTCTGTGGCCTCGGCAAACATAGCGCCGGCCTTCGGCTTTGCCTTGTTCCATAACATGACCTCCCTGCGAAGGATAGACCCACAGCCAATATAGGTAACCTGGAATCAACAAGAACTACTTGTCAGTACGAACAAAACTCAGTCCAACTTCACAAGCACGTCTCGGGTTCAACTAAGTTCAAAAAAGTGTTAACAAGACCTCGCAAGTCTTGTTTAGTCGTAAAACCGGCTGACTTACCCGATTGTAAGTCTTGCCAATGAGGTAAGGCTTAGCTTGGGCTACCGTAGCCTTTTTCTGAAGGCCCCGAGCCGTAGCCATCTGGAAACTTCCATTCCGGAACCGTTGAGTAGAGCCAGTAGCTGATCCGCTAGGGGGATTGGGCGGGGGGAAGGTTGTGATCATTTGACTCGGGTGAGGGTATCCTGTATGTTGTCGTTCAATCGCAACAGCGCTCTGCGAGGGCCTGAGACCGGCGTTGTTTGAAGCCGATAGATCGACCTGGTCTATAGGGGTAACGGGAGCATAAGGAGCCCTAGGTTGTTCTGTAGAAGCTCTAGGTTGCTCAATCGAAGCCATGGCGGGTCGACCAGGCATGGGAGGAAGAGGAGCTACAATTTGCTGGACCCACTGATCGACTAGCTGACGATCTCCTCCAAGTCGCTGTTGAAGGAGTCGAGTCAAGTCGGCGTCGGAGATGTTGTGGGTGGACATGGTTTCCAAGGGGACGTAAAGGCCTAAGTGAGGTGTTTAATATGGTATTTGGGGGGGCAATTAGAGATAGAGCAGCTATGCGAGACTTGATATAGCTTGGCCGTGAAAGTCGAGCATGAACAAAGCTTCATCTAGTCTAATCAAGTCTAAACTAGTCGTAACTGGTCATTCCGAGTCTTCGTGATACTGACCGTGGCTCATCGGATGCAAATAAGGGTCACCGGAGCCTAGTAAGGCAAAAAGTAGGCGAAAAGTAAACAATCAACGCAAACAAGCGACCATACGCGCGTCGAAACCATTAACAAGCGAAAGTATAGGCGAGTGACGCTTCCGGCGGGCCATACGCGCCTGATGAAGTTGTCGCGATGCAACGCGAACCGCGAGGAGCGAGGCTTGTGTGCGAGACGACTGTGCCCCTGGTAGAATCACAGGGTGACAATCCTGACAGCCTTGCTGCATATCTCAGCCATCGATAGAAGCCGATTTTCGCATGGACACCCTCTCCGTGACGGTCCTTAGTTTGACGATGAAACGCGGACAAAGGAGAGTCGAAACATCCCTTGGCGCCCGGGAGTTATGACAGGCAATAGATCCAAGTCTCGAATTCCATATAATGTCAAGCGATCCATCTGGCTACATCCTCATTGGCTTTGTCCTAGTTTATGGCCTGAACTGCCAACATTACAACTCGGATTCCCATTTCCACCTCGTGTCGAAAGTTATACCGATACATACATAGCAGCGGGAAATATGCGTGATGAAGCACATCAAACTATAGTGAGCCGAAAGCGTCAACTCGCCGCGACGTGTTATGTCCGTCTCGTCGCGCGCGATATATTACCATGTCCGCTTCCGCGCGAGAGATATATTACCAGCCGTAGCGATCAGAGCGGTTGGAATCACAAAAAGCAGCTCTTCGTCCCAGTTTTTGTTAGATTGGTATGAAGTTATCTCGGGCCCAGAGGGGGCGCAAGGCCCATGCCTGCCTCAGGCTTTGCCTAAGTCTACCTCAGACCTACTTCGACAGTCCTAGACATATACTTGATCGATGTACAGCATATCCTAGCCTTATACAAACATGCCCGATCACAATCCCGATCCGTACGAGGGCATTCAAGCTGCCGTCGACGCCTACGTCGAGGAGGTACATACCCCTATCCTTGCACTGCTCGCCTTACCATCAGCGGATCGGGATCACAGCCTCCTACCTCCGTTCATACACCAACTAGATGGTCTCGTTACCTGGCTGACGGCCGAAGCTAGGGGCAAATTACCTATGCAAGTACTGCGTAATCACTGGCAGGCAACACTTAGCCTGCGTGAGCAACTTGCCGCTGTACACCAAAACATCTTGAACAACGCTCCGACCCATCTCTCCAGGCAAACCGTCGCTCTGCCAACTGGTGGCTATAGCCTGGCCTTGAACATTCCTTTGTTCCAGCAGCTAGATCAAGAGGGCTTTACCGACCAGGAGATAGCCGAACACTTGGGCTGTTCTCGAAGTACTGTTCGCCGACGTCGACTAGCATTGGGTGGGCCATCTAAACGGGAAGTCAAGCACCAAGTGCCGGAGGAAGTCATTCAGAAGGTGAGTACCTGACCCAGTATGGCTTAGTATGCCGATCTTTATATTCGCTTGACTGAGTTCATATGCCATGCCACAGCATATACAAGATTGTTTGAATAGCCAAGACGGCATCATGGTCGGCTATCGCAAACTGCAAGGCTATCTCGAAGGCGTGGGTGTGCACATCACCCGAGAGCATGCAAGAGAGCTAAGCAGGGCTTTAGATCCGGAAGGTTCAAGGCTACGCAAGTCAGTCATGCGTAAACGGCGGGTGTACAAGGTCCCGTTCCCGAACTCTCTCTGGCACATCGATGGTCAACACAAGCTTATACGCTGGAAGTTTGTTATACATGGAGGCGTCGATGGGTACAGCCGAGTCTGCGTATTCATGCAAGCGGGCGATAACAACCGGGCCGAGACAGTAGAGAGGTTGTTCCTTCACGCCACGGATGAATGGGGATGGCCTCAACGGGTACGGGTAGATTTTGGGAAAGAGAACTACGGCATTTGGAAGCAGATGGTAGCCATTCGAAGTAAGCACACTAGGCTGTGACTAGCTTAACCGCCCGCATATGCACAGGCTCATGGGCCTTCCTGCTTAGATACCATCAAAGCACCTTTCATCCGAGGCAAATCGACCAGCAACACCCCAATCGAGCGTCATTGGAAGGAAGTTGGGGAAAAGTTCACGCACAAATACTCAAGAACATTTGCCGACCTTGAGTTCAGAGAAGAGCTCGACCCCGACAACCCAGTCGACATTTTCTGCCTACACCATTGCTTCTTACCCCTGCTGAACCTGACCATCCGCCGACATGTCCTTGCGCATAACCATCACAAGAGCACGACCTCTGGTGAACGTGGATGGAGCCCACGCAAGAAGTGGCTTGATGGCATGCTGAAGGCTAGAGCTCGAGGGATGGATCTTGATCTTTTCCCCGCCGACGCTCTTGATGATATGGGCATCATTGACGAGGTGCTATCCGGGGACGAAGAAGACGAAGGTGTAGACGGAGACGGGCCAGGCTCTGCCAGACGCAGGCCAGGCGTACTAAGCTGGGTATCGGAACAACGGCAAGAAGATCTGTCACAGCCTGAACGTGAAAGCGATCCCTATGTCGAGGTCGAACGGTATCACGAGCTGTTACCACCGCTGCTACAAGATCCAGGCTTTAGGAAAGCGCTCAATCAACATTTCCCGCCCCCAACGGAACACTCTGCCGAGGAAGGTGACGATGGCCTCTTCAATACCCTGCAATACCTTGCCGTACGGGAGTGGGTTCATGACTGTATCTTGGCTGACGAGTGATGTGGCCAATGGCATAAGCGTATGTTTGTTTTGATTTGATGGCATACGAAAAGAACAAAAGAACCTCTCGACGTGTTCCATCATCAGTAAACAAAGACGTGGCATGGGCCTAGGGGGTAGGTAGGCCCATGCCACCGACGCACTTGATATATCTACATCACCTTCTCATCGATTCTTACTTTACTATCACATCTGTCTATACGTCTATACTCTAAACGCAAACACTTAAATCGACCTCGTCTTTATCAAACTCTTTGCATACATTTTCAAAATGGAGAACAACGAACAGCCTTTGCCCGTTTTTCCCGGCGGTTGTAAGTCATAGCATACCTTTAGCATACCTTTCGTACGCCAATAGGTTCTGAAAGTCTTAGCTTACACCTGGGTCTTTGTGTTCTCGTCTGACCTTACCTTGCACAGCGCTTGAAGATTATCAAGTGTGGATGACCGAATTGACGGACGAGCAGAGGGCGAGGTTCAACGAGGTGAACGAGAGTAAGCCCTTCCTTTGACTACGCCTTCCCCGTCCATATCCTTCCGCTGTTGCTGCTTGCATATACTGATACCTTCGCAATCATTTCTTGTGTGTAGGGGCACTCGAGCAGCGACGTCGGGAGGCCGCGGAAGAGGCTGCGGAGCAGCGCCGGCTGGCTGAGGAGGCCGCCCACCAGGCCGCTCTCGAGCGAGCCCAACGAGAGCGGGATGCTCTCGCTACTGCAGTAAGTTACATGATCATCTCACTACTATTCTCTCGATCTTCCTTGCCTATACCAGACTGATTTCTTATCATGCCTGACGTATAGAGGGCCCAGATCAGGACCTTGCTCAACGTCCCGGCTCACCAGGCCTTGGTGAGGGAGATGTTGGCTGCGGAGGGGTGTAAGCTAGGCGTGTACGGGTCTAATACTTCATCGAGTATAACTGATTTATATGTTTTCGTGTTGAACTCTCAGTCACTATCACCCCCATCCGCTCCACCCGCCCCCCGCCTCCCCCTCCTGCCCCTCCCGTCCCTCCCCTTCGACCCCTCCGAACCGGGCAAAACCAAGGCCCAAACCCGTTCCTCGGCCGTGAGGGCGCAGGTGCAGGTGCGGGTGCGGGTGCGGGTAGCCCCACCACCGAGGCCAGGATGACCAGCTTGCTGGACAGGCTGGAGCTGGTGGTGGGGTCCGACGAGGTGAGGACGCCCCGCCGAGGGTCGAAGAGGCCCGTGGCTCTCGATGAGTTCGATGGGTACGACGACGACTTCGACCTCGTCGATTCGCCCTCTCCGAGCAAGAGGCGGAGCCGGAGGCTGTCGCCACGCATCCCGCCCCATGAGGGGTTTCAAATGCCCAAGTTCAAGCCGGTGACCTGGTCCAACAACCGTTGGGCCAACGCGATTGTAAGTCACGTCAAGGCTGATAGATTAGTTGGCAAACAAATACTAACCCCGTTGGTCTTTCATCTTTGTTATCCCTCGCAGGCCGCCGAGGCCCTGTACAACGATCCCGGGGCCGCCTTGATGATCGACGGTGACGAGTGCAACGTCTGTTGTGGGGAGACACGCCCGCCCCAAGAAGACGATGCGCTCATGATTGCCATGAACGAGAGGTATGCGGAGTGCTCGGTCATCCCGGGTAAGGAGGGCAAGTGTTTGAGGTGCATCTGGCGTAACGGCAAGAACTGCCAGTATGTCACTCACCCTTGGTACTCGTCTCGCCGAGAAGCGAAGCCTACGAGCACCCAGCTCAAGGCTGCTGCTCAAGGTGGGCGAAGGAGGTAGTCGGGCCTCTTTTTTTTTATTTATACATGTATTTTCTTTTTTTAAATTATGTTTTTATCTATACCGTTGCGGTCTACAAGTACAAAGGTCTACGCATTGCTAGATGAGGCTTCGTTGTGGCTTCGGAGTCTGCGACGTGCATGAGCAATGCCGCTTTTCTCTGGAGAAGACTTAGACCTTGCCCTCTTGTTGCCAACCGCAACTTCGACCCCAGGCATAAGTGCTGGCTCTTCAACTACGCCTGGCTCAGATAGCCTAGACTCTCCGTCTTGTTCTACGCCGTTGAGATGTGTGCCTAACTCCCAGTCGACTACAACCTCTTCCTGAGCAGCTTGCGTTGATGGTATGGCAGGTTGATCCGAAGGTACACCTTTGGCCACCATCACATGCATATTGAAGTTTTCTCGGCCATGGTCTTCGATAAATTGAACGCATATGGCCCGAAACTGTTCCGGTGTCAGCTTTGTCTTCAGCAGATCTGTATATCAGACGCAAGGTGTGAGCAAACTATATTGTACCAACGCTAGCTTGAGTACTGACCCGATATGCTTGGGCCTTGCGGTTCAGGCGTTCCCCCCACATCACTCACGGCCTGGAAGTCTTCAGTGATCTTGCCCAGGTTTTCGTAATCGTCGATCGTGATGACATCCCGATCGCCTGGGTCTGTGTCGAGCGTGTTTTCACGCTGAACGGCGTCTAGATCTACGACCCCTTCTGGCTCCGATTCTGAGCTCTCCACCTGGTTCAGGGCAATAGCCTTGGCACAGCTGGTGACATGCCACTCTAGCCGGTCCGTAGGGTATGATCTGCCACAACCTGGGCATGTCGGATCTGCCATAGCGATCTCTAACGCTTCTGCATCGCGGTATCGCTGTTCCTCCCGGTCTAATTCGGATGACGTCTCGCGTACGGCCCTTCTCTTTCCCTTCTTTGCCTGGCTCAAGGGAGGGCCCATGGGGGTCTTGGGTAGAGGTTGCCAAGACACAGGATCACGGCTGATTGCTTGAGCAACAGCACGCCGAAAGCCTGAGTGGTGCTGGGTCTCCCAAGTCTCCGGAATGATGCAGATGAACTGCGTGTCGAGGCAACGCGCACGGAGATTGTCGAGGGTCGTATCCCAAGGTGAATACACAGCGGCAGGGTTGAGACTCTGTGAAGCCGGTTGAAGGAAGGCCCAAGACCAGAGGCGGGGTAAAGGTCGGCTTGATTTGAAGATCGTTTCAACGTGTTCAACCATGTCTTTCGCGCTCATGTGGGCCTTGAAATGGAGAGGTTGCATATAGCCAGCTGTAGACAGGTACTCCTTGGTACCGGCCCATTTGCTCTTGAAGATAGAAACAAGGGTCAACTTGTCTCTGACAAAAGAACCGTCTGGGATATAGACCACCTGTGTAAACGATCGAGGGCAAGTTAGTTGACGTGTGGTATCACTACGGAGGGCCCACGAAGCGTACGCGTACTGACCATTCCGGTTTTGCAAGCCTTGACGTCCTTGCCAGGTTTCTTGGGAGGACGAGAGGTCTGCTGCAGAGGATGACCTCCAAAGGCGTAGCCCCCACCATGGCCTCGTTGCTTGAAGTTACCAGCACCTGCAGACCTTATACCCTCTGCGCGAATGAAGGGCGTAGTCTTGTTGGCTTGTACCAGTGCATGAGCTCGTCGAGCAAGGTTGGATGGGCCGACGTCTGGTGAATCACGAGTATTACGGGCCTGAGTCGACCTAGGTGCATATCCAGATGATTCACCTCGGGTTGGTTTGTGTCTGGGCAGAGGGGGAGGGGTAGCTTCTGGGTCTTCGGGGTCGTCTTGCTCTCCATCCCATGAGTCCTCTTCGGCCTCGTCTTCGCTATACACGGGCTGGGCTGGAGCTTTCGGTCGTCGGTTTGGCTCAGGGATGACATGAAGGCGGCTCGATGTTGATGTATCGGGAGCAGGTTCATCTGCAGGTCGATTAGGGGCTACCATCTTCATGATGAGAGCTTCAAGGCGGTCGAGTCGAGCGGCGTCAGACATTTTGAATTGTATAGTATAACGTGGTGTGCTAAGGGCGAAGGTACAAGAGGTGCTAGATGTAACGGTGTGGAGGATAGAGTATAGATATGGGTATAGGTATAGGTGTACGTCTGAGGGCTAGGTCGAGGTGTACGCCGTGACGAGAGGTCTGGGCCCGAGATAACTTCATACCAATCTATCAAAAACTGGGATGAAGAGCTGCTTTTTGTGATTCCAACCGGTATGATATCGCTCGCCAGCACTAGTAGCGGTAAGATATCGCGCGAAACGCGAAATCGCATAATATGCGTTTTTCGCGAGTTGAACCAAACCGCCCGGTATATCAAACTGCGAGCAGCCTGTTCCTTACACACAGGGACGAGCAAAAATTCCAACTTGAGGTGGATGATCGCTTGAAATGGTGGAACGAGACTGGTTTGGATCATCCCACTCGACCCTTGCTTCTAGGAACAGACGGCGAGATCGATCGAGAAAAGGTCAGCGAACTCCATGCGGAGATGGTGATCGAAACATGGGCCGCAAAGCTACGACAACAGGGGGCAAATAATCTCAAGAAGCGGCTAACGAGGGAGATAGAATCTCAATCCCTGAGAGAGGGGGTTGACAGTGCTTCGTCAGAGCAATCCGCTTCGCTTGGAACCGAGCGCTCGGCCAGGCCAGGCCATGAAGACGGAGAAAGTCAGTGTCACACACCGACATCGTCTGTCAGAGCGATGAGCGAGCAGGGGAATTCGTATAAATCTACATTCAGTTGGCCCAGTAGAAAAGATTGATGGAAGTAAAGTTTGGAGAAATTCAAGACCCACATTGTAGCAGACACGCCCAGCGGTTTCATGCGTCACGAGAAATGCCGGATTTTGGAGACAATGGCTCGATGAATCGGTCCTTTGTCTGAATGATGTGACTCTCTTACTTTACCTGATGCGATATTTTTATTGGATGATCGGCGTCCGGATGTTCGTGTTGTTCGGGGTATTGGAAGTTGCACGCGATTGCTGAGTGAATCCGGATGAACTCGGACTCTGATTCTTCTATTCCATCCTGTGGACGCGAGCAAGGCGTTCGCAAACGTTTCTTCATCGTTACCCAATCGATGACGATGACAATCTTCAGAAATCACGTCATAGATGACGCCATGTATATCGTGTCACAAGCCATTCGAAATGGGGGTGCCGTCTCCTTTGTGTCCCGTAAGCCTGTCGATGTTGGGATCGCTTCGTCTACTGTATATAGGTATTCCTTGCTACAAGCTTGAAGCAAGATCTAACGGTTGAATTCTCTGTGGCGATCTGCTTCTTCACGCAACCATCTCACCCACCCGACCTCTTTAACCAATTTGATCAGTGAAAGTGCACACATATCATAAGCAGTAGTGATTACAATATGGATGCCTTGAAGGAATTCAAGACTATCGTCGAATCTACGAACGATGAACTCTTCTTCCAGGGACTTCTTGCGTATATCGATACGAGTCCCGACATGATACAAAAGAGACTTGAGGTGGCAAAGGGAAGTGGCGCGGATGCCGGCCAGCAATACTTTCCACACATATTGCATGCACTGCAAAGTCACCTTCACACGGAAGTTGAAGGTAGCCTCGATCTGTCAGCTTATCTTCTTCAAGATCGCGTCATATACCACAACGATATACTGGCGTCGGAGGGATTGATAGACCGGGAAATCACGGTCGGCGAAATAGTGATAGGTCTCTTTTGCTATCTCTCCAAAAGGAAGAATATTGCGGGGTGGTCTCCTGGCGACCATGTTGGGCGGAAACACAGCGAAGCACAGCTCAACTTGAGAGGTTTGGACGACGGATTGGCAGATATCATCATCATGCAGTACGCTCATCGGGAGGTCAGGTTTCCTCTCGCCCTTGACGCGTATCTCACCGAGAGCAATCGCACAGGGAATCTACCAACCATCATTCAAGCCGTTCTCGAGCACAGGGATATCCACCAAAAGCATTTGGGCGGGATCTCCCAATGTCGAGACTATGTCTGCCAAATTCCTTCCAGCGGGATGTAAAATCGTCAATCTTGCCGGAGCTTTGGCTTGGATACTGAATCTGAGAGTAAAAGCCAAATTCGGTAAACCGCTCTGGGTGGGGTGGCAGAAGTACTTAGATGAAGAGCCAAACGGAGAACGTTGCTTCTTGCCGTCTTCCGATACTCGAACCCTCGATTCTGAATTCTCGGCAGCCTGCCACACCAGACCGTGTGACAGCTCTCTCAGATCGCAAGACCTGTCAACCACTGTGTCGTCTCTCGCTCAGACACAGAGCCAGGGACTATCCGCTACGTCAACCGCAAGGGGTATATCAGAACAGGGAGACTCTGTCGCTCAAGATGATGGCAGAAAAGCGAAAGCTAAACGGGACAGATCTGTCATGGAAGCAGAGCTCCGTAGCACAATGGCGAATCAGATCCTCAGTGACATAAGAACGCAGATCCCAAAACTGGGTTTCGTTTTTACTCCCATCAGGCTTCCGCATTTTTTCGTGAGGTTTCAAAATTATATCGACCGGGGCTACCCCCTACCGAGCGACTCGAGATACTGCATTGCGGACAAATCAATGAAGCCAGAGACTTCCAGGAAATTCTTGGAATGCGCTGCGATGATGCTTGCTAGCGATCACCCCGCGGAATCTCGGTTGAAGCAGGTCGCAGACCTCTTGAGATTGCGATCTTTCCAGACGAATCGTTCAGTATCTGACATTTTGAAGGCGATGAAAAAACTGTACAAGAACAATGAAAGCCCAGAAAATTCCGCAGGACTTGTGTCTGACCGAGAGGTCGAACTCAGCTCCGAGAGGACAATCATCACTACTTCAACGAAGCAGTCTACGTTCTCCACTGTTCAATCCACGGACACGAATATAACTCGCGCGTTACTCTCTCAACGTTTTGTATAACTATCTTTATTTGTCAGTGGTTAGACTTCGACCTTGTATGGTAGCAATTACCGGTTGTGCACCTAGTATGGTATCTCCCGGTCGGCTAGAGGAAAATCGGACGTTCTTAAGACAGGCGCGATTGATCTTATTGGGGCTTAGGGGGAAAGCTTAGCTATAGGTAAATCTGCTTCGGGTCGCCATGTATCGCACAGATACGTAAGATGTTGAGATCTACCTAGAACCGAATTGGAAGCACCTCACAGCCTCAATCTGTATTTACGACTACCAAGGATTACATGGATCCCGTGGGCCAGGGGTAGTAAGATCGATTGTAACGGCTATCACAAGGATGAAGCCTAGCTGAGCTCCTAGAGCAGTGTTTCTGTCTAGATGCAGCTGTCTGTCACCAAATGATGTCACCAACTGAGAACTGTACTTCTTACGTTATTGCCAGATTACCACTGCCTGGACCGGTGGCTCAATCTTGTGGGACAGATACGGGAGGCAATGCCATATCTCCTGACGGGACCATTTGTCGGGCGCCATCGGTCAATACGCTAGCGAGGAAGGCACAACTGATTCGTGAAGACAATCATCTCAGTGTCTTGCTTTGTGCACATTATGAACAGTGTGTTATCGTTGGGAATGTCCACTGCATGCATATATTCCCTGAACCAGATTCAAGTGCAACGCGGAAAGACCTGAAGACGGTGGCATGAACGAAGGAGGAAGCGGAATGGCGTGCTTCACGCCCCACTGGCACGTGGTCAGGAGCAGCATTCATGGCAGAGATTGCGGCATTCGTTCGCGAACAAAGGAAGGACAGAGAAGCGTACCTCGACATCGCTGTGACTCGAGGCTAATCTCAGCCTACGCGAACATGGTATATATAATCTGTCAAGACGTAAGATTCTGGATCGCGCTATTCCCGTCACATCTTACCTAGCCTCCGTCTATTCAGGGTTCGTGGTCGAAGTCCCGTGAGAAGCATTCCCAGAAGGATCACGTACAACATGCATCTTACCAACGCCAAACAAGCTTCAGTAGTCAGCAAAGTTCAAGCACAAATCATTGCGGTCGATATCCGTGCAGAAGTCGAAGCCACCTTGTTCGAACATCGTGGGACGAGTGCGGCGATTGCTTCTCTATGGGTAAATTCCGGAAAGCCTATGCACGAAAAAGGTCTAGAAAGCTACATACCACTATTACCGGCTCAGTGGATACCTGAGCCGCATGACGATGCGAGAAGGTGGCTAGACCGGCACCTACTCCTCCAGGTCGCAAAAAGGCTGGTAGAAAAGCTGACAAAGAGAAAGGCAGCAGCGGCGAAGAAGAAGGAATTCAGGCTGCAAGATCGTAAGCGAGCGGAGTATGCCTCCAACACCTTCGAAGACCATCAACGATCTTATTCTGGACTCGAGATCGCCAGCTCCGGTCACCTGACACAGCTGAGGGTCGGTGGGTCGTCAGTATATGACGATGGCATTGAGGAAATCGATGACGCAGCGCCCGGACCAAGTCAATTTTTAGATCCTGTATCGCAACACGATTCGAAGACTGGCGAAGTCAGTCATAATGGTCCCAGGTAAAATTGACCCTCATGACTCATGCTTCCTCAATGTCACAACGACTCACGATATTCTTTGTTCTGGCTCTACCAGCTGTGCGTCCCACTCATATCCGTCGAAAAGCTTACAGCCTGAAAACTCATACGGAAAGAGGCGTGAAGCTGCTGCCGATGAAATTAGGAGGATTGTGAACGAAATTGGACTCCTGCGTTTCGTCTTCTTCCTTACATATGACACCAAATTCGAGTTCTTTGTGCAACTCAGAGGATTTCTAGAGGCGGGTAACTCGCTGCCGAGTTTCGTCAACGTGAATCCCCGGCCGTGGAATAACCGCGCTGGAGTGTATATGAAGATGGCTGGGGGCTTGATATCCAGTGCTGTTCCCGCTGCCGATGGTCTTCAACTGAAGGTCGCGCAACTGATTCACTTGAAATACGAGCAGATGGCAGGCACCGATTTTAAAATCTTCAGAGAACATTACGAGTACGAGCAAAAGTATAACCTCCTCCGCCTGCAGCAGAGTGACAATGGGGAAAGTCTTCTTCAAACGGTACCGGGCGTCGAAGCGAGCGGCCAATCTGACCAGCAGATACACAAGTCAACGGAAAGGTCAACTTTTCCTGAAGCGGATTCGGTCACTTCAGCGTGCACTTCAATCACAGTCAACTCTGCAGCAACATATCAGCTCTAGCACCCCGCTCGGATTCCTGAATCAGCTTGATAGGCCATCAGGGAAAGATCGGGCGAGGGTCTCGCCGGAATTTCAATGACCAAGTACTTAAGTAGTAGTGTTTGTAATAGAAGCGGTTAGTACCACGAGATGTTGATGTATCAAGTGCATCCTGTGGCCATAGCTAGACTGCTTATTCCAAGACATGGATAGACGGCATCATTAGAAAAAACGTCCTGGTTCAGAGCATAAGAGCGGATGCAATCAAGCATATCATTTCAACCCGGCCTCTTGTGATTGCTCTGAATAAGGGAGGAATCCCAAAAGCCGTTCAGGTGAGTTACCTTACGGGCCAACTCTAGGCCTTCATGTGAGACCCGGCTGATTGGAACTTCATCGCATCAGCTACGCTTCTTTAGTTGTCGCCTGTTGCCAATCCCATCAGACTGAGCCGATACCCACGTTTGCAGAGCATGTCAGAGTGATGATTTTGGAACGCGATCGCATTATATGGCGCTTAATGGATATTGAACCACATCTTCCTTGCGTCGGCGCTCTGCTCGGCGACGCCACACGCGCCTATATCACGCTTGCTGGGAATGATAACATGAACAAAGGAGTGGACTCCCCAATTCTGATGGACCGGTTTTATTGGCTTAGTGGATTTGGCTATAAAAACCACACAGCATGAGGATATTGGAAAGCATTTCCTTTTCAGCCAACAGACAACTCTTTCCTTGTAACCCGTGTTTCCTACACTTGCTACATCACTCTACCTCTCATACACAATCTTACGATGGCAAACGAATCCAAGGCCGACTCCAATGATACCATGAAGGACATGTTAGAGAACCCCATCGAATATCAAACATTCGCTCAGCTCCTTTCGGGATTGGACAAGTTTCTGAAAGACTATTTGAACAGAAGTGAAGATTTGGATGTCCTTACAGAGCAATGGGAATGTGGTGTGCTCAAGCAAAGGTCTCCTGGCTCATCTGGCTACATAATCAAGAAATACCTTGATCTTGACACAGTTGCTAGGCGAGCAGGTCCAATCCTCGGCGTCAAGGAGATGAGATCAAATTACATAGCTGGCAGGCACAGACGCCCAAAGCCCAATCCCCAGTGGCGGACGCTTGGCAAATTATAACAGCTAGCAAGTTGTAAATGGCTGTCATCGCTGATGAAGTCTTGGGACTTTCGAGACCCGCGAAACTGGGATGAATGGTTTCAGGGAGAAGTTGAGTCTCTGAAAAGCCAGCCGATCAGCTCTGCCGGTCCTATCACGAAGAAGAGGACCGCGTCATCCCTCGAGGACCACGAGTCCGGCGATGTGGTCCCACCTGTGACGAAGCTTCCTCCATCACCACGACCCCCTCGACGGCCGGCACCGCTGTCGCTGTTTCAGCCTGCGAAAAGGACCTTTCTACTGCTGCTCCGCCTTTCAGCGATGTTTCTGGGACAACAGTCGCAAGCGCATCCACAAAGATCACCACCGAACCGTCTACCATGATCTCCGTCGTGCCAGGTCGAGCGAAGCGCTCGAGGCGACGCTAACGTGGACTAGCTGAGCGCGACGGTCAGACAGCAAATCAATGAGGCTGACAGGGACATAGAAGGATTGGGATTCCTTGACGCTTGCTATAGATAGAGAAGAACATGTATCGTATCATAAATGCCATGGTTAATCTTGATAACACAAACGATTAGCGGCCGAGCTAGATGGACAGCTAATATGCCACGGCTGATAGCGTGTTCAGCGCCACTAGAATGCTGGATTGCTGGTCGATCAAGTATCAGTTCCAGTAGGACTGTGCGAATATCGGAGGCGTTTACATCCAGCACGCAGTGGAAGGAGTAAACTTGGTAAGCTAGATAAGCGAAACTTGATGCGTTATTATATATACAGTGAGGTGGGCGCGTGAACGGAACGCTTTGTTAGCGATTTGCTGGGCGCGCGTTCCTTCAAGGCGCGAATGTATGTGTATAAGAAAGAGAAAAAAAAACCCTCGAGTCTCGGAGACGTGGGAGAGTGGTCTAATCCGCCGTGTTAAGGTCTGTATTCTGATGTCAAGATTCAAAGTCCCGCGGTCCTTCGGGGCGAGCGTTCGAATCGCTCCGTCTTCATGGTCTTTTTGCCCTGCATGCGATGCGCACTTTCGCTTGTTTTTGGGCTACAATGTCAGCTCCTGAGAGCTTGAAGTTGTAGTCCAGTGCATGGACGTCTTCCATGGCCTTGTATGTCATCGTTTTTGCTTCCTTAATCTTGCAATACTGCAGCTGCAATCTCATCGTCAGTTTCGCTTGATCAGAAGAGGTGGTGATCGTCCCTCGGACACTTCCTTTGATTCCGCGGGCTTGTTGTCACCCGAGACCCCCCCGGACCCTAAGCAGCCAGCAACCACGATATGTCGACATGATATACATGATATCGTTGTCGTACAGCTACGATCCCTTGACATAGAAACGCTTCAAGGCGCATAACCAAGCACACCGACATGGTCCTGCGTCGCCAGTAAAGCTAGGCAGATCGGCGACGTAACCGCGACCATGACAACTCGAAATCACGACCCGTACGACACTTAGACAACAAAACCCGATCGACCGACTCTATCTCCCTTCATTCGACTACAATCGTCTCGACACCGAAACATACATCACCATGCTCGGACCATCAAAGATCCCGGTCTCTCCATCCCGGAACCGGGTGCCCGTCTATCCCTCCCACTTGCCCACAACGCCTCCTCCTACGTCCGGCTCTTCCCCCTCGCTCGGCGTTCGAAGAGTCAGCTCGCCTGCGACCCACGAACTCAGGTCAGGTGGGAGCACACCTAGAGCTAGAATTCGGAGACCTAGCGAGATGGTAGATGGTCAAGCTCAAAAGAGTCACCAACAGAACGTTTTCGGTACACCACCAGGGACTGGGGCGACGATGGCTTTACCGATCACGCCGAGTACGAGCGGGGAGACGGACGTCTTTACCAGTCCCAAAGGTTCAGGATCAGGATCTGGATCTGGAGCCGGAGCGGGGCTGGCAAGAAGACCTGCCGATAGAAGAAGACCGTCTGGGACGTTACCGGGGGATATTGCCGATCAGCTTTCTCCTGGGCGAAGCTTGCTTCCTCGTCGGATCAGCTCTGACCACGATCGTGCTGCAATAACAACAACAAGCCATCCTCTTCCACCTCGTCGTCCCTCGCAACCTCAGATAGACACATCGTTTCCTCGCCGAAACGTCACCCCTGGCCGGGCTCGAAAACCGCCTGTCAGATCCCCTCATCCTCATTCACAGTCCGACCTAGAAGCAGATACAGAAGCAGGTGACAACTCAAGCATCCAGAGCGGACATCCTTCGGCAAGTTCGTCTAAAGCTGGAACACCGTTGATGGATATTGATGGGGACGGGTTCCCCTTGCCGAACGGCTACAACCCGAACCAAACATACAGTCAGAATCATGGTTATGGCCAGGGGAGCAGCAGGTTACCGGTCCCGAAATCGTCTTCCTCATCGTCCCGCCCGGGGAGCATTCGAAGAGGATCCTCGACATCCGCTCATCAAAGCCTTAATGAGCATAGTCGACCGGGGAGTTCGCGCTCGGATCTGAGCCAATCCAGTTCCCGACCTTCCGACAAGGAAAAGGATAGAGATAGGCCTACAAAGTCTAGACCTGCAACTCCATCGGCTGTTGGATCTCCTTCGCGGTCGATTCGAGCTGGGTCTGAGCGCGGGGTTCCACCGTTACCGGGTCAGAAACTGGACTACAAGTCACCCTCTTCTTCGGCTTCGCCATACGGTTCGCCGAGGGGGTCGACGGACAACCTGCCTGGTCTGCACGGATATGGCAATGGACTGGGGCAAGGAAGTACGCCGGGCGGATCGCGAATACCTCTACTGGGCCCGGTCTTGGGGACGAGAAGGGCTTCTGAGGGTCGAAAGATGAGTTCAGGCGGGACGGATGGGGAAGAGGTGGGTAGGGAGCGATTGGGAGGTTTTGGTGAGTTGAATCATCCCGACGCGTCGCGTTCAGGGTCGGCGATGTCATCGTCATCGGCTGAGGCTTATCCTGGGACGTGGGTGTATGTTGATTTTGTGATCCGGACTAGGTACAGGTTCGGGTTCGAGACGACCTTCAGAATCGATCCTCAGCACCTCGCCTCCTCTCTCACCTACCCGCCGTCGGCTCGGATCAAACTCGGCCCTCTCAACGTCCCCACCACAGTCATACTACAAAGGAGCCATCGTCACTGACCCTTCAAGCGTGGTCATCCCCAATCGAAGATCGTCCATCCCCTCAAACTCTGATCCAAGTTCGATCGCCGCCGTCTCGTACAACGCGTCTACCGGAGTGATTGACCTCAATTCGCCTAATCCGGGTAACGACACTTCGGCTGGCTTTCATCCGGTTGCACCGTCCGTCAGTCCACGGATGAGCAGCCTTCCGCCTTCGCAGATTCCAGGGACGACGAGTAGCGCTGCCTCATCAGCGATGTCCAGCCCGGTTGAGAGGACCGCTCCAGGGCTAGCTGGACTAGGGATCTCGACGGACCACCTCCCGCGTCGTAATTCAGGTTCTATCTCGCCTGTACCGATTCCTATTAAGTCTCCTGCACGGGCCAAGACCCCTACCAACTCGAACCAGTCTAGCCACCTGAAGCGGGACAAGGATGGGTTCCTCGCGCCTGCTCCGCCTGGGACGTACCGCGCGCCAGAAACACGAGGGGGAGTCGACTTGGTAGAGACTCCTGGGGGTAGGAGATCGAAAGGCCCGGAGCACGAGGGGGAGACGGTAGGACAGCGCAGGAACCAGCCGGAATTACGGATAGACCCTCCGGTCCCGCCTGTTCTGAGAGGTCCTTCCCGGAACAACTCGTCGGGGACGTTGTTACAGCCTCCGCCTGGACCTTCGCGGACGTCCAGTCAAGCATCGGTTGGGAGCTCGATCACCCGGTACGCCACGCCGCCTAGCACCATCTCCGGGGTCCCGCTTCACCCTGTCGAGGCGTCGGCAGTCTCTCCAGGAAACAACTTGGCTGCCGGGTCGATGTATACTCGGGTGAACACTGGAGACTTCAAGGATGGGCCGACACCGCCTATCCCGGCTAGAAATCCGTTGAGACGTAGAGCGAGCACGAAGGATGGATCGACGATCAGTCGAAGTCTAACTGGGACGCCGACCGAATCGGATTCTCCGAATATCGAGATCGATGACAAGAAGAACCAGACCTTGCGGCAAGTGCAGAGTCAGGACGTTGGGAGCGGCGATTTGCGTGATAGCGTGGTCTCGGTTTACTCGCAGCCGAGCGCACAACCGTTCTCAGCCAACAGTACCATGTCTTCTGGTTCCGAGACCACGATCGGTCCAGGACTCGGTGCCACCCCTCAGAACAAGCGAGACTTGCGTATCGACGTGACGTCCCGTGTCGCCGTGACCAAGACTGGTGGAGAACCGCCCACCACTGCCGAGATGGTTCGCGTCATGGGCTTTGCAGCCGAACTCGAGGCCAAAGAGAGCGAGGCAGATGCTACCGGTGCCACGACTGTATCGAACCCCAGCCGAGCTGGGCTCCAAGTACCAGACATCCGCAAGACATTACCTGACACGCCAGAGGAAGATACGCCGCGCTCGGGCATCTCGGAGCAAGCGGGTCGGTTACGAGACGAACGATATCGATATCCTCAGCGCGGCGACCCTGCCGTCCGACATGCTGTCTCTCAGTCACAACTACCGTCACCCTCAAAGAGCCCTTCTATGCCGGACTTTGCCTTTGCCGCGGGCGCAAATAGCCATGGATCCCTCTCGTCCACGAATCTGCACGCAAGCTACTCGACGGCACCTCGTGAGAGGCCGGCTCTTCTTTCGCGTCCTTCAAGGCCCCCGATGGTTCACACCCGATCACAATCGAGCCCGGTCTCACCCTTAATCAACGTATCCGAGGCATCGCCGTTGTATTCGCCGAGCAGCATGACGCCGACAACTCGGATGACGAAGCGCGCTCATCTCATTCACGAGATCTGTTCAACGGAGCGATCTTATGCCAATGACCTCGCGCTCATCCGAGACGTCTATCTGCTCAAAGTGGGGCCGTCGTCCGCACAATCAGCCACGTCGACGTTCCTCAGCAAGAGCAGCGGATGGACATCGCCGGGTGAGCACAGCGGCGGCAGTCGACTCTCCGCTTATACCATAGACAGCACAATGACGAGTCGTACGACGCCCGAATCGAGCATGCACGCTGGGAGCAAGCAGGATCTAGGTCAAGTTTACGATTCCAGCGGTCCCAGCGAGAGTACGGTACGGCCGGAAATGGGACGTAGCGCGTCGATCACGTCGAACGGCGCCTGGCCTGGCGGATCGGCCAAACGGAGGTCAGGCATGTACTCGCCTTCTATCGAATCATCACAAGCTGTCCCTGCTCCGCGTCGAAGACATACGGTATCCGAGGTGATCTCGCCTTCTGACACGCGGACGCTGTTCATCAATCTCGAACAGATGGCCGCGTTCGCAGACGAGCTCGCTACGGCGTTCGAGAAGGCGCTTGGGGATGCGACCGGCGCTGAGCCTATCTTGAAGGAAGGTCAAGAAGATCTGATCTCGGACAGGCTCGGCGAGGTCTTCGTCAGCGTAGTAAGTTTCGGTTGGTCTTATAGGTCGAAGCATAATGTCTGACCGCTCATACTATGCCGTCATCGCAGATCCCGAGGATGACCAACATGTACACGGTGTATTGTGCGAGACAGGCGCAAGCCAATACCCGCCTTCTCGAGCTCATGCAGGACGCCAAGACAGCAAGCTATCTTCAAACCTCTTGGGCCTCGATCCAGCCCTTCACCAATGCGTGGGATCTGGGCTCGATGCTGATCAAGCCGGTACAGCGAGTCATGAAGTATCCGCTTCTCTTTGGCGACCTGCTGCACTGTACCTCGCCGGTACATCCAGACTACTTCAACCTCCGCAAGGCGTTCGAGGGGGCGACTTCGATTGCAGGCGAGATCAACGAGGTCAAGCGACGTAAAGATGTGGTTGAGAGGATCATCAGCAAGGACAGCAAGAAACGACCCTCGACGACTGGTTCGACCACTGGTAGCAAGGACGTCAAGGTCTTTGGCATGTCAGCCAAGTTTAGGGAAAAGTTTGGCAAGAGCAAGGACAAGGACAAGGTCGGCTCGTCGATGATGAGCGGGAGCACGGCGAACTTGACGGCGATCGTTCCCGGATCCGAACGACAGCTGTACGAGCTGGTCGGTAGACTAGACGCCGCCGACCAGGTTGTACGCAAGGTCGGCAAGGAGATCAACATGTGGCCCGATAAGGTTAGGGACACGTGGCAGGCGCAAAAGAACATGATGATCAGCTGGACATCGGTGATTCGACTGGACGGGAGCGACTTTGGCGACGAGCGGATCGACATGTATGCCAACATGGTCGACGACCTGATGGACAGGCCGTGGATGCAGTTGGTTAGCCCGATGTGACATTCTAGGATAGATTGCTTCATACTGATCGGTATTTGCCTCGATTACCAGGACAACGACGTACGCAACACGGTCATGCCCATGTTCTCCACTCTGCTTCGCCTCGGTGTCAACCCCAAACGTCTTGTTCAGAAACGCGAATCCCGCCTGACAGACTATACCAAGTTCCAAAGCGCCCGTTCCAAATCCGACGTCAAGGCGCTCGACAAGTCGGTCACTCAGGGCGCAGAGGATTTCGTCGCCCTACACACTCAGCTTTTGGAAGAGCTCCCCGCGTATATCGAGGGGTACAGCAAGATCCTCGAGCTGGCTCTGGCGCAGTTTGCCAACGCCCAAGCGAGATTTTACGATTCGGTGCGGAATAAGCTGAGGGAGTATCTCTTGCTATGGACCGCGGCGGAGGAGGCCGAGTATCACCGTGCGGGTGTGCGAGATCTGGAGATCGAGGTCTTGGATGGACAGAGGATCGTGAAAGGGTGGCACGAGGGTTGGAAACCGTTCATGCAGCAGATAGAGGCATTGAGGATTAGTTATCGTGAGTGGCCGGTCTCGAAATCTGGTGTCAATCCGTAGGGGAAATACAGCGAATTGACGATCTCAAATCTCATCATCAGCCGGCATGAACCGTACCGGAACGACATCCCGCGTTTCATCGCAGACGAGCTCGACCTCCCAACTCCTCCGCAACCCGAGCTATCAGGGTCAGGGTCAGACCCAAAGCCAGAACCAACAACCCCAAGGTCTAGGTATATCTCGCCCGACCGACGTCCCGGGAAACCGAGCCCGCTCGACCTCGTTCCTGACGCGCCGAAAGTTGGAATCGAGACCCAGCTCGATCATCTCTGAAGCACCGTCGATGACGAGGCATCCGAGCGATATCACAGATCGAGCGGAGGTTTCCATGTTGACTACCAGTACGGGAGGGAGGACGGTCGGACCTACGTCGACCGGGTTGATGTCAACTTCGGTACCGTCAACTTCTCACTTCGTGCCCCCTCACCACCACAACAATCATAACCTCCCCCCAACCCCGCTTCTCACCTCGAACCAAAACCCCGGCTTATCCCCCCTCCTCCCCTCTTCCACGTCGATGGACTTCCTAACCCAAAGCCCCTCATTGGGCAACGACGGCAACCCGCTAGAATGGACGGACCAACCGGCATTGTATCAGTGTGCGTGTGTGGCGGACTTCAAGCTGGGCGTCAGGAAGGGAAGGGTTTGGTATGCGGGTTTACCCTTTTTGGATATGGACGAGGGGGACGTCATTGAGTGAGTCCCGGATTTCGTCATCTGACTCTGACGTTGAAACTGCGAATTTGGTGCGATGCTAAAGCAAACCCTTTTTTTCTCCTTGTTCGTGCATCTCGTAGTATCCTCAACGAAGTCGGTCGGGTGGATCAACTGGCCGACCTGCCCATCGACGTCGGGGTCCCGGACGACGGGCTGTTGGTAGGGAAATCTATGGAGGGTAATGTGGGACTTATATTATGCTCGTTCTTGGAACCATTACGTTGAGGCTGGGTAATGGATGCAAACGGAGGCGGACAAGCAAGATCTCAGAAACAGGGGCAAAATGGGGAGATCTATACAGTAGACCCAAGATCCGCTTCGCGCGGCAGATTTAACGAAGGACAGTCGAGTGGTTGTAGATACGTTTTGTACGACGGTTAGGGTGAATGGATTGTATATCTCTCTCGATCTCTCGAGGTATGGTAGAACTGCATATAGCTATAGATATACCCCCCTTATCTGCGCGGTGGATACCCCTTGCAATGAAGATGTGAACAGCACATGTGATGGTCAGCACGTGTATAATGGCAGACCATATACTATCACCCTTCAAAAATGGTCGTACATGTGGCCTTATTACTGCTTACCTCGCCCAGCTCATGATTGTTCAATAATATCTCGTTGACTGCAGCAAAACGGTGCGTGCGAGACCGAATTGAAGACCGTTGCGGCCTTGACCACCGGGACTGCCGCTTCGAAGTGAGCAAAGTCTTCATCCTTGATGTTTAAGAGATAAGTGACGGTTGGGCGCCAGATGCTGGAGTATCGGTTTGGGTGGAGATGGTTGGCGGCAAGATGTGCGTCCTCCTCGGCCGAAGACGAGCATATTTGTGTAAATGCTCATTGACTAGGCTCGGGCAAGAACCGACATGAGCCCGATGTGAAACGCAATAGGGATATCGATTTTCAAGGTGGTTAGGTAGTCCTGTAGCTTGAGAACAGTTCGTCGGGGTTTGGTGATAGCGAGCCGGCCAAAGTGTCGGTTTTGATGAAGGATCATATGATCGCGGGGATGAATTCAATGGAGACAGCCATGCAAGGACTTGGGCTACCCATGGTTGGTGGCGTACGGAGAGTTTGATGGCAAAGGGTATATCGCGCGGGTGCTGTCTCGTACGTGTAGTAGAATGTGTACGAATGCGATGAGTAATGATTGCGAACATGATGGACCGCATATTACATCGGAAATCAGAAATCTGCTGAATGTGATCTTGCTCGTGCCGGAGGTGGACAGCCGTAGTGCGCTCGCACAGGGAACGCCTGTCAACGCAGGCAACTACACCTTGAGACCCCCCCTCTGATTGTACAGCAGCACGCTCTAGCAGTTCTGTCTAGGATGCCATCTGTACGCGCATGCTACCCCTCGATGGATGATATCGCCTCCTGTACATCTCGACATGTCGACAAGATACCCTGAACATTGCAATAAGTAGTAGTCTCACTCTGCCTCTAGTCTGTTGTGGCGTCGAGAGACGATGAATATGCTTCCGACGTTGATCTGCTTCCGAAGAGCACGACCTCGACCTTTTGCAGGATCGTGGTATCATTTGTTTGCACTTGCCGCTACCGTTCGATGGAATTGATCTGAACTGCTCTTGAACAGCTCTGCCTCTCCCTCTCGGTAGAGAATACAGCTATAATACCTCCCGGCATGACGACCTCTCAATCCAAAAGTGACCCCTTCCCGCACGGCAAGCCAAACCATGACCTGCTGCAAAATCTCTCGTTCATGTACCAGGCCAACGTCTACCTGAACGGGCTCGGCTTACGGCCGGCTCAAAGCCAGACAACTGAAGCTGGACCTAGTCGTCTTGGAAGCGAGGGAAAGCATCAGGGCTCGCACCTAGGCAATTCGAAGTCGGTAAACCGGGAGCAGGTATCTTTGTGTGCGATCTCCCGTCGAGCCAACCGGGGTTACGAGTATGCGGCTGAGCACTCCATGCTCAAGACGTGAGTCGTCCAGGCAGAGGGAGGTGAAGTTTCTGCACGAGTTGACTTGCCGTCCGTCTTCAATTCTCGTAGTGATCCGAGCATCAAGAGAACGTTTTGCTCGAAATGCTATACCGTCCTTGTTCCTGGCTTGACAAGCAAGACCCGGGTGAAAGGTGAGCAACCAGAAGAGAATCAGGAATAAGACGTCAGCTCATCATGTCTTCTTTGCGCTTGACCGATATGGAGCAGTCTCAAAGAAACAGCCTCACCGGATGTCCACGACGTGTCTCCACTGTACCTCTCAATCCTCCCTCCTGGCTCCTCCTCACAACCCTCCCCCCGATCTTGAACCGGCGACTACCGAACAGCCTATCTCTAGTAAAACGCACACAACGAAGCCCTTAGATGGACCTACCCGTCGACAACGCCGCGGAAGACTCGTCCGGCCCGTACCATTCTGGCAACGTCCCGATCACCTCGTCGTACCGACCAACGAGCTGCATCGATATGTTCCCCCTGCGGGTGCCGGAGGGAAGGAGAACAATAAAAGACAACCCAAGCAGGAAAAGGGTCAGGGAAAGAACAAGGGTCTGGCCAAGGCCGAGGCACAGGTTGGAAAAGCTGAGCGCAAGCAGAAGGGCAAGAAGGATTTCGTGCTAGAAACGACTAATACGATTTCAAAGGCGGTCCCCCCTCATACTCAACCTGTTGCGATCTCCGCCGAGATGGACGAAGAGGAGATGATGAACATGCTGTAATTATAATCACCCATCCTCTCTATCGTTGTACGATATTACAAATACAATCGACCTTATCCGCCCTGCCTCTATAACCCACCCGCCTTCCAACTACCCCTAAAGTCGTGGACGACGTCGGCCTGCTCATCGTCCCGCCCCTTTGCCTTGAAATCCGGTTGACCGCCAGGAGAAAAGGCCGTGATCGGGAGTATGAGGACCTCCCCGATACGCATGGGGTGGTCCAGCGCTCGAAGGTCGTGCCACGTGATCCCGTACCGTGCGAGGAGATACGAGAAGACCGAGTCTGACCAGAGTCCCGGGCCTGTGTGCTCCATGCTACCGAAGGCGACGAGTCCGTTCAAGTATAAGTCGACGCGACCAGGGCGGATTATCCAAATCCCGGCTACAGCCAACAAGCACGACTCACATCGGCAAGATCCCCTGTTGCGTCCGTATCATCTTCTTCATCTTCTTCACCTGAGCTTTCCAACCGTTAGGTCGTTCGTCTTTGAGCCTGACGATCTCCTCAGGCAGGACGACCTCGATCTGATGGGCGATGTATTGGGTGGCGTTGACTACCCTTCTCACGGCATCGACGTAGATCGGATGATGAGGTGCTCCGGAGAGCGTCCATTGGCAGATCCCGAGCGGTCTCGGCCAGGACTAGACGGGTTTACACATCGAGTTGGCAGTTAGATTACGTTAATCGGTAATTGCCATCTCCCTTGAACCTACTTTACCCCAGTCCAATAATTGATGACTATCGTTAGAAAAAGGAGAACCTGAACCCCGCTCAGTACTGCGCGCGTGACCCGGTTGCTCAATCACCTCTTAGGACTCACACATCCACATCGATAGCGACCACCACACTCGGTTCTGTCGTTTCTACCACCTTGACCCAATCTTCCTTAGGACCATCCGTCGAGGAGATATCGTATATCTCTGGCTTGATCCTGCCCCAGTCGTCGATCGGTCGGAGCGGATACGTCTGCGTTGGAAAGGGCCCGTAAGACGAGGTTCAGTGTTGGCCGACTTGGAAAATGCAATTCAAGGTCTCGTGAGACGTTGACTTACATCGACATCGGAGTACTGTTTCGGTAGAAAATGAAATTCAGGTCAACGCCTATTGAGACCCATGAACGATCGGGCTTGTCGAGTCTTGAGAGAGAGAGAGGAAACTCACCACACCCCCTTCGAGCAGGACGACCAAGTATCGGAAAAAGTCTGCTCGCATGACCCCTCGCTTCATGTACTCCCACGCCCACATGACGCCGCGTTCTGATACGCTAGGCGCCGCCCGGGAGTCCAGTTCGACCAGGTTGAAACCCTTGTCCGACGACTCATCCGGATTCGAGGCCGAGGTCGAGATCGGAAACGTGGTTTCTGGCTGGATCGTTTCTGTCGGATCTATCGACCCAACAGCATCGTCGATCGGATTCCACTTGGCCTTGCCTTCTATCCACCTCAAAGCCTGCTCGTCGTTGTAGAACTTCCATTCCCACCCGTTTTCCTCGTGCATATCTCTCCATTTCTTTACCCGCTTATCTTCCGGGTCGTATGTCTTGTCGGTCTGATGGATCATCTTGAAGTCGAGCATGCCCGGCTTGTCAGAGTCCGGGTGGCCAAAAGGCAAGGTATATGCAGAGAGAGCAGGGATGAGAAGAGAAGATGTATGTGGTGGAAAGGATCCTCGAAGAAACGAGTTTAGGGTAGAGAGATATCTAAGCGGTTTGAGTGCTGTCAGCCTTAGTAGTCCCGTACACAGCGATCCGGTTGGTGCTCACTCGTCCATCCGCTCTCCTAGCAGGTGATACCGATCCTCTGCTTCTTGACCTAGATCTGCCAGCGTGACTCGATCTAGCTCGACATCCTCATCAGAGAGTAACGCAAGCTCGGAGCCCTCTTGCTGCTTCGAGTCCTCTCTTGACCCGGGATCTGTCTCCAGCACCTCTCCCTCTAAGCCGACCTCGTTTCCTGGAACATGGACTTCCTTTCCCGAATTCTTGACGTCCACTCCCAAATCCAGGTCCGAACCTGCTTCATTCCCACCCGTGAACAGCCATAAGTAGACTCCTGCCGTACTCAACGCTATACAAGCGAGAATCAGGGTATTCCACGCTCTTCTCGTCAAGTTGGGTAAGAAGGACGAGGACGACGTCGACGGTCCTTTGTTTTGTTGACCGAGTGGCAGCGGGAGGTAACCACCCCCCGATCTCGTCGAGAGGAATGCGAATGGGTTCCTCATCTCGTCGGTCCGTCGAGGTGTGGTCTGGGCTGACGTATCATTATTGCTGATAGATATATCGCATCGTCGATATCGAATCTATCGATGAGTGATGAGTGAACAAGAGTCGAGAGCTGACTGCGAGTGCGAGGGACGGCCAAGTCCGCATGGTCGATCGACGATCGAGGTCACGTGATTGCGTGACGACAGGTATGGGTGTGTACTAGTAATCACCTTGTAACTTGCTATGACTTGTATACAGCTCCTTGAAAGCCGTACGCAACCGGAATCTTGGTACCTTTGCTGCTACGACTCGACCGAGCCGGACTGACTTTGGATACAGTCGATCACATCATGTACGTCCGGTTTCAACCTAGCGCACCTGGCGCCAGCTCGAGGTTCGCATGCGGTTTCTCGCTTCGGCTGGTGCTGTGTGTGGTATCTCTATAGACTTGTTGCGGCTCGTGAGCTAGTGTACAAACGTACAAGTGTACGGGAGATGTACTACTCGGATGTCCAATCTCAAGGTACATCCATGCCGTCATGTACACTAACATGCGCATGCATGCTGCTAATGTGAGACTGTGGTCTTCGGGAGCAATTAATCTAAATCTGATATTCTGACGAAACTGGCTCACGTAAAGGCAATCCAAGTCAGACCTATCGCCCCTTTGAACAACATCAACCCTTGCTTGCGGTCTTCTAATAACTAGTACCACTGACGACACCTCATAATTATAGTCTGATGATACGATAATACCATGCGATAAATCAGGCAGGCCAGCATCGCTAACATACCCGGCTCGTCATCATGCAGTCATTCTCATATCCATCGAGAAGGGCAAGACCCGACAGGGATATCGAGATGGACATGACCCCTTCAGTTCCCGAACCTAGCACGTCCTCGACTCTCCCCTCACACCTCCGTTCAGAGGTAACACCCAGCAGCAGTGGGATCCTCCTGGACCGGACCGAATCGTTCGATACCGCCGCAGAACTGGAGATCAAGCTCAAGGACCGCACCGCGAGATCGAAATCTAAACCTAGATCTGGGAATCGGGTCCGGTTGAATTCGACGCCCGTACAGGTTTCGCATGCTAGGGACTCTAGAGTCTCTGGGCCGCCTACACCTGAATTGGAGGTAGAGCCTGTACGCGGAGAGGACGGGCGGACCGATGGGTGGACTGGGCAGGAGAAGACGAGGATAGACTTGGGATCCTCCAGACCCATATCCTCCGAAACTGCAGTGGATGCGGAAAAGGCTCCAAGAGCTTCTCCTGCAGCCTCATCACCTTCCGCAAAAGAATCCAACTCACCAGCAAAGTCCGGGGAAGACCCTAAGGCGAACCTGATGCCAAAGCCGCTCTGGAGAAAAGGTCTCGACAGGTTCACCGTGGCGTTCTGGGCGAACCGACATGTAATGTGGATATGGCCCAAGATGAAGGATTGGAACGAGATGAAGCCTGTCATTCGGTGCGCTGTCGCCGTGAGTAGATGAACGTGATTTTGGATTATGAATGTAAATGAAAGAGAAAGTCGTGACTAAGCGGTGAACGAGACCCCTGCTTTCCTTCTTTCAGGCATGGATCGGGTTTGTGTTCCTCTTGATCTATCCTGTCGAACAGGCTATGGGACAAGCAGCCTTCTTTGCGTTGATCGTGGCCTTTATCGCACCTCCGAACCTTCCGTAAGCAGTTCCAGCTTTTCATACACCTCGACCGCGTCAACTCAAAACCCACAACGACCTTCGCCTTCCTCTACAGCTTCATCCAGGCGCTCGAACAGATTTTCTTCCTCTTCTTCTTCGTCGGTCTAGCCTGGGCCTGGGTCGTCCTCGCCGGCCTGTGCGTCAACAGGGCCCGAACGGGAAACTATAGTCAAAGTCGTCTCCAAGCGAATCAAGAGAAATACGCTTATCTACAAGAGACGGACCCGACGCAGTACGGGAGGAGGATCATCTTTGAAGGGTCTTATATCGAAGCTGGGCCGGCTATCATCTGCGGTGCTTTTTTAGGGGTGGGATGTGCTTTCTATGTGAGTCACAAAAGTCAAAGTATTTCTTATCAGATAACGTTGAAAGCGAACCTCAATATTCCACCGCTCCAGGCTTGGCTCAAGATTCATACGCAACCTGCGCCATTTACTTTCGCCTTGGTCCTCGGGTGTGTTCTGATGGACGTCTCTCTGACGATCATGCACCTGTTTCCATACAGTTATCTGACATCGTAAGTGGTGAGGACTGATTCTGAGCAGAACAATCTAGCTGACCTCCAGTTTGAATGACTTGTCCGATCAAGAGGACTGCTCTTCATGCTAGTAAGCCTGGCTGATCTCGCGCAAGCGGATATCGCACGCTGACACATTATATGTCACACTATGCAGCCAATGTCGATCCAGCTCGGACTCGCCGTCCTCTGCTCGATCTTTGTCTTTCCGGAAAGCGTCGGGTCGAGCTTTACGCGCAAGATGGATGGTGTATTGAAGCCTATCATGAGCGCGACCGATGACCTGAAACACCTTTTTGACGATGTCAAGCAATCGAGGGATCAGAGGCTTGAGCTGGATCGCTCGGATTCCGATCCCACCGTCTTTGGCTCGGACGCTGCATCCCTCGAGGAAGACGAAAAGGCAGACATGAAGCGAGAGAATCTGATAAAATGGGCCAAAACGGGTGCTTGTATACGGGAAAAGTTCATCAACAGTGGGGCTGGCCTGGGACCATTGAAAGGGCAAGAACACTACCTCGCCAAGGAATTGGCCTTCTCACGGTATAGCGGGACCGATATCCAGGAGCTTTTCGTCCCCATCCAGAACGTGCAGCTACGTAGCGCAGGGCTCAGCTTCTTTTTCGACGTTTTGGCATCGGCTATTCAACATACGCATCTGAACTCGCAGGCCTTTAACGTGGCTGATTCTCGACCTGTGACGCCAGTATCAAGTCGACCTGCCTCGCTGCACGAGGAGAGACGGTCTTCGAAACATGTGGTCTCGCCTCTGGCGGATGATCATCACGATCGCGAGTCGTCGACGCCTTTGGGTTCGCCCAGCGAGTTTGCGGAATCTGACGAGCACGACATCGGTCGACCGGATCTGTCCACACGGTCTCACTCGTACAGCCTGCGAAAACGACTCCACTTGCCGTTCGACTGGCATCGGAGTTCGGGGTCTCATGGTTCACCACGTACTTTCAGTTTTGGCGACAAGGTGGCGAGCCATACTTCGCTTATGGATCATTTGCGGAAGAATCAGGCGCCAGTCGGCATATTTGAGAGCATGAAATACCTCGAGATGGAACGTAGTCAAGGAGGGTCAGTCGCAATCGGGAGCTTGCATGATTGTCTTGATTGCTGATGGATCTGCGCCGTAGTGATGTCGACCATGTGACGCAAGAGATGGAATTACTGGCCGTCGCTGTCGAGCCACTGATTGAACAGCTTCGAGCAAGTATGGGAACGGCCTCAACGTGGCTTTCCAAGGCAAATAAGGACCGATCGCTATACAAGGCAGCCCTCTCGATCGTGAGAAGCCAGGCAATCAAATCGAAACCCGCAGAAGAGCGAGAAGAGCATCGGCAATCTATGAAAATGCTCGAGGCGCGACTGAACGAATTTAGGACTCATGACCGCCTCAAGATTATCGAGCCATACCGACACCTTCTCGATCCGTCTCACCCTCCCTCGGATCAGTTCGACTACAAAAAGCTCAAGCACCGGGCCCTGTTCTGGGGTTTCTTATTCAGCTACCATATCTCAGAGTTCTCCGGAGCGGTATTGGAGGTCTTGCAGAAGCAGGAGGCGCTAGACGAATTGCGTCCCAAGGCGTCTTTCTGGTGGCCAACGATCTCCTTCACATTTACGTACTTCGCTCGGAAGCAGGCCGCAGGCGGTGAAGAAGGCGGGGATGTCAGCGATGATACTGATCCGGGTAAGCACGTTGTTCCTGAACAGTCGATGGTCAACGTCCTGATCAGACTCCGATACGCAGACCATACCCTGAATGACGCTAGCGAACCCCTATTGGGACAAGCGAAACGTCGAGATCCCGATACGATGCCCTTTGACAGTCCACTCTTGAACGGTCTACGGTACCTTGACAAAGGACTTGCCTTTTGGACGAAACCGGAAGCTTTATTTGCTCTGAAAGCCGGGTTGCTTACCGTGGCCGTGGCGGCACCGGCCTATGTTCCCAACACAGCTGGGTGTGTACCTCCTTGTTTCGGAAGAATTGTTGGCAAGATTGAGCTGATATCGGGCTGTTCTTTCGGAATGTAGCTTTTGGTACTATAACAGGGTACGATACAAGAAGGAGTTTGTAGTGGCATGTTGCTAATATATCACGCACGTGCACGAACAGGCTCTCTGGTGTCTGGTCATGGCCCAACTGACCTTGGCCGTCAACTCAGGTGACACGATCGCCGCCTTTCTACAGCGTCTACAAGCCTCGTTCTGGGGCTGTCTCGTCGGTCTGGTACTTTGGTACATCTCATCTGGAAGCGGAATGGGAAATCGCTATGGTCTCGGTGCCGTTACCGCCGTTGCCTTCATCCCGCTCATGTCGCTACGGGTACTCTGGGGTCCTGGGACACCCTTGGTGTCGATCCTGTTCACAGTCTCGGCAGGCTTAGTCGTCGGTTACAGTTGGATCAATACCTCTCTCTTCCAGGCGACAGATGTGACCTACGGCTGGTCCACCGCTTGGAGACGGTACGTTTGGACTGGCTGCCAGGCTGTGTTGTCGCGCAGACGGTGGTGTTAATCTAGCCTACTTTTTTGATAGCTTCGTCACTGTCATCATCGGCACTACCGCCGCCATGATCGTCTCCCAGCTCCCGCCTGTCCAGTCTGGCAAACGTCAAATCCGACTGAGCTATAGCAGTACGATCAGTCAGATCGGCAACGTCCTGTGTGACGTCTTGTCCGAGATGCACGACCCGCATCGACAAGAGGAAGTTCCTGTTCGGGACAAGGTCTTGGCCTTGAAGCGCAAGCTAGCGAAGTTGGGTGCGAGGCACGCTACGATCGGGTTCGAGGTCTCTTTACGAGGGATGTGGCCAGCAGCGAGGTATCAAGCTCTGCAAGACGTCTGCGTCGACCTGGTCGGTCTGCTTTCCCAGCTCAACCACGTCTCTGCGTGAGTGTTCCTTTGCTTGCCGGGCTGCCAACGTGTGTCGCGCTGATGACGCTGATCTCGGGTACAGGGACATGCCATATGTCTGGAAACGGGCAGTCCTTCAACGAACCCGGTTATCTGACAGCCAGTTCATTGGCGACTTGTTGGCGGTGATCTGTGGGTCCAAGCAGAAACCTTAAAAACGACCAGTGCGTATTCCTTAGTACTAACTCGATTGATCCTGGCCCTCGGTTTTGCTTGGTAGCGATGTGTGCCTCGGCCCTAAAATCTGGAACACCCCTGCCCCAGGTCACTCCAGGTCCTCTAGTCGAACGTCTTGTAGGTCCGATAACGCACGAGTTTGGGAGGTCGATGGCTTACATCCCGATTCGAAAACAGTTCTCGCAGGGTTACGGGTTGGAGGTCGTCTCTGGCAGATGGGATGAGGATGCGAGTCTACCGAAACACGTCACTGTGGACGTGCTCGAAAGTGGTAAGACGAGCGTTTCTCAGCTTCGCCCGATGCTGCTTTGAGTTGATGTCTGACGTGACGTGACTTGCCGCTACTTTTTGAGCAGATGAGTATTTGCGTTACGCAATCTCGGCTACGTGTATCTTTTCGATGTAAGTGCCCTGAACCTCTGTTACCCATAGGCTACTGTGGTCGTGCAGGGGACTGACATCGATCTCTTTACAGTGTGAGACGTTTCGACCGATTGTTGCTGGTCTTGAAGACCATCGTCGGCGAGGAGTTTCATCTGGATCACTTGGATATGATGGAAAGGTACGCATGAAGAACAAGGGCAGAACAGAACAGGAGCAAAATCAAGGTTGTTTAGTTATTGTATCTCGTATAAAAACGGACGGAAGGGTTCGTTTACTAATTACTGTAGCATCAGAAAGGCTGTTCTCGTACATCGCGTGATCGCACGAGAAGGGTCTTCTCACAAAGGAAACACCGATCAGGGCAAGTGTTTGACGAGACGGACCCAATGTACAAAACGAATAGGCGGTCACACGAATACCTGCGCGACGTGATGATGCATATCATCAAAACAGAGTACAGTACCTTTTCAGACCATCATGTCCCTGAATCTCGCTCGACATGTTGCTCACAACGTTCTGCGTCGTCCCGGATGCATCGTGACGCGTCGAAACGTTCCTCCGACGCAGATAACGACCGCGAGCCCATATCTCGTCGACGTCGATCTCTTTGACGGCCCGGTGGACTGGTCGGATCGGCTCGACTTGCCCTGGTACGACCGAGGGGGTTACCGGGAGCCGGGATCGGCCCCATCAAGGGGAACCGAACATTCTCAAGCCATACCGACAGCCTCCCTCGATCGCCACCATGCCTGATACTGTAGGACCCTGTCGTTGACCGGGTTCAGGCACGTCTGAAAGATGTGTTTGTGTGTGTGTGACGAATATTGTGATGCGGTGATGGTGATCACCTCGATTTGTATCGCTGTAGTCACCGTTACACGGACCGAACAAACGAATCCGAGATGTACCGTGACAGGCGAGAGAGAGGAAGAAGGGTCGAGCGAGCGGGATTACCTCTTCATCATCCCGGATCGACCGGGTGAATCAGGCACGAAAAGCAGCGCCGATCCCTCGCCCTCCCCTCCCTCGCGCCCCTCCGACCAGCCCCCGCGCCGCACGCAGACCCCGGCGGCGACGGTGAGATTCGAATTTTGTGAGACAATCATCGATCTGATTCATATCCCAGGGCTGAGGGACACGGACGATAAGTACAAGTTCGCCAGACGTTCGGTTCAACTTCAGGGCGATAGGGGGAACCGCGATCGACCTCGGGCTTCTCAGGTTCGCCGTCCCCTTGTGTGCTCATGTCGTCTATAGTCAAGTCGAGGCCGTCATGGCCGCACAAGCAATCTCTCATCGACTACTAAAGTATTCGAAGGGCCGCATCACGTCCTTCCCAATCCCGCTGGACTACCTCATCAGTAGTACAGATCGTACAGACCGACTTCCGCACGCACGATATCTACGATCACGTGAATCCACTTGACCCCTCGTTATGGGTCTTTTCAACTTGAAGAAACGCTCAAAGGACAAGACGCCCAGTCCTTCGATCCCGTCATCGCCGTCTTTCTCGAGCTTTTCCCTCGGTCGGCGGTCGGCCCCGACGTCCCCTGCCATCCATGAGCAACCGAATCCATTGGCCAGCCCGATCGTACAACAGCCAGTGGTTGTCGTCGCAGCCGCCCCTGCGCCGCCCGCTGTCCCGAGCAAACCGTCGACCAAGCTCAATGTTCTCCTCGACCCCTTGCCCAGGGGAACTGGGCTCCCGGAAGCTGCCAATGGGATCATGCAGATCTCGGTCGAGGACGATGCCGATATCGACGAGGTCGCCGACGAGATCAAGCGAGCGTTGAGACTTCCTCGAGGCGTCTCGATAGGGTGTTACAAGGTGGCCATCCCCATCGACGCCCACCATTCTTCCAAGAAGTTTATCGCCCGAAACCCTTCTACGCCGGTCCACCTCGTCTCTCATTTCCCTTCGTACAACCTCTCGGACCACACCCAGCTCGGACCGTCTCTGCAATCCTCTTCGCCATGCCAGTCGAGGTGTTCCCAGGAGAGTCATCGGGATGGCAAGTCGACGACAGTGCACGATTGGTGGCCCCACCCGCGAGAGGTCAAGGAGGATGAGATTCAGGTGCTGGTCAGGCTAGGAGAAGCCGAGGAGGACCTCCCACCCCTCACCTTGCTCGTACATTTCGCCCGTCCTGCCAGTTCCAGCTCGGGATCCACTTCACGTCGTAGCCCTTCCCCTTCCCCTGCTCTGCCTCAACAACGCCCACGTCATACCCGCGGACCGTCGACCTCGTCCCTCTATTCTCCCACGCTCGAACAAGAGGAGATTCCTCATCCCCCGATCGCGTTGGACGTGCGTCGTGACGCTCGAGTAGAAGACGTCCTGGACGACCTGGTCCGCGCCGATGGGCGACCTGGAGGTGTAGAGAGGTTGAGGGAAAAGATGGTCCTCTGGAGGGTAGATATGAGCTGGAAGGAGATGTTGAACTGTGAACGCTTCGGAGGGCTGAGGACGGGGGATATGCCCTGGCCGTGAGTATCGGGTTTTCGCAATGTTCGATATATATCGTATTAAAGTCGCTCATTCCGCCCCCACATTCCTATAGATACCCACCCAATGCGCCCGAACCGGTCGCTGTTACAGACTATTCCAAGCCCATCTCGCATACCTTTCCAGCATACACGTCCAACTTGAACCTCGTCTCGCTGTTCGTCTACATCAAACCCGAGGCTCAACGGGAACTCGCCAGGATCTCTTCCTCGTCATCTTCTTCGGTGGAGACGTTCGTGTACCCGCCGCGACCAGCTGTGATCCCGCACCAACATCACAGTTCTCCGTCGATCCCAACATCGGGGTCGATCGTGGGTGGCGAGGAAGTGGTAGAAGGAGAATCTTCTTTAAAGATGGAAAGACGAAGAAGACGAGGAGCTTCCAGTCGACCGTCCACCGCACCCAGTCTAGGGTCTTCTTCTGGGTTCGGATTCTCTTCCCCGCTCGCTTCTTCGTCAACATCGTCGGGCGCCACGGCCTCGACGACCGGGATCCCAGCGTTTGGAAGACCGAGAAAGACGGGGTACAACTCGACCGTCTGCGCTGAGACTCAGGACGACTTACCGCTAGGACAGAGTCCGTTGGAGCTCGATGGCGGGGTGCATTTGCGTGCTCGGACCATGACCAGTAGACCTCGATCGATGTTCGGCGGACGTCGCCAGGAAGACGATGACGAGGACGAATCGGACCATCAAACCCGTCGCGATCTCCGGGGACAGAAGATGGAACTCAACCTCGAAGCTCTTCGTCGGCTAGACCTCGACACGAACGGGGAGAAGCAAGAGGTCTTGTCGGACGAACATGAACCCGAGCTCGTGTCTTCCAGCTCTGCTTCGGCTCGGACGGGTTCGATCTCGATGCCGCCTACGCCTCAGTACGAGTTGGCCGGTATGGACTTTGGCATGCCTGGAGGCAAGGAAGGGCTCGTTCTAGGGGACCGAAGGGGGAGGGAGTTGAGGATGTGGGGTTGAGATGGACAATGGATGTGAATAGGTTTCGACAGAGAGATCACGACACGTTGTACAAACGAAGAAACTTTATTATACCCGATTTGCCAATGGACGATTCTATATTTCGATTGTACAATTTCAATGCAATAATGCAACGCGCAACAACACGTTCTGCCGAGTATATAAGCAGCAACACCGCACGACCTCTAAATAGCAAGACGAAACGGCATCCAGCTACGCAGCTGCTACGAGGTGAAAGAGGTGAAGCGACGATAATAGGACAAGCATCGAATTAGCACTTGAACCTGCGCCGAAGATTGTGTAGTCGATCTTCAATCGCACTGCGAGACGAAGCACAGCCCATATTCGAGATGGACGTGGTCCTGATGAAACGCACACGTCTCCATCGGGAACATGTCGAATGCGACAGAAATTACAGAAACGAAACGCGCGGCGACGCGTCGAGGGATCGAGGGAGAAGCAGAGGGGAGGGAAACGCACGCGGAAGCAGATCCTTGGTGATGCCGAGAGTCGCGTTGTTCGGACGCTATTGTTGCTGTGGGAGATTTGATTCCGATTTCCGCATCCGGTCGCAAGGGGGATCGAATGGATGATGATCGACTTGTTCTTTGTCTCCCCGCCATCTCGATGAGGAGTGTATCTCTTGTCTTCGAGACAAAAGGAGCACAAAGACGTCACTAACAAGAGGGTGGGGTTACGTTGTGAAACATGAGATGGCGAGAGCCGAGGCAAGCGGACGATGATGCTGCGTGGGATGGAGCTGCGACTTGGTGTGTGTGTGGGTGATGCGGCGGCATCTTTTCTGTTTTGTTGCTTTTGTGTGTGTGACGCCGAGGGAGAGAGGACGCGCTCTTCGCCGGTTTCGATCAAAACACAGACAGTCGACCTCGACCTCGCTCTTTATACAACATCATCATCCTCTTGCTCCTTTTGTTACTACAATTCCATCTCTCGGTCTCTTGTTCGAATCTGTACATCTCTCGCTCTCAACTTTCCGGACAACTAGGAAGAATCGCAGGTCGATTTCTCCACGCACATACCAGCAACTCTCGCTCTTTTTCCATCACCAATCACTTGACTACATCTCGACCGGCTCGCAATCGCAGCAATCACATCAACAGACCATAGACATACACAACGACGCTCTATCTAGACCAATAGAACTCGACAAATAGACTGCTAGACAGTTTTCTATACCACACATACCACATCTCAACAGCTAGCTCTCGATCAGACCGGTTCTGATCACATCGACCTAGACTAGACCAAATCACCTTCACTCGACAAAACACAGCACCGCCACCCACACATTAGATACAACCAGTCATCAAAGATGTTCGCCAAATCGACTATCGCCATTCAGCTCGTCCTCGTCTCCCTCCTCGCCATCCTCGCCCAGGCCCGGCCTACCTTCGTGCCCAACCCGGCTATGAACCCCGAACCGTTCACCTTTGACGCTCCTGCAAAGGCCGAAAACGTTCAAGTCAAAGCCCAAGCTGACACTCCGGCTCAAGCTCGGAACCTTGGCTGGCACGGTCGAGCAGCTTACAACCCTTTCCACCCTGATAACCTCCGAGCGGCCGCCTTGAAGGGTCAGCAGGACCAGGTCCGAAGGGAGGTTTCCGGCCATGCCGGGTTGAAGAAGAGGGGGATCAGGAAGATCTCGAGGAAGAGGGCTTGTGCGGCCAAGACTACTGCTGCGACCGCTACGGGCGTTGCTAGCAGTACCGTTGTCACTTCGACCGCAGCGTCGACCTCGAAAGCCCAGTCTGAAGGAGGTCAGGCTACTGTCGGAGTGCCCGTTCAGTCGTCAGCGTCTTCTGCGGCGGCTTCGGCTTCGACGTCGGCCTCGGCGTCGTTGCCCATCCAGAACGGAGCCGTCATCCCGACCTCTACGCTCCTTCGACCTTCTTCCTCTCAGGCCGCTTCTACCCAGCGACCGGCTACCTCTTCCTCCGCCCCTGTTTCTTCCACGCAGAAGACCTCCACTGCTGCGCCTGTGCCTACCACTTCTACCACCTCCTCGGCCGCTCCTGCGACCACCTCCGCTGCGTCGTCCGGCTTCAAATCCGTCGACCCGGAGGGCAACGGACCTTTTAACGGGGAGACGACTTATTACGTCTTGGGAACGGATGGGAACGCGATCGGGGCTTGTGGGACCAACTTGGTCGATAGCGATTTGGTAAGTGCCCGAACTCCTAGCTAGTCCGACCTGATTGTTGAGAAGAAGAAGCGAGCAAGAAAGCTGATTATTTTACTATCCATGCATGTTCTCTTGCGCTCAATATCGACTCTGTGTGATGGGCCACTATTATAGATCGCCGCGGCCTCGGAATACTTGTTCGACTCGTGGCCCGGTTCGAACGGGAACCCCAACCAAAACCCCATCTGCGGGCAGTTCGCCAAGGTTTCTTGTAAGTGCCCGCATCTCATTCCTCGGTTACGTTTTCTGCACAGAGGCCATATGCTGACACATTACACTGTGTTCTCGCTGCGATAATCCTCGGCGCAGACCAAGGAAAGTCCGTTGTCGTCCGAATTGCAGACCGATGCCCTGGATGTGAAAAGAGACACCTCGACTTGAGCCCCTCGGCGTTCACGCAGTTGGCGGACGAGTCGGTCGGATTGATGGACGTCACCTGGGAGTGGGTCGGGAGCGCCAGTGGTTAGACGGAGTTGGACTGTTAACGAGAAAGAGACAGTCGAAGTCGAAGTCGAAGTCGAAGTCGAAGTCGGACTGCCGGTTGGTCTGATGAGACTGTAGTAGTATCACGGCGTTCCGGCTAGCCCGGACGTTCAATAGAGAATTATTGTCATGTTGTACTGGATCATTGACGAGTCGCAGGGTTGGTCCTGGCGACCGATCTTGCCTCTATATGGTATCTCAATGTACAATATCTCTCTGTGTGTGTGGTGTCGTCCGCCTCGGCGATTGGAGCGGGAAACCACCCAACTGACCGGAGGCCCTATGCTGATGTTTATGTTGTGACACAATAGCTACGCCGGCTTAGATGATATCAGAGTCCCGACTGGTATGGCCTGCATTGAAAGATACTACTTAGAGCACCAAGGCAGATACATGCGCTCTCTGACGCCCTACAAATCCAACCCATCTCTCTCGGCCTCACTGGACACAGAAGCCGCTATCCCACTTTGTATCGATAAACCCCTATAGCAGGAGGTGCCCGATCACTGTCATAATCTTATACGTTTTCTCTTGGCTTTCTCGCCGTGCTAGAATTCTCCTCCAGCTGTAAGCGTATAGTTGACATCGCTACTGAGCTACTGCACTCGACCGAGATGGGCATTGTATGTGCTGAGGATGATTGATAGATCTTGTATGTTACAAAATCAGGCCAAACATGGAAGTGGCACTAGTATAGTGGTTAGTACTTCTCGTTGTGGCGTCTAGACGAAACCGAGAGGACCCAGATTCGATTTCTGGGTGCCACATCCTTTTTTGCCGATTTGCGCCCCAAGTCATAATCCGCGTCGTTTCCCCTCTTTTTCGTCTCGTACTCCTTTGAGTCCAGGAGCAACCGTAATTCTACTATTTTCGCATCCTACATCTTGAAAGCATATAAGATTACCGTCGGCCATAGCTATGCAATGCGCTGCGCAGAAATGAAGTTCGAAACAACCAATGATGTATCTGAAACAAGGGCCTGCGCATCATGAACGCGCTGCATGGCAAAGGCAGCCTGGGCGATGTTGGCAACTGCTTTGACGTTAGAGGAGGCCGGGTCAGCAAAGAATCGATGTGAACATGGTGCCGTGAAATCCTCCGCTTGTACACATCACTATAGCATAAACACAAGGTTTCGGTTATCCTGCGGCTGTTTCATCCGGCATCGTCGGCGACTAACTACGGTGGCGTTGGATCACCGCGTAGCTCTGACGTCCCTCGTGTCAGCCTTTGTGGACGACATCCGCGTCCATATCCCCGTTCATATGTATAGTGGATGGCAACAGCGCACATAGGGACAGGGAGATACCTGACATGCTGGACAGCGTCAGCCAGGAAGTCTTGTTGCATTCGCGATCCTGGAAACCTGGCGCAATGCCAAATAACCTACCGTCTCACTAGGAAGGTAGCACATACAGGCAATAACAAGCAGCCTCGTCTCCAAATGAAGTCGTCCTTGTTTGGCTCAGTGTAAATAAGGAGCTCAGGGTTATTGTACTCGAGAATGACCCCATTCGCGCAGCCGATCGAGCTCGGCAAAGATCCTGGCCATATTGGATATCGACGGTCAAGGGAATGTCGGTACATGTCCAGGTTCATACCAGATATGACTCGCTCAAGCAGCGCAAGCTTTCTGCTGTCGATCCGCTGTGCGATCGCACCGGTACCGAACTCAATGCAGTACCTGTTGGGGTTCGCCGTTGCTAATGTACTCTGAATCCCTCAAAGTCCTTCTGCTTCGACATCGTAGGGAGTGATAGTTCAACCTCTTCTCTTCCCACGATGACATCTCACCACACGGTAGGCATCATATACAACAGAGAGAACCCCGACGCTACTATGCTCATCCCCTCCGGCTCGCCTTCTCCAACGTCTGCCAGAAAGCGCTCACTACCGGTCGATCCGTATGTCGGTGTTTCGGATCAATCTGTAAGAGCCAAAGATTCACTGTCAGCAGGGTGGCCTAGATAGAAAGGGTGAGACTGCTCGTTCTTACTTTGAACAGCTTGACATTCCAATCCTTTGTCGCTGGATGTTGCGGTTCCGTGCTCAGGTGAAAGTAGATGCCGAGGACTACCAGACAAGGCGATATCAGCACGTCTTCAGACCGCTTCCACCAGAGCCGGGAGCTCACCATTTCGGAACAGATCCTTGGGTTCAGACCATTTGTACGACTTGAACTGCCATGCCTGACCCGTCGTGAACACACACAAGACACGGTCCCTGTATGAACGGAGAAGGAACGGACGATCATCAGTCACGACGAAAGTAAGTCCCAATCAAGATCTCGACTCACCAAGGATCGCCGCCCGCAGCGCTTCCTAGCTTATGTAACACGTCGACACTGTCAATAGCGTAGTACTTGATCTTCTTCTCCTCTGATCCCCCACAACAGCGAAAACAAAACGATTAGCAAAAGGGTCTCGAAAGGTGGGACCCACAAACACGTCAACGGCCTCACCTCCATTCGGCATCGATACTGTCCGATAGATCATGACCACATCCTCCATCTTCCTATTCCCCTCCTTCTGCTGTCTAGTCTTGGCATCCTCGTTCCGCTCGAACCTATCGAGGAACCAAATTAGTTCCCATCGACTAAATCATCGATCCCGATTCCGTCATGATGAGTGGCACTCACTCTCCCTCTTCCAACAACTTTTTGACGTTCCACATGGTGACCAACGCCGTCGGACTCGAAGAAAGCATGATGATATTCTGCTGCATCGATCGTTGCTTCTTGACCCCCCTCGGGGCGTCCCTCTCCCCCTTGTTGGCCTGGTTGTCCGGTTCCATAGGTTTACCCTCTTTAGCCCTATTGACGGACTCTCGGAGAGGTTTTATCCGTTCTTCGTAGATGTTGCTTCGGAGGGTGGAAAAGTCGGCTTTCTTGCCGGGGGGGACGTGTCGGAGAGGGTCGTAGATGTCGACGTGGGGTTTCTCGGTGAGGGATTGGAGCTAAGCGAGAACGTCAGAGGGATGTTCAAGGTTGAGATTCCGGGTCGATTGCAAGAACGGCGATAGGAGTGTTATCGGGATCGAGGCTGACCTTTTTGTAGAACGCCTTGTCTGCCTCGTCTGGCACGTATCGCCGTTTAGATGGTACCGTACTACCTCCCACTGCTGATGGTCGAGAAGCACCACCTGTATCTACCGTTGCTGTTGTCGGAGCCTGCGAGCCCTCAAAGTCTAGAATCAAGTGGTCAATCCAGGCATCCCTCGAAAGTCGATGAGGGATACCAGAAAGACTCACGCTTATCTTCCGGTTTGCTCCCTAATGCCAACACTCGTCCGGCTGGAGCTTCCCCTCCCAGTAGGTATTCGAGTACGATCCTTCTGTCCAAGATACCTACCGGCCGGAACCCAGCCCCGACTCCCGCAGCGGCCTTTCGCATATAGTCTGCATTTCCCGAATCCTTTTCGAGGTAAGTGTACAGCAGCTGTTGCAGTGTCAAGAGGTTGGAAGCGTCGTTGGCTTGTGATGTCAGTCGAGTGGGAGTAGTAATAGGAAGCGTGATTGAGGATCCGGAAGACGAGGACAGAGCGACATTGGTAGCATCCAACGCTTGAGTTGTTGGCTGTCCTGACGAATCGGTCAAGACGGGTGGATTTGAGCTCGAAGCGATCGAGGATCGCAAAAGTACGAGCGGGTCTTCCGTAGCATCTGCCATCCTGTCACTGCGTATATATTTGCGAGAGATGAGTGCAAGTCGTAGGAGCAGGAACCTTTTGTGGGAACCGATCAAGTCGACGACTTCATGAATGTCGAGGTTGAACTGTACTTCGAGGTTTCGGTCAGTTGCGAGCGAGCTCATCCTCAAGAAATACGCGTCGCCCCCATCAACACGCGCTACTCTACTCCCTATCTGATGAACAGATTCTTTGCACTATGCAGTGCACAAGGATTACAGTGCATTCATCTGGGAGGCGGCGTGGCTTGCCATTGCAGGGTGTTGGGTTGAGGGGTGGAGATTGGTGGTGACGGACATCAAGCGGGGCGAGAAGAATTGGGATTTGGGAATTGCGGTCTTGACGTTGTTGTTGTTGGCGATGTCGCTGAAGGTAATTCAACGCTCCGCGTGATTATTTGATATGATCATATGCATATGATGTATCCACCCCTGTACGCTATACGTCTATAGACCATCACCTTTCAGCCTTCCTGAGGATTGAGCATTGAATTATGATGACGGCCAACTTGCCCTTCCCTCTGGCCTCTGGAACTATTCTTCACTTTCGTTCTTTTGGCTTGAATGTCAACAAGTACAGACCTCTACCATCTCCAAGATGTCAAAGGATTGACAAGGAACTTGAAAGGGGGAACCTACCTGTCTACAAAGCGACCCCAACACACACCCCTCCTGTCTCGTCACATCTGGCGTTCATCTGTACACCATGATGAGCCAGGGGTATCACTCTGAATGGGTAGACCGATGCGATCCAGACATCCGAATACCCGCACTGGTCTCAGGTCTGTTTGATGTATTTACTCCTATTATTATGCTCAGATATTACACGTCGCAAAGATGGACCCGCCCATGCGGCATCCTTTCTATTGCTGTTATTGGACTTCGCACGTCCGACAATGCCGGCGTGGTAGGTCGTTATTGTTGACGATCAGGACGAGTTGGAAGCGACTGCAGTCTCTTGGCCGTCAACGTCTACGAGCTGCTCGACGCCGGGAGGGCAACAAGCCTCGGCTCCGCAAGCTTCGGGTGGACATCCGATGAGACAGGCCCGCTCCTGTTCAAGTCGCATTGACGAAGCAATGTCAGTTGCCATCTCGTTCTCGACGAATGCGTGTCGGACCCACCTCGGCGAGCTCGTCATCGTCGTTACCAAACTCGGGCTGGATGGTACTGCTGTGTACGCCAAACTCGTGCAAGACCTTTCTGATCTGATCGGCGACCGACATGTAGTCGACATCCCGGCTGACCATGACGTGGACCGAAGCAACGACCGATCGTTCGGACAATTGCCAGATGTGAAGCTAGAGACGCCATAAAGTCCGGTCAATCGGCGACGACCTGGGTACCAGATTGACCAAGACGTGGGGCTCACCTCGTGGAGAGAGACGACACCGTGACAAGACTTGATAGCGTCTCGGACGGCTTCGAGCGAGATGTGCGAGGGGACTCCTTGCAACAGGATGTAACTAGCGCTCTTGACTGTTATAGACGATCGCCGTTCCCTTAGCAAAGCCTCTAGCCGGAACATGTCTGGCATACCGGAGACTTACCGAGAGGAAGAGCGCTGGAGAAGATGATGCAAGTAATCAAGAGCGAGATGGCAGGGTCAAAGTAGTACTTCCAGTGTCCTTCGGCGCTGTTATCCAAAGTAGAGGCCGGATCAGATGACCAGTCGGGGCTGATCCCGCACACGATCTAGGCGACTCACAACATGATGACGAGACCGGCAGCGATGACTCCGACATTACCAAGGCTGTTGCACAAGCGTTGAGAGCGTATATGAGCCTTTAAGCGGCTATTTCAGTCAAACGGCAAATTCGTTTCACTCACGCATCCCCGAGAACATGCAAGAAAACTCCTCGCATGTTCATGTTTCCGTGCGAGTGCCCGTGTCCACCATGGCCACCACCGGCACCATGAGAGTGACCGTGATCGTCATCCCCATGAGCATGACCCGCCTCGGCCTCGTCATGGTCATGCGCGTGTTTCCCAGCTCCAGCCTGTGCGTGGTCGTGATCATGTTCGTCATGAGAGTGATCGTGTCCTGCATGAGCGGAATGATCGTGATCGGCGGCTTCCTCGGTGATCCTCTCGGTTCGACCGACAGGGGTCTTGTTGCTCTTGGTCCTAGCGTGATGAGAGAACGAGTTGATTCCACCGTTCGTAGGTCCCACAGAGTTCGGGCTCAAGGGACCCGCACCGGCTTCATCACGAGGGCTGAACGCTGAACCGCCCAAGCTGATAGATCCGTTGCCCGATGGTCGACCATATCCGTACTCGTGAGCGGCCTCGATGACGGCGGCACGGGTCTGAGCGGGGTGTCCGTAAAGCGAGCCAAACGAGTCGGATCGACCACGACCGTGGGCGGGACGAGAAGGAATGGAAGAGGATCGAGGGAGCGCCTTGGTACCATTGGGCGATGGCGAACGGTCAATGGGAGCCTCAACGGTACTAGGAGGATGGTCGTGAGAGTGACCGTGAGAGTGTCCTCCGTGTCCATGCTCTACGGAAAGCACAGCAACGAGTCAGTCCATCATCTCTCGTTGCGTCGGCATAAGTCCAGCATGACATACCGTGGAACAAGAACAGTCCGATGATGTTACTGGCCAATCCCAAAGATCCGACAATGACGACCAACTTGGGGTTCGAGATCTCGCTGACGTTGAAGAACCTTTCGATGGCTTCCATGAAGATCGAGAAACACAGGGCGAGCAAGAAGACACCGTTGACGAGCGCTCCGAGGACTTCGGATCGTTGCCATCCGTAAGAGTTTTTGGCCGCTACCGGGGAGGAAATGATGTGGATGTGCTAAGCAATCGACGGGCGAACACACTGATATTCGGTCGATATTAAACTTACATGAAGGCTTGGTTGCAAGTTTGACGGCATACAGGGCGACGACCAGAGACATGACATCGTTCAGCATATGGAATGCATCCGAGATCAATGCCTGCACGGTCGGGGCAATCGCAGTGTCATCATGAGGAATTGGAGATCAGTCTGAGTATTCCAGTAAAGGTATATGAAGAAGGCCGCAGTGGGACTCACCAGACTACCGACGGCATATCCCGAGGTGATCTCGACAAAGAAGAAGATGGTATCGATCACCAACAAGGTGATGATCCTGGCCTCGCGATCAAACTTCATGTCGAAAGGTCTGATCCAGGTCGGGCGACGACGTAATCTGGGCGAACCGGATGGAGTCCGTGTGAGGGGTGATCGCGGTGGTGCTTCGGCGAATCTCTTGATAGGACGAGATTATGATTGTTACACGTCTAGCTGATGACTGTGACGATGATGTCTCTTTCTATGCTGTGGTATCAATTTCCCTTTTAACTTGCTAACTTGAAGTAGGTCGAGGTCTGGATGGCGAATTCCGTTAGAAATCAACGAAATGACCGAATCTGGGAAACTCGCGCGGAAGCAGAAAAACCATCAACATATGGTCATGCAGATTCGGGTCGAACCATCTAAATATATCTTGAGGGAGAATAAGAACACAGACGACAGTACGATAGGGTACAAGAATGGTAGACAGGGCAAGGATGATGGAACAGAACATCCAATGTGGAAAGTGCAAGAAGAGACGCAGAGCGTATGCGTCGGAGTGACCTTCAAGCTCCTGAGACCGCCACCGCCACGCCAGTACGCGCCTGTACAGCAAGAGCGAGCGCCTTGATCCAGAGCTTGGCTTCCCCGTTCGGCTCTTCACCAGTAGCAGGCCCGTTGACCAGAAGTTCCCGGTTCAACCTCTCCAGGTCGCTCTTGTAGGCGAGTGCAACCCGACGGGCTCGTTCTTCCGCCACGCTGAACGCGCTCAAGATCTGCCTCTCGTATTCCTCTTCGGAGATACCCCAGACAGCGGCCGGAGAGCGTAACAACTTGGGCTCGATAGGTTGACCGGTCGATCTCCCTCGAGTCGGGGCAAGTCCCGTTCCGTTCGTAGCAGAAATCACAACCGAAGTCGAGCTCGAGCTCAAGGCGGTATTGATCCGCTTGCCCAACAGGTGGAAGAGCAAGACGGCAGGCACGTCCTCGACAGCATCGACAACCAGCTCGTCCTTGGCGTCGGGCATCTCAAGGTCGTCCTTGAGATGTTTGTTGACGTCGCACATGTACGTGGCACCACGTTCCATGGCAGCGATCACGGTCCTCATCGAAGTGATGGCTTCCAGAGCTTCCGCCAAGGCCTCTCGTGCCAAATGTTCAGAGGCCGTCGGGTCGTCGGCCGCAGGAGCGATAGGCGCGGGTTTCTGAACGAGACCGATGACGAGTCGAGCGACGAGGGCTTCGAGGGAAGCGAGTGCGACGGCGGAAGGAGGGATCGCTGCGACTCCGGCTCCTACGCCGCCAGGACCTCCTGACCCCGCGCCAAAGTCTGATCCCTTGGACCGAGGAGGACTCGAGGGTCGAGATACAGCTCGGGAAGGCAAGATCGAACTGGCCATCTTGCCCACAGCCGTCACGCCTCCGCTAGGCGCAAGCTTGTGACCCCCAGCGCCCGACACGCCCTCCTTGGTTAGACTCGCCAGGGCCCGTCCGATAGCCTCTGGACTAGGAGCCCTACCGCCAGCATGGCCAGGGATCGCCTTTTCGTCCGGGTTATACTTGGCGGTACAGACGCAGAGACCTTTCCATACGACGGCGACGACGACACTGGCCACCCAAGTCTCGCCGTCTTCCCTACAATCCTTGCAGATCATCTCAAACGCCTTGCGAGCAGGGTCGACCTTGCTCGCGAATCCGCGGAGACCGGTGGGGATGTGGTTGATCGCCTTGGCCGGCAGAGTCGTGACAGCACCTACAGGCAAAGACTTGTGCGTGGTAGGCGGGCTCGGGGTATCGCTGCCAACGAGCGCAGCGACGAGTTGTTTCTTGATAGAAGCCATCAAAGGCATGACGACTCGAGCGACGACCGAGTCCAACTTGTCCATGACGGGTCGCAACGTCTCGCTGACGAAGCGGGGATAAGCCGTCGTCTCGAGCGCTACCTCGAGCACTTCGCAAGTCTCCCAGGCGGCGTGGCAGATCGAGAGCACATAGGCCTGGACCTGGTTCAACAACGGGGTCGTGATCGGAGTCGCGTTCAGGTTGACCGGGAGTGGAAAATCGGCGTGGGTGATCCCGGGCAAGAGGAAGTATTCGAGCCGCGAAGTGTAGATGGAGAGTGACCTGACCGAAGTTCGTAGAACAGCTCGCAAGAGGTACGCATCGGATGAAGGAGAAGGCAGTTCCCTGTAAATCGATATGATCCAAAGGTCAGTCAGAGCTTCTCGATACTCGCCGTCAAACGGCCCACTACTCACTTGACGACAGCCTCTCCCAGACCCCACCCGGCGCCCTTTCTGACACCCTTCAACAACTTCGAATCGACACCCAAGAGGCACCTGTTGACAATCTCGTTCAACCTCAGACCGATCGCATCGATCGTGGCGCCCTCGCTAGGATGAGCGCTGGCAACAGGCAAGGGCGTGATAGATCTGGATCCAGGCGGAGAGACGCCCGTATTGGACTTTCCATTGGGACCGGGAACGCTGCCATTGACAGCCTGTACTTGACTCGGCGCAGGCGAAGCGGTGGCCTCCCTGGGAACGAGGCTGAGCCCAGCGAGCCCAGCCAAAGGTCGGGGCAAGCTCTTGCTCCTCGGATGACCTCCTGCGCTGATACTCCTTTCGGTCAACTGGGTAGCAGCCTTTTCGTCCTGCCCATAAGCCGGGTTGAGCGTACTCAGACCGTTGGCAGTGGCCGGGGTAGTAGAAGGAGGAGCGGGACTAGCGGTCCTGGACCCGACTGACGGGTCCGTAGAGTTGGAGCGCGAAGGCCGAAGGAGCGGAAGAGATCGGAGAGATTGCATGTTGATGGGCTGGTAATGCTCCTTCTTGATAGGGTGTTTCGTAACGGTATCGATATCCTTGATCGTTGTTTCGTTGACTTTGCTGTCGAAACGAAAAGCTTAGATTTCGTGTGACGTGCCGTTGATGTACAACGTGGTTGTAGGTATGTTTGCGGTATTCGGTAACGGAGAGGTAGGAGTATCAAGATCGTATGGTTTCTTGACACAGGTTGTTCGTGAAGAGGGCGGAGAGCGATTTCGTTCTTGTCCCGAAATCAGCCCATTCAAAGAATATGCTCGTCTTTTCCCTTCAAAGACGTGTGATCATTCAGGAGGCCAAAAGTAGGATCTCCCAAGGATGCGATATGTTCGAGTCTGGACTCGTAATTTTTTGTTGTGTTCGGCGGTTCTCCCCTCGTTTCGGTCGGTGTGAAGGACGGACGAGTGATGAACGGCGGAAATGTGTAGGGTTTGGCAACGGCTCAAATTAAGGCGGCTTTCCTGCGCTGTTGAGAAAGGTCACGATCCTGACTCCCGAGAGTCTGATCAGACGGTTGTTGGTGGAGGCGAGGCTGCGGGAGGAGCTGTTCCGGTGAGAACGGGAGGGAATAAGTCGATGTTCGTAGACGTTCATGCGAGGTGTATAGTTTGGTCAGGGCGTAGTCGATGTAGTTGAGGAGATGCACGGTATAGCAGTGACGATGGTAATGGAGAATATTGCGTAGTCGAGGTTGAAATGGCGGCGTCGTCAGGTTGAAAGATTTTGCAGGGAACGTCCATGAAAGGAAAAGAAACGTTCGATAGCGACCGATCGATTGTTGTCATGGTGGGGAGTGCGACCAAAACGGAGAAAGAAAAATCGGGCGCAGCATCAAAGGAAGGGTGTGAAGGGGAAAAAGCGGATGGGTCAGCGATTTGCTCCAAGGGCAAAAATCCCTCAAGCATCAACCACTCCAGAACGCCCTCCATGGCTGATTTCCGGATGGGACTGAGAAGGGTTCGGCACATTGCGACTCACCCCTGACTCGTTAAGATATCACCTGAACCACTATTATTACTCTTCTTCTTCATTAGACGCCAGACGATGTGAGGTTCCGGTCTCGGCTAGAGGGTCCTTGGGCCGGGAAAGGGGGTTTGTTTACGAGAGGCAAAGAGCTCGGATCAACTCGAGGGTATCAAGCGAGGTGACCAGAGGGTATGAAGGTTGATTTGTCGATGTGTAACGAGTTTGGGCTACGGAGAGGTTGGCGAAATTTGATCTACCAATGACGTAGGGGGGAAAAAGGGGAGACGCGGTGTGATGGCAGGCGATGGTCTCGACAGAGAGATCCTCAGGGTATCTTGTTCCGGTTAAGCTCTGTGTCTACCTCTAGAGAGACGAGGTATGATGAGGGTTAAGTAAGTGAAAGGTCAAGGGGGGTGGATGTCGAAGTCGAGGATGGTTGATGATAAGAGGTCGACCTGATTGGAAGGGGAGGAAGCCTGCAGAGGCAGGCCTGGGGGGAGCAGGTGCGAAAAACGGGAGCAGCCGACCCTTGCTTTACACGCGCAGCCGACCAAACGAAGCGCAAAGATTCCGTCTCGTCTTCCGCCACAAATGGTAATGCGCTCATCTATCTCTACCTACCTGTACATACGGTCGCTTGCTATCGTCCAGAACCTCTACGACTGCTTGGTGTCCACTGAGGCCCTATGTAGAACCCTGTAGCCTCCCCTCCAGACCCCTATCAAGGTCCCGACGTGAACGCAAAAGAGCGAGAACGACATCAACTTGCTCGGCGGAAACACGTTCCAGGCGTTACATATCCCGCTCCAAACAAGCATGCTATCGTAGCTCAATCCCATATCAGCACAATTATGCGACAAGCGATGGAAAGCACGAAAGAAGAGTACTCACACCATCCAGATCGGACATCCCTGGGCCCAGAGCAAGAACGGCATCTGATGCGCGTACCAGCTAAAGAACTGGTAATGCAACGATCGCGCAAAGGTGATCCCGATCAGGTTCGACGTGAACAGCACAAGGGGGATATCTGTTTGAAAGCAAGAGCATGAAGATCATGGACCAGTTAAAGAGACTAGACTTGATGTTACCGCCTTACGCAAAGGCACACTGACGATAAGCGCTTTCCGGACCCTGGTAAACGGGCGCGTGCCACCACGATCCCAAGATCCCTCTCCTCAAGACTGCCGCGGTTCCACCTTTTACATTCCCGCTCCATTTGAACCAAGCGAATAGCACCAAGGTAGTCACCTGTTACATTTCTCCTCGTCAGCGTTCAAATGTCGCTTGGTGTATGAAACATGAATACGCACATGGCCTAACAACAAGACCCGCTTGAAACCACCCGAATCGAACGTCTCCTGTCCGACGAAGTTCCAATTGACGCTCCACTTGAACAAGAAAGCTCGCGACAGGTCGAATGCCGAGGTAAAATAGTCCTTAGCAAGATCCGGAGAGGTCAAGAATGGGGCTGCTAGAGCGATCTATGTGCGGCCGGACATCAGGTCGATAAAAATGTGATGCCGATGAGACTGGAGATGAGTTCCGGCTCACCTGGACCGCTAGGATCAGACCACCACAGATCGCTCCGTGAGCGATTCCTTGATATTGGAACAGAAGGACCAAGAGTCCCGGCAAGAAGAGCAGGATGTTCATCTTGACCCCCAGCGCGAGGCTATGAGGGCGCCATTCGTCAGCTCCTACTCGTCGACGATGAACACGTTTGTCGAACACTGCGGGATGTTACTCACGAATAGACGATCGAGCCGAGCTTCCACTTCTTCTTAGTGAACAGCCATACGCTTGAATAAAGCGGTAGCATCGCAATGGGATCATTGAAGAGCCTCAACACATAGATAGAGTGTAACCTCAAGCTCAAGGAGAGCGCTCCCAGTAACAAGGGTAACGGTGCAGGTCCGTTCATTAACCTGTCAACGAGAGCCCAAGGCGAAGTGATCCATCGAGCTGAAGGCGCGCGGCGAGACTGCACGTAGCTATCCGCCTGGCCGGAGATGATGGCGATGAGGAAAAGCGTCGCGATGTAGAGTCCCAACCAGATAATCTGTAACGGAAACAAGCCGCCTGGACCTCCGATCTCGCCCTTGCCTGTGCCCTTGCCTGCGCCCCCTTCCAGTGCGTTGAGCGTCGAGTTCGTTCCCGGAACAAAGCCGGCCACATCGACCAAGCTGGCCCGGGGGAACATCTTGTGCAAGAAGGAATAGATGTAAAGGTGTAGTGCTGGATAGACGAGCGGACCCGTATCTCCGACCAGTTTGGAATAGGTGCGTTCGTTATTAGGTGAAAGAAACAAGGTTGCCTGTTGCGTGTATGCCAGGTAGTCGATGTTGGTATCTATGCAGTATGCCCGTTCGGTATCAGCTAGTGGAAACCAGGCAGTCGATAGCTGACAGGAGCTCACAGGAGACGAATCGGATTACGAGCGAGGACAAGACCGTCTCTCCTGCCAACCACAACCCCACGAAAACGGGATACCTTCGTGGGTCATAAAGCATTCCCCCAATGTAGCCTATGCAAGTCCCCACAAACGACTGTGCGAAATTTCCTGCTCAACAACATAGTATACAAGGTATGTACACTCTACGATCTGCTTACATCCGAAGTTACAGCTTGAGTATGCTCTACTGCAGCCGACTGGTTCCTGACGGCAAACTCTTCCTTGGTCAAGAACACGCTCTGGCGATATATCTTGAGTTCCTCGATGGAGGCACGGATGTCATCCAGAGCGCTGTGTGAAAATGAATGAGGTGATCGGTCAGTATACCACTCTCGTATCGTCAAGATGAAGAACGATCGGGACTTGCCGATGAGCGGAACGAGGACCTCGCTGATGAACTACTTCGGCGCGCTCGAGGGATTCAGGGTACCATCGTCTGGCGAGTTCCTATTGATACGATATCACTTGGTGCGATCAGTAACTACCGCTTATAAGAACTAAAGCAAGACTGACCTTTATAGAGCTGACATCTGTGGTCCTCAGAGTGGCGCGTTCAGCATACACCTCACGCGGACGCTCTCATTTGCAAAATCACGTACCGACGATTCGGTAATGGAGATGCCGCATCACCCTGGGCATGCCTTTTGAAAGGAACCTACGATGCATCCCTTTGTCAATAAGCTCGCAGTCGTTTCTATGTATGAGCTAGGCAGGACTGACCTAGCGTCCGCATGGACTGAGCTACCGGCTGTTATCGAAATGCGATTCCCGATGAGTGCATTCTGCTACTGGTGCAGAGTAAGCGAGAGAGGAGGCTGACCTAGAACGCCGACCCGGACGTCAGGGACCCAGCGCTTGATGTACTCGTAGACGTAACCTTCGACCTGTTCGTACGAATGAGGAGAGTCAATGCAGGCCTGTGTCAAGCCAGATTCCTTTCGTAAATAGATTCGAGTAAAGATGGCGTAAGTCAGCATCTGCGAGGTGTGTGCGGTTGTAGCAAGCGAAACGACGTACCCCATGAGTCTTGACGCACCATTCGCCCATCGCATCCAGTACTTCCTTGTCCGTCCTGATGACGTATTCGATCCCATCGTCTACGGGGTTGAGTTCCCCATCGGTGATGATGACGGCGATCTCGATGATTCTCTCCTTTTCGTGGTCCAGACCTGAGGTGATGAAAGGGATATGTGGAGTTCAGCTTGGTGGGAACGGAGGTCGATCCGATAGACGTTGGCTGACCGGTCATCTGGGAGCACAATATTTTCAGCGCGAGATTCAACATTCATAAGACCTCGATAAGGGTTATTCTATCTCACCTCGCAATCAATCTGTCCCAAAATGGAGATGATAGGGAGAATCGATGTCAAGCTGTGATCTTGACGGCTCGTTCAAGCTCGCTCACCCAGACCAGCGGTCCATCGGCCGCGGAAAGAGGTCCCCTGGACATGATCACTGCTGGTTTTAGGTTAGTTGAGGTCTGAGGTCTCAGCACTGAGGCGAGATCCAATACAGCTCCGTGCTACCGTCGGATTGAAAGAGGTAGCCGGTGAAATAGCATTTGATCCTTTCGAGAGCGATAGCTGCTCATCGCGAGATATGCATCCGGTTCGATGCTGAGTAGTGCTTACGTAACCAAGCTGCATCCGTTGTTGTGGTTGTGGGCCACGGGTCCGCCGGCTGATCAACCTCATCATCATCACGATCACCCACCCACCCATCAGCAATCTCGACCACAATCGCCATCCACCTTTTCGTGATAACTCATCACACAAGCCCGACCTCTGCGCGACCTCACACCTGTCAATCACATTCAATCACCCCGGATCAGCCTATCTGCGTGAGTGACTGCGGTGTCCCCTTCTCCCATATCTGCCCACCGCCTCGTCATTCCCCTTTTGGGACGTGCACATGACGCGGCCATCGCCTCCCTTTCCCTTCGTATCGAAACCATATTCTATTCAAAGAAGCTGACCGTCTACTGTGCTCTATGTGAAAACATCTGATATTCTATGCTCGGTCTGGCGTCTATCTCGGATCTCATGGTGGCGATGAACCGTCGACGGACATCTGCGAAATCCCCGCTCGGAATGCTACGCTTTCGGGGATCTCCTTTCAACGCTCTCTTCGCCTCGGAATCCTTCTTTACAATCGTCCACTACCTGGTACCGCTGTTCGTACAAACCTACAAACCCGAATGCGTCTCTCTTGACTCCCAGTAGACCGGAGTCAGCCTCCAACTCTAGTCAGATCAAACCACCAAGAGAAACCTTACATCATGGCCCGCTCAAAGTTCAAGGATGAGCATCCTTTCGGTGAGCACGATACCAGGTCTAGCATCTCGTTGCTAAGTAATAGTGGCCGATGAAGAAAGCTCATCATCTTGCATACTGCTCGTCCCCGGACCTGTTACATCCGGACTCGAACTGGATGATATCTCGCCCGACCTTCCTACGATCCGTATACCTTGCCTCCTGTCCTTTACGCAACTACTACCTGGCTCCGTACGATTCAACTACGCCATTTGCTTCATCGTACGGTCCTGAACCGTGTGGTGGAATAGACAAGAGGAAGCAAGAAGCCGAGAGGATCAGGAACAAGTACAACGATCGTATTCCCGTGAGTCTCAGCAGGATCGGCTATCGACGTCCTGCTCTTAACACGATGCCATCAAGACCTGGACGCTGATCCAGGTTTATCGCTCCTTATGGGCTGTTCTTCAACCCTTCGATCATCGATGAACATGGCTGGATTCTCTATCCCGTGTTTTACTGTACACCCTTTAATTCGGTCTCTGGGTGTCCTGCAACCGGTCACATCATCGACTCCTCCCAGGTCATCTGCGAGAAGGTGGAAAAGTCGGACATCTCGGATATTGACAAGAAGAAGTACCTCGTCCCTGCTGTGAGTCCTCTCTACTGTGCCGCATTTATCCCTATTCCGCTCGCTCAACACCGTTCTTACCGCTCCCGCCTCGTCCGTTGTCTCCTCTTCGTTATCTCGTAAACACCGATCTCGTCATCGAACAGGACCTGACCGTCGGCCAATTCGTATACGTCATCCGTAAACGAATCAAGCTCGCCCCGGAAAAGGCGATCTTCATCTTTGTGGACGAGATCTTGCCCCCAACGGCGGCATTGATGAGCACGATCTACGAGGAGCACAAGTGCGTAGCCCGCGGTCGCCCTTGACCGGTTGACGATTTTTCGAGTTGTCGAGGCTGATATCATGTTTGTGGGGATTGATTTCTGGTTGTTGCAGGGATGAAGATGGGTTCCTTTACGTTAGCTACAGTGGTCAGTCCCCCGAGGTCCTTTCCAGAAGTTTGATTTGAGACGATCGCTAAATCAGAACATTCGCTTTCACAGGAGAGAACACGTTCGGCAAGGGACTCCGGGTCGTCCTGGACGATGCATAAATTCAAGCGATTCGGGGGGACGTCTGACCGGGGAACGCCAATACATCCATATCGCACGACACATATCACACATACATATGGCGACTTTCTCGGCTCGATGTCTCTCCCTCTGTTCTTCTCTCACTCGTACGGTCTACCGGGGCTTCGATTAATCGTCTTCCTCTTCCATCTTCTCGATCTATCTCTCGATCTTCTTCTTTCAACATATACCAATCCGGCGGGAATGGGAGTTCTCGGGATCAGCTGCGCGCCGGACTGGACGGGGACTGGACTGGCCGGACCGACTTATATATCGACATTCGGCAATACGACCTGGCTTCTCGTCACATGTCGAACGAAGGTTTACCCACCTGGTCTGGCTCGGTCTAGGTCCTGTACAGCGGTGTCTGTACTGCCTTTCTCGACTTCTTTCTTGTCCTTCTCTCGACTTCCGATTCTCTCCGGTCTCTTACGTAGTTTTGTGATGTGATTATATAGCTGTCTATCGAGATGATCCTTGTTGTACCGTACCATGAGCTGCGAGTCGGGACGGCCTATCCCCTCCCCCTCGCGTGGCCAGAGGCGGAAGAAGGGGGAACGCGCGCGGGGTGAATGATCGTGTTTGGGAATGTCGGCACTGTGACGGGTGATTCGAGGGTGAAGGACCCCCTGGCTCCTTTCCGCAGTCTGCTTTGATGGTGATGGCAGAAACACAGCCTTGATTATCAGATAGTGTCCTGCTCGATTAGCCAGCTTTTATACTACGTTCTACGTTCGCACTCTACTGCAGTCTCTCCGTCAGTTTGAACCTCTACGCTCTCTCAACTTGCAAGGCTGCACACGCCTAGCTCCGGCGCCCGTAACCTCGCTCGCGACCCAAGACAATAACAAAAAGGCGACACAGCCCAGGATCGCTGGGATTGGGAATCAGAGATCTTTGCAACGAAACGGGTTTACGATCTCACCACAATCAGATCTTCATACACCCCTCGATCGTTATTAGGATAACCGACACTACACTACGTTAGCTACGTTACGACATTCATTGCATATCAACAGCCGGTCGCCACCCCCGTCCGACTCTTTTCAAACTAGTACCACTCGGTCGAATTGGATCTTTTGATTCGCCTGGAGCGACACTCTTGATCTTCCATCAAATATACTCCTGATCGTCGAGCATCCAAGCATTTTCAGCCCGGATTAAGCAGTCACACAATTATCTAAACACTATCAGCCATGTTTCTTCCTACGTTGACCACCCTCGCCGCCCTCCTCTCCCTCTCTTCGACCACCTCGGCCTCTTCCTCGCACTCCCTCTCTGCCCGTTCGCCATCGAAGCACAATCACAACCTCGCCGCTCGTGCACCTACCGTTTGCAACGGACATGCCGAGCTGTGTGATAGGAGTTATGGCAACGTGACGTTCATCGGCACGCATAATTCGTATGGGAACGGGAGCAGCATTATGGATAATCAAGGCAAGGGGGTCGTGGATCAGTTGGCAAGTTCTCATTATCAATCAGGTTAAGAAGGCTAGGGCTGATTGAGCGATGATTTTGCTATCGATAGAACGATGGCGTGAGGACGTTGCAAGTCCAAGCGTGAGTGCTCTTCGTGCTCGTCAAACCCGCTGTTCAACCCAGGTTGCTGATCGACATCGCGGTTCTTTTCCGATAGTCACAAGGGCAGCACGGGGGACATCCGACTCTGCCACAGTTCATGCGTGAGTCTCTGTCTATGCGGGTGCTTCAGGTGTGACGAGGCCAGGAGGACGCACGAGCTAAAAGCGTAGGATATTCTTTGTAGACCTTGTTGGATGGAGGATCTTTGACGAGTTACTTGACCAAGGTCAAAGGGTGGATGGACGCCAATCCCAACGAAGGTGCGACGAAAACCTCTTGCACCCGCATCTTCCCCCTCAGACAATCAACTGATTGAGACTTCTTGCACCGATAGTTGTCTCCCTCGTCATCGTCAACATCGACACGATCGAACCCTCGACCTATGCCAGCGCGTTCGATGCGGCCGGAATGACGTCCAACGTGTACCAACCCGCTGGAGCCGTCACGGCCATCGACGCTTGGCCCACTTTGGGTAGCATGATCGAGAGTGGAGGCAGGATGGTGGTTTTTATGGATTATGCGGCGGACTTTAACAGTGTTGGCTGGATCATTGATGGTACGCTTCGATCAGGCACCGGCATGTGCAAATACAAGTGGCTAAAGCTGTCCTCCATCCGCGACCCCATGACAGAATTCAGCAACATGTGGGAAGACGCGTACGACGTGACCGACCAGGAGTTCGGCTGCAACGTCAACCGATCTTCCGGCTCGCCCACGACGACCTTGAGTCTTACCAACCATTTCCTCGACGTCTACGGCAACATTCTCGGTATCAACGCCTGGTTGCCCAACAAGGACCTCTTGAACGAGACCAACGCCGAGACGGGGTACGGCAGTATCGGTCAGGGAGCTCAGAATTGTGTCGGGTTGTGGGGAAGGCCGCCCAACCACATCCTCCTAGATTTCTACGACTCGAACGGGAACTCGCCTTTCAACGTCGCCGCGCAGTTGAACGGGGTCTCGGCGCCTACCAATACCGTCGAAGTCAGCGAGGATTCCAAAGGGAGCAACGCCGAGGCGAGCGGGGTCGCAAAGTCCACCGCGGCGGCCACGGGGGCGACCTCTACCGGAGGGAGCGCGGCGAGGACAACGACCTCGGCTCTGAACGCTGCTGGGCGTTCGGTCGCCTCGCTCGGGAGTGGGGTCTGGGTGGCAGGGATCGTTGCGATGATGGTCGGTGCGGGCGGGTTGAGCCTGTCGCTCTAGACAGTCTTTGCATCCCGCACTGCGTGACTCTCGCATTAGATCGATAAACCTAGTGAGATCGGATGGACGATGCTCTTGTCGACCTACTCATGCACTCTGTACCTAGCTCCTCCTTCTGCTCATGTATCACTCATTGCGTACACCCATTGATTATATATACACGGTCGTTACCCCCTGGTTCTTCCCTTACTCGTTTTTTTGGCAGGGTTTGGGTGCTGCCCAGCAGCTGTAGCCTTTCCATAAGAGCTCTCTGCCATCTTGGGTAGAGATAGTTTCACGATATGGCCAGATCGACTGCGCATCATGTCTTGCTGCGTGCAAGATGTTCCATACCAATCAAGTCTCTTGTGCAAAAAGCCATTTTGATGATACGAGCCGGCCCTGGGCAACGTCCGCGATCTGTTTTTGTTTACAAAGTCGAGCTGATGATGATGAAGGGACATTCCATCGATCCATCAACAACATGCAACATCGACACCATCGAGGATCAAAATCTCGCCCCAAACTCCACCGTTAGTGACCTTATCAAGGTCTTTTCCAAGTCGACCAGCGGCTGGATCTAGCAGAGCGAACGCTCCTGCCCCGGCTACGGACTGCGACGGGTCATAGCGAGCTCACGGACATCAGAGATACCTCTCGACATACCACTATTTTCTTGGATACGATCAACTTGTCACACCTTTACGACGATTCTTGACGACATTTCATCCAGCTATCCCGATATTCTCTGATTCTTTAACGACCACACTATACTATTTTACGCATCATTATCACTTCAGCTCGATACCTAGCAATCGATCACGAACCGAACCGGACGGGCGATATCGTACATCAACAAACACAAGCGCAACCCCAGTCATGTCGACTCTGACCGTGCCAAAACCGAAAAAGCAAAGCATGTTCAGCCTCAATCTACCTTCGATGAGCAGAAAGAATTCGAGCAACTTGCTCAGCCTTGGAGGCGGAGGCAAGGAGGAGAAGAAGGAGAAGGAAAGAGAAGAGAAGGAGAAGAAGCGGGATAAGAAGGGGAGCAAGATGGGGAGTATGAGTTTTAGCGGCAAGCGCAAGCTCAATGAGGAGAAGGGGACTGGAGATGAGGATGGAGGTGAAAGTGGGGGTGGCTTTGTCGTGGTACAGGATGAAAGGTACGTCTCCGGTCTGTTTCCATCTAATCCAGCTGGAAACGACCGGACTAGGCTGATGTCACTCCACCTTTTTGCCTATGTAGACCGCCTCATCTGGACCTCTCTAGATCTATCACCGAGAACAGACCTAGCCGTCTGTTCCAGAGCACAAGTACCGCTCCGAGTACTCCGGTCACTCCTACCACTCCCATGACTCCGACTCCCACTACTATCGCCATCACCGATACCGATACCGGTTCAACAGAGCCAGGAACAGGTCCCGCTCAGATCGGAACTGTTGGTGATAGGAGTAGGATCCCGGCGGGGCTTCTTCCTGGCGGGAAGAGCTCGAACTTGGCCGTCCCGGTCGGTTATCAACCTATTAATTCCCATCATAGCAACACCGACGACGGCACCTCTTCTGCGAGTTCTTCACGGGCTCCCTCGCCTTTAGGTCACCTTATTACCACTTCCTCACCTACCCCCAACCCGGACTCGGTAGTACTCCCGGCTGAAAAGACGGCGGACCGAAACGTACCCTCGATCTGGTCCAAAGATACGTTCAAAGGTCAAGCCCCTTCCACCTCCTCTCCCGGTCATAACACCGGTCTCGGTCTAGGTCGACCTCGAAGCACCCTAGGACTTTCTCCGTCTGACGAGCAAGAGAACGGGAATGGGAAGCGGAACCTCACTTGGACCCCGGCGGCTGTCGAACCGGGGTTGGTCAAGCGGAGATCGATGTTGTGGGACGTGCAGGGTGGTCCGGTGTCCGCGGCAGGCTTAGGGTCAGTATCGGGGTCGGGCATTCCTGCATTGAAGCACAAGAGGAGCGTCTCGGCGATCGTCAGCCTGGGTGCTGGAAGGAGTGGTGGTGTTGGTGGGATTGTCGGTGGGAGCGTTGGTGGGACTGGAAAGGCAGATATTCCGAACGCGAAAGTGGACAAGGAGAAGGACAAGGCGCAACCAAAGATGATCAGTACGGGGATGAGTCTACGACCTAGGGGGCCTAAACAGGCGACTGTTACCACTACAAACACGTCGAATGCCGGAGCGGGGCTCGCAGTTTCGAAGAAACAGAGTCAGATTCAAGTTTCGAAGAGGTCAAGTACGCCCGTCGCCCTCGTACCCATGTCCACGGGTACGAGCACCGGTGCGGAGACGGTCAAGAAGGATGCAGCTAGTGGGAATCGATTGAGTAAACGAGCTAGTCAGATGAGCATGTTGCCACCCGCCAAGATCGCCAGCGCTAGGACGGTCAAGGCTGACAGACCGGTGCCCGAGGCTGCGAGACGGTCAGTCAGGTTGGGCAACATCAAGGAGCCAAGCACAAGTACGACCGCGACCACGGAGGATGCAGCGCAATCCCTGTCGGTCTCGATAGCCGGATCTGTCAAGCTCAGGACGACCAAGAGACGATCGATGATGCCCCTGGGTTTCGTCGAGACTTCGGGAAGCCAGGAGGTCTTGGCTTCTGGGAGCGATGAACTGTCCAAGTCGGGAGTAGAGGACGTCGAGACGAACAGGCAGGACGCGTTGGATAAGCTTATGGGGAAAGGATCCGAGGTTGGTGACAAGAGGAATTCGTTGACGGCCAGTACGGCTTCGGTTCGAGGCAAAGCAGGGGTTCCAGCGGCGAACACGACCCCGAGGGCGATTTCCAAACTGCCTACTCCGTTGCGTGCTCAGCCGGCTACTCGTCGGGCTGCCAGCGTCGCTACGACTCCGGGAGGATCAAAGAGTCTCGGTCCGACCACGGGCAAAGCGAATCGAATCGGTGGTGATCGACCTCCGGTGACCATGCTTGCGAAACCTGACGGATCAATCAAAGGAAAGGATACGTTGACGCGTTCCCGGGGTATCAAGGTGGAAGACGCCGGCAAGATCCCGAAGTTGACGATGACGCCTGACGCTGCCGATCGCCGAAGCCCGATCCGAGCGACGACGGCGATGGGTACGGTGACTCCCGAACGAGATCCGCTTGATGCAAGGTCGATCGGTACCGAAGACGTTACTACGCCGGCGTCGTCGATCTGCCAGACGCCGAGATCCAAGATGTTGTTATCTCCAGCACGTGCGGCGGTTCCGAGCGGGAGTAGCAGGATGTCGTTGTCTCCCTCGAACAAGGATCCTTTGACGAGGTTACGTGGGACGCCTGCGAGTCAGGGAGGAGAAGCTCGATCGCGCACGTTGTCCAACAATAGCGACATTGACGTCAGGTTGGAACAGACGCGAAGGACGTGGTTGGGCGGATTGGGAAGGCGTGATCTGGGTGGAGAAGGGGATAGTCCGTTGACGGGTAGGATGAGCGATTCTAAATTGGACGGGTCGCCGAGATCCAGTCGGGTTAGAAGGGTCGCGAGTCGGGCTAGCAGCGGTGGGATCGGAGGAGGCAAGACGGCAGACGTCTTCGGAACTGACAAGGTGACGTCCGCCAAGATCGTGGCATTGGAAGCGCAAGTCAAAGCGATGCAAGAACAGCTGGAGCGAGAGAGGGCGGCGCACGAGAAACGATCCGAACAGGCGCGAGAGAGACAAGCTGTCAAGGAGATGTTGGTCGCGGTCGTTCGAGCGTGTGAGAATGAGCTCGAACTCCTCGAGAGGCGCCGCGCCGAGAAAGAGCGGATGGTGGACGCTTTCGATCGAGCTGTGAGCGTAGCCGTCAGTGGGTTGTAGACTGTGAAAGATTGATTATGTAGACGAGAACGCAATACGATGATGATGATACCATTTTTGTGCATCGCTATTACCGCGCTGGAACGGATGATGAACAAAGTCGCGCACGGAGCGCTAGCTGGCGGCTGATGATCGACAGTAACAACGGACACGTCCAGGAGTGCGTCGAAAGGACAATCTCGGTTTACGAATTCAATATTACTTTGCTTTGCTTTGCTTAGATACAATTCCTTGCATGCTCCAACTGGTCCTTCAAAAGATGGTAGCCGATGTAGGTGCTGGTCCACGTAGCGAGGCTACGTTTACTGCTCCTCCTGGGGGGTACCGGAAGACTTGCCTCCCTTGGCACCCTATCGAGTAAAGAAATGATATGCGTTGATCAGTAAAAGAGTGGTAAAGGAAATCAAGAACAGTGAATACTCACCTCGACGTGGGGGTCAGGGCCGTCGGAACCGCCCTGTAATTGGTGAAGACAGTCATCGACGGGTCAGAGGAATGCTGAGTCGGGAGAAAAGTCCGAAGGTCTACTCACGAAGCCGTGCTCGGAAGAGACTCGCTTGTCGGGGGTACCGTCCTTCTTCAAACCGTCGTGCTAAGGGAACAGAAGTCGAGTGAGCAAAGGCCGTTCCAAGTCGAAGATGGTCGAAGGCGGAGAAGACTTACCTCGGAGGGCTTGTAGGTTTCTCCTTGGGAAGACATTGTGTAAGGTTGTTTGTGTGTTTGGGTTGGTTGTGGGTGAAGTGTGAGAGTGTGAGTTGTGATGAGAAGTAGAGAGACGAAAAAGCAGAACGGAATTCAGTCGAGGGGGAAGGGGTATATATACTCGAATTTGGGAGGGGAACGCTGGCAAACAACAACAGATTGACCTGTGCGACGATGAGCAAGCGGTAATCGATGACATCAGATGATATCATCGATCCGATGCGTCATGTCACTTTTCCGGCGATGAGATGATGACATCGGGCACTAGGTTCAACCCCGATACAGGACGATGAGATGTCAACAAAGGCGGGAAAGGCAGGGGGAATGAAGTTGTGCATATGGGTCGCGAACCCGGTTATCGGCCGAAACTGGGTGCACACCTGGAATGTCATCGAACGGATCGAGAAATACCGCTCGATTGGGAGCTAGCTTGCGAGAGGCTGGTCCCGTTTGTTTACCGTTTTCGAGGTCACGAGCGCAGGTTGACCAGCTCATCACCAGCACAATCGCACAGGTGACGCATTGGAATGTCATTCCCACCGGCGATCGCGCCATTTTGACGTCGATGCGTACACGATCGATCGACCGACGATTCCCGCTAGTTAGTGCCCCGCCATCCGTAACCTTTCGCCCCAGACTGGTCCCGTCCTCATCGGAATCCATTCCACAACAACAAATGCAGGGGTATGGAGGCATATGGAGGACTGGAATGACGAATCGGTCGCAAGCGGTATCTCCAATCCTGGCCATCGCCGTATCCACTCGTGACCCCTTCTGATCGCTCGGGCATTGTGCTCCAGATCGGAAACCCTGTTCTCGCCCGATCTGGAAAGCCCGGAGCCATCTACGTCAATGGCGAGACCCATCAGAGTCACGTGAAACATGCAGGATGACCTATCGTCGAGATGGCTGGGACTTGCTGGAATCTTCCTTCGCTACAATCAGCGATAAGGCAAGGTCAAGTACAATTTAGGGAATGACATGGCAAAAAGAAAGGACCTTCAACGTCTTCGCACGGCCGGACGAGTTCGATTGCGTCGATTTCGAGCGATTCGAGAACTGGGATTCCCACGCGCGGGGGTAAATATCCGATCAAACAACAAATACAACAACTAGACGTCCTGTCGCTTGCAACTCAGTTCGTGGCATCCGCTCAACCTTTTCTACACAGGAGAAACCCCAACGAGGTCTACACTGTGCAACCTGTTCCGCAGGCGATGTCTAGTTATACTACTTCTTCGGGTTCATGCGAAGCTCTCGTTTCGTCGAACATCCCGTATCCACTGCCACGTCAGAAAACTAGCTTAGCGCGCGCGTGTCGATTGTGCTGGGTCTCGGATCCGGCGAGCGCTTCATCTCGACGACAAGATCGCCAGTTGTAGCCATACCATCTTCGAGACGGAATACCTGACACGATGACTCGCTCATAGGGGACGAAATCTCGCCATAGACACAGCCTGACAGGTTGATGATACGTGCGCATGCGTGCTTGTTACATTGCGTGCGAACGCGTCTTTCCTTTGAGTGGCGTGATGAGCGGATAGGGGGTGTTTCAGGTGGCGGGATTACAGTTGCATGCCATAGTATATGATCGACCCAACCGAGCAGAAGAATCAGAGAGGAGGGATCAGACCCAGTCTTGATACTGCTTGACATCTTGGGATAAAAAGTGCAACCATTCATCCCAAACGGAATACCAAATCATGAGACAATCGACAATTGCCGTGATCACCGTTGCCTCCTTTGCTGGGACCAGCTTTGTCAATTCGAATAGCATGCGAGGGCAAGCCTCCACTCAGGGCAAAGAAAACGACTTTGGGTCCGTCTTTACAAACGAGCCGTCGGGCAGCAGCATCATTCTCGACAATGGGAGCACCGATTCAGCTTATGGAACTGTACTTGAATTCGGTTCGGACGGCATCGTGAGATCCCCTCCAAACGTACCTTTTCTTGAAGGCAGAAGGAGGAGACAAGACGCGCACGAGATTGTGGTGAATCCCACAACGAGACCGTCACCTCCGACGGAGAGAGACATTTCTACCTAGCGCATCTGACGCATAGTGCAGTAGCGCTTTTCAACCCGCTTGTATATGCCAAATTCGTCTCGCGTATCTTATCAATGAAGTCCCACTAGTTGCCGTTCCCTTTTTGGAGGAGATGTAGAACATCCAGTAAGTGCTGATCCTTGTGGTGCCAGTCTCCTGGATCACGTGTGAACGAAAGGCAGAAACGGCCTTTGGCGTGAGGAGAGATCCAGATATTGGGTCGGCGTCTGTGGTTCTATTCCATCCGTCTCGCCCAACGGCGATCGTCAGACGACTTCATCGGAGAATCTGGATACCAGAAGAGCTCACCACGTTGAAACCAATCTTCTACGCTTGCCTGCAGGTTCTGCTGGACTAAGGGGGGCTTGTGCCGTTTTTTCCTTTCCGCCTCTAATCCCTCTCCCTGCTCCTTTTTTTAGGCCTTTGCGCCGCAAAGGTAAGCGACCCGTCATCCCGATATGTTCCGCTGCTCCTTTTTTAGGCTGAACTGATATGCTGTGTCTCTTTTGAGAGTGATTCGAACCCAGATCAAAGGAGAGTAACACGATGCGGAATCGGAGGCTAAACTCAATCTCCATCGGCCAGCACCCTCTTGTCTGGTCGGGATAATCCGGTGAAGGGAGAGCCCTCAGCTATGGATTGGAAAAGTATAAAGGCGATACACATTACAACAAGTTTAGGTGTCTCGAACCTTGATGTGACTAATAAAGCGACTCATCTCGGAGAGATATACAGTGCGAACATGCATCCAAAAACCGTCGCCCAACTGACCAGCTCTACTCTCGCTACCATCTGTTCAGTCAACACCTTGACGTCGGCCTCCAGCAACTCAACCGAGCAACAGCCGGAGGGAAGTTTCTCGGCAGCCCCAGACGGTACTTTCGTTTCCCATATCAGCGCAGACTATCGGAGCATGGCTGCATCACAAGGGGGAGCGTCTGGAGTGAACTACTTTGAGAACACACCCGCCCAAGCAGGAAATCAGCCGAACGGTCGGATTGCTCGCAAGGAGCAGGGACGATCAGGACAGGCCGAAGAGAGAGAGAAAGGAGAGAGCAAGGCAGTAGAAGGGGAGAAGTGATACGATAGCGCATGCCGAAGATTGTAGTGCAGAATGTTTCACAGCGCGGATGAGAGGGGCGTGACGTGTTTGATCACATACGCAGAAGATTCGCATCTATGACGAATTACAGATACAATGGATCAGGTTGAACGAGTCCTGGAAAAGACAGAGATTGATAGAACCTAGTGCACGAGTCGCCAGCAGACGCGCTTTATTTGATTGTTCCTTTAAAGCACGTCGCTACGGCGTCGACAGCAGACCGCTACATCCGGTACGGTGAAACACGACAATTTTGATCACGTGCTCGAATCACCTCATGGAAGGTGATACCGGATCAACCTTTCATCGCAGTTACAATCTGTTGCAGTAAGGCTGACACCCTTGCAGAGGGTTTAATAAGCTGGAGTCGTAAACCTCTCTGCTCGCCACAAAACCCCTGCATATCGTCGTCTTTGTCCTCTTTATATCGAAAACAGCCACGCCTAGACCTACACGTCGAAAAATGAGACCTGGAAGTATCGCCCTACTCAGCCTGTACACTCTACCGTCCATCTCCGGCTTGCCGACGGATCGAAGAGGCCTTGAGACTGCCAGCCTTGCCTTGTCCTTCCATTCCACAGCCGATGTCTTCTATCCCCACACAGCTTTCCCCGACACTGAGAACAACGTTGGGTTGTCCGAGCAGGAACAGGTCGAGGCAGACGTGAGCAGGTTGGAAGGGCTGTTCACGCCGGCTAAAGGCTTGTCTACTGCACTTTCCGTTCATAGTCAGCAGGGTGGTCAAGAAAAGGACGATCACCGGGGCAACCTGGAAGACACCGTCATCGACCCCGGCGAACAACATGACGGAAGACGTTCTCAGCGCCGCCAGAGGCGTTCCAAGGAAAAGAACGGACGGCTCGACATACGACCGAATGACCGCGCCTAGCAGCCAGCCACCGATAGGCCCTGATCAATATTCTGCCCGTTTCTCTTTCCCCCTTCCCCATCCCTGGACGTTGCTGGATTAGCAGAACCTATTGTACCATACCACGACCTGACCTCCTTTGATATGAAAAATAGCACAGCTTAAGCGGCAGCGTTCCCCCTCCCGACCCCCTCCCGATTACGAGAACGAGATCGCGGTTAGGGTCAGCGTCTACCTTTCGTCTCCACCATCATCCCACACGCTAGAGGGCAGTCGAGTGTGCTTGAATAGTCTGATGACCCTGGTTTAATTCGCATTCCATCAAGCCCCTGCCAGCCTGCCACTCATCCATTCTCTTAACGGCGAGATCTGGCCATCCTCATCGACATCTGCACTTTCGACCATAGAGACTCCTAGAGGTACCGCCGCAACATCTGAGCTTGGGCAGAACCGCGTATCTCGGGGGAGAAAAGCAGTGACGGTGTCGTTCCTCTCGATCCAGATCTTGATTTTGCCTCTTTTCTTCTTGCGTTCGATATGATTCGAGGTCGGTTCATAACAATCTATGTTTTCATAAATGCGTAACATCGTGGGTGTTTGGGTGGTACGGTACGGTCGGTATTACAAGGAACATCAGTCCAAGAGGCGAGGTGAGACATAATTCGGGAGATAGGAAGGATAGAGGGTGGATTGATTTATCCTTGTCGCTGTGATGCGACCCCGCAAACGGATATGATCAGCATCGGCTGCTAGCAAGACTCAAATCGACATCTCTCAAACGAGCGAGCGTAATGGGACTCGAAAGCTCACCTGCTTGTGCTTAGGATCCTTGCTACAGACGACGTAGAGGTATCCTTTCCTCCTTACGACCGAACACCCATCGCAAAACTTTTTCACGCTACTCCTAACCTTCATCCCCCTGACCGCTACGTCCCTCGAACCCATCGTCTGATTCATGATAGCCGATGCACGGGGCCGGGCGATGGCGGATCCACCAGGGAGGATGGGCGAGGTGGTACCGGCGGCTGGGCAGGGGATGATGGTCTTTCCATAGGTGGGGAGGAGGGAACGGGCGGCGCAGATGGAGCAGGCGCGGGTGGAGGAGACCGTGGTCGGTCGGACCAGGGTGCGGATGAGCGAGGTGAAAAGCATCGTGGTGGAGGTGGATTCTATTGTTTGGTGTGTGGTGTGAAGCTGTTGAGTCTGTGTATCTGGAGACTTGCTTCTTAGCCTGCTAGTGTGGATGCGCGATGTCCGATTGAATGGGGTCGTGGTTATCATCAGGTCGATCTCGCTACCGAGTCTGGAATGGACATGTAGCTCGGGTCGATGTCCGGTTTCTTTACGTCACTTTTAGTGGCCCGCATGTACCGCGGATACCCAATGATCCTCACAGCACTTCTCTTCTCCCATTAAACGCGCCTCTCTCTCCCTCTCTGCTCGCTCGATGGGACACGACGCGTCGCGTTTCGACGTTCCACCATCGCATTCAAGCTTCATCATCTTTCATCATCGATCTTCCACCTCCTTGTCCTCCTGCCATTCCCTACCGATAACCATAAGCTCCTCGCCGTTGCAAACCCCTCCTCCTTACCTGCCTCGCCTACACCAAACAAACTATCCCGCCCAAAATGCTCGAAGCGCGAATGCAACAAGCCTCGATCTTGAAAAAGTTGATGGACGGTACGTCGACTGGTCCATGAGATTGTCCTGCTTGTGCATTTCTTCGTGACTGAAATCATGGGCTGACTGCTTGATTCTTTCTTGACTGCTCCTCTCTGTTCTCTTCTCTTTGACCTGATCCTTGTCCTCTGTCTGGAATCGGCTGGACCATACTGGAAATACGTCTATCGGATACATCACGTCATACCCGCAACCTGACCTGACATGCAATGCAACGCAACGCGATTCGGAAACTTGGATATATCCCTCATACAATGCGTCTAACAACGACAACTCGCAATCCGATAATATCGGTGGGGAATTAGCCATCACTGGTTTGGTCTCGGAGGCCAACTTTGAGTGTAGCGAGACGGGGATTGTGAGTTATCTGTTCAATCCCCCCTTTTCTGTTCTCCATTTTCCTCGTTTCCCTCTTTTCCTTTTCTACCTTCATCTGCTCTCTTTCGTCATTGTCTTGTCAACATACTTACACCCGCTTTGTCTAACCTCTTTTCTATGCTCTCAATCCATCCTCATTCTCAACCTCTATCACCCCACAGGCCCTCCAAGCGATGGACAACTCCCACGTAGCCCTCGTCACCGTAGAACTCAAAGCCAACGAATTCGAACACTACCGGTGCGACCGCAATATCCCCCTGGGGATCAGCTTGGCCTCGTTGACCAAGATCTTGAAGTGCGCCAAGGATACCGACGAGCTGACGTTGAAGGCGAACGATGATGCCGATACGTTGGGGTTGGTCTTTCAGAACGGGAGTGAGTGTCGCGACTTAGATGCATTCGATTATTTTGGAGAGAGGAGTCTTTACTACTAGGGCAACATTCACTGACCCACCTACTTTTGCGTAGAATCCGATCGACTCGGCGAGTACGAGATGAAGCTCATGGACATTGACCAGGAACACCTCGGAATCCCCGACACGTCTTACGACGCGACCGTCACCCTCTCTTCGGCCGAGTTCGCTAGGATCTGCCGAGACCTGAGCGCACTCGGCGAGTCGGTCAGGATTGACGCCAACAAGGACGGCGTCAGGTTTACGTGCGAGGGAGAGATTGGGAACGGGAGCGTGCTCTTGAAACCTTCTGGGTCGGGCGTCAGGTCGGGCAAGGTCAAGAAGGAAAAGGAGGGTGGTAGGAAGAAGAACAAGGTTGTTGGCAGTGACGACGAAGAGGAAGAGGAGGAGGATGACGTCAAGCCCAAGGTGGAAGATAGCGACGGTGGGTCGCCTGATTCAGCGACGAATACAGTAGATTCGCCGAGCTGATCTCATTTTTGCGCACGGATAGAGGAAGCTGGATCGGACGCAGAGCAGGGAGAGGACGAGGAAGAGGAAGAAGAGGAGGACGACGCCGCAGCCAGCAAGAAGCGAAAGGCCGCTGCCAGCAAGGCGTCCGAGAAGAAGACTGCTAAAAAGGTATGCCCCGCGCCGCTTCGGAGCATTAGAGGTAAAACCGGGTGCTAACTTCGTCGTTCAACCCGACTCGCAGGCCAAGGTGACCGAGGGCGAGGAGGAGAATGGCGTCAGCATCGTCCTCCAGCAAGCCGTGTCCCTGACCTTTTCCCTCAAATATCTTCAAAACTTTGCCAAGTCGGCCCCGCTCTCGAGTCATGTCGTCCTGAACATGAGCAACGAGGTGCCATTGTTGGTCGCCTTTGAGTTTGAGCAGGGACACATCAACTTTTACTTGGCTCCCAAGGTGAGTCGCGATAACGGTTGATGGGCTTGGACGATCGTGGCTGATAAGGTTGGCATTCATCCTCGACAGATCGGCGACGAGTAGAAAGAAAGAGAACATCAAACCCTACGGTCGATCCGTCTTGCCGCTACATTTTACGTGTCCTCGCCTCCCATACATCCTCTTTCTTGTATTGTATCGAATCCCGGGGTCTCTTGCATATGCCGAAATCAATTTAATATGGCTCGTCTTGACAAACGAGCGTGAATATCGTGCAAAGACATGTCTGCGGTGGTCGTCGCATGCGAGAGAAATCTTACAACGAGTGTGGAGCGTAAGACGAAAAGGTCATGAAAGTGATCGTGAAAGCAGAGAAATGGTATGGGGAAAAGTTCGTCGATCGAGCTGGTCTGTCTACCAATCTTCGGAACCATCGTGAGCCGATAGAGTGGCTTCTACGGCGGCGTGCCATGCGGCTTCTTCATCTTGCGTAATGTGGTCGTCTCCCTGGGAAGCCGCATCGGATCCGGGGTTGGCAGGGTTTTCATTGATTTGAGCTGGGTCGTCAGCAGCGGGGTTGGCCGCCGGTGCAGGCGGAACGTCGCCAGCGACAGCCTCGTTCGCAACAGGAACGTCGGCTGGGACGTCTTCGGTGTTAGCGACGGGCGGTGCAGCGACGGGTGCTGGAGCTGCGTCCAATTCGAACAGCAGTCGAGCCGATTTATGGGCTTTGCAAAAGGCTGCGGTGTCGTTCTCGGTCCCAGTATTGGTAGGCGCTGTCTGCTCCTCGGGGAGCGCAGCGATCTCTTCGTCGGTCATGCGGGCGCATAGATGGGAATCTGGTCGGGGCAGACACGTCGACGTCAGTTTTTGTCCCAGTCCGACAAATAGTTGAGTCTGACACTCACATTGCTCGGCGTGAGTCTCGTTGGCTTGATAGAAGCATCTACTCGTGACCGAGAAAGATTGAGCGGCTAGCACAGTATCGATTGGATGCAGGTCCGGCTTACGTATTTCCCCACTTGCACTTGACCCTGTCCTTGATGGCAGTCGGGATGACGGCTTCGACCGCGGTCTTCTTCGAATGTCGCATCCACCACTCGGCCAGTCCAGCCTGACAAGAATGTTAAAAATTCCGGTCAATCACAGAGACAGTTCCGGAGTTCCGTACCGCTGCGCACCTTGAAGATGGTACCTCCGCAAGAACCGCAAAATCTCCCCGTCCCCCCGGTGGGCTTCTGTAGGCCGCCCTGAATGCCAAATCGCTCGAACAGGCCTTTCAATCCGTTCGCAGCGACTCCCTCGGTCGACGACAACCAGCTCGACAGTTCGGTAAAGACGTGGCTGGTCGAAAACCTTTTGGGTCGATTGAGGTACGAAGTGTTTGGCGCGAGCCCAGCGCTGGCTAGTCGAGACTGTTTCTGTGCCCAAGCGAAGAAGATGGCGGCCTCGGTGGCGTTGTGGCTGAATGCCAAGATCGGTTTCAGTGGTATTACAAGTCTCTTTGTTCCACATTGCACTCACCGGAACGCCGCGAGCAGTGATTTAGCAAATTGAGGGTAATGGACGGCATTGTTTCCAAGGTCTTCAGGATACATCAAATACTCCGCATACATGTGCGGTTCATGCAAATGCTTCAATAAGGGCATGTCACACTGAAACGGAATGGTCAGTAAGGGGGTAATCAATATTCGGAAATGCGTCCCGCTTACCGATTTGCATGCACTTTCGCCGCATCCATCACACACTCTCGCCAGGGATTCAGGGGTAAGCGTCTCGCTGTAGCAGCGATAAGCTTAGTTGTTGCCCACGCAACGCTCATATGGACCAACACATACCAACGACCACATAGCACATGCCCGGGACAAGGCAGATCTCGAGAGAGACGAGTCGAACGGCGATTTGGGTTGGGTACCTGAAGAAAGATTTATTTAGAGTTGGTCGCTTCGCGATTTGACGCTGACTGCTCACCGGGATTGGGCAGACGAATCTACCGGGAACCCTACCAGGCGCCGGGCAGTGTTTGCAGGGTTTCCAGTATCGCTCGTTGAGACCTTCGCCCTCGCGATCTCGATAGATTCGAACCGGATCTTTTTGAACGGCGACAAACGAAGGAACGGCAGAGATTGGGATGGGGAACTGCGAGCATATTGAGATATCGTTTCAGTCGATATTCGCAGTCGTATCAGCTGAACAGGTGCAATGACTCACACTGAGAGCCTGGCCCTTCTCATAAGTTTTGCGGTGATCATCGATAGCTTCTTGTTCCCTCGCAAACTCCGGTCGAGCCTAGCAAAGCCGAACCGAAACGTAAATCACAGGTCACGCAAGCAGTGGCAAATGGCAGAAACCTACCTTGACTAGTAATTCCGTAGCGGCACCCAAAGCCAGAGCCGGGACGATTCCCGTAATCGGCGTCCGTTTGCAAAACACGCAGCTCAATCCCTTGCTTGACAGTTTTCCCTCTCCTAGCTTGATCTCAACTGGCCCAGGGGCTGGCGCCACAGCGGGCGGTGCAGGAGCGTCAATCGTAGCAGCAACGCCGGCTGCATGAGCTGTGATGTGAGCAGGAAAGATATTGCGGGGAGGTACAGCTTGACCAGGGGGCTGCTCCAGACCGGCGACCACTGCAACAGGATTTGCGGTTTGTTCAGGGTTAATAACAGCAGGCTGAGCTTCTCCGAGATCGGGAGTGGCCTCTCCAGGTTGAGTCGGTGGAGGGACTTCGTCGATCGCCATGGCAGCATCAGCTTGAGCGTCGACGGGCTCCACTGGAACAGCTTCTTTGGCAGCAATTTCAGAAGCCGGAGCGACTGCCTCTTCTGTAGCGATGGGAGGTGGTGCGACTACCTCGTTGACAGCTGGTGGTGGGGCTTCAGATCCATCGTCAGAAACATGAGACCCACTCCTATCGCTCCTATCGTCGTCTTCATCTTCCTCCGAGTCATAGTCATCTTGATAGCCATGCGTCCCTGCCGCAGCATTCCCATTCACATCCTCGATAACCTCATCCTCGTCCTCGCTCCCCTCGCTATCCGAACCCTCATCATCAACATAAGCCTCTCCCCACTGATTATACTTGACGCTAGGGGGAGGGGCGGGGATGTTGACCTTGTGGACGGCGGTTTTCAAGTTCAGTTCTCCAGCGCGTTTTCGTTGAGCGTGAGTGACTTCCAAGAGGTTCGAGGTATGCCCGGGGAGGGTCCAGACGAGCTTTTCGTTGATCTTGTAGGATTTCAACCAGTCTCTCATGCATTTCCCGCAGTAAGAGTGGCCGCATGGTTGAACGGTGACGGGCTGACACAGTCAGTCAAGTGTTGTCAGCCGTATGAACCATCGCCATCGCCGTCATCGCCACGGGCACGTCGAACTCACATCGATAAAACTCTCCTGACAAATCCCACAACAAAGCTCCTCCTCAAATCTATCCAGTACGACCCTCACCCCGTCCTCCTTTTCCTTGGCCTCCTTCAACTCGACCGTCACCCTGTCTTCCTTCTCCTTGGCCGCCTTTAACTCGGCTCTCAACCTGTCCACTTCGTCCTGACTATCCTTGAGCGCGGTGACGAGGTGCGTGGCATCTTCCTTTTCGTAAGTCGGTTTCGAGGGACGCATGAGGGACTTCAGTTTCTGTCGTTGACTGTGACTATGACTGTGACTGTGGCTGGAGGACGAGTGTTTCCTCTTGGAGTTCGAGTCTGATCGGGACCTCGAGCTGCTCTCCTTCGAATTGGTACTGTTGCGGCTGACTGGATCTTCGGGGTCGAGGTCGATCTTTCGACGTTTCTTGACCAGATCCGATCCTTCCTTCACTGCGGTGCTGTTACCGTTCTTGTTCTTATCCTTCTCGTCGGTCTTGTCGAACAACGGGTGAAACCGATCGCCCTTCTGCTTCATCCGTCCAGCCTTCGAAGAGGTAGTAGCCTTGTCGGCCCCGGCTTTCGAATCTGATCTGGAGTCTACAGAGTCGAAGGAAGTGTTGGGGTCCGAATCAGGAAGTTTGCGTTTGGTACCAGAAGGCGAGGTCTGGCTGCTTCCAGCCGATCCGGATGATTCGGCGGGGAGAGCAATGGCTCCGAATGTCATCGTGAGAGAGGAGTTGTGGCGGTGATCCGTGAGAATTAGTTATTCGAGTAAGGTAGAGAGAAGTATCGAAGTTGATGGTGGTTGTATTAGAGTCGACCGTGTGGCATATAAGTACCGGGTCGGGTGACTGGAATGAACAAGTGTTCCCGCAGGTAAAGGATGATTAGGCTCTAAATCAAAGGGTACCCCACGATCCTGAAGCTCGAGCGTACCTCTTAGAGTCCTTTGGCAAATCTTCTGTGAGTAGTGCTGAAGTCACGTCTATGCAAAAGACTGTCAGGTTGTATGGATCAAGAGTTTCGATCAGTAAGAAGGAGAACTTCTTTATCGTGGTCGACGGGGAAGATGGTACGTACCTGATGAGCCGTCACAGCCACAGAGGCCGGGCGTGCTTCTCGATAACGGGTCTGTAGATTCGACCTGATCAAACTCAACCGAGTTCAACTATTTCATCAAGTGGCAAGTGGAGATCTAACTCGACTGGACATTCGAATATGAACCCCATCGATCTCATATGCTCGAGCGGTCGAGAGATGTGTCGAGGTCGAGCAATCACATTTCGGCTCAACCCGGGGGCGGGCGCCAAGTGATGAGGGAAGGTGCGGCGACGGAACCAGATTACGTTTTAGCATTCGGAAGTAAATTCGATGGGCCACTTTGTCAACAACCTCTTCATTATAATTTGACTGCAGGCAACGTTCTACAATCCTACAAGTACAAGTACAACCTCTCTTTCCATACCAGAGCCCGAAAAAGATCTATTCCTGATGACCCGTTCATACAACCTCCCGCTGATTCTCCCTGGCGGCCTTTTCCTCCGAATCGTGCTCCCCTTCGTCCTCCATCCCGAGCGCATCCCGGAGCTTCTTCTCGACCTCGGCCGTCTTCTTCGACCGTTGCTGCCTACAACATACACACCGATCAGGCGGACGCGTTAGTACCCCTACTACGTCTTGGACGGCCATCCGTAAAGACCCAAACTCACCCTTTCCAAATGAGAACGGCACTGGCGATCCCGCACAAGAAGCTCAACGGGATCAACGTTCCCGTCGTCCACGCCGGTCGTTCGTGACGGTTCAGACCCCACATGGTCCCGCACAAGAAACACTGAAACACGCTGTTTCCGATGGTGAACTGTCGGCGCGGATCACAAATTCACTGTCAGTCGAGTTGATAAGGCAAGAGGCAGATGATGACGATGGAGCGAGCAAGTGTGTTTGTGTGGACGTACGAGACAGATCCAGAGAGCGAAATTCAACGAAAAGGCCCTGTGCGTGTCCGTCTCGTGAGGACGATACCACGTCTGGGATTTCCCAAACGCTCGTTGTTGATACTTCAACCTGGCTTGTTGCTTGTCCGTCAAGACCTGAAAGTAGCAAGAGCCGAGATCAGTGAAAGATTCGAATCACCATCCCCCTCCCCGCGACGACCGCGATAGCGGTTTCTCTGCTGCCGAGACTTGATACAGCCCGACATACCTGTACGAAATCCTCATCCCACTCCGGATCAGGCGCCTGGTTCTTGTCCACGCCTGCCTCCAGCCCCCGTTTCTTCCGTAACTTTCGGTCGATATGCTGTAATCTCCAGATCGCACTGATCCGGTAAGCGTCCCTCACTCGCCAGGGGATGAAACCGACACCGGTCACGGTGAAGAGACCGTTGGTGACTTGAGAGGAAATCTCTGAGGAAGGGAGGAAAGGGGACAAGGTCAGATCGTCACTGAGGCAGCGTGGAAAGAAGAGAGAGGTTGACTTGCCGACCCATTTATCCTTGTTTTCCTTGCTACCCGTGTCGATCCAGCCTGAAGGACAGGGAAGAGACGGCAGTCAGTCATCCTGCCATCTCTAGTCGATTTAGAAGGATGCCCTCTTCTCAAGGTTCAAAGGGCTTTTATCGTCGTACTGTTCACACGGGCACTCACCAAGAAGGAAGAGCACGATAGCAGCACTGTTCCGAGTCAAAGCGAGAATATGATCAGTCTGCGATGGACTTGCTTAAGGTGTCCGGCCCGACATACCCCCAGAAGACGACCTAACCGACAAATCCCATGCAAACAAAACACATGAAAATCAGTTCTACAGTCGAAAGCCTTCTCGCAAACATCATGACGGTGCTCACTAAGAACCCGTATATCGCAGTGATCACCCCGATAGGCGTCTTGACAAACGCCCAAGCTCCCTTCATGGACCTGATGAACCATTCCTTTCTCGGCGAACGGCGTTTCGAGGCGAGGACGTCTTTCACGTGGGTATCCAGGAGGTCTTCTGAGTCCGAGTCGGAGCTCGAGTCCGTGTTGTCCTGATTGGGGGTCGAGGTGTTTGCCGTAGTGTTGGCGTTGGTACTCGTGCTGCGGGTGGGGTTCGCAGGCCGGGAAGGGGTATCGAGGGTAATGGTAGCTTTAGATTTGAACAGCGAAGGGATGGGCGGGATCATAATACTGTTCGCAGCGTCTTGCAAGTAAGTCACTGTCATACGGAGACGCAATTGATGTCAGCATGTTTAAAGTCTTCGAGCGCATCATACTCTGATCGAAAGGGACGATGGACTTACCGGCAGAGACCTGCGCATCGATAACGTTCAGGTGATCGACCACCTCGTCCCGATGCACGTCCTCCTCTTCCTCCTCCTCTTGCCTCCTCTCCCTAGCCTCGGGGCCTTCTTCATCATCCCCCTTGGAAGAACTCGACCTCCGAGTATCATCTCGCTTATCCTTGCCGGTCAAACCCATCTCCTCGTCCACCTTCCTCGTATCCACAGTACCAGCGACGTTCATACCGAGGGTCTGTTTGAACCAAGAGACGGACCCAGTCCTAGCCCTCGTCCTGCCCGTTTTCATACCTCCCTCACCGATATCTTCTCTCCCTCTATCTAAATCTCGATCTTGATTCCGATCTCCATCGTCGGAGATGCGCAGGGGCGGGGGATACTTGTAGTCGTCCTCCGTAGCGCGTTCTCGGTGCGAAGATAAGCTCTTCCTATGGCCCGAGCCGGTGGAGGAGGTAGAGATGGAGTCGGAGGTGGGGCGGTTGAGTTTGAGGTCCCGTTCGGTGGATTCTGGGAGGACTAGGTCGACAGAGGTGGACGTGACCGGGTGAGCTTGCGGCGGAGCGTGATTTTCGGTATCGTTCTCGATGATAGGTGAAGGGACGGGAGGTCCACGAGAGATCGTGCCAGTCCGGTTCCTATTCGCAGCTGCGGCTGATGGCGTCGAGGGAGATAAAGAAGACGGGAGCGGAGAGATGGGCGAGCCAAGGATACAGTCGATAGTCCGTGATCGGCTCCGTCGATTCGGTGTATTGTTGTTGGTGCTGGGGACATTGAGATTGTTGGTATTTATCCTCAATGGTTCTCCAGTCAGGTCCGGATTGTTGATCCCCCTGACATTATCAATTCGACCACCCTCCATCCCGTCCGGCTCTTCCCGCAATGGCAATCCATCCACCACTCTTCCCAAGACCGGTGTACTATCACTCGTCTCTTCCACTTCCCTAATTCGCATATTCGTAGGCGTATTTGTAGACATGGTTATCGTCGGTCTCCTCGCGCTCCTGCTCGTGTTTTGAGTGACGGACGAGGCCGTACCCGATCGATCTCGTCTGATCTGGACCGAGGGCGAGGTCATCCTGGCGGCGTCGATCGTGGGGTATATACTATAATAATGTTCAAGGTATTATAGGGCTGTGTTTCCGTCGGGGAGAAAGGTATGTATGAACCTGCAAAGTTACATGATCCTCGCAGTCTGCCAGTTCCTTGCGAGCTTGTTGTTGAAGGGAAGAGAGAGAGAGTCCCACCCATGTCCCTCGAGCTGTAGACAGCAATTGCTTCCGTTTCACGCAATCTCTCTCGCGCGCGTGTTTCGGCTCCCGGTTCCGGTTCCGGTAATCGCCCTCGCCGTAGGGAACATTGGGCCAGTTCCGTCGGGACAAGCGATGCGAGCAGTAGCGCAGTAGTTCAGTCACAGCCGAGTTTTATAGTAGAGGAATTAAAGGGAGGGTATCCCCCAAGATGCCAGCGACTCAGACAAGTCGTGCTGACGATCCGGCGTTTTCCCCCCTCCCTCCCCCCAACGCACTCGATGTGCACAACCCCTATACAAGGAGATCTAGGCTTATCTGAAGTAGTGTCGGAGCTCTTTGCGATACGAATCTGATGCATTGTATGAACCCCGCACGTCGTTCAATCACTCGATGCTACCACCGGCCTGTGTCATCTTCAACCCCGCTCTCAACCCTTCTACAACGACGTTCCCATTCATTCGTAACCTCAACCCTAAGATCCATTTCCACTATGTTTCAAATGTCTCGAGTTTTCATGCCTCGGGCTTCCCCACCTCGGCCTGTGCCTGTCCCTCCCCCGACTTGACGCTCTCGGTATAATGGACCTCGCTCTGATCCCTCAATCGCTGTGCCGCTTGTTCCGCTGTCAAGTCTCGCTATGTGACAAAGATCGCCCGGTGGGAACAAGTCAGCCTTCGTTACGACGGGTTTGAAGGGAAACTCTGTTGTACTACGCGCATACGCGCAGCCGAACACTCACCTGCGCTTCGGCCATCATCTCGAACCCGACCAAGAATTTCCTCACGCTGCTGCTCCTCAACAATGGCGGGTAAAAGTGAATGTGAAAGTGCGCCGGGTGGTCGTCCGAGGTCTTCTGCGCTTGACCTTGAGCGAGCGGGGGCAAGGGCGCTTGGTGGATACCCATCGAATAGGGGAAGGGGGTTCTAAAATTGGGAACGGAAGGAAGGTTGAGCTTCTGAGACTCAATGAGGGTAGATTATATGCTTTGTGGTACTGACGTGAACAGGTTATCATACCGCGTCAAGATCTTCTTCAGCACCCTTGCCAACCCCAGCGCCTCGTCCTCCGTGATCGCCGTCAGATCGGTAATATGCCTCTTGTACGGCAATACCATGATCTCGAACGGCCAGGTCGCCCAAAAGGGGACGAGGGCGACGAACCCGCTCTCTTCGTCTAGGACAACGACGCGTTCGCGCTTGGCGACTTCTTGTTGGGCGTAGGTGCAGAGGAGGCAGCGGTTGGAGTGGGTCTTGCGGTAGGCGGCCAGGGAACGGAGTTCGGTCAAAGGTTCTTCTGGGACACTGTCAGAGTTAGAATGGAGTACAGGTACAGATATATGTCCGGCGGTGAGCGATGCCATGATAACAAGCCAGAGGGAAACGGCTCACAAGCTGGTTGACCAGACTTGACCGTGGGGATGAGGAGCGCTTGCTCCCATCATGCTTCCTCGGTTCTATTCAGACAGTAACCCAAATAAATCAGTCTCATAGGAGCTATACACACGTCGGTTAACATAGCTGGACTCACCTCGAAGATGTTGACACAACCGACATCATCTCCCAGCCCCTCAACCCCGACAGTCTCCAGACTCCCCCTCTCGTCCACCGCGTGTCCGTCCCTGATGGTCTTGCCCTCCATCTCGTAGACCTGACGCCAACAACGGATGACGGCGGTGATCTCTTCCGGGGACATGAGCGCCAGCGTGAGGTCGTGTCGGGGAGAGTAGGTGAGGACTTTACACGATCCAAAGGTCGGTTTGGTCTGGAACAGCTCATCGTCGTCGTTTCCCTCTTCTCCGGCGACACTGGTCTTGCCGGTAGTTGCAGGTACAGTGACGGGGTTGAGCTGCAACAATGCCGGGAAATCGTTCTCAAAGATATACGTCTCTGCGAAGTCCGGGTTCTGTTCCCCGTTCATCCGAGGGTTCCCCGGGCATAGGTAACAATCCTTGGTATGCCTCGGGAGTTGTTGGATGAGAGGAGGGTCTACCTGGCCCTTCCAGGGTCGTTTGGTCCGGTGAGGGGAGACGAGGACGTGAGAGTTGGTCAGGGGATTGACTGCGAGCACATATATAGAGAGGAGATTAATAGGGGTTCGGCTGATTTTGTATAGGTGGATGGGAGAACCGTGAGCTTACATCGCCTGTGCGGGACTTCGGAGGGGTGTAGTTCGGATGACATGGTCGCTGATCGTGCTGTAGCAGACAACGATTATAGCTTGAGTTTCGAGCCGGCGACGGTCGAGTGTTATATCTTGAAGATTGAAGAGAGAAAAGCAGAGGAGGAATTAGGAATAGGAATTTAGGAGTCATTTGTATGGTCGGAAGGCGGAATAGCATGTGCGACCTTCTCCTCTGCTTCGCTTCGGACGACGGTGAGCCGGGGAAAGCGGGAGGATACCCTCATCCGTCCACCTTCTCGACCCCCTAACTCGCAACTCCATGCCATACACGCACCGCACATGCCATACAAGACTTTGCATGACCCTCAGAACCGAAGATCAACCGCCTACCTCGAACCATTCATCCAACCAGCTCAAGAAAATCTGGGCAACGAACAGACTCGAAACGATGGCCACCAACGCTCCCGTCACCGCGTACAAGGCGTTGAACGAGATTTACCCTCAGGAGAGCGTCTTGCAACAAGGGTGGGTCGTTGCGGTCCCCATGAGCCCTCTTTATATCTTGCAGACCTCTCGATGAAACTGATATTCTGCCCTCTACACGCTTCAATTTGGGCATGTTTCCATCGTGCTCATGACATCTGTAAATGGATGCAGGGAACGATGGAACGACCTAGCGACCAGGTTTCAAGAGGAATTCGGGGAAAAACCTGAACATGTCGTACGAGCTCCGGGGAGGATCAACCTCATCGGGTGAGTGGATTATTCTCTTTAGGTAGCGAAAGAAATACTCCGAGGGCTGAACTCGGACGTGTGAATCGATGTTGGGGATTGTGACATGGATGGCGGAGGATAGTGAACATATCGATTACTGTCTATTCGTAAGCCCCTATTCAACCCTTTTTCCACCCGTGCATCTGAAACCGACGACTAATGTAATTTCCCCTACTCATCTCAATAGGGAGTCATGCCGGCGGCAGTAGAGATGGACTGTCTCATCGCCCTCTCCACCACCACCACCACCACCTCTTCCAACCTGGACGACGGTTGCTCAGTGGTCATCACCAACCTGGACCCTTCATGGCCTGGCACGACCCTGTACGCCCGCCGATCCGAGTCTGGATCCGGATCAGGGCAGGCATCGTGGGAGGTGGAAGGTGGATCAGGAAAGAGGGGTGATTGGGTGGCTTACCTTGGAAGCGCTTTGGATGTGAGTCTCCCTTCCCCTCTGTCTCAATCTGCGTTTGCATTTTTCGTACGCACGAAAGCTTATAGTATCTTCTTGTTTGTTACAGTGCGTCCTCAACAAATACCTAACCACATCCGAAGCTCGCCCAATCTCATTAAAGATGATGATCACCGGCTCCATCCCGCCCGGATCTGGGCTTTCTTCCTCAGCCGCATTGATCGTAGCGGCATTATTGGCCATCTTGCTCGGCAACGGACTCGTCTCCGCTACCCCTGCCCCTTCAGAGTCGACATTGGTGTCGCAGGTGAAGAACTCGGACTTGGTCCAGATGGCCCGAGAGGCCGAAGCCAAGATTGGCGTCAACTCGGGTGGGATGGATCAATCCGCCAGCGTACTCTCCCGGGTAGGAGCGGGGCTTTACGTCTCGTTCGTTCCCGAACTGGGAGTCGAGATGGTACAATTGCCGTCCATCTCTACAGGAGCCGACTCAGATGTCGAGGAGGAGAAACTGGTCATGGTCATCGCGAACAGCTTGACCAAGCACGATCTGGCAGGAGGGGCTACGAAGCAGTATAACCTGAGGGTCATGGAGACGTTGATCGGGGCGAGGGTGCTCGGTCGGGCTCTCGGGGTCATTCAGGACGGCGAAAAAGGCGTGGAGAAGCTTCAGCTCCGACAGGTCGTAGGGCGGTTCGCTGGAGAACAAAAAGGTTCGTCCTCCGTCATCTCTTCCGACGAGCTCGAAAGCGCTCTGGAGAAGATCTTGCCCGAAGTCGACCGGATCCTCGGCCCAGACGCCGAATCTCGGGACGTCGGCCACCTCCCGGAGGGCTTGGCGGGCCTGACAGGGTTATCAGACGAGGCGTTCGAGAGGGTCTTTTTGAGCACGATCGAGGTGGACACTTCGGACCAGGGGGGCAGGTTCTTGCTCTACAAGCGGGTCAGGCACGTGTTCGAAGGGGCTTTGAGGGTATTGCAGGTGGTCAGGATCTGTCGAGGCGGCTCGGGCTCGAAGGCGAACGCGGACGGAGGCGAAAAGGCGGAGACGGACGTGGAGATCGTAGGGAGGTTGATGAACGAATCGCATGCGAGTTGTAGGGACCTGTACGAGTGTTCGAACGACGAGCTGAACGAGCTGGTGGACGTCTGTCGTCGGGCAGGAAGCGTGGGGAGTCGGCTATCAGGGTGAGTGCCGAAAGTCTCCGCCCTCTACCCTCACCTCGTAGCTGATCACCTCTCCCAAATTTGATGTACTACAGCGCCGGATGGGGAGGCTGCGTCGTATCGCTTATCCCGGCTTCGTTGGAACAGCAGTTCATCGCTCAGATCACGGATGAGCGAGAGGGATACTCGGCTTACCGGGGTTTAGGCAAAAAGGAGCTCGAGACGATCGTCTTCAAGACGGTACCTGGGAGTGGTGCTGGAGGTGAGTCGAGAAACTGGCCCTGAACCTCATTGCGGCAAGTACAGCGAGCTGATGGGGCGTGGTTTGGCATCGTGTTTCAAGTGATGAAGCTGTAGAAAAAGAGGAAAGTGACTTTGTAGATCACGTCATACTTCGGATGTATACATGTCAATTTACATCCGGAGATGTGGGGACCCCTTCCACCGGTATCATTCGATTTGCATCCGTTCCTTGGGGATATCCCCTCTCTTCCTCGACCCGTTGATGATCGTCGTCGTCGACCTCGATAGTGTCGACCGAGATGATGCACCACTTCCTGACGACATCGTAGCATCGATCGAACAGATCCTAGTGTACTTGATACTTGGTCATTTGCTTCAACTCGAATACGAAACATCCCGGCCCATCGGGAACCGACCCTTTCACGTCGCGCACGTCGGACTCTCCCGAAACTTGAACCTCTTGTACAACTCGGACGACCGCATCCGTTTGATTTTGACGAGTTTTGTCAGTCAATAAGAGCGGTCTCTCCACCAACACGACAAAATGAACGGTGAGTCATGTCGCCAGATGTAAGATGTCGCTCGAAACTTATCCCGACCCTGTCTGGAGCAGCAACGCCTACCTCTTCGCTCCTCTCCGCCCTGCTATCCGTCCGGTCGACTCCTCCCCGCATCATCCAAAGTCCACCGACACAACCGCGAAGAGCTTCCGTAGCTTTAGTACTCAGGCTGAGACCTCCCCCAGGATTGGAGATCCCGGAGGAAGAGTGGGGTGTTGGGATGGGTCTGGACGAGTTCTTCAGGCTACGTGAGTGCGATGCTCAGCGGATCGAAATCGGGTTCAAGCGTTTCTGAAGCTGATACGGCATCCTACGTCAACGACATATGCAGCCTGGGTATCTCACCCAGAAACTACCCCTCAGCTCCTCTTCATTCGCCGTACATCCCGTCCTTCCGACCGTTACTCTTCTCACATCGCCTTTCCCGGCGGGAGGTCAGAACCCTCGGACACGTCCTCCCACTACACGGCGCTCAGGGAGACATGGGAAGAGATCGGGGTGGATCTCGCAGAAAAGGAGTTTGGCTTTGTAGGGAGGTTGGATGATAGGGAGATCACGACGAGTTTGGGAAAGAGGCTGTTGATGATTCTCAGTCCGTTCGGTACGTTCCGGGCTGCTCGAAGGAGAGAAGATTCTCTGCATTTCGGCGACTGACATGACTGCTTTCTTTTCCTCCCATCTGCGCCTCTTCCGTACTTTTGGCTGAAATACACGTTTCTAGTCTTCCTGCAACTATCTCCCCACTCGCCCACCCCGGACCTTCAACCATCAGAGATCTCGTCGCTCCATTGGATCGACCTCGACAGGCTCACCCCGCCGTTCGACAAGCACGATTGGGGTCACGTCGAAATCGACATTTCCAGCAGACTGAGCCCGAGGAATCGGTTCGTCAGGGTTTTACTGCGGGGTCTGGTCGGGGGGATGAAGTGAGTACTTAGGTCGTCGAAATCAGCGACATGGCTCAATGCAAGGGGGAAAGTAAAGCTGATCACCCCCAAATTATGAACTGTTCAGGTTCACCTCGTTGTTACTCCCCGATGAACCGGATTGTATATCTCCCGAGTACTTGCCCGAGTTTGATGACCTCCAAAGAGAGGGGCACGGTACGGTCTTGGGGAAGAACGGGCAGAGGAGGTTGAGACTGTGGGGTTTGACCTTGGGGATGACCTTGTCAGTACACGCCGTTCTGGCTTTGCTTGGCTGCGTGATACTGATATCGTGAGGACCGCTGCTTTTGGCCGCTACGCAGAGACTTGTTATCACACCTCCCTCAGCCGGATACAACCCCGCTCGTCAGACCTCGATCCCTCTCAGCAGATTCGGAAAAGACGCCCTTACTTCGTCATGCCTCGCATGAAATCTCGGTCGGGTCGGTCCTGAAGGCTCCCAAGACGCCGGTCACGGTGACGAGCTCTTTCGATGCTGCGTTTGCTGCGCATCAGCGACAACGAGGGCAAAAGGACGGAGACGCGCTTTCGGGAGATATAGTCGGCAGTCGAGTGGATCTGAAGGTCTTGGGGGAAGAGGTGAGCGAGAAGGAAGAGGTCGAGGTGGTTACGAAACGAGTGGGCAACAGGCGAGGCGTCGGACCGGGTATCACGTACGTCCATATCCTGTCTGCTTAACCCAGGATCCAGACCATCTTTTAGCTGATATCGAGTTCAAACTTGCGTTGCATCACCGCTTGTAGCACGGTATTCCCGAAGTTCTCGTACCCGGACGTCAACATGTTCATCTGGTTGTTCTCAAGGAAATATCGCAGGCTACTGCGGCAATGGGAAGCGAGTACAAGAGGACCCCCTTCAGCTGCTTCTAGGCGGTGAGTTCAGGTCGCTCGTTATCGGTCCTCTTCAAAGACGATACATCAGGCAACAGACTGATTCGGAAATTACGCCTTGATCATGCAGGGTCAACTGGAGCGGAGCCGCCTTGTCCGCATTCTACTCGGCGGTGAGACACGCCTTGGTGGTCGCCATCGTGGTCAGAGCGTTGGCGACGACGATGGCGATGGGAACTGCAGGGTGGTATTTCTGGAGATGGTTCCAGGCGACGAGGTGAGATCGCCCTTCGCCTCGTGGCCTACATCGCATATACGCGTGTGTGTATTATCCTTAAAGACCGAGGGAGTCACAAATATAATAACTTGTATCGACTAGGCCGGATAGATTTAATGCATCATTCTGGGAGGGGTCCTCACGAATCTCCACTGACCTAAACGCAGTCGACGATGCCCGTCTGAATGAACCCAACTACTCGTACTACTCGACTTTTTTAAGTACTGCGCTTGCAATATGCTCTTGAATATGTAGGACACCGATATAAGGCTTCCAATCTAGCAGCTTAGGATGATAAGCTTGCCCTAGATGTGTCGCAATGCCTTCGCTCCATCCTGCAAACTCAGTCGCAAGAAGGTTCGTTATTGCCTCAAGCATACAGCCTCCCATCGCTTCCAGTTGCCTTTTACCACCCCTAGTTTCAAGTGCACGTCTGCCTCTTGGCCTCTCACACTTTTGTGAAACATGTCTAACCCGATGCCGAACCCGCGCCTGCCCGCTCTTTCGGATGTTGCCGACGGGCTTGCGAAGCGGGCATACACCTCCTCCCCGAGGCTGGTGACCTATGTATGATATGGGTACTTTACCGATCCACCTAGTCAACAGAATCCCACTCGTCCGGAAATCTCTCTCCCCCAGACGACATTATGCAACGAGTGCTTGCATTCGTACGAGCTAGACCTATCACCACAATCGCAGCGAGCACTGGCACGGGATTGATCATGTCCCAAATGGTTACCGTTACCAAAGAGAACGATGGGAGTTTGGACAGTGGTCGCAAGAGCAGGCCGAGCCATTGGGCCAATGATCAAGGGACCAAGTTTGCCAATCCTTGGCCGAGTTTCCGAGATGTCGTATGTTGAAGTGGTTCTGACGGCCGGATATGCAGACTAATTCATCGAAAATGGTTAATGTAGGGGTTGTCCGATGTCGCTAGCATGATCTACCAAGTCCAGGCCAAAGCGCCGTCAAGTGCAGAACTCGTTGCCTCGGCCAAACAACATATCCCCATCATGACTCCTACATTCGGAGCTGATTTGAAATCGGAGGATGACTGCCACGTCAAGGTCACCTTTCTCGGTCACGCATGTTTCTTGCTAGAATATCCCTCGGAAGAGCCTGGGAAGCGAGGCGTCAGGGTCCTACTCGACCCCGTGTTCTCGGAACGGTGCAGCCCGAGCAAGTGGGTCGGACCTCTACGTTACACCAAAGCGCCTTGCAAGGTGCAAGAACTGCCAGAGATCGATGCTGTAGTTATCAGCCATAATCGTAAGCCGTTCAAAGTTCCCGCCAACTTGCGCAGGACGCTAACGCATCTTGCTCACAGACTATGATCGTAAGCCTTGCATAGACTCCTCCTCTTATTCGTCACTACCTCACGCTGACGCACATCTGCCTACAGATCTGGACGTCGCAACACTAGCAGATTTGCTCGAAAACAACAAACAAGCACTTCACCTATTTTTGCCCCTGAACACCAAGCGAAGCCTATCTGCAACTCTCCAGCAAGCTTACAAGATCCACGAACTAGATTGGTGGGATTCTCGCCGGATGGATGTGGATGGCATCGGTTCGATCAAGGTCACCTGTACTCCGGCACAACACTTTAGCGGAAGGGGATTGTTTGATAGGAACGCGTCGCTATGGGCGAGTTGGGCTATAGAAGGGTTACATCGGGGTACGGGCGAAAGTCGGATGAAGGTAAACGAAAGAATGTAGCTCTACCCTGGCACAAGTGAGAGGCTGAACTGCTGTTCACAGTGCTATTTCGGCGGCGATACAGGCTACTGCGCCGTTGAAGATGATAAGAGCCACGATCTAGACGAGTCACGGCCTTACTGTCCAGCATTCAAGGAGATTGGGGACAGGTTCAACGGCTTCGACGTAAGTAATCGTGACTGATGCGAGATCCGCACGGCCAAGAGTGTGCGAAGTCTTGTGCCGAAGACCTAGTAGATTGCATGAGTTCACAAGTCTGATTTTCCGGCTTTTCCCAAAAGGTGGCAATCATCCCCATTGGGTTAGTCTGGGTGCACCGCCAATCCGGCCGGTTGACATGTCGCTGACGTAGCTTCTTCCATACGGTGCCAGCGCCTATGATCCGCGTGCGTTCATGTCCCCAGTACACTGCGCTCCGATCGATTCGGTCCGGGTCTTCCAGGATATCAAAGCTAAGAAGGCGATTGGCGCGCATTGGGTAAGCTCGCGAAATCCAGTCAGAGCTCCGTTTCCAGACCTGACGTAAAATCTACATTTGAAATTCAGGGTGCATGGCGTTTAACTAGCGGTACCTTTAGACATTCAGCTGGCATACGATCTGAGGGCGATTGCTGAACCCCGACACGTCCTTTGCACAGAACCCGTTGACGAACCACCAAAGCGTTTGGCTGAAGCACTGAAACTCTTGAACATCCCTGCAGACGCATTTGGAGTGATGGCTATCGGTGAAACGCGGCTCTACGAACGGCAAGATGAGATTGATGCAAAGTCTCGGCAGTAGGTATCCAGCTCCATTGAAGTCTTCTCGAGAATATAGCGTAGTACGCGCATGCACGTGCTCATTTTCAAACATAATGGAACTTTTGTCAAGATGTACTGATTCGTCTCGTGTGACATTATCGTCGTCTGTCATATTCATCTGGGTCTCTGATCTTCCCGCTACTTGTCCCTTTTACTGTAAATTTTTGGCGGCTGAAACATACCCATGATCTATATGCCGAAAGGTGTAGAGTCAGCGCTTCGATGTTGCAGTCGAAGTCGACCCGAGAAGACACAAGACTTGCCAGACACTGCTTCACCCATTCGACCGTAGCGGTCTTGCGGGCATTGAAAAGCACGTCGGGAACCGCGTTATCCGTGAACACGATTGCATCGACGTCACTGATGTCTGTGACACCATGGTCGTATGTTGCCGACACGATCACGGCCTCGGCACCCATGGCCGCGACGCAATACGGGATGATATCCTGACAACGGAACATTCTGAATAAGGTCTTCGCATGGCAAAGTCATAGCGTCTTACTGTACTCACATTCATCTTGTTGTCCTTGATGATCATGATTTCCTTGCCCCAGAATGGCCGCCGTGCGACGGTACGATTGTCAAGGGTTTGACGTAAAATGGCGGGGTCCGTTCCCCACAGAGGATCAACGAACTGAGAACACTCGGTTTCGAGATACAGCGATGGGCCCGAAGACAACAAAAAGCAGTTCCAGGCAGTACCCTATGAAACAGAAACGACTTAGTATGTCCAGCACATGATGGAGCTGCCGGTCTCACTTACCGAAGTGATGGCTTCATCTATGTAATTCGCGGAGAGGCAAGGTACCCCAAGCGCCAGTGCCATGAGGTATTTCGGAGTCAAGGTGGGCTGGCCAATGACCACAAGGAAGACGCCTTTCAATTTGGCGACAATAGTACTATCCTTCAACCTGATCGCTGCGTAACCTTCCGCAAGATTGTCCATCGGCTGCTTCTCGTAGAAATCCCATATCTCGTTCGCGCACATTCCGCCGTTAGCGGTGATGCGTTTGGCAACCTTTCTCTTTCTAATCTCTTCGTTCTGACTGGGACTGGTGATCAAGAATCCGAGACCATCGAATATACCCGTATGCGTCTTGTTGGATCGTGCAGGAGACGACGCTACGCTTCCCTGCTTTGTGCTCTTGGCAATCGGTGTCGTTGCTCGGGAATGCTGTTGTTCCGGCGTCTGAGCTGGTAAGCGCGTCCGTGGGTCAGTCCAGACTGAATCTACAATTATGTCGTTCACCTGGACCTTCCGGTCATCCATCTGGCCGATCCATTTCTCTCTTATACGTATTTGACTTAGAAGCAATTCGTATACGGTATTGCTGCGCTGTACCGTAATCTTGTCTCCAGTCTTCAGTGGTCCAGGAGCAGAGGCGTTCACGGTCACATCTTTGAATGGACGAGAACTCAGGTCGACCACAGTGTCACCTGCTTTGATTTCGCATTTACGTATTTGATGCCATTCGACCTCATCGGTTGTCTCGTCGTCGAAAAAGATCGTCAACCGCTTCCCGGATACGCCTTTAACGGAACCTGGGTAATAGGCACGATCAGAAGACCATCTTGCGAAAACTCGGCTGTATTTCGTCTCGGTGTGTGGTTTCGTTTGCCCTGCCACTGCCTTTGTATCGAGTTTTCTTCTCTTCGCAGGCCTCGCTTTATTCTCTTCGCGCACTTTTGTCTGTTTGCGTGGATTCACAGGTTCTCCAGCACCCAAGGCCAGTTCGTCTGCCGAATCACCTTCGGTCGGCGTCCCACTGCGCACGACTCGCTCTCTCTTCCGCACGATCGCTTGAGCGGGACGGTACGTTTCGTCGTCTTCTGCGTCTGGCTCTGAGCTACTGTCACTATCTGGGTCCCTGGCTTTGATCGCTCGAGCCTTTTCTGACAGACGTCTGCTGCGCGGCGAATGATGCTCTTTCGGCTCGTCGGCCTTGAGCGGAATACCTGTGCGGACCGGACGCGGCTCCTCGGCCTGAACGACAGGGCCTTCGTCCAAATCATCGTTGTGCATGCCGCCCGTCGATGGTCCCGGTGATGCCTCCTGTGGCGGTGATGCGTTCTCTGCCACAGAGGCGGTCGCGGGGGTTTCAGTTTCCCCGGGGTCGCGGGTCCGTCCTAGGCGCCTGTAATCAGGCAACGTATTCAATCTAGATCGCCTAACCGCATCAGAATCGCGAGAATTCGTCGACTGCTGTCGAGCTCGTCCTTGACGTGTGACTTCGGGCTTCTCGGGTCTGTCTGCTGAAACCGTCCTCGAGGAATTGTTTGCGGTGTCCGTTTGTGGTTTGGCAGAAGGATCAGGCGCGCGGTCTCCCTGGGCGCCTCGAAGGTGAGCGGACTGGCCAGACGGACCATTGGCTGTATTCACTTCGGCACGATTCGCACGGATCCCTCCTAACAGATCAGTGAGTTGCAGTCCTTGTTCTGAATGCCTCAACAGTTGTCTGTCTCGCGATTCTAGAAACGACTCGGAATCCTTAGAAGACGTCTGCGTAGCTTGGAGGTGGTCGGCATGTCGACTCTCATCCAAGTCTAGACTTCGATACTGACCCAGACGGAGACGGCCAACGGAAGAGTTGTTCTCATACCGCTCAGCTATTTCCGCAACACTGCTGCTTTTCAGATTGGCAGGTTGATGCAGGCGGCCTCGAGATGCCAGTGATGCGAACGGTGCCCCTCTCGCAATGGCATCGTGATTCGGCGCATCATCGGTTGCCTTGGCATTCAGAGGTGTCATGCCGGCTGATGGACCTCGCTGACCGCGATGTGACGCATCACCTGTAGACGAAACGGCTGCAGTGAACTGCAGGCTACCTTGCGTCTGCTCTGTCGCGAGACGCGAAGATCCCCCTGAATATCGTTCGTTACTGGCCATATCTTCATCACCGGGACTTGAGCTTGCAGGAACCACATCCTCGCGCAAGATGCTGTGATCCTGGTTGACTTGCGGACGTTGCTCGATCTCGGTAGGCGGGGTTTTCTGGCGGGGCGGAACCGAGTCCTGGCTGGACTTGCTTGAGCTAGCCAGACCATTATTTTGATCCCTCTCGATTTCATCGGCAAGGGAACTCGCTGTGCTCGTTCTATCGAGGAGAGGAGATTTCTCGCCCGGGTTGTGAAACGGGTCTAGACCGGAGTTGATCTCATTTCGCAATTGCATCGCAGACGACTGCGTTGGAGACAGCTGACTGGAGCAGTGCTCTCCGTCGGCCGAGCTAATTCCGCAATTCGGTATCGGTCAGCGATTCACCAGCTGTACCGTGTGATATCATTGCAACACTGACCTGACACTAGCCTTTCTTGCCTGACTGTGACTAGGCTCACTCTGAACGCTTTGGGTGGACCCGCTGCCGAAGAACGCATGCGCCCTGGCGACCAGGGACGCATTTGCGAACCCAAATGAGGTATCTCCATTCCGCATCGAAATACCCTCATCGTCCGACATCTTGCACGAAGACAGCCAGCCCCGGGGTTGCTGCTGCTAGAACTTCGGGGTCGGCGAGAGCTCGACGTGCAGCTTCATGTGTCGGGCTCCCAAGGGTCAACTATTACAAGCGGACGGTATGAGGATCAATTTCCGTGACTGAGGACGTCTCGTGGATACACGATTTGATGAAGGTGGAGCAGTCAAGAGAGCAAGAGATGCTTTGTTGTGTCACCCGGGCCGAGTCGTCTGCAGGTTCTAGCTTCTTGTTGATGAGTACATGAGTACATGAATTGCTAGTACGAGTACGAGTGGTTGTGTCTGGTGCCGTAATCCCACGCATCAATGGTCGACTCGAAGTCTCGGCTCAAGATTCAGCGGGTTGACTTCATATTCGTGTAATCTCTCCAAACCTCCAAATGGCAAATGGCTAATTGTGCATGTAACCGTCTTTGTATTAGAACCAGCCAAATCAGTCATAGCGTTAGCACTGCCTCTTATATCAGACTTGTAGATGGTCTTCTCAGAGTATTCGACCCAGCGCTGTGCGCAAGAGCTATCGATATCGGCGACCCGCCCTGGAGTGAAAAGCTAGATCACAGCCATGTCCAAACCGTCGGCTCAACAAGCTGCCGACAGTAAGCAGGAAACCGATCGTATACAGCATGAGGAACTCGAGGCGATGCGAGCCATCTTCGGCGATGACTGGAAGGACATTTCTCCCTCCAAGACTGCATGGGGTACCTCTGTCGAGAGCGGCTGGTGGACCGTTCGACTGCGGGCACACGATGGCCGCGTTGCTATATCACTAAAGGGGAAGCTACTCAAAGTCAGTGTGCCATCTCGTTGACCGTCACGTCAAGTATCAATTGGCTCCATGCTAAACTCAGCTGCATATACATTCTGCTTAAAGAACTACCCAATGCATCCCCCTAGTCTGTCTTTGATCGACCCCGTCATGCTGAGCGGCGACCAGGTGCAACAGCTAACAAAACATGTCAACGATCATGCGAAGCGGAATCTGGGCAGGGAGATGATATTTGACGTATGTCGTGATCTGATGGAGGCAGTCACACTGGATTTGCTGAACCCATGTATCGGTAGATCACAACTCTGGTCACAGAATATCTAGAGGACAACCACCTACCCCTACCCAATGCTTCGCCAAAAGGTCCAAATCTCATGGAAGAAAAAGCAAAGCGTGACGCGCAGAAACGTCAAGTGATTATCGCCGCAATCTCAACTTCAAAAAAAAAGGCCAAGCGGTGCTGACTTTATCTTTGCAGCGTCAACTGGAAATGCAACAGCAAGAAGATGAGACGGCGAGAAAGATAGCTGCGGAGGAGAATGCGAGATTGGCTGCACAGATCCGCGAAGAACATGAACGACGGGCTGCTCTGATACGTGAAGCCCACGAAGCCGAGCGGATACAACGCCAGCGAGAAGAAGAAAGCACTTCACGTGGTGGACGAAAAGGAAGGGCCGCACTGGGCAGACTGGAGATCAAAGACGGACAGCGAGAGGTCCGATTCGACGCGGGTGATCCAGTCGTTTTGCCAGGGTTTCCCGGGACATGGCCAGTATGGCGAGCGTATGGTCCTCCATCAAGGCAAGATCCGTTGTACACAACGTATGACGTGGAAGGTCATCAAGATATTTCATCAGAAGGAACGTCAAGCGAAGGCCAGCAACTCAAAGGGTCAATCATGAACCGTCGAACATCGCCCGGGGACGAATCACCTGTGTGCTCGTTGATTGTGATCGAGTTCGCCCAAGCATACTACGACACTCCACCGGGAAGAAAGAAAGTTGAGGGTCTGCTCGCAGAGATCCAAAAGGTGGCATCTGTTCGCCATCACAACCTCATACCAATATTTGCGAGCAAGGCGAGTTGCACGGAAAAGCCATTCGATCCGTTGTCAAGATTGATCGTCCTAAGCATTGTTGTTATTACCTTGTATAGAGAGATCGAACATCACACAATGCAGAAAGAATATATGTTCTCACGCAAAGATACTCAGCACAAGGGTCATTATCTGCATGGCTGAAGGCCAGCGAGACTTTGGTCGAAGGCGTGGCTGTGAGCTATCTCAGGCAAATCTTGAATGGACTCCGCGCGTTACACGACCAGGACATCTGTCACAAACGTGTGTTTTCTCAGCATCGTTTCCTCCTGCGCATAAATCTGCTTAATCCTCTACTCTAAATACCGTTCAATCCAGAATTAACCCTGGACAACATCATCATTTCCATTTCCAACTCGGAACGGCCTGCATTGAGCTTGTCGGGCGCTTCTTTCATCAAAGCCTTGAGGGACATGAACAAGTCGAACCCTTTCGTCAATACAACCTCAGAAGACGCCATCCCCGAGATATGGTGAGTGCGGCGATCGCTCCGCAAGAAGACTCGCTCGATCCAACGCTTTGGCGCCTCGTTCAGGTTGGCTCCGGAGGAACTGGATACGCCTCACGCTTACAGTCCCGAGCGGGACATCTGGTACGCGGGTCTTGCCCTGTTGCAGATGCTTTTCGGTGTGACCGTGCTGTTAGAGCATCCAAGTCTGGCAAGTATCATCGATAATGGTAAGTAAGACCTAGCTTTCACCCTGAATATCTCCGTAACTAACACAATCGCAACATAGCGGACTATGCTCCTCATGGAGTAGTATTGGATGTATTGCACAGTATGCTCGACCCGCGACCCAAGAAACGGATTCGAGCCGAAGAAGCTAGTCACAAGCTGTTTGACTCTGCCAGTGACAACCTAGGAGCGGTGGCTATTCGGTCCACTTCTCTCGCTTCCCCCGCGTCCCACAGCTTTTTTCGGTCACCAGTCAACTCTAGGGGATTCTCGCATTATTATGATTCGACTGCATCGCAAGCGCCGGTGGCGTCTCGTTATCGCAACGATTTCGAAGAGGTGGAGTGGCTTGTGAGTAGTCGGCGCCAGGGTGTATATTCTCTAGCTTACAGACTCCGAGATGTTCTCTCAGGGAGAGGGTGGCTTCGGACAGGTCGTCAAAGCTCGACATCGTATTGAGGTATGAGTATTCCTCTTTGAAATCTAGAGCAAGTCTAGTAGCTGAAACTGCGGCTCCAGAAACAATTTTATGCTATAAGTACGGATAATACCTCGAGCTCTAGTAACAATGCCGCGCTAATGCAGTGTGAGTGCAACAGAAAAGATCAAGCTTCGCCCACAGGACGACGAGCAAAAGGTTTTCAGAGAAGCAGAGTCTCTCTCTCGAGTCAACCATCGCTTCATTGTTAGGTAAGACCGCTCGAATAGCCGAGCTGCCCGTCACGAACGATAGCCCATCTTGAACTGCTAGATATATACAATGCTGGCTGGAGACTTCCTCGAAGCCAGCTAGCGACCGAGGAGAAGATGGCACGGATTTCTCAAATACTGGCTCTCAACTCACGCCGGTGAGAATGGAAGACGAAGATGACGATATATTTGGCCCACCAGATTTCGACGACATCACCTCGACCACCGTATCACGTAGTTTTCCTCGCATTCGTTTCGCCAATGCTTCAGACGATGAAGACGATTCGTCCGACGAAGACGAGCAGGACACCGAGGATGATTTTGTCATCGGCCAGCAAGCGTTTGGGAATCGGCATAAATCGAAATCGCCAAAGGCAAGATCTCGTCATCTAAATCAGCAGCGTACCCTATACATCCAGATGGAGGTGAGCACGCATGAACATGGGTGTTACTCTAGCGTAAGCTAAATCGTGAACGAGGATATCGGTAGTACGTCGAGAAGCAAACGCTCAAAGAAGTAAGTCGCAGCTTGGAGGGTGATGGACTTCATTCTTGACCGTTCATCCTCACGCTAGGCTATCGCTCAAGGCCTCACCACCAACGAATGTTGGCGGCTGTTCCGCCAAATTCTCGAAGCGCTGGCTTATTTGGCAAAATTGCATATCGTCCACCGAGACCTTAAGCCCTCGAACATTCTGCTCGGTTCGTAGTCGACACCTTGCTTGACTCGCAGATCGCTAAATTTTTCGCAACAGATTCGGAAGGAAACGTCAAATTGTGTGATTTTGGCTTGAGCACTACAGGTAGGTCCCAGCCTAGACGAAACGCGTGCTTAGCAAAATCACTGATAATGCGTTCAACTGCGCCGTACAGACAATTTGGCTCCAGTACCAGATGGGCTTATCAACCTGTCTGCGAGTTTGACGGATATGACTTCCGGTGTAGGTACACATCTGTACGTTTCACCTGACGTCCTGCAGAAGCGAGTGTACGGAACGAAGGCGGATGTCTATTCTCTAGGCGTAAGTCGGCGCTGTCCCTCGTGGACTGAAAACATTCGAACCTAGAAATCTCGCTCTAATCGTATTTAACTCCGGCCTGATCCTCTCATGCAGATCATCTTCTTTGAGATGTGCTACCCAATGTCCTCCGGTATGGAGAGGGTTACAGTAATCAGTAACCTCAGACTTCCTCGACCGAGGTACCCCGCCGACTGGGATGTCGGAAAAAAATCCGCTCAAACTCAGATCGTCGAGTGGCTCTTGAAACACGATCCTGAAGAGAGACCAGAAGCGGAAGACCTTCTGCGCAGTTCTCTCCTGTACGTGTTGCACATCTGCAACATCGCCACCATATAGTGACTGATAGCACGCCCTTGTCTACTGCACGACAGGCCGGAAGGACGAGAAGAGGGATACTATGCTGAGGTAGGTAGAAACTACGGGAAGATACTCCAGACGGTTGCTAATCCGCTAGCGTAGGCCATCCGAAAAGTCGCGCATGCGTCTTCCAGTCATTATCCGGCACTTATCGCCAAGCTGTTCAACCCGGAACGCCTGCCCACGGATAGTGGCATTCAAGTCCTTGACTATACCTATGATTCGATGGAAGCACATCTAGATCAAAGTCAAGCTTGGACGCGCGTTGTAAAAGATCGCCTCGCTCAGCTTTTCGACAGACATGGAGCTATCGAGCTCGTTACTCCGCTACTCGCGCCTGCGTTGACGCCGGTTGACGTCGATCAACACTCGGTCGTGCGACTTCTAGACAGTCAAGGCAATCTGGTGGGTGAAGGCATAGTCGTTATCGACTTCGATCGCTCACGAGGCTATGTATAATGCATAGGTACAACTCCCTTCTGATGGAATGATCGCGTTTGCGAGATTTTGCACATTACGGGGCATCGAGAGGATCAAGCGATACCAATTCGGCTGGCGGTATTCAGAGAGCCCAGCGGGCGGACAACCGCGGGCGGTTTCGGAAAGCAACCTCGATCTGATCTCTCCTTCCCGGACTATGGTGTCTGAAGCGGAGGCTATTGAGGGTGAGTTGAATACGTTTTAGACAACAAAGGTACATACTGAAGATATGGATTACCTCACACAGTCGTAGACAAGTTGATCCAGGAGTTTCAAGCCTTGACCGTATTACAATACGAAATACACATAACGCATGAGACGATTCTTTCCGTCATACAACAAAGCATGTCCACGACGGAAGCGAAAGCACTTGCCAATAGGATCATCAACGACTTTGCAACCGGCGCCAGTTCCTCCGGCATCAGCCAGAAGCTCGCATCCAGTCACCTAAGCAGGCAACAGAGCGAGATACTCAAGCAGATTCTCGTTATTGGTTAGTCGTACCCCTCAGACGCTTCGGCTTGAATGAGAATGTGCTGCTCATCCCGAGGAACCGGCTTATATCGTATCGCAGATGATCTACCAGCACTTCGGCAACGGCTATTGCCCCTGTTCCCAACCATGACCCGTCAACTAGAAGTTGCGTTCACCGAGATCAGCGAAACTATCGGGTTCGCTCGAGCGTTGGGTGTGACACGCCCTATCTATGTCCGGCCTGCGATGTCACGGCGAGCAGGAGTAAGTAGTGCCGCGCAGCGGGCACTATAAATATGAGGTCTTCTGCGCTACCAGGACTGACATAGAGCTGCCTACTTCTGATAGGCTCACAAGGGTGGCATCATGTTCGAATGTGTAAGGCGGGAAAAGCGCAAGGACATTATCGCCCTTGGGGGCAGGTAAGATGAACTAGCTGTAGAAGTCCAAGCGCGCTCTGATAATTTACGTTGTCTCACTTCAGGTACGACGATCTACTGCAACGTTTCAGTCTGCCGGTCGCGAGGCGCGAAGGCGCAAAAACACATGGTGTTGGGGTATCGATATTGATTGAGTCCGTTTGCCTCGGCACTATTCCTCTGTGGCGTGTTTCGTACCGACCACTGACTTCCGCAAGTCCTCGATCCTAGCCGTGTCGCCTACCACGTTGGCCGCTTCGAAAGCGGCGTGTCAAAGCGGATGATGGCTAAAGAACGAGAAACGGAACGATCTTTCGGATTCTGGTCCCCATCAAGATGTGACGTATACGTCGCAAGCTTTGGGCCGCATCAGCTCAACTTGCGACTCGATGTCTGCGGTGAACTCTGGAGAGCCGGTATATCAGCCGATCTTCAATACGATGACGATAGAACACTGGAAGACGTCGTTCTCGATTGCCAGGCGCAGAACATACTGTAAGACAAGCGGAAACCCAGGTCTAGCATTCATTCGCTTACGAAGTACTCCAGATACGTACTCATACCTCGACCGAACCGGCCATACATCAAGATTCGGAGTATTCTGAGACGCTCCGAAGATGAAGGTAAGGCGTCTCATGTGTCCGTCTGAGGCCTCAAATCTCAACGTTTGGCTTTTACAGTATCTCGTGGAGAAGTATGCACGTGGCTAAGGGCAGCCGTAGCAGAACAGCGCCGCATAGACCTAAGCTCTGCCCACAGCGAGGCTGTCGTTGTCGAGAAGCCTCATTCGACCGTGATCACGTCCGAAACCTCCTTGGAGGGCGACATTCGTATTCTGCTTCGTGCGGATGACGAGAAGAAGACCAAGCGGAACGCAAAGGTGATTCGTGGTCTCGACACCCGATGCAAGAAGTACTGATACCAATCGTCGTCGTTACCAGCTGATGTTTACCGAGAAGAGTCAGTTCCATATCGCACACTGGGTTCTATCGATATGCACATGCTGATGAATCCCCCCCCCCCCCTCGCGAACAGTCAAGGAGTTCATGTCGAATACAGGCACTCGACTTCCTGTCTTTGGTATCGACTTGCCGTCTCGAACGCTGGCACAGCTGTGTTTACAACCCAGCGATTGGCTTTCCGATGACGAAGCTTGGAAACATGTCCAGATCGTCCTAGCAACCGACCGCTCGTACGCTGTTTCCATTCGAAGCGCTCTGGCTACCGAATTGGTCTCGTCAAGTCCATCCTTTGCATTCCTCTACTCGCTGCGTGAAGGCAAGGTGAGCGAGCGATAGGCATACAGGCTTGGGGACGACCTTGTTCATGACCTTCTTTCGCAATGTTTCAGGCCTTTCTCCTATCAACAACCAAATAGATGTGTTCTGTGAGCGTGATGCTACGCTTCCTCTATGTGTTTCGTGCGTTGTATTGGCTCTTTTGGGTATAGAATATGACCGGAATGTACATCTATAAGTTAACGACAATTGTTTCAATCGCCGAATCGAGCCCAACAATACCGATCATTGCTCATCGTCGTCACTAGAAGCATTCGACGTATTGTCGGCACCTTCCAGCTCGGCTCGGGCTAAGGCCTTCCGCTCCTCAAGACGGGCCAAAATGTCATCGGTGATCGTCTTCCAGATCTTGGAAGAAGTGGTCTCCATATATCGATCCAGTAATGGGAATGGTGACCGCTGTGACGGCTTGTCAAGAGCAGGATCTGATACTGAAACAGCTTCAGATGGAATTCCAGGCTTGTCGCTCTCCTTGACCTGGTTCTCGGACTCATTTCCGATCGATACCTGTCCCACCCGCGTCTCGACGTCATCTCCGACAGGGATGTTGCCCTTGACGACTTCATCCAGTAGCTCTACGAGCTTGGTGTCGATCGGCACTCTGCCCAGATAACCGACTTTTTCTTCCCGTGCCATCTTCTCGCCTCCACCTTTCGAAAAGACTTCGCTAATCTCTCCACAGCACGGACATGCGTAGCCCGACATGTTCTCGACAAATCCCAGGACGGGTAGATTCAGCTTGCGAGTGAAGGAGAGCGACTTGAGGGTATCATTGAGCGCTGTTGCTTGAGGCGTTGAGATGAGAATGGACGTTGGGGTAGGAGAGAAATGACTTGGAGGTCGAGAAGGCGACGGGAGGAATAACGGATGTAAATGTGTAAGGAGGGAGATGTGTTCGTCCGATGTACCTGTTTGCCGAAACCAGACGTCCCGGATCGATCTTAGTACCGACGTCAATTGGAATCTCTCTCTTGTTGCCGTCGAGCTCACCAGGAGGCGTATCGATTACGAGGTAGTCCAGGTCTCCCCATCGAACCTCGGCCAAGAATTGTCGGATCATGCCATCCTTCTTCGGCCCCCTCCAAACGACGCTATCGCCACGATCTTGCAGTAGGAATCCTATACTCATGCACCCTAGTCTCCGTTCTTGATCCGCATAGACGGGCACCCAGCCCGATGAGGACTGATGTACCGCACGTGAATCCAGACCCAACATTCTCGGCAAAGAGGGCCCAGTCAGGTCGATGTCGAGCAGACCGACTCGCACGGTGGGCGATGTAGCTAGCAGCGACAACGCCAGTTGTACGGTGGATGAAGATTTGCCGACTCCTCCTGCTCTCAGAGATCTGTGAGCTTACTCGCCTTCGAAATGAGAAAGAAGTGGACATTGGTTCGACTAACCCTTGCCGGATATCACGACAATCACGTTCTTGACGCTTGATAGACGTCGGGATACCGGTGTTTCTAAAGTGCTCATGGTATGAAGAGAGCTACTATCGATTCCACTGGGAGGGCGAGGTGATCTGATCTCTCTGGGGGTAGTTGCAACGGATATACAGATTCTCGACAAATGTATAACCACAGGTCACATGAGGCTGAGTCATCAGGAGGCGATAATTGACGGACATATCAACGTTTTCTCTCTGAGAGGGGGGGAGAATGATGTGTATGTCCGCTTCATCCCGCATCTCCCCTGTCCGCGTGGCCAGAGCTTCAACGCAAACGTTCAGCGTTCCCCCCTTCCCTTTGCCCCCACCTGCCACAAACACCCTCACACAATATCATTCCTCTCCCATTCTTCCACTCGTCTCGTCTCCAGATCGATCTTACATACCCCTATATTTCTGATCGTTCTTTCAACCGATCGAATATAAACATCATGGCTCAGAACATTGAACCCAGGAAGAACTCGCACATCGAGGGTGAGTTGTTATGCATGTCCCTTCCCGAGATTGAAGTTATGGCGGATCTCTCCGAGCCACTTGCAAAGTTTCCACACCTTCGGAGGTGCATGGGTGGCTCTGCCACGCTCGACATCTCGTCCTCTCAAAGCCAGTCTCTCGTCCCGCTCCCCGAACCAATGACGCAAAACGCCATATCAGAGATTTCTGCATCACCGTTCATCGTGCTGACAATGTTGTCCGTTTCGTAACCTTGTAGAGGCGGCGACTCCCATGAACACGCCTCTCAATGCTGCACCCATCTCTGGTCGTGACGGTCTGCCGCAGCCCACTGTCGCTACCATCGGCGAAGACGAGGAGGATGAGGCCCAGGGCGGAAACCCTGCTAGCGTCTTGGCCAGGGTGAGTTTCGCCATAGCTGACCGGTCTGTGGAATGCGTCTGGTCTGCGGCCAGCTAACGTCTTTTCTTTCGACTGCCGGCCAATGTAGAACCCTGCTTTGCTGAACATGATGCAAGACCGACTCGGATCTCTCGTCGGCAAGCCTTCGGGATACCTGAAGTCGCTGCCTCCTGCCGTCAAGAGGCGAGTCGAGGGATTGAAGGGGATTCAGACCGAGCACTCTAAGATCGAGAGCGAATTCCAGAGGGAGATCCTCGAGATCGAGAAGAAGGTGCGTTTTTAAAAACCATTGCGCTTACGTCATGAGTGTCTCGTCTGACACACGCTGCCACACGCTTTCATCCCTCAGTACGCCGCACGATACGCACCTCTCTACACTCGACGAAAGGAGATCATTGCCGGAAAGACCGAGCCTACCGAGGACGAGGTCACTGCCGGTGAGGCCGTCAGCGACGTGTCCGACTCGGAGGATGAGGACGACGAGGCCCGTGTCGAAGAGGTCGACGAGTCCGGTGACAAGGCCGACATCAAGGGTATTCCCGAGTTCTGGTTGACTGCCCTCAAGAATCACCAGGTCATCGGCGAGATGATCACCGAGAAGGACGAGGAGGTGAGTGTCCCACATTGGCTGTGAATTGTCAAGGAAGCTGCCACGTTGCTGATACCTTTTAACGTACACAGGCCATCCGTCACCTTGTCGACATTCGTCTCGAGTACTTGGACGTTCAGCACCCTGGCTTCAAGCTCTTGTTCGAGTTCGAGTCGAACGAGTTCTTCGAGGACTCTGTCTTGGAGAAGACCTACTACTACCAGGTGCGTCCAGCTCAACGTATACTGCTCGCTTGGATCATTGCTTATCAGTTGGATTTGTGCAGGAGGAGGTCGGTTACGGTGGCGACTTTGTGTACGACAAGGCCGTCGGTCACGAGATCAAGTGGAAGGAGGACAAGGACCTCACCAAGAAGATTGAGATCAAGAAGCAGCGAAACAAGAGTGAGTCACAAGCAGGGCATCGATCTAGCCCTCAGAAAGATCATGACCCCAAAGCTAAAAACGACTCGTCGCGATAGACACCAACCGGACCCGTGTGATCAAGAAGGTCGTTCCCGTAGACTCGTTCTTCAACTTCTTCAAGCCTCCTCAGCCACCCTCGATGGAGGCCATGGAGGAGGGCAATGTCGACGAGGACGAGCTCGAGGACCTCGACGAGAAGCTCGAGATTGACTACCAGCTCGGAGAGGACTTGAAGGAGAGGGTAAGTGGACGAGCGAGAGATGGCGGAACAAGACGTCGCTGATTCCTTTCCCGTCATTCCGGTGCCATTCCCGTTTCAGATCATCCCAAGAGCCATCGACTACTTTACCGGCAAGGCCCTCGAGTACGATGACAACATGGAAGAGCTCGACGATGACGAGTTTGACGATGAGGACTTTGATGACGACGTGAGTGTGGTCCCCGCTGGGGTTGTTTGAAAAACTTAGCGACGAGACTAATCGCGTCCGTTATGACTGAACAGGAGGACGACGAGCAGGAGCTCCGTCAGGCTCATGCCGGTGGGCAGCAGGATGCCCAGGAGTGCAAGCAGCAGTAGATTGTGTAGGAGCGGGATGGCTGCCAGTGATTTCGTGACGGAAACGAAAGGGACTCTTCCCTCGTCGGACCCATACAAATATTATTATATCGTCTGTTTTTCTTCTTCAATAACGGTTTGTTCGTTGCTTTATGAAATCTGCCTGTCCCCCGAAAGAGATGGACCTCCCAGCGCGATTGCCCAGTCCTCCACGGTCCAATGGCCAATGGCAACTGCCGCCTGAACCACGGCGGCACATGACAATGGCTGGCACATGAAAGAGAAAAAGCTTCCGCTCTCTCCAGCGAGCGAGCGAATCGATCTTTCTTGATAACGACGTACGAGGGAGAGACTTGGCTGCCATGATCCCCCCTCTGCGGATGCAAAGCTGCGGCGCGCGCTCGATGCAAGGATCCTCCCCCAATCTCACACACCTCACGCATTCTCTCTCCTACCACACACCACTCCGTGCTACCAAACTTCTTCTACCCTCGGACAACCATCACAACCTACCTACCCTCAGTCACCATTGACTCTAGATACCATCTCAACTCTTCCCTTTCACCTACCTCTACAACGCATATCACAAACGTGTGAGTCCTCCCGTCTTGACAAAGGAGCGTATATACAACACGATGGCTCATTACTCCGACGAAACTTTACCTTTGCTTTCCCTGGTCCCCTTCATACCCTGGAACAAACGTTTCTTTCTGCATACCCGTACCACCTTTACCTTGCCCGGCCTATATATACCGACATCTCTACTTCGATTTTTGAACGGTGCGATCGGGAATCATGGAAAATTCTATCCCAAACAAACGCTTTGATACCGACCCCGATACCTGCTGAACATCTACCCGAATGCTTGTTGGTCCTTCTCGCTCAAACCCGAAACCATCAGTACACACAAAAATGGTCGTCACCAAGCAAGTCTCTTCCCAATTGGAGTGGTTGTCCACCCTCTCGACCACTTTCGACGCCATGGACGAGAACGAGAAGTTTTTGCGAAAGGTTCGTCGAAAGCGTTCCCTTTCACGAGACCAAGCCTGACCATGGATTCGTGACGTCGATTTTAGACCTCCATCATCGCTACCATCGGTCCCAAGACCAACACCGTCGAAGCCCTCAAGGCTCTTGCCGAGGCCGGTATGAACATTGGTCAGTCGAGAGCAAACCTGTCGCCGCGAGTCGTCAAGCTAAACTCGATCGTTCTCTTGCGCTTGTCTGGCCATAGTCCGAATGAACTTTTCGCACGGATCTTACGAGTACCACCAGAGCGTTATTGACAACACTAGGGAGGCCGTCGCTTGTGAGTTGACATCACGGCGACGGGAGTCGACTAGATGCTGCGGGGTGGGCTGACGGCTCTGCTTGTGTCGCAGCCGGCACCGGCAGGCCCTTGGCCATCGCCCTTGACACCAAGGGACCCGAGATCAGGACCGGAATGATGAAGGACGGTGTCGACGTAAGGCCGGGAGGTTCTTTAGTCGCTCCGTGCAATTGCTGACGAGTGCTCCACGATCCTGATCCATACAGATCAAGGTCGACGCTGGTCACGAGATGTACGTCACCACCGACACTCAGTACGCCGAGAACTGTGACGACAAGTACATGTTCGTCGATTACGTGAGTTCAAGCTTTTCACGATCAATCCGAAACATCGACCGACCAGAATTGTCGTTTTACCCTACAGGCCAACTTGGTCAAGGTCACCTCGCCCGGAAAGCTCATCTACGTTGACGACGGTAAGCGATATATCTGAACACTCTAACCTTTGCACACTCGAACTGACGTCATCATTCCCCTGCAGGTATCCTCACCCTCAAGGTCATCGCCATCGAGGGTGCCCACGTCAAGGTCAAAGTCATGAACAACGGAACCCTCTCTTCGCGCAAGGGTGTCAACCTCCCCAAGACCCCCGTCGACCTTCCCGCTCTTTCCGAGAAGGACAAGAAGGATCTTCAGTTCGGTGTCAAGAACAACGTCGACATGATCTTTGCCTCGTTCATCCGACGAGCCGAGGATGTTATCGACATCAGGAAGGTCCTCGGACCCGACGGTGCTAAGATCAAGATCATCGTCAAGATCGAGAACGAGCAGGGTGTCGTTAACTTTGACGAGATCTTGAAGGAGGCCGATGGTGTCATGGTCGCCCGTGGTGACTTGGGTATCGAGATTCCCGCCAGTCAGGTCTTTATGGCTCAGAAGATGATGATTGCGAAGTGCTCGTTGGCCGGAAAGCCCTCGATCTGTGCCACCCAGATGTTGGAGTCGATGACTGTGAGCTTCAGACTGTCCTCCTGGTCGTTGCGAGGAGTCACAGCCCGGCTTACCTTGCGTGTCGTGGACTTTTAGTACAACCCTCGACCTACCCGAGCCGAAGTTTCGGACGTCGCCAACGCCGTTCTCGACGGTGCCGACTGTGTCATGCTTTCCGGAGAGACCGCCAAGGGTTCTTACCCCTTGGAGGCTGTCCGCATGATGGCCGAGACCGCTTACCTCGCCGAGTCTGCGATCTGCTACCCTCCCCTCTTCGACCAGCTCAGGCAGTTGACTCCTCGACCTACCGACACCGCCGAGACCTTGGCCTTGGCCGCCGTTTCTGCTTCCATCGAGCAGGATGCCGGTGCCATCATCGTCCTGTCCACCAGCGGAGCCACTGCCCGACTCTGCTCCAAGTACCGACCTTCGTGCCCCATCATCTGTGGTATGTACCGGCGATGACTGATCTTGATGGTTGATGTGCCAAGGCTGATATCGCTTCCTTTGTTTCCAGTCACCCGAGACGATGTTACCGCTCGTCAGCAGCACCTTCACCGAGGTGTCTACCCCGTTCACTACCCCGAGCCCCGTGGTATCCCCACCGCCCAGTGGCAGATTGACGTTGACAACAGGATCAGGTGAGGGCCCAGTAGAGCTACATCGCCACCTGTTCTGTCCTCTTATTCATCGCGTTTTGCCTCATTTTAGGTTCGGTCTCAAGACCGCCCTCGCCTTGAACATTGTCAAGCCCAACCAGACCGTTATCGCCGTCCAGGGTTGGAAGGGAGGTTTGGGTCACACTAACACCCTCCGAATCCTCTCGTGAGTCCCGTGTGGACCGCTCATGATACTGCAAATATCATTGAACTGACACCAATCGCATTGCTATGCCTCAGCGTTCCCGACTCGGAGGCCGACCTCTCGCTCCACCCCATCTCCCGAGACGCTTAAGTCGCTCAAAAAGGCAAGCCGAGGGGGCTTTGACCTGTGTTCCGCTACCATAGATTTCGTTTTGTTCAGTGTGCTATCCGTTTCGATTCAAGGTGTTACTGCCCGTATAAGATCATGACCCGTGTACACACCACGTTCTCTCTGGTTCTGCCGTGGGGTCTAGGCTATGTTGTGGACAGATCAGTCCAGCCTGTTGGGATAGGTCAGGTTGATTTCCGACAGAACCGGAGTAAAATAGACGGTACTATAGCGGTATTCATTTGTGCTTTACAACATGTCAACTCGAGGTGCCCAGATCATGCGTGCTCTTTGTCTATCTCAAATCGTATCAATCCACTTAGTCCATATCCTCGTCGTCGTCCGAGCGTGCTGCGTCCTGCTCGGCCACCACTTTACGCTGCTTCTCGACCGCAGACATGTTGGCAAGAATGTCTGCTCCACCCGGCAAGGTCTGCGCTGCGGCGGTACCTTTCTTCATCGCTTGTAACCGTTGTCCTGTTTTAGGATGAACAAAAGGGAAATAAAGGTGAGAAAGCCACTTCACCCAGATCAAGCTTAGACCTCTCTATCAGCCCGACTTACGGAACAAGTATTCATATGCCTCTTGTGTCTTTCTATCCATCTTGCGCATTCGCTTGTCCATGTCCCGCTTCAAGTCCCAATTGGCTCGCTTGGGTTGAATATTGAGAAGATCCTGAATAGATTGGCGACGTTGATCAGTACACCCGACCGGACTCGGAATATCCAGGACTGGAAAGGCAGGCTAATCACCAGTTCTTGTGTCCGCTTGGCTTCGTCTTCCTGCACGATTCTCTCTGCGATACCCTCCATTCGCTTCTCCACTGTCTCTCTTGCTTGAGCAGCCTCCTCTTCGTCTGCATCGGCCGCGCTCTTGACAGGCCCGCCTGCTGCGTGTTGTGCCGGTTGGCGCGTTACCGGGTCAAAGTTTCGCTGCTTTAGTGCCACTTTGGTCTTCCTACGATGTCGCACCAATCAATGGAATCGTGTGAGCTTATCTCTAAACAGTTGTGGCCATAAGAGCGGCATGGTTCTGCTTACCCTCTAGCATCACTGTCATCCACCTCGCCAGCCTTTCGCTTCTTGAGTGCCAAGAGCCGACCTTTACGTTCCGATGCGGCATCCGCCAGCGTGAGGGTCGGAGCTACAGGCATCTTGAGGATCGGCCTGCTAGAGTAAGAAGAGCTAATATTGTGGAGGAGCAACTCGATGATGATGGATGTTGTGACGGGTTTGGATGGTTATAACGAGTCGATGCAGAGCAGCAGGTGAAGTGATGGGGGGGAGGGGTCCGACAATCAACTTTTTCACGTGATCGGGCGAGGTTGAACGAGCGAGCGAGCGAGAGAACAAAGTCGCCCAAAGTGATAGACACAAGTTCAAGTAGATTATCCCATGATCGCAACATCTCCCACACACCTCATCTGTCCCGTATCGTACCAGTGACCTACCTAGCCTTGTCGATTCTTAGTCGCAACAAGACTCTCTGCAAAATGGTCGATTCCATCGCTATCCTGCCCGCCCTCTCGTTCCTCGAGCAAATCGATGACCTCTCAAATTTCCTCACGCGAGCCTTGCCCGAGGCTGAAAAGAACCAATTCCTCGACTCGATTCGCCAACTGATTGAGTCTTCAGCCAAGACGGTCACCGAGCAAACCGAAGAGGGAGAGGAGACCAAACAGGTCATGAGCGAGCCGAGCGATGAAGACAAGGAGAAGACTGTCGGAAAGATCGTAGCGGTCATCACGGAAGGACACCCTGGACTCGAGGGTACCGACAGGGGTGAGTCGTCTGCCTATCTTGGGCCATTGAACTGAAGTCAGGAGGCTGATCAAGACCTCTCAATTACGCTTAGAGATCGAATCGCAATACCTGCTGTTGACTACGCTGATCATGTCGGTCAAGAACGCTGAGCAGACGCTCAAGGGACTCATCGATGCCGTGGTCAGGAGTGCAAGCGGTTCTAAAAAAGCCGAAGTAGCCTGCCGAATGTGAGCAGCATGGCTTCCTTGCTCGAGGCGAGACCATCGCAAACTGATCTGTCTTCATCTGTACCTCTCAGTCTTACCAACATCTACAACCTGCTCCCCGCCTCTTCTGGTCTCCGACCTCAAACCTTGACTTCCCTCTTCCAGCTTCTCACCTCCAACTCGACTCTCGAACTTTCCTACTTCCCCCTCACAAACGCCTGGTTGACTTCTGCACTGTCCCAATGGGACATCTCGACGAGCGACAAGATCTCGTGGTTGAGCAATGTTGCCGAGATTTACGAGACCAAGGGTTCCAAGAAGGGAGATAAGGAGAAGGCGTTGGAACTGAGGACTTTTGCGCTCCGCACTGCCGTTCAGGATGGCAGTGCCGAGGAGAGCAAGGAGTTGACTCAGAAGGCTCTGCGGGCGCTATTTGCCATCCCCAGCAAGTTTGACATGGAAGAGGTCTTGAACGTGAAAGGCGCCAGGGAGGGTCTGAGCGGGCAATACAAGGAGTTGGTGGAGTTGTTCGAGAACGGTGAATTGGAGCAGGGTCTATCTTGGGTTCAGAAGAATGAATCGTTCCTGGCTGGCGAGTGTAAGTCGTTTGGTAAATGCGAACCGTCTCGACACCAGCAAAGCTGAAACCGCTCGGGCTTTTTGGACTCAGCTCTGAGGAGCGATCAGATCGTTCGAAAGCTTCGACTGCTTGCCCTTACCTCTCTGGCCGCTAGCTCTTCCACAAAAGAGATCACCTACGCCGACATCGCAAAGGCCCTCAAGCTCGACGAGGACGATATCGAGATTTCCGTCATTGATGGTCAGTGTTCTTTGCACATTGTTCGTGTACCCGATCTTACTGAAAGCCAAACAATGTGCTCCGCTTGGTCAGCTATTCACTCGGGTCTGTTGAAGGCTTCATTGTCGCAACCGACCAAAACCCTCCGAGTCCAGTCCGTCCAGACCCGATCGTTCGGCTCGGCAGAATGGCAGCTTCTCGACAAGCGTCTTGGAGAGTGGAAGACCGTTCTTGAAGACGTTCAGAAGACCATCCAAGATGCCATCGTTGTCAACGAACAGAGCGGAAAGGACCAGGGACGAGGGGGATACAAAAAGGGTGCCAGGAAGCCCAACGCAAAGTCAGATGAGAACAAGGGGGAGGAGTCGTCGGAGCGGGCTCAGAACGCCGTTGTCGCATAGATTGCAGTTTTCTAGGATGTTACACCTCGTATTTGGCTCTTTTTTGTACCGAACAAGCATTAACGACCGAATCGTTCCTCTCGTCCTACTGGGTCAAAGATGGAGTAGAGCTCGAGCTTTCTGAAAAGACTTCTGTCGTGAAACTCGAGTGTTCACAGCGATCGACAATGCCTAAACGATGTGCCTTTCTGAACGGCATCATGACTTTTACAATACCAATAATAGCCAAGGTATTGCGCCTGTGTGACGCCATGCGCTTAGCTCGCATGTTTCAGGCGCGGCTTCAAAGACGTGTCGAGTACGCATTGGGCAAGTATGTCTGTCCGGGCGACTGTCGCCTGTACCGGTGAGCATCACCAGTGAGAGCGGGGATGGAGATGACCTGAATCTCGAACTTGGCGGTCACAGTGATTCCGTATTGGGCGACATATCATAAACAGCTAAATCGTTCCGCCACAAATCCCATGCTTGTTTCTGATTGTCTTCTGTTGTGAGGGACGGATATTTAGCTCGATCTAGTGCGATCGTATCCGCACATTGAGTGGGTTTGGAATGAGACTGTCCAGAGTACGAGACATACGGGCATGGAAACCGCTTAGTCTGGCTTGATAGCGTGACTGATACAACTGGGATAGAACAGACAGCTATTTCGCTTGTAAAGCCCATGGTAAGGTGGTGGCGATGGGAGAAAAGATGGTGTATATTTACAATTACTTATACTTATGTATGGACACGAAGCTGGTCCTGGGTCTAGAACGATAAGCTACACACAACCTAGCTTCTTGCCCAAGTGAGAATGTGACACATATTGTGGTCAACAATGCAATCGAGCCAGTATCAGACTTGGTCATATGCAAGCAGGAATCCTTATGAGCTCAAGACATGTGGGAATCGGAACATGAACAACCGGAGTTATCGTGACTGAAATGGGTACAAGTAGTAGGCGGAGCGACCGGAAGGATTCGTAGGGGTGTTCTGAGAACATCTTCTTGCTCATCACAATACTTGAGTGATTAGTGAAGCGTGTCCTGAATGCTGGGCGTGTTGGAGCAGCCTGTCTGCATACTGGCGCAAGCTGCGCAATTGGATCCAATTTGCCTCCCGCTCATTTACCAAGGCATCGAACGTCAATACCATACTTCCGCTCTTCTTGATGCTGCGCCCTCTATGGCAGGTATACGGTGGTCGAATCTGGAAGGATGGTCTGAGAAGGACTTCAGACTGCTGTGACCACTCTATAGAGACAAGCCCAGCCATTCACCGGTAGTCCCAATTGGGTTTCCTGATTGCTCTCAAAGCTCAACTCGCGGTTGTTGCAGATGTATCCGCTCAGAATATGGCTGACGTGAGGAAGCTCAGAATCGATCAAAAAGCAGGGCAGTATCAGCGAATCCTGGCGTTCTGGAAATTTTTTGCTGCCATTCCCGCATTTCATTATATTTCGCCGCTTCACGCGGCCGAAAGCAAGTCGCATCATATTTCTTGCCGGCACGCTTTCGAATTCTTGAGGTTTGTTTGTCAAATTGATCGCATTGCTGTTTGCGTCTTTCTGTTCTGATCAGGCAAAGAGCAAACAAAATTGCTGCGCCAGAGACTCTGTGAAAAGTGCGCGGCGGACAGGTTCAACAACGAATCGAGATCTGACAGTCACCGGTAAGTCAAGCTGCGCTGTTACCTGACAGGTATAGTACCGCCCAAGCGGTCCAAGGAAGCAGACATACTCCAATTTGACGGCTTGTTGCAGGATTCTTCAAGAAAGTAGACGGAAGCATGAGGATCGATCACATCTAGCGAATATATACTTGGGAGTTTTCGAAAGAGGAGAAGTCAGCAGGGATGAAGCAGTGGCGAGATATGAACACCACCAGCTGGTTGATCAACTGTGCGAACATCGGTAAGTACATCTGAAAATCTGGGGATTTTTGGCGTGCCTGAGATGTTGGTGCGGACAGAATGTCAGCGAATACATCTGGCTCAATATCGCTGTCAATACGCCTTCCTTCCTGAAGTCCACGTCGGATCGCTGTGTGATGGGGAATCAACCTCGCATTGATTTTGGTCGGACACTTTGTCGCGCTTGCACGAGATACTGGCCCCGGCGATGGTGTATGCAGTGGTGAGTATGGTTATTTGTCTGATCAGAGTCGGCGGTATGTCGAAGGGAACGTGCAACCCGGTGTTGATAAAGTTGCCATTGTGTTCAATAATAGGAAACTGAAGCCAATCAACTCGTCTTGCCTCCAGCTGCAAACCAGACCGTGTGCCGCAAAGCTTCAGCTCAAAGGAAAGTTGAAGCGCTCGAGACCGTGGTTTCGTAAAGAACGGTGTAGCTCATTGTTTAGCATGCGATTATACAGTGTAGAGTCTCTGATGGATGATGGATGCAAATGTCTATGAGCTCTGTAGAGTCTCTGATGGACGATGAATGCAAATGTCTATGGGCGCCGGGTGTGAATGCATATTTCGTCCTGGATGTGATAGATAGCCTCTGGATAGGCCACATCATGGTGTCTGTGCTTGATTGCCGTTTCGATTACGATATTGTTGTTGCCTGTGCGTACCTCTCGAAAGGCTCGCTGTCGATCCATATTTTCGTCCTGTCAATGAGGGTCCACTGCACAATAAATAATCGCAAGCGTTAGGGATTGGTGACGTTCCGGAGCGACTAATCTGGACTGACCAAAAGACCATGTGTCATGACGGATCGCATCATAGATATTCCAAGGCCTCGATAGAGGCGTCCGAGCCCAATCAAGAACGGTTTGGGGTTGGCTTCGTCGGTACCTCGCACCAGCCGAGACATTTGCTGGATGAAAGGTCGCGGTTGAAGTCCCGCTAATGCGCGTTGTTGGTGTTTCGTCTGCCGGTCCGAGGGGATTAGTAAGCATCGGAGTGTATCTCTCATACGGCACACGGCAAGATACCCACTTTCAATGCCTGTCGCGGGTTGCAGTCGCGCAGCGTCAACTACAAGCTCAGCGAGAGGCGGATTGCGGTGACTTACATCGACAGGATAAATCAGGGCCCTGTAGCGAGTAGACCCGATATCAGGAAGCCTGTCTTACCGTGCCTTGGGTATGCAACTATACTCACCAGCTAGTCACTCCTGCAAAAGCCCCTGCCCCGAATGCGACCCAGCCTTCGCCGATTCCCATCTTTCTCGCCCAGTCCGGTACTTTGCCCTGCAGACCTGTCTTTGGATCTCTACCGAGGAGCCACCTCAACGTGTCGTATTCGGCGAAATACAAGCTAGTTCCCAATGTATCTCGCACGCTATGCAGTTTGAATCCGGTCCACAATCCTTTCGACCCGTACCGAGCGTAAATGTCTTTGACGGCAGCCCAGGTGCCTGGAGCTTTCCAACCTGCCATCAACTCCTTGTCCGTCCTTGTCGCGACAATCTTGTCTCCGAGCGAGGCGGTCCCTATTCCTCCTGCCAATCTGAACTTCCGTAATCGTCTATCCCTCTCGATCTGGAACTCGAGTTGACGTCTGACCTTGACGAGCTCGAACGGGGCTGAACCTAGCGAGACGACGCTTCCAGAGGCGGCTCCTGCGATGCTCGAGGTGAGTGCCACCGAGAACAAGGTATCCGGCAGAGTGATGGACCTTGCTGCGTCCTCTCTTCCCTTGCCTTTCGCAATGAATTTGGCCAATCCTGTCCGTTGTACAAAGTCCTTGGTCTCAGAGTAGATGGTGAACGAGATGGTTCGGACTATTGATATGCTGACTAGAGGTAGTGGCAGACCCCTCCATAGTCTACACAGGAGCAATGAAGAGGACCCGATGAGCGAATACCGCTTGAAATCGTCCCGCAACACATTTTGCTCACCCTCGTATCCCTTCATCGCGGATAACGTCTGCAGCGACTTTCGCCAATGACACCCCTTCTCCGCGCTGCGATTGCAATCTTGACTTGATAGAATCGAGCTGTTGAGAGGAAAAGGACGAGCAACAGGTACAAAGGAAATCAATAAGCACGTGCGTTCATCGTAGATGTCTTGGATACGGCGTTTACCGGAAAGCCTGCAAAGGTCGAGATCAGGGAGGAGGAGGTTGCGCAAACGACCTGTAGGTAGAGCAGCTACTTCAGCCTCGAAAGATAGCTAGCATCGGAGAAGATTGGCTGACCATGTGATGTTCTGTATCGTGCCGAAGATCCCCGCACGTGGACAAGCAACGACATACTCGGTCAGCGAGCAAAATCAACAAAAAAAGTCTTGCACGACCGTTCTCCCCAAGCAAATGAGGGCGGTGTTGCGAGCGCGGATCTCTGCGATTGCCACTGATCAGCCTTTCACACTCACGCTTCATCCAATCGTCCGCTACTTTTGCTTGGCGCAACCATGGCGTAGGCGTTGAAGATCCCGAAGTGATGGACATTTCGGGTGGGGGAGGTCTGCCGGGGGAAGTTGGTTGTTCGACCCGTTATCGCATAGGTCTAGCGATGTTACAGGTCCAAGGGCGAAGACCGCAGTCGCAAGGGTGATAACGGAGGGACTATCGAGGGCGGTATCGGGTCTGGAAAGCGATCTAGGTTGGGTCGCATCCTTGTAACTCGTGATCGACCGTCCTGTAGGTTGACAAGAGGTTGAAAGAGACCGAGTTGAATTGCATGCTTCGGCGCGATCCGCGATACTCCCGATGGCCGTAGCAGCCGCCCGCAACTAGTCAAAGTTTATTTGACACGTCATCTTTGTCTTGACTTCCTCACCCTCGCCCTCTCTGCAGCCTGTTATCAAAATAATCTAGTGGGTGACGATGCGTTCGTCAGCGTTTGAGAGGGGGGAGCGTTCGATCATGATCCCAAGTGCGACGAGTCCGTTCCACCAGCTATAACCCCCTGATCGCAACTTCGACTTGCCATAGATAACGACTTTTACCATAGAGATCACAGACGCAAACAACCAGATCTCAATCTACCAGTAGCACCAGATATCACCGGAAGTTTCCATACGCAATCGGAAGACTAGCAATCAGAACACGAAGTCACGTCATGGTCAACGCTCAGAGCAGCAGTGCAGGTAAGATTGTAATTCGAGCGGTCGCTCACGGTCGAGAAGAGTCTGATCATGACTTCATAATCATCTACCGGTAGTTGGACTCGTATCATTGCTCCACGATCCGGACACCGAGATTCAAGCCTATGCCATCGAAGAGCTAAACGGAGTCGTTGCCTCGCATTGGGCCGAGATCAGCGAGAGTATCACTCACATGTGAGGCCTTTATCATCCTATACCTTTCCGTAGAGGATACACAATTAACGCTCGAAATCTTCGATGACCTCCAGCGAGGCTTTGTCAGAAGCTACTTCGCCCTTGTCACCAGAATCCCGCCAATCCGCCGCCCTACTTTCCTCTAAGCTCTACTTTTACCTCGGATCTCTAGAGGAAGCCGTCGATGCTGCCCTGGTTGCCGGCGCCGCTTTTGCTAGGGACAACAAAGCCTCAACGGCCGATCCGAAAACCGCGACTCGAGATGCCTCGGCAAGAGAATATCAGGAAACGATCATTGCCAGGTGTCTCGACCGAGCCATCCTGCAGAGGGGCCAGGGGGAAGAAGTGGAAGAGAGGCTGAAGAGCATTGTTGAGGAAGTTTTGGACGGGAATATTGCCGCTCAGCAGGTTGGGAGCGCAGGTACTTCTAAACTGGTGAGTTGGCGGATCCAAGCATTCCTTTTCGAGATTGAGTGGGTCGCTGAAAATACCGAACGGTCGAACGCGATCAGGCTATCGGTCTGACCTTGTCGCTTCGTCGATTGGATCTCTTGGAGCAAGTCTACATGCAGTCAAAAAATCCGCGGCCGACTGAAGGAGGGCCCGAGCACGACGAGGACCTGTTACGATATGTCTTGGTAGAGACCACAGCAGGAGCGAGCGGGAATGAGCGATGGGGTCCTGGCTTCAGGGAGGAGGTCAGTTCCAGAGTCTCGGTCCGCTTTCTTCTCGGCAGACTGCATTACTAACACTCATCATTTTCTTAGCTGTTGCGACTCTTGCTTCGACTATTCGACCTCTCGTCGCAAAAGGACTACTCGTCCATCTCCCAGATTTGGCTGCAGACCGCCGATGCTGCTACCGGTGCTGCTCTAGCAGCCGAGACCATCAAGAAATTGATCGAGCAGGGCAACAAGTTGCAGGCTTATCAGGTGGGATTCGATCTGGCCGAAGGAGGTGGGCAGGAGTTTTTGAAAAAGGTTCGGGAGGCGTTGGGCGAGGGCGATGATGTGAGTGGCTACAGCGCAAGAGACTTGCATCGTGAACACCATTGAACTCTGTTGCCATTCCAAATTAATCCAGGATATGTACAAAAATCTGCGAGAGATCTTATCCGGCGAGAAGAGTATCCGGCTGTACCTGGAATTTCTGCAGAAGAACAACCACGCCGATCTGCGTATCCTCAAAAACACAAAGGTCAGCATAATCCTTTTCCAACCACGTTCGAGCCATGTAGTTATTGATGCATAGAATGCCGTTACAGGATGCACTCGAGGCACGACATTCGATCTACCACTCTGCTGTGACGTTCATGAACGCCTTTGCCAACGCTGGTACCACCTCGGATCAGTTCCTCCGCGAGAACCTTGAATGGCTGGGTCGAGCCTCGAACTGGTCCATGTTTTCGGCAACTGCTGCATTAGGAGTGATTCACAAGGGATCGCTCGCCAAAGCTATGACCGTTCTCGGGCCCTACTTGCCTCAAGCCGACGGTGTCGTCTCGGCGCATTCCAGTCCTTACTCTGAGGGTGGAAGTCTTTACGCTTTGGGTCTGATCAATGCCGGACACGGACAAGACGCTGTCCCCTACCTCGTCGACAAGCTCAAGAACAGCACGGATGAGACTGTCCAGCACGGTGCCGCGCTTGGATTGGGCATGACCGGTCTGGCTAGCCAGGATGAAAGCAAGTACTGCCTAATCCACGCTTATTGACGCATAACGCTGAACTTCATTTCTGCAATCTCGCGTTCAGATGTATACGATGTTTTGCGAGACGTCCTTTTCCAGGATTCTGCAGTGGCAGGTGAAGCTTCGGGATACGCAATGGGTCTCGTCATGCTCGGATCTGCCTCTGAAAAGGCTCTGGATGAGATGCTGCAGTATGCGCATGAGACTCAGCACGAAAAGATCATCCGGGGTCTCTCGATCGGTATCGCTTTCCTGATGTATGGAAAGGCGCAAGCAGCGGACGATGTGATCGAGAAGTTGTTGGCCGAGAAGGTTGGTCGGCAGGATTATTTTGCAAAACTTCAGAAAGTAGACTAAACCGACTGCATATTACAGGACGCCATCTTGCGTTACGGAGGAATGTTCACGATCGCCTTGGCCTACGCTGGTACCGCAAACAACCAGGCCATCAGAAAGCTCTTGCACGTCGCTGTCTCAGACGCCAATGATGACGTCCGTCGGGCAGCCGTCACTGCACTCGGATTCGTCATGTTCAGCAACCACACTCAGGTGCCTCGAGTTGTTCAACTCCTGAGTGAGAGCTACAACCCTCACGTCAGGCATGGTGCTACCCTGGCCCTTGGCATCAGTTGTGCCGGAACCGGATTGGCGGTGCGTAACTTCCACGTCTGCAGAACTCGTTACGGTAATGCTGACCGGTTCAGATCCGACCATCATAGGAAGCCATCGAGATCTTGGAGCCTATGACGAAGGACTCTACCGACTTTGTTCGTCAGGGAGCACTCGTCTCGCTCGCCATGATCTTGGTTCAACACAGCGAAGCCCAGACTCCCAAGGCCAAGATGGCTCGGGAATTGTTTGAAAAGACCGTATCCGACAAGCACGAGGACTCGCTTGCAAAGTTCGGTGCCGCCATTTCTCAAGGTATCATCGATGCCGGAGGCAGGAACGTCACCATCTCGATGCAGACCAAAGCTGGCACCCCCAACATGATGGCTATCGTTGGGATGACCTTGTTCAGTCAATTCTGGTACTGGTTCCCTCTCGCCCATTGTTTGAGCTTGAGCTTTAACCCGACCGGGGTCATTGGACTAGACGAGAGTCTGAAGGTGGGTGTGACTGCGTGGGGACGGTTCCGACCCAATAATGAAGAAAGCTGACCATGTGTACACGCGATGCTCTTATGCGATTAGATACCCAAGCTGGACTTTGTCTCCAACGCACGACCTTCCTTGTTTGCTTACCCGGCGCCCTACGAACCGCCGAAGAAGGAGACAGTGGAGAAAGTCAAGACTGCTGTCCTTTCGACTACGGCTCGGGCCAACGCCCGAGCAAAAGCTCGAGAGCAGGAAAAGGCTGCTGCTGACGGCGAGGCGATGGAGACTGTGAGTCGTTGTTCTGATCGAGTATGCGCTAGGGATCCGGCGTCTGACAGTCTTTATATTACAGGATGACAAAGTCGAAGCCGACACGAATACCGAGAAGGACGATAAAGCGGCCACCAAAGCGACTGAGGATAAGGCCGAGCCGATTTCGGAGACGCTGCAAAATCTTGCACGAGTAACCCCCGTTCAACTTGCCCACATCGCCTTTCCAAATGACGGCCGGTACCAGCCGGTTAGACCTATTCCAAGCTCCTCTTCAGGTGGGCAGTCAGTACGAAAATCGAGAAAGCAGACCGACGGCGTCTCTTCGGGCACAAGAACGTCGACTGGAGGCGGTATCATTATGCTCCGGGACACGAAGCCAAACGAGCAGCCGGAATACATCGATCTAAACCCCAACTTGGAGAAGCCTGTCCCTGCACCAGCTGTCGCGTCGGCCGAGCCTCCTGCCACTGCACAGGCACCAGCGGTCAGCGATATGGAGGTCGACGACGGTGCCGAGGCTGAACCACCTGCGCCATTCGAATACCCCTTCGGATCGAACGGTGCTTAGTCGATTCGCATCGTATTTCGAATCATCTAAATTACGATAAACGAACTCTGTCGATACCCTGTCATCGAGAGGGATCAGGTGGCTAGGCAAGAGCGGAATGCATATCGATGTCCTGTATTACGAAACGAAATGAACACAATCATGACTTGATCATTTGGGCGGGTCTTTGGCGACGGACACGGCGAAGTATGCCGAGTCCGCGTCCAACGGTAGCGACCTCGGGGTCCTTGAATCTCGAAGTGTAACTTGTCGGGAATTATAACATCCCATTACTTCTTGGATCAGATGGATGTCTTGAAGACAGATCTTGTCACATCAGTCAAGTCTGTTAGCTTCATCCTTATCACGCAGTGAACTACTTACCGCCCAAGAAGCCGCCGCAAGAAGCGTTCTTGGATATGCCATTCTCTACGTAATCCAAAGGGGACTTTTATTCCGACCTTGATCGACAACCCTATCAAACCCAACCTTGAAATCACTTCGGCGAAAGATGGAAGCTCCAACTACCCAAATGCAGACCGCACGACCGCCTACCATCCCGGTTCCTCGAAATCGGAGACGTTCCGGATCTGCTCAACCTCCAAGTGCATCACCTCCGCTTCGTAGCATTGTCGAAATTAGGCCTGGCAATACAATAAGCTCTGCTTCGTTAGCTGGTAATATGGATATCGGAGACAGAAACGTATCCTTTGCTCCTCCTCCTTCGGATGTGCGCAAGGATGTGCTCGCTGGTGGATCCGATAACCAGACGCCAGGAGGCTCAAAGGTACCTGCGTTCCTAAACAAGCTATTCAGGTAAGGACACCAATGCGGGAAACGAAGCGCTCCCAGTTTCTGATGCTGAATCACGTTTCTCTCCAAAGTATGATTAATGATACTGCTACAGACACCCTGATATACTGGGCGACGGACGGGGCTTCCTTCTTCAGTATGTCTCTCAGTGCTGCAGCTGACTACATATAGTCTAGTGCTGAAATTTCTCCCTTCAGTCCCGAACACGCAAGACTTTGGCCGAGAGTTACTACCACAATTCTTCAAGCATGCCAACTTTACCAGCTTTGTACGTCAACTCAATATGTATGGCTTCAGTAAGTAATCTCTGGATCACTTCTCTTTGCAGCGTTTCCTGATGTGCTAACAGCAAGCTGCATGGCTGGCAGAAAAAGTACCTCATCTACAGACCGGAACATTAAACACGTTCCCTCAACCAACCAACGAACTTTGGGAGTTCTCGAATCCCAAATTTCATCGAGATCATCCAGACTGGTTGGCCGGCATCACCAGGAAGAAAAGTGCTAAGGAACTAGCAGCTGCTGCTGCATTGGCTGCTCAGGGTCAGGGCAGTAATCAAGCCGAAGGTTCAGGTCACGATGACGTTGCTGGCAAGACGAAGGGCAACCAGCAGACGCAGGGCCAGGTCCCATCATCTACTGAGGCACAACCTGGTCCGACGAACCAGATCGGCAAGGATGCCGTCGATTCTCAATCGTTGAATAAGGCGATGACACTCATGAAGGATACTCATATATCGTTGGAAAGGGAACTGTCGGAGCTGAAAGCATCGAACGAGATGTTGTGGCGCCAGGCCATGCTCAGTCGAGAAGAGCAGTTGAAGAGCCAAAAGAAGCTGGACAGCGTCATGCGATTCTTGGCTGGTCAGTTTGGAAGCATGAATATGTCACTCCTCGAAGACGAGGGTGACAACCTCCCTTCGACTTCGGGGACGCAGCCGACCCGAATAGCCAGGTTTGGCAAAGGTCGCATGATCGGAGATGGAATTAACGGAGTTGAGGGAAATGCTAGTGATGAGGATATGGACGAAGAGACGGACCTATGGGAAACAGGCGATCACGAGGAGTCTAGGCAGTTCTGGGAGGTCGATGACAGTGGAAAGATGATCAAAGTACCTCAACCCCGAGGTAAGCGCGGATATTTTGCTTCCGACAACCTTGAGCAGACCTTAGACCTTAACCTAACGCACCCTCGCAGTCGAAAGACAGAATTCTACCGGGCGACCCTTGCTGGCGAGAACGGCCACGCCTACCCGCCCCAATTTCAATCTCGGTCGGGTACCAGGCTCACAACGTAAGATGGATTCGTCGCCATCAAAGCGTTTTGAGCGCCTCGATGGCTCACCCGAAGAGATTGCTCGGATGTCGTTCGAGACTCCGACAAAGTCCGGCTCCAGCGACACTGCCAGCCCTATTACAGTCAACAGCGTGGACCCTTCGACGCGCTTGTTTCCTCCTTTGCAATCATCAAACGCAAACCTGGGACAAGGAGGTGATCGTGGAAACCTTCAGCCTCATGCTAACAACACGGTGGCTCTGCACAATCCCGCTGTCACGCAGTTGAACAACGGGCAGTACACGCTGGATCCATCTATACTTAATTTACCGCTGGGAACGTTGTTGTCGACCCCTGCCGGTGCGCAATTCCTCGCTACCTTGGGTCAATCGGCTGCATCCTTTCTTGGGCAGCCGAGCCCCGTACCCACCTCGCCCCGGCAAAGGGCCGCGCCCATCCAGGGCTCCAGGTTCTCGGATGCTACGGTCGGATCAATCATCCACGGTGGCGCATCCAATGCACAGGAAGTCGGCCGTAACGAGCACGCCGCCGAGACCACGGATGCCACCATGACGGGGATGGAAGGCGACACGTCCTGGATGTCCAGCACAGTTCCTCAAGCTGAGGGGCTGCCAGATCACTTGGCCCAGCCATTCTTGAGCTCTGCCATGCCTAACGTCGACATCAATGACACCCAAGATGCGGGTTTGCTGGCGGACGCTAACACCCTGAGCCAGGAGGTCGACTTTGATTGGTCAGATCCGGCTGTTAAAGCGCTGTTACAAGCTTTTGAAAGTCAAAACCAGCCCCAGGCACAGTCGGGGGAACAGTCTACCGTCGAACCGAACGTCTTCACCAACGACGACCAATACGACGAACTGTTTCAGGATCCCGTCATCGATTTCAATGGCATGTTCACCAATCATAGCAATGAGCCGACTCCACCGGGCGTCGAGACGGCAACCCCATCCAACCCGTCAGCCGCCAACAGTAACGCGGGAGATGTCGCCGATGTCGTGAACATGGATAGGCCCGGTGCGGCTCTGTCGGCCAGCGTGACCGACGAGCTGTTTGCTGGTCCGACCAGGAAGAAGCGCAAGACGGATCAACGAGAACCGTAGACGAGCGCGATCATGCACTCTCATGGACGGATGTACAATGGAAAATTCGGTCAGACGCAATGTTGTATACCTTTGCCTGGTCAAGCTGAGCGCTCGATAGCGGCTCGCTGTCTATGCCCGCTTGTAAATATCGACAGTACGGTTCATTCGACCGGATCCACTTCTTGTCATTTTTTTGCATCCGATCGCGTTTGCCCCCCCCCCCTAGCCTCCACTTTATCAAAAGTTGATCATCTCGGCCAAAAGCGAGAGACGTAGATGCAAGCAGGTACGAGCGAGTACGAGGCTGAACGGTAGATCCACAATCCAAAATCCATCTTTCTTGCCAGCCCATATCAGCGACTCCTACCGAAATACACCACTGTCTCTGCACAGCTTTCAACCCCGAAACGCGACATGTCCTCGAAATCCCATCGTGCCAAGGCTCTCGCCGCTCAGCTTGAAGCCGGACCGTCCACTACGGCCGGAGAACTTGTTCCACCTGCTTCGCTTGTGAAGCCAAAGGTCAAGAAGTCCAAATCGGTCAAGGACGGAGTTGTAGGAAAGGGTAAAGGCAAAGGCAAGGCTGTCGACGTTCAAGAGGAGGAACAGGATGCGAGGAAGCCGCTGGGTCAAGAGGAAGATGAGGAAGAGGTTGCGGCTGACGGCCACAGAGACGTTGAGATGGAGCAGGATGGATTGATTCCTACAGGACGGGCTGGACAGGAGGAAGATGACGATGCGGACATGTTGATCGACTCGGCACCGGTGGTCGGGTCCGCTGATGCTTCATCGTCGACAACCGCCAAAGCTAGCAGTGCTACCAAGACCTCGTCCGACTTCCTCCCCATCTCTCAGACCGCTCAAAACAAAACCCTGTTGAAGCCCGAAGAGCGACGTGTGCCGGTACCGGCTCACCGAATGGCTCCCTTGAAGAAGGAATGGGTCAACATTTACGGACCCCTGGTCGAGATTATGGGCTTGATGGTCAGGATGAACGTGCACAAGCGATGCGTCGAAATGAAGGTGAGATGCATTCGGAATTATGGGCGTCAATCCCGGTCGGTCGGAACACAGAAGGCAAGAGAAAGGCGGCAGAGCCACCGGCTGAAACTGTGAAGAAGCTGTCTTTGTCACAACAATCCCCCGTTGGCCTTTCTCATCTGCCTGGTCGGCGCGACCGGAACTGCCGAGGTATTTGGAGATTCAAGGCTGACGATGCTACATCTTGAAACGTGTAGACATCAAAACATACTCCCGACCAGGGTGCGATCCAGAAGGGTGCCGATTTCGTCAAGGCGTTTGCACTGGGATTCGACGTCAAGGTGAGAGGCGAAACCAAAGCTTTTCAGCTGCGAAATCAAGGCACGCGGCTGAACAAATTGTAATATGCTCTGCCACACAGGACGCCATCGCCATTCTCCGTCTCGAGGACCTCTATCTCGACTCGTTTGAGATCAAGGACGTCAAGACGTTGCACGGGGACCATTTGTCCCGAGCGATCGGACGTATCGCTGGGCAGGATGGCAAGACCAAGTTTACGATCGAAAACGCCAGTCGAACGAGAATAGTCCTAGCCGATACGTGAGTTGCCCTCACCTCTCGCGCAGGTAGATCGAGAAGTGTATGGCTGACGATGCGACTTGTGTGGATGACTTCGCCTCTGGGTTAGGCATGTGCATATCCTCGGATCAGTGCAAAACATCAAGATTGCCAGGGACGCCATTGTCTCATTGATCTTGGGTTCGCCTCCAGGTTAGTGACCCGAACCATGTCGTCTTTGCTCTACCCTCATCGCATCTTGGCTGACGATTGAGACTTGGACCTCGCGACACTATAGGCAAAGTCTACGCCCATCTGAGGAGCGTTGGTGCCAGGCTGAAACAGAGGTTCTAATCTCGCATCTTCCGCGCTACCCCGAGTGTATCATCAATCACTTTCGTCCATATATCCTTCTTGGACCCTCCCTTTCAGATTTATCGCCCTTCACATGCGGACATACAAATTGCGCTACCGGGCGATGTGGTCTTTGTATTCACAATCGCGGCCCGATTCACTGTTATATCACATCTACGACCCCCTTTTGATGAGTACCGGATGACTCGCTACGTGTGTATCGGTTCTGTTGAGGCTCTGAAACGTACATCGGAGTTTAGCTTCGGAAGTGGGCTCGGGAGCAAAAGGGCTGTTCACGAGATTGGAAATCGAAAAGCGCGCGCGCGCAGGACGATCGGGAAGGATAGATGCTAGACGGTTCAACCTGACATTTTCCTTCTCGCTCCCCCTCCCCTTTGCTCTTCCCCTCTCCCCGCGCAGCCTCGGGGTCGCCTCTCTGGCTCGATCAGATCTCTTGCCCATTCTCGAGATCGATATCATCGACCTTCGAATCGACCGTGCTTCTTCTTCTTCACCACCGGCAACACACCGACAGTCAAACCCTCTACCTCAAGAGAAAAGTCAAACAACACACGAAAATGTCCGCCCAGATTTCCAAGAGGAGAAAGTTCGTTGCCGACGGTGTCTTCCAGGCCGAATTGGGAGAGTTCTTGTGAGTTTTCCGTTCCGTTGCAATAGACCTACCAGGCGAGAGGAGAGGTCGCTAGGGACTAGACGCAGGACACGGGCATGACAAGACGTCGAAGGGTATGATCCCAGCCGATCATCGAATGGTCTCATCAGCCATCCTACTGGTGGCAAACAAACGATCAATCCGAAGACCCGAAGTACAAGGTCATTTCCATTCTGCTGGCATGTTTGATAGAAACATATGACGGCGTTTCGACATACAACCCGGACTCGTGCAACTCTACGCTACTCTCATACCTCGTCTGGGGGATTGCAACCTATGGAATACGCTCGCTCGGAATCTTACCTCGTATTCTCTTTTCACCGACCAGCACCCGTGAGCTCGCCGAGGAGGGTTACGCTGGTTGTGAGGTCCGAACTACCCACGCCAAGACCGAGATCATCATCCGTGCCACCCACACTCAGGATGTCCTCGGAGAGAAGGGCAGGAGGATCAGGGAGTTGACCGCCTTGGTCGCCAAGAGGTTCAAGTTCCCCGAGAACTCTTTGGAGCTCTACGCCGAGAAGGTCAAGCACCGAGGACTCAGTGCCGTCGCTCAGGCCGAGTCTTTGAGGTACAAGCTTTTGGGAGGTTTGGCCATCAGGCGGTGAGTATCAGTCGAACAGCATGTCTTGAGGATGAAAGGACGCTCGTCTGACCTAGGACCGGATGCTACTTAGTGCCTGTTACGGTGTCCTCCGATTCGTCATGGAGGCCGGTGCCAAGGGTTGCGAAGTCGTCGTCTCTGGAAAGCTGCGAGCTGCCCGAGCCAAGGCCATGAAGTTCACCGATGGATACATGGTCCACTCCGGTCAGCCCGCTAGGGACTTCATCGACCAGGCCGTCAGGCACGTGTTGTTGAGGCAGGGAGTTTTGGGAATCAAGGTCAAGATGTGAGTATTTCGAGCGAGATAGCAATCGACCATTCGCTCAACTTGAAACGTTTACTTGCTTCCCTTCAGCATGAAGGCCTACGACCCCACCGGTGAGGCTGGTCCCAGCAGGCCCATGCCCGACCTTGTCTCCATCGCCGAGCCCAAGGAGGAGCAGCCCGTCGAGACCCACTCTGAGCACCGAAACGGATCTCAGCCGGCTCCCGTCTACGAGCAGTCTCAGGAGGCCGCTCCCGAGGCTCAGGCCGAGCAGCCCGCTCAGGAGGAGGCCCCCGCCGCCGCTGCCGGCGGTGACCAGTGGTAGATATGTCTGCCACTTGGGATTGATGTGGTTGTACGATCACCTCTTTTGGCTCAGCAGGAGCCGGGGTAATTTTTTGCGTGTCAAGATACAATAGTAATCAGCCGCTTTGTTCAACTTCATTTCTTGGTCGTGCTCGTCGTCAGCGATTTGTCTCTGTAGGGTCCCGTCTGTTCGACACGTTTGCTTGATTTGACGCCTTGTTGATGTGATCGCAATCAATGACGCGATCAAATACTACTAACGTCCCTTCGGCTTTGACCGAATCGACCGACACTGCCCTAACCTCTGGCTACTAGCTGTTAGCTACCTTGTATGAACGCATGAAGCTCGTTGTAGCAGGTCGATAGACTCATAGCTCCTTAGCACTTTCTTCACCCGAATCAGTCTAGATACTATCAGTAAACTCGAACCGCCCTTCCGATCGCCGACGATGAAGAACCATTCGGCCCTTCTCGAGGCGATCTTGCCGTACCTCGGCGTGATCTACTTTGCGGCTTGGTCCGTCTCATTCTATCCCCAACTGTTCCTCAATTATTGCCGCAAGAGGTGAGTAGATGAGCACCTTATCGTCCGCCGAACAGGTCTTGACACCAAGTTGGATCTTCACGTGCGATCGCCTTCCAAACCGGCAGCGCCACAGGGTTCTCTTTCGACTTTACCATTCTCAACCCCCTCGGCTTTCTCTGTTACACCCTCTACGCGATCTTGCTGCGATACAACCCCGTCGTTAGAGAACAATATGCAAGGAGATCCGATGGACACGAACCTCAAGTCAGCCGGGCCGATGTCGGATTCGCTACGCATGCTCTTTTGTTGAGCTCGATCGGACTGATTCAGGTGAGCGAGAAGTGGATGATGATGAGGTCATGACCGCCAGTTCAGCTTGGTCAGACGGTCTGACTGGTGATCGCTCGTTGCAGGTCTTATACTATGGTTTGAGAGCCTCTCGAGGCCAGAGGACCGTCACAATACATGGACAGGACAGGGAGACCTACGCCTACGGAACTTTGCCCCAGTCGGAAGACGGGGAAGCGGAGGATGCCGACCAAAAGGCCTACGTCGAAGAAAGGGGACGAGAGGAACTGACCCGATGGGGTTCGTGGTCCTTGGTCGGTATCGCTGTCGTTTTGGTGATCGAGGGAATCCTGGTAGCTGCCAAAAAGCAGGAGTGGCTCGACTACGTTCTCATGATTTCCTATGTCAAGCTTTACATCTCGTAGGTAAACAGGCATGATCATCAGGGTCACCAGCTGATCCTCTCGAATCATCGCGCCTAATCAGTGTCTTCAAATGGATCCCTCAACTCCGCATGAACCATATCCTCCGTTCGACTGAAGGCTTCTCGATCGTCACGGTCGCTCTCGACCTCGTCGGCTCGATCACCTCTTTGGCTGAACTCGTTATCGCAAGTTATCTCGCCGACGACATTCCGGCCATCTGGGGCAATCCGTTGAAACTCGGCTTGAGCGGAATTACCTTGTTGACGGACGGTTGGTTCGTGGGTCAGAGGCTAGTTTTTGGCGAGAAGCGGTCGCCAACGAGAGACAAAGCAGGAGAGAGGGAGAGGCTGATCGCGGACACGAGCTGATCCGGATGTCCAGGTCTTTTGGATAATATCGACTGAAAGGGATGAACCCGAAAAGACGATATCGTATGGGTATTTCGGTGTTGTACATTCGAAAACGTAGTGGTCTAGCCGATGAATTTGGTATGAATAGCAGTTATGACCAACGCATCATCCCGTTCTCGTCGGATCTCGACTCGAGTGAAAGCCAGTCGACTGCCCTTCTTATCGATGATTCCCTGTAAAGTACATGAATCCCGCCGCATCGGTTCTTCAGACCGCCCTCGCTCGAAGAACAAACCTCTCTCACCTTGATGATCATCTTTTCACCCCCCTTGCAGGTGTTCATAAAAGTCACGTGCATGTCGACCGATACACCCGAATGGCTGCCTGTAGTCGCCAATGCGTTCCCGCTCGCCCAATCGACAATGGTTGCAGAGACTGACCCGTGGATACTGCCTTTCGAGTTTAGATGCTGAGGCTCTAGTATGAGCGAGCTGAGCGATGTTCCGGCAACTGTGGAAGGGAGCACGACGAGGTTTTGGAGTAGAAAGCCATAGATAGGTGAGGCCGTCAATGATTTGCTGTGATGAGCTCGAGCCAGCTCTACCGGTGAAGAGGATGCAATTTCGTTCTCAGTCATTCTTGTCAAGTAGTCGTGAAAGAGTTGAGGTGGACAAATAATGGCAGCTCTGGTTGGCACGTATACTAGTATACTAGTAGAATAAGGTGGATTGTGTTGTTGTGTTATGCGATCGTGCCGCAGACGCGGGAATATACCACCCGTGATCTCTTTTGAATATCCACCCGTGATCTCGCCGCCCTGATCCTTGTGGAACCACGAAGCAATAGATCGAATCTGACACTCTTTGTAGGTTGAGGAGCCAGAGTTGGCCATCAAGAAGGGCATAGAAAAATGTTCCATTATCAGCCACACCAGAGTCAGACAGTGGGGCACACATGACAGTATGTTGGATCATGACATACAACATCTGATGTATCAACACCATCCCAATCTATGTGTCTTGAACAATCTGTTTTATCAACATATCCCTTGACCTCCACCAAAGATTCAAAGAAGATCAAGAACAAGCAAAACTGCAAAAGCAGGCCAAGGATACCAAACACGCTAGGAAGCATGAAGAGAGCCGGGACCCTCATTTCAAGACTCGTTGCATGGTAATAATCAAGCGCACAAAGTTTGCTGCAAGGCAAACTTTGACTGAGAGTGACTGTCACGGGATCATCACGTGAGTCGACTACCGACACGCAGGCTTGTTCCACGGACATCGGCATACCGGCTCGACAAAGTGAACCTGGACAATACCTTCCCGACACATATCACAAACAGGTACAGGGACCTTGAGGCACATGACAACCTTACCCAGGACCTCGACAACCTTACTCAACGTACCTAGGGACAAATGCAAACCCAAACTTGCCTCCTCTACCGAATCCGGTTGCTCTCGACAGGATTTGTCTGTTCGCCATCTCGATTCTTCCAGTTTTGCCATCTCTCGCCATTCTCTTCTCTTGGGTCTTTTCAGTGTTCGCCAGCCTCGTCTCCGTACTCGTCTTCGTAAAATAGCTAGAGGAACTTGACCGAATCCGATAGAGGACGATCTGTAATAGTAATAGGTCAAGTTCCGATATCACATTCAATACACGCCTATCTGACTTGTTACAACATCTTCAAGACGTGTTGCGGAGAGGTTACACCCCCTACACCTTACGATTTAGGACCAATCGCCCATTAGCGACTTCCGCTGTAACCATCAAGTATGTTGGAAATAGGCATGTGATGATTGGGCATCAGCACATGGAAGCAATCTCAACCAGGAAGTAAACAACAGGAAGCAAAAGGCACTGGACGTTCCAGCAAGTGCTAGAAGGATTGAATTTGAGATAAATCACCGAACTCGTTCGACCACCGAACATCTGAACTTGTTCGACCACCAAACAACCGAACTGGTTTGACCACCAAACATTGAACTCGTTCGACGGTTGCCATCGTTTGCCCCTTCCCAGAAAAGTATATATAGTAGGCCATTTGGGTTTGATTTCTCTTTTCCCTCTCATGTACTACTTTACTTTTATGCAAGCAACATTGATTCATCTTCACAACAAGACAAGATCAGCACTAGTAACACACCATTACTATTGCTTAGGTACATCAAGTAACCAATCTTGGTGAGTCTAGTTGTTACTTCACAACAGGTTATGAGCCCAGTAGTTGTGGCCTAATCTACACTTAGACTTAGCTCACAAAGGAACAACCTCAACCATCAGGATCATCAAGAGGATATCACTGGACATAGTTGGACAGGTTTATATTACTGGTCAGTAACAGGATAGTCTCACAGCATAGGAGACTAAGGACTATTAGATCAAGAGAGGATCACTAGTCAGCATCAGACTTGGACATCAGCATCCAAGCAGCAACAAGACTTGAGGCAACATAGACACTCAAGCATCAGCATAGGACAAGTCTTGGATATCATTGTCAACAATGGATACTACCACCACGGGCTCTTCAGCAACCAGTAGGATACCTATCCTGACTGGGTTCGACAACTACTGTTACGGACCAGCCCGATTAGGTGATCCATGGCACTACCGTGGTCATACCAACTTGGTCATACCATGGTCATACCATGGTCATACCATGGTCACACCAACTTGGTCATGCTATGGTCAGACTATGGTCATACCATAGTGCACCAAGCTAGACCCCCGACTCTATTCTGAATTAGTATATATAGCAGACCAAACCAGAGTGATTGTACTCTTCTACTTTCATGTATTTCCTCTTCTTTCCCAAGAAGAATTATCATATGTTACATCCCTAATACTCTACACTACTCCTCACTATCAACACGCTCAACAGCCTTGTGCTCTTGTCAAGCACTTCACGGATCAGCAACAGACTGTGATCCAAGCCCCGTCTCGGTCAGTACCGATTTACAGTTATCGTTGAGCTTACTTGCCTTTGCACAATTACCCTCGACATATCCACCTAGGCTACACCTTTGCTAGCGCTAGGCACGACCGTAACAACTACCTCCAATGGAGGAATGCAGTTGAGGATGGAGCACTTGTCTATGGAGCACTGCATGTGCTAACAGAGGAGCCAAAGGCAAGACCTGTTAGGCCTCTAGAGATTGAGGGAAAGGATGGCTCAAAGGTAGCACCTCCCTCATCTATCGTCTCTCTATACCTAGAGGAGTATAGGGAATGGAAGACCTGGAAGGAGAAGGATCAGAAGGTCATGGGTCTTATGAGACTCAATGTCTCCTCAGGCATCAGGATGGAACTTGCAGGATGCAACACTTCCAAGGACATCTGGGATAAGCTAGCCAAGCTTCACCAGATGGATGACAAGAACTACAAGGCAGACATAGAAGAAAGGATCACTACACTCAGGATGAGTGAAGGGGATGATCCAGCCAAGTTCTTGGAGCTGTTCAGCACCTTATTGCTGAAAGCCCAGACAGCCAACTTCAAGCTGTCTGAAGAGGATAAAGCTACCTACTTCCTCAGGGCTTTACCTGTGACACATGAATCCCTCAAGTCAGAGTGGAAGTCACTACAAAGGATCAAAGAGATCACCAAGCAACCTACTTCCACCTTTGAGGATCTCAGGGGAATGTTTAACACCTACATTGCTGACTTGAAGCGTCAGGATGAGGTTAGGTTACAAACTGCCATGATGGTTAGGAAAGCCGGTTAGTGTTGGCAATTGTGAACGGCGACTAGTAAACGCGCGATTAGACGCGTCTAATTTTTTTTTTTCCCTGAAATTAGACGTGAACGTGAACGGCGAGTGATTAGACGCGTCTAATTTTGAACGGCGTTCAATAAACGCCGACCAAACGTCTAATTCTATTGAACGGCTTCATTCAAACGTCGAGCATAGGACAATGTATGAACATAAAGAAGCAGCCCCACTATAAACCCGGTTGTACAAGATCATTATAAACACGTCTAATCGACCTCCATGCCGTCGGTATCCTCTTCTTCGTCGCTGGACTCGATGGTAATGACCTCCGACTTCTTGGTCTTCTTCTTCTTGACCGGCGACTTCTTGGGCGTTTTGAAAGTGCCCCCGACCTTACGCTCGGTCGTTTTTCGACCCGGTTGTTTGAAGACGTCGACGAACGCCTTCTCGCTCAAGAAATCCTTCTTCATCCAATCACCGACACACATCTGTTCCTTCGACGTCGAAGGGTTCAAACGGGTCCGACGAGCCGAGAACATCAAGCCTGCTTTCGAGAAAGCTCGCTCGACATCGACAGAAGTGGCTACAAATAGTAAATGGTTAGCTATCTGAGCGCGTTCAAACATTTGAACGTCTAACTTACCCGGTGTGCCAAGGACGTCCAGCGCCATCGATTGCAACCCACCCAACTTCGGCTGATGAGCCCACCACACCAAGGCCGAGTCGTTGAACGGCGGGACCTTCGTATTGGCCCTGGCCGCGTTGATGAACTGGTCGAACTCGTCCGGTCCGTCGAGGGGCTGAACGGGCATCGAGTCGATGTACATGTCGAGCTCGTCGGTCACCTAGATTGTAACGACAAACGACATCAATATCCTAACGTCTATTCAAACATGAACGTTTAGAACCTTACTATGTGATCGTTCGGCTCGGCAACCTTCTGTTCCGGGGCGAGGCGATAGTGCTTCTCCCACATCTCCCGACCGACTCGTACGGCCTCGGCCTGCCACTCCGGCAGCCACTCCGCTCCCTTCATATAAGCGAGTTGGTACCCTGAATGAAGGACTAGACGTTTTGTAAAGGTTGATAGTTGCACGTCAGTGATAGGAGGAAATACTGAACGTTCAAAATTAAACGTTTAAGAAAACTTACGCAAGGCGATCCTGTACAAGACACTCTCGTCGGTCTTGCTGTAGTACTTGTCAAGGAGTTCTTGGCCTCTCTTGATACCGTACTTGAGCGCCAACTTGCCCTGATCGGGGCCGCCTCGCATGCCGTCAAATTGACGCGTCAACGCGTCCATGACCGGGATCACTCCCGCAATGAAGGTCTTGTCGACCTTGGCCTCTGTCGAGGCGGAGAAACGCTTGGTGCAAGCGTTCAACAGCTATAATTAACAAACACATGTGAACGTTTAGATCATTAACGTTCAAAGTCTCAACATTGAACGGAACGTACCCTGAGAACGGGCTCCAGCTGTTTCAGAGCGGTGAGCTCTGCGGGCTTCAACCGGTCTTCCACCGGCTCATCCTTCGGTTCAAGGAGGGTATAAAACCTCTTGCTGTGTGCAATGAATAACGTGGGTAAGTGTGACATCTAGAAAACATCTACACGACTAAACGTTCAGACGTTTTTGACTCACACCACAAGCTCGTTGTCGATGCACCCCTTGATGCATTCCCACATCGAGTTCCATCGCGTTTGAACGTCGATGGGGATCTTCTTGACCCCGGTGGGAACCTTCTTCTCTTGGGAGAGGAGATCGGCAGCCAGCTCCCACTGCCGTCGGTGGAGCGATCGGTATTTCAACCGCCTCGCGAGTAAACGGCACTAAACGTCCAAAAAAAATAAACGTTCACAAAGTTGAACGTTGACAACGATTGTATCAGTAAACGTCGGGTTAAACGATGTTTACGAGTGGTCACACTAGAACTGAATTTACCTTCTTCAAGCCGTTGGCCATCAACGCCTGTTGGGCCCGAGTCTTTGCGGCCACTTCGGCCTTGATCTTGTCGACCTCCTCGTCCGACAGTTCTTGACCGGCTGGACGAGCAACCTGAGTGGCGATTTGAGAGTCGCTCACATCCTGCGTGAACGGCACTCGGCCCAAGGTGATCCCGTCCAGGATCGGTTGATCGACGGCAAAGTCGTCGTCCTGGTAATCCTCGGCGTCTATCAACGCCTGGAAATCGTCGATGATGCTCGGATCGGTCGCGATCAAAGCCTCATCAAAGTCCGCGAGCACTTCTATGTACTCGTCTTTCGACCACGCCGTCCCGGTCGCCCCTTCGATGATCGCCTGAATTTGAATTGTCCGGTCAGTATCAAAAGTCAAAAATGTTGAACGTCTAGAGAAAGATAAAGGTTCACTTACCCCAACGATCAAGTTCAAAACGTGCGCGAAACATCGCACACGGCCCCTCCCATCAAACCTCTTCCACTCGTGTTCAGACAACTTCTTCACCATCACGTCGTTGGCGGAAGCGTTGTCACAGATCACGGAGAGGACCTGGTCTTGGATGCCCCAAGAGGTTAGGGACTGGCTCAAAAGATTGGCGAGGTAATCACCAGTATGAGCCCGTTCGGCGCTGTTGCAAATGTAAACGTTTAACCAATTATATATTATAGGCATCCGCGGTACGCATGTCGTACACACGCGGGATGTAGGTTTTCACCTCGTACGGAGGTCCGTTCGGAGACCCTCTCGGAGACCCTCTCGGAGACCTATTAGGAGGTGTGTTTGAAGATGTCTAACTGGCACCTTGTAGTAGTTAGACATCCGTTATTACAGTCATTACCCTACCCGTACCTTCTAGTCCCGTGTGTTACTATTCAGGTTTGCTGGCAAACCTTATAGAATAACGGATCACCCAAACACCCCGACTAGGAGACCCCGTATACGATGAATACGTTCACGCAGTGTTACGGACCGGATAGGGCTGTCCACCCCATCCCTGCAGATGCGATCCCGGTCTTGAGCGAAGACGGGAGCATGCAGATGATGGATGGACAAGGAAGGTTCCTATGGAGGAACCCAACTGGGGAGACGCTGGTGAACGACCAGTGCGTCCTTGCCCACCAGCAACCGGAGGTAGGTGCCACGGGGGTACCTACCGCTTCCACGCAGGCCGCACCGGCCAACAACATGGGGCAGACTCCCCCACAAATGCAGTCAACACCCCCAGCAGCTAACCCTGCTCCGGCCGCTGCGCCTCCTACCAGTCCGGATGTTTCCGCCCTGCTCTCCATGATGGCGACCATGCATAGTCAGATGATGGAGTTGGCGATGTCGAGGGACACTCGATCGGCGACGGCCACGGAGGAAGCGAGAGCGAAGCTGTTCAAGTTCGGTACGCCGGACAGTGTTAGGTTGCCAGCAACCTGTGTGTTCTCCGGGACTTGCGTAGGGTAATAGGTAGATAAATGAGTGTGATAGCAGATGAATTACATATTACAATAGTGATTGTAGTAGTTAGACATTACCTATCGTATCATATAAGTACCTGCTCCGCCGGAGTTGCTGGCGGAACACCCGTTCGGATGTACGTGATAGTCGCACCGCGGATGGCTATAACAGGATCCCCCCGTTAGGACGAGATTCCAGATCGTCTCGTGTCGTGTTTCACCGTACGTATGGTTCACCTCGTTCCGATAGGTAACCACCTGGCGTCAACTAGTGTTCTTTTGTTCGCTACGTTTCGAGCGTCGCTCGCCAGCACCTTTGTGTACCCGTACTGTCAATCCGTTTCATCTTAAAACGATTGCGTGGGCATCCTCCTTTCGTTTGTTCCGAGTAGTGTTTCAGCGTAGCTCGTCAGCCCTAATGCTTCCGTACGGTCGATCCGCCCTGTTCCTTCGAGTAATCGCCTGGCTAGCCTTTGTTCGTGTTTCCTAGCTCGCCATTGTGTACCACTTTGAGGTAACTCTTCATGACGTAGCGTTGTTTCAAGTATTGTTGCGATTGTTCTCTAGCCGAGTGTATGTTTCTCACGCGTCGAGAGCCTCCGGGGCGACGCGTATTCTTTTGTCCCAAAAGAGTAAACAAAGACGTCATCAAAGGGTCCTTTGAATACCTTATTTGTCGATAACCAAGTTTGTCGACGTTACTAAGTAACGCCCAACCTCCTATTGTCGGGAGGCCTGTCGACCATGTTCTCTATTGTCTTCCTGTTCGTGATGGCTACTCGAATGAGGGGTATATAGCAGCTGAGTAGGGAGTGGTGCTTCGACTCCCCCTTGCGTGTTTGCTAACTCTAATTCGAACTCGTTTCTTCACTCGTCCGTAACTTTTACCTTCTCCGTACACTTCTACTCTCTCTCTATCGCTCAACATGTCCGCTCAAGGTACTCCCTCCAAGAAGGCCGAGCCCTTCGAGCAACTTCAGCCGAAGGGGTGGCGGTACCTCAAGAAGATGTCCGCCGCGACTAGTGAGTGGGGCTTCCGTTGCGGTCTTGAAGTTGGAACGGCGTATTGATATGTCCGTACGGACTGCGGTAGAGTCGACTCTCATTCAGGCCGAGAAGGTCAAGCCCAAGGTCGCCGACGTCGATCCGGAGGAGTTGGACCTCGCCTTTAGGCGAAACCAAGTGACTACGGTCAACGCGTTGGTCGTGAGTTATTCCGATTTGCAGTTCCGCCGGAGTTCTCCTTTGACACGTCCATATCCTTCTTCTCTAGGCCCAATGCCAGGGGGGTTGGAAGTTCGCCTGCCAACCCTGCTTTGAATTGGCGACTACCGGGAACCACCGCGCCCGAGTCGACGGCGAATGGGTCGACTGCATTCGTGTCAGCCAAACGTGGTTGTGCAGGCACGTCCTCGCTACTCCGGGAGAGACCTCCCGCGCTTCCTCCTGCTACTTGTGCAGGGTCAATGCAGGCCGTCCCTGCACCCCCATGAACCCCGGCGTCGTCACGGCTTTCCGACACGATATCGGAGTTCGACACAGGGTTCGCGCCGGGTTGCTGTACATCCAGGATCCTGCGGTGTCGCAAAGGAGTGTCGGTATGGTTGCCCGCGAGGTGGCCCGTTTGCAAGAGAGGATGGCGAGTACCCCCCTTATCTCTTTTCTATTCTCTTCTCCGATAACCTTCTCCATATTCTTCTCCGAGGGAGCTAATATCCTGCTTGTGTTCTTGTCTTCTTCATATCGTAGCTCTTCCCTCATATCCCCGCTCCTTCCGTCTTCCACGTGGAGCACGAACTCACCGCTCGGTTGGCCGCCCAACACGCTCCGAACGCCGTCCCCGCCGGCTTGGTCGCCACCGACGTCAACGTCGACCTCGACATCGCCGGTTCCGATGTCGTTACTCCCGGTTCGCCTGCGCCTACCATCGTCGAGGGAGAGGACGTGGAGGACCTCGATCTCGAGGACGACCGTTCGGACGACGAGGATACCAGCATGGGGGACGGGAGCGACAGCGAGTCGTCGAGCTCGTCCGGATCCTCGACTTCGGGGTCTTCTTCTTCGGAATCTGGTTCGGGATCTGGGTCGGGGTCTGGTTCGGGTTCGGGCGGGGAGTAATTGGCTGGGTGATTTTCTTTTTGTACGGTTGTCTCTTGTAGCCGAGTACATTTGTACTCGGGATAATAAATTTTTATGCCGCTCGGAAGTTCTCGAATCGTTCTCCGCCGGAGTTGTTTTTGGATATTGTCGTTCTCTCTTTCGCTGACAATAGTTTGAGGTAATTGCAAAACGTTATTGCTTGTAGTCGTGTTGTACGTGTGGGTGCAAAGGTTTTGCTCGGTAGTAGCAGTGAATGGTGAATAAAAATAAAAACATCAAGGGACCTGCCCTTGGTAAATACATGATCGTCGCGCACAAGAACCCTTACGTAGACCAAACTCGATAACCTGTTCCCTCGTTGGCGGCGTGGTCCCTGTCGAACTGCTCATCCGTCGGAGCAGTGCTGGGAGAGTAGGTAGCTGCAACGCGAAGGTCTCGTTGCTTCTTCATCCGGTCCACGTACCACTGCGGCTTGGGCACCAACGCAGGGTTTGTACACTCCCGAATAACGTGTCCCTTCTGGAAACAGTTATAACAGGTGACATCCCTGTACTTGGCCGCATCTACCTCCATGGGGACAGCTCCCGAAGCGGATGCCACAGGGGCTTGTACGGGAGCGGCGACTGGCACTACCGCAGGAGCGGTGTATCGAGGGGTGTAAGTGTTGTTTCGCGATGTGGTGTTACGATGTTGTGTTTGAGTATGTCCAACCTTCTCCTCGTACTTCGCGCACTCCGTCTGGAACTCGTAGAGGGTGCACTTCTCCTGGTTGGGGATAGGGACGATGGCATCCCTCCACGCCTGATTCAAGTGTGCTCGGAAAAGGAGTTTCCTGCAGAAGTCGTTCAACTCCGGAATGAGGTTGGCCATAGCGTTGAACTTGGTAATGTACTCGGAGATCGACAGATTCCCCTGTCGGAAATCGGCGATCTCCCTCTCAGTTGCGGCTCTCCTTACCGCAACTCCAAAACGAGCCAGCAACCCGGCTTCGAACTCCGACCATGTGGTCCAGGCAGTTCCGAAAAGCCAGGGGCGAGCCCATTCCCTCGCGGCGTCCCGCAAGTAACTACCCGCGAACACGATCTTCAACTTGTCATCGTGGTATGCGAGGGGTTCCGCCATGAAGCGTAGGTTACAAGCATCTAAGAATGCTTGTACCTCTTCCTTCTTCGACCCATCGAAGGGTTCGGGATCGCTCACCCGGATAGCCTTGGTGTAAGGCTGTACGGGGACAGAGGGGCGAGAAAACGCCGGAGGAGGAGGCGAGGGGGCTGCGTTGACGTTAACCAATCCATCCACCTTTGCCATCAACCTTTCCAAGGTTGAGTTCATCCTCCCGACGTCATTCGAGAGGGAGATGGTGCTGACAGCTGGTCGGTCGGCACTCAAGAAGGAGGAGAACACCTCGTCTCCTTCGCCGGTGTTACGGACCCATAGAAATCCGCCGGCGCTGTCTCGATCTTGAGCACCTCCCGTGCTCCGCACCGGTTCCTTGTAGCCGGCTACCGTGATAGGGTTACCAGCTACGTCGTACACTACCCTGTCCGGAACTTCTGCCCGTTCTGTGGCTTCGGTTTCCATAGTTGCAAGTCGGGGAAAAGGAGATGATCTGCTATTCTGTTAGGTTGCCAGCAACCTGTGTGTTCTCCGGGACTTGCGTAGGGTAATAGGTAGATAAATGAGTGTGATAGCAGATGAATTACATATTACAATAGTGATTGTAGTAGTTAGACATTACCTATCGTATCATATAAGTACCTGCTCCGCCGGAGTTGCTGGCGGAACACCCGTTCGGATGTACGTGATAGTCGCACCGCGGATGGCTATAACAGACAGGTTCGATGGCAGCAAGAAGGAGAAGGTTAGGGGATTCCTGGACCAATGCAACCGGGAGTTCCAAGTCAAGCCGGGGTTGTACACCGACCTTTACAAGATTATGTACGCGGAGTCGTACATGGATGGGCAGGCCCAGGCATGGGCAAGGGAGTACTCGTCGGGGCAAACTCAGGTCACCTGGCGGGAGTTCGAGGCGTTGCTCGTGGAGATGTACGGAGGTGGAAGGAACATCCTTGCTACGGAGAAGGAGTACTACTCTCTGAAGCAGGGCAACAAGAGCTTGAATACGTACATCACCGAGTTCAACGATCTCGCCGCCCTCCTCCCAAACCTCAACAAGTATGGCAAACGGTCGTTCTTCCGCGCCAACCTGAACCAAGCCTTTCAGGACGCTATTATCCCTATGCCCAACCAGGAGCATATGACGCTGGCGGAGTTCCAGATGGAATGCCGTCGGTACGAAGACCAAGCGGAAGCCCGTAGGCACACGTCTTCGGGTAACCGTTGTGGGGTCAATCCCGGTCTTCGGGATCAAACGTCGATGACGACGTCAAACAACAACTCGTCTGAGTTGGCGGTAAGGTAGGTAGATAGGGTTGCTAAGCCTAGGAGTGGTAAGGGATGTCCCGGTAGGCAAGTGCTGTTCCCGGTAGACTATAAAGGGGGGGGGTGGGAGCTAGGTAAAGTCGTGTAAACGTTACGTGATTCAGGTCACGTGACGTTCGAAGGTAAAAGGTGATATCTCCGATCAAACGCGATACGTCGAAGTCGTATAAACTCGAAACCTCTCGGGGTGGTAAGCTAGCAAGGGCCGTACTCTGACGCCGATCTACTTAACCTTGTCCAGAAGCCAGCTATAGATCCGTCGTCTTAAGCGGGTGATGGGAAGTAAACGTGAAACGCGAAGCGGCGAATCAGCGAGGTAGAACGGTAGGTGTATACCGAAAGTGAAATGTGGGATAAAAGCTATGAATAAACGTCTACTACTGGTCTCTCTACGGCTTGCTTGACTACTACAACGGTGAAACGGCGATGGAAAAGAGGGGAATTGAATATCGAGGTGGGGACCTTTATACGTGTCTAGCGTACGCTTACGCCAGCGCGACCGAGCAAAGTACCGGAACGGTCTATACTCCGGGCCGTGCGTCTTCCGCTTCTCCTCTGCCCGTATGCCTCGACCTATACACGTGTATCCCGTCTCCCGTCGTCCGATGAAACCTTCTAATCCACCGTCGGCTGCCGTCTAGTAATCCACCGTGACCAACAGCGGCGAGGTCGAGGTAGTCGAGAGCGAACCGCGGATGTAGGAAGTAGGCGACCGTCGGGGCCGATAGATTCCTGTCACCACACCGTGCCCACACGAGCGGGAATCGTTACGCAGGTAACCACGTCGCTCCCCGAAACCCTGTTGTGGTTAACACCACTGTTGCCCCTCCTGCGGCGGCCGCCACGTCGGGTGCTACGCCTATGGAGGTGGACGCTGCGAGGATGCCCGGCGGGAAACCCTGCTACAACTGCTGGCAGCCCGGCCACAGGAGCGCCCAGTGCAGCAACGCCAAGAGGTCCCCACCTGCTTGGTGGCAGGCTCGGCAACAGGCTGGTCGAATGCAGGTAGCTGCGACGTACATGCAGCCTCCCGCCCAGAACCACCAGGCGTATTGGGATGAGGAGTTCGCCAAGCAGAACGGGGACGAGCCGTTGCTGTGGACTCCGGGTGCTTAGGGTTTTCGTGTTTGTCATTACTCATTGTTGTACCTTCGTCGGCAGGACCGACGAAGATGTTTATCACCATTCCTTTTTTTACGAACTTAACGAGCCAACGACAATCAAGTTTGCCTTACGAAAACAATGAAGTACCACGACTCGCTTGGAGGCTCAATCGGAGACTCGTTCGGAGACACGTTCGGAGACTTCGCTGGAGAAACGAATCGCAACAAGAAAATAGCATAAAAATAAAAAAAAGGGAGCCGACCCCCGAACGGCGACCAAACGAGACGTTACAAACACAAACAAAATCACTCGCCACCACCGTCGCCACCACCGTCACCACCGCCATCGCCACCGCCATCGCCGCCCCCATCGCCACCATCACCCTCGTTGCGGTCCGCGGTGTGCTCGCTCGCGGTCCCCTCGCGCTGGGACCTGGCCCTGCTACCTCGTTGCGAGGGTTGCTTGTCCTGGGCGGGAGGGGGAGCGGTGTCCTTGGCGGGAGGCGGAGTGCGGGGACGAGGGGGGTTGACGGCGGCGAGGCGTTCCCGAGCTCGTTCGTACTCCAAACGAGCATCCTCAGCGACCTTGCTGGCGGCCTCGGCGTCGAGCCGCTTCTGGCGGGCCTCTTCGTTGGCCTTCTCGGCCGCGAGGCGGGCGTTTAGGGCGCGCGCGCCCTCTCCTCCCACACATAGATAGAGGCTCCCACACACATGTAGCATCACCACATCACCTTGTAGCAGCATCATCATCATCATCTCCCCTGCTCTGCTAGTAGCCTGCCTCCTTGTGGCGACGCAGCTGGATTGAGCCTCTCCTCTCGAAAAAGACCCGATCGAGACGCACGTACGTACGAGGCTCGACACGACATAGAAAATTTTTCACGGACTACGTACGCACGACGGCTGACTGGACCTCAGTCTATGGAATCAGCGGCCGATACGGTACAAAACGCCTCATCAAGGATACTGTCCCGAGTAGAATTGGCAGCCAGAGCCAGCCGCCTGATCGACCTGCGAGCTCTTCCCGGCTGGTCTCTCACAACCCTCGACGAACTTTTCCGCATCAAACAAGTCGAAACCGGCAAACCCGCTACCCCTATCGACGATTCAACCGACATACTACCGATCAGGATGGATATCTCGATCCCCACGTTCACAGGGTCTAACTGGCCCGCTTTCAAAAAGGATTTCAAGACCAAGATGTTGATCCTCCAAGTATGGAACAAGGATTCGGAGGTTGCGGATTTCTTCGAGGTCGCTCTAGAGGAGGGGTCCAAGGTCTACCTCTGGTACAAGGACCTTACAGACGTACAGAGGGCCTCATGGAAGACGTTGGAAGCGTTGATCGAAGAGAAGTACGGGAGCAGCACCGAGTCAAAGCGAAAAGCCCTGCGGGAGTTACTCCACGTCAGGCTCGACGACTCAGACGTCGGCCAGACCAACAGCGCCGGCGAGGAGAAACACATCGCCTGGGCGAAAAGGGTGACCTCGCTGGCATACCAAGCGGGAAGCCCTGGAGATCAATCCACGGTCGAAATCGTCCTAAACAACGTAGGGCCTTACACGCAGTCGTATTTGACGTCGATGAACGCGATCGGGAGCGTTCGGGACTTGGCCACGGCTGTCGAAAACATGTCGACTTCGGCGGTGCACCGAGTGAAGCACGCGGCTGCCCAAGACCAGAAGATCATGGAGCTCGAAAGGATGGTGAAACGTCAGCCTCAAATCCGAAACCAACGCAGCGCCTTGGGCCTGTACACGAACGAAAACGTACCCGCCCAAGAGGAGAGGACCCACACCGATCAACGAGCCTACGAGAACCGGAATATCTATAGCGACCGACAAGCGTACAACAGCCGACCCGCTTACGCAGAGAGACCTCCATACGGACCGCAACAAGCCACGGTACCCCTAGGACCGTTCAAAGAGACAAAAGACGGACACGACGCCTGGGAAGCCGCTAGACGCACTTGGCACCAGAGGAATCCGACCGGGTTCGTGACCCTGAGTGCGCCGTATCCCACTTCGCCGGGGACGGCGCCGCCGGGCTCGGACGAGTGTTTCGGGTGCGGGAAGGTAGGCCACATACGACCCCTGTGCCCGGATGGAGGGAACCGACTACCGATAGAGGAACAAAGGTATAGAGGCCTCGTGGCGGGTCAGAAAAGGCGACAAAACGCATCGGGACCGAGAAACGGACCCTCAACTGGTGCTAACGGTATCCCTATTGGTAGCATCCGACACGTCGGATTCGACGGATACTCGCCCATGCAAAGTCCTACGATGCTCCCGCAACACCAATACCCTCTCTCTCCACCGCTCACTGAAATCGGCCTAGATGGCGATGCCTACGACCCCTCCGGCCTTGATTTCCTTGCCGACCAGGGAAATGGTGGAGAGCTCGATTGGTAGGCGACAATCGAGCTCGACGAATCGACCAGCCGTGGAGGAAGGAAGGCGTGATAAGGTTGGTCGAGACCAGGAGCGGCGGAGCGAGGAGGAGCGGATCCGAAGCAAGGACGGAAGTGCACGAAACGCCGGAGACAGAAGAGAGGATAGACGAGGAGATTAGAGATGGAGAAAGAGACGAATCGGAGAGCGGTGAGCTGACATACGCTCTCAGAGACGAAGAGTCGGACGTACCGGGATACCCGGTTACGCTGAGCCTTCGAGCGAAAGACTTGGATTTCGAAGGAATCGTAGATGGAGGAGCCGCTTTTAACATCATAGACCGAAACTTCTACAGGGTTAACCGATCAATATTCGGGGAAGCCACGGCCGTGAACTTTGGTGTTAAAGTGGCGAACGGAACAAGAGTAGAGTTGGACGGAGCGATCTCGACTAACCTTGAAGTCCCGCACCCTCAGGGCGCGGCGAGAGGTACGGTCAAGTTCTACGTGATGGAATCGAACGGCGACTGGGAAGTCCTACTAGGGAAGCCCTGGTTGAAGCAGACGGCAGCTGTCGTCGACTACGGAGCCGAGTCGGTCACCATTACGAAAGGAAAGAAAGCACGGACATGGATATCGACACCCAGGGCGTCGGGTAGCGATTGTTTATGGATCGGCGGCAACGGAATGAACGGCTACTCAGAGACGAAGGCTGAGGGACTCGACAACGGCGAGGCCGGCGATACCGCTAACCGGGCGGAGGAGATCTTGTCGAAGGTGACAATCGGCGACGACCTCAGCCCAGATCAACGAGCGGCTGTCGAAAACTTGGTCAGGGAGTACAACGATGTTTGGGCGACCGACCTCAAGGATATAGGCGCCTGCCCTCATACGGTCCACCGACTGAAGGTACCGGAAGGGACAAAGTTGCCTCGCTACGCGCACGGAAGGCCTCTGACGGAGCCGCAGCTAATCGCAGCCCGCAAGATGACGGCGAAGCTGCTTGCTGCGGACGTGATAGAACCCATTGCGCCAGAAGACATAGCTGGGTGCTACCCTACGGTAATGGCCGCGAAAAAAGGCAAATACCAAGAGGGAGACCTTGACCGGATTCGAAGGCTGGCGGACGACGCGCTAAAGGCGGCCGGCCTACCGACTCTATGGTCGAAGGACACAAAAATCGGGACACCCCCGTGCTCTGGGCTAGAATTACCAGGGCCCACACTGACGGGGGACTTCGAGAGCCCCCATACTCCCGCGGTACGTAATGACGTACCTCCTTGAGACGAACGATCGGATGCTGCTGATGAAAGACCCTTCCCAGAGGTCGAGGCGGCTGCAACCTATCGAATGTGCCACAATTTCGGAGCACTCAACAAGGCGACCGAGGTACCCGCGTTCATGCCAGGGGATCTAGACGCGAAGGTCCTACGACACTCGGGAAAACGTTGGATATGCCAAATGGACGGCCTCGGGGTGTTCTTTTGGGTGCCAATTGCGCCCGAGGACCGGAAGTTCTTATGTTTCGGACTCCCCAACCTCGGGTACTTTTCTTACAAGAGACTCCCGATGGGGCCAACCGGTTCGCCCGCGACTTACCAAGTGGCGGTACTGAAAACGCTAGGGGAGTTGGTAGACCCAGGGCCGGTCTCGGTTTGGATGGACGACATATTTACCTCAGGAGACGAGTTCTCGGTGGTCCTCGAAACAATGCGATCGGTGCTAGCACGAGCTCGACGCGACAACCTACGACTGAGCGCGGAGAAAACGTTTCTTTTCGTGACAACGGCCCATATAGGCGGGTCGCTAGTGTCCTCGAGAGGAGTGAGCCCCGACCTAAACAAGATCGAAGCGATACTACGCTGGCCCCGACCAGTTACCGCCCGCGACGTAGCTTCGTTTGTGGCAACATGTAACTGCTTCAGATCCTACTTTCCAGGTTTTGCAGAGGTCGCAAGGCCCCTGTATGCCATCGCGTCGGCGGACGTACAACCCACGAGCAAGAAGGGTGGAAAACGACTATTGGAGGAAACGAATATCGAGAGCCGGTGGTCGAAAGAGTGCGAAGAGGCGATGGCCTTACTTAAGGCAGGCCTCACTTCGTATCCCATCCTGGTGGCCGGGAGGTACGACGGCTCCGAGTTCGGGCTGACAACCGACGCGTCGAAACTCGGATTAGGGGCGCACCTATGGCAAGCCGACAAGACGGATGGGGGACGACGATCAATAGCCTATGCGAGCCGTGGTACGACCGAAGCCGAAGCGAGAATGCACTCCTCCGCGTTGGAGCTGTTGGCCGTCAAATGGGCACTAGACAAATTCGAAAAATGGGTCTATGGACAACGGATTTTGCTAGAAACTGACTGCCAGGCCGTCCGAGATCTGATGCGCAACGACGCCATGCCTGGTACCCGTTCGATTTGGAAAGAGGCGATCGCGAGCTCGGGCATCGTACGAATGGTCCATCGACCGGGTAGGATAAATACCATCGCTGACGCCCTATCCCGAAATGGGTCGAGCCCGGGTACTTCCACAGAGCCTGGATGGGAGGCTCGTCTGGGTTTATCGAACAGCCTATACGAATCGACGGGGACTATCGGGCTGCTGGAAGCGGACGAAGCCCAAGGTATCGTAGACCGGTTCCGGGATGACGAGCTTTTGGATGTGACTCGGTGGGTCACACAATTGGAAGTCGAACTTATCGAAAGAGACGCCGTACAGGATACAAAGAGGAAGGCCGTCAGCTACTGGACGGCGGGGCCGGATCTAATGCATAGGATACCCGGGGTAGGTAGCGTCAAAGTGCTTCCCAAGAGAGAGGGGGGTGAGGTAGCCGCGAGGGTGCATCGAGAACACGGCCACGTTGGGCGGGACCTTACCCTGGGAAAACTCATTCGTACGACGCATTGGGCGGGAATGCGCAAGGACATCGACGAAGCGATAGCTCAATGTCGCAGATGTTGTCAGTTCGGGCACCGCATGCAAAAGTACCTCCTCAAGCCGGTATTCGCCTTTCGACCATTTGACACGGTCGCGATGGATTACTTAGCGATGCCTCATGCCCATGGGAACGAATCGATCCTGGTCGCAATCGACGTCTATACCAGGTATATTTTCGCCTGGCCTTGTAGGGGACCCGGATCCGCGGCTACGACTTTGAAAGCGCTGCGAGAAGTATCGGACAAGTTCTTGCGACCGAAAACGCTCTGGACTGACAATGGATCGCCTTTTAACAACAAGGACGTACTGGACTGGTGCGGGGAGCTGACTACGTTGCGACTCGCGACGCCTTACGAACACGTCGGGATAGCGGAGAACACGAACCACCAGGTGCTCGAAAGGCTGAGAAGGATGTGTAACCTCGACGTGCAACACATGCCTTCGCTTACGACACCGACAGTACCGAGGAACTGGCCGGAGACGCTGAGTGCCAGCGTGCGGGTCCTGTTAGGCGTCGAGAAGGCTCCAGGGAAGACCGGCTCGATGTATACCTGCGAGGACATATCCGGGAGTAATGTAGAACGTAGGACTAGGGTATATAGATGTAATAACAGATGAAAGACTATATACTACAATGCTGATACAAAGTGGTACAATACGATATGCTCCTTGAACAACTCCGCCGGAGTTGGTACGACTCGAGTCCGGCGTACGCGCGCGTCGCTATAACAGGATCCCCCCGTTACGGGCGAGCTCCGAACGCCCTAGGCATCGCCGTACTCCTCGAAAGCAGGTTTCGGCTTGTTTGGGTATCGTCGATGATAATCCAGCACCGCTTGGTCGTCATGGTGGAAGTCCTCCGGATGTACCCACTCGTTATACTCATCCTCGTAACCTTCCCACCGCACCAGATATTGGGTACGCGTCTGACGTCCCCGCTTCCTGCTCCGCGAATCTACGATCTCAGATACTACCCACTGGGTGTCACCGTTATCCACCACCTCTGGGGGAGGAGGCGGGACCTGTTCCCGCGAGGGCAGCTCATTCCGCTTGTACGGAATCAGCATCGAGACATGGAACACGGGGTGTACCCGCCGCAGTTGCTCGGGAAGCTCCAACCTTCGCGCCATCTTCGCATCTCCCACGACCTCGGTGATCTTGAAAGGTCCGAGGGTCTTGTAGTCCAACTTCTTGTTTGGACGAACCGTCTTGATGTGGTCCGTAGATAACATCACTTGATCCCCGACCTCCATTCCCTCGTCGGGAACGGGTCGCCTCTTTCTGTTGGCGTATTTCGCCATATCTACCCTTGCTTGCTCCAACGCCCGGAGTACCGACTCGTGGATGTTCGAGAGTCGCTCCCTGAACTCATCCGCGCTTTCATTGGGCACTTCGGCCATCCGGATGGTGAACTTGTGGTCAGTCCCCTCGGAGGCCATGAAAGGCGACATCCCTATGGCGGAATGCTTGGAGTTGTTGTAGGCGAACTCCGCCAGAGGCAACAACTCCGCCCAATCATCCTGCTGGAAGTTCACGTAACTCCGCAGGTACTGTTCCAATGTCGAGTTGCTCCTCTCCGTTTGTCCGTCAGTCTCCGGGTGGTATGCCGTCGAGAACCTCCTCTCGACACCCGCAAAAGCACACACATCCCGCCAGAAGCTAGACATGAACAATGTTCCTCTGTCCGAGATGATCTGATCAGGGAACCCGTGCAACTTGACGTAGTGGGAGAAGAATAACTTCGCCAGGTACGAGGCGTTGTTATCCTTTCGACACGGGATGAAGTGTGCCCGCTTACTGAAGCGGTCGACGATTACCAGGATTGCATCCTGGCCCAATGACTCGGGGAGGTCCGTGATGTGGTCCCAAGTGATAGACGACCACGGCTTCCTCGCCGCAGGTAGAGGGGCCAATTCTCCGATCGGCTTTTGTCGGGGACGGCGGTTCTTCTGGCACGTCAAGCACGAGGCCACGTAGTTGCCTACCCAGTCTCTCATTCGGGGCCAATAAAAGTCTCTCGAGAGGAGGTCCTCCGTTTTGTCTCGCCCGTAGTGCCCCGCGAGCTTGCCGTCGTGAACGTACTTCATCAGTCGGACCCTTACCGACTCCACGTCAGGGACGTACAGGAGTCCCTTGTAGATTAGGAACCCCTCGCCATCCTTCTTGTAGGGACCCTGCTCGTTGGGCTCCCTCTCCATCTTCTCCAAGATGGCCTTGACTACTTCGTCCGCCTCGTAACCTTGCAACAGGTCTCTCCGGAGGTCCTCGCCGGGAATTGGCAGGGTACCGTTGATCTGTAGATGCGGAGGAATCTCCCGCGCTGTAGCCGAGAGATTCATGGGCCGTAGCATCGTCTCGGTCTGTCTTGGTTCGCTCTCTTCTAGGAGCTCCTCTTTCCGACTCAAGGCGTCGGCCTTACCGTTCATCACCCCCGGCTTGTACTCCAGGGTGTAGCTCAGACTGTTCAACAGCTGGGACCATCTTGCTTGTCGCCTCGACAGTAACTTCTCCGTTCGGAAGTACTCGAGGTTCTTGTGATCGGTAAAGATCCGAATAGGGTGAGGTCCCTCCAGGTAGTGTCGCCATATCTTGCAGGCGTAGACGATGGCCAGCATCTCTCTGTCGTGAACGTCGTAGTTCCGCTCTGCGGGAGTTAACGACTTTGACATGAACGCTACTGGTCGGAGTTTTCCGTCCGAACCTCTCTGCGACATCACTGCTCCAATCGCTCCGGCCGAGGCATCCGTTTCTAACGTTACCTCTGCATCTTCCTGGAAATGCGCCAGTATAGGCGCCTGCGTGAACGCCTTCTTCAGCGTTACGAACGCAGTCTCTGCGGATTCGTTCCATTGAAACCGCACTCCTTTCTTCAGGAGCTTTGTCATCCCCTGTATCTTCTGGGAGTAGTTCGTGATGAACCTCCGATAGTAGTTGGCGAAACCTAGGAACGACTGTAGTCCCTTCAGGTTTCGAGGCGCCGCCCATTGTTCTATGGACGACACCTTGGAGGGGTTCATCTTTACCCCTCCCGGAGACACGTCGTATCCAAGGAACTCCGTGTCCGTTGTGTGGAACTCACACTTCTCTGCTTTGGCGTACAGCCCATTTTCTTGTAGCCTTCGCAGCACCTCCTTCACGTGTCTCTCGTGCGTAGTCTCGTCGGGAGAGAACACGAGGATGTCGTCCAGGTACACTACGACGGACTCGTCCAGAAGGTCCCTGAACACATGGTTCATCCACCTCTGGAACGTCGCCGGAGCGTTCGTCAACCCGAACGGCATCACCAGACACTCAAACAGTCCGTATCTAGTACGGAAAGCTGTCTTCCATTCGTCCCCTTCCTTTACTCGTAACAAGTTATACGCTCCTCGGAGGTCCAACTTGGTATAGACCTTCGCTGTCGTTAACTTATCGAGCGTCTCGGAAATCAGCGGTAACGGGGTTCGATCCTTTGTGGTAATGGCGTTCAAACGCCGGTAGTCAATACATAGCCTGAGCTCTCCTCCCTTCTTCGGGACAAACAATACGGGACTTGCGGCGGGTGACGTCGAAGCCCTGATAAAACCTTTATCAAGGTTCTCCTTGATCCAGCGCTTCAATTCGGCGCTCTCCTTTTCGGAGTGGTTGTAGAGTTTTCCGAAGGGGGGTACTTTCCCTTCCTCTACGTCGATCGAGTGATCGAAGTCTCTATGTGCCGGCAACTCGTCGGCCTTGGTCTTGGAGAACGCTCCGAGGAAAGCGTGATACTTCTCCGGTACCACCTTCCGTAACGTCTCCATATATTCGGGAGGGTCCAGGTCTCCCGGGAAACTCTCCGCTGGCTTGTCGTCCCAATCCCATAAGTCGGGACGCCTCACCCTCTCTTCTTCTTCATCATTGGCCTTGAGGTAGGCCACTACTAGTTCTTCGGTGACCCCTCCTTTGATTCGGTCCGTCGAACGTAACTCCTTCTCCTCCGCTTCGTAATCCACGGGGGAGTATACTATTTCTTTTGCTGGTGTACATCCGTTCTGGACGCACTTATCTTCGAACGCTACTGCGCTCATTTCCCAGTCAATTCGGGGGTTGTGCTCCTTCAACCATGGTAGGCCGAGCACCGTTGTGAAAGTTCCGAGGCTACATACGTAGAAGTACGCCGTTTCGGTATGTCTACCGATACGTAGTCTAGCTTGTACCCGGTGTGTAACTGCACCGGAAGAGATCTCTCTCCCATCAATGACCAGGAGTGGTCGGGGTCGTTCTAAAGGAATGAGGTCGAATCCGTGTTGCTCGACGAATTCGGTGTCTATAAACAAACTGGTCGCTCCTGAGTCGATCATCAAGACCGTCTCCGTCGGAGTACCATTCGGGTAGAAGGTGCCGGTGACCGTAATATGAGCCTCCGGTCGAGAGGGAGAACCTATGCTGCTCAGCACCAACGGTTCTCCAGTTGCTACGTTCAAGTCATTACCCGGGGAACTCGGATGATCTGTTATTCTGTTAGGCGTCGAGAAGGCTCCAGGGAAGACCGGCTCGATGTATACCTGCGAGGACATATCCGGGAGTAATGTAGAACGTAGGACTAGGGTATATAGATGTAATAACAGATGAAAGACTATATACTACAATGCTGATACAAAGTGGTACAATACGATATGCTCCTTGAACAACTCCGCCGGAGTTGGTACGACTCGAGTCCGGCGTACGCGCGCGTCGCTATAACAGGTCCTGAACGAGAGGCAACTAGGATTCCTGGGAGGATTCTCACCGAAAGAGCTGCTTTTCGGGGTCAAAGATGCCGCCGGGCAATACGCGATCGACCCCGAGAGGCGACTACTACTCCTATCCTCGCTAAGACGGGACGCGGAGTCGGCGTTCGCGGCCGAACAAAGGACGCGGATGGAGAGGTCGTTAAAGGCGACATACAACGAATTCAGGCCGAAAGTCGGAGACCTCGTCCTGGCTTACGACGGTACCGACGAGCGATCGTACGCGGTAGGGGGCAAACTACGAGCCAAATGGCAAGGCCCCCTGAGAGTCACGCATTGCGGGGACAGGTCGGTCTCGCTCGAGACGCTCGAGGGGATCCCAAAGCGAGGACGAGTGGGATGGAGCAAACTCAA